TGGGCAAGTATGGGTTGACAGACCTGGTGGCTATGCTGCGGTCCGCAGCGGCAAGTGGTGAGAGAGTTCCACCCAGCTTCGTCTCCACGTCGACGTACAATCTGACTTCTGATTCTGTAGAGCCGGGTGCCGCTATACCACCTGCGACATCAAGCAGCGGCCACATCGCTGTGGCATTCGAAGCGAACCCCAGCCCCATCTCCTTCTCAGACGCCAGCTCCATAACCGGCAGCCTATACTCGACATGTTCCGACACATCGTCCTTTCACAGCCTGAGTCTGGCGCCTTCGCCGGCAGCCTCATCAGCCAATGTCATACCAGGGCACAATGCCGCGCCGACATCCTCAGCACGATCTATAGGCCGCAAGGTCGTCCGCCGGGCTGCCGCTGCATCAAAGCGGTCCAACCTCGGCGGCATCAGTAGCTCTTGGGGGAACAAGAAGCAGGAGCCATTCGAGTGTCCTTTTTGCGGGGAGCGAGGCATAACCGTCGAGATCAAGCGCAAGAATGACCTGAAGCGTCATTTCCACGAGTTCCATACGAACCATTCCGTCTGGACATGCACTGCACCGGGATGCGGGCTCCCGTTCGAATGGAAGTCTGCATACACTAACCACCTGAAGTCATGCCACCAGGGGGTGGGTCCTTTACCCGACGATGCTATGGCCAAGACCTGCCCGCAGGTTGTGTTCGCATGTGGATTTCAGGATTGCAAGCGTATTTTTGAGGCCCAGAGTGACGAGGACGCCGATAAGAAGGCTCACGAGTACTTCGCACACGTTGCCGACCATTTTGACGGCGACGGCCTGACACATCGGGACTGGTCCTACTCGGCGAGATTCCGCAACCTCATGCGCCAATCTCCGGTGGATGAGGCATGGAAACGCCGCGTGAAACTCTCTTCCGACTCGCCCGCTTGGGAGGCACTTTCGTCCTTTACTCTGCGCAAAATGCTTGAATGCCGACATATTCCAGAGGTCCAATCTTTCGTACAATGCGCATCAGCCCTGGGTTATGCGAAGAAAGGTACACCCACACAGCTTCCGCATGGTTTCTTCATCCCTATTCGGGGCTCGTGCCAGATGGCTTCGGTCAACCACCGCGTGGATCGCAGCCAGGGAGCCATCGACCAGCAACTGCAGCAGCAGCAACAACAGCAACAGCAGCAGCAGCAACAACAACAACAACAACATCAGCAGCAGCAGCAGCAGCAGCAGCAGCAGCAGCAGCAGCAGCAGCAGCAGCAGCAGCAGCAGTCACACATGGATATACCCGATTTTAGCCCTTTCGAGACGCCTCTACCTACGTTTCCCAAAGTGGAGGAGGATGCCGCGAGCTTGTCAAAGATCAGCATGGTACCACCACCCATGAATTACACGCCTCAGACCATGCCACCGGACGCTGGGGCATGGACCACCCAGCAGGATCCTCAGTCTGCGCTCTCTACATCTCAGGACCTCTCCAACACGTCATTCTTATTGTAAGTCTTCATGTCCTGGCTACATCCCTCGTTTGTCCTGAAGAAGATATTGCGGATCAGGTCTTCTACGACAAGCCCCGACGCATCAGATGAGAGATCATGTTTACTGACCGCAAACGCAGTCTCGATCCGGATGACACTATCATCACGACGCCGCATATGCCCAATCTGCCGTTGCGCACGCCGACCCATTCATTTGGCTACTGGACCGACCTCTTGTCCAACGGCACCAATTATGCCAACATGACTGGCACTATGGGTGTTCCTGACGAGACACAACCGTATCCACAGCAGGGTCACCCTCAGTATCCGCAACCCACTCATTATACGACATCGCGAGCTCCGGATCCTCCTATCCGACCAACAAATATGCAGCAGGCGGGAATAAACGCAGCTGCGCAGAAGAGGCGATGGAGCATGCGGACGACGAGCTCAGGTCGAACCGTAGTACCCGCGCGCGACTCGATGCGCGACTCCATGAGAGACTCGATGCGAGATTCTATGCAAAATTCGATGAGGGACTCTATGCAAAGTTCGATACGAGACTCGACGATGACGTCTGCAAATTCGAATACCGATTCACGACCAGGCTCCATCATGTCTAGCGTTTTTCACTTCGGCGGATCATAGACACGTCTCTGTCATAAACGATCACTTCATTATATGGGCACTTTTGATCTGACCATCTGATCACGACACCGCCCACACCGTTCCATTACCTTATTACCTAACATTCATACGAAGAGGGAAAAAATTACATCGCACGTTCTCTCCATCATCATCATCTCATAGCCTGTCATTACTTCGCCTGCTGGTCGGTCTGCTGAGTTTTTGAGCGTTTATTCGGGACGGATGATGCAACTACGTTTCGTATGCGAGAGAAAGATACCGAGATACCCCTGCCTGCCCCAGTCCTTTTGCGTCAGCTTTTGATTTTTGTTTCTTCTTCTCCCCCCCCCCCTTTATTCTTCCTCTTCACAGCTTTTTTCTCATTTCTATACCACTGTTATTTGGATCGCCCAGACGAGGTCAATTTTTCTTGCGTCATTTCTTATCAATCAACCTTTGGGGTGTTTTGTGAGCTTCGCTCAGTGGTCGTTGCCAACCCGCGCATTTTGTTTGTCATTTGTTTTTCCCCTTTCTATCTCTTGAACTTGAGAAATATCAAAGCCAGACCGGTTAACAAGCGAGTATTTCCTATGTGCTTTTGTCTTTTGGGTAAAGGAAAGTGTGGATAGATACCGAGGAACTGAGCTCTTAAGATGTCTGAAGGAGACAGGGTGGGCCGACTTTTTGCACGTTTCTTAAAAGACAATGATCAGCGTCTCTACTTTTAATGCGTCGGTGGTGGTACGGTGGATCTTCTTAGCGAAGTGTTCGATTGCGATCTTGCTTGGTCTTCTTGGATTTACGACTTTCTAATTTTACCAATAAACGCTACACCTGAGCATTTCCCTTGGCCTCCTGCTTCCTGTTGAGGCATGACAGCGGGCTTACCTGGCTGTGACAGGAGACCCAACCTTCTTGACGGTGGTGTTGTCTCTGGGCATAAACCTGCATTGAATAGATGGCGAGGCCGTGGCTATCCCAACTGAGATGGTCGCCGCATTTCAAAACTGTTAGCATATTAAACCCATTGACGGGCGCCATGTTTCTCATCTATTGAAGGTGAAAGAGTTTCAAAGCCGCATGTTCAAGCGACCTGTGTGACCCAGAGGGAGCCCAGCTTGTGACCCTTATTCAGATCCTGCATTCTCAGAAAGGGCATGCGACTCGTCATGCCACCTGGGTACGTCACCAAGGAAGAGAAGCGATGGACAGCTGTACGTCTGCAGGCGATCTGTCAAGACTTTTCACGTTGCCCGCCCGCAGTGTCTGTCAGACTTTTGCCCAAAACCCTGGAAACGAAAAGGCGACTGGGGGTGCAGTTGTGATCAGTCGTTTTATTGGCATATTGTGGCGAGCTGGATGAGTGGCACTGGCTTACAGGCGCGATCGGCGGGGATCTGGACCCTGAGATGGGGGCGGGCTGATCTATCAAGTCGAGGACGCTGAGGGATCGACACCTGGGTTGGGGAGGGCACCCTTCCTGTGCATACTGGGTTGCTGGTGTGAGAGGCGCGGTGTTGGGCGGTGCAGTCGAGGATGACTGTGTTCACAGAAAGGGGAAGAGAGGCGGTTATGGCGAAGGAGGAGGACAACGCCCCCCGCCCCCCAACCAACACGGGGGAGGGTGTAATTCATGAGGGCATGAAGAGGATGCCTTCAACAAAAACATGCTTCTAAGATCAGAGCGTCTTGTAAGACGGACCAGAGGATGTGTGGGAGAAACGGAGCTCAAAACGTGCCTCGTATTGTTCAGGGCACAGGATTTGGCGAGGTCAATCTGATAGTTCATCGACAGCGAGGGGCCCCCCTCATGCACGCCATCGTTGTTCCACGTGTGCACGCAACAAAATACTTTCTTTGAACAGGATGATAAGCATAGCATACATAGCGTCAGCAGGCTCTACAGAAAATGACTGCTCAAAAAGTTTCAGATGTAAGTAAGCTACCCTCGGCGGGGCTGCTTGTCTTCTTTAAGCTATTAGGGTAGTATTGCGTAAACGTGTACAGGAAACGGTGGACCGGGATGACCAGTTGTGCTACCCTGTATCTGTTCAAATGTATCTTTTTTAGTTGGGTTAGATTTATGGCATGGTTATTTGCTATAGAGAATTTTTCAGTAAGTCCCTAAAGGAGTTGATGAAGTTGATGCTGGAAGAGATGGTAATGATATGTCCAAGTCTCTTCCGACCCCACCCCCCGTTCTCTCTTCTGGCATGGTCTGTCCGGTGGATTAAGTCTCTCCACAGCAGCTCAATGTTCATTCTTTAACCCCCCATATCATTTTGCCCTCTTATGTGGACGATATATGATGAATGTCAGCTCACAAGAGTAAAAGATGCGATGGCAGGTATGGTAAGGAATTATTCCATGTGATCCCCCGCCCCCTTCATCAGTTTCAGGACAACCAGTTCCCCCGCAATAGCCCAATTGTGTGTAGGGTAGGTTGTATAGAAGGGCCTCTAAAGAGGGGCACTGGGGTGCCTGGGGTGTCTGGTACGGGTACCCCTGCAGCCGCTGTGGTAAGGTTGATACAGGGCCCACAGCAGCTCTGGGATGATGTAACCACTGGACGTGAGCTGGGGCAACGCGGGGCATACGGCGCCGGCCCTTCCTCCACTCCAACCGACTTACACGACTGGGACCACGGCTCTACTTTCGGCGCGAGTTTTGCCGTTGTCACGAGAGCATCGTCCGTCACCTCATTTCCTCACCCTTATCTCCTTCTCTTTCTCTCTTGTCTTGGCCCTTCTGCTTACTATTGTCTCCGCTTGCATATATATATATATACATATCCTGTTCGCTTCCTCTGCCAATTGGGAGGGATACCCGCCCGAGGCTGAACTTGTTCCCCCTCTCAGTTCTTGTTGTTTTTCATCTCACATTCTCGAGATTCAACGACCACCATTTCACCATGGCAGGCCCTGTCCCCTTTGCTCGGTCGCTGGACCAGATCTATACCGCCGATGCCCTTCCCTCGCAGGGCAAGCGCTGGGACAGCCTTTTGGCCCAGTTCCAGTCCACCTACAACCACCCGGCCGAATTTGTCGCCCGCTCGCCCGGCCGTGTCAATATCATTGGCGAGCACATCGACTACTCGCTCTACTCGGTACTTCCCATGGCCATCACCGCTGACGCGCTCCTCGCCGTGTCCACCAAGGTCGACCCTTCTCTTGTGAAGCCAGGGACCTACAAGATTCAGATTGCAAACGTGCAGGGCGCGAGGTTCCCGGCCCATGAGTTTGACATCCCCTTCGATGCTGTCGACATTGATGCCACCGTACACGAGTGGACCAACTACTTCAAGTCGGGCCTCCGGGGTGCGCTGGAGCTCCTGCGTAAGAAGCATGGAGCGGACTACCATCCTGTCTCGATGCAGATCCTCATGGACGGCACTGTGCCCGCTGGCGGCGGCCTGTCCTCGTCCGCCGCATTTACGAGCACCTCGGCGCTGGCGGTGATGGTTGCGAACGGCGAGAAGTCTGTGGACAAGACTGAGCTCACCGAGCTGGCCATCGTCTCGGAGCGCGCCGTGGGCGTCAACAGCGGCGGCATGGACCAGTCCGCCTCTGTCTTCTCGGAGCGCGGCTCGGCCCTCTTCGTCTCCTTCTCGCCCAGCCTGAGTGCGCGCACCGTCTCCTTCCCACACACAAACCCGGAACTGTGCTTCGTCATCGCCCAGAGTTTCGTCGCGGCCGACAAGTTCGTCACGGGACCGATCCACTACAACCTTCGCGTCGTCGAGTGCAGCCTCGCGGCCGCCTACCTGAACGCCGTGCTGAACCCCAAGGGCACAAAGCTCCCCACCGACGCCGCCCCGCTGGGCGTGTCCCTGCGCGGCTTCCACGACACTTATTTCGCCTCTCACCCTGAGGCCGCCGCCAAGGCCTCGTCCGCCGAGAGCCAGCTCTCCGAGCTCATCTCCCTCACCGAGTCGACGCTAGACCGCAAAGAAGGGTACACTCGCGAGGAGATTGCCTCGGCGCTCGGCACCACTGTGGACGAGCTCAACGTTGCTTTCACCTCCAAGTTTCCCGTGCGCGCCGACCGCTTTAAGCTGCGGCAGCGGGCTTTGCACGTCTTCCGCGAGGCCCTGCGTGTCCTTCGGTTCATGGCCCTGCTCGAGGACCCCGCCGCCGCCTCTGCTACGGGCGGGGGCGACACCACCGCCTACAACCAGCAGCTGGGCGCGCTGCTTAACGAGACGCAGGACAGCTGCCGCGAAGACTACGAGTGCTCGTGCCCAGAGATCGATGCCATCTGCAGGATCGCGCGCGAGGCAGGTAGCTACGGGTCCCGCCTCACGGGTGCGGGCTGGGGTGGATGCAGCGTGCACCTGGTGCCAGCGGACAAGGTGGCCGCCGTGCGGGCTGCGTGGGATCGCGAGTACTACGCTGGGAAGGACCTGACGGATGAGCAGAAGGAGGCGGCTGTCGTCGAGAGCCGGCCGGGAAGCGGGAGTGCCGTGTATTTGGTGAGTGAGGGGTACGTCGGAGGGAAGGGTGAGGGGGTGGTATGAAACGATGCAGAGAAATATAAAAAGAAAAAAAAGATGAATCTTTGTAGAGAGGTGAAAAAGAAAAAAAAATATAGAAAAGAGGAAGAAAATGATAGACGATGGTACCAAACAGTGGCGGCGTAAAATTTAACACATCTGAAGACGCTGGCGAAGACAAGACCAGCTCTTTTGTGCCACAAAAAAGGACGGGGCCAATATCAACAATCTCATTGCACAAGACCTCAGGCAGACATCAAGCCTAGCCATGGCGAAAAGACACAAGATCATCACTCTATGTGCAGTATCAAACCCCCCACAGCCATTGTATCCATCCGTGCATCCGTCCATCCATCCATTTCAGCCAGCCAGCCTATGCGTTTGCCCCACGCCCGAGGCCTTGCCATATGCTTGTAACACAGAAGGAAATTGATCCAGTCCTGGGACCCCCACCACGAACGCCAAAAGACACACAAGGGAAGGGGCTTCGACGGAGCCTGTCATGGCTACGAGGAGGCGGCTGCCGTCGTCGTTGTCGTTGTCCTCCTCACCTCGGCCGAGCTGCCCTGCCTCGACACCTGTCTTGGCTTCCGCCGCGGCACATTCCTCACCCTCCTGTGCTTGCGGACCTGGACGCGGCGGTGCTTGGTGTAGAGGTTCACCATGTCTCTGGCGACAATGTACAGGGCGCCACCGACAAGACTCCGTCCCCATTGTTCCTGGAGGAGGCCGGTCGCGGGGCGTGTGTACGTCCTTGTCACCCACGGAGAGGGTAAGGTATAATTGAGAACTACGCCGGCGCCCCAGCATACGAGTGGGAAGGTGAGAGCGCTGACGACGCCGTTGACGAGGTCGGTCAGTGTGGTTGAGGTCCCACGGGCTTCACGAATGGGCTCCTCAGGAGCTTGGTTGTCGTTGTTGTTGTTGTTGTTACGGTTGTTATTGTTGTCAGCGGCTGGGGCGCCATGGCCATCATTGTTGTTGTTTGCTGCCTGCTGATCGTTGCCTGCGCGAGGCTCGAGCCGGATGGGTGGTGGAGGATCAGCTGCATCATTTTCATCACCACCGTTGGCCTCCCTGACAGGCTGCTGATCTTGCTGCTCTGCTTCCGCGGCAGGTTCTTCTTGGATCACGACGAGGCCGTCCCCGTCGCCACCAGCGATCTCGTTCAGCTCCTCCTGCAGCTCCTGGATGGCGGCCTGCTCATCCTCGCCAGGCCCGATGTGGAGCTCGATCTCGGCCACAACCTCCTCGTCGTTGTTGTCGTCCCCAATCATATTGAGAACAGCATTTCCAACCCTGAGCGCCTGGGCAAAGTATCCCTCGTCTTCGGCCTCGGCGGCGGCAGCAGCAGCAGCAGCAGCACCACCACCATCACCACCATTGTCAGGTGCAACGTCAACCTGCTGGCGGCCGCCCTCGGCAGCGGGAAGCTCCTCATTCGGCAGGCTACGGCCACGGAGGGCCTGGTTCAGGCGTCGCTCGTAGGCACCAAAAAGGTCGTGGTAGATCCGGTTATATGAGAAGCTGACCCATGGCAGCACGGTCATGACCCAGGCGGGCGAAGGGGGCCACTGGGGCATATCGTCCCGGAGAACAAGAGAAACGCCATACTGTACGCATCCCCAGTCTTGTCAGTAAAACCAAGGACTCCTCACCCCTAGAAGAAAGGGACTCACAAATACCGATGCGGGCACGGTCATGAAATCGATGAGCTGAGGAGGCAGGGCCTTCTGGATCAAGAGGGCCGGAGCGATGAAGTGCAACAGCCAGAACCTGAAGCAGAAGTCCCAGCCAGCTCTCCACCGGTACCAAGGCACGCCGGGGTTCAATCTCCTATCGGCCAGCGCCTTGCCCAGGCCCAACCAGCCCATGGCGGGTCCAGGCCCGGCGAAGACGCAGATGCTCAACATGCCGTAATAGCTCGAACCGGCCATGGAGCAGCCGGTCAGGATGCCGAGGAGGATGGCGGGGGTCATGCGGCTGTACATCTTGTGTAGGTGGTCGCGGATGCCGATGAAGCGATCGCGGGGCTCGACGGTTTTGATTTTGCCCTTGCATGCGGGACAGCGCAGCGGCTTGGTGCTCTCGCGCTCGTGCTCGGCGATCCAACGCAGCATGCAGTCCTCGTGTGCCTCCAGGGTGCAGGGGCAGGCGTTCACCCAGACGGTGTTGGGCGTTTCGCCGGCATTCTGCAGGCAGATGAAGCAGCTCCTCAGGGAGGGATCGGTCTGGGTGCGCTGGAGCTGTGGAGAGGCTCTGACGGAGGGTGCGGCAGCCGCTTCGCCAGACGAGGTTGTCATCGTCGCGGCCGCTGGGGGCACCTCGATTGGTTCGGACGACATGATTTCTTGGACGAGAATTCGTGTGTAGCTGGTGTACTAGAAAGCTTGTCTGACCTCCGCCGTGGTGAACCTTGGACAACGAGATCTCAGCACCACGTGGGTGGCGCAGCGATTAGACGGAAAGTTTGGCGGATTTTCCGAAGGATCATTCGGTTGAGACGGACGGTAGATGGATCACGACAGTAATATCTGGCAGGGCTGTTACGTTGCCATCGCGAGAAAGGGTGCACGACTGTTGAAGGAATTGCCGGGTGGCGGGAGGAGAAGAGGAGGAGGGTGGTGAGGCAAGATGCCTAAGCTGTAGATTGGCTGCAGGGGGGAAAAGAGTTGAGTGGCCATCCGACAAGCAAGCTGAGGCAGGGTCGTGAAGTACGTGGTGGCCAATATTTAAAGGCCTCTAAGTCTGCTCGGCTGCTGAGCGCGGGTGTTTCGTGCCGTGCTTGCCCAGGGAAGTGACATCAGTTCGGCGAGCCTCTGCCGGGGGGGGGGGGCGGATCTGCACGTCTGCACGTAGCACTACAGGTGCTAATAGGGCCCTGTAAGCAGCACCTAGCAGTACTACCACGGGTACCTACTACGGCACCTCGGGGAGGTTCCCATGGGGCAATGGCCAGGGTGTCACAGGCCACTACTATTACTACAGAATAGTACGCATTGGTCTGTGCCAACCATGTCCCCCTCAGAGGCGCTTCTAGAATGAACCCTTCCTTATGCACAGCGGGATGGGTCCTGGTCTTCTCGGGCATCTAAAACTATCCTAGGACAACAGTTTTGTCCCGGCGGCCCTCCGTGTCCGGCTCTCTTGTCTCTCTCTCACCTTATATACACCCAGTTCTCGAGAAACCTTTACAATATTTACCAGTTTCTCTTACCCGTCCCGCCTTGACCATCTTTCCTCTTCAAACTACACGCAGCTTTCTTTAATCATCAGGCCTAACCAGAGATCCGTCCTCGCTCTGCCTGACATGGTATGTTTGCCCCACGATGTCCTCCCTCCTCCTCCTCTACTCTCTTTGAGCAAAAAGATCAGAACGCGCTTTCTAACCCTCCTATTTCCTCTCTTCCCTACAGGCCAACCCTTCCCAACAGCGCCTTGCGCTGGCCATCTGCGACTTCCTCACCACCTCGGTCACCGACGGCACCCTCCCCGCAGAGGACCAGGACTCTATCGATGTGGCCGTCAACTGCATCGCCGAGGCCTTCAATGTCGACCCTACTGACAAGGCTGCTGTGACTGATGCCATCGGAACCCAGAACCTCCAGAAGATCTACGGTGCGTTTGAGAAGCTGCAGGCCGCCACCAAGCCCGCCCCGGCCCCCGCAGCTGCTGCTGCTACCCCCTCCTCGTCCACCGGCGTCACCGAAGAGGCCAAGAAGGAGGCCGAGTCCCTCAAGTCCAAGGGCAACGCCGCTATGGCTCAGAAGGACTACAAGAAGGCCATCGACCTGTACAGCCAGGCTTTAGCCCTCAACCCCGGCAATGCCATCTACCTGTCCAACCGCGCCGCTGCCTACAGCGCTGACAAGGACCACGAGAGTGCACGCGCCGACGCAGAGGCTGCCGTCGCCGTCGAGCCCACCTACACTAAAGCCTGGAGCCGCCTGGGCCTCGCCCGCTTCGCACTGGGCGATGCCAAGGGCTCCATGGAAGCCTACAAGAAGGGCATCGAGTACGAGGGCAACGGTGGCAGCGACGCCATGAAGAAGGGCTTTGAGACCGCCAAGAGACGCGTCGCTGACCTCGAGGGTGAGGGCGCCGCTGATAGAGTCGCCTCCCGCGATGCTGGCTCCTCCCACTCCCCCGGCGCTGGTGGCATGCCTGACCTCAGCAGCCTGGCAAGCATGCTCGGCGGCGGCGGCGGTGGCGGCGGCGGCGGTGGTGGCATGCCCGACTTCGGCGCCATCATGAACAACCCCATGTTTGCCTCCATGGCCCAAAACCTGATGAGCAACCCGGACATGATGAAAAACCTCATGAGCAACCCCAGACTGCGAGAGATGGCCAACTCGTTCGGTAGCGGTGGCGGCATGCCAGACATGTCTGCCCTGATGTCAGACCCCAATATCGCAGATATGTAAGCAATCTGATAACAAAAAGTCCACACCTGTAGACTGAAAACTGACACTTTGGTTTCAGGGCAAGAAACTTGATGGGAGGCGGTGAGGGTGGTGCGGGTGGTGCGGGTGGTGCGCCTGGAGCTGGGCGGGGATCGGACTCTGAGCACAACTAATCCTCATAGATTATTACCTTGCCTTTCCTCGTTGCGTTTATGAATAGACAGGTGGCAAGAGGAGAAAAGAAAAACCATTCTTAGAGAGAGCCATTGGATGATACAATAACAGTGCTTCGCCTCTGGTCGTCTCTTCAAGACTCTTGTTTGCGTTCCATAGCTGTTATCCAGATATACCCAAAGAAATGCGCAGAGTTACGTTGTGACAAGAACACTCATCAAATCCCTAAGTACCACGTGAAGTGAACCAAAGGAATGCAAAGGATCAGACACTGCCCGAATGTATCATGTTTCGAGATGCACTACAGGTCATGAAAACATAAACCTTAACCATTGCTGAATGTTGTGTAATGGTGATTATTAAGAGTTTGATTGGCAGAATAGCCTTGACACAATCTTTCTTCACTTTGTGAATGAAGAGAGTCCCCAGTCCATATGTACTCTCAAGGTACGGTTAGGGACACCGTCATTTGTCACTATCGATTTTCCACATTTATATCATTCAGAATGATACTGCTCAGGCAGTGCAGCAGCTCAATACAATGAGTCTCAAGCTTGAAGAGACCCCATTCAATTCGGTCAGCACGTCTCGTAAACTCATGCTCATTTTATCTCGGTTCATGATGTAAGACAGACGCACAAGGCCATACCAAGATAAACCTACACACCCATGGACCATGGCACTTTGACATGAAATACACTGTCAATTGAATTGGTATAGACTCTGATGGGACTGGGCTCTTGCCCTTTGTATGACAACCGCTCTTGTTTTCTGTGTATGTTAGAGTTTCGCCTCTATCCTGTGTTCATGTGCGTGACAAACATGCATATCTCCCAACAGACCGATGTCAAGGTTTCCTTCAGCAGCTCCGAAAATTGATTGTCAAGTATGCACTGATTATAGGAAGCAAGTGACCTTGTACTGGTAACTCTGATCACCTACAATGGTTTTCTTAACTCCAACACGACCAATGTCCACCCTTTGTTATTATCTTCCAAGCACTCAAGTACTTGCTCTCCTCACAGAGCGCAAAGCCTTTTCCCCATGAAACACAGCTTCCTGTGACAGACAAACCTTTCCTGTCTATCCTGATCTATGTACAATATTCTCAGAGCGAACCCTTTCTCTCATCAACGGCGATAGCCACAGCTTCCTTCCAGATACGGATCATACGGAATCTGCGGCATCTGCGACCCGACGTCGTGGTGCTCATAGCCGGGCGTATGTGGCTGGACCACAATATCAGGCGCACCGGCGCGCAGACCCGGTATCTGGTGGTCCAGAGTAAATTCGGGCACCATCAGCGGCTGCGTGTCCGATATGTGCTGTTGTCCGCCTGGCAGCCCAACCTCGACCTCGGGCATGCCAAACGCCGCGCTCGCGCCCTTTCCGCCGGCTCCGCCCATATGTTGAAGCATGACCGCTTCTCGTTGGAGCTTGGCCCTCTTGGCCGCGGCGCGGTCCATGCCACACTTAACAAAGACAAGGGCAGCCATACATAGGGCGAGGCCGCCGAGGATGCACCCGATGACGATGCCGTACGTTGGCACCGTGCCCTTGGCGTAGCAGCTGAAGTTGCCGTTGGTGGTGCTGAAGGCGCACGAGAACCCGTCGATGCATGAGAACGTGGAGGTGGGCGCGGTCGTGCAGGGGGTGTACCACTTGCCATGGGATTCGTAGCTGCTGCAGAAGGACGTCGTGAAGCTGCGCAGCGTGCCGCAGGTCTCGGTGCTTTTGACGCCGTTTGAGGTGAGGACCAGGACCCAGGAGTTGGAGGAGCTCGGGGAGGCGACGCTGGTGATGGTAGATGTCGAGAGTGTAGATGAAGATTGAGCATCGTCTCGAGCGTTCTTGGTATCCTTTTCCGTCTCCTTGAGACGGCGGACATTTTGGTGTAGGTGCCGTAGCTCATGGTTCCTGCTGGCTTCTGGCTCTGCACCGACAGTATTGCCCTGACAGGCTTTGGCTGCCCAGGCTGCTTGGGTCTTGGCCTCGTCGTCACTGCATCCGGCCACTTTGAGCCATGACTGCAACTCCTCCACCTTAGTTCCGTACCATTCTACTGCAAATGAGACAGTACTTCGCTTTCCACACTTGATCTCGCCTGCGACCTGCTCGGAGAGATCTAGCAGACACCCCGTCTTGCTCATCTTGATCCGCTGGGCGTCCACGAGGGGACTCGCCAGGAGGAGGGCAAGTAATGGACTGGGTAACCTCATTCTCTTGGTGTCGGTATTATAATGTGCGTTTGGGGTACTTTGCAGGTTTGAAAAGAGGGAACAACAGTCGATAAGGCAAAGAAAGTCTAAAAAAAAAAAAAAAAAAAAAGCGTTGGAATTCGTCGAGAAATAATTTCTTTTTTGGGGGGGGGATAGGATGTGACAAAAGAATATATGTATACGTTTACATACAAAATGATAATATTCTGTATGTGCTGTAAGTCAACAAGAAGTCTGGACAGGAGACTTTATCATAAAGGGAGACTTCAGCTGTGAAATTCTCTCTTACTCCTATTGATCCTCCGAAGAGGGCTGGAGCCGACGATCCAGGTGTGTTCTTCGCCTCTGAAGTGTGCATAAGTTGTAACTAGGATTTCGATCCCAAGTGCTCATCCTTCCCGCAGCAAGAAGCCAACAATGCTTTCTGACGCATCTCCACATCCAACCAACAGACAACTCTCGCGTATTAAAACGGTTCAGGGACGAAGCCTGATTGGACATTGCTGGTCCCTGCTGCTGCGGTTGGCTCAGATACCTGCACAGCAATTTGCACGGCGCAGCGATAAGGACTAATTAATCTTTGCTGATGAGACGTGACGATTTGAATCCTTCAGCGCAAAACAGCTGATGGCATGTCTCTCTTGCAGGGAATGGCGCAAGTCTCTGCGTGCCAGGCAGAGGCTTAATCGGACAAAGCGGTTGTTACTGCGACGCTGAGCTGGAAATAAACATGACAGGACCCCTCTTTTTTTGACCCTGCAGTATTGGCTAGCCTGGACAGTGCTTACTCCCGGCTGAGGTCATGTCTTCCTGACAATGAATTAGTTCCTTACATGATATTGATCAATTATTACTTTAAGAGGAGTCTCTATCTCCTACTGCACAAGTAAATCCAGATGCTGGACTGTTCAAGCGAAACGCCACCGGAGCAGAATACCAGCATAATGACCTTCTGAGACACAAATGCATCAAGTAAGGCAGCCTCTTGACCCTTTCCACGCTGTTGTGAGTTTTCACGACTTGTGGTATTGGCTACGACTGCTGCGGCACGTTGTATCCTATTACATTTCCTTCAGGGAGGCCAGAGTCAATGCCACACGCTAGGGCTCTCGGCAAGAAGTCCGGAAAACCGCGTTGCCTTAGCCTGAGCGGCTGTTCAGAAGGATTTATTACATGGTCTAGGTAAAATAAGCCTGGAGTGGGCAATGCACAGTGATGAAGGCCGAGCCGCCGTGCAACCATGAGATCATTTCATCAGAGGCGCAGTCAGTCGTAATGATTCCTCAGCACCTCATAGATTGTAGTTTTTCTAGTCGCGAGTTCTCTAGCACCGAGGTACATGATTGCGGCACCTCATTGTGAAATTAGAAAAGACTTGAGTGTGAGTGATATTGCCTTTTCACATCGTCACTATGATCTTCTTTGCCGAAACTCCCTTCGTAAGAGTATCAATCCCCTTCTGGCAAGCGTCAAGGCCGTTCCCCACCACCTCGACAGGTGGCATAGGCTTGAACAAGCCAGCTTCAATGGCTGCGGGCAAGTAGCCGTGGAAGATAGTGGAGGCCAGCTCCTTATCCCCTCTCAGAGCCTCCGAACTATGGATGTATCACTGGTGTCAGCAACCATGCAATGCTTATTCCCTTCTTCTCCTTCTTCTTCCTCCTCTCATCAAGCCAAAGGCCCCGCCCAGGGGATCGATCTTCGACTTACAACTTGAGCTGAACGCCCTCGTAAGAGGGACCCCAGGATGGAACCATTGTCATGGCTACAAACTTCTTTCCGGGACAACTTTTGACGACCTCGGCGCAAATCTCGACGATTTCCGGCCCTTTCTCCGCTGCATGGCTGCCATTCGCAACGGCACCTGCGATGGTCTTGCCCTTGAAAGCCGCAATCAAATCTTCTTTGACGGTTGGGCTGTTGTAATCAAAAGCCTGGTTTGCGCCAAGCTTCTTTATGTAGTCAAAATTGTGCGAAGATGCCGTGGTGATCTATCAGACTGTTAGAGAGAGCCTTCATCACTCGCACGTGAATTCGAACAAGACAGGAGGTGGGGGGGGGGGGGGGGCAGTTGAGAAATCAGGAGTGTTCAATGTCATGGTTCCAGGGACGTACCACTTCGTATCCAGCAGCTACAGCGAGTTGTATCGCGCAGCTGCCCTATTTCTCTTGGTCAGCATCTGCATTCTCTTTTGAGGAGAGCATAGAAGAGTATCAAGCACATATACGGCTTTTTTTTCTTCCCACCGCTTCTCCATGCAAGACGGGCCTGGGACATACTATGCTTGTGGAGCCGCCCCAAATCAGAACAGTCTCCCCCCTCGGGTCGGCTTTCGGTGACGGGAGGCTCATTCCCAGCATGTCCTTGTGGAACAACATTTTTGTGCTCACAGAGACACCCATAGGGAGCGTGGCGGCCTCTTCCCAAGAGACCGAGTCTGGCACCAGCGCCGTCAGATGCTCAGAGAGCGGGACATGTTCCTGGCATCCACCGTCGGCAAGGCCAGCCACCCGGTCGCCGATCTTAAACCTGGTCACACCTGGTCCGACTGCCTCTACCTCGCCTGCGACGTCGAAGCCCAAGATGGTCGGGAGGGTCAGCCACTTGAACACATCAGGTCCCAATTTCTGCAGCCCAACGTCAACAGGGTTGAATGCAATTGCCTTGGTCTTGATCAACACCTCGTCCTCTTTCGGGACAGGAACTGGAGCTGGTTTGACCTCGAGTGGCTGCTTGGTCGCGACGAGGTATGCAGCGTTGTTGGCAGCCATATTCTTGTTGCAGTAAACAATGGTATAATCACTTGAGAATTTGGTCGAGATATCGAGGCCAGGGTTTGTGAACAAGCAGATTCGATGTACCTTCTCAAAATGAGTCTGATAGATTGTCTAAATATTTAAGAACACATACAGCATGTCCTCTGTCTTATATCAACTTTGAACACTGACCATAATGAACATCTCTGAGTCCGGATGTTGCACATATGTCCGTTTAGATGTCTTGCGGTTACGTCCGTAAATTCCGTTCAGCTGCATTCAGATCAGCCAAGGCATGTTGTCATTGATCATGGAATTAAGGGACCTAGCGGCGACTAGAATTACCATTCATGGTTAAAAGTTCGGGCTTAAGAACCTTGCTGGCTTGTAATCACTGATTTTCATCAAAATCATTAGCCAAAGAATGCTCACGTGGTTGAGGAGAGCTCCTGTTGTGACCATGGAATCTCGTTGCATTACTCTGGCCGGCTGTCTCAACCCAATTGGTGATGACGTTGAGTTCCGCTTGATCCGCCTGAGCTGAGAGGGATGACTTGTCCAGATGGAGACTTTGGTGAATGAATCCGAGGAGAGAAGCTCTCTTTGAGAGAAAACGACGTTCTCAATTAAATACCCTGCAGAGAAACATAACTGCATGTATATATATATATATTAGCGAATTTCATATAATTACCCGCTCATCTTAGAGGACGTACCAAGTGTAATGCTCATCGCTAGATCACGAGCAAAACCAATTTCTATGCTCCTGCAACTGCACTGCAGCAAGCATGGAGATACAGGGTAGGCTGTCATGAGATAATGAATTTAAATTGCATCATTTCTTGACTTTGCGCGTGAGATTACACACGGTCTCTTGGCAACATCAGACAACGAGTTTTCACTCGACCTTGCGCACCGTATAAAGCAATCCTTCTTCTCCAGTGTACTGGCCAAAGTCAGCAAAGACCAATGTCGTCTTCCAGCGCGTCCCGGTACGACGTCCAATCTCATCCCACATAGCCTGCCATGTCTGCTCATTGTGGAAATATCTCAGCTGGCCCCGCTCCCCAGGCTCGTCCGTCTCCATCGTCTGGCGACGGCCCCTCTGCCGGCCAAACACAAGAGCGTTCGCCTGGGGCTTGAAAAACCCAGCGATCTTCTCGCCAGCGCGGATCTGCTTCTCCCTCGAGAACAGGTGGAAGAAGCTGGCCGCGTGCACGATGTCAACGGTGCCATTAAAGTTGTCAAAGGACCTGTCGGCGGGGTCCGTCATATCACCTGTGAGGAATTTGGCGCGGAACCGGTCTCGATCTTTGAACAGCTCATATCCGAGGTCGATGAATGAAGGTTGGAGGTCGGCACCTCTGAGATTCTCGTCGGACGCCCCGTCGGCGACGAGCTGGCGCAGCACCGCCCCGAAGCAGCACCCGACGTCGAGCAGGACCTCGCCGGCCTTCACCCGCTCTACCACCTCCGGATACTGAGGCACATCGGGCATGTACAGGTCCAGGAAGTTCCACTTCCCGATACAGCCGTATGGGTGGACGCCAAAGGCCTTGTCTCTCTTTTGCATGAGTGAGAAACCGTCTGGTCAGCAACCGACTTCAAGTTTGTCGGGGAGGGGGGAAAAGTGCGGGAAAATAGAAATGGCCATTTACTATCACACGCAGATGACTCTCCACTTCATTCTCGGGAATGTTGCTGTAAGTCCGCAGTAATCTGACCAGCCTTTGGAACTTTTCGCCCTCGGGCAGTTCGTCGATATAGGCCGGGCGCTTCGTCACCGTTTCTGCACTCATTTCTAGAGAAATCTGACGATAGGTAGTGCGAATGTGATTACTCTCAACGTGTGCAAAGTTGGATTTTGATTTGAACGAGAGGGTTATGTGATGCTCAATAAATCAAGATCGTGACCATGCTTCTATCCAGATTTGCACCGATGCCGGGAAGACGCCATTCTGTTGATGCATCTGATAGGGTAGAGATCTTGCAGTGTGATCATGTCGTGATTTGCATGGCATCCGCAATGATTATCTTGCATTCTCTGCAGTGTGACGTATTCCTTTTTTTACTGGTCCTCATTGAGGCGCAGCAGGTGGCTTGCATATGATATGGATTCAAGGAAGTTTGTGGTCATAAGTATAGGTTCACTCTGCTCTCCAATTGCAGACACTACTTGGTTAGAATGATAAAGCGCAGGAAATAGCCTGCCATGATCTGACAAGTTAAAAAAAAAAAAAAAAGCACAAACAGAGGCTTGTGGATATTTTAGGCTATTGTCGTTAGCATTGTAGAATAGGAGACAAAGAGGCAGTGAGAACCCACCAACATTCATTTCCGAGCTAGTGGCGACATGATATATCCACCATGAGGTGCTTGTAATGTCTAGTAAAAATGGCAAGATCCTCAATGCCAAAGTCAGCGAGATTCGTGTGCAAAGAGGCCGAGCGCTGTTCTGGTTCGGTAGCTCGGGTCGCCCACCGACGTATTCCGAAGAGGGGGATCTTCTAGCGGTTCTAAGCAAGGAGGTGGGAGGGTTTGGCCCACCTGAGCCAGATAGTACTGACGCGTCGCAGTTTATCTGGGTCCACGGGCAGGAGAAAGACGCAAGTCCAAAAAGTCTCAGATCTCCAACAAAACCTGTCTGCAGCATGAAACCACTTTAGTCCATCCCCTGTCCTCTCTGGCATATTTTCAGACGGCATCAAAAGACCAATTTCTCAGAGGCCCGGTGCATCTGAAGTCCGGACCGGGCCGCATGAGCTCTCGGTTTCACTTTTCTCTCCAGGTTCGTTGACGTCTTCAGCGTTCAAAGCCCCTCTGAGCCGCCGCCGTTGGGGAGTCGTAGCATGTGTGGGTCCCCCTCAAAGATCGGATAAAACGGGATTGTGCTCATCGCTGACCTTCCCCATTTCGGCCGCCCCCGACTGTCTTGGACGCGTGTCGAGGAGGGTAGGTGACGTTTTGCAATTTCCATCATTCCACGGATGGTCAGTAGTTAAGTTTGGTCGTGCGACCCCCATCTGAAAGCTTGTGGTCTGTGTGTGAATATGTGCATGTGTGTGCGTGTGATTCTCTCTTTTAGAAAAAGAAAAATCGTCCGCCCGAATACTCCTCTGCCCTGCGTATATTTCGGAGTGATCCCTCCCACGTGCGGCGTCCAACCACATCAAGATTTTCTCTCCGGCTTGTCCTTCGACTAAAGGTCTCCTCCTTTCCCCCGCCCCCTGTGCGTACACAATGCAGTGGAGAAACTGGGCATACAGGCCAATCGCCAATACGAATGCTGCTGCCGACTCGGACCCCGAAGCCGGTGAAGAGAAGGTCGGCGAGCCTCTCTGGGCACGCCTCAGGAGACCAGCCTCGGAGAGTGCGATTCCTTGGATGGCGTCCATCGCCGCCGCCGTCTTCTTCTTCCTGTTCGTCTTCACGCCGCGCCCGTGGCTGGCGTCCGATCGCCCGAGCCGCATCCAATATTTCGGCTGCGGCAACTCAACGGCAGATGCTTCGGCGGCGGGATGCAGATTCGACGTCATGTCGTACACCTGGGTCCATCCCAAGTGTTTTGACCAAGAGCTCATGTACGACTTCCTCGGGCAGTACGACTGGAGCTGGTATTCGGATGAGGAGGGCACGCAACAGCTGTCATTGAACGATGTCGCGATGGGCCAGCATGACTATGTCTATGTGACGTGGAAGTACTACAACACGCACTGCACTTACAGTAAGCCATAATGATCCGATTTACCAGTACCTGTATTGGTATCCCAATTGGTGGCAGCTGGCTGACCGATTCTCTTCTCTTCTGCTTCCAGTGTGGAAGAAGATGCATCGTTCTCTTTTGACCTCCAGAGAGATTGACTCGTACATTTCCGATTATCGACACACCGAACAATGCGAGAGGGTATTACTGGACCGGGAGCGCGCCATGGAAAGCACAAGTGTCATGCTTGTGGCTAAGTATCCTTCCTGTCCTGTCGTCTCAAAGTGAGGCTCGAGCATGAAGTATTCATACGGCTGCTTTGGTGGGATGTGCGTTTTGGCGTTGGGGTCTCGGGGCATGGACATACACTTGAGGTCTTTTGGCGGAGTTATACAGGGAACTCTCTTTCTTGATACCAACATACCTACGTGTGACCCTTAGGGTCTTTTCTTCTGTGAATCAAACCAGATTCTCAAATCCTCGTCTTCTCTCAGTGATTGTCTCAATCGAAAATATTGTTGTCTTAACTCAAGCAACGCAGATGCTCGGTCTTGGACGCCGAAAAAACCTGTGGAGCGCAAGAGAGGCATGAAGGCTGCCCGTTTAGAATGAGCATCGATATTCGGATCTTTCCAATGCTCATGATTAGCAACGAATCTGAACCGCGGCATATAATGAGACAAGCTGAAATCTCAGCCGAGATGATTACTATGATTTCGCTTCCTGACATCCATAATTACCCATTTCCGTTGAGGTTGAAGAGCGAAGTAGTATATCATGTGACTAACATAGTCTCGGCTCTTCAAATCACCTAAGCCGCATTCTTGACTGTTTACATATGAACACTAATACTATATTACTATACATCCTGCGTCAGCCTCGCGTACGACCCGCTCCGAAATCCAGTGTCAGCTGCTTCAGCCTCATTTAGGATTGGCATTAGCTGATTGCCTGAACTTTACCGCTGCTATTCAAGGTTGAGACGGTACTTCGCCGGGACCAACGTTGATCCAATCATCCATTCAATTCCAGGTCTAAATCATGTCTACAGAGGTTTGCCTTTGCAAAGTGTAATCGCGTGTGAAGTTGATGACACGCCAAGTCGTGCTAAATTAAGGGGCTTGTAGCTCATGGGGGGTACAAAAAAGTTGACGGGTGGTACAAAAAGTTGGTGGGGGGTAGAAAACCTCGGGGGTGGTACAAACAGTTCACGGGGGGTACAGCACCAAATACAGTGAAGATCTATATTTTCATTTTTTAGTAAATAAAAAAGTTATATATACTTAGCATATGCTGAATATATGCTGGATATATATTAAGATATTTACTTAGATTTTTTTATAAATATATAAAAAATAAGTTTTATATTTATATATAAATTAAATAAATAAAAAACTAATTTTTATATAAAATTTAATCTAATATGTTATGACCCATCCAACATGCAGATCACAAAACAAGCCCAGCCAACAAGAAACCAAAGTGTCACGACCCAACGTCAGACAACCAGTAAGGATTACGTAAGCAAGGGTTAGGATCAGGATTACCAACCCAAAGTGAGCTGCTCACTAGATCGAGAGTGAGCTACTCGCTGAATCACGGTGAGCCAGACCAGGTGATCCAGATGAGCCACGATGAAGAGCTGGATATATAAGGACACGATCATTACCATTAGATAGACCACTAGATATAGCTCTTCAGTCGTCAATCTAAGTATTCATTTGTTATACACTTGAATAGCCCCAAAGGCGGTGAAGCACTTGCACGGATTGTTCAGTTGTATTTCCGTATTCAGGGATTGATACTTCGATATCGCTCTTGTTAGCTGCAGTGCATCATTACAGGTTCCTCTTTCGTTGTCCAGCCAATCTGTACCCCCTGCGAGCTTTTTGTATCACCCCCGAGGTTTTCTACCCCCCCCCCCCCCCCGAGCTTTTTGTACCCCCCACGAACTTTTTTGTACCCCCCATGAGCTAAAACCTCGTTGAAGCCGGAGACATTGTCTATATCAACCCGCCATCCCACTTCCTCTTTCTGCCACTTTTTCCCCCTTTCTCTTCACCGACGGAAATAACGGGATATAATATAATGTTACTGTAATAGTAGTGACAAGTCTTGGCGGTGATTGTGAATACTCATTGGCCTATTTGCAAAGTATGTTGGTTATAATGTTGTCGAAGAGGAGTGGCAAACAATGTCAACATTGAATTGGTCTTGTGGTCTAGTGGTTAGTAGAACCCCCATAATTATCACCATGTTCCATTCCATTCTAACAATCATCTCAGGTATGATTCTCGCTTAGGGACAACCCTATTCATCATTGCGAGAGGTCCCGCGTTCAATCCGCGGCAAGACCCTTATTCGTTGAATAATTACGAACTTCAACTCGTGGTCTCTTTTCTTGTGGGTTGTGGGGCTCGCTAAAGGGCAAGGCGAGTCGGTCGACGCGTACCACTGGGAAGAAAGCGACGATTTTTCATTTGTATAAAGTGGGTACGATTAGTTGTTACGTTTCCTCATTTGCTTTCCTTTCCCCGGGTGAGGAGGATGAATGTAAAACCAGCAGCCAGTACTTCTATGAGTGTCTGTACATGGGTGAGATTAGCCGTATTTGGCTCTCACGACATCTGAGCATCTTTCCTGCAATACGTTTAGGAGGCTGAGGATGTTTGGGTAGTTGTTGTGTTAGCTTGTTTTTTTACGGCACTGTCCGACTCCCTTTAGGGAGGATGTAGTGTGTTCAAATGGCATAGTCAACCCAGAATGACACATAAACGATGTCTTGCTTACAGGTAGGAAACATTCTGAACAGTAGACATTACGAGATGGCTCAAAGCTGTGCTTGCTCTGAAATTAGGGCTCCTGTATTACATCTTGAGAGCCGGCCTGGTCCAGGGCAGCAAAGGAACTTGATGCCCGGTCTTCTGAACGGAACCAATAAGTGACGACGCACATTTATATATGGGAACACTTATCTTTCGAGCTGCTCCAAAATAGCAAACCCATAATCACCACCATTCGGCATGCGCGTGATAGTGTGTATATGAAAGCGCGCGGGCTCCTCATTTGTCAAGAACACCCCAGCGTGATGGTCAAACTCGCACACGATGACAGGGCTCTGTATGCGATAGTAAAAGGCGTCACCGTCTCCAAACCCACCGATCCAACAAAAGTACGTGTCTCTGATGTGTCTCCTTACCTGCTGCAGCCGGTTGCGTCTCGCCGTAGCCGGCAGGTACAAGTGGAACTGGTCCACGATGTCCAACAGGAGGTCGACGGTGGCGGCGGCGTCGTTGTCCAGCAACCCAGCCAGACACACGCCCTCGTACGGCACGACACGGTTATCCTGGAAAGCACCGCACAGATGCCTCTGGTCTGCCAGATCCCATCGCGACTCGGGAATTTCAGGCGGGCCCATCGTCTTGAAGATCTGGGCCTTCTTCTGCATATCGAGAGGTAGACGGCGCATAAAGAGGAGGCCGAGGTCCTGTTCGGGCGACAGCAGTGTCGTGCCTTTCCAGGGCCCGTCGTCGATGCTGTTGGGCTCGGCACCCGTAAAGGTGGGCGAGATGATGACTTGCGACTTGTGCAAAAAGGCGCTTAGGCAGAGGTGGTGCCCGGAGAGCATCCAGCCCCAAGGGGTATCGGGAGAAGGCTGCTCGAACAAGACAAAGTTGTAAGAATACTGATTAAGCACCAGGGGCAGGTGGCAGATTTCTCCGAGGAAATGGTTGACGCGCATGGCTTTCAGAGCCTTGTCGTAGCCTGCAGGTGACAGGGTGGCCTCCATCAGCGAGAATACAGCATCTCTCAGGGGCTGTTCTATCTCATCGAGCCGCAGACCGTAGTGAAAGAAATAGATTTCGGGGTTGAACCAAGAGCGTCTCTCGGACGAGTCGAGCGGCCGCAGGAGTTTGTCCTGATCGTCTCGGCTGCACTGCTGAAGGAGGCGAGTCCCGGCCGTAACGGCTTGTTCGATGTCAAAGTCACCGTCCTCATCGCTATTGTAGAGGCTCGGGATGACCTCCCCTGTGACCTCGAACTGTCAAGAAGACGGTCTATCATCACGTGGCTCGAGGCAGATTCATGGAAACAGACCGTCAGTTGTCACGCCCCGAAATGGCTCCTGGGCTCGCTCTCTGAGAGTAAGAAACTTCTTGGCCAAAAAAGGATTGTTCCTAAGCCGCTTCTCCGTGTGCGTTACGGCCGTGTCTGAAGACTGCATGTTCCTGGCGGCAAGTTTGTGCAGGGAGAGCCACTGTCGAAAGTCGGGCTGTGGCTCGTGTGAGTCCATTCTTCAGGTCTGAGTACTGATAATAGAGACTGTGAAAGCAATAAAGGCATAAGGCTTGTGGCTGAAAATGGATAATGATTACTACAAATAGTGGTAGTGTGCACTAATGACTGTGAAGCAAATACAGTTAAGACCACGAGTGGATGAAGAGCCGGAATTTCCGGATTCAAGGCGCGGAGGGGAAAGCCACTGCGGCACACTTAAATAGTCGCAAGACTCCGAGCCCGGTGTTATGTCTGGATGCCGGTCTCCGTCTTTCGTCCTATAAGGAAACAATAAAGCTACTGCTTTAAGTAATTATTCATGCACGCCCAACGATGGATACTTGACAAACTGGTCAATGCTGCTGTCGGCTGAGAGAAAGAAGAGAGGATTGGAAAGTCATGGCGACCAGCTTGAAAGGACGAGATGCCACGATCGAGTGGTTTGGTAAGTGTTGGATCTGCTCTTCATTAATTCACACACAACTGTAATTCTTTACAGATACTTGTATTCTCATATCTAACAAGCAATATCAGGCGCAACGACCTTCCGTCTCAAGGTGAAAGGCCTGACCATCTTCCTTGATACGTGGCTGGAGCGGCCTTCGTCTATACCCACATACCTCAAGATCGATGACGTCCAGGAGTGTGATTATATCTTCATCAGTCATGCCCACTTTGACCAGTGAGTTTAACGATATAATTCAAGCGCAGTTCTTTTCCACTCTCACCTTCACACTCCACACACCTGTCCCACTCACTTAGTTATTTACTTGCTCACTCACACCAAAACCCTTCGCGCAGTCTCCCTGGCGCCGACCGTCTCGCCAAAAAGACAGGCGCTATCATCATTGCCAACGGCGAGGCCATCAACGTGATGCGCACAGCCGGCGTGACCGAGACCCAGCTCCAACCCGTCGCAGGAGGCGAGCGCATCCCGCTGTTCACCAAAGCCCAGCGAGACGAGGCCATCGCCAGACACAAAGCCGACGAAGCAGCAGGCAAACTTCCTCCTCCTGGACCCAAATTCCCGCCAACACCTCACCACGCCGAGGCAGTCATCGACGTCCACGTCTGGCCGGCGCTGCACTGCATGCTCCCTCCAGGCGACCACGCCGCGCTGCCCGAGGTCATGGACACGGGGGCCGTGTACACTGGAGACGGAGGTAATCCCTACGCATGCACCATCGACATCACGCGCAATATGACGTACGGCTTTGGCGGCTTGATGAAAATTCCCTCCCATACACTGCCTTCGCATCTGCCCGAGGACTTTAGAACTTTCCTGCCGTACATGAACGACCGCGAGAGGAACAAATATTCTTTTTACGATGGGGGCCAGCTGCTGTTCAACTTCCTGCTGGATAAGAACGAGGGGGGGAAGGGCGATGCAGCTGGGCCCACCACCACGCTGCTCTGGCACGGACATTTGGGCTGTTACGATGGCATCATGAAAACCATCGAGCCCAAGCCTGACGTGGCGATCCTGGCCATCGCAGGCAGGGCTAATCTGAACGGGCGCCCCTTTGACGGGTCAGCGGCCGAGTTTGCTGTGAAGCAGGTGCAGTGGCTTGGGGAGCCAAACAAGGTCATTTGGTGTCTGCATGATGAGGCGCCCATCATTCCCAAGAGGATCGACACGACGGCTGCTACAGAGCTGGTGCACAGGGAGACGACGTCTAGAGTTGTCGACCTGGAACATATCAAGGCCTATAAGGTTTTTGAGTGAATAGAAAGAAAAGACAGAGAATACATACTTTTCTCAGGGGAACGCTAAAGCATGAACGCAGAGGGGCTCGTCAAAGACAAAACAAATACAGCACAGCGTTTAGACTTTCCTTTATCCTTCCCAGGGCCAAGCCTAGACAACTCTGTTGTACGAGGTCCAACACGACAATTCAAATTAAGATCAACTGTGTCTTGAAAAGACTGAGAAGACCGCGTACGAACGAGGGGTTCTCAGCGCCTTCTTGCTTTTCCACTCGCCATGACCCAAAACCTATCGTGAGCATAGAGGAAGTCGTAGCGCAACCGCAATCCCCTTTCAGGACATGACAATCCAGGCCGCTGTCCCAAGGAAGAAAACTATAATACCCGCAGACCCAGTTCATTGAAAAGCACAGTCTTCCTTCAAGATGCCAAGGAAGCTGGAAAAAGGCAAAAGCGGCAAGTTAAACGTGACTTGGCAAGGAAGAGGGCGAAGAGGGGGGGGGGGGAGGCTGAGGTCAGAACGATGAAGGGAACGAGACAGAGAAGAGAGCTTGCTCCAGCCTTTGTGCCGAGTAATTAACTTTCAAAGGACTATCCTTCATCAGGCGGCAATGCCGTCACGTCACATCACATCACACATACACACACATTTAGCTGCAGATACATTAATTTGATGTTAAAGTATTTGTTTTTTTTCGTCGCTGACAGCTATTGCAAGAGGCCACCTCTCGAATTGGAAGCTCCTGTGCCTTCAAAAGACCCAGCATCAATGTATGGAGCAAAGGTTTGCGAGCTGGTACCACGCAACCCATTTCCCCTCTCCAGAAATCCTTCAAGCTCATTGTCTTCCACGAAGCTTTCGCATTTTTATGTCTCAAACCCGCGCGGACCGTCTGTTGTCGTAGAAAAACATTTGGCTCAACGTCGCCGCAGCTTCGCTCTCCCGCCGCAGCTGGAGGTCAGCACTATTATCGTCAGAGATAGGCACGACTGGCATGGGCGATGACAGGCCAGGCACGACCGGATAACCGATAAGAGGGCGGGCTTCCACCCGATGTGGCTGCTGGCTTGGCCCTGGCATAGGTCGGCCTAATGTCTGGTCGGATGCTGGCGGACTACCCGGTGGACCATTCTGCGGCGTTGCTGTGAAGTCGAGACACCGGCGTGGGGGCGAAAGCTGTCTCGACGAGACATCTCCGTACCCAAAGGCACGTTCGCGCCAGTGGTTCGGCGATAGTATCGGCGACATGTCGGGTGACATATTAGGTGGCGGTCCTGGTGATACGATCGGCTCAAGGTAGCTGGGAGGGGTGGCTGTGCTTGGACTATGAAAGTGACTCTGGCCCAGAGTCAGACGCAGGAACGAATCCCTGCCTTCAAGACGGGCATTAGCCTGTAGGAGAGGTGCTAATGTGATGGCTTCTTGTGGCGTCCGAGGCTGTGAGCCATCTGCCATCGTAGGTATCGACTGAGGAGGAAGGGAAGGTATCGGGGGCATGCCCTTCTGCGTCATGTGTAGATCTAACCCGCTGTGGGCCTCTTGCAGATTCTGCATTTGTGCAGGCTGTTCCGGCAGCGAAGAGAGAATCTTTGCCTTCTTCGTCTGCTGCGGTAAGGACTTAGTCTTGCCTTTTGCGTTGCCAGCGGAGGTATCGCATCGTGAAGCTCGGTCAGAGGGAGGTTTTGCCTCCCCAAAAATCGCCTTAGGCTTCCTAAATCTAGGGTTGGACTTGACCGCGTTTACGATCGAGTTGCCTTCGCCAGTAGTACCGGCTCCTGTGGAAGGGACAGAGTCTTCCATCAGGAGGACTGCGTGTGCTTGTGCGGGGGATACCTCGACAACCTCCTCCTTGACCGATGGCGAAGCGACAGCCTGTTCTGGCCGACCTTCGACAGACGGAAATTGAGCGTGAATGATCTTGAGCGGCGCCACAGCGACTGAATCGTCATGCTGGCATTGCTGCACTTTTGTATCAGCCTTGCTTTTGCCATTTTTGCGGGACGTTTTGGGTTGTTTTGCTGTGGATTTTGATGTGGCATCAGGACCAAGAAACGTAAGCCTGCTCTTCGTATTCTTAGTACGAGGACCACGTCTAGTCTTCACAGGCCCAGCTGGTGATGGTGCTGCGTTTTGCTTTGTTGAACGGCTTCCCGCCGGCGGGGCTGCTGTTGTCGAAACTGGCATGATCTTTGAAGAAGAAGGGGCAAGAGAAAGCGGCTGTACTTCACGGCCGCTCATCTTGGCCAAGTCTGCCATGATCTTCAACGTCCAGTAGACTGCATTTTGTTTGCAGTCTCGGACGGCGGCTGGTCGTTTTGGCGCAGGCTTGCCGTCCTCCGGCAGCTCTTCCTTCTTGAGCTTATCCGGCTTCATTGCCTTGCTCGTTGTCTTGCTCTTCTGTGGCGCCTCTAGCGTCGCAGTTGACTTCATCTCTGTGCTCTCAGCGTCCTCGATATTCTTTGGCCGCTTGCTGTCCTTCTTCTCTGCTTCGTCCTTAGCAGGGCGGCGCCTCTTCGTGCCTTTGGGCTCCTCCTCGACAGATCCCGGAGGAAGCCACATGATGGGCTTTTTCTCTTTTAAATCCTGAACCCAAGCATCGCAGTCCATCTCGATCCAAAAATCGAATACGTCGGCCCAAACGCTGTCGGCTGGTTTTGTATAGTTGACGAAAATAACCTTCCCGTCCTTTCTATTATGTACTGTCTTTGCGAATTCCCTGACAACAGTTTTGAGACCGTGGACTTTGAGGCTCGTCCCCATGACGATGAGCATGTCGGGTGCCAGAGAGATATCGTGTTGTATGATGGTCGAGATCCGATGCGACTCCGGATGCTCTTCACCGTAGAGGACAATGTCCGGCCGCAACTTTCCGACACCGAGCGCACGTTTGCCGCGCTCCTGTCTGGCAACGGTCGCGTCTTCGCATCGAGGGCAAGGCGGTTGTTGGCCCGACATTGTCTGCAGCTCCCGATCCCCCTCGTCCCAGTCGGCAACACATCCGCACTGAAAGCAGCGCAGGGCGCGGAGCGAACCGTGGAGGAAGACGCATTCTACGCCTTTGTTATGTTCTGGAGTTGAGGTACCAGAGTCCGCTTTTGCCGGAGGAGCCTTTTCAGGGAGACTCTTGAGTGAATTTGTGCCGACTGGCTGTGAACCAGCTGCCGTGCCATCTTTTTCACGCTCTTCACTACGCTGGGAGTTGCACTGGCGATCTGGTTCGTTTTTCAGTTCTGGTACTCTTTCGTCGCCGCCGTTCGACTTTTGGTGACCGCCGTCAACTTCTCCCAACGGGGCTGACGGAATCTTTTGACTTTCTGCGGTGCAGGGCTCTTGAGGGGAAGACACTCCATTCCCAGCATGTTGCGGCGGGTCTTGGGCAACGGCGGGACAAGAGACATCTGTAACGGCTGCAGGCTGATTGTTGCTGTTGTTTAAAGCATTCCGTGCGATAGTAGACCCGGCTAGAGCCTTTGCGACTCGGGTTGAAAATCGTCCTCGGCTGCCGGGACCAAGAAGAAGACGCGTCGAGAGACCGACCTTGTCTTCGAGAAGATCAATGTTCTGCGTGTAGCAGCGGACCATCTTTCCAGCTTTTGAGAGGTGATTGATGAAGTGATGACAGCCGGTTGGCGAGGCATCGCGAGATTTCTGGCGAAGGTTGGTGGCGAAGGTGTAAAATACGGAGGTCTTCAGAGGGTCTGACCAGATGGAGGAGTCGAAGAGCTCACGCCCTTTGAGGGTCGACAGAGAGCGCTTAAAGGTAGATGATCGATTGAGATGCTCTTGTGATGAGCATGGCTGGCTGTCGTCCTCCTTATCTTCTGCCTCGCCACCCTCGTCTTCATCGGACACCGGCGAACTAGGCCTGCTGCTAGGAGCCGGCTCAGTAGATTGCTCATCAAACACGTCAGATAGATGGGATGGGGGCGAGGACAGTGGGGAACTGGAGCTCGTTTGTGGTGTGGACTTTGATGTTGGATGTTTCGGGGTGGACAGATTTGAGGACAAAGCAGCCACACGGCCTGCTTGCCTTGCCTTGGGGCCAGCCTCCCGATCTGGAAGCTTTAATGTAGGTATCGTTGCTTTTCTTGTCTGCGCGCGTGCCTGCGTTTGCGCTGTTGTGCAGCTGTGGCTCGAAGACTGCCGAGATGACGCGCTCTGAAGAGTGGCTGGTTCACCAGGATGCGTCTCGTCCTCCTGCGCCTTGCCCTCCTGCGCCTTGCCCTCCTGCGGTTCCTTAGGGCGATTGGAGGGAGAATGTTCCACCTCAGTATGAACAATATTGCCCCCATCGTCGTCGGGATAGACGACATAGTCGCCAGCCACAATGGACTGCTCGGACAGCAGTACCACTTCTTCTTCGCTCGAGTTTTGTGGCGCATCACGAGCATCGCTCGTGCTAACCTGGGAATCCGCGTCTAAGTCGGACCGATTATTGTCATCGCCGTTGCTGTCGTCCAACCTCTGCGGTTCCTCGTTAGAGCCCGTTGTCTCCGTGTCGTCGTCATCACACCTGGTCGAGCAATTTAAATCTTCGCTCGAGACTGTCGGAATCACCTCGATGCTATCTTCTATTGGCGGTGATGTCTTCCTGCGTTTTCGAGGCCGCTCATCAAATCCGCTGTCGTCAGACTGGCTTCCAGATGTCTGCGGTTTGGCCGCGCCTAGTTTTTCTGCAGCATCGAACTGGCTCTGAATCATGGAATACAACCCGTTCTCCGATCGAAAGTCCTGCATGATATGTATGTTAGTAAGAGGCCGAGCCCTGGAAACTGTGAGAGGAGGGGGGGGATGGAGGGTACGCACAGGGATCCCAGAATTAGTACTGATTCCAGCTCCTGTGATAACCACCACCTTCTTCGCCTTCCATAACGCGTCGGCTATATTCTGGAGGTGGTCTGAAGACCCGGCCGGAACATGAAGGGTGGGCATCTTGGGCAGGAGGTCTGGCTGATCAAGACAAAACTCCTGACGCGAGATCGGTGGGACTGGCGGCCGGTGGCCTTCGACACCAACTTCACTCGAGGTCGTGCCACACCAGAAGCAGTTCTTGGCCGAGTGGCAAGCTCAACGCTGTATACCTAATTCCATCGAACCATTTGGGAAGCTGATGTTGTGTGTACGAGACAGGGCCATTCGCGTTGTAAAGAGTCCGTGAACGGAGGTGAGGCGCGCAGAAGAGCTGAGTAACGAGTGTCTATATATGGATCAAGAGGTTTGTCACGTCGAAAAGCATCTGACTTGGTCAGTTCTGTCGAGCTCGGGGGGGGGGGGGTATCGACCGGTGTCGTCGCTCTCGCGTCACGCAATCAAGTCGCGTAGTCGGAGAGCAGGACTGCCCAAATGCGGGTTTTCAGGGCAAAGAAGCCACGGGCAGGTGAATTGGAAAAACACTAGCAAGGCTTGAAGTGATCCTGAGGCCAGGCTTAGTCTGTAGTCTGGGGATTCTGAAGGGAACGGGTGATTGTTTCGCGAAGGCGTCTGTGTCTTGCGCCACAGGGTCCCAAGACAGAGGAGTTGGCGACGAGGACACCTTGTCGAGCACGGACCGTTGTCCTAGAGGCCCTCTTGGACTTTCTGTTTAGGACACCAAAATAGAGAGCCCCAGTTGGCAGGTGACGTCTCTCGAGGGAGTGTTGAAGGCGAGGCCGGTTCCGTGATGTTGTGGGTTTTCGGTCGTAGACGCGTTGCACCGGGACAGACAGGGGTGCGGGGGAGTTGATATTGAGGGTACCAAGGACTGATCATAACGCCCCCGGGGGCGCCTGTGTTGGTGAGATCTAGTGGGCCATCGCGTCGTAAGTGGTGGCGGGGTTTCGGTTCGACTGTTCATGGAGAGATTGGGATGTTGTCGCGAAGGCTGGTGGTAGTGATCCAGGCTATTGCACGCCTTCGAGCTGCCGTTCAACAGGCGGTAACTGATCCCCAAGAGGCGCGAGATACCACCCGAAAACAACCTCCGCACGGGCCAGGCCCAGTCCCGAGCTGGACCCTGGGCATGCGTGGAGGGGGGGTGGTATGATGGTTACCGCTGTTTGTGGTGTGGCACCGTCCCCACAGCACGCTAGCTGAGCCCCCTACCCCTCCACATGCCCACTGTTCTTGAAGATCCCCACCACCTGATCAGAGGCTTGAGAGACTTACACAGGCCTGAACAGACTTGGCTGGCGGGCTGGCAGGCTCACCATGGGCCTAGACGCGAAAGCCTAGGATGCCCTGGGAAACCAAGACAAGATCGGATCTAGCCGGTGTGACAGACAGAATAGATGGGCCTAATTTTTTTTAAAGGGAGGCTTTCTTACCATGTACATTCATATTCAAATATTTTGAATCTCGCAAGGGATTAACATGTGCAACTTGACTACATCAGTGAGAGACCACCAAGCATGGTTCTTGAGCTCGATCTCGATATCCGACCCTGGCCCTGCCAATCGTCTTACAGGAGAGTGAGGCACATGCCTGGAAAGGATTAGCCTTTCCTGCAGAAAGTAATACTTCCTGCATGCTTCTGGTGAGTCACCCTGAGAAAAGGTACTTCTCTTTTTTCTCTCTTCTATATGATGTAGGCATGCTTCATGTGGTTATGCTCAGATCACAGAGAGCTTTTCTATTCTTTACAGATATGAATTCCTCTTCATACTAAGCATGACCACCTCATCCTCGGGCCATTGGCTAAGCAAGGCATTGTTCTGGACCACAAAGCAGCAAGACGGTCCTGTAGCGATCGATCCGCTGCTCTATTATGTTTCACCATTGCAGCTATGGCTAGGAAAGCTGGTATCGGCCGTCAACAAGACGGGGATAATGGAGAATGAGTGGCTACCTGTCTTTTCCAAAGCCAGTGCGCACCTTCGGTTGGTCTTCGCCAAGATCCGGTCAGAACATGGGGCCAAGGCAGCTTTCATTTTCCAGTGGGAGACGGGTGGTATGCTCCTGTTGGGTGTGACTTTGGAGGTAAGCGATCTAGAGCCAGAGCATATACTGTGCAGGCCATGGTGTGGTTCTTGCTCATCAGCAAACACAGTTGATATACTCAGTGGCCTCAGTCAGCGCTCCACTGCTCTTGCGACTGTTGCTCCTGGATACCCACAGCGCGACGCTGGCTTGGCTGCTGGTGGGCGCCAACATCGTCGCTACTCTGGCAGGCAGGGCCAAGAATCAGGTGGTTCGAACCCAGAGCACATGGGTCGAGGTCATGCTGCGGACCGCCATATTTGAAAAGAGCTTGCGCCTGTCTCCGGCAGCCAGGAGAGTACACCCGCCAGCACAGATCATCAACATGAGTGCCGTGGATGTAGACTTTCTGTCTGCATACGTCTTGAAGATTCACGACATCTGGGTCGCGCCGCTACAGATCACAGCCATCGTTGTGTTGGCAGCCAGCATCATCGGTCCAGCCGCCCTCGTCGGCTTCCTCTTACTTCTGATCATGTTCTTCAGCCAGAGCATGGCTAGCCAGATCACCCGTGGGGCCGTGGTCAAGTATGTTCACCTCAATGACCAGCGTCTGGGCCCTCTGCGCGAGCTCCTCAACAACATCAAGAGCGTCAAGGCCGCTGCCTATGAGTTCCTGTTTCGAGATCGCGTGTCCAGAGTCAGGAATGAGCAGCTGAAGGCCCTCTGGGTCTACCTCTCTATGGCGTTCTGGCTATTTTCTGCAATTAATGTCAGCATTCCGAGTTTCACAGCCGCTGCTGCTTTTCTTTTCTACTATCTGACCGGACACGAACTGACCGCGGCTGTGGTCTTCCCGGCACTGGCGTACTTCAACCTCCTCGGCCAGCCGGTTTTCTTTGCCACCCTGGCCGTGACCAGACAGGCTGCCATTCTGCCATCGTTCAAGCGCGTCAGGACACTGATGGCTGCAGAGGAATCAGACCCTATCGCGCAATCCTCCCTGGTTAGCGATGCTGACGCGGCAGTCGAGTTCGAAAAGGCATCCTTCACCTACGCATCCTTTAGTGATGATCACAGTGACGGCCAGAAGCTCGAGGTTGGCGACCTTGTTCTCCCACGGAACAAGCTGACTGCGGTCATTGGGCCCACAGGCAGTGGCAAGTCGAGTCTCCTTCAGGCCATCCTCGGCGAGATGGCCCTCGATGGCTCGATCAGAATACATGGATCCCTAGCATATGTTGCTCAGGACCCGTGGATCATGTCTGGGACATTGAGGGACAACATTGTCTTCATGAGTAAGCTCGACCAGGCACGATATCAAGAAGTGGTCAGGCAGTGTTGCCTGGACGATGACTTTCGGTCGTTCCCTGGAGGCGATCAGTTCGTTGTGGGGGAGGCAGGGAACAACCTGAGCGGGGGCCAGCGGGCCAGAATTGCGCTGGCTAGAGCACTGTACTCGCAGCCGCAGATTTTGCTTCTGGATGATCCACTGTCTGCGGTGGACGGGAGGGTGAGACAGATGCTCTTCCGGACGATCAGATCCCTTGACATCACTGTGATCTTGGTGACGCTACATACATCTTTCGTCCCACAGGTTGATCATGTTGTCATGATCGAAAAAGGCCGGGTCGTAGCGTCTGGAAAGGACTTGCTGGCCAAGCCCGGCCTTCATGATGCAGTCATTCACGAGGAATGGCTTCATGATGCGGACAGCAACGACCAGGCGGACCACCCACCATGCCAGGATCACAAACCTAACGACGCAACCGATGTAGATGCCGATGACAGGGCAGCCGCAGCACTCGAGCTGATCGAGGAGGAAGAGCGAGCCCGGGGAGCCGTCAAATCGGATGTCCTAGCCTTCTACACATTAAACGCTGGCGGCGTCATCGAGGTCGTCAAGCTGGCTTGCATGGCAATCTTTCTAACCGTTTCTAAGGTGATGGGCAGTTACTGGTTTGTGTGGTGGATTGACGACCAGCTCGGCCTTAGACAAGGCCAATACCTGGGTGGATATCTAGGCCTAACCTTGGCAACATGTGTCTTCACATGTACGTCAATCTAATCTGCGCAGTCCCTCTGCTTTGACGCTGACCTTCACTACAGCTTTCCTCTCCATATTCCTCGTTCGCTGCACCATGAGAGCCAGCAGGGAAATCCACTCCAGCATCGTCGACAGTCTCCTCACCGCGCCCATCTCCTATTTTCAGCGTCAGCCGACCGGGCGGATCCTAAATCGGCTTTCGTCGGACATTGAAGCTCTAGACACCAAGATCATCAATGCTGTAGACGCTGTGATCGGAACCGCTACCACCCTCTTCGCTTCTCTCTGCTTGATCGCCCTCTCCTCGCCCATTGTTGTGGTAGCAATCATCCCTTACATCCTCATGACCACATTCTATCAGTCACGCTTCAGGATCGCCTCCAGAGAGGTTCAGCGCTCCTCGTCTATTCTTCAGTCGCCGGTCACCGCTATCGTGTCCGAGGCTCTCAATGCACCCGCATCCATCAAGGCCTACGGTGCCATCATGTTCATGGTGTCGAAGCATGGCGCCGCTCTCGATCACCTCATGTCCGCCAAGATTGTGCGCAAGTCACTTGACACGTGGATCACACTTCGGGCAGAGCTGGCCGCCAATATACTACTACTTGTAGTGGTCATGTTGACCGTCGCAGGATACATCACGGATGTTCTGGGCGGCTTGGCTCTGACATTTGCGACGGGGCTTGCAAATGATGTCTTCCTGATGACATGGGGGTTGACCGATCTTGAGGTCCAGATGAACTCGATCGAGAGGCTCCAGGAATACCACGACAATCTGCCCAAGGAGGGCCAGGTCCGAGGGCTCTTGGTGGAGTCCACACCAGTGCCTAAGGACTGGCCACGGGAAAGTGAGATTGACATCAAAAACATGTCGCTCTTTTACCCTTCTCGCCCTACACCGGCTGTGGACAACTTGACTCTTCACATCCAGAGTGGCGAGAGGCTGGGCGTTGTGGGTAGGACAGGCTCGGGTAAGTCGACGCTCGTCTCATCCATAGCCCGCCTGGTCGACCCTACGAGCGGAAGCATTGCCATCAACGGGGTAGAGACTGCATCCATCTCCACCCAGAGACTCCGTCTGGCTGTACACACACTCCCACAAGAGCCCTTGATCTTCGAGGGAAATGTACGCGAGAATCTGGACCCAAGAGGACAGCACACAGACGAGGAAATCTTGAATGTCCTCGACCAATGCGGCTTGAAGTCAACACTGGCCGAAAACTCCTCCACCGCCACCATCTTATCCAAAAACCTCACCACAGGCGGTACAGACCTCTCTGCGGGCCAGAGGCAGCTTTTATGTGCAGCTCGGGTCTTGCTGGAACGGCCGCCGATCTTACTTGTCGATGAGGCAGCCGCCAACATCGACTACGAGACGGACGAGGCACTGCAGAAAGCCCTGCATACGATGCTGCCCGAGTCAACGACGATGATGACCATTGCGCACAGAGCAGCCTCACTGGCATGGCTAGACCGGATCATAGTAATGGAGACAGGTAAGATCGTGGAGGAGGGCACACCGGCGGAGCTGCTGGAGAATGAAGGGAGCTACTACTATAAAGCGGTCAGGACTGAGGGTGAGCGAGCATTACAGGCAGCCCTGGTGGTTGCGAGGACGAGGCAGGACAGGGGATAGTGAGATTTGATGTCCTTGGGGGGGGGGGGCATTCTCTGCATGCCAAAGGACTGTGAATGTACTATTTAGTACGTAGTAAAGGATGCAAGATAAGTGAGGAGTCTAGACAACGCCTTACACATAGATTCGGGTATGGTCTCGGACGGCGAGGCTGAGATGGGATCTGCTGATAGAAAGTTCCACCGTCTGCCACAGCCAATTTGTGGGACGTAGATTTTGATTATGCATAACTCATTGAGTACTGCGTCAGTAAGGGCCCAGTGCACATCTTGGAAGGATTCTACAATATGTCCAATCTGTCTGTTCTGTTTCACAGCGTCATAGCTGGACATTTTTTAGGTACTATGGGATGTCGTGATCATACCCCTGTCTCCAGAAGCACGGCACATGGCCCAATCACAATCCCGCGCCCAGAACGAAAAGGGTGTATCATCCGCGATGTCGCCATTGCCCTAGCGATTAATCCCCAGCTTAGGTTCGGACCCAGCAGCTTGGAACAGAAGAGGGCGATACGGCACATGATATTAGAAGTAGATTCCGTCATGTCGTCTTCAATGAAAAATCTCATTCATCCCGTGGCTTGAGCCTCATAAGAACTCATATTTCTCACACCTCTGACCTCTCTGACCTCCCTCGGGAGACAACAGTGCAGACTTCGGTCCTGTCACGCCTGTACGCATAGGAAATTATCTCCGAGGCAAAGATGGCGGAGCCGGATACACAATATCAACATGAGAAAGCAGCAGACAACCAGGCCCCGAGCCCTACATCTGGGTCTGTGGACGAGGAAGTCTCGGGAGCTGTGAACGTCAACGAGCGCGCACTGCTTCGGAAGATTGATTTTCGGCTTCTTCCCGCCGTTGGCATCCTCTACCTGCTGTCTTTCCTCGACCGGAGCAATGTCGGCAATGCAAAGATAGAAGGGCTGGCGACTGATCTTGGCATGAGTGAGTGAAGAATCTGGATGGTTTCCCGTTGGGGGAGAGAGAGAGTGTGTGTGTATGTGTGAGATGTTGAGACCATGACTGACGACCGAGGCAGCGGGCAACCAGTACCTGACGGGTCTGACGCTCTATTTTATTGGTTATGTCTTGTTTGAGGTTTGTGATCCTGTCTGGGGATTTGTTATGTCCGTGACCCGAGCGTGGCTAATGATTATTGTCTAAGATTCCGTGCAACATCATCCTCAAGCGGACGTCGCCCAAACTATGGCTTCCTACTTTAACCGTTATCTGGGGTATTGTAGCCACGCTCATGGGCGTCGTCCATAATTTGTCGGGCTTCTTTGCTGCCAGATTCTTCTTGGGAGTTGGTCAGTCTTATCAAAATGCTCGCCGCAACCCCCCCCCCCCTTTCCCTTTTCCCCTCGGGGCAACTTTCCACTTCTGATCGTACTGACACTGGATACTTGCACAGCTGAATCTGGTCTCTTTCCGGGCGTGGTATATTACTTCTCGATGTGGTACAAAAGAAGGGAGCGCCAGTTCCGCATCTCACTCTTTTTCAGTGCCGCAGCACTCGCAGGATCCTTTGGCGGTATCCTGGCATACGTGAGTTGTCACCGTAATCACAACTATACTACATCACTCTATACATTATCTTCTAACGATGACGATGATCACAATACAGGGCATCAGCTTTATGCGGGGCATCGTCTGGCCAAATGGTTGGCACTGGATCTTCATTATCGTGAGTTCGCATCATCGCCTATCTTGCTGAAAATGCAGCAGTAGGAAATCCACTCACACTGGGGTTCAACTCTGCAGGAAGGTCTCGTAACGATCGTCATCGCGGCGACATCCTATTTCTTCATCTACAACTACCCCGACACCGCCGGCTTCCTTTCGGATAGCGAGCGTACAGCGATCCAGGCCCGGCTCGCCGCAGACAGCGACTGTACCCATGAGGAGCGATTCACCTGGGCCAATGTCATGCGGGCCGTCAAGGATCCAAAGTGCTGGCTCTATGGTTTTGCGTTCCACACCATGAGCTTGCCACTTTACACCCTCTCTCTTTTCCTGGTAAGTTTGATTCTATAAGAAAATGACCCCATTGTGCTTTATTAGAGGAATGAAGAAGGAAAGAAGCAGCGCTGTGACGGGAACCTTTTGCATACTCACACATCTCAAAAACATCCAGCCGAGCATCATCCAGTCCCTCGGCTACACCGCCGCCAAAGCCCAGCTGCTGACGATCCCGCCCTACGCATTCGCCTTCGTGACCACGTTATCAGTAGCGGCCCTCTCCGAGCGCCTGAACAAGCGTGCTCCGTTCCTGGCTGGCTCGGCCGCGTTCGGCGCCATAGGCTATATCATCCTCCTGGCCAACAAGAACCCGACGGCGCGACCAGGCATTTCGTACCTGGGCACCTTCTTCGCGGCAGGCGGAATCTACCCTGCCACGGCCCTGGCGCTGTCGTGGCCGGCGATCAACGTCAGCGGGCAGACGAAGCGTGCGGTGGCGAACGCCATGCAGATCTCCATCGGAAACTGCGGCGCGGTGCTGGGCACGCAGCTGTACCGGTCCAACGACGGGCCGCGGTACATTCTGGGCCACAGCTTCGCGCTGGGCTATCTTCTGGCGAACGTCCTGGTGTCAGGGCTGCTGTACTTCATTCTGAAGAGGGAGAATGAGAAGAGGGATGGGATCGCGGCTGAGGTGAAGGAGGTCGGGCACCTGAAGGATTGGGAGGGAGACGATGATCCCAGGTGGCGGTTCCAGTATTAAGCCGGACGAGACGGTATTGGACATGGCGTTTCGGCCATGAGGTTTGCTATACAGACTGGTAATTTGACGTGGTAATTGTAAGAGCGAATACGTTATGAGCTTTGTTGCCGACCCATGCAAGGCCAGGAGGTGTCCGCCCAACCTCTATATGTGTTGAAAATTGGAACCTACCCATGATGTTTCATACGTAGCATACCTTGCTATGCAAAAAAGTGAAAAGGTAAAAAGTAAGGCAGCCCTGGAAATTTGACTTTGTATACTTTGATTCTAGATTTAGGCTACTGCAGTCTTTGTGATATTTTTATTTATTTATTTTTATTCCGTGGAACCGCGCTTGGGCTTGGGCTGACAGATATCACTTGCCCTCATAACAATTCTGGAGACATAAAAGTATAGTATACTCGGGAAAAGAGGTTTTAAGGAAAGACAATCTGCAAGGCTGTTGGGGAAATGCATGAATGCTTCTGCTGATGGAGAAAAAGTCCCGTGTCAGACCTCAGCTGCGGGTTCGAGCCGCGCGCGGTGTCACATGTTTTGGGGCCTCTAAATCGGGGCTGGCGTGTACAAAGGAGGCATTAGCTTGCCCGTGTGTTTGTTGGTGTGTCCGCTTTCAGAGATGACGGTGTGGCTGTGTGTGCGTGGCTGGGTAGACTGCCTTGCATCGAGAGATCGAGATGTTGTCTCTGCATGAACCGGGGAAAAAGAAGGGGGAAACAATCAGATTACTGCATAGGGAGAAACATCATCATTCATTAAATTTATCAATCAATTCAAACTCATAAATTTTCCGAGACCTCGAGTCTTGGGGATGATGTGGGAGAGATGTGAGCGTGGAAACTGAAAAGAGAGAATAAACAGAAGGGAAGAAAAATAGAGGGGCTGGGGGAGAAGAGTTGCTTCCTAGCATACTACCACAGTACTATGGTTTACTTCCAACTCAAGCCAGTTCTAACATGGATGTGGCCTGCGATGGCCAGTGATCCTCGAGTGGTACAGGCTGTTTAGCGGACGGCCCGAGCCCTGCCCCCTCCCACCCCTCAGTGGCTCTCCCCTCCCCCCAGCGCCCCCCTAATCTCTCAGTAACCTTCCCCTCAGTACCCTCGATTTGTAGCATTTAGGCCACGCCAGACGCGGGAGAGAGAGAGAGAGGCCACCCCAGCAACCCTAGCCACAGCTTGGGGCCAGGATCAGGGCCAGGGCCGAACCCGGGGGCGACCCAGCAGGGACAAGACAGCAGCCGTTCCCATGACAGGTTTGCTGGTGCTAGGTACCCTAGCAGCCTAGTAGCAAGCAGGTCGGTTGAGTGTGTGCTTGTGTTGTAGAGGGAGGAGCACAGTCGCGCTAGACCGCGTACTCCGGTGGTCTCTCGTCTATCCAAACCTTTTTGCGTCCATTGACGCTGGCTCACTTCACTTGCTCACTCCAAAGGCGCGCACCACACGCAAGCCTTGAGCCTGACGATTCAATTTCCCTTCTCTCCTGACGATCGCCCTCCATTTACCGACCAGCACCCCCTGTTACCTTGCAGCACAGCTCCTGTGCTTCCGGACGAACATCGCATTGCTGTCAGCCCCCCCCCCCCCACGATACTTACCAGACTGCGCGCAATTAGTGACTGCGCGCAATTCGACTTGGGCACCCGGGCTTCCAAGAGCGCGTCGCCATCTTGCTGCCACCGACCGACCGTCGCCTCTCTCTCTCCTTGCCCCTCTTCCTCCTTCTGCCTCATCTTAGGTTGCCTGAACATCTGCCTGCCTCGCAAATCACATGCGCTGCAGTCCAACTCCAAACCCCACGACGCGATCATTCCTGGTGGCGCTCTGAAGAGGGGGGGTTCACCATTCTTTCCGGATCCGATCATGTCGTTCCGGCCCGTCAACGCCGCGCCGAAACAGGCTGGCGTCGGTGTCAGCGACAGCAATGCTTTGCTCTCGACCGCCCACCGTGTCGCGCCTCACGACTCGTCGTCGTCGTCCTCGTCGTCGTCGCAAGGGCACATCATGGCCAGCAGTGCCGCCGGCTCGTACCCGTTGCAGAAGCAGAACTCCAACACCGACTCCCAGGCAACCGCCCTCTCGTCTTCCAACTCCACGGCCGAGTCCCACCGCGTCTTTACGCCACCCATAATCGAGAGGAGCGCGAGCAACGGTGCGGCAAGTAGCGGCCACGAGTCCAGCCAGGAGTCCCAGCTGCGACAGCTGTCGCAGCTGGCTGCTGTCCAGGAGAAGATGCCCGACGTGGGTGCCGTCGCCCCTCGCCCCTCGGTCAAGAGGATGGCCGACGGCGCGGTCAAGGAGAACAACAGGACATCCCCGAGCGCCTCTCCTCCTCGGCCAGGTCCTGGCTGGCACTCGAGGAACGTGAGCGGTGTCAGCATTGCCTCTTCCGCCAGCAGCCGTGTTAACGAGGTGTGTACTTTTCTCCGACAGCAAGACTGTCAAGAAGATCTACGATGGTGGTGGGTCCTTCCATGCTGACGCGTTCTATTCCGCAGCTGTCCTCCGAACTAAAGGCCCGCCTGTCCTATGCCATGCTCAAGGTTCACAACGGCTGGCAGTCACGCACCATTGACGAGGTCGAGAACCTGGCCTCTGCCGCCGCTTCTCCTGCTTCCTCCAGCAACTCTACCCTGCCAGGGCCTGCTGGATCTTCTATCAGCCCGCAGATGCAGACTCTATCACATCCGCTGCCGAGCAGCTCGGGCGCACCTCCTCAGACCCACCAGCCACAGAGCAAAGACGACTCTGGGGCACGCTCTTCAGCGAGTCCTGACATGCAACCTGTCTCCTCCTCTGCTCGGCTGCAGGATGTTCCGTCGCTAGCCCCTCCAGTCTCCATTCAGCCTCATCGCAACGAAACTAACCACCGAAGAAACTCCAACCCGAAGCACACCCCCAGTCTTCTCTCCCCTCGATCTCACCACAGCAGCCCGCACACACCAGCTTTACCATCTCTCAGTATCTCCCGGGATCCTGGCGCCGCGCGCGCCGCAGCAGCAGCAGATCCCGTGATCATCTCTCCCACCCACAACAACCGCGAGAAGGATGCGATGGAAGCCCTACTTTTTATGAGCAGTCCGGGGAACTCTGCAAATATGAAGAACTACTATCCAGCCTCTCAGTCGGCGGTCAGTCATCTTCGCAATGGCGCCTTGGCTGTACCCAGCCCGCAGAGGACGGCGCTGCCGACATCTGCACCGAAGCGCAAGAGCTTGCCGAACGGCCGCCCGATGCACAGCTCACAGCCCCTTCCGGCAGCCCACACTTCGCCCAAGAAACGCGTCGGTTTCGGGAGATCGCCGTCTACCTTTAGCGAGATGGACATAGACGATCCAGCAACAAGTCCGCGCCGGCATGCCACACACGCGCGACCCCTCGCACACAGCCCCCAGAAGACGACCAATGGCACGGCGGCGCAGGCACGACATTCGATGCCACCCACGATGGAAGTGAGCAAGCCTTCGCCGCAGCCCAAACCGAGGTTCTCTTACGAGGACCTTGATAAGGTTTTGGACCAGGTGGCGGCCGAGGATCCTTCCTCAGAGTCCGAGAGTGAGATTGAGCTGCCTGCCCGCCGAGCAGGAGCCGGCATGAGATCGTGATGTGGCCCACGAGGCTTCTCAGTGTGGCCCATTACGTAGGAGGCCAGCAGCAGCAGCAGCGGTTTTCCTGGTCGTAAATGGTGGTCTCATGTGCTTGTACGGTCAGGCATTTCGGTCCTGTTCATACCTTGATCCACCTCGGCTCGAATCTATCTGCACTGGTCGAACCTATTGAATTGATTTCACCGCTGAACCTCTCCGCATCATTGGTCGGGCCCTACCGACATTTGTATTCATATATAGCATAATCAGTTCTTGAGAGTTTCAGCATACGCGGAGTTACGGGAGCATGCTGTCCACTAGAGGCAGCGACGAGCGAATCCAGCTCGCTGCGGCTCGAGAATGCCGCTCATCATCATCATCATCATCATCATTGTCATTATCATTATCATTACATTTCATCCTCAAGCGCGCGCACGTACACGCGTGCTTCTTCATGATACGGTACTGGGTACTCAGGTACTCAAGTACTCAGGTGTTCGATACAACAATTGAAATCAACTTTTTGGAAGTCATCATTGTTCTCTAAAGTGTACACCGGAGGCCTCACCGTGCTGTTCGAGGTGAGAAAGCCAGGTGTTATCATTGATTACCATTTTTGATTTGACCATCTGACTTGTAGCGAATCGACGACTTGGCACAGACAGTGCCTTGCATGATGAGCTGTGAACAGTTCATGTCACTCATTGCAAGAATATCAGACGAGAGTATATACACAACCAATTACTTGGTATATTCTCGCAACTTTCTCTCGCGCTACAGACGGATACACACCTACACCACTTCTTCACTCCACCTCATAGACCTCGAAGCCCACCAGATCAGGAGCCCAAGTGGCCTCGGTCCCATACGACGTGAAGATGACCTCGTTTCCAGTCCCGGCAACAAACCCTTCCACATAGACATACAGCCGTCCAGCATCGTACCAGTCGCCTCCGCTGATGGGGAACGCAAAGCGCGTGCCGTCCCCGGCGGCCTGGTTCACGGCGATGGTCATGTTGCGCGTGTTGTCGCCCCAGTCCCAGGCCGTCTCCAGCGCCACGTCGTAGTTGCAGTAATCAATGCCCAGCAGCTTGGTGCCAGACGTGACGGCCTCGACGCCCGAGAAGGTGACCGACGCGGCAGACTCGCCCTCGCCAATGTCGCCGACCTTGTTGCCCGCCGGCAGACACGTGCCCGCCGGACAGTCGACAACCACGGCCTCCCCCGCCAGCGTGGCGTCCTCGGCGGCCGTGTAGTACCCCACGGCCGTCTGCACGCCCGACGTGGCGTTGACAATGTTGGAGAGCACGAGCAGGCGCAGCTCGTGGCCGGCGAGCGTGGTGGTGTACGAGGAGGACGCGCTCAGCGTGCCCAGGCTCTCGCCGGCCCACACGTCCTCGGCCGCGGCGGACGCGATGCCTAGGTCGGCAGGGAGGCTGAGCGTGACGGTCTGGCTGCCGTTGTACCAGTTGGCCAGGGCGACGACCTGGCGCCCGCCCGAGAGCGCGCCCTGCCAGATGTCGTACTGGGCGGTGGTGTAGCGGCGCACGAGCTGGGCCTGCCGGCCGAGGCTGTCCTGGTTGAGGGCGATGACGGCCGTGTTGGACAGGACCTCGAGCGAGGACGCGGGCGTGAGCGAGTCGGCGAGGGCGGACCCGATGATCAGCGGGGACTTGTTGATGGCCCACATGCCGAAGTGGAACTTCTCCTCCTCGTTGGACAGGGCGTTGAGGCCTACGACGAGCATGTCCATGTCGGCGTAGGCCCCTACGCCGGTGTGCTTGTAGTAGGGCACCACCTGGTTGGTGATGCGCCAGATGCTGCGCCAGGCGTCGTAGATGTCGTTGGAGATGCGCCACGAGTTGGCAATCTCAGGGGCCCTTTTGTGTGTGGTTTTGTGTGTTAGGAAATAGATTCTCTTCTGCCTTTTTAAACAAGACATAGCAAGAAGGACGAGAGGGGACAGGGTATTTATTACCAAACTCCAATGTCTTCTCCCACACCCCATTGGCATACCTGGTACACAGTGTCTCGTGAAGTCGTGGCGAGTGCGCTGGCCATGACGTCGAAACGAGTGGGAGAACCAGAGACAGTGCCTGTGTAGTCTGCCTCTGTGGTGGTCGAGTTTGCGTAGCAGTTGTCATATCTTCATAAATCAATGGTAAACATTAGCTGGAGGGCAAATGTGTTAGTGGAGGTCTGAGTGGTATTACACACTTTAACGAATCCGCGCCCCATGCTGCAAAGGAGTCTGCGTCGAGTGTCTCGTGTCCTATAAAAGAAGAATAAAAAAATTCAGCATGGGTAATTTTTCACAAGGTTTATTCTTTCCTTTTTCTTCTCTTTTGAGTATAATTACTTGTACAAGTAAACAGAAAGTACAGAGGTGAGCACAACTCAAAACAACTCACCCAATGAAGCAGGCTGGTCCGTCGAGCCACACTGATAATACCCAGCCCCAGAGTACACACCAAAGTGCAGACTCAGGTTGTGAATATACTCGCCCAGTGCTGCCCCGCCCGAAGGGAACGTGTCAGGGTTCCATACCAGCTCGCCAGTCGAAGGGTCACGATAGTCGGCCGTCCAGCCGCAGTCGGTCGTGACATAGGTGTAGCCGAGGGCGTCCAGGCCCAGGCTGACCAGGGCTGCCGCGTTATCCTGGATGATCTCTTGGGTGGGGGAGCAGCTGTAGTAGTTGTAGCTGTCCCATCCCATCACCGGAGTGGTGGTTCGGACGGTGGTTGCCGACACCAGCACAGTCGTGCCCGTGAGGCACAGGGCCAAGGGAGTCCACATATTTTCCCCAAATTGACAATTAGTTACTGGATGAAATAATTACAACCTGCAACTCTTTTTTGGCGGGTGCTGGACTGGTGGACGCCGGGACAGGTGCAGAGAGAGAGCCACCTCACCTCAACGGTGTGTTCCTGTGAAAGATGAATTGGCTTGCCCAACTTATTTCTACTTTTCCCTTGGAGGGACCATTCACCCACTTCCAATTCCAATACAGAAAAGGTCCCATGACGTCTCATTCACATTTCCATTTCGAGACTAATTATATCCGTCCATGGTTGTATTCCACTGAGTGACCTTGTAAAAGTCAACCCCGCATCCCCCCAAAAGTCAATTTGCCGCCCTCCACCGAAGAAGCGCACCTGTTAGAGAGACTGTTTTTCTTCTCGCTCGTGGGTCCGCTAACTTCCTACCAAAGAGAGCGGAAGTCACATTTGGAGTTGGTTGTGGCACTGACAAATTGGGGAAAGCCAGGACCCAAGTAACTCAAAAATCAAATACATACTTGGGTACGCGTCGTGCGTGTTCCGGAGATGATTACCCAAACATAATCTTAAGCCGCTCCACCCCCTTCCTCTTCGAGGCAATAGACAGCCATAATGAAGGGCTGTCAGCATAAATATGACTTGCTAGTCTATAGCAGACACGTCTGTTGTCAACCCGCAGCTCCTCTTGGGAAGCCTCAGTATATACTCGAGATGAGGCACGTCGCTGTGATATTTTTCCAGATAGATGCAAATTGCTTGACACTCCAGCACTGCTCTCTTCCTGTATGAACACAAATCGTCGGCAGTCAGCAAAATGTTCTTCCAAGGGTTGTGCCAAAAGAGGTCTCTGTACAAACCAACACTTCAAGGTAGCGGGACTTCTGAGCATTCAGGAGAGAGAAGAAGAAGGATGCAAACGTACCACATCCACCAAAACTGTGTCGAAATGGCTTTCGAGTACCAGTAGGCAACCAAGATCAGCACCCCAGGGTCCTTTTGCTTCCACAAGTCTCGAAACTCTGGAGAAGTGTAGTACGTGAATGTTGCGAATTTCATAATGTTTTGCTGGTTGTAGTCCTGCGGCAGGAGCTGTGACAGAATGTTGGTAGAGCGAAAGTACGGGCTCTCAACCCATGTGGAAGGATCCGTCAGGTTGAGGAACTCGAGAATCTCGGGCAATATGTTCGGAAACCCGCCGTCCTTGAGCTCGTCAGGGGTAAAATCCTCGTCCCCGCCCCACGGGTTGACCTGGAGATGCATCTCCTGGAAGCAGCAGTCCGGCCTCATGGGATCGCAGAATTCCCACAGGTCTTGTTTCCCCAGGGACAGAACCAGCCAGTCGGGCTCGCCTGGCCCGGGAGACTTGAGCGGCCACGCCTCTTGCGGCTTGGTCGCGTCGATGTGGCAGATGTAGATGATGCCGATCAGGGTCGACGCGATCCAGCATGCGTCGCGCTCCGACGGCGTTGCGTCTGGGTCGCATAGTTTCTGGTTGAACATGGCTGTGCCCGTGTAGTAGTGATACAGTTCTCTCGGCGTGAAATTTGTGTCGGATGTCTGCGAGACACGGTCGTGCATCAATGTAAAAGTGAGAACAAGGTGCATGAGAAAAGGGTGCTGGGCCGTAATAGTTAGTTTATAAGCCTTCAACCAGAAGGTCTGACCCACACAAAGGTGAGTGAAAACGACTCACAAGACAAGCCAGCCTAGGTGTTTCCGCCTGCAAGATCCATTTGGATTTCTCCGTCCCAAGAGAAAGGATCGACCTCTGGTGAAATCTGTTAAGGGCGTCGAGGTCGGATTGTCGAAGATTATAAACCTGACTCGGGCCACCCAACATGGCAGCACTGGGCGACTCTTGCAGGGACTGGTTGACCATGCTCAGAATAGTCTGATCCATCGAGACAGGAGACCTCGGGGGCGAGTCCATGAGGGAGGCCCCGTCGAAGCAGAGGACAAGCTCGCCCGCGACACTGGTCGATCTAGGGCCATAGTTGCAGGCCACACCGAAGGCCACGCAGGTTTTACATTGTGGTTTCGCCTCATCGCACTGAGCGACAGAGAATAGTAAAAGAGACGGTAGGTCAGCCAAGCTGTATCTGCAGTTTCTTTCCTTTCTCTGCTTGGAAAGAAGTCACTCTCACCTTGACGCGCCGCAGTTTACAATTGCCACATCCTGATCTCGACTTGCTGTGGGCTTTCCTCTTCCGGCGGACAGCTTTGGCCGGATCTTTCGATAGAACCATACATTTCGAGCCCATACTATCCGAATCTGGGTAAAAGAGCAAAGGTGTGGGTGGGTAGGTGCTATGATCAGACTGTTTTGGTTACTGTTGAATTTCCTCGGATGGCTTTGATAAGGTCCCACCAGTGAGAAAGAGAGCAGCAGCCCATAAGCTCATGTAGATACGGCAATCCTAGATTTCCTGAGATGTCAAAAGAAGCCGCTGCTATTCTTGTAGATTATTTGAAGGATCATAGGACTAGGCTGGTAGAACCATGCTCAAGGCAGCTATGCGGAAAGAAGAAGAAGATGGAAATTGGACGACGTTCGAGATGGCAGTGGGAGCGCCCTTTGTTGTCAGATGTCTCGGACGTGAGCCCATAAACTCCGATTGGATTGAGGCCGGTGAGAGCACCGCTTCTGCTGCTGTGTACAGTAATTGGGTTGACGCTAAGCATCGAGTCTAACCTCGTTTCGTATTCCTACAAACTGTCGTACCCAACTGTGTCAGAATTATTAATTAATTGAGCTTTATGGAACCAAACTTCACTTTCACCTAATGAGTTTCATCGTCATTGAGATCAGCCGCAGATTTGTGACTTTTCAAGCATTCGAATCCAACTTGAATCTTTGACGCGAGCGATGAAGGTTCAGAAAGCACGGTTAACAGAAGCAACATATTCATCGGACACAGAGAGAAACGAAGTGGCCGGCAGAACAATGTGGACGACGATATTATGGGACACAGGTAGATGATATTGGTGAAGTTTCATCCACCTCACAACTTCAAGGTATATCATCCATTACTTTATCTAATTAGAAGCCAGGTACATGACTTTTAAGCAGATGAAGATTTGAGGAATTTCTCGACTTCTGCCGCCAAGATGGAGTGAACGTGGGTTGTCCTGTACTCATTGTAAGTATGTTTGCCTTCTTGCAAATCATCAAGCATTTAAGTGATGGAATCTGGTAGTGAAAAATGCAGGTTTCACTCACATGTGCCCATCATCATACCAGAAATAGTCAGAGAGAGGAAGACATCCATACTGGGTCACGGGCAGCGGTTGGTTGTAGTCTGGACAGTACGAAGTCGTGTTGGTAATGTTGTACTCGGCAGGGTTATCCAACACCCCATTCAGAAACGTGTTTGAATCAAAGACCAAGGCCGTCACATCGTCGTTCTGGGACGCAAAAGCGGCAGCATGTGAGTCCAGAGTGCTGTCCCACCACCCGATCATGGTGGTATTCGGAAGAGGCCCGGCAGCACGCACGAGATTGCCCGGAGTGCGGTTCAGCGGAGGCAGTTTCATGAACAGCCACTTCTTGTACCCGGCCTTGTACACGGGCTCGACGGCCTGCTCGAACATGGTGGTGATGAGCTCGTCGTAGTAGCTGGGGAAGTCGACATCGAGCTCGGCCGAGTCGCCAATGTCGTTGATGCCTATCCACAAGGCCACGAGCGTCTTGTCGGCGTTGACGATGTTCTTGAGCACGGGCTGACCATAGCGCAGGAACTGCTCGGTCTGGTTGACGAGCTGGACGGACCAGTTGTGGTGTAGCGGCAGGTACTCGACCGATATGTCAGCGCCGCCAAAGGCGAAGTCCCAGAGCTGGATGTCGCAGGTCTGCGGGTCGGTGAGGCCCTCCTTGACGCCGCACTGTGTGATGTCTTCGATCCAGTTGGGCCCTCGGTTCGCGGTGCTGTCAACGTCCTCCTGCATGATGCGGTCCGAGAGAAGCTGCTCTGGCGTGTACGAGAAGTTCAAGTTCGACCCGATGAATGTTGAGTTTGCGTAGCCCAACGTCCCCTGGGCATATGTATATGAGTCTCCAAAGGCAATGCTGTTCATCCATTACATTGTGTTAGCAGCAGCACACCTTCAGGAAGTCAATTTAGTCCCCTTTTCAAACAAGTCACGTACACATATTTTGTATCGTCCCACCGAAAAGGTGATGTTTTGGTACGAGGCGTTACGGGCGTCGAACTCGCCAGAAGCGGGAACGAGAGCGCGGCTAGGCATGCCGTCACGAACGTCGAGGAGGCCATCTTGAATTATTATGATACCGCTGCTGCTGCTGCTGCTACTGAACGAAGAGACACTTATCCTCGGAGAATGCCAAAAGCACAGGGAATTATATAGCTGGTCAAGTATGCAGCGCTATTCCGGACCGCTTCCAACTGCAGCCATTGGTGGAAATGCTGTGACTTTTGCTTTCTCACTGGGGGTGACATGGCGGGCCGTCGAAAGAGTGTTCTTGCAGGAGCATAGACATCATAGATCCGTTTTTCCTTGGAAGCCCTGCATGTGTCAATTCTCCTACTATACCGGCCCCTCGCTCCTTTTACCCTTTAGCCCTCGCCCCAGATTTGCTACTTACCCCAACCTCTCCCCACACTGCCATCCCCTTCTCCTCCTTCCGTTACAGCGAGCCCCGCCGGATTTCTGTGGCAGATCCCTCACGGCTAAAACTGCACGCGCCGGAGGACATTGCAGCGAGTGTACTCTGATGTGCTTTTTTAGATGCATGCCAGGTGCATGCCAGCGGCCTGCGTCGAGAGGGAGGGGAAAAGATAGAGGGGTTGATTATCACGGCTCGTGATGAGATTGGGCGATGAGAAAAGTATTCCCATGAAGTTGAACCTGATGCCTTGGCTTATTAAGTGCTAATTATTTAGTGTGAAGAGTCATTAGAACAAAAACCGAAGATACCAACACAGGCCCGCATAGCATTGCCCCACGAGGTTGATACTGTGCAGCGCGAAATCGTCCGAGGTGTACTTCCGTCGGTGATCTCTGCCGAAGCCCCCTTTCCCTGCTCGTCGATCTGGACGTGGCGGGGACACTTAAAGAGGCAGAAAACGTTGATGCTCCACGAGAGCCTAGAGAGGAATGAGCCCCAAGCCACAGGAGGTGGGAAGACGCGCCACAAGTGAGTAGCACTCAGTAGGGACCATCCTCTTGGGCTCGTCGGACGTCCGAACCTACAGTACAGTTAAACCCGGTGTCTTTTCAGGGAATGGAAGTAAATGGATATCAGCTGGCTGCCAGCTGGCAAGATTGGCCCCAGCTCGCCACACCTGTCAGCTTCCCCGTCCATCAAGGATTACCAGAGGGCAAGAGCTTCCGCGTCACAGGGCGCAGCCGAAGCCAGTCGAGGCTTGGGGACCACACAGCCACTGCCTCCTAGCGAATCAGAGCGACGCAAAGATACTAGACAGCAATTCTGCCTTGAACGCCAAACGCTGGGCGCCAGCCATTCTCGTTATTCTGCTGGAAGCCGCCAGGTTCATCCCCACGTCTTGGGTTCAGGACTGCGCCCCATGATTGTCAGGCACATGGCCGCCTCGGTCTCCGGAGAACCGTCCGTAGATAAACTTGTATATATAAAGACGTACACTTCCTGCTTCAGGTAAGTTTGTGGGTTTCGAGTTTGGATGTTGTTATTCCACACAAACCCTCGAGAACAACTCTCTCGTCCCTATTCGTGAACTTCACACTATTTCTTAAAAGACCGAAAGAAAAAATCATTACCAACGACGACAACAACAACAACCAACTCTCTAGTCACATCGCCCAGAATGTCAGCGGCAGACTATTACAACAGCGGCTCCAAAGGCAGCAAGACACATTCCTCCTACCACGCACCACAACAGCCCCAATACACCGGCGCCCCGCCGGCCTACCAGCAGTACCCAGCAGGCCAGCAGCCTCAAGAAGGCGAAAAGGGCTTCCTCGCCACTGCACTGGGCGGCGCGGCCGGCGGTGCTGCGGCGCACCACTATGGCAAGTCAAGCAAGCTCAAGACCGCCCTCGGCGCGGTCGGCGGCGCAGTCGCCCTGAACGTCATTGAGCACAAGCTCAAGGGTCGTCACGGACACCAACAGGATCATCACCAGCACCACCACGGCGGCCACCATGGACATCACCAGGGCGGCTCGGCGGGACTGCTCGGCGGCCTGGTCGGTGGTGGACTGCAGCAGCATCACCACCACCAAGGTCACCAGCACCACGGCGGTGCGCTCTCGTTTGGTGGGCACCAACATCATCACCACCACCAGCCTCAACCTTCCTTTGGAGGCTTTGGGGGTGGTCATCATGGCCATCACGGGCACCACCATGGGCATCATGGACACCACGGAGGAGGCTTCGGCGGATGGTAAATCCTAGGAACGGAACTACTGGGTCGGAATGTAGACCGACATTTTCACGAATTTTCTTACTTTGGTTTGCATGGCGAACTGCATGAGGCGTTCTTGTTTGGTCTTGGGGGCATATGGAACTCGGCTGGTATCTTTTGGGACCAAGGGAATATTGGGATCCAGATATGAGGATTTGGTTGGTGATTTTGCGCTTCAAATACCCAGACACATATAGTAGATTTCGAAAGGAATTAAACTTTTTTTTTTTTTTTTTTTCAATATGATTTTCTCACTGAGTGAACTCCTCAACATAACCCAGCAACTTCTTTCCCACAGCCTCATGTATGGGATCCTCCAGCCCCAAACCGAAGCAATACGAGACATGATTATGCCCCTCCAACACCTCCAGCAGCGGCAACCTGCCGAACCTCTTCCTGTGCTCGTGCACGAACGCAAACGTCCCGTCGAGGATCTCATCCGCCTCGAACTCCCCGACAAGCATCTTCAACTTGTACGGAAAGACCCCCCTGGGCGGCGTTGTCGCGGTGCCAAAGTATTGCTGCCTGAACAGCGCCAGCGGGCCCCATCGGCCGTTGACCTCGAAGGTGTTCTCGGCGCGGAACCACGAGGCCAGCGCCTTGACCCTCTGCGGGTCGCTGTCGTCCATGGTGAAGACACCGGACAGCGAGACGAGCCCCGCCGCCAGAGGCTTGGGGTTCGGGTCGAGGTAGCCCAGGAACAGGGCGGTCAGCAGGTGGACGCCGCCGGCAGACTGGCCCATCGCCACCACCTTGGACGGGTCGCCGCCGTACCTTTGGATGTTGGCCTGGACCCACTGCAGGGCGGCCTGGACGTCCTCGGCGCCGTTGGGGTGGTGGCCTGTCTTCAGCGCGAGGCGGTAGGTGGCGAGGCAGGTGATGCAGCCGTGCTTGGTGAAGTAATTACCTTTTATTGGTTATCTTGTCAATGATCGTGTTCCGACCAGACCTCGTACATTTTTTGTTTTGTTTTTGGCTTACCGATATTGGCATAAATGTTCGGCGTGTGGTCGTTGTCTCCCCCCACTAAACCCCCGCCATGGAAGTAGACCACCACGGGCCGCCCGGAAGTTCCGGAGGCGGGACTATAGACGTCAATGCGGTTCCTGTCGTCAGGACCATACTTGAGGGCCTTTTCTGTTTGGATATCGCTGCCATATTTGGCATTCTGCTGGGCTTGGAGGGGCTCGTAGACCTTGAGGAGCGCTGGGGGGACATCGGGCGTCCAGGCCTTGCCGAACTTGGCCAGCGTCTCTCTGACGGCCTCCATGATGCTGTTGCTAGATGGTGGGGGGATGAGATATGGAAGTGGGAGTAGACGCAGGATGAAGCTGAGACGGAACAGAGAAAAATCTCAAACCTAACAAAGAAACATGCAGATGGTTTTTATAGAAGTAGTGCTAGAGTTTTTGATCCGTAAATCCGCCTTTTCGATCTCTCTCTCGTTCTCAGCTTTGCATGCATCAGCATTGGGGTTAGGCAAGCTGTTGGATTCGGCAATCGTTCTGGATGCACCCTGGACATACATTGTTGACCATTTCCAGTTAGAGACAAGCAGCTGACTTAAGAATCATGAAGCACCTCAACAATGCATCCTGGTGGTGTGTCTTGAGAAAAAAAGTTCGGAATTCCCGGTGTTGCAAAGGGATACCTCGGATCAGACATTGCCCCTCCATGCTGGAAGGACCCATTCAGAGGTTGAAATTCTATATATAATCAATTGAGAAGGCTGTCTGCTGTATTTGAGACTGGCATCATGATGGGTTTTCAGTCCCATCCACTCTTTCAGCAGGCAGTTCTCTGTTGTGGCACAGTAGTCTGATTTTGGTATGCGAGGATGAAGTGAATATGAGAGTGAAAACGAGGGTGAGGGTGAGTGCTTTCTCGTATGGCACAGGCACACAGGCTGGTAGGTATTTCTCCCACAGTTTGTTCATCTGTCATGCTAATTGATAGGCCCATGTTGTAACAGCCCACAAATGGTCAATCAGCAGCATCAAGAGGTAGGAGGGAACCCCTCACAGCAACTGCACCTCATTGAAGTTGCTGCAAGGATAGTTTCGTACTCTATGTGGTATGTTGTACTGCCAGGCAGTCTTCCCGAAAAGCTCCGGTGCGGACCCCCCTGTAGGCGCTAAGTCTGGAGAGGGTGGGCTCGCTTGTTCGCCTACAGCTCTCTAGTGCCGAAACCCCAGAGCAACAAGCTTGCTAGGCCCCCTCGTCGCTGTGCCAGGCCCGTGCCAGGCCTGCCCGAGGTCACCCAAGAGAAGGGACCCACAGTAGCAATCCAGCAATGCAACTGGACACCAAAAGCCGCAATCGCACCTCTGTGTCTACACTTTTGTTGGTGAAACTTTTCCCGACCACATCGTTGCCGACAGACCATCCACCAAGCCAACCTTCTTTTTCTCCCACCCTTCTCTTCGAGACGAAAGACGTCGTCTAGCCAGCAGTCGATTGTTTCTGTTCTTCATCCTTCTCTTATTCAGTCAAGATGTTTGCTGCTGCTCGCATTCAGCGTCGTGCCTTTTCGGCCTCTGCTCGCCAGGTGTGTTTATTTGCTTTTTTTTCTTCTTCTGTGTTGATCCTGTTGGGGATTGACGACGCGCCTTGTAAGGGACCCAGCGCTGACAACAACCCTCAACCTCTTCTTCTCTCTAGCTGTCCAAGGTGACCGTCCTGGGCGCTGCTGGTGGCATTGGCCAGCCTCTGTCCCTGCTCCTCAAGCTCAACCCCAGGGTCACTGAGCTCGCCCTGTACGATATCCGCCTGGCCCCTGGTAAGCTTTCCCTTCTCCCGCGCCCTTCTTCCTTTGACCCGAATCAGCACCACTGACAGTCTGCCTCTCACCCTCCCATCTAGGTGTTGCCGCCGACATCTCCCACATCAACACCAAGTCCACCGTCCAGGGCTATGACCCTACCGCGTCCGGCCTGGCTTCGGCCCTCAAGGGCTCCGAGGTCGTGCTGATCCCCGCCGGTGTCCCCCGCAAGCCCGGCATGAGCCGTGACGACCTGTTCAACACCAACGCCTCCATCGTCCGCGACCTGGCCAAGGCCTGCGCCGAGTCTTGCCCCGAGGCCAACATCCTCGTCATCTCGAACCCTGTCAACTCGACGGTCCCCATCGTCTCCGAGATCTTCAAGGCCCGCGGCGTCTACAACCCCAAGCGCCTCTTTGGCGTCACCACCCTCGACGTCGTCCGTGCCTCGCGCTTCGTCTCCGCCCTCAAGGGCACCGACCCCGCCGACGAGAACATCACCGTCGTTGGTGGCCACAGCGGTGTGACCATCGTCCCTCTCTTCAGCCAGTCCGCCCACCCCGAGCTGTCCTCCAATGCTGAGCTGGTCAACCGCGTCCAGTTCGGTGGCGATGAGGTCGTCAAGGCCAAGGACGGCGCCGGCTCCGCCACTCTGTCCATGGCCATGGCTGGTGCCCGCATGGCCGAGTCCCTCCTCCGCGCCGCCCAGGGCGAGAAGGGCGTCATCGAGCCCACCTTTGTCGACTCCCCTCTCTACAAGGACCAGGGTGTCGACTTCTTCTCCTCCAAGGTCGAGCTCGGCCCCAACGGTGTCGAGAAGATTCTGCCCCTCGGCAAGCTCGATGCCAACGAGGAGAAGATGCTCGAGGCCTGTCTCGCCGACCTCAAGAAGAACATCGAGAAGGGTGTTTCCTTTGTCGCCAAGAACCCCGGCGCGTAAAGGAGTCTACACATCTATCCAGGTGGTCCCGGTTGGCTAGCCAAGATCAAATCTCCCAGTTCTAACGTCTCGGTCTGGATTTTTCTTCGTCTTCCAACAACAGTGCGGCAACTATACAGGACGAATACATGGAAAGGCAAAGAAGGTGGATGGATGGCTGCTCATGGCGTAGTCTAGTCTCTTTCATTGTCCTTCGGGACTAATAGACCGCTTGTATCATAGCACGATGATATGCCCAGACCTCCCCATATGTATGTCTCCCGACGTTCGTGACCGGCTTGCGTAGCCCTGTATTGTTATAATGCTGCAGTGCCGCAGATCTCACCCTGGGTGAAGCTGCAAAAGGTACAGTGGCTCAAGGAATTGCAGAGGTCAAAAAAGATCTCTATTCATGCAAAAAAAATATAAAAAAAATGGTTTGAGACAATATCTCGTCTAGCGTAGACTATGAGAGCGATGCATTGGTACAATACATGTCTATACATCCAGGCTCTCTTTTGTAGACACAGCCCCGCCTCCCCTCATCGAACCATTAGGGCAGTTCCGTCTAGTTATGTCTATCATCTCTGTTGAGATATCCTACTGCTTCTATTGTTATTTGAGTTCACCTAGCCCCATCCATCCCCATTGATTTTGACTAGCGACCCTCGCTCCAGGCTTGCAGACGCTGCCTCTGTTGCTCGACCTTGCGCTCGAACTCGGCCACCTTCTCCAGCCTCTGGCGCTCTTCCTCCTCCTCCTTCTTCTTCTGCTCCTCCTGCCGGCGTGCCAGCTCCCTCTCGAGCTGATCGGGTCTGCGCAACGCGATGTCGCGGGGCCGGTAATCAGAGAACAGCCTCTTCAGCAGCACCTCGATAAACCAACACGCCGCATAGTCGATGATCATTACTGTAGTCATGGTGGACCTGAACTCAGCTGTGAAGGGCACAAGCTTCATCTGCTCGTTGAGCTCCGGGATGAACTCGGTAGAGCACGAGAAGGCGATGGCAGTCACACCAACGATTCCATAAAACATGCCCTTATTCTCCGACAGGGATTCGCGGAAGGGTCGGCCTTGGTAGTTCACTGCGAACGTGCTGATCTGTTGGATAAGCTGGAGGAGGTAGACGGCGCTGTTGAGCAGTGACGGTGAGAACTCGGCCTCGAGGTCGACAATTTCGGAGCGACTGTGACAGGAGAATTAGCATACTGGTAGAGCAATGGAGAAGGAAGAAATCTTGGAAAAGGCTGGTCAACTTACGGTTCAATTGTGTCACAGTAATTGGAGATGTAGATCAGGGTGACAATGTGAACAGCGAATTGACCGAGAATGGATCCGATGATATAGAAGTTGAAGATGTTTGGCTGCGGCCGCTCCTTGGAGAGACCCTCGACAGACTTGGCGCGGGAGATGGACAAGAAGCACACGCTCATGAGCATGCCGCTGATCGTGTACTGGCCGTCACCGAACTTGATGCCTTCGAGATACAACACACTTAGACTGTAGGCGGTGATCAGGCAGTTAAGTGCGAGGATCTTGTACATCTGGATGGTGGCAACAAGCGTGCAACGACCCTGGCGAATGATGTTGGGAATGGCAATGACGTTGCGCAGTTTGGACGTGAAGGGAGCAGCCACCGAGGCGTCACCAAGCTTCAGGGCAGGAGGCTCGCCGTCGTCAAGGTCGCTATCCATCATCGACTGCTGGAGCTTCTCAGCCAAGCTCTGCATTTTCTTAGAAGCCTCTGCCTGCCGAGCAGCACGAGGATCCGTATTGATAAGTTGTTGAGCAGCCGGAGAAGTGACAGTCTCGAGTGGCAATTCGTGTCCCTGAGAACGAGCATAATCGGCGGGCGAAATGCCCTTCTTCTGCGCCTCACGTTCGACGGCTTTCTGGTAGTTAGGGTTGCTCGGTCCAGGAGGATAGAGGTGGGCGATCAGGGGCGGAACAGGAGGCGCAGGCTGGTTGAAGCGCTTCATCAGATCGACCTGTTTCTGATACATCTCTTTCATCTTTGTGTTCCGAGAATGCTCGGCAATACGATTGAGATCATCTGGGGTTCCGTTGAGCAGAGCGATGCCGATGTGAGCTTGCTTCAGGGCACCGACATCATTCGTTCCGTCACCAGCCATCAGTGTAAAGTAGCCCATGTCCTTGTAGCCAAGCAATAGGTCCTCCTTCTGCTTTGGTGAGACTCGGGCGTACACCCAGGTGTACCGCAAAAGTTGCTTCCAGCCAATTTGGTCCTTGAACTTGGACAGGGCATAGCCAGTCACGCACAGGTCATATCTGGTCAGAATGTCTGAGCTGATAGGCTGAGAAGGGTCGACTTGAATGTTGGTGTGGCCATCCACGCTGTGCCAAATGAGCTTGTCCCCGTTGACGTTCTGCTCAGGAGCGTCCAAGATGAGCACGTCCCGGTCGACAATCTCGACTTCTCTAGCAACGTGAACAGCAGTGAGAGGATTGTCTCCAGTGATCATGACGACGCGGTGGCTGCTCTCGTTGAGCATCTGCACAGCTTGCTTCGCGTCCTCCTTCAGCGGAGTGTGTAGAACCAGGAAACCTGCAAATGTGAGCGCAGACTCGACAGTCTCGCGCTTGAGCTCGTTGATCCTCTTGGAGCCAAGCTCATCTCCAGTGGACAGTTGCTTATACGCGAGGGCCAAGACACGTGAGCCACGTCGAGTGAAGTATTTGAACGTCTCCTCGTAGTTCGCGGGAACCGTGACAAGCATATTCATAATAGTCTCCGGTGCGCCTTTGACGCCGACATAAGTTCCGACGACATGCTCGCCGGTCTTCGGATCCTTGCTGTTCACGGTGGCAACAGAGCTCTGACGCTTTAGGGCAGAAGAGAACTGGAACCGGCGCTTGATCTGTACGCTTCCCTGCACACCGCCGGCGGCGGCTGTAGCAGGCTTGTGCATCAGAGTATCGTTCTTTCCAAGGTTCCAACCAAGAGCCGCCAGTGTCGCCTTTTCCATGGGATCTCCCACGATGTCGCCCTCGTCAAGCTTCACAAGAGCATGGGCGGTGGCCAGGACCAGGGTTGTGTTGATGCCGGTGTCCTTGACAGGTGTCATGTGGCTGTGGGCGCCATCAGATTCCATAGGTGTTGAGGTACCAGATTTGCCGAGACCAAGACCAGCAATGCCTTCAACAACTAAATCCTCTCCAGTAAGAGTACCGGTCTTGTCGAAACATGCCACGTCGACACGTCCCGCGAACGGAATACGGAAAGGCTCAGTACAGAAGATGGCATATCTGGCAAGGGCAGACAGACTCGTGTTGACAGCCAGACTCAACTCCATAGGTAGCTCGGGAGGCACCACGCTGGTGACGATAAGGACACAGTCCAACAGAAGCTTCGATCGCTTGCGGTCCTTCTCGACGCCGTCGGTCCACACATACCAGGATGCGGCAATCGCGAAGACAAGAAGAAACAGGATGAACAGCAGAGCTTCGGCGTTGTTGGCTGAGACACGTTCAGTGGAGTAGATCATTGTGCGAACCAGACTACCCTGCGAGGTCTCGAATCCTGTCTTCATGACGATGGCCATTGCGCCGTTGTCCGGTGGAAGAGGGACGCCGGAGGCGATTGGTGGCTTCTGCTCGTCGGGGTTGCCGTGGGTGATCTGGAGGACCTTGGTACCTCCCCAGAGGAAAGCATTCTTGTCGAGGCCCTCTGTCTCTATGGTCGCATCGGCGGGGCGTAGCTGGATGGATTCCTTGAGCAGAGGCGTGCTCTCGCCTGAAAGCATGGCCTCGTTGACGATGGCCGTTCCCTCCACCAAGAGCATATCGCATGCCACACCACTATCCTCCTTGGTACGACCGACGGAGACCAGGTCACCTGGCAAGAGCTTGTCGCTGTAGGTCTCGGTCCATTTTCCCAGTCGATAAACCAGCAGCTCGTATGGCTTGATGCTCATCCCCCGAAATTCGTTCAAGGTGCGCTGGCGTTGCCACACAACGGTGCTCTCGAAAACAACGAGCATGAACAAGGTGAAGAGCGAATAGTACCAATAATCGTCCAGCATCCACAGGCCAACGCAGAAAATCTGGAAGACGAAGAAGGGCGCAACGGCGTGTTCCTTGAAGAGCTCGGTAAAGGTCGGAACGGGGATGTCGAAGGTATTCTTCCCATAGTATTGCTCCAAGCTCTTGAGCTCTGCGGCACTCTTGATACCCTTAGACTTCTGGAAGGACCCAATCGTCGGCTTCGGGTCCGCATCGATGGCATAAGTCAGAGTGGCGAATGTCTTCGTTTCGGGACTGTACAAGAACCGGCGCTTCTGGAAGAGAAACGAGACATTGATCTTGTCTCCGACCTGAAATTTTGAACAGTTTAGTACAGTGCCGGGCACAAACAGATAGGACTATTTACAACGGCCCAAGAAAACCTTACCTTCTCACGATCTAGCTGGCAAATATCGGCAGCACCGGCATTCGCGATGGGGATGACCTTGATGAGCTGGGCCTCATCGACAGACCTGGCACTTTTGGCAGTGAAGATGCCTCTGAGATCAACACTCCAGTGGGTACTCAGCCAGAACAAGCTCTGGAAGGTGATGATGGTCCCCATCCACACAAAGGTCCATTCTTGGCCACCGATGTGCTTGTCATAGCGTTCAGGACTGAGGTAGATGGCCAGAAAAACTGGCCATGCAATTGTAAAGGGCCATATGTAGGCATGCAGGAAGAGAGGTCGCGGGGACAGAAGCTCAGCAGATTTAATCTGCGAGTTGTCCACAAGCCTCGATGGCGGCGGCGCCATGGTCGGGGTCGCGCGCAACCTGGAAGAGGGGTGGTTAAGGAGAGAATAGGAGGGGTAATTAATGATCCATGCGCCAAATGACAAGTTGCGATGGATGTTTAAGAGCAAGCCTCACCCAGACTCCCTTGAAAAGACGAATGCCAGTGTGACGACTTGGTTGTGGGAAGCTGTACTCTAAGGCAAAATGTTTGGGTGATGACAAGAAATTTGGGGTTGCTTGGAGTCGTTATCTGGCTACTTTGGTTGCAGGCAGGCACTGCTGCTATAGCGTGTACCTTAGCTCCCCTAATGCATCAGCGCACAGGCCAGCTTTGAGCAAATCACCCATGCTGAAGGTTCGCTGCCAAGCTGCTGCTTCTTGGGGCGTTGCTATCTTCTCTTTCCTCCTTCAGCTCTCAACAATAATTCCAAATCATTTCATCCACGGATCGCCTTCAAGGGTCCTGGACCCATAATTTATTTATTGTCGTCTGAACTTGTTTGCATGTAGCAGCTTCAACAAATGTATTGATCAAATCAATATCTTCAGGGACCATGTGGGCGATGGCCCCACTCCAGATTGTTATCCCGACACGCTGGACTGATCTATGACCTCAACCACGGCGTTCCCCAAAATAAAGGCAAAAGAAAAGAGTGGATACATCACTTATATGGGGGCCAGTCCCAGACACAACGTTCTTCAAGTGATTTTGTAACAGCCACAACATTGCCCACGCTGATCTCCGCCTCATCGTCCAAGAGGAAACCATATCTGCCAAAAATTGGTGACCACCGATTGCCTCGATCGACTCTCCGATCGCGCATTAACTTTTTCAAGACCTTGCCAGATTCCCCTGTGCCCGGTCTTCCCGTCTTATAGTCCACATTGATCGAGGCGCAACGCCCACAGTTCCCTGTCAGAACCAGCCGAGGCCCTCCGTCGACGGCTATCTCGCCCCAGAAGTCTTCTTCGAAAGGCTCTCCACCGTCAATGACTATGTTGGGTCGGAACTTGCGCATGTCCATCTCCTCGCCCTCGGGCAGACGGCCGCTCACGTCCTTTACGGACGACTCGGTGGTGATGAGGAAGGCGGCCACGCAGGTGAAGGTCAACCAGTGAGGATCTTGGGGATGTCCTGTTCCGGTGAGATAGCTTGTCATCGACGAGAGCCAGCCTTGGGTTTTCTGCTCCTGGGCGACAGCCGGCGACATGGTCCCTAGGACAGGTCGTCTTGCGTCGCCAATGTAAACGAGCATGGCTTTGAGCCCGAAGCAAGAGCTAAACCACGAGCTGTATTTATCAGGCATACAGTAGCCTAGACATTTGCTCCCATACAAGTCCACCTCCACAGTGCCCAGACCTGAGATGTCAGGATCTAGAGGGATGTGGAGAGTCGTCTTCTGTTCAGGCGCCGGCGGGACGAGCGGCTCCTCTGGGATTTGGCACCTCACGACAATGTTGCCATCGACAATCTCCGGAGTGAACAGGGCACAAGCTGGGAATCTGACGACTTCAATGGGCTCCAGGTGGCCATCGTCATGTGTCTTCAAGAGCATGAACCGGCGGTCATACTGCACTCCTTGCCGGTCCAGCTTCGCATGCTGCAGCGAGATGCCCCGCAATGACTTGATCGGGTAGACGTACAACTACGAGAGTTATTAGCATGACGAGCTGTAAGGGCTGTGGTTGTCACCTGAAGTCGACGGGCTCTTTCTCTCACCTGTGTGACCTTCATCGTGACTTGTAGTGTCGTTAAACTTTATTTCCCCGCGGCTGATTCTCAAGAGGCGCGATCACTGCTCTCTATCCTTGCTAAGGCACCTCACTTCCCCTCCTCTATTATTAAGCACGTCCGAGAATTTTGGGCCGGCGTCTACTTGGCTGCTGCTTATCTCTTGCCATTGATACAGACAACTCAATACATGTATTAGAAGTCAGTCTGTAGAAATGCGGCCTCGTGATTGTTGTTTTGTTGCAGCTGTGGTAATTGAACGGCTTGCAGCGGGATCTTCCCACAATGTCTCCAGAGAATATCAGCTTGGTGGTACTGGAGTTAACGGGTGGTAAAACAGCATGTCCTTGCGGTTAAACAATCTATTTTTTTCGTTCAAACGCCCTTGAGTCAGTCTTTGTACGCTCAAACAAAATCAATGAATACCTTTCAGGCAGGTTGTTGATATTGTCATCCGCCCTACTTAATATTGTGTGCCACATCAGCTGCCTGAGCCGCAAAGATCCCAGTGTTCCCCAGGTGATGAAAGCACACAAAGAACAAGAAGATGCCCAAGCTTTTTTTTCTTTTCTTTTTTTTGTCAAAAAAAAAAAGTTTGCGCCATCCTCAAATATCTTTTAATCGTGTACTATAAGTCCGCCCATCCATACTCACCAATCTGCCATGCTAGTCATCTGGCGGGGTTATCATCACCATCTTTCCCTCTAAAACTCGTTGCATACAGCAAACTCACTTGATTTTTGTATCAGCCAAGGCTCAACTCAAACAGATATTTGTACACCAAGATACAACATGGGTCTTTCCAAAATCTCACTTGTGCCCACCCTTATACTTGTCCTGCCCCTGGTCTGTCTTGCAGCTCCACCACCAACCGTGCCAGACACCGCCATCCTCGTCGCTAGGAGTGATTTGTCGCCGCACATGGACTGTTACAACGGAGGTGAGCAGTTCCAGAACATTGGAAACTGGGACCTAGTCAACGCCACTGTTCTAGCCCTTTGCAGAGACTTCGCCGGCTACAACGGCCACACTTTCAACATTGGCGACTCGGTAAGTATCTGCCCACTTCCCTTCCACATGTCCTCTGGACTCTCTTTTTCTGCTAACATCTTGTACAGGTCAATTCGTGTGCAGACGCCACACCAGGAAAGGGCCCTAGCATCCATCTAGCCATGAAGTACAAGGGTGAGTCGGAAACATGGACTGCCAAGGATGACCACTACGATGGAGGTCTTACGTCCTACTGCTGGACGGCCGTGGAGTGGGCTCTGACCGAATGTCTCTCTGGCGGTTTATTCGAAAACCATAAAGTAGGTTCCAGTATGGGCACTGTTGGGTGGCAGTACTGGGATGTGAAGCTCGATCCGAACTCGGGAGGCTGTTGACAATCTACTCAGTCAAAACCTGCTTCAAGAAATCGAGACGGCGATTCGCAAATCCGTATATACTCGTGATTGTTTTCTCCTTAGAAATTAGTCAGCATTACGTGTAATTATTGTTGCTACTGATGCTGTTAAACAACTCGAGATTACAACGACGCCGATCATGGCATTTTCAGTGGGGAGACAATACCCAGAGACTTATAGCATATTGAATTAGATAATTCTACCCTACAGGCTGAGGATGATATCAGTAAAAGTTGAAACTCATGGCAGATTCGCTGCTTCCAGCCTGAGCGAAATTCGAAAAATCAAGGGCACTCAGAGGGTCAAGAAGCCAGCCTTCCTCGCCGAGAGTTGTCGTCAAGTCGTTGTACTGAGGGGTCAAGTAGGACATCGGAGTTGTCTCGGCAGGGAATGCTGCAGGCTCTGTACGAGCTTCGCGCGGCTGTCCTGCTGTGAACTGCTGTGCAGCTACACGGATATTGCTCCTGAGCCCATGCGTCAGTGTTCCAGTCCTACAGCTGCCCACAGCCTGAGTGAGTCAGCATGGGAAGCGGGTTCTTACATGACATTCACATCCTCAGGTCGGGAGGACGCTTGAAATGTTCCGATATAGCTCATGTAGCCCGTTTGTGGCTGGGGCGTGGTTACTTCGGAGGCCTTGTTTGTGATCCCGCCTTGCCAAGATTGTATCCCGTCATGAGAAACCGGCTCATTAGAGGTGTGGTGTCGTGTACGTCCTGCACGGGAAGACGTCGGGGTTGCGTTGTGAAGCAGTGATCGTTCACTCATACCGACTTTGGTTGAATCCGACTTTCTCTTTTTTAGTGCCGATATCAATTGTTCGACAGCATGTGCGCACGAAGTCGGCCAAGCTGTGCCTCGCTTGGATAGTTTTCCGAGGATTATAGATGTGCGGTTGGCGTAATTCAAAGCAGAAGCTGTGCTAGTCACTCCTTCGAACGCCGCATATGTGAGGATGAAGCAGCTCATCCACACCGACCAGGTAAGTAAAGGCCATACTATGACAGGCCGGGCAGCCACATCGACTGCGTTGGCCGGTTGTGGGCCTAAGCCACGCTCGTACAGAGTTTCGATAATCACTCGAGAGGCCTGAATACAGGCCTGCAAAGCCGCCTGAGAAGCGGGCGTGGGTGGCTTCTTGGCCAGAAGCGGTCGATTCAAGGTGATGGTCGATTCGTGATGGAGAATCAGCAACAAGGTTTGGTAGTGCTGAAAAGGATCATCTTCGGCCGACTGTGCACTGCCGTTTCCAGCTGAGATAAGCGCATCGTCTAGATCAGAGCCCATGGCTGTATCGTGAACCTCGTTTGACCATCTGGTCAAACGTGCCTGTACATCTAGTGCTCGGTCCATACTGTCTTCTCTGACGTGCAGACTTTTGTGGCGGAGCTCTAATATCATACCACGCAGCTGTGCATGCTTTGATAGCAAAGTAAGCAGTTGAAGTTGCGAAGTCCCTAAGCCACAAGGTAAGAAGATGCCCTTGACAAAGAAAAATGGGTACTATTGGAGTGATAGAGAATAAAAGGAGGGGAAAAGATAGAGTAATCACCTTTGGGAGCACCAAGGTCTGGAGTGTGAACGGCTGCTGCGCTATTCCGGTGCAACTCGGTCGTGGGGAGACAGACATCGACATCGTCGTCTTGCACGTCCAGGGGCAAACCCAAGACTTGACAGATGAGTCTTTCTAAACAATAGAAAGACCACCATATCCTTTTGCGCATTATCACCTCATGAGTGCTGAAATTTGAATACCGTTGAGGACATCTATGCAGACCCTACCCGACAAATGGAAATTAGCATCTCCTATTTCCAGTTATTCATCGAAAGAAAGGATCTAAAGAGAAACTTAAAGATGCTTTGGGAGTACTTCACGGGAGAATGATGTTGAAATCCTACTGAGGCGACCCTCATCAGGTGGCATGATTCGCTTGAAAGGATAAAGAATGGAATCATGAGTTGACCTACAAGATGATATGCCATCCTCACAATAACCCCACCTAAGCGAGATGCCATGTTAAATTTGAGAATCGATATCAGAAACAATTCGACGGCCAACGCGGCCTGCAGATTTTTTAGCGAGGCAGGGCTGCCGAGGACGAAGGAAACACTCGATGCGACATGATCGAGATTGACAAATAAGAGATCTGAAGGGACAGGGGGTGTATTTCCTCTGGGCAGCTGACGTGCATCCGCCAGCGAAATGGATATAATGGATCGCACAATGGCGGCGTCGGATCCCGAGACCCCTTCGATGCCGTGGTCTGCGACTCGCTCGAGCGTCTCGAGCACCTCTGGGCCCTGGAGGAAAGGATACGCCGGGTGCCACACATCAAAATAGCTTTGACTCCACTGGATCAGCTCCTCGAACGTCAGCTGCGAGATGCCAGCGCCGCCTCTTCCTTCACGAGAGGTGGTTTCGTCGTCTCGCCAAAAGGGAGCGCGAGCCGCAGCACCAGGGCTTTCCGCGGCCCCGAGCTCGTGCGTGCCGTCCAGCTGATCGTCCTCGCCCGGGACAAGCTGCGAGTGAGCGCGAGAGGGCTGGCCACTGCTGCGCGCAAGAATGTCGTAGACAGCGCGGACAAAGTGGATGCCAGAACTGCTGCCCACGAAGCGAGGAAGCCCAGGAGAGTCTCCGTCTCTCATCAAGCCGATCTCTTGATTTTCATCGTCACGGTACGTCGAATCAAGGGTGCGCCTCCTTTTACTGGCTCGTTCGGTTGGCGACCGTGTCTCTCCTGGGTCCGCCCACCCAGCCTCGTCGCCATTGGGCCTCGAGATACTCATTGTCCCAGTTTCTCGCTCGTGGGAGGTCGAGGGCCTGCGTCGGACGGCGACACATTTATCTTGTCATTTCGTGGTTTGTAGTGGGAGGTTCGGTTAGCTTAGCGTGTCTAGTGGCCTGAATGTAACCTCGATAGTGTGGGATGCACTGTAAAGCTGGGGGGAGAGGGGTTTCCCTGGCTGACCTAGGGGGCTGCAACGCGCTATTTAGGCTACGCAACTCGGCACATAACGCCAGTATCACCGCTGAGAACAGTAAGCCACAGCAGTCATGGGATGATTTCCTTACGTCAACACCCCGCGTCCGTTCATCCTCCTTAACGTCAGAACGCTCTGCGAACACCATTAAAAGTACAACTTTTGATTTTCTATAGCAAAACGACTTGCTTTGCTGTTTCTTATAATGTTTACTCCCACGTTAGCAATTTCCTTGGATTCTCCATTCTCTGGACGACTGCAAGATGACGCTTCTGGGCTTTGTAGAGCATGTCCAGGCTGCGCGCTCCCTGGGCCCGCACTCTGAGAGCTGCGGCGCTGAACATCGTAATCATGTTCTCCAAACGTGCCTGGCTGCTGTCTTCTGGGTCTCTCATGCCGATCCCAAGCCGTAATTTGAGCGTCAGACCTAAAAGTTGCTGCGGAATGGACTGCAGGCTCTGGCGAGCCCCTCGAGATGATCTGTGGAGGGCTTCCAGCGACCTGTTGCGGCCCTCTCAGCATAGACTGAAACCACATCTCGGCTTGGGCCCGATTTTTCAGGGGATACCTAGCCCAGCTGTTGACCAGATTCATTTTGTCCTGCTGTGTGGTCGCTGTCGTCGCTGCTGGGGGGGAGAGCACAGGTAGTGCTAGTCCTTGGTACGTTGTTTGACTGTCATAGTCTGCCTGACTGACTGTCCCCTTGTGTATCTCGGCCAACGCGTGGAACAATGCTCGCTCTGTCTCGGCTAGCCGTCTATCCATCGCAGTCACGTAGCCCGCCGGTATGCCTCTGTATTGGGAAAGATTAAATTCCAGGTTAGAGCCCAGTCTTCCTGCTCACGGGCAAACACAATGCCGAGCCAGCCAGCCCCTCTTAGGGCCTAGACTCGTGGGGAAGCCCTCACCTCTTGATCTTCTCTGGATACTGACAACTGGCTGGGGCGCTCCGACATTGGAGGCAGTGCGGTCTAGGTTGAGAGCGAGGAGTGAGTTCCTCTGTGTGTCACGAGGTGCAGGATCTCACTACCCACAGCTTGCGGTCGCACTATCGGATTCGTGACATGCTCGTCAGTAACCTTACTGTGCTGCACGGTGGTCTCTCGACAGGTGGCACCGGGGAAAAATAATACCGACTTTACACTTCTTGCGTCTGCATGGCTCGCACGCAATGAGCGCCACTTCATCATCGTTGTCGCTCATGTCGACTGAATGCATATGCTGCTTCCGCCTGCTCGTCCGCGGGAAGAGGCGGCTCTTGAGATGCGCAGTTGTGGGCAGGATATGAGAAAGGGAACCAGTTCACACCATCCGCAAATCATTACTACAGCCCAGACCCTAACCCTTCTAACGCCCACCCCACCCCAAATACTGTAACCTTCAGCAAAGTCATGGGGGTAGTAGTAATCAAAGATTGAAGTAGAACAATACTTCAGAATACATTGTGACATACAATCATAGTCCTCGGCTTCTCAGAATCTATAGAAAAAATTGCCAGCGCAAGAAGAGGCTGCTTAACCCGGCTACTTGTACCTAAATGCTTGATGTGCTTCATACTAGTCATATCCAGTCACGATCAACTGTCCTGGATTAAATATCTTGGGGGCCTTTTGACTTGGTTCTATGCTAATAGACTCTCCAGGTTTTAATGCTTCTCCTATACACATTCCAGCCGGCTCCTGATTCAGCCAACATGTCGAAAAACTCTGGCACATTTCATGAAGACTAATCAAGTGTAATCTAAAAGTCAGAGAACCGCCAGGAACTGGAGCAGAAATTTCCATACGACCAGGGTCGTAGAACCGAAGCTCTCCAGTCACTGACAGATAGCGCAGTATTCCGACACCTGCTGGTACTATCGGACCTCCTATGGCAGCTCACCGCTGGTCAGACTAATACCGTGGCGAACCACCTTGGCCCTTATTTTCAAAGGGCTCTGACCCCCTTTACAGTCTAGCATGCACTTGGTATTGTAACTGTGCCGCTCGTTCGGAGGAGATCTATCTGACCAATTTTATCCATATGCGGTGCAAGTGGAGAATTATGACTGGCAGTATGGGCCCACGGGAACCGGAAGGATGAGAAGGATGCAACGAGGCCCACACGCCAACGCCTAAGAATTTTCTATGTTTTGTCCTTTTCGGGGGAGATCAAAAAGGTATAGATTATACCGATCTATCAAATTCCATGCTGCATACGTCTTAGCAAGCTGGGACACTAACTTGAATAATTACTTGGGTAGCAATGGCCCTTACCAGAGACCACATCCGTATATTGGACATCATTCCCTACGGACCTGACGGTACAGCAGACGACCCTCTCCGTTGTGAATATCATATCGTCGCGCTCTCCGAAAATCCCACATATGAGACCTTGTCTTACAGATGGGGAGACGCCGACAACAAGATCCAGATCGAGGTGCGCGGCCAGCAAATCCCCGTCACGAGAAACTTATACCGTGCGTTACTCCGGCTACGGCGTCCAGACCAGACAAGGTCCATATGGATCGACCAGCTCTGCATCAACCAGGAAGACAACATAGAGAAGACGGCACAGGTGCGGTTTATGCGACAGATTTACTCCCAATGCACGCAGTGCAACGTCTGGCTGGATGAGATACCAGCCGAGATCCCTCTGGAGGACGCCGAGTCCGTTCTTGACTTCTTTCGCTCGCAGGCCGATCCGAGTTATGACATCCCCGCGTCTCTTAGCGCAGAGGACTCGGCATCCAGGATCGGAAAAGCGCTGCGTGTGATCTCCCCCCAACAACATCCCTGGTGGAGTCGGATCTGGACCGTCCAGGAGGCAAAGCTGCCGCCTCGGAAAACGATTGTCTGGGGGCCTCTTGAGTTCGCCTGGGAGGACCTTGAACGAGCCATTGAAGGCTATGCAGATGCGACGGGCGCTGAAGGCGCCATGTGGCTCCGTGACCACCCTGAAACCGATTGGACTATGAGCAAGATGCTGCCCAATGTCTGTAAGTAAAAGCAAGGTGCATTTTGTCTCCACTTTCTTCTAAAACTTCTCCTTCATGTATTGTGAGTGAGCCATCGATGCTTGATAGGAAGTCAAGGGGCCGATGCTCTGATATCTCTTGGATGGCGTACATTCTTTGATTGATATATATATACATAAACACGTATACACGACTCTAGGAACATTGTTGATGATTAATTTCGCATGCAGCATGGCTTGAACGCTCCGAGCCCGAAGATGAGATGTCAGCTATAGAAGCCACGATGATCTGGCGAAGGCGACAGGCCACGGACCAGCGCGACAAGGTCTTCGCTTTGCAGGGCCTACTACGGCCAGGAGAACTAGACCTGCTGTACACACATCAGTGTGGCTACGACACACCCGTGGCCCAAGTATACAGCGCCTTCACGATGGATCTGATTCTAGGCACCGGGGACCTGCAGGCCCTGACGCTGGAGCTGCGTGCCGACCCTGGCGCATGCACCGAGGACATACCGCGGTGGACAATCGATCTTCTCGACGAGCCCATGTATCCCGGCGGTGACAGAATGTATCGTTTTGGCACGTGGGCCCATTTTGATGCCTGTGCTGGGTGGCCACTAGACAGACAAGCACTGTTGGATGCAGCCGCGAGGCCCGAGTCAGGCCTGCGAGCGCTGGGGCTAACAGGTGTCCTAGTTGATACCGTCGAGTTGCTTGGGTCCAGAATGTTGTGGAAGAATCCGACAGGGGATTCGGGCCCTCCGGATAGCGTCATCGTGGAGACGTTGTGCAGTTGGAGGGACAATGCGCGACGGTTCTATCGCCGGGAGAATATACCCTTGCCGGAGAGGCATTTCAATGACAGCTTCTGCCGACTGCTTTTGGGCAACCTCGTGCGTGGCTGGGAGTGGGAGGTAAGCGAGCAAGCAAATTTTCTTATTGTTTTCAATAAGTCCTGTCTCGAGTCCAAGAATTTTTCAATTCCTTCCAGTACCCAGGCCTTCTTCAATATTCCACATCTATACGTCTTCTTCGATGTCTATGAATCTGTCCGTTCAGAAGCCGCTGTAAGCTAATGGAGCCTAATACAGGTCATAAGAGAACCGAATAAAGAGGATGTGCGCAAGGTCTCCGAGTACCTTCGCACAGGCGAGCGTGATGGAGACTGGTGGATGAACGAGGATCTGTACAGTCAGGTATGCAACCAGACTTTCTTCGTCACCAAATCGGGACTGTTGGGAATAGGGCACCTGGACACGAGACATGGAGATGAGCTGTGGGTGTTTGACGGTGGCCGCTATCCTTTCACTGTTAGACCGAGACCTGGAGGAGGTACGAAGGACTTTGATTTTGTAGGCTGCTGTTTTGTTTCAGACCTGATGCGTGGACAGGCGTACGAGAATGTGACAGCGAATAGTCTTAGACGTACAATTTACGTATATTGAGATCGATTTCAGTACACTTGGAATTCCTTAAATAACATTGTTTTCGAGTGCGCTGTAGTAGCCCGGGAGGGGGGGGCCTTCCTTATCTAGTTCGACAGTTCTCAAGTAATTATCTCTTTTGAATTCCTTGTTGTGTTCCATCTAGTTGAATCCGTACCTTGAACTATGTCCTGTCGACTGGTCTAATCTCTCTTATCCTCTAAAAACTCTTCAGCTCTTCGGTACAAGCCTTCCTCTTGTGTTCATACCCTGAAAGCTAACCAATTGGCTGTTTTGCATGTTGATTCACAACCGTCGATATGCTTGTGAAAGTATGCTTCTATGTATGCATCACTTCTGCTTGCCGTATGCAGCTTTAATTACTTCGCATACAGCACTGGTCACATCAGTAGTCTTTGCAGTGCCACCAAGATCAGCAGTAACAACACCCTTCTCACAGACGCGCTCCACAGCGTCCAGCAATTTCTTGCTTGCGTCTTCCTCTCCTAACCAGGCCAGCATCTCTGCGCTGGTCCAGAACGTGGCGACTGGATTGGCAATACCCTTTCCGGTGATGTCGAAAGCTGAGCCGTGGATTGGTTCGAACATAGACGGGTTCTCTCGTGTTGGATCTAGGTTGGACGTTGGTGCAATTCCAATGGACCCAGCCAGTGCGGCTGCAAGGTCCGAGAGAATATCGGCTTGCTGAAAGTGAAGGAAGAGAAAAAAAGACGTGTCAGCCCTGTGGGAGAGAGCCACGGTAATTTGAAGTCGTATAATATCGACAAACTTACAAGATTGGTTGCAACGATGGTGTCGATAGACTCAGGCTTCAGGACCATGCGGCAGGTCATGGCATCCACAAGCATCTTGTCCGTCGTCACATCGGGGAACTCCTTGGCCACCTCGGCAGCGACCTCATCCCACAGGACCATCCCGTTCCTCTGCGCATTGCTCTTGGTCACGATGGTGAGCAGCTTCCGCGGCCTGCTCCGGGCCGTCTCGAAGGCGAACCGCATGATGCGCTCGACGCCGTGGCGCGTGAACATGGCGACCTCGGTGGCCGTCTCCCACTTCTTGCCGCGGTGCGAGCGCCCGCCCTGGCCCGCGTACTCGCCCTCGCTGTTCTCGCGGACAATGACCCAGTCCAGGTCGCCGGGCTTGCAGTTGCGGAGCGGCGACTGGGTGCCGCGGAAGACTTTGGTGGGCCGCACGTTGGCGTACTGCTGGAAGGGCTGGCAGATGGCGAGGCGCAGGCCCCAGAGAGAAATATGATCGGGAACGTCTTTGTTTCCCGTCCTCACTCTTCTCATCAGCATAGTGACTCACATACTTCTCGTGTCACATTCTTGACAATGAGAGAGAAAGGCCTGAAAAAAGCTGCAAAAACAAACGCACCAGGTGCACCCACGGCCCCGAACAGGATGGCATCATGCTTCTTCAGCTCATCGAGGCCGCCGTCGGGGATATATTTCCCCGTCTTCTTGTATGTCTCGGAGCTCCAGTCGAAGTGGGTGAATTGAATGTCAAAAGAGCCTAATGTCTCTGAGAGGGTCTCCAGCACGGTGATGGCCGCATCGACCACCTCAGGCCCGATGCCATCAGCCGGGATGCTGGCGATGCTGTAGCTCTTGCTTGCTGGGGCGGTTGTTGTTGCTGCTGCGGGAGACATGATGGAGATAAGAGGTGTGATCGAGTAGAAGAAAAAAGAGAGGAAACGACGTGAGAGGCCTTTTCTTCACTCGGCTGGAGGATGTCGAGCCTTCAAATAGTCGGTAGTTAGATTCCGGTGTGGGGGTTACCAGTAGTCGAGCCACGATCAACCAAGATCCACTGCAGCATTACCTGTATTGGCTGTGGTGCCGGCAAAAGCAAGGCCGTGATTCTGTGAGGAGGTCGACCTGAACTTGGTAGGGCGGACTTACGATTCACCGCCACCTATGTTATAATATAGCCCAAGTACAGCAAAAGTTGCTCAGCACTGAGGGCCGGCCTCGACTTGTAAGTGACCGACTGAATACTTGTTTGTTTCTGAACCTCATCCCAAGTCATTGCCGCATCTACGATTGTTCATGTCGCCACAACCAATCCTCGTCATAGCATTTTCAGGCCAAACAATTGTATATAAGGGAGTGTAATGTAGTACTCGAAATCTGTAGCGACATCTTCTCTGTTCCTTTTTGATGAACGTTACTCGAGTTCAACTCTTTCCTGTTCCAGGCAGAGGAAGGTGCAATCTCGAGAATAGACTCGCAATTGAATTAATAGTATCATGGTAAGTTGCAGCATATGAGGAAGTTGGGTTGACATTAAAATTACTTGAAAATATTCCTGATCCATCCTTTCGAGCAGGTTGAACGGGCCGGAGCGGGACGGCATTCAGGCACAAGGCCCAGGCTCAGGACCCTGTAAGAATGAGAATTTAGGGCCGGCACTACTGTAAGCAAGCCTGGGATGTCGCCCCGTCGGTTATCGCTACAGCAGGGCGAGGTAGGGCACCACGTGTGGACGCCTGTTCCCCCTTCTTTTTTTCGTCCTTGTCGGCGAGATCCTCCCACCCTCAATCAACATCACAAATACAACAATTAAAAGTAGAATCCCATCTTTTTTCCCTTCCTTTCCAACCAGCTGATTAAGTAAAAGAAAACTATGCCCCCTTTTGCTTGCCCCCAATTGACACACGTGCTTAAATATGTGGCGGATCCGTATCGTACAGCCAGGATAGGAATTTCGACCGCGCCAACTGCAGGGACAAGACGGCTTATATGGGCCCAGAAAACTAATTATCGAACGAACAACCACTCGCTGAAGAGCAGGTCGAGGGCCATCTTGAAATACTACGTAAGGCCCATGCCAATCAAACCGAGCATGGTCGATGAACGGCTTGCTTATTCCGCTACACCAGCAACCAGCGAGGACTCTAAAGAGAGGGAGGGAGACAGAGGGAAAGGTTGTCCCACCCCTCCCTCCTCCTCTTCCGAGGGTGTGCCTGGTAGCTCCACTCATCGTTAGCCCACTTGCAAGCCTTCCCACGGCCCAAGGAAGGCCAAGTATAAAGTATGTAAAGACCGACGGTGCCCCAAAGCTTGGCGGGAAAACAACAAACCCGTGCCTCGTCTGTCTCTGTTTGCAATATTCTATTTTTTTTTATTCCCCCTTCCTTCTTTCTTTTCTTCTCTCAATTGGATTCCACAACTGCGCGCAGACATGTCGACTGCTGCTGAACATACCGAGGATCCCGGAAAGTCGGCCTCTTCTCCCGCTTCAGCCGCGGTGTCCGAGGGCGGCCCGACGAATTCACCACCAGCGCCAACAACGGCTGAGGGGCTGGCTCCGCAGGCCACCGAGGCTCCGCAGGCTGTTGAGACCTCACTACTACCAGCGACCCACTGGACTCAACTTGCGCAGGTAGGTCATCATGCTTGAGCTGTGTGTGTATGTGTGTATGTGTGTGTGTGTGTGTGTGTGCGCGCGCTTGAGCAAACTGCAATTGCTGAGACAGAACCCGTCTGTGTTACATAATGACAGGACCAAGCCGATGAGATTGAGAATGATGCAGACTCGGCTTTTGGGGATGTGGCCTCCTCGACAGACTCCATCACCTCCAGCATTCTCGAGTATAGGACGATTCATGGCCGTACCTATCATAGCGATTCCGTGCCTGGCAACGCTCAATACTGGTGAGGCGACGATTCCATCTCTCTGTGTGCTTTTGTCTTGTCTTGTCTTGTCTCACCTCGGGACTTTGGGGATCTTGGGCCGTTGACGATGCTGACTATCTCTCTCTCTTTCTTGTGTTGTCCTCTAGGGGTTCCAACGACAGCCAGCAGACTCAGCAAATGGATATAAAGTGAGCGATACTGCAGAGGGCCATGGCCATGGATGATGCATCGGGCTTTTGTTCTAACGGTCAACCACAGTCATCATTTCCTCACCCTCTGCACCGACAACAAACTCTATTTTGCTCCTATTGGCGATGACGTCCAGGTACTGATCGACTGACCGCTTGTGCTGGGGCTTGTGCTAACAACCTTGACAGAAAATACTCGATGTTGGCACTGGCACCGGAACGTGGGCAATGTATGCATGATCCCGGCACTACTTTCTTTCCATTCCTTCTCGTCTCTTTCTCTAATGAACGGACGTCCACTATAGGGACTTTGCAGATGACCATCCAGAAACCGAGGTCATTGGCACCGACATCTCGCCCATCCAGCCGCAGTGGATCCCGCCCAACCTGAGGTTCGAGATCGAGGACTGCACCTCAGAGTGGACCTTCGCGCCGACCTCGTTTGACTACATCCACATGCGCTATCTGGTCGGCAGTATCATCGACTGGACTGTCCTGTTCAAGGAGGCCTTTACCGCTCTCAAGCCCGGCGGCTGGCTCGAGAGTTTCGAAGGGTCGCCACACATGGTCAGCGACGACAACACTGTCCCCGAGAACTCGGCCATCGCCCAGTGGGGGCGCTTCTTCGAGGAGGGCGGCAAGAAGATAGGACGCTCTTTTATCGTCGTCGAGGAGGGCATCCAGAAGAAGGCTATGGAGGAGGCTGGGTTCGTTGACATCCAGGAATGGGAACTTAAGGTGAGTGCCTCCCCCCCCCCCTTCCCCCCCCCCAATTCTATGATGGCATGAGGGGGAATGTCCAAGTTTGCTGACCACGCATACACTCTCTTTCGCTTACTCGCCAGGCCCCCGTTGGTGGATGGCCACAGGACAAAAAGCTGAAGGAATTAGGGACTTGGGCGCAGACCAGCCTGTTGGCTGACATTGAGGGTCTTGTCCTATTTGTTGCCAATGTGATCAACGGCTGGACAAGGGAGGAGGTGCTCGTCTACATTGCCCATCTCAGGCGGGAGGTTCGCTCGAATAAGCACCATGCGTACTTCAAGGTGAAGGCCGTCTGGGGTCGCAAGCCGGAGGATGCATAAAGTAGGCTTCAGGATCGAAGTGACGAGCATGAATTGCTTATTTTATTTGGGTTTTTTTCCCTTCTTTCTCAGCGGGTGGACGGAAAAGCTTTGTGTGGGCATGCATGTATACTTTATAGCCTTGGGTGGAACTCTCGTTTAGCACGTATAGTGTCCAGCGCTGCTTTGTTAGATGAGTACTCTTTTTTCCTTCTGCTTGGCCTATCTAGCGCTTCAAAAATATTTTGATGGTGGGCAGGGGAGGAGGCAAGGCGCAGTGTGATCATGAGCATGACCTTTTCCGTTACTTTATAGCCCATCACAAGTCAGAACGAATTGGTTGCGTGTTCTTTCGACTGTCTCTCCCCCTCCTATTTTCTCTGCAGAACTTAAGCGATGCCTTGGGGTTGACATGCAAGCTATTTGACTTCAGTGAATATTGTTGGTGCAGCACTTGCTGCGTTCGGAGTAGATGCAAACATGGTTCTGGTTGTCCTCGGTCTTGAGGGCTCTGGAGGGGGACGCATAAATTCTGTGTACGAGTTGTGCGGTGGTTGGGAAAGTCTGCGGATGATGCCCCCATTGTGAATCTCTGGAATGAATCCATCCACATAGCTCTGGTTGGCCGAACTGGCGTGCTGTGCAAAAGGAGGAATGGCTTTCTGATGAGGTGGTCTGTCAGAACTTGGCCTTTCGGTCTTCGCCTGATCTCTTATTACGTTGAGGAAGCCTCTTCGGGATGGACAACACAACAGAATCTGCTCGCCGAACCTGGAAGCATTGACTGTGAGATGATACTTCTCTGGGTTCCTGTAACGAAGATCTCAAAACACATGAGGATGTTGTACGCACTAGGCTTTCTATACAATCTGAGTAGATGGTTTGTGTGTTGTTCCATAAGAGGGCGAAGGCGACACAACCAACAAAGATATCCGTTTATTGGCTAACGCAAGCAAGTGTGTGGGCATTCACACTTCACCATCACCACATCTGCTAGACAAGGACGCGATGCAGAATTTGCATTTTGAACCCCCCACCCCGGACAGAAGAATAGTTATAGACTTAGAGCGAGCTGTTCACATGCACTCGAGAGAATTCTTGGTGTCCGCAATGCAATGATCTCATGCTACCGTGAACGGTCCGATCATCTGTGAGGGGAAGACCGTTTTCCAAGGTATTGCGTGATACATCATTTTGCATGCGTAGTAACCAATTGATCAGCATTTCATCCTCACTTGGCATAATGATTTCAACCTTCTCTTCTTTCTCCTTCCCTCTCTGTCTTTCTCTCTCTCTCTCTGCATGCCTTGAATGCAGAAAAGAGCTCGGGATCATAATTATTTCCAGAATTATGCACTCGGCTGTATGACACCCAACCTGGGTGCGAATTTCCCCGTCATTCGAATCTCATCGGGCACCAAAAATATTGGAATCTCACTGTTGCAATGCAGTTCGGTTGCAGCAGCACATGAACCGATGTTGCAACGGATTTCACACAGCGTGTTACCTTGCTATGCATAATTTTTCCCCTTCTCCCCGGACCAAGTTTGACCCACGGAGGTTTGTGTTGTACCATAGTATATAATACGGGGACTCATGGCCCTAAAAGGAGCTAATCTGGTTGTGATCTACAACGTTTGGATGCCAATGTGGACCGGTGGATCGACAGGCCGAATTGGCGTAATAAGATCCCTAGAAACAGCCACTAAGGCTCAAATGCCGTACGCCATTAGGGGGCATTTGAATGGGTCCCTCGATGTAGCCGTGCGGGCGGTTGCAGTAGTATCCCGTGGACGACGACGGCGGGTGGAGAGTCAGTTGTAACATTGACGGCGGGGTTCGCAGAAGGGCAGAAATCATTATGGTCTCGCGACTCCCCAGCTCTATTTTTCGGAACCTCGAACCTCCAACCTCCAACGTCACATGGAACTATATATTTCAGCCCATTTTTATCACCAAAATGGAATCTCAACCTCAACCACAACCGCCCAACAACAGGCCACCCACCCAAAAACCCGCCAAAGAACCTTCATAAAAGAAACATTTCTGCGAGAGAGTTGTGTGCGTGAACAGAGGAAGAAAGAAGAAAATTACGAAGGAAATACAAGATGCCAGCCCAGCCATATCCTCACGTGCTCATCGTCGGTGCAGGCCTAAGCGGTCTGACGCTGGCCCAGATCCTGCGCAAGAACGACATCTCCTACGAGATCTTTGACCGGGACGCCTCAGCGACGGCGCGGGCCCAGGGCTGGGCGATCGCGCTGCACGGCCCCGTGCTCAAGGACCTGCGGGCGTCGATGCCCTCAGACATTGGGCCCATCGAGCAGACCAACCACCTCACGCCGCTCGACCACATTCCCGCGCAGTTCATGTTCTACCACTCGGGCAAGCCCGGCATGCGCATGGGCGTCAACGACGACGAGAGCGGCCAGATCGTCCGGGCCAACCGCCAGCGGCTGCGCGACTGGCTGCGCAGCAAGATCCCCGTGCAGTACGACAGACGCGTGATGCGTGTCGAGGAGGAGGAGGGGGGCGACAAGGTCACTGTCTTTTTCGAGAACGGCCTCTCTGCCACTGGTGACATTGTTATTGGTGCTGAAGGCAGCCGGAGTAATGGTAAGTCATTATTGCTTTGAGAGTGTTATTATTTCTTTGGGCCGGGGGAAAATGAGTAAAAGTGTCAAAAGAAAAGAAGAGAAAGAAAGACAATTAGTTGCTGACACCTTTTTTCTTGCAGTCCGCAAACATATCCTGCACGGCCAGGACATCATGAAGCCTCTTCCCATCGGCTCCCTGGTGGGAGAGATAGAGCTCACGGGTCGTGACTTTGAGCACCAGCTGGAACTCGGCCACTCGGCCTACATTGTGCTGACCGAGCTCGACAACCAGTGCACCATCTTTGCTGCGCTCAACAAGGTGTCGCCCGACGCCAAGACGGGCTACTTCTACTTTATTCTGCACTGGGTTGACAAGGCCGCCGCCGAGAGCACCGAAGAGAAGCCCTACTGGACCGTCACCGCGAGCCGGGAGGAGCTGGCTGCCTTTGCGAGGGCGCAGGTCAAGAACGTCCCCGAACACCTGCGGGTGCTTGTCGACAGGGTTCCGGTCGAGCGGTACAGGAAGCCCGGGATTGTCTTGCAGGGCGTCGAGCTGACGCCAGAGCTGCTGCCGGCTGGGAAAGTCATGGTCATTGGAGATGCAGCGCACTCCATGTCACCCTGTAAGTTTCATTTTATTTTATGGATGCTCTATTTTTCTTGCTTTATTTTCGACACTGTTGTAATACTGTTCTGACGGTGTTTTCGTTTTCTAGTCCGAGGCGAGGCTGGCGTGTGTGCCCTGACGGATGGGCTCAGCCTGGGCCGGGCACTCACGCAAATCAGAGACACCCAGGCCAAGGGTGCAGATTATGAGAAGATCATGGCCGAGTACCGCGATGACATGCTGAAGCGGGCCTCCAAGTCCATAAGGGTGTCGAACCCTGTGCTGGAGAAACAAGCGACCGACGCCAACTATAAGTTTGTCACCTGCGGCAAGGAAGTGGCCCCGTTGCCCAAGGAGACAATCACCATCACGCCAATTCCTCAGTAAGGGAACCAGTCCTGGTCTGGTCAAGATAGTCCTCTCTCTCCACCACAGATAGGTCTAAGGAGGGAATCAACGTATATATTCCGAGAATTGTGGATCCCTGATAAAGCATATATTGTATGTTCCTAGTGTGATGCAGTCCAGTGGCAATGGCTTAAGTGTATCGTTCCTGTTACAGAAATGTGCCTAGTTATGGTTATTGACAGGAGTCGAAATCTGGGAGGCGTTTCATAGTACTTGTCATCAGTGTCTGTTAGGACCACGCTCATCTATACTCTAACTGAGGGAAGTAATACTTTGATTGTCTATTCCTTTCGAAGGATGAGAGAGAAAACACTGATTGTCGATGGGACAAGCATTCATCGCCGCCCAGGGCAGGGGAAATCTACCTGGCGCAGACGGTCGAAACCCAGAAACATTTTCCCCTCAAAATTGAATCTATATGATGAAACCTCTCCTGCAATTTTTATTCATACTTCGAGATCAGAAAGGCCTCTGAGAGCGACTTGGACAAAACTTGATGTGCACCGAAGATTAGGCCAAGAGATAAGTAGGCTGTGGCGGTGGCGACAGTGGCGGGTGGCAACCATGCACCCTCTTCCTGCCCCCGCCTCGCCCTAAGATGCAGGTACAGATGAACGGCTCCGAGCTCAGCATGACGGAGAGGGCTAGAGGGCCTGTAGGCCTGTGCGTCCCTCCGGAACCACCGGTGCGATGGATGGGAATGAGAGACGTCACTATAGTTGCTTTTGACACCAATTATTGCGATGTATCCTCACCTTGCAGAGAAAGAAAGAAGATCTGCAAAAAAGAAAAAGAAAAGAGACTGAGGAAAAAAGAAAAAAGAAGAAAGAAGAAAGTAAAAGTAAAAAGAAAAGGAAAAGCAATGAACATAGGAAATGCGTGTTTTGTGTTGAGGAGCTGTTGACATTGGCTTCTTGCCCTATGCTCGAGGCATGAGTCTCGTCACGGCAGATCGCTGATGAGACGCGGAAAAGGGCCGCCTTAGGCCGCGACGAAGGGGCATTCTGACTTTCCTATGTCTATTGAAAGCTCCGTTCCCCACTGTCAATGAGTGGTGACAATGCGCATATGCGAGAAAACAAAGAGTCCAGACCGTTGCAGTTCCAGCCACGGAACCAGCCACGAGAGAAGCTACGAGACCAGCCACGGAGAGTTAGTAATGAATACACAGCATGAAAAGAGAACACCATCCGGCTCCCGGCCGTGGTCTCCTGAAGGCGCCGAAGACGCATCGCATTCATCCTGTAGGATGTTGGACCCGTAGTTTTGGAATGCAAACTTAATTATTCAACAGAAGATAAGAGTGGGCTTAGTTTGGTGGGTACAGTGGCCCTACCAGATTACCGAAACAGGAGAATGTTTGGGGGAGGAGAAAAAGAGGGAGAGAAAGGCCCACCATCGTCCCACGGGGGGACCACAGTACGTCTGTGTTTTGTGTGGGCTGCAAGGTACAACAATAGCATGAGTGATGGGAATTTGCTGATTGAATTGAATTGCTATGTTGTTTCCACAATTCTTTTTCTTCCCCGAGATCAAAACTTCGGAGCCACGTGAAAAAAAGGGCCCTTTGAGCCGAATGCGGACCGACTTTGTGTGGGGGAGTTCAATGATTTGGCCCAGGCCTCGAGGGACTAATTAAATGCCAACATGCCAGAATTTCCAAGTCATGTTCCCAACCCAAATACAAAGACTAGACACAATTCCGGGTGTCCTCTTGATTGAGACCTGCTACCATCAGTAATACGACAATGTTAAGGATCTGCCGTGTGGCGAAGGAATCCAACCCTGCCCTCTTTATCTTCTGAACTTTGATAACCAGCCAACAATCTTTTTTTGTACCACACCACCTCACCTACAAATGCCGAAGGGGGCCATCTAGGATCTGGCATAGAAGAACTGCAGTGATCGATTAACCTTCTTCTGTCCACCCAAGATAGAGATAGGTCAAGTGCCTCTTTACCTACTTGGGCATGCATTCCCGAAGCCGCACCTACAGCATTCACCATAGTAAAACAAACGGATCGAGCCCGGCGGCGGCACGGAGAAAAGACAGCCACGTCTGACGGTCCGAGGCTTAGCATGCTACCATGCCCTGGGCCTAAAAGCTTACTCGTAATTACTGTAGCGCATGCAAGCACACAAAGAGGAGACACTACCGGCTTGTTCGGATAGCTTACATACACACGCGAACCGATGGGTTGACCATTTGCTGCTGTGGACTTGTATGTATAAATTCATGCAGTAACGAATGAACCATTCCAGTTGATAAGATTGATCAGCCAATTTGAAATGCCCACTTTAACCTTGATAACGGCCACGGATCGTGACTGGCCTTTTCTTGTTTGGAAAAGATATGAATCAGCAAGGGCATAAACTCAAGCGGCGGATCCCACACCCCCATTCTCCAAGGATGAGAATTCTGTGGAGACAACCCTTTTGACTACGGTGCAGTCCCAAAGTAGGTACCAGTAAAAAGAACCCCGACTCTGCGCGCGCGCGACTCGTCAGGCACTGCGGTGCTGAGGCGAGACGGGTGGGTTTTCTTTTCTCGCTTGATCCCCTCTTTGGCAAGTCCAGACGAGAATGGGTCCCGGATTTAGCTAAGGCGACGAGGTCGATCCCTACATCATTCAGGATCTGTATAACTTCTTCTGACGACGACCGCGCTTCCCTCCTTTGAGCCCATCGTCCCCTTTTCTTCATATCTTTTACCCTTGTCCTTGAGGGCCTATATACATACCCAAGTCAAAGTACCAAGGATAATAAAGAGGAAAGCAGACTTCGTGCTCTCTTTTCTCTTTTCTTCTCCTCCTCATCTTCAACAAAACCCAAATCCCCCTTTAGGACTCTCTCTCCTTTGGGCCTTTGGCAGAATTCACATCATGGAGGAGCCACAACACCAGGCTGCTGCTGGTGGTGGCCACGACGATGCAAAGGCCCTTGAGTCCCTCGGCGTCAAGCAGGAGCTCCAGCGCAACTTCAGCCGCGTCTCCATGCTGGGTCTGGCCTTTGCCATCCTGAACAGCTGGACCGCCCTCGCCGCCTCTCTCTCTTTGGCTCTTCCCTCTGGAGGCGCCAGCGCCATCCTCTGGGGTCTGATCGTCGCAGGCCTGTGCAACCTGTGTCTCGCCGCGTCCCTCGCCGAGTTCCTGTCCGCCTACCCAACCGCCGGCGGCCAGTACCACTGGGTTGCCATCATCAGCTGGAAGCGCTTCGCCCGTGCCATCAGCTACTCGACCGGCTGGATTAACGTCGCCGCCTGGGTGTGCCTGACCGCCACCGGTGGTCTGCTGGGCAGCCAGCTGATCTTGGGCGTCATCTCGCTGATGCACCCGAGCTACGAGGCCGAGGCCTGGCACCAGTTCCTCATCTACATCGCCTACACCCTCGCCGCCTTCCTCATCAACACCTTTATGAACCGGCTGCTTCCTTACTTCAACAAGGCCGCCTTCCTCTGGTCCCTTGCGGGCTTCGCTATCATCTGCATCACCGTTCTCGCCTGCGGCTCTCCCAACTACCAGAGCGCCTCGTTCGTCTTTGGCGGGTTTATCAACGAGTCTGGCTGGCCCGATGGGCTGGCCTGGCTGCTCGGCCTCCTCCAGGGCGCTTTCGCGCTGACGGGCTTCGACGCGACCATCCACATGATCGAGGAGATCCCCCGCCCCCAGATCGAGGGCCCGAGGATCATGCTGGCCTGCATTGTCATCGGCATGTTCACCGGCTTCATCTTCCTCATGTGCCTCCTGTTTGTCGTCACCGACGTCGACGGAGCCATCGAGTCGGCCGCCGGTCCCCTCCTGCAGATCCTGTACGACGCCACCAGCAATAAGGCCGGCGCCGTGTGCCTGCTCATGTTCCCCATCGTGTGCATGCTCTTCACCACCACCTCCATCATGACCACCTCCAGCCGTATGAGCTACGCCTTTGCCCGCGACCGCGGCCTGCCCTTCAGCCGCGTCTTTGCCAAGGTCCACACCGGCCTGGACGTGCCCCTGAACGCCCTCATCTGGACCACCGTCTGGGTCATCATCTTTGGCTGTGTCTTCTTGGGCTCCTCCAGTGCCTTCAACGCTATTACTGCTGCCAGTGTCGTCGCCCTGGGCGTCACCTATGCCATTCCCCCTACCATCAATGTCCTTCGGGGCCGCAAGATGCTGCCCGAGAGCAGGTCCTTTAAGATGTCCAACTGGCTCGGGTGGTTGACCAACCTGGTAAGTTTCATTACGTTTTCTTTCAAACCACCACTCATGTATACACACGCATATATACATATCTCATGTATACAAATGAAACACCCAAAAAAAAAAAAAAAAAAAAAAAAAAAAAAAAAAAAAAAAGATGAAAGCTAACGGTTCAATAATAGGTCGGCATTGCCTGGACCCTCCTGACCACGGTGCTCTTCGTCTTCCCCCCCGACAGCCCCGTCACCCCGGACAACATGAACTACGCCGTTGTCGCTTTCGGTGTCGTCCTGGTCATCGCTGTTGTCCAGTGGCTCATCGACGGCCGCAAGAACTACGAGGGTCCTCACATCGACCCAGAGGCTATGAGCAAGGGCGTCGTCGAGGGCATCACGGGTGTCGAGAGCTCGCACTCGGGTGGCGAGACCTCTGACGCCAAGCTGGCGGAGCAATAAATGAGAACCGCCGCGCCTAAGCTGGGATAGAAAGTATAGACGCGGTCTTCCTCTTGTGTACAAAAAGAAAAGAAGAAGGGCCTCTGTATCTTGTGCAATATGAATCTTTTACGTGTTCAATCACTTCTTGTCGTACTTTCTTCCTCCCCTCTCTTTCTATTTGTGAGGACTCTTGTGTGTGTGATGTGACGAATATCTGTGCCATTACGATGACAAGAGTTACCGAAGAAGATTCACCTCATGGCTCAGTTTTCACAGTGAAGGATATATCATTTCGCCATTCTTACACGTCTCCTCCGAGGTCATTTCCAGATAACAGTCTGGGTCTGGGTATCACTGGTGGTTTGATGTGTCTGACCAGACTCTGGCATATGGGGAGGGACGATGTATTACGGTTAATTCGTACACTGGTCGTTTAGAAGGATCTCGATCCGCCTGGTCTTGTTTAGAGCAAAATAAGGTGGATTACTTGCCTGAAGGAAAATCACAAAAGAAAAAACAAATGAAATAATAAATGAAATCCTCAGGATATGCAAGATACAAAATACGGGGGGGGGGGTCTTGAAGGGTGTGGTCTGGATATGAACAAGCAAGACCACAAAAAGGAGGGGCATCTGGGAGAGCTGAAACATTGCAAACAAAAAAGAAAAAGAAAAAAGCAAAATATATAGCTACGATTGGTTTCGATCCAACGTCCTCCGGGTTATGAGCCCGGCGCTCTTCCCCTGAGCTACGTAGCTGATGAAAGAATCAGATTGCCAATATGTTTATATTGTTGCAATTTTCACAATGACTCACAATGGAACCCCCGTCCTGGTGTGGACCCGCCCGTGTGGGTGGCTCGCCGACTCGGGACCTCCGACCCGCTTCTGGACTCGGCCGAGCTTTGTACCCTTTCTTGTTTGAACGAGAACCTGGCACCTCAATTTTTTCACTGAACAAAGGCGCAAGAAACATTCTGAGGTTTTGGCAATATGCTCAAGTCTATAGGGAGGGAATCGAGGCTTGGTCTACCTGAGGAAGATTGCCGTGATGTTTGTATTGCTTCTTGTCCAACGACAGCAAGTCCGTCACTAGACAGCTCATTCTAGGCATGTCAGTGGCGGCCAGGATATCTAGAAGAAATTGGTAATAAATCCTAGGAGGTTGGTTAATAAGTTTAGAGATGTACACATGCAGAGTATCTGGCTTTCTGAAAACATAGAATGGTTGGGAATTGCACTGCTAACGACCGTCTACTTCTAATTACAGAGTAGGTCTAATTTGCCCAAGTGGCAGAGGGCTTAGCTCACTGCAGAAGCAGGCACAAGACCAGGATAACTCACCGATTCACCCATAGATCTTCACTCGATAGACTCAGTCTGTGGAAGTTCAGTATCCAATCTCGAGTAATTACTTTTGTCTATGACTTGACTGAATCGCAATGGTATACACACGTTGGTGATGTCCTTTTGAAGTACCTATTTGAGTATCTTGAAATTGGAAGATTAAGACGCGTGCATGACAGACTGAAGTTCCGACAAGCCAAGCACATTATTCTTTTTCCTTCTCTCCTTTCCTCCTTCACCTCGGACCACCAAGCGACAGCTCCTGACTGTTTCATCTCCTTCTCTTTTGTCTCTCTCTTCTTTACTCCTTCCTCTTTTTTTTATTGTGTCGGGGCGGGATGGGGCTGAATCCTCTACCCTAACCCTCCATCAATCCCAGATCGGCCCCACTCATTCTCGGCTGCGGCTCTGCATTTCACAACGTAGGCTTTTCCACCGTTCTCATCAAATCAAACCTCGATGTCAACGAGATCAGCATTATGGCATAATGTGTGGCATCCACGCTGTAATCTCTGCTTCCAAGCCGATCGGGATCCCAGCAAATCTGCAACGATGTCTCTGCAATCGCGGGCCAGACCACATCGCCACGCACGAGACACAACTTGGGAGTAAAGCCGATGCTGACGCGCCCACCACACGTTACCTGTCGTTCACGTCGACAGTGCTCGCCCTTCGCGGAGATCACGTTGCGAGACAGCCTTTTGTCGACCCATCCAGTGGCTCTGTCCTCTGCTGGAACGGCGAGGCGTGGAGATTCCGCCACCACGATGTCGCTGGAAACGACGGCGAGGCCATTGCTGGGCTCCTGGCTGGGGCGGTGCGCCGGGGCGAGACGGAGCGTGAGGAAGCCATTTTGAAGGTGTTGCGATCTATTGATGGCCCCTTCGCGTTCGTCTTCTTCGACAAGGCTTCCAAGAAGCTCTACTTTGGCCGCGACAGACTCGGAAGGCGGTCTTTGCTCTTTCGGCGTGACGGTCACCAGCTGGTGCTTTCAAGCGTCGCAGACTCTGTGGACCCTCAGTGGAAGGAAGTGGAAGCTGACGGCATTTATGTTCTTGACTTGGGAACCGATGGCTTTGGCGGACAAGCCTGTGAATTCGTGGCTCCTGCTACGGTGCTGAGCTGGCTGGACGACGAGAATACGATGGATTTCGTGAGTGGCCATCTGAGATAAACTCCGACATACTCCCATGAATATTTTGGAGAACGATTTCCTGGCTCACCTCTGCAGGTCTCCGCTATTGGAAGGTTCAATGATTCTGTACCGAGCAAAGAAGCCCCGCTTACAGTCGACTCAACCTCTGTGACAGCTCTTCGGCAGCACTTGACTGAGTCGCTGAGATTACGCGTCTTGAATGTGTTTGAACCGCCCGGCACTGAGTCCCAGCAAACTCCGACCAAGGTGGCTGTCTTGTTCTCCGGAGGCCTGGACTCTACCATGATAGCAAGAATGTGTCACGATCTTCTCCCATCGGATCAAGGCATAGACCTGATCAACGTCGCTTTCGAGAATCCGCGAGTAGCTGCGAACGCCAAGAAGTCGATGGATCAAAAGTCTGCCGAGTCTCTTGACGTCTACGAGGCCTGCCCAGACAGAGGCACAGGAAGGAAGTCCTTCGCTGAGGTCCAAGCGGTCTGTCCTGGGCGGGCTTGGCGCCTCATTGCAGTGAGTTTTCCTTTAGTGTGTATGCATGTGGTGTGTACATCTAACCTCCGTTGACACTTCCCATCAGGTCAATGTTCCATACTCGGAATATCTCAGCCACAAGGGTGAGGTCACCTCACTCATTTATCCTCACAACACGGAAATGGATCTTTCCATCGCCTGTGCCCTGTATTTTGCGGCGCGAGGCCAGGGCGTAGCTTTCACTGATGCCACGTCAACCTCCTCTACACCATACACCACCACCGCGCGTGTGCTTCTCTCAGGACTCGGTGCCGATGAGCTCTTTGGGGGCTATTCCCGCCATGCCGTGGCCTTCCTAAAGCAAGGCTATCAAGGCCTCGTCGACGAGCTGCGGCTCGACGTCAGCCGGTTGGGCAAGCGCAACCTGGGCAGAGACGATCGAGCCATGTCGCACTGGGGCCGTGAGATCCGTTTCCCTTTTCTTGACGAAGACTTGGTGCGATGGGCTATTGGGGTCCCAGCCTGGCAGAAATGCGACTTTGGGCAGCCTGATGGTCATGTTGAGCCCGCGAAACGGGTCTTGCGACTCTTGGCGCTGGAGTTCGGGATGATGGGTGTGGCCACGGAAAAGAAGCGGGCGGTGAGTTTCCTACCCGCCGGCCGTCCATGTGGTGACTGTTTCTCTAGCCTTGCTGACCTTCATCTGCACAGATACAATTCGGATCCCGAACAGCAAAAATGGAAAGCGGCAAGGTCAAGGGAACCACACTTTTATCATGATACCCCCCCCCCCCTTTTTTTTTTTTTGTTGGATCTCTTAGCAGTCAGTTGTGGTGGTGGTCGTGGTGCTGCCCCAGCCTGGCCGTGATGACACCACAGATACTTCCGAGTCGAGAGATAGCAAAACACTCGGTCAGCGCGACGACTGTGTTGTTTCTCCATTGAGAAACCCCTTTGTCGTGTCTTGGACTGGCTTTTCTCTGACATTGACGTCGTAAAAGGCAAGTCTGAGCCAGGCAGGCGTGGACACCCAGGCTGGTCGGTTCATAGGTATATAAAGGTGTGCGAAGACTATTTTTTTTTAGTCCGAGATCTGGCCTCAGATTTGGTCGCAAGCGCGTCATAATCATACCCAACTCATAACTAAGGCGAAATCAAGCGTTTCCATTCTATGCAGTTGTAGCTTCCGCTGTCATCCTTGTCCCGTCCTTTTTCACACGGCAGTAGACGCGCTGGTCGAAATCATGAAGATTGACTGCAGAATTTACACGTAAACCAAGGAGACCCGACTTCTACACCCACCCAATGTTGCAATCCCACCCACTCTGGCATTCGATATAGGCCATTCAGCGGAAGAGAAAATTTCCATACCTAAAGGTCTCACTCTAGCAGCCTTTTCTCCAGAGTAAAATATCGACGCAAAGCTTTCTGTACACTTACTCGTCATGCCTCTTTACAACTCATCTACAGGCAATTGGTGGCCATGCGCCATGCTATCTATGTGCACTTCGATGAATGTCTCAGCCTGGTTGGCCTTGTCATCTAATCCGTCATCCACGTTCCTGCTGTTGTTGCCCAGTGGATATGTGTATCGACCGGAATCAATATCCGCACGCCATCCCGCCATCTCCAGAGCTTCGTGGACCAAGCGGAGGAGAGCCAGGTCACTGCCTACAAAGAAATTCAGCATCAATGCAACCAGATCTGAAGTCATTCATATATCATGTATCCTTTTCCTTACCTCTGGCGCTCATGATCCCAGCACATATCGGCCTGTATTCAGTCGATCCGCTTACGCGAGACTCATAAGGAACTTGAGCAACTGCGCAATGACGTATCAGTTGGCAAAATCACGCACGAGACTGCCACGTTGCAGAGGTAGATCGACTTACAGCACACGACTAAATGGGGAGTGGCCAAAAGTGGTGACAGGAGTTGGGGATCGATGCCCTCAGACGCAGACGGCGCTCTTAGCACAGTTAGCATCTAATACCACGTGTGCTTATGATGAAGTGCAGCACAGGCATGAGTAGACGATGCTTCCCGTGGAAGTTACAAAAGAGAGTGAAATGGTCCTCAACTTACTCTGGAATGGCATCCCTGTATTTGGGTCCAGCAATTCCATTGGGCAGGAACATGATTCCGTCTTGTAAATGTCCTCGATCTGTGCGCATGACTGTTGTATCGAACCATGCCTTGAACATGCCAATCTGCCGAACGTACATGTCATATTCATGCTTTGTGACGTTGGCGCCGACGTTCCTGCAAATAACGTCAGTCAGGTAACCAAGAGGTCTCTCGAACCTGACGACTATGACATTCTTACCACCAATGGCGAGGGGAAGCCTCGACAAAAGGCTCTCTGCCAAATTCCTCGCGATAGCCGCAGCGGAACTGTTCTGAAACATGGTAATAATCGTAACATAGAGACAATGTAGGAGCCTAGGGAGAAAAGTCAGTTGGCTCTCACCGAAATGCCAGGGGGGCACAGCCATGGAGCTGGGGGCACGAACCTTCTTCATGAATTCATGCAAGGATTGACCGGCTCCGTGGGGGTGGACGGGGGGGTTTTCCTCCCAGATCTGGGTAAGGTTGACTGTAACCCTTTCGACGCCTATGTAAGTCTCCAAGATTCCTACAAACTGGTCAAACAATCGCTGATGTTCTGTGTCCGTCAAAGGAAAAAAGTCGGCCGGGAGTATGAGCTTCCGAGGTAAAGTCTTGTCTTCATCTTGTGTTACATCAAGGCTGTTCTCTACAATGAAGGCGATCTCATTCAGACTACGCCCGAAAATGCCGACAGTGTCGTATCGTCTTGATACGAGGTTAGCAGTTATTATTAGCGGAAGATTGTGGTATTAGTGGCCTTACGGAGACATGATTTTTATACCGTCCAGGGATGCTGACCCGAACGTTGGTCGGAGAGCGTGGAGGCCATGGTACGTGGCTGGTCCTCGAACGCTCCCTGCAGCTGTAATGTGGGAGACAAGTCAACATGTGCATCATATAAACTCTCACAGCAGGGCACATCATCTTACAGTCGCCCCCAATACTGTGATCGAGCCATGGGTACCCAGCAAGAGATGCTGCAGCCCCTGTTGAGCTGCCCGATGGATATTGATACCGGTCCCCGCGAGGATTTACTGGTGCTTGAAAGTCAACCCATTCCGCTCCGGTCGCGAACTGGGTCGTCTTGGTCTTGCCGACGATGATGGCACCCTGGTCTAGCAGCCGCTTGAGATATGGTGCATTTGTGGTGGCTGCAGGATACAACTCGGCCCAGGCTCGGCTGGACAGGGTGGTCTTCACACCCTGGATGTCAAATATGTCCTTGACGGACACTCGAGCACCAGCCAGAGGCCTGTCCGAGTCAGGCTTGTGGTAGAGACGACTAGGGACTGGGATCGACCTGGCCAGACCGTCCCAGGACTGGAGCGCTACGGCTTGGAAACTGGTCAACGTGTCAGACGGCATGCACAAGCTCGGGGCAAACTCAATAGCCGGATGGGACGCTCGTCACCTTTTTGGGCTGTAAGGATCATCTGGCAGTAGGCCAAAGGTGAAGGCATCGAGATCGTCCGGATACAGTCGCCACGCCTGGTGTAAGTTTCGACCGCTCAGGAAGTAGGGGCCTGAGGGCAGCTGAGCCTCCTCCCCCTGACGAAGAAGGTTCGGTCCGGGGCTCAAGTGGTACACTGAAGCAGAGCGGTCGGAGGCTGGATCGACGATGATCTTCAAAGGCTCGTCGGGCGCTGACGCAGATGTGGGAGAAGGCCTGACGACGATGATGCCGGTGAATTCGTCCGTGCAAACATCGTCATTGTCGACCAAGTAGTGCAAAGTATCCCACAGCTTTTCCGGCCCAGCACTGATCTCCTCCTCGCTCAGGACGACCACAGGTATGATCTGGTCTGCCCTCACGCTCTCCTCGACGGTGCCCTGTCGTCTCTTTTTAGCTACAATCCTTGCTTTGGGGGCTTCTCTGCGTCAGTCAAGTGGGAATGCGTGTTGCATACGAGGATTTGAGGGTGGAGGAGGTAGTCGATACCTGCAACCACGCAAGTGATGAGATGCTTCAAGGCCATCCTTTGGTTGTGCTGTTTGGTGGCAGATTCGCCATCGTAAATGAGTCGCTGGGACTTGACTGACGTAACGCTGTGCTATGGCTTGTCTCACGGCAGCTACAGTACCAGCTGACTGACCCACCTGCGGTGTTGGGCTTCAACTTGAAATGAGCTCTAGCCATTTTGAGTAGTTTTTACAACACCCAGATTCCGACGGCCATCCAACTTCTATTAGAGAGAGAGAGAGAGAGAGAGAGAGAGAGAGAACAAAGCAAAGGAAAGAGACTCGACGAGGATGTATACGATTCCATGTCTGTGAAATTCACCTCTCCAGTCTGAATTATATGAGATGCTATTCTTGCAACTCGTCAAAAAGTATACCACAATCACACCGCTCCCTGTCACTCGTGTACCGCGCTCAGTGCTCACAACTAGTACTGTTATTTGCATCTTTTTTTGGGAAAGGTGCTGCATTCAATTTCACGTGACGTGTGAGATCGAGATCGCCATCTTCATCGCTTACACGCATCCGAGAACTCGGAGTTGCGGCTAGGGAAGTCTAAGTCTCGTGGGCGTGTGCATGAGGTTCGGCAAACTTTGTTCGTGGTCTGGACCCGATACTTCGGACAGCATCCGAACAACATGCGATGGAAAGTTCATATCATGTGCGATGCTTGGAGGCCAAAAGGGAGGTCATATTGCTCATGAAATCATCTTATGTAATTACCACTCTACATTGATGTTATTATTCAGATGTTTCTGTTGAGCCTGGCTAACCTCTCAGTTGACTTGTCAAAGGACGGCCTGAGAATCGCCTCCAAGATGAATGAGTCGCGGCTCGATATCGCTTTCCATGCTCTTCTTTTTTTTTCTTTTTTTCTTTCTCTCTTTCTTTTCTTCTCACTCTCTTTTCCCCCCTTTATTCCCTCCTATGCCTCTCTTCCCTTCTGTAACACAGGTCATATTATTTGACTGCGATTCTAGAATGCTTCATGGACCATGACCGATGTTGGCCCCGCTTACAGCACGATGCCACATTTTCCCTGCCAAGGTAGTTTGTCATCCAATTAATCAGTTACGGATATTATTTCCTCTTCTACGGACATGTTCTCGAAAGATGAGGACGCACTTGCCTATCAACTTAAGGTTGCAAGCGAGTCATGATAGGTGAATATACTTTCTTCAATGCATTAACGTTTAACGTGTCCCGTAATTCCATCGTCTCTAGAGTTATCGCAAGACTAGGAGCCTGCTGGCCCTGGAGTTCGACGCATGTCTTCTCTTCCTCCCATTCTTTTTACCTAGGTATAGACGATCTCATGAACCGATTAGCAGTCAATTAGTTGTAAGCCATCATGTACAAATATTTAACCAGTTCCCGTGTCTCTGGATCCGGAGAAGACACAACGGCAGCACATCTATATCATCAGAAATTTTAATGTCTTATCACTGTCATCATGAGGGAAAATGTGACACTCGTTCTACATCGTCACCTCCACGCTCTCATACCGAGCCGTCAAGTTCTCCAGCAGGAGTCGAACATCGCTACAGACGATGCCCTGTCCTCGGGGGTGCGTTTCGCCCTGGCCTGTCTGATAGGCATCACCCTCTGGAACGCAGCCGAGATACTCCTCCGCGTCTGGTGGTCCCTCAGACAACGTGGAAGTCTGTACTTTTGGAGCATCATCACAGCCGCCCTCGGGATCCTGATCTGCGTCATATCACAGGTCATCAAGCTGGAGGTGCCGAGTCAGAGCGGCTCCGTCGCGCTAGCCATTGGATCCGCGGGCTGGGTGCCAATGGTAACGGGCCAGTCCGTCGTCCTATACTCGCGACTCCACCTGCTCTGGGATAATGCACGCTTGCTGCGGTATATTCTAGCTATTATTCTCATCAACGCCGTCATTCTACATATCCCGACCATTACTGTAAGCAGGTTTCTTTGTTCATTACCAAGCCCACCATCTGGCTTGCCTTCCCGGCCTTTTGAACACCTTGATGAGGTTAAAGGAAGGAAGGGGGAACGAAGATGATAATAAGAAGAAATAAAATAAAGGATATGCACCATTCTCTTACATCCCTTCCCTTCATCACAAGGATTGGGATATTCTATCATGTGTGCTGCCTTGCCTGTTGCTAACTTGACACCTCCCTTTAGGTGGGTATCGTGGCAGCATCTACCGACAGTAGTCCGCAGATCATCAAGGCGTACACCATCCTGGAGAGAGTACAAGTTACCATATTCTTCCTCCAAGAGCTGTGCCTCTCGGGCTTATATCTATGGCGATGCACCCACTTTCAAAAACAGTACGGCCGCCGGATGGGGGCAAGCGACACCGCCGCCATGACAAAGATGCTCTGGTCTCTAATCGCCATCAACCTGGTCGTCACCATGCTGGACTGCAGCGTGCTCGCCCTGGAGTACCTGAACCTCTACGTGGTTCAGCTGACCGCCAAGAACTTTGTCTACAGCGTCAAGCTCAAGATGGAGCTGAGCGTGCTCAACAGCCTGCGGGATTATGTCCAGCACTTTCGGAAGTTTGATACCGACTTCCAGAGAAAGGAGCGGCGCCGCATACAAGAGAGCATGGAGCGGCACTGGGAGTCGGCCCTGCGGAGGGCATTTGGAGCAAGTGCTGCCCAGGGCGCATCCCAAGGCGAGGAGGAAGATACGGATCACGTGGTAGAGGGCCGGCAGATCTTGGTCTCTGAGAAAGGAGTCTCCTCCAAGTCCGAGATAGTTTAATTAGACTAAAGCTACTGGAATAGATGAGGCAGGAAAATTAGACGGTGAAGCAGCATATGCAGGTGGAGTAGAACTCAAGCCTTGAAATGACTGCCTTTTCCTTTTTGTAAAATTTATCCGAGTAGACGTGATGAGGACTACCATACTGCTGTGTGTAGGCTCGCACTGCTGAATGATCATTCTGGGCTGAACAAAGAGCATCAACAACCATATCAAAGTCTCTGGTAACATATGACTTGTTTCACCTCCTCCCGGCTAAACCCGCTGGCCTCATCGGAGAAAATCACTGGTTGGGCTGCTCAGTGAAGCCTAGCTACCGATCTTGCTCCTCCTCCTTCTCGCCGTGGGCCAGAACCCTAGACCTTGACCCCATTCTCCTCCACTTTCTTTCCCTTCTCATTAAAGACGATAACACTAAAGGCATCGTAGTCACTCCCATCCACCAGCTGCCGGTCATCGTCCGCCTCGGGCGGCAACCAGCTGTACATGCCCTTGCCCGGGCGAGGCCACAGTCTCGTAAACGACGAGTCCTCTTCCGGGGTGAGGAGTTGGTGGCCCGAGGACGACAACCTATTGCCGTGCGCCTGCGCAGCGGCCTTGCTCTGGAGGCTTCCCGGGCCGGACCGGGCCTTTGCCATGGTAGATTTCTTGGCGTTGGCGGGGATCTTGCGGATGAAGTTGATGGGGCCTGTCGGGTTCGCCTCGGCGCGGCTGAAGAGGCCGTCGGTCGAGGTGCCGGCGAAGAGAGAGCGGGGCATCGTCGGTGATGGCGATGGCGCTGCTGCTGCTGCTGCTGCTGCTGCCGCTGTTTCCTTGGCGGGTGTGGATATTCTTGGGAAGATGGGTAGGTCCGGATGAAGATCGGTCGCGTGCATGAGAAGGTTGACGAGATCTGTCTGGGGGAGACTTGAAAGGTAGGCTCTCTTCTGTTGAAACGGGTTAGTAAATTCAGTACTGTGTGCAGCACAATCCGATCTGGCTGGGAACACTATATGCATCCTCCTGCTACGACTATTACTTACTTGACTGGCCGGTCTCCCAGCCCAGCTCTCCAGCCTGGGCTGCTCGACGACGACAGTCTTCTTCTTGGGCATCAGCCTGTCCCTCTTGGCCTGGCACATGGCACAATACCACTTCACATCAGGATCCCGCACCACCTCGTCCTCGATCCAAGGGTCATGACACCGTTGGTGCCAGGGGTCATTGCACCCATCACAGAAAACCATCTGGTTGGTGGCCGGGCTGTGCATGCGCGTGCACTTCTTGCACAGCGCCTGCTCCGTCGTCCGCTTGACGAGCTGGTTGCGCTTCTTGAGCTTGTCCTCTGCAGCCGGGTCGTACGTGTCCGGCTTGAGGATGTGTCTGCCTGACTTGGTCGTCGTTGGGGTCAAGGACGCCGCCGGTCTGGGGGTGCTCTTTCTGATCCCCTCGCCGTAGTCTGATGCCTCCGCCGGCGAAGACACATCGCTGACCTCGTCTCTGTTGCCGGGCTCGCGTTTGCGCTTGTTGCCCGCCAGTGAAACGGTCGACGTTACCCTCGTCGTCAGCCGAGGCGATGATGAGGCCGGCAGGGGAAGCGTGGCCGATGTTGTGCCAGGGGATGGGGTCGGTGCCGCCATCGAGGTTGACTTGGTGCTACTGCCGCTCATGGTGGCCACGATGCGCTCCCTAACACTGTCGTAGGCTGGCTGGGGAAAGCTCGGCCTCGGTGCCCCCTCCGCGGTCACTGCTGCAAGGGCGGAACCCAGGCCGCCTGGCTCGCCCCGCATCCGCCTGAGAATCATCTGGGTGGCGGCTGAGAACTGGGGCACATAGGGTCTCCGAGTTGTGCTTGACGAGGGAGCTGGTTTGGAGTCGTTGCTGGTCGGGTTGGAGGCTGCGGGTGCTGGTGCGGCGTTGCTTGAGGATGGCGTGGCTGGAGCGACAGGCGCCATCGTCGGCGCCTTCGTTGCCGTTGTTGTCGTACCTGCTACTTGATCTATGTCCTGGGGCTGCGCTGATTTATCATCAGGCCTGGGATCACCTGTGCTGCGACTTTGCTCGGCCATCTTGACATGCAAACCCTCAGGCAAAGGCAAACGCAACGGGTTGGACGAAAATTAAAGTTGCGCGGCAGACATGCAAAGTTGAGACGAAAGTTTGCGCTTTGGAACGGTTAAAGGACGAATCTCAAAGCAGTTTGGAGAACGTGGTACTCATCGTATATGGGGTAGTAGACTTGGGGTGGTCTGACACTCTATTAGAAGTTAGAAACGCAGCACGTGCAGATCACGTGACTGTGGGACCGGACGGGGACCAGCACCTGCCACCTCGGTCCTGCAGGCGTTTGGGGTAATCTCCATGAAGGCAATCTTTGGTGAGACGTTCCTTTTCTTTATGAAATGACTGGAACCTCTGTATACTTAGCAGTTAATGTTCCTGGATCGAGCCTCAGAACATGCATCGTCACCGCAGGCTGTTCCACCTGTAAATTGTTGTCTAATGCGTCTAGTCTAGCGTCACCTCACCACGCCCTTCTCTTTTAGGCTAGTAATCTGGGTCTCATCATACCCAAGATATTCCTTGAGCACCTCGTCCGTATGTTGACCCAAGGACGGCGGTGGCGTCCTGAGCCCGGGCTTGCTCCCTGAAAACTTCATGGGCGTGTTGACGAGCTTGATCGGGCCGCATTCCTCATGATCTGCCTCGATCACCATATTGCGCGCCCTCGTGTGCTCGTTCTGCAGCGTCCCCTGCACATCGTTCACTGCAGCATAGGGCAGGCCGCTGCCCTCAAACACCTCGAGCCATTCCTGGGTTGTCTTCTGCGTCGAGACCTTCTCGATTTCTGCCTCGAGCTCGTCTCTGTTGGCGACACGCTGCGAGTTGATCTTGAATTTAGGGTCGTCCTTCCACTCTGGCTTCCCAAGGCCATCGCAGAGGATGCCGAACAGACGATCATTTCCGCCGCCGAAGAGGATATCGCCATCCTTGGTCTTGAAGGCCTTGTATGGAACGATGGATGCTATTTTGCTGTCAGCCCCCGATCGAGCGGTGTAATTTTATGTGAATCAAAGGAAACGGGTGGGATCCAGAGGGGAAGATGAAAAGAAGGACGAACGATGTGCGGTGCCCCATCTCCCGGTGTCCTTTGCCCCGCTGATGAGACAGCTGCTTGCAATGTTGGCCAGGGTGGCCGTCTGACAGTCGCTCAGAGCCACATCCAGGTGCTGGCCCTTGCCGGACTTCTGCCGAGCCAGCAGGGCGGCCATGATGCTGTTGCTCGTGTACAGACCGGTGGTCAGGTCAGTCACAGCCACGCCGACCTTCACAGGTGGTCCGTCTCTGGTGCCCGTGATGTGCATGAGTCCGAACTCGGCCTCGATCATGACATCGTAACCGGCGCGTTGTGAGTACGGGCCGGTCTGACCGTACCCCGTAATGGAGGCATAGATGAGCCCAGGGTTGATCTTGTGGATGGTCTCAAAGTCGAGACCATACTTCTTCAGCGCGCCTGGGATGTAGTTCTCTACCAGGATGTCACACTTGGCGGCGAGCTTGTGTAGGATCTCGACGCCTGCTGGGTCCTGGAAGGATAGAGCTAAAGATTTCTTGTTCCGGTTGACCTGTTGGTGTTGTTGTTGTTGTTGTTGTTAGCTGTAGTACATGCTTCATCACACGGAAGGAAAAAAAAAAGAGCTGCTCACACCTAGGAAGTATGCTGCTTCCCCAGGGCCCTTGTGGTTCGAGTCGGCCTTGTATTGAGCATAGGGAGGGCCCCACGCCCGGGTATCGTCTCCACGGACGGGGTGTTCGATCTTGATCACCTCGGCGCTGCATACCAAGTCTCAGTTCTTGTTGTGTGTCTAGAGATGATTGGAATACAATTGGATGGGCAGGAAGAGAGACCCTTACCCAAGGTCGCCCAAGATTTGAGTACAATATGGCTGCCAGAAGTGATTGTCAGTAAAGAGTCCAACTGTACAGGCAAACCAAGGAGGCAACATTACGCCAGCCAAGACTCGGGTCATGTCAAGGACCCGATATCCCTCCAGAGGAAGCAGCCCAGGGGCGGCAGCAGGTGCAGCCGTCGATGAGTGCCGAGACCCAAGGTGGCTGCGGCCCACGCTCAGGTTGTACGTTCGGCGTAGGTGGTAGAAGCCTCTCGAACCTCTCCATGCACGGCTCACGCTATTTGTCGCCATCTTCGCGTGCATTGGACTCGTTGCATCCACCTCTGTTTCTGCAACGGGTCGTCGGCAAGCAGGTGGTCATCAAAAAAGCATCGTACTGGTGACTGCCGCGGTGTTTGGGGGCGGAAATGCAGTGGTGGCGCCTGCGTTGCCGGTGCCAAGCACTGCGCCGAGGCCCACTATCGACGGGATATGCAGGCAATGTTTACTCTGCCAAGGTGTCACTCGCTCACTAATAGCTGCCGAGCTGAGTAGCCTCGGCATTTCGCAGCCGGTTATTCCATTTCTTCTCGAACGATTCCACTTCTTGTAACGATTACTTGCATAGATTGCCAATGTCAGGGTCTGGAAAGGAAGTTATTCACATTACCGTCATGGCAAACCTCTTGAGAAAACACTCCATCCAATAACACCCCCTCTCCCTGGTTGCCATTGGAATGACAATTGAGTTATTTTACCCCATATGTCTTTCATGTAAGTGTCGCAACAATGAATCACATCTCCTCTGTAAGCGCCAGGCGTACTCGCTTGTGGAGCTGAGCTCTGCACGTCAGTTATTCCCAGCCAGCTTCCTATTTGAGGATTGTCGTGAAGCATGACGTGCCTATATCCCTACCTGGCCAAATCCTCCAGAGCTTGTGATTATCTATTACACTTTCATCCGTGCAGATGGCATCATATGGCAACAGTCAGCTTTGGCATTACTATTAGTAAAATTAATTCATTGTCAAGGTGATCCCAAGCTCGAATACAATCCAGAATATGGCGACAGAATAGGTCAAATAATGGCATTGTATGTATTGTCTGCATTGTCAGACGCCTCGGGCGAGACTTGGTCAGGGCTAGTCTCTCGAGACCTCACCTGCATAAGTACCTGGGAAGTACGTAGACATCTCTACCATGTTATGCTAAGCTCAGCTCATCACTGCATTGGGGCAATGCGACTTCACAAAGAAGAACAGCAAAGCATCTTTTCTTTGGCTAGTTCTGATAGTCCTTATCTTTCAACACTTGGTGTGCTGCATTCTATGTTTGCCACGCTACCAGCCTCCTACGTCGTAATTTGCCGCATCTTGGCCCCAAAAACGTCTCTGTATCTTGAACTAGAACTAGAGAAAATGTCCGATATGCAGGCTATTGTCATTGAGCCTTGATATACGCAAGCAATGACTGGCGGGTCTATTTTTCCCGTTGCTTCTCAACGTCCCACCTCTTGTTGTATCCATCCGCGTACATACTTATGTAGTATTGCCCTGCAAAGGTCTCGAATGATACCGTCTCTTGATGGGTTGTCGTGCTTCACACCGATTCAAGGCGCCCTGGCCGAGACTATCTTGAGACTTTTTACTGAAACAGGAAGGCAAAATGGTGTTTATCTGGCTAGACTGAGGATTGCTTGCCAATTACGAGATCAACGAGATGCTCCCCCCCAGTCGCCAAGATATCGTTGACCGGGCCCAAGCTGATCCTTGGCCTGTGTGACCTAGCTGATCAGCCCAAGGGTACCACAGCAGTGCCCCCCCCCCCCGCACTACCGGCTGTTGACGCGATGCAATCTCCACATAACGAGAAATAGAATTCGTGTTCGGGCCGCTCAGCGGCGGCCAGTACCGCTGACCATGCGAAGATCAGTCAGGCGGGGGCGGGAGGCGGGGGAGGGGAAACACACACACACACAGAGAGAGAGAGAGGAGGGATCGGCTCTTCTTCATGGTGTACTTTTTTATATATTGGTTGGAGCTGAGAATTCTATTGAGGGCTGACCAAGACTGATCTTGAGAAGTAAGTACCTAGAAAGCAAGTATGTAGTTCTCTTAAAGGTCTTTGTCCGCGGAGACACATCCCACTACAACCATCTATTGCGTTCACTTTTTTAGCCCATTGAACTGCATGTGATTGGTTATCGACAGTTTCGTCAACGTCCGCGGGCGCCACCTGCAAGGTGGATCACACCTTTGTGTGGTACCAACGAGCGCAGGTTGGTAGTTAACAACCATGTGTATTTTGGTTTCTATTCCTTCTATGTTTCGTTTTGCCACCTCCTCATGCCAGTCCTCTAGCACGTCTTTGATAACGAACGATTTTGTCCCTCTTGGCGAAGTGGCGTGCGAACAAATCATGAGGCTGCTCTTGAAGAAGAGTGTGGTTCGCCAAAAAGGCGTCGGTTACCGGATGGCGGGCCAGACCGATTTCAGCTTAAGGCCATCGTCGCAACCGGCGGAGCAAAAACTGGTACACAAGTAAAGATGGCTGTCGAAAAGAAGGCTTCTAGAGAGCACCACGTTGCAGCGCCCCGCCGCACCCCCCACCCTTTCCGTGGTGCGTAGTCCTGAGCTCGAATTGGCTGTCCCCGCGGCTGAGCTTACCCAGGCAATTAAGCTTGATTTAGGGCCTGGTTTTATAGACGGGCCAAATTCATTAATTGGGAAGGTAGTACCGCATATGCTGGGTGTGGTTCATATTGGATCCAGATATTCTCTGTATATCCACATCAGCTGGACGGATCCGAGAGGTGTCGTGCTGATAACCACCAGGCTGGTAGGGTCACATACGTTACGGCTTGGGCCGCTTCAGTAGTTGGACCCTACGATAGTATCTGCAGAGGAGAGTATTGAGAGAGTTTGTCTAATCAGTATCAGCACGCCTTTGATGATACCTTGAACGTGAACACCGTGAAGAGGGGGAGGGGCGGAAAGAGGGTGAAGGGGAGGGAAAGAAACATTATAAAAGCACCATGATTCCCTCGTCGAGATCGAGAGTTCATTCTGTGTGACAACCCAGAGCATCTTCTGATAGAGTCTCCTCGTTCAAAGGTTTATCTTGCAATTCCCCCCTTCAGCTCCCAACTTTTTCGGTCCACTCCCTCGTCCCTCACCTTGTCAAGATGAAGTACGCCACTGTCGTCGCTGCCCTCCTCGGAGCCAACGCTGCTCTTGGTGCTCGTTTCACTGAGAAGCGTCGCGAGCGTAACGAGGCCCGCCTTGCCCGTCGCTCGGGCTCGGTCCGTCTCCCTGCTACCAACAGCGAGGGTGTCGCTATCGACGCTGCTGAGTCTCGCAATGATACCACCAACGTCGAGTACTCGTCCAACTGGGCTGGTGCCGTCCTCATCGGCTCTGGCTACAAGTCTGTGACTGGCACCTTTGTCGTTCCCACCCCCAAGTCCCCCGGCAGCGGCAACACCGAGGTACGCTATATTTAATAATTTAACATAGTCATTCTATTCCCGCCTGTGACTTGGAAAGGGCAATCTTTTTACTCACAAGGAACATGTATATAGTATGCTGCTTCTGCCTGGGTTGGTATCGACGGCGACACTGCCCAGAACTCTATCCTCCAGACTGGTGTCGACTTCTACGTCGAGGGATCCTCGGTCGCCTATGATGCTTGGTACGAGTGGTACCCCGACTACGCGTAAGTATTGATCATTCCCATCTTCCCCTCTATTGTCCTGCTTCAGGCTGACGCATATCTTGCCTGCAGTTATGACTTCTCTGGCATCTCCATCTCCGCTGGCGACACCATCAAGGTCACCGTCACTGCTACGACCACCACCAGCGGCACTGCTGTTGTCGAGAACGTCACCAAGGGAACCACTGTCACCCACACCTTCACCGGCCAGAGCGCTGCCCTTCAGGAGCTCAACGCTGAGTGGATCGTCGAGGACTTCGAGGAGGGTGACGAGCTTGTGCCCTTCGCCAACTTTGGCACCGTCACCTTCACTGGTGCCGAGGCCACCACCTCGTCCGGAACTGTAACTGCCGCCGACGCCACTCTGATCGACATTGAGCAGAACGGCGAGGTCCTGACCAGCGTTACCGTGTCTGGCAGCACCGTCACCGTCAAGTACGTTTAAGAAGGACCGCTAATTCATTAATTGTGCTTCTGGGGAAGAGGGAGAGCTTTTCACCGGGAAGGGGGAGGGAAGGGAGGAAGAACAGGGAGCAGAGTCCACGGGGGTTTGTTGAGGACATAATTCGTACGGCGGCACCTAGTTTTCTAGGTTGTCTATTCCTTTCATACAGAACAGGTTCAGACCTTTCTGGCTCATTTGGACATAGCTATTAGCTGAACGTTAGTTGTATAGTCTGCTTCAAATCTATAACTGGACATGCACAAACTTTTGGCCTCTATGCAACTACAATGTGTGTTACTATGCTCTGAAACTAATCTTACAGGAGCAGACTAGTAGAAACTGTCCCGAGCCTGATGTAAAAATAGTACCTTGTAGTCTGTGATTCTCTTTGGTTCAATAACGGCGTTGATACTTCCACAACCCCCTTGTATAGCCTCTTCTGGAACTCTGAGCTCTGAGTTCGTCTTCTTCATAGTCTGCTGTCGACCTGTTGCGTTTTGGTTCCTCCTGCTCTTCACCATGCTGTTCCTGTTGTATATCCATGTCTTCAGCCAGGTGCTCTTCCTGTGGTTGCTCCTGTGGGTGCTCCTGTTGCTGCTCCTGTTGCAAACCTGTGTCCTCACCAAGGGCTACCCTCACCCTGGCGACAGTGTCTCTCAGAGCTTGTGGCATGGCCTCCTCATTTAGCATCCCAGAGGACAACAACTGCTGAATGTGAGTCCGTACCATCGCTTTCAGAAAATCTTCCATAACGGTTGCCGTCATTTCTTCTCTGGCCTTTTCGCCTCGCCGGACCTCTTGTTCCTCAACATAGACTTCGATGCAATTCATCCAGGTCATCATCAGATTTTTGACATTCGGGTCTGTTATACGCGACATTTCGGCCTGCGCGGCAGGATATAGGCGATTGGCGGATTGTCTCGCCTGCAACCTCAAGGCCATCACTGCGTCTCGCCGACTCAGATCCTGCCTAGGGTTGTCCTCGATGTAGTCGGGCTCCAGAATATCAATCATCTCATTGAACTTCTCCCTAATTGTATCAAGGCCTCCAAGTAAGCGGCGGTGGTCAGCGACTGCTTGGTCCATTCTGTCGCGAGCCGTGAGGATAGCAGCCCATTCGTCTTGGTTGTTGTCCCCTAAAGCGCCCAGCAGTTTCTTCCACACTTTGGTTTCCGGTTCGTCTTGCTCGTCGTCGGACAAGTTGCTGGCCATGTTGAGGTCGCCATCCACCTGAAGGAGGGTCAGGACCGGCCGGAGAGTTTGCAGGCCGGTACTTAACTCCTTCATATAACGGGCATGGATCTGTACACGTTCACTGTATCTCTGCTTGTGGTACGAGGCAATTAAGCTGAGGTAGTGTTGCACATTGCGACCCACAACCTGAAGAAATCCAAGCATACTCTCGATGGCCCGTCGTAAGCCACTTGTGATCCCGTCAAGGACCTCTGTTGCAGTTGGGCTGGTCATATCGGGAGTAGACTTTGTCTGGTCGCTCAATACAGCCTCAAACTCTTGTCGGACAAGCTGATAGTTCTCTGTGACTGCATAAGATAGCCTTCCCATCTTAAAGAGGTTGTCTTGCCAAGTCAGTTGCTCGTAGTAAAGTTGTCTTCGAAACATTTTCCCCTCGGCTGCTTGAATCGTGCGGTCCCTGAGCACCCCAGCAAGAATACTTTGTCTGGTTAGTAACAATGTCTTGACCAACAAGCTGCTGATATAAGAGAAAGAAGATCTTGATCGCCGTATGAACTGCCCTGGGATGATCTAGCATCACCCTACAAAACTATTTTCTTCGCTAATGCAGGATAGCTGCTAGAGATCTGCAATCCGAAGAAATACTTACTCATGTTTAAACCAGGCCAACATCTCCCATCCTTCACTGAAAAGGCTAGCCAACCTCTTGCTTCTGAGGGATATGCCTAATACATCACCAAGAGCGTTGGCATCGTCCATGCCTATCCAAGTGGCACGTAAGAGCTCCCAGGAAGTAGGTATTGCGCTGCCATCGTCACCCGTCGGATAAGGCAACATTCGAAAGGCCTGATAGCCGAATCTTTGTTGGGTTTGCCACCATTCTGCACAGTGATTAGGATGCAGTGCTTTTATTCAGACCCAGAGTCTTGACGACAAGGGGTTCGTACCTTGTCTAAAGAACTTTGTCATCTTGTTAAGAGGAATGGGCCACAAGGTGTTAGACGCAGGTGTGGGCTCCCCTATCAATCGATTACTGTAAGGATCGTTTTCCGAAGAATACTTTTCATTCACTTGATCCCACAGCCACGGCTCGTGATGTCGATTTGGCCAGCTTCGGAGCGCGCAGATGGACGACCAGACTTGGTGGCTAACATAGCTCAGCGATTTGAGTCCACCGCCCCAGATCTGCATGCACATTCAAGATTAATTACAGGTTTTCTGCTGACCAAGAGTAATCTCCACACTGCACTGCTTGATGATGCCGCAAATGTGGCAGCCAGGAGGATCCAGCTTGAGCTTCTCCTTAATGATTTTGACAAGTGGACCACTACTTTACCTGTGCTTCGAGATTGATGCCCTCTTCAGCATATTCTGCGTCTTCAAAACTGGAACTTGTCAGTTTCCTGCGTATTGGATAGGCATACAGGCCGCTTCCCCGCTCAATGCTGTCACTATCATTGAACTTGGGGCAGTTCTCAAGTGGCGACGTCATAACTATCTGCGAGACTGCGAGGGCGATAATCACTCACAAGAAGGTGCCTAGATTGCCGCCGTCAAACATCTCATCGCAGAGCTCCCGAAGACAAGTCTTCTGCTCCTGGCTAGCGAGAAAACCACATGCATCCAGGCGGTCAGGATCATGAAGGATATATTTATGAGCATCTGACACGATCATGGCCAGGGTTAGAATTTTGGACCAGTTGAACAACTGAACCATGCGATCACGAGAACGTAAATTCGAAAACAACAGACAACACCTGGATATCTGTGTCCAAGGGGGAATTTCTGTTCGGGGCTCTGACATTGCCACCGCGATCTGAACTCACTCGTTACAGCATGCTTGTAGAAGTTAGCGAGCGTGTTGCTTGGGGTCCAAAGAGGTTTCCTATAGCGGAGCATCAAGGAAAGCATACACCTAGCTCGTGCAGGAGAGTAACTGCCAACTGCATACGGAAGCCGGCCTTCTCACTCTCTGAATATACCGGGTTTATAAGAGCCCAGATAGTTGTCGCGCCGAGGAGAATCACTGAGCTGATACCACCTTTTCCGACCCATAAATCGTGGCCCAGTTCTGTAGCCCCAGGCCCCGCCGTTATAGCAAGTCGTATACCTGATCAAGTAAAGACTGTGAGCGAAGAAGAGAATCTTGCGAATCACATGATTGATATCTTACTTGATCGTAGGGTGCTGAGCATGGCTGCTTGCGAAGGGAATTCCAACTCCTTGAGCCGGAAGGCAGCAAAATACTGACGAAATGATGTGGGTTAGTCTTCGTATTGAGAAGCGCAATCATAAAAGATTCGGACGAAACCCCATAGTCCTGAGTGTGGCTATAGAACATATGCAGACAAAGGGAGGGAAGTGCGTGACTGGATGCTGCACGTACCATCTCCTCCTCATCCTCTTCTAACCAGATCGACACATAATTCTTGCCTGGAAAGGGTCGAGGGTCTCTATCGTAAGGCACTGGACGCAGGTGGTACAACGACGTGACTGCGTTCCAGTAAGGGTGTCCAGAGCGGAGGACACGCGTCACCATCTGCAAGACTGGCTTCACTGCCGACCAGATGCGGTCGTCCGTCTATATAAAATCCTGTAGAGTTAGAGATGATGCTCCACCGGGAAACAGTTGAAAAATCGGAGGATTTGTTGTAATTAGTAGGAACATACCATGCTATACTCTCCTTGCGAGCCATCAATGTTCCACCACGTTTTGCAATTGAAACCGTATCGTTCCGCAGTCGTTGGTGATTCTTCGTCGTCCCACAAAGTCTGGGACCAGCGGTCACGAGAAAGCATCCTTGATTGACATTGATCAGCTTTCTGTAGCTATTGACGTATTCAAGATAAACAAAAATAACGAAGCTGATGAAAGAAAGCTGATGAACCTACGGGTCAATATCCTCATCTGAGATATCGGCTTGCAGATCAGGCGGGCTAAGAGGGAGCCCTGGGTTATGTGCGCCTACAGCCTCTAACTGAGGCCAGTTTCATATCATCTTAGTGAGTGCACTCTAGCGATTATCACGTGTGCTGTTGGAATTCATGGCTTACTTCTGCAGTAGTATATCCAGCAAAGGCGTGGATCTGGTATGCCTCGTCGAGATCTATATCGCGCTCTGGGGGGTTCTGCAGGTTCGAAGAAGGTGGAGGCAGACGCGACTGGATATCGTGGGTCGGAGTCATTTGAGAGTATCCTACTATATCTTCGGGCGCATCGGGATGTATACCAAAGCGTCTTAGAAGAAGAAGAAGCGGAAGAACTTCTATGTCAACTTGAAGAGTACACACACACGTTCCTGAGGGAAACCTGGTGAATCGTACCGTGCATATTGTGTAGGGAATCGTGCCTGGTCCACCGGCAGCATAGCAGGCCTCGCAGTGGAAAAACTGTCACCAAACATCCTCCGTTCCATCGCCCCGTCGGGGCTCACCTCCATGGGCCATTCTGGATCCCATTGCGGATCTGTCCAGAAAGGCACGTAGTAACGAAGCCTCTTGTCCCGTGGCAGCCACCTGTTCGTGATCACGGCCTCCCTTTCGGCGAGGTGCCTCGTGAAATGTAGGAACGGGTCGTCCTCAAAATCCATACGAGGCGGGACATAATCGTCTGGTCGGTAGTCCGGGACATCAGAGTCGTCATCCGAGTCTTGTTCGGGCTCTTCTGGGGCGTGGGGATCGGAAGCCGGCTCTGGATCTTGGTGAGCATCTTGCTGCTCCTCTTCGTACTGCTCCTCTTCGTACTGCTCCTCTTCGTACTGCTCCTCTTCGTACTGCTCCTCTTCGTACTGCTCCTCTTCGTACTGCTCGTCCTCGTGTTGTCGTCCTGCATATTCCTGAGCATCTTCCTCCGCCGCCGCCATCTTATCACCACGGCCCGCCTTTCCAGTCATTTTCCAAGCTCGTCCCGTCAAACCTCAATCGAGTTTCTGAAAAAAAGGAGACAGGGAAGAGAAGAAGAAGAAAAAAAACAAAAAAAAACAGCGCCTACTGAGCTGTTCTGTGACGTCTGCAGAATACATAGTGATACAAGTGGGGATTTCCTCCTTGTTTCTCTTTTGAATATTTCTTTGACCAACAATAAGGAGCAACCGTCATTCGTTTCCATACCGGAAACGGCAAGTCAGGAAAGTCCTGTCTGTACAGAAAGAAAGAAAGAAAGCGAAAAGGGTGAATCAGCAAAAGCTCCCGCGGGGACAAAGGCCTTTATGCAGACTGAGGAAATTCGGAAAAGAGCTGGTTGTTGAAAGGCATTCAGTAGATTTGGCATGGGATTAACATGGACCAGTCTCAATTCAGGATACCATTGTTGCTCCCTCCTCGAGTCTCGTGTGCATTCTTCAGTGTTTCATCCATCGAGTCTTCAGTGTACTTCAATACTTTAATTATCATGGTCTCGAAGTATGAAGCTGTTAGTTAAGTCCGCCGACCCAAGCCAAGAAAGAGACACCTAATTATGGCTAAAATTGATAGGCTACACGTCAAGAACCCTCCCTATATGTGGAAGAAAGTTGTATACTCTGTTCAAAGCAAGTAACAGCAAGTAGTCATCACAATCAAGGGGAGTCAGGGACCATCGTGTATTTCAGTAGCTGCATAGGTATTCACCTTTGATCTTTCGGAATGTCTGGGCCGAGGCAGGTGGGCAGACAACAGGCAAGACCAGCATGGTGGTGGCCGCATACCGCCCAGGTCTTGGTGCAACCACCTTGACCAGTATATCGAAGGGCTCGAAGCCGAATGCTCTGAATTCCACCACGCATATATACTTTCTCAAGCCAGCAGTATCGAACAAACATGACCTATACTGACAACGCAACGAAGCCCCTCTCTCCTGGGCTTTCAGCATGTCAGCTTTATGGTAAGCAACTCGATGCAAGCCAAATCTTTGTGAGACCGGCTCATCCCCCACTCACTCGACAACCAAGCCCTCAAGAACTCTCATGGCTCTCGTCCCTTCCTTCTCAAACGCCATGACCATCGCCTCGCACTCATGCTTCAGCTTCTGCTCAGCCTGGCTCGCGTTGTGGTAGACCCACTCTTCAACCGTCATATTGCGCTCGAGGTCCGTCAAATTACCCGCGTTGGCGAAGAACCGGCTGGCAGCGCTGCCAGCACCGGCATTCTCCTGATTCTCGAATACAAGCTCGAGATCCACGGCCGTCCACTCTTCGGTGCTCTGTAGACCGCTAACAACGTTTGGCTGTTGCTTCGAGGGAGACACGGGCCGCTGCCGTTCTGGCGTCCTGATCGGCAGAGATATACGTTTACCTCTGCTGCTATTAGTGTTGGGTCTTGACGAAGGCGGGCGGTTTTCCGCGTCAGATGCCTGGGGCGTTGGTGATGGCGAGACCGTAGCCTGCTTCGCAGACTGCACAGGTGACGCGAGGTGCCGGGGAGTTTGAGGGGGTCCTGAGGGGATTGGTGACTCCAGTGCAGAAATAGGCCCGACAGGCTTTCGCTGAATCGCAAAAGGCGAGCCCTGGGGAGCTGGGACTGGTTTGCGAAATATCTTCGGGGTTTCATTCGCAGCAGATTCATCCGCAACTGGAGTGTTCTCCTGAGTTGGTGTCTTTTCGGTATCGACTTCCATCTGGACAGGCTCAGGCTCAGGCTCTGGCTCTGGCTGTGGTTCAGTGGCTGGTGCAACCAGCGTTGGTTCCTCAGAGCTGACACCCGTGTTTTTGGTCTTCTTAGGTGGTCGACCGCGCTTGGCTTTACCAGTTTGCTTTTGCGTTTCCTGAACCAGAACTGGGGTCTGATCCTCGTCTACTTGCATGTCCTGCGGCTGCGGCTGCGACTCCGGCTCGACCGCGGGCTCAGGAGGTGGTGCAGTAGTAACCTCTGCAGGCTCGTCAATTGGCCCCTGCGATACCTTCTTCTTAGGCGGTCGGCCCCGCTTGGCGGCTGGCTTGGCTGTCGTTTGGGCCCCGGCGTTGCCCAAAGATGCGCGGCCCACAGATCTCCTGACCGTAGTGCTGTTGGTGACAAAACTGACCTCTGCCTCTGCAATTTCATCCGGTTCTTCGGCCTCGGCGGCTGTCTGTAGCTGAGCTGGTTCGGCGGGAGCAGCTTCCTCCTTACCCTTCTTCGCCGCCGCCGCCGCCTGCTTGGATGTCTTTCTCGTACCAGTCTTGCGACCTTTCTTCGGGACCTTGAGCTCTTCTGGCTCTGGCTCTGGCTCTGGCTCTGGCTCCTGCTCCTGCTTGGGCTCCGTCCTGTCGACATCCATCTCATTCTGCATAGACCGCAAGTCCGCCTCGATTTGCGCGTCAGTAGGTTGCGCAGGCTCTGGATCAAACATGGCAAAGTCAGTCGTCAACGTCTTGGCAAGTGGATCGGCTGCGCTGCCAGCATTCTCGACGCTCTGCCTCTTGCGAGCTGCGGCCGCTTTCTTTGTCTCGGGATCAGCATCCGCAGGGTGGTCCTCATCATCTGTCAGTGGCCGTTCCAGGTCGGCCTGTAGCTGTCTGTCGATCTCATTGTCGTCTGGGAGCTGAGGAGGCGGGGACGCTGTCGATGCAGTCGTGGCTACCGAGCCCTTACGTGTTGACCGCGAGGAAGCCTTGCGAGTGCCCGATGCCTTTCTTGTCGCTCTCTTGGCTGCAGGCTTCTTCCCCACAGGCTCTGGGGCGTCCGTCACCTCGGTATCCGCATGGGAAATCTCGGTCGCGCCGCTATCACGAGCCTTACGCGTCTTGGTGGCGCGCTTCTTCCGAGCTGGGGCCTCAGCAGCAATCTCCGTAGAGCCTTCCATCTCACTACTAGTTCTCTTCTTGCCCTTGGTCGGTCTCGGAGACGGAGGAGGGGATATTTCCTCCTTCTGCGCGGGTGGTTCATCCTCAAAAATTTCCACAACCTCGCTCTTCTTGGCGCGGGTCTTCTTCACACGGCTGACAGCTGGCTTCTTCCCTTTTGCAGTCTTTTTGGAGGCCTTTGACGCTGTCGTCATGTTGGACGCGGTAGTCATTACGCTATCGTCGATGTCGGCAGTCACATCCGCGACTGAGGTGAGATCCGAGATACCAGCCACAGACTGGAGGGAGAGTCTGGACGCTTTGGAGCTCCTAGCAGCTTTTGACTGTCCAGCCCTCTTAGGTGCCGGCTTGGAGCTGATGAGGCTGAAGAAACGACATTGCGGCCTACGGCTGTAGTGCTCATCCCTGTGCGGGGTCAGCATGAACAATTAGATAGATCAACATGTCGCAGCATAAGTGACTTACCAGGGCTTGTCGCTCTTCTCCCAATTGTCCAGTGAAAGCTGACAGTATGCGCAGGTGACGTTGTCCGCTGAGTCATTCAGAGGGGTGTACTTCCAGCCCGCCTCGACCAGCTGCGCGTGCACGCGTTAGCCTGCACTCGCCGTTAATTATAGAGCTCTTCCCAACCTACCTGTTTCGTCTTGCAGCTCCAGCCCTTCTTCCCCTCGTGTGGCCACCTGCCAGCGAAAGTTGCCTTCCTAGCTTCGACCATCAGCGGGTCTCGCGGGTCCTCCATTGCGTAGGTCCCGAGTTCCGCCTCGACCGCAGCAGTGATCGCCCACCCACACTCGGGCGAGTGCTTGAGGTGCTCGTCGAGAGGGCTGTCGTTCTCCTCCCATCCGTCGAGGGCCTTGCTGCACAGGAAACACGTCGCATTGTCCGGGTGCCTGTGGTTTGGCTGGAAGATGAAGCCGGCGTTGGCCATCTGTTTTTGCGCCGTTGGTAAGTCAGTCAGCCGGCCACACAGCAAGCGAGGAGAAGCATGCGCCAGTAAACAAGAAGGGTGGGGGGGTTTCAAGAGGAGGAGAATTTGAACTCACGCCTTCCGGTGTGAGAGACTTGTGCGGCCATGACAGGGTCTGGGGCGCCGTGAAGGACGCCAGGCGATTCTGGTATGTAAGGTAGTCATCCATATCATCGGAAGCCATTGCTACCTCGTTCCTCTCGCCGTCCGAACAAAGCCCGTCGCGCTTGTAGCCGTGGTCAAAATCAAGCCGAAGTACTTGTTACGTATCGCGGTGTGGCGGGGAACGCGTGGTAGACTTCGGACCGGTAGAGTCGGGCGTGTAATGAGCTATGAGCGCGTGACGGGTTGCAAGATTTCTCTAATGCAGATGTGATGATGGTTACTGTATGCAGAATACAACAGACTCTCCAAGGCGCGATGTCGTCAGTTCGGATTCTTTTCGTTGCCTCGTCTGGACGCAGCGTCCAGAATCGCGTCGCAGAAGCGGAGTACGAGCTAGAGTTGCAGGGGCGGGAAGAAAACAATGGGCGCCGGGGCGCTTAGCAACACTATTGGGTCAGCTGCCGGAATGTAAACACAGGCCCTGGACCCACTGAAACGTCAATTACCGGAGTCAGGCACAAGCTCCTGGGAGCCTTAGCTCGAACCGAAGTTGACCCGCATATTCCCAAGCATCAGCATAAGTCGTTTCGATAGGTGAATTGAGCTCTCGCAAGGGGCAGCCCTGAACAGCATTAATCTACGTATGGTCTCTTGTTTAAGAATCCCATCTTTTTTTTTCTTTTCTTTTCTTTCTTTCTTAATCATTTTTCAAGTCCCCCTTGTTCAACCATCTGCTAACTCAGATGCTATGCTGCTTAAGTTCAACAGACATATTTTTCTTCTTCCTCTCTCCGGCGTCCCAAATCAGGCAGTAATGCCCAGGTCTTTGTAGAATGCCTCATTGTTGGGCTTGCGGCCCAGAAATTGCTCCAAGGTCGTCATCTCCTCCTGGCTGCCGCCCTTCTCCAGTACGGTGTGCCTGTACCGCCGGCCCTCCTTCTCGTTCATCGGGTCCGCCTTGAATACGCTGTAGAACATGTCCGTGGAATAGACCAACGAGAAAAGGTAGCCATAGTAACCCGCATCGTATCCCCCTATGAGGTGGCCAAAGGTGGCGGGCCCGTTACCCCAGGTGCTGTCGGGATAGACATGTTAGCAATGCGATCTAGAGAGCCACATACCCGAGTACAGACAAAAGGGAAGACAACTCACCTCGGCTCGCCTTGTGCCTCCGGTCCTGTGAATCCGACAATTTCCGTCCTGAGCTCGTTGTAGAGCTTGCTCGGTTCCAGGCTCTTGACCTCCTCATGGCTCTTAGGGCTGTGGACAGCCATGTCGAAGATACCAAAGTGCAGCTGTCGCAGGTTGAACAGCGCGCCGTTGACGTTCTTGGTTGCCACTAGCTTCTCGACCAGGTCATCAGGGATCTTCTCTCCCGTCTCGTAATGGCCCGACAGAGACGTGATCTGGCTGGGGGTCCAGCACCAGTTCTCCAGCATCTGCGAAGGTGCCTCGACAAAGTCCCTGACTGTGGCGGTTCCGTGGAAGCGAGAGAACTTGACGCGGCCCGCGAGGTCGTGGATACCGTGGCCAAGTTCGTGAAAGAGGGTGACCACCTCGTCGTGCTTGAGCAGGCTGGGCTTCTTGGGCGTAGGCTTCGAGAAGTTGCAGACAAGCGCGGTCGCGGGGTACCGTCGAGAGCCATCTGCGTTCTGGAAGCCAGGCTGGATGTTGAAGTTGGCCGCATGCCCGTACTTGCCCTGCCGGGGGTGCATGTCCAAGTAGAGGTAGCCAACGAAGCCGCCCCCCTCGCTCTGGTCGTCCCAGACAGAGAACATGATCACGTCCTCGTGCCAGATGACGTCTTCCGCCTTGCCGGTGGGACTAATCTTGGCCCGGTCCTCAGCCTTCAGCTCCACAAAGACGAGGCCAAAGATCTTCTCAAAGATATTCAGCATCCCCGACACTGTCTGCTGAAGGGGGAAATAATCGGCGATCTTGTTCTCGTCGATGTTGTATTCCTTCTCGATCATGATGCGGTCGTAGAAGCGGGCATCCCACAGGTAGTATTTGCCGTCAAAGGGCTCACCACGAGCCTCGAGGTCGGCCTTCTTGATCTCCAGGAGGTGTTTCTTCTCCTTCTCCCCGCCTGCTACCAGGCGCTGCCGCAGATCGCCCAGGAAGTCGTTGACGACCTTGGACGTCTTGGCCATCTTGTCCTCGAGTCTGAAGGAGGCATGATCAGGGTAGCCGAGGAGGCGAGCAGCCTCGTCTCGCAGGACAATGGCCTCCTTGAACAAGGCCGCGTTCTGATTGCACTTATTCTCGTTTTCGATGAATACCTTGCGTCTCGTCTCGGCATTTTTGGCGAACTTCATCGTGGGGAAGAGGTCTGGGTATTTGAAGCTGACACGAAGCTTGCCCTCGTTCTCGTCGGTTCCCTTGTCCCAGGTTTCCACCAGGTCCTCAGGCACGCCGTCCAGCTCTTCCTTGGTGAAATAGAGGCCGCCCTTTTCCTCATTTAGGTTCTTCTGGAACTCGATCTGGATCTGCGAGAGCCTCTTCTTGATCTCTTTGAAGCGGTCTCTCTTTGGGCCCTCGGGCAGGGAAAGGCCGTTCCGGATCTGAAAGGTCGCCCGCCCGTCAGTTATACCGCGTTCCCATTCGTCATGCGCGTCATGCCTGCACTTACGTAGCTCTTCCTCTCCTTCTCGAGCAGACGCAAGCTCTCTGGGTCAAGGTTCAGCGTGTCCTTCTTCTGGAAGACAGCGTCCACGATCTTGAACACATCCTCTCTCATGCCCATCTCGATTGCTGTGCATCCCCCGCAGTCAGTACAACGCGCGCAATCCGACTGTCACAGGAAGGAGAGAACCTACAGAACTCATCAAGGATCGTCTCTGCCTCTGTGCTCGCATTCCGGAGCTCCTCATCGCTCGAGACATACTGATAGAACCCCAACACCCGGCTGCTAAGGGCCGACTGATTCTCCTCATAGATCTGCGGCAAGATGACATTTTCAAAAGTGGTCTTGGCGGCATCCCCAGCAGAGATCTCGGCGACCAATTTGTCCAGCACGGAGCGGGTCTTCTCGCACAGGGCCTTGGTGTCGGACACGATGTCGTCCTTGGTCCCAATGAAGGTGGGTGGGGCCTGCGGGGGGCTCGTGTACTTGGCCATCATGTGCTGTGGAATGTCCGATGCGGGTCTAAAGGTCGAGTATAGACGGGCGAGGATAGGATACTGGGCAATACGAGCTGTGAGCAGGGAGGAGGGAGAAGAGAAGGGCCGCAGGTGGGTTCCGAGCAAGAGAATGCGCGGAACAGCTCGTGGGGCAGCCAGGATGAGGGCGATGAGGAGAACAAGGAGGGAGAGGACGGAGAGGAGGGTGAGGCGGGGGCCCGAGTATTTATGATGAAGTGGCCTGCGTCCGGAGGCTCCTGCTGCAGTGGGAGGGGCCAGTTTGCTGCTGCTGGTGGGACGATATGAGTTTCCGGGCATGGAGGGGGACGCCGTTCTAGGTGTGTGAGAAGGTTGCGGGGTGCTGTTGGTGCTGAGGGAGCTACAGCTCGTAGTACTTACTGCTGCCACTAATTCGGACTTAGTACTACGGCACGTACCATGCAGTACCCCTCAATTAGTGATGAATTGCTCGAGCGGGAGGTTGGCAGGGGGTGGCAGGGGTCAGGGGTCACAAGCCCACTCTCCTCCGCAAAGCCGGGTGTGATGTGAGGTTGCTGCTGTTGTGCAGTTTCCTAACGCACAACACTTCGCTGGGAATACTTGGTTTCGATGAGGTGGAATGCAGAGGCCAACAAATTTTGGGACGTTATGGACAAGACCATCTAGACATACACGCAAGACTTCCATCTTCCTCACGGGCTTGAGATATGGGGCTTGCGGGCGGTTGGAATTGGTGCGTTCCGATGTCTGAAGGAACTATCATATTCGATGCTATCATTGGGCTAAACCTCCAATCAATCCAGGAATACCCAACACATCACCGCAAAAAGACCGTGAAACTGAAAAGAACACTGGCCCAATCACTCCGTCAAAACTTTATACAGTAATGTGTGTGTGCTAATGCCGTAGCACACGATGCAGCAACCTCCCTGCTTCTTCCCCTCTGCCGTACCGTCTTTGTTTTTGTTTGGTATCTTATGAATTCGTTCTTCGTCCTCCCATTCCTACTCCCCTAGCTCTCCGTCCTTGATCCTTGCCACGGACAGCCCGAGAATGCCTCATTGACCGGTCATCAGTTGGCCAGAATGGTACGGACTAGCTCGGTGTAGTTGACCTGGCCCGAGCTAGTGTCGACAGCCTTGAGCAGCTCGTCGACCTCCTCGTCCGACATCTTCTCGCCCAGGTTGGTCAGAATGTACTTGAGCTGACCGACGCCGATAAAGCCCGTCATGTCCTTGTCGAACACCTGGAAGCCGCGGCAGTACTCGTCGGGCTCGCCCGGGTCGCGGAAGCCGCCGGGGCGGTTCAGCACGCGCTGGAAGGTCTCGAAGTCGACTGTTTGGGTTGAGGAATGGTAAAGTCAGCCCCACGCGCCCCTTCATGTCTCTTCTCTTCTTGTTTCTTTCTTCTCGCGTTCGCATTGATTTCGTGCAGGCGAGGCATCGTGTGGTCTGAACTCACAGTCACCCTGTACGCTCTCCTCCAGCTGGTGGATCTCGGCCATGGTTGGGTTTTGGCCGCATGCGCGCAGCAGGTCGCCGAGGTTATCGAGGGAGACACGGCCATTGCCGCGCTTGTCAAACAACGAGAAAGCCTCCTTGTAGTTGGTAGAAGCCTGCGCGTCGTAATTAGAAGAAGCCATTTCGAATGTTGGTTGTTGTGTATTATTGATTGTTGGTGCAAATGAAGGCGGCGGGTGGGCACGGTAGGAGTTGGGGTATCACGATGCTTCAGGTGCAGCAGCCGATGCAGAGTGGAAATGAAAGAATCTGTATGTGTGTATGTGTGTGATATGATTTCGATACAGTTGTGGTTGATGTTGGCTGACAGAAAGGTAAAGGAAAATGGTCGGGAAGGAATGGAAGCAAGTGATTGGTGAGGGTGCAGAGCAAGGCAGTGGCAATGGCGACAGTGGTGGTTCGTTGTGTTTGGCTGTTGTGTTTTTTGACGGTGGCTGGGCTGACGGGCTGGCTGGCTGGCTAAGCTGGGCTGGGCTGGGTTTCTCGGCGAGCGGCGAAAGTTGGAGATGGGATCACAAGCCTGAACCCGACCAGAAAGCGGACCAGGAACAACCCAGGCACAGGCACAAGCGGCAGCACCGCGCTTCCCTCTGGGCCGGTTGCCAGTTGCGACGGCGTCAACACACCAACACACCCGCGTCAACAACAGCGCTCCCGCACACTAGCAGGCCGTGCCGTCCTTTGCACCCCAGTGAGACCTGCACCAGCCACCAGCCACCACTGTCACCCTTTTTCTCGCCTACCAAACCATACCACACAGTGATCAATCATTCTCCCCCCCACGGAGTCAGATCGGCAGGATTGTTGGGGGCGATGGGGTAGTAGTGCATTGCAGCAAAAGGAAGCAGAGGGACGAACGAGCACTTACCATTCTGGGCGGGATTGATGTGCTAGTGGGGGTACCTTCTCTGAGGACTGAGGACTGAAAATCGAGTTTGACGAGGTTGATGAGGGTTGGCGATGATGTTTTATGGAGGAGTCTAAGTTACACCTTCATAAATAAAACAGGACGAGGAAAAGAAAAGAGCGGTCTCTGCCCCGGCCCCCTTCCCCCCCTTCAACCTATTGTCCATTTTTAATGGGGCGCCGCCTCGCCCAACAACCTGGTCTGTGCTGTTCATGCGCAGCTCGGCGCGAGTTTCCAATTGCTTGCATGGACACTGACCTACTTGCTCTTGACGCGCGATAACACAGTTACTGTTCCATGCTATGCATCTGGGCGCCTCAGCGCAGAGACCCCACTTGCCCCCACTCTTTCTCTGTGGTGGGCTGGCAGCGTCATGCTCCTCCCTGCTTTGACGCATCTTGCATACTTCTCAAGAGTGAAGCTGATGCTTTGGACATGTTCTCGATCAAGAGCTGGTTGGTCCCATGGGTTGCGGACGATCTGTACTATAGTGCTGCTGCTTCCTTGCACTACTTATGAGATGTAAAGTACCTTACACTACCGACTTCCTCTAGGTACCTTAGGATGCGCACCACCGCTAGTGGTTCAAGGTATACCATTGCAGTAATTCGTGCTAAGTGAACTTTCCCAGGTTGATGTGATGGCCTGCCCCCTTCCCGACACCCATCAAAGATCATTCCCACACCACATTCACAGTCATCATGTCGCTCTCACCTCTCCCCGTCTCTACTCAGCCTACCTCGGTGGCATCCGAGGATGACGAGATGCTGCCGACAGTGCAGTTCACGAACATTCGAGAGCTCTACCAGAAGGTTGATAGCATTGCCAGGGACATCGACTTCATCATTGTCACACATGTTACACCTGCTGATTTCAGACTCCTCGAGGATCATCATGAACCTCACCGTAAGCTCCGCTTTCGCCGGTACGATGCTGATGTAGAGATTCTCTTCGTGGTTATCCCTCGCAGACTTCATGAAGTCCTCCATCTTCAGCTCAACTCAATCTACACCGAGAAACTTGTTCATATGGGTTTGAGACGCGAGTGGCAAACAGGCGGTGCGACTACATATTACGAAAGAAGTGGGAATCATGGTGGGCGCCGTAGTGGACAAGGTGATTCTACTGGTGGCCCATTTCCAGAACGCAGTGCAGAAGACGCCTGCCCTACCCTCGTTATCGAAGCTGGGTATTCCGAGTCTCTGCAACGCTTACGCAACGATATGCAGTGGTGGTTCTCTGCATCCAACCATGGCGTTAAGATTGTGTTGCTAGTCAAATTCGATCCTAGACGACAGGAGATTCTTCTCGAGAAATGGGAAGAAGAACCTCGAGGCCAGCGACCTGGAGCAGCCACAACCCGATCTATGGGATCGTTAGCACCAGTCAAGCGACAAACGGTTACTATCACGAAGGACCCAACCAGTCCAGATACTTATAACGTTGCTAGAGGCGCATTGGTATTGTCTTTCAGACTTCTGTTTCTTCGAGACCCAAACCCTGGAGAGGGAGACATCGTTTTCAGCATCCAGGATCTGGAAGAAATTGCCCAAAGCGTGTGGCGAGCTCTTCCACGCAGCTAATTAGAAGTCGGCATGGACATGGTCGCAGTTCACCACTCTCTACAACACCCAGGGAGTAATTTTCTCAGTTCCCCAATAAAGCAGTACATACTGTACTATTCAGTGTGCAAATTGAAATCAGCTGTACTCTAATAAATTAAATGTCAAACAAACAAACAAATGCTGGAATCCAAGCAAGCATTGTCTGTAATCAGTACTATTTCAAAGAGAAAATTGGGCAGAACGATAGAACAAAAATCCAGTTCACGTACGTATATTACTCAGGTGCCCAAAGTGATAAGATTAATCCCTGGGGTTTGTACATTTACCAGAGTTTCAACCAAAACACAACAACCAACATCACAACAGGTGCAACACTTGATCATCATCACCATCTCTTTCTCTTGACACACTACTTCGTCGCCCGTCATGAGTACCGAGGCCTCCATGAAGACGTTCTTCTCGTCCAAATATATCGCCGTCGTGGGCGCAAGTTCCAATACGGCCAAATTCGGCCACAAGAGTAAGCCTGACCTTGACCTGCCTTTCTTCCAACGAACAGACCCGACAACAAATCTCAACTGACTCACCACTCTCTTCTTCCCACCCTCTCTCCACCCACCAGTCTTCGCCTGGTATCTCCACCATAACATCCCAGCCATCCCAATCAACCCAGCCGCCCCCCACATCACCGTCCCCTCCCTCCCAGACCCCACCAACAACAACCAGCCCAGCGAGATCCCCACCGTCCCATCCCTCTCCGCCCTCCCCCACCCCCGCGAGACCTCTGTCAGCATCATCACCCCGCCCCCCGTCACCCTCCAGGTCCTCGAGGAGGCCAAGCGCCTCGGCGTCCCCTCTGTCTGGCTGCAGCCCGGCACCTTTGACGACGCCGTGCTCGAATACGCGCGCCGCGGGGAGGGTGAGCTGGCCGAGAGCGAGGCCGACGGCATGGGGTTCCAGAGCGTGGTTGCTGGCTTTGGGGGTGGCACGAGGGGTCATGAGGGGTGGTGTGTGCTTGTGGATGGGGAGAGGGGACTGAGGGCTGTTGGGAAGTTGTAGATGCATTGGGCGACGACAGACGGGCGGGCAGGCGGGCGGACGGATGGGGCAAAAGGGAGACGGTTGGTGTCAGTCAAATATGCCTTCCGTATGGAAGGATGGGGCTGTGCGAGAAGGGCACGAACGATGATAGAGCCTGTGTCATTCGATCAAGCATCCTATCAGGGAGAATAATTGCTCGCAATTGATTTCGGACGTTCTGCTGAACGCTGCGAGACTCTGTGCCTACAGCGTTATCATATTCAGGTACCTCGGCACTGGAAAGTTTCATAGGATGCACACAAGGTCACTGCCACACCTCGAACCACCTTCACCAATGGCGGGCAAGTGCACTCGATTGAGGTTGCAAGGCTCAGAAAATCCATATACCATGCGATCATTGTCCCAATCTTCTTATCCATCCAACAGTCCAGCAGCCAGGGCCTCGAGATCCTCGAGCGTCTCCGGCTCCTCGGCCATCTCGATGACCTTCTTGCCCTTCTTCTTCTTGGCCTTCTTCCTCCTGACCTCCTCCTCATCCGAGTCGTCCTGGAACCACTTCTTCGCCTTCTTCGTCCTCGGCTCTCTGTCCTCCTCGTCCTCCTCCGAGCCCGCACTTCCAGGACCACCAGCGATAGGCAACGATTGGAGCAGCGCAAGCGGATCCTCTTCGTCCCCGTCTGCGTCCTCCAGTTGTGCCACGGGCCCGGCAGGGCCAGCACCCTCGCCCCGCTCCATCTTCTCGAGCATCTTTCGCCGTTCCCTCTTCTCCTTGCGCTTCTGTCTCGCGAGCTCCTTGTCTTCGACGTCCGCCTCGGCCACCTTGCCGCTCTCGCCCTCGACAAACTGCCGACGCAGCTCCTCCACAGGGCCTTGTGCCTTGAAGCCCTCCTCGTCGATGAGCTCGTAGATCGGGTGCGCGTTGCCCTCGTCGTCGAACACGAGCTTCTGACCGTGGCCCTTGAACTTGAGCAGCTTCTTCTTGGACGTCAGCAGCTTCTCGCGGCGCTTCGAGTCCACAATCAGCTGCTGGTCCCCGCCAAGGTCGACCACCTTGGGCTGTGCATCGTCTCCGCCGCGACCACTGCGCTTCGCTGCGGCCTGGTCCAGATCTTCATCGTTCAGGACGCGTTTCGCCTTGAAGAAGTCGGCTTCTTCGTCATCGTCGTCGTCGTCCCCATCGCCAACCATCTTGCGGTAGTGGCTCGACAGGACGTCCTGGTTCGTTCGTTCGAACATCTTCTGCACCTTTGTTCGGACTTCCTCTTTGCCCTTTGGTTTCCTGCCCTCGTCGTCTGATTCGTCTTCTGACCCGCTCGACTGTGCCATCCTTGGTGCGTTTTTGAGTTTCTTGATGTCTTCACCCTTCTGGAACTTGATCTGTGGTGTACCCGGCAGACCTAGACTGGATGCGTATCCGTCCAAGTCCAGCTTCTTCATATCGAACACCTCCTTGTCCTTCTGGAGGTATATCGAGCGGACGTAGGTGACGAATGCCTTCTGTGCCAGGTATTTGATGTCCGGCTGCTTGAATGCCATGCTTTGCAGCTGGTTCCTGATGCTCTTCTTCTTGTGGTCCTTCACGTTGGTCCTCTGTAGGGGGATTTTCTTGTGCTCCAGCCTCTTTATCATGCCTTCTTCCTCACTCGGGTCGAGGAACAAAACTGCCCGTCCCTTGCTCTGATACCTGGCTGTCCGGCCGACCCTATGGATGTATGTATCCGCGTCTTCAGGGCAGTCCACCTGGATGACCCAGTCGACTGCAGGGAAGTCCACACCTCGTGCCACCACATCCGTGGCAAACAGGCAGGCGTGCTTCGCCGATGTGAACCTCTGGGTGACCTGCAACCGTGCCTCCTGTTTTTGTCGCCCGTGCAGATGTAGCAGGGGAATACCAGGTTGTAGCTGACGGAATGTCTCGTATACGAATCGCACCTGCTTGCCAGACGACAAAAACACGACCGTCTTGCTCTTTAGGCTTGATCGTATGAAGCCGTACAATGTGTCCAACTTCTCGGGAAGCGGTGTGACAATATACGACTGCTCGAGCGTGCTCGGTGTTGCTGTCTCCGCGGCCTCATGGACTGACACATACTCCGGGTCCTTCAGACTCAATCTGGCCAGGTCCGAGACCTTCTTGCTCTGGGTGGCGCTGAACAGCAGAGTCTGTCTCTCCTTGGGAAGGTGCTCAACCAGGGCATCCACCGCGTGCTGGAAGCCCATGTCCATGATGCGGTCCGCCTCGTCGAGCACTAGGATCTGCAGGTCGGACACGTTGAGGCCAAAGCTCTGGTCGAGGTGCTGCAGCATGCGGCCGGGAGTGCAGACGAGGATATTCATCCGATCAATGCGCTCTGCCTCCTCTTTCAGGCTCTTGCCGCCGATGACCAGGCCGGCGGAGTAGTCATGGTAACGTCCAATCTTGCGCAGGACGTCAAAGATCTGGACGGCTAGCTCACGGGTGGGCGAGATGATGAGGGCGCCCAGGCCGTCGACATTGTTGGTCCACCGGGCGTGATAGAGCTTCTCGAGAACAGGAATTAGGAAGGCGAGCGTCTTGCCACTGCCAGTCCTTGCGGCGGCGAGGAGGTCGTTGCCCTTGAGAGCGGAGGGAATGGCGCGGGCTTGGACATCGGTAAGGGTATCAAAGTGGGAGGCTCGCAGGCCGGATGCGGTGGCTTCGCAGATGGGGAGATCGGTAAAACTCTTGACGGGGGCAGCCTTGGGATCCTGGCATAAGAGATATGAGCATGAGACATCACATTCTTGGGGTTTTGTAGTGTTCTGTAGGATGGGGGTATTGTTGAAGGGACCTTGAATTGAAGAGAGGGACGACTTACAAATTCGTCAATCGCCTTTTTCAGCCTGTCATGATCATCGTTCTCCCTTTTTCTCTTCAGGACCTTGCCTTCTGAAGACCTTTTCGGTCTTGCTCTGGCTCGCGCAGGCATACTGTGGTCTGTACTTGTTGTCTCGCGAGTTGAAAGAGTGCGAGGCCAGAAAAATTTCCAAGAGGGCGAATGCAACTGTACCGTACTATGAGGTTCTCGAAACTTTTTTGCGGCAGGCATTGCAGCGATAAAGATCTTGTTGTCCGGGAGGCCGCTAGCAGGCATCACTGGCGGCTCAAGTACTCGGGACATCCAATTGCGGTTTGTTTACGGCAAGATCGTTTGTCACTGTGAGTTCGGCATCCACCTTAGGACGAGCGCTATGTCTCCCGAACCCAGTTCAGCAGGGGGGGGGGCTACTGTATAGAATAGACGATCGTCTTTTGCTATGGGCAGCCTGGCAATACAAGATGTTTTTTTTTTGACCCTGAAGATGATGAGGTCTCTACGAATGATTCGACATCGAAGGACCTCAGACGACGATAATCACTGTGGTAAGTAGCCTTTCACCGAAGGTTGATGTATGGAGGGAAAAGAATAAGATCATCCGCTTGGGAACGTGCAGCAATTTCATTCGTTTTGAGAGAACGAAAAAAAGAAAAGAAAACAAAACAGGGAGAGGGAAAAGAGGACTGGGAAATATTCAGATAGATAGAGAGAGAGAGAGAGAGAGAAAGAAAGAAAGAGAGCCAATCAAAGTCGCGAGGTATTATTGTTGTTCATCGATAGCATGCATACTTATAGGCAGGACAAATGATCCCAGGGCAATGGTAATGCTACAGTACCATGTGATGCTGTGGCCGCCTGGTGCGGGCCCCCCCAACCCGCTAAACCACGCCGTCGATCCCCCACCGTAGCCGCAACCCGAGACCGAGGAGCTACAGCAAAGAGCCCCTGCGCAACCGTTGGAGGGGCTCGTTCCCAACCGGAGGAGGGGTCTCGTATCTACTGGTTGGTACCGTAGCCGCAGGCCCAACATAACTTCAAGTCCGTCAGCACATAGATACTTGATCCCGCCTCGTTCCACCGCCTTCTCCTCCTCCTCCTACTCCTCCTCTTTTCCCTCCTCCCACGAATCACTCACCTCTCCCGTCACGGTTTTTTCCTCCCTCCTGTCCATGGCTGAGCTACCAAACAGCGCGAGATAACGACATACGACGCGATGCTGCAGCAGGGCCCCACCCACCACCCACAGAATGGCGGCGGCGGCGAGGCTGCTGCTCCGGCCGCCCCGTCCCTGCGGCAGGTCTGCCTCGAGCTGCAGGACAAGGTGGAGGCCTTTCTGGCCGAAGACGTCGAGACGAAGCTGCTGAGGGGCGTTCAGGCCCAGGTCCGGGAGGCCGTGAGCGTCATCGACGAGGCACTGGACAAGTACAGGTAGGGTGGTGGCATTCTCCACGAATCGATCCCCGGCGGCCAAAGCCCTGGCAGACCGAGCAGGCTGGCTGACTTACACACGTGTGTCCAACACTTCGCACAGCCTTGAGGAGCTCTCGCTCTCCTACAACGGCGGCAAGGACTGCCTCGTCCTGCTCATCCTCATCCTCGCGTGCCTCCCCCGCCACTTTGAACCAACCCCTCCACCCTCCACGACGACGCCCTCCGCCCTCTCGTTCGGTCCTCCCCGCCACTCCAACCCCCCGACCAACACGCCCCTCTCCGCGACCCCGCGCGCCGCCACACCGACAAACGCCTTCCCCACGTCCCTGCAGTCCGTCTACATCGTCTCCCCCCATCCCTTCGCCGAGGTCGACACCTTCGTCAACGCCTCCGCCGCCGCCTACCACCTCGACCTGTGCCGCTACGCCCTGCCCATGCGCGCCGCCCTCGACGCCTACCTCGCCGAGCGGCCCAGGCTCCGCGCCATCTTCGTCGGCACCAGGCGCACCGACCCGCACGGCGCCGACCTGCGCCACTTCGACCCTACCGACGACGGGTGGCCGGCTTTTATGCGCGTGCACCCTGTCATCGACTGGCACTATGCCGAGATCTGGGCTGTGAGTTCCTTCCCCGGGCACTACGTTGGATCCCGCGTCCCCCTCTCTTCCTCCTCTCTCTCCCCCTTTTGTTCCGAGAGATAATCGAAGATGACGAGAGGAGGCTTTTTTTTTTTTTTTTTTTTTCTGGCGGGATGATGGAGGACACCAAAAAAGAGGCGTGTAATAGAAGACGAAATAGGCTGACCATCATCATCATCATCATCTATAGTTTATACGGCACCTAAACATCCCATACCTCTCCCTTTACGATAAAGGCTATACATCCCTCGGTGGTACCGAGGACACCCACCCCAACCCGCACCTGAAGAAGGAGGACGGAGCAAGAGGCTTCAAGCCGGCGTACGAGCTGACGGAGGATAACGAGGAGAGGCTGGGTCGCGACTGGTGAAATACGTATAGAAGAATAACTTAAGGGGGGGGGGGGAGGCTAGGTAATCCTTATTGTGTCCATGTGGTCAACCCCTTGGCGGGGGGGGGGGGGTGGGATGGTTTCTGGAGTTGTAGAGATTGTTTTGTGCCTATACTTACATAGAGAGGTCTTGGCTATATCATAGAGCGGTGCATATCCTTCATAAAACAATGTCAAAAGATATTTGGGTCAGGTCAGGTTCATCGATTGGGCGGTTCCGCCTTGGTGGCATGTTCAAGTTGCGGCCCTGAATTCATTCTCATTAAAAGGGCAACAAATGTGAAAAAAGTCGTGGACGTTCAATTGATTCTCGGTCCGATCCAGAGCAGACGGGTGCTATGGTGAAAATGTACAAATATTCTGGGTATCTCCGATAAACGCCAATGCTTGCTAGCCACCCTGATGATTTCTTCTTTAAAAATGCACAAAGCGGTCAGTCAGCCGACTGACCAAACAAATGTCTCTGTGGGTTTGTTCCATCTATTCGTCAACATCCTAACTTTCTCTCCTGGCTCATTTAGCCGACCGACGAATCGAACAAACAATGTCTTGAGGGTTTGTTATCCCTCTATGCGTGGAAAGAGGCGGACTCTCTCATTCCTTCACTCACTCAACCATGCTCATATCTCGGTTTCCACCCTCGTCACCCCACAGTTGTAGGCGGTAGAAGCAGGTGTGGTCCTTGGCCCCGTAATTCGTCTTGGCGCGCACCAGGACCTGTCGCGTCTGGGCGTCCATGTTCAGCAGCTCCTCTGGTAGCCTGAAGATCTGGCTCTCGCCCTTGGTGACGCTGTTGTCGTACTGAAACTCAGCGACCTTGACAAATCCGCGCTGGCGGAGGCGGTTGCTGTCCGGGCCCCTGAGGGCGGAGCCCCAGCGCTGGCTGCTCCAATCCTGGAGCGTCCGGCTGCGCTTGTCTGTCGGCGCGCGGATCCATACCTCGATATCCTTGGGCATGGAGCCCGGGTCGAAAGTGGCCTCGGCGGTAATGTGCTCGACCACAAGGTGTTGAGGAATCACGGTATCGGCAGTCAGGATGGATAGGTCGGCGGCGCCGGAGATGTCTTTAGCATCTCCCACGCCGGCGCACCAGCACTGACCGTCCTCCTCCCACTTCTCGAGGGCCATGCTTGGGGAGAACGAGACCCCGGCATCCTGACCACCATCACGGAGCGTTGGCTCCCACTTCCTGCGCGAGAATAAGTTCAAGCCGAGGAATCCTCCCGCCCCTTTCACTTCCGTTGCCTTGCTTCCCCAGTCGTAGGAGCTTGATGTCAGGCTTGGGTCGACGATAGCTCCACGGAGGGTGCTAAAGTAGTTCCTGCGTCGCAGGAGGCCATTATCGAGGCTCGCCTTGATGTGGCCCTTGGCAACGCTTTCAAGCTGTGCGTCCGCTATGCTTCGCCGGACGACTTGGTCGATCATTGCCTTGACCTCTGTTTGGCTCATACCAGCTGGAACCTCGGCGGCAGCCTTCGCCTCCTCTGCCATAGCGAGAGCCGTATCGAGCCTGCCCTGCATGGCTTCCATCTCCACTCGTATCTGAGCGGCATGCTGGCTGGATTGACGCTCAACCTCCTGAATGAAGTTCTCCTTCGTGACGATGCGTTCCTCGAGACCCAGGGCCTGGAGCCTCTGGGCTACGATCTTGTCGACATCGCCGTACAGGTCCTGCCAATGCGGGTTGCGGTCTTCCTCAGCGTCTCCCCGGGACCGCTTGATCGCCTCCTCATTATTTTTGAGCCAGTCTGCCCATGCCTGTGACACGGCCTGATCCACGTAGTCCGTAATATCGCCGTCGAGGGCCAGCTCGCCGTCTGTAACGACCGGTTGCTTGGGCAAAAGTAGGTTCTCAGCTTGGATACGCTGCAGGATGGCACCCCAGTGAGAATCTGAGATCGTATACGAGTCATTTCGCGACTTTTCCATGGTGAGGATAGAATGCATGAGGCCGCCTTGCTTCACCTCCTCGTTCATCGCGTGCCAAAATGCGTCGTCCACGGTCCATTTGTTCGAGCTTTTGTCCACCTTGATGGCAATGAGCTCAGGAAGAATCCTTCGCATCTCGTCCACAGCGCCTGTGAGGGTATCAATCTGGATGGCGTTTCGGTGATTACCGATCTCGGCCCAGTGAAGCTGGTCTCGAAAGTCGACGTAATGTAGGTCTCCAGTGAGCACCGCGAAAGGGTGAAGAACGACCCAAGGGACCCATTGGGCGACATTCTGGCGCCAGTGAGAGATGCCATGCAAGGGCTGGTCTTTGCTGACGCTGACGCCTTCCCACGTGTGCGCAGGTAGAGATATACCCAGAATGATAAGAAACCCCCAACAAAGCAAAACAAGTAGGCCCCAGGCCTGCATTGCTGTTCCCAGCCAACGAGGCCACTTGCTGAAGCGGAATAGGTTGAGAAACTCTTTCACGATATAAAGACACAAATTGTCCTCTATGTCCTCCTCTTCATACAAAGCTGGGCCACCATAGAACGACGAAGCCGAGTCGGCACGTATGTCGCCGGCAGCTGGCTGTCTGGCAGCGGGGACAGCAGTATTTTTGTTCACTTTCCATGAAGACGAGACGTTAGAGGTTGCAAGCCCATTGGAAAGACCGAGCGGCTGATGAAGGCCTCCATTCATAGGAGGAGTTGGCAAATAAACGTTGTTTAGAATGTTATGGGACCTAGGGTGAGGCAGCCGTAGATCGCCAGTGCGAGCGTCTTGCACAGGGTTGGGACGGCTGGGTTGTGGTCCACGAGAATCCAGATGTGGCTGAGTCGATGGCTTCCGGGGTCTCTCTGCATCACTGCTCTCACCGACATCGCTATCCTCACTTGAATCGCCTCGGTCGCTCTCAGACAGCAGTCGAGGGCCTCGAGCTGCACGGGCCCTACGCATGCGATCGCTGAGATCGGGTGAGGCGGCATCGACAGAGCCCTTTCTAGCAGGCAGGCCGCGAGGAGTAGGGTTCAGGAGAGGGTCCTCTTCATCATTTTCATCGATGGAGTCGGACATGGGGGGAGGCACTCGGGCGTGCGTGTTTGCGCCTGGCCTAGGTGGAGATGGCGTGACGCTGGCATCGCTTCTCGCTGCAGAATTCTTGGCAGCGAGACGAGCTGAGGATCGAGTGGCGGGAGACTGTCGCGAGCGATCGGGACCAGTGGCTCGAGGCCGTCGGGGCGTAGCAAAGTCCGCACCGCTGTAGATCTGGCTCTCCTCAACGAAGCTTCTCTGAGACATAGCATCAGAGTATGGTGGCTCTGAGCCAAAACGAGTTTGAGGAGACGAGCCACCGTCAAATAGGCTGACAGGCTGGACGGAACCGGCCCTGCGACCTCGAAGTCCTCCTATTGGATTTTGTTAGTAAGACGGTGAAACGAAGTCAAGGTGAAGTGCGCTTTACGCCTGACGGGGCTCACTTTGTATGGGAAGGGGGGGTGGCGGCATAGCTCGGGTATCGTCGTCGCTGCCGCGAGCGCTGTTGTCGTCGTGGTCGTCGCTGCGACCAGTCGCGTCAGAATCACTCTGCTGGAGGTCCTCCTCGTTCGCGGTCTTGATCGTCTCGAGAGCAGCACCGATGGCGGATCGGGCGCTGCCTCCAGAGAGGTTGCGCGATGAGTTCAGGACCACGGGCGAGCCGTATGAGCTGCTGAACCTGCTGGGTGCGGGTGTGCGCCGCGATCTCATCGTGGGATCCACGACAGGGGTCGCCTCGCGTGTGTCGTCGACGGTTGAGGGTCCAGGTGTGCCACGCGCTCGAGATGCGCCCCGCGCCCCGCCACGGGCGCCACCACGGCCTCGCTTGGGTGGCATTTTGATTTATTTCAGTGCAGAAAGACAGATTCCCAAAATCAAGTTTGTTTGTGAGCTTCACTGGGAGCGTTGCTGCTCGTCTTTGTCGCGGTCGGTGCCGGTCTGTGAAGATGGCGCGTTGTTGTTTGGTGACATGGAGATGCCTAAGAGGCAAATCAGATAAAGGTTTGGATGATTCTGATGTAAAGAAAAGGGTTGATTCGAAGAGGAGAGAGAGAAACGAAAGTTGTGTAAACATCAAAGAAATCCAGGCAAAGGCATTTGTGACCGTTTACTTGAAGGTTGTAGCGCGTCTGTGTAGAAAGACAGAGAGGTCGAGAGAAGTGGGTCTCCCTGCACAATGAGCAGGGGTGGTTCACTGAGCGAAAGGACAAAAGGGTTAGGGTTATAAAACGAGTTTCCCTTCAGACCATAGGCAGTAAGATTGCGATTTGGGAACAATGAATGAGGGTTGATATAAGGGGAGAGAGCCGTGCAACAGCTCGAGGTGTCAGGTAGACTAGGAGAGGTGACAGACTAGACACTTGGGAAGGAAATATCAACTCACCCGTTGCTGGGTTGCCTGCATGTACTCCCTCACTTAAATTAGGTGGTAATATCATTCAAATTTTGACCCTGAGAAGAACCATCTCTTGAACAGGCAGAAGTGATTTTCCGAAAGCAATTGTATGATCAGACACGATGGGAGAGCGATGATTCTGATGAGCTATCTTTACGTAGACCTCATACTGGGTTGCGTACCCGGTGCCAGCTTCCACGTTGACGATACTGAAGAAAAAGCACGGTAATGATCCTGAAGCCAGGGAGAGAAGGCCGATAAAATGGGGAAACAATGAACTGTGATTTTCAAGGAGAACCGTAGCCAAGAGTCAAAGATATCAACAAAGCTCACATCAGCCTCATACAAAAAACAAAATACCAATGCGGTGAAAGAAATATAGCAGACGGAGCAGACCCCGGTGAGACTAAACAAGCCACAACACTTTGTTCAAGGCCTCCAAAGGTATAATCTCGCCGGTTCCGTCGAACAATTGACACTCGTCTACCAGTATTTTCGTAGCTATCACACAAAGACGAGATCATTATATGCGTTGATTGTGACCCCCCTCCCCCCAAGTCCTAGTCAGTGCCGAGTGAGTTGACAACAAAGACGTCTTTGCGCTATGACAAGAGTCTCTCGACAGCGCGGCGGGCGAGATAAATTTTGACCACTGACGGTCATACAGTGACTTGTATACGTGTTTGTTGTTTGGATGGGTCCTTCACCCATCATTGCCTGCTCGTCGAAGTCACGAGGTCGACAGAAAATGCATCAAACCCCCCATGCAGGTGAATGCGCCCAGGTGCCTATAGCGGCGACACTTCTGCTGTCACTTCACGTTTTCCAACAGGCACGAGAATCTTGTTTGAAACGGGCAGTGGATTGCCCAAGCATTTTGCAGAGTGACGTGCAGCATTGCGTATGTACTTGAATACGTTAGGCATATTGAGCCTTTTGCTCATTATTGACAGCTGATCCCAACACGCTTGTTCTATCGTGATGCACTCCGGGGACTATCAAAATCTCATTTACATCGTTATGTTGTAAGAGACTCTCTGTGAGCGGTTCAGCAATGCACCATTGCCCCCCCCCCCCCCCCCAAAAAAAAAAACCTTCATATTCACGGGAATCGTCTTTTTTTTTCTTCTCTTTTTCCTTCCACTGGCAGTAGACACTTTTCATCCTCCCAAAATGCTAGCCTTCATGCATTTTCCCTCTTTTCTCTCTTTCTCTTTCTATGGTTTCAGAAGAACAAGGCACTCAATTCTTCTTGAGGGCCGCCAGAATCTCGGCGGGAGGATCCTGGCGGTAACCCTTGGGGTTGTTGCTGACCCACCGCCACAGGTCGGCGCAGGCATCCTCCATGCTCAGCTCGGTCTTCCAGTTGAGCTCCTTGTTGGCCAGGGACGGGTTGGCCGTGAGATCGAGGACGTCGCCCTGTCGGCGCTCGACGACCTGGTAGGGCAGGTCGCGGCCGACGACGGAGCTAAAGGCCTTGATGATCTCGAAGACGGTGCTGCCGCGGCCGGAGCCCAGGTTCCACGCCTTGACGCCGGGCTTGTGCTCGCGCAGGTAGTTGAGCGCGACCAGGTGGCCCTTGGCCAGGTCGCACACGTGGATGTAGTCGCGGATGGCGGTGCCGTCACGCGAGGCATAGTCCTCGCCAAAGACGAGCAGCTTCTCGCGCTGGCCGGTGGCGACCTGGCCCAGCAGAGGGAGCAGATTGTAGGGCACGCCCTGGGGGTCCTCGCCCATGATGCCCGACGGGTGGGCGCCGCAGGGGTTGAAGTAGCGCAGGTTCGCGCCGTTCCACTGCTCATAGGGCTTGCCGGCCTTCTTCAGCACGGTGCGCTGGGCATTGATGTGGTCCTCGATGACGTTCTCGATCATGGACTTGGTGCGGCCGTAGGTATTGGTGGGACCGGTCGGGCAGTTTTCTGGGATGGGAATCATGTTGGGGAAGCGGGTGGCGTCGCCGTAGACGGTGGCTGAGGACGAAAAGACGATGTTGGTGACATTGTTCTCGCTCATGGAGCGCAGCAGAGAGATGCTGCCGCCGACATTGACGCGGTAGTACTCGAGTGGGATCTCGCCAGACTCGCCGACAGCCTGCGCCAGGGTATCACTTCAGTCAGCCTCATTTTGCATTTCTTTTCTTGGTTCTCGCCATCATCACCCCACCTAATGGCTTTTGTAGGATGATGCGCCACTTGCCTTGAGGGCCGCGAAGTGGATAACACTGTCGATGGCCGGGTTCTCCTGGAAGATCTTGTCGAGGGCAGGCTTGTCTGTGATGTCCTCCTTGTAGAACTTGGGCCGCTTGCCGCAGATGAGCTCAATGCGGTCGAGGGCCACCTCGGAGGAGTTGTAGAGGTTATCGACAATCACGACATCGTAGCCGTTCTCGAGAAGCGCCAGCGAGGTGAAGGAGCCGATGTAGCCGGTACCACTGCATGTCCCGTTAGCTTCTTGGTGTGTCTTGTCTGTTTTCTTTTTCCCCTTTGGACAGCGCGCCCATCTGGCCGCCTTGCGGTAGCAGCGGCGTTGAACGAGGAAGGGAGGCCCATGCGAGGGGGGAGCTCACCCGGTGATGAGAACAGTTCCGACGGGTGCCATGACGTAATCTGGACTTGATTTGAGGCTTTCAAAAGGAGTGTTTTGTGGTGACGGCGCAAAGACGGACGAGGGAGTGTTGGGAACAAACGAACAGCAAGAGGAGGGGTTCGAAGGCGTTATCAGCCAAGAGGGAGGAAGACGAAAAGGAAAAAGGACAAGGCAGGCAAGGTTCTTTGGTGAGCGGTTATTGCGGTGAGGCAATCAAACCATACATAAAAAGATCGACGAGCAGCTCAGGTCGTACCAAATTACGAGCTGCGACCTACCTTGTACAGGAACGGCTTGCAGCTGCTTCTGGGTTCTTACGCCCCAAACGTTTGCCCCTCAGCGTCCCACTGGGCCCACTGGCCCCACCACTCTTTCAAGGATGAAGAACACTGACCCTGCGGGAGAAAACAGGGTTATCTCCAGCTCCAGTTAGTCCCCAGTAGGTCCCCTATAAAGTACTGTAGTTCCAGGTTTCTAATTCTAGAAGACCACTGGAGCCAGTAGCAAAGCGAGACATTTTCAGCGGGGTCAAGCCATGTGGGCTGCTTAAGTTGTCTCACTTAGAATAGCATCATTCAAGCCACTCAAGCCCTGCCAACTCAATGTTGGTGCTTCCAACAGCAATTTTATTTCGCTTTGTATCATCCTCAGCCTATCTCTCTCTCGTGAAATCGTTTCAGACGGCAAGTAACGGGGAAAGAAGCGAAAGAAAAGTTAGGGCAAGACAGACTGAATCGAAATTGTCGGTTCAGAATTTGTCCAATAATACAGATCCATCTCTTCTACGAAATGAATTTCCAGTTGAGACATGCAACCGAAGAGGTAGATATATTTTGAGATATAGTGAATGTATAGACACTGTCCCTAAATGACCCAAACTCTATTCCTTTACCTAAGGAATAATTTCCTCGGACCCCATCCATGTTTAAACACCAAGCAAAATTCGTCAAAATATCAAATCTCGTGACATTTCCATCACTCCAGCTCTCCCGAAACGTATCCAATCTGCCGCCGCTGCGGCATCCCCAAAGCTGCCAGGTTCGCCGCCATTTGGTTCTTGCTCTCGATCAGTTTGCGCTCCTGCGTCATCCGGGCCTGCAGCCGTTTATCCTGCTCCTTCTCGAACGCGTTAATGTCCTCTCGCTCTCTGCGTTGGAGTGCACTCATCTGGCGCGCGGTATCCATGCGTGCTGAGGCCTGCTGGCCCTCGAAGGCCAGGAGCAGCTGCTGCCTCTTCTGCTCTCCCTCGTACTCCGTTTCGAAGAGCAGCCGCTTGCGTTCCGCCTCCACCTGCATCAGCGACGACTGATGGTCCAGCGCCGCCGCTTGCTCCGCCCGCTGCCGCCGCACGGCCTCGTTGAATAACTGTTCCTCGAGCTGCGCCTTCTCCCGCACTCCGTTGAGCTCCGTGAGCTGCTTCTGCCGCGCCCGCTCATCTTCGAGTGCCGCCCGCTGCGCAAAGATCTGAAGGTGGATGTCGGCAACCTCTTGGGTGCGCGACAGAGCACGCGTGTGGTCCTCCGCCTCGAGCTGGATCCGCTCCAGGCGGGCCTTGCGCTCGCGTTCCGCGCGAACAATGTCATCAGGCAGGCCGATGGCGCCCTCGGGCTGCGGCCCTTCGTTGGCGAAGTATATGTCCTCTCCTCGGTTGGCCTTGAGGAGGGTGTGCAACTGTTCGGACGTATCGTTCTGTCGTAGAATGCGCTTGGCGTACTGAGTTGGCGAGTATGTACACACGCCGTCCGTATATAGATTCCATTGTCGGTTGATGTGCTTCCACATGCCGACCTTCAGGAGTGCTCTCGTCGTCGGAACGGCGTCGGCTGATTCCATGGCGAGATATAAGACCGATTTTCCATCCGAAAGCAAGCTGAGGTCTGTGCCCTGCCTCATCAGGTACGTCATGGCTTTCTCCATGGCCTTCTCTTGCGCCGCTGTCAGAGGACCTGCGTCGGAACTATGGAGACAGAGCTCGCCCAGCGCCGTCCTGCCGCCGTGAAGAGGACTTGGGAAATCGACCTCGTGCCCGAAGTCCACCAGCACTTGCATTGTCCGGATGTCCAGGTCTCGAGCAGCGTTATGTAGTGACCCATCGTTCTGTGACGGTTCGGCCGCGAGGATGCTGGACATCATCGTTCTGCCCAGGTCGCCACCAATCTGTGTAGTTAGGGTGAGGGGCGTGTTGCCCGTCACGTCGGTAACGTCGACCTCGGCGTTTGCCATGACAAGCGCTTGGACAATATCCTTGCGCTTTTCCTTTATGGCCAGCATAAGCGGAGTTGTCTTGGAGAGTGGCGTTTCAATGTTGACCGCAGCGCCCCTCTTGATCAACGTCGTGATAACGTCGCTGCTCACCCTTTTCATAGGCTGCAGGAGGCACCATATTAGCAGGTTGGCCTGTTCTTCTTCTTCGACCTCGTCGAGCACTCGCACACTACACGGCTCGTCGTAAAAATAACCAGCGTCAAGGAGTGTCTCGACAATTTTGGTGGAGCGGGGATAACGGGAGATTGCCTTGAAAATGGTCGGCGCCGAATCTGGGTGTCGGAATTTCGGATCCAGCTGTATCTCTCCATCTTGGAAATGTGTGAATAGCGTGATGAAGTCTAACACCTCGTTATCCTTGAGTTCATGGTCGAACACGTACGGAAAGGCCATGGACAAGGATTCTGCGTTCGGTCCCTGTTGCAGCATCTGCTGAACAAGTTGGGTATCGCCAGTCTTTGTGGCCCTTACGAGGGGTTCGCCATGGCCTTGATTTACGTCTGCATTGTGTTGAATCAGGATGCTGACGAACTGCCGTGCGATGCCGTCCTTTTCAGTGCCCAGGTAGTCTAGTGATGCGCTGAGCGCAACAGAGAGCCCCTCGCCTTCAGCACCTTTCGCCAGCAGACGTCGTGCGACTTCGAGACCACGTGGCGAGAGCCAGACGTCCACTGCCGCCGGAATAAAGGTCTCCTTCATAGTCCAAGAGATATCTTTTAAAGAGATCTCACATTTCAAGAATAAGTCCAGGACCTCGAGGTTCTGTATCTGCGCGACATCGACCAGACTCTTGCAGCCGAGAGCTGTAGGTGAGGCCCCCTTTTCCAGAAAGAGCTTGATGAGATCAATGCTTGACTCCTCCTCGTTGACAACTTTGTTCAGAGCCACATGGACGTCATCAGAAATTTGCAGGCCAGCTTCAAAGAGCCACTGGACAACTTGCAACCTCGGCGCGGTGCTCAACTTCGAGCTGGCCTTTAGTGAGCGGACGAGCGTCCTGGAGGATGGCTTCTGCTGCTTGCCGCCCGCAGGGGAAATAGCTAGCATCAATTTGAGGATGTCCATGAAAGCACAACAGGTTGCATTGTATACCGCTTCTCCATTATTGTGGTCCGGAGAGGCACCAAAATGCAGAAGCAGCTGGACAAGATCGACAGCATCATACCCATAGCGCGCAGCAGACACGAGCTCGGCATCGAGGACTTCGCCAGTGACGCCTTTGTCCAGCAGTACTTTGTATACGCTTAGTCTCTGCTTCAGGTCGCTGACTTCTGTTGCAGCTTGGAAGCCTCGCTCCAATGTCTTTTTGTCGATAGAAGCTCTGGTGGACAAAAGAACTTTGAGAACGTCACAGGACCCAGCTCGACAGGCCTCGACCACGCACTGGCCTTCTCGATGACCTGTACTGGCACCATGCTTGAGCAAGATCGCTATCAGGGTCAAATCGCCCGTACCAGCGGCGTCCAGCAGGGCATTCGAAACCACATCACCCGATGCACCCGTGTTGAGAAGGGATTCGCAGATAGACTTCCGAATCTCGTGATCACCAATTTTCATGGCCGCGGAGAATGCCTGGTTGAGCGACGCAGTGGCGTGTCTTTTCGATTTTGCCATTAGCTCTACCAGGTCGGGATGGCATCTCCTCACCGCTGTCACCAACGCCTCGCCATCTCTCATGTCAGCCTTCGCGACAAGCCGATGGATCAATGCCAAGTCTCTGGGACACGCTGTGATGGCGTAAGTCAGTGCTCGGTTCGCCTCAGCAGCAGGGGCTCCAGCATCCAACAGCCTCGCCGTGAATGCCAGCCGGTCGGCCTCGTCTGGAATATTCATGGCAAATCGCATTGCCTCTCCTAATGAAGCAGAGCTAGGCTTAGCGGCGAAGAGCACATCCGTGATGACTTTGTCCGCTTGACCCACGGCACAACAAAGGGCAGCAGCCTTGTCCGCATTCACGTCGATACCAGCGGCCAACAGAGCTTTCAACACCACCAGCGTCCGTTTCTCAGGTGGACACTCTAGAATCGCGTTGACTTCGGTGACCAGAAGTCTATTTAGGGTTTCTTTTTGTTTTATGTTCCGGAGAATGGACTCTAGCTTGGCTGCTTTCTCATCTGTTGATGGTACATCGTTCATGGCCTGCACTGCCATATCCATTGTTTCTGCGTTAGGTTTCCCGGCCTTCAGCATCAGGTCAAGAACCCTAGGATCTGGGTTTCGAACAGCTATAGGCATATAAATGTCAGCATGTCTTGCACCGCAGTTAAGACCTTGTCTTACACGTACCAAACACAAGAGGTTCGCCCGTGTTAATATTAACATCGCCCTTCCCCAATTTGAGAAGCGCTGACAACAACGCCAAGTCTGTCGGCTTCTCCTGCAGAACTCTGCCCAAGGACTCGCCAATTACTTGTGAATTTATATCCACACGCGCCTGCAGAAGCAAGAAGACCATTTGCGTCCTCTTAGGACCATTGACGTCCATGGCATTCATAAATGCGGCCGTAGCAGTTCGGGTGTCCGGGCGTCCCTTGTTCAAGAGGACCTGGAGCAGATCGGCATCGCCTTGTGCAATGGCTGATAGGATTGGTGCTCCATCGTTCTTGGTTTTGACGTCAACATCGTGATGGAGCAGAAGCCCAATCAAGCGCTGGTCTCTCCTCGGCGGCCGCTCATCAATTGCGTGTTGTAGGGCGGCGTGAACACAAGGTCCTGAGACGCCAGCCTTTAGGAAAGATTCTGTCAGACGATATCTCTGTGCCGGTTCGAGCTGGCTGATGAGTGGAAAGACCTGGGCAAGCGTCTCGAGGCTCGGTTTTGCTGCGAGGATGCTCTCGGCTATGGGGATCTGGCCCGTACGGACGGCTATCGAGAGAGCCAGCCCGCCCTTGTGATTCACACTGGATGTGGCATGATGCTCGAAGATCATGCTCCGTGGGCCTCGCTTCAGGTCGTGGCTGCCGCTGGGCTGCAACCTGCCGCTCCCAGGGAACTGCGGTGTGAGGAGTAGCGTAACGCACTTGAGATCGTGGGCCTCAACGGCATCGACCAAGGCGTCATCCAGCTGCGAGCCTCCTGCCCCCTTCCGGAGGAGGAGGGTAAGCAGCTCCAGCCTGTCCTCAGGGCTTGTGCGCTTCGGTATCTCGGGAATCAGGTCTGCTGCCAGGTCTGGCTTCAAGGCAGCCTCGTTACCCAGCAGTACCTTGACCAGGCTTGTGTTACCCTTCTGGATAGCGTTTCTCACAGCCATTGCATGGCCGTAGTCGATAGATGCGCCGGCCGTGATGAGGAGGTCAATCATGTCGTAGAACTCCGTCTCGCAGGCCTTGACAAGTGCTTCGGCCGTGACGTCGCCCTCTGCACCAGCCAAAAGCAGGACATCCGCAAAACACTTTTTCTCCGTCGGCATAATGTTGGCATACTCGAACAGGAGCTTAAAGGCCTCATTGACATGTTCCCTGGCTGGTGGCTTGCGGCCGGTAAGGATGGCCAGCGCGATATCGATGCGGCACATGGTGACGGCCAGCTTCAGAGCCTCGGCCTCATTATAGCTCCCGTCCGCGACAGACCTGCTCAACCGCACCACGGTGGCGAGATGGCCCTTCCTCGCCGCTAAGACCATGGCTCCTGAGATCCAATCCGGGGGCGGCCTCCCGTCCGACTGGAGGAGCAGGCCCACCAGGTCAGCCTGTTCACCATTAATGCACAGCTGCTGAAACTGGAAGCGCCCCTCGGGCGTCGTCGATAGGTTGGCGCCGTGAGAAAGAAGGACCTCGGTCATCTTAAGGCTGCCCTTGGCCAGGGCCAGCGGCAGTGCGGCGTCGACGATGGCGGGGTCTGCGTGGGGGACGAGGACAGCAACCATGTCTTCCTGGCCATTCTTGACAGCCTCCTGGAGGATCTGGCTCTGTGTCTGGACAAGGTCGTTCATGCTCCTGCGCTTGAGGGAGAAGGCGGTCTTGGGCTTGGTGTTGGGGTTATTGATATTACCTCCCGCCAGGAGCAGCCTTTGGACCAGCGCCTCTGCCACGCCGGGCGACCCTTGGTTCTGGACATGGGCATGGAGCTCGTCGAAGATCTCCTTGGGGGTGAAGCTGCTGTCCTTGCGCGATATGGAGAAGGACGTCTTTTTGAGAAGACCGCCTCTTGCTGCCATGAACCCTTCGCTGTCGCCATTTGGTCTTTGGCCGCTGGCTAGGAGGCGTCTGCGCTTGAGCTGCTCCTCTGCGTGAAAATCGTCGTTGGCGTTCTTGTAGTGGGTACCGAGTGGCGCCTGGTGTCTGGAGAGGGGAACTGGCTCTGGTGGTTCTTGGACACCGTATGACTCGGCCATGCGTTGTAGGCGCCACAAGCGGTCGTCAGAGCTCACAGGAGACGATGCCATCTTGGCCAGCGTTCTCGACCATCCGTCCACGGAGGCTTGGGATTCAGAGGTGGTGTTGATGTCGATGACGATGGTCAGCAAGGGAAGAAGACTTGCCCTTCGAGGCTGGTATGCCCCTCGCCCTGCATCGGAGGGATACAGCAGTGTCGAGCCACTGCAATTGGAAATCCAGCCAAGGGAGTGTGTTGTTGTCCGTAGCAATGAAGTTGAAACGGGGCCGTTGAGAGTGGCGCAAGTTCGTTTTCGGATCCACGACTAGCAGGTTGCACTTTCCAAGAGACTTGTCGCTCTCAGCTTTCCTCCCTTCTTTCAAATAGAGTGAAAAATGAAAGATTGCTGCTTGTCTCTTTTTCTAATTCTTCTTCTCTCCCTTCGAGACTCAAGTCTGGCGAGACCAGACCAGACGCCCGCAGTAATGTTTGTCTTTCTTCCACTTCGAAGTCTTTAGTAGCTGCTGTGACAGGAAAAGGAGTAGCAAACAAAAGCACAGCCTCATCTGTAGCGCCCGTCTCACCCCACAATTCGGCTTGATCCCTTCTCAATATCCGCCGAGTCTCGACGATCGGATCGTGACAGCCGAAGTAATACCAAGGATGCGTGGTCTTTATCTTTCTTTCGTCGTATTTTTTCCTTCTTTCTTTTCTTTCTCTTCTTCTTTTCTGCCTCACAGCAAAACTTGCGAGGCTGAGTCGGGTTGTGCGGATCTGGTTTCTACAGACCTGGTCCTTGGACCTTTCCCAGAATCGTGGGGTTTTGTTCCAGGACGACTTGTAGTAGAGTGGGTTCCCTCCTGTAGAGAATGTCCCTGTTTCGGTACATAGTAGGTGTGTGCTCGTCAGTCGATTGGAACGTCGGTTTGAAGACTGGTCTCTAACAGGAATGGCTGTCCTGCAGAGGGGGGACGGGAGCTTAAGTGGCGAAGCCCTTTCAAGGCTTGCCCACACACCTGAGTCACGCCAGTGCCAAGGCCAGTGCCAGTGCCGTAATGTACTATACTATACCTTTGTTAGCACGTATTGTTGCAAGCAGTAGCAGTGTGTGTCTGCCCCCTCTCAAAATTCAGTCATTCGTTTGAGGTTTTTTTCCACTCAGTCTATCAGGACCTGAGACTGGCTTTGATTTTACCCCAGGTTTCTAATTCATTAACCTTTCATGAGAACCCGCTCAAAAGATGAAATTTAGGTCCTGGTGCGTCTGCCCAGGGAGCGTCTGAAGACGACGATCATCCAGGGCTTTTTTTTTTCCTTCTCTTTCGAGAAGCACGATGGCACGGCTAGTAGGTGAACATAAGCATGTCCCCGCCTGGAAAGCCGACAAGACTACTTGGGACTTGCTCAGCCGCTGCGCCCAATATGAAACGTCAGCCCCGTTCCTAGACTGCGCCTGGACGGTCACCCGCAGGGACTCCTGGATCTTGAATCATTATCATTGTCATCATCTGCAAAGGCCCGAGGAAACATATAGTATCCCTGCCCAGCTGAATTGCAAGTGCAACAGCGTAGCTTAGTTCATTACTTGTCTAAGAGATTATCATGCTCACATAACTGCTGGTTAAACATGTTCAATCCTCTTTTCTCTTCTTCTTTCTATCTTTGATGACAGCATTGTCCTTAATTAGCTGGAATGAATTTACTTCAGTTTTACCTCCTACATAAGCACTGTCCTATACCAGAGACACATTGCCTCTCCTCAACATGTATGATAGATTATAAACTACAAAAACATTGACAAGGAGACACTTCCCAATCAACACATGTTGGACTCAACAAAGCCATTCTTCAACTTTTGAAAAACTAAAATCTAGTAGAGAGTAGAGCAATCTGAACCTGATCATGCCATCCCAACTCATGCTTTCCCATCATGGTCCCTGTTCCAGCCTGTCCCTTTTTCGCTTCCAGTGATCAATGCTCCAGAACACCTGTCTTCCCCCTTTCGACCCTTTCCCTCACACCGGAAGATGCTGTAATCATCTCTGTATATACACACAATCAACAAGATTGAGTCGTTATGGGGCGGAATAACACCTTTCCTAGCCTTATACGCCGTGCTGTGTCAATGGAAAAGACTCGGAAGTTCAAGTCTCGAAAAATGAAATGCGCCGTTCAGCTTATTTCTTCTTCTTCTCTCCCCCCTCCTTTCCCTCACCACCTTTCATTCACCGTCCACCGCCTCTTCGACGAGGATAGATCTCGTGATACGCTATCTTCTATCGGTTTGTGGCTGCCCCAAAGCCCGCCTGCACCCAAACCCAGCTGCGGCAGAGGCCCCGGCATGTCTTTGTGCTCCTCGCTGTGATTTTCAGAAGAGGTGGTGCTGCGGCGCTCGACATTCGTTCGTGGAGAGACCGCATCGCTGCCACCGCCGTTGCTGGAGCCATTCGTTACTCTTGGTGTGGACGGCGTCGGCTCCTCAGGCATGGTCGTGGTCGTGGTCGTGTTCGTGCTCGGTGCGGCAGTCCCAAAGCCGCCAAAGTTCGGGAGGAAATCATCATCATCGTCGTCCGGCACCCCGAGGGTGTTACGGAGCGGAGACCAGAGGCCGCCCAGTGCAAGCGACGGCCTGGTAAACGAGGTCACACCACTGCCCACCGTGATGCCGCTACCACCACCACCACCGCTGCTGCTGCTGCTGCTGACCCCGTTCAAATCGCTCATGTTCAGCCCGATCCTGCCTGACAACCGAGATGAGGATGCCGAGTCCCGCCTCATACCGCCAAAGTTTGTCACTGCCGAGGTGCTGCGGCTACCTGGGCCGTCTGTCGGTGAGAATAAGCCATTGCTACTCCCGCTAAGTGGTGAGGATGTGTAGCTCGTGCTTCCCAGGCGTCCACGGCTGGGCGGGGCCATCAGGGCTGGTATCGAGCCTGACCTGGAGCCGCGCGTGGAGGTCAGGTGCTCGTTGCTGGCAAACAATTTCAAGTCGTAGTGCTTGTGGATGGCAATGAGGCCGGAAGGGTGGGAGACGGTGTCGCCGCCGCCTGACGCGACGCGGACTGATGCGTCCTCCTCGACCTCGCTGGCGCAGGGTCTCCTGACGGCTTGCGTGAGCGACGCCAGACCGACGTCTGTCAGGACGGGCTGGTGTGTGATGGCGCCGATCAGGGCGTTGCAGCCGGCGCCGTGAGATACGATGACAACCACGGACTCGACCTCAACGTCCTCATCGTCGACCATGACGTAGTCGTCCGCGACGCTATTACGGCGCACCTTGGTGACCATGTCTGAGGGGTTCTCGGCCGTGGCGTACCAGTCCACCAGCTTCTGCAGGCCCTTCCGGAATCGGTGGTGCATGTGTGTCCACTCCTCGCCCAGCGTACCGCCATCACCCCAGTCGAGAGTGCCCCGCATCGAGTCCCACTGGTAGTCCACCTCGCAGCAGTTGTCCCTAGCATGTGGGACATAGCCATTGGGTATCTCGGCGTTGTGGGAAATGGCGTACGTCGGCACGGGAGGAACATAGGTCCCTCCTGTCAGCAGGCGTGACTCCCCATTACTCATGACGCTTGTAACACTGTTGCTCCTGCCTGCACGCCTGAGGGCCTCGGCGAGGCTAGACACGTTGTCCGAGGTGTTCACGGGTGACGTCGGGCTGGGCACGGCGGCGGCGGCCCAGGACGGCTGGCTGGCATTCTGGTTGTTATAGGCGGCGAAGTTGGGGTTCGTGCTGTAGTCCTCCCTGCGCAGCAGATTTGCCTTGGCGCTGGCTAACATCAGACCCGAGCTCGGAGGCGGAGTGATGACCTCGAAGTAACCCGGTGTGAGCCATTCCCCGAGGAAGGCATCGAGGCGGAGGACGGTCTTCTCGACAACGAGGTCTCTGGGCGGGGCGGGCACTGTCTCAGACGGGGCGGGCAGGTCTGAGGGAGGAGCAGGGTCGGAAGGGGGGAGGTCAGCGTTGTTGGTAGGTCGGAGTCGGGGGTTGGTGGAGGAATGGATGGAAGAGGCCCGGGCAGGAGTGGCAGGTTGGGGCTCGGGGTCAGAGGCGAGGCCGGCGCTGATGCCTATGGAGGTCTGGACGCAGCGCAGGAAGGGCGAGGAGTGGACAACGATCTTGAACTTGCGGCGCTTCCTCGGAGGACCATCTGTTGTGGTTGGTGACGATGTTCCAGCTTCTGCTGTTGTTGCTGTTGCTGCTGCTGCTGCTGCTGCTGCTGCTGCTGCGGCATCATCCCGACTGTCTCTTTCGCGGAGGATCTGCCTGATCCTCTGACCTACGGCTCGCGCCTGATTCCATCCGGAGTAGGTGAGGGGTGGATCGTAAGGGGTTGGAGATTGTAGATGCCACTGCTTGTTTGCGGCGTCAAGGCGGTTTCCGTGTCTAAGCAAGAGGGCAGCACATCAATAAGGGCACAGAGGGAGGAAGACGCAGTGGTTCCGTCGACACTTACCTCACGACGAATATGTGAGCCGGAGCGCCGCCCATAGCTAAAATACTCAGCGGATGACCAACGAAGAGAGGGATGATATGTGTATGTGTCTGCGTGATGAACGCAACGAGTCCCAGGAAGGGGGACGGAACGAGGAGAGGGTGGTGGTGGTGGTGGGAGGAGGAGGAGGAGGAGGAGGAGGAGCACGGGACTTGGTTGACAGAAAGTCTAGAACTAGGTCAGGGAACTTCGGTAGCCGGGTTCAAAGGACGAAGTACTACTAGTATGACGGGGTCTTCTGGGTGTGGGTCTTCTGGGGCTGGGGCCGCGGTGAAGACCAACGATTTTGGGTAATTGCCGACAATATCGACAGGATTCCCTCATGAAGCTTTGGCTCGTGCTCCTTCTTGCCCTCATTGAAGTCCAGTCTGTGGTCTTGGATGCCAAAGGTCGGAGGTTGTTGGAGTTTATCCCCGATGGGAGTCAAAGAGAGCGTTTCTAAACTGTTCCCGTTGTGGTCGGTTGATCCCGAGTAAAACACGCTAGAGGGGAGAGAGTAAGTAGGGGGAGGAAACCTCTAGGCCTGCCCAGCACTGGGGATTAACCAGCAAAGATATCAGTGATTATATACAAGCCAAAAGGCAGCAACGTGAACAGTCGTGCGATCATTGTGTGACCAGAAGAGGCGAGGCAAGACCCCTGCAACCAATCTCACAAGATGCTTGTGTAATGCAGGTGCAACCCTGGAAACAGCTAGTCTGTATTTGGCCTGCTCCACCCAGACTTGACTTTCGAAACAAACAACTATCAAGATCCTCCCCACAACATTGTCATAATCACACCCAAAACATTTTCACATTACCAGTAAAGTGATAAATAATTACCATTACAAAGGACGCACCCAGTCCAATTACTTATAATATTGATAGAGGTGCGTCAGTGTCATCATTTAGACTTCTGTTTCTTCGAAACCCAAGCCCTGGAGAGGGAGATTTCATTTCCAGTGTTGAAGACCTTGCCCCAAGACGTGTGGCGGGCTCCCTTCTACGCAGCTGATCAGAAATCGGCATAGCATGGTTGCGGTTCATTACTGCTAAGAGGTATATATATAATCTTTGACACTTTATCCCCTGCGCAGTATATACTCGCCATTTCTTCTCCCATATTTACGCATGCTTTTTTGCAATATTACTTATTAGAGACAGATCTTGCTTACATGGTAACATTCAGACACTAAATTAGCATTTATTCATCAAAGTAAGTCTGATTTGAGCCTGCATCTTGTGTTGTACGGCATATATTATCAAGGTGACGAAGCGTGAAAATTATACTGAGTTGCATGGGAAAGTTGGCATGTGACTGTAGGCTATTACTTAGCGTGAGTTACTGCAGGAAGGGCTGACCCTGCTGGATAGCCGCGCCCCGCTGCCGTCGAAAAGACCCCTGTCACGCCCTTGGGGGGTTGCTAGGTAAGGGGTGTATATTCCTTTGGACGCTTACCAATGTGTATTCCTTCGAACACTTACCAATACTGCCCACTTACCATTCCTCAAGACAACTTTGCACGCCCGAGGCGTAACCTCCCTTCATGACTTGATAAGAAGGAGAGAAGAAGACGACGACTACGGCGACGACTACGACGTCCACAACAGCGACGTCACAGAGAAGTCCTCCGTAGACCAACACAACACCAACAGCTTCCCAACAGTTCGCAGTGACCCTGACACGGGACGGGACGCGAAGATGCGTCCCCCCTCGAACCTCCTGACTGCCCTCCTCGTCCTTGTCCTCGGCCATCATGTCCTCCTCCCGTCCGTCCTCGCCGAGCACACCAGCAATTGGGCTGTGCTGGTCTGCACGTCTCGCTTCTGGTTCAACTACCGCCACCTCGCCAACGTGCTCTCCATCTACCGCACCGTGAAGCGTCTCGGCATCCCCGACTCCCAGATCATTCTCATGCTGCCTGACGACATGGCCTGCAACCCGCGGAATGCTTTTCCTGGCACCGTCTACTCCAACGCCGATCGTGCTGTCGACCTGTACGGCGACAATATCGAGGTCGACTACCGGGGCTACGAGGTCACTGTCGAGAACTTTATCAGGCTCCTGACCGACCGCGTGGGCGAGGAGACCCCGAGAAGCAAGAGACTGCTGACCGACGACCGGAGCAACATCCTCGTGTATATGACGGGCCATGGCGGCAACGAGTTCTTGAAATTCCAAGACGCCGAGGAAATTGGCGCTTTTGACCTTGCCGACGCATTCGAGCAGATGTGGGAGAAGAAGAGGTACGTCCTGTCCATTCGATACAAGAGGAATCATGAAGGGAAAACATTTTGTGAGACGAAAACTAATGTGTGTGATGGCGGGTTCTTCCCTTTGCAGGTACCACGAGATCCTCTTCATGATCGACACCTGCCAGGCCAACACGATGTACACGCAGCTGTATTCGCCCAGGATCATCGCGACGGGCTCATCGGAGCTGGATCAGTCATCGTACTCGCACCATGCCGACAACGACGTGGGCGTCGCTGTCATCGACAGGTACACCTACTACAACCTTGAGTTCCTCGAGACGCACGTGGGCGACCTCAGCAGCAAGAAGACGCTGGGCGAGCTGTTCGACAGCTACACCTACGAGAAGATCCACTCCAACGCCGGCGTGCGTTACGATCTATTCCCGGGTGGCGAGGACGCCGCCCGGTCCAGACTCGTGACTGATTTCTTCGGGAACGTCCAGAATGTCGAGGTCGACGGTACCAAGAACTCCACGCTAGAAGAGGACCTGTTAGGGCTGAGTAGGCACATCGCCGAGCTGCGGCGGAGGGCCGATGCCCAGGACGAGACGCACTCCCAGCAAGGAAACGCCTCGCAGGGAGAGAAGAGGTGGGAGACGGCGGCAGCACCAATCCACAAGATACAGGCTGCCAAGCCATTGACAGATGACAATTGGTGGACCAAGAAGCTGCTGGGGGCGGTTGTCCTGGGAGGCTGTGTTTCATTATGGGGTCTGGGTTCTTTTTTCGAGAAATCTGGTAGGTCATAATATATATATACATTACTGAGATTTACATAGCAATTCTCTTTACTATCCACCCAACATTACTTGTCTTCCTCACTTGAAGTACGCAAAAGTGTCTAGGTGTAGTTGGAGGATGAAAGTGGACTTGCTCACATTGTTTCTCCCGCTCACGCTAATGCACAAAGGCTGATGGGCACTGGACAGACACATTTAATCTTATATTCCTTCAGCTCAACTTCAGAATTGTTGAGTTTTGAAGAAAGAGAAAAGAAAGAAAAGAGAAAAAGATCTGGTGCATGTTTTTTTGGAGTGATGTTGTGGTCTGTTCTTGTTGAGTCCTGACCTCTCTTAATTTTGGCCCAAAGGGCATGTTTCTCACTAGTACAGTAGGCACAGGCTGCTGTCTGCCCAAACTGGAATCTGTGACAACCCTCAACAAAACTCGCACCTTCGCTATTCTTCTTTTTTCTTCTTCTTTTACTCTTCAATTCGCCTGAAGGGCCATGAATTCTCACGCCAATGAGCCCAATCCTGGGGATTTTGTTGCTTCAAATTGTCAATTGAAATCTTGAGACAGTTTAGAGGGTCTCAGGAATTCTTTTTCATCTCGTCGTTACTTCCCTACCTCCACTAATACACAACTCGCCATTCCTTCCTGCCGGAGCACATTGCTTGGATCTCCCCACACAATTTATAATAATCAATGAGACATGAAAAATTCAAAAGTAAGCTCCATCCTTCAGAAAAAGATGAAGAAAAAGAAGAAACAGTTCTCTGTCTTGACACCCATCCTAACAAAGTCCTTTCTAGATCCTGCCCCTGCGAGGCCTCGACCTCCCAACCAGGCCCTTAAGCCAGCGCCGCGCCCTCGCCTGGTCCAGCGATGCCGAGCTTGCTGTCGCTGCAGACGACTCGGTGCTCATCTACGTCCCTGAGTTCCCTATCCTAGACCCTGCCCGCCCGGTTGAGGAGGACGGGCAGGGGGGTAAGCAGCAGCAGCAGCAGCAGCAGCAGCAGCATCAGCCCCAACCAGCCGACGAGACCGCAGCGGGCAAACCCGAGGCAGATGGCGGCGATGGTGGTGGCGGCAGCAACAGCCTGGGCGTCCTCCCTGCTGGTTTGCCTGCCGAAATCGGCGATGAGGACAACGAGGGGCTGATGTCTGAGGACAGCGATGATGGCGATCCCGACGACGATGACGAGGGCGGCAGCAGCGTGAAGCTCAACGCTGCGGCGGGCGCCGCTGGTGCTCTGGATGGAGACGACGAGCAATTGCCCAGATGTCAGTTTTCTGAGGTCTGGCGGCATCTCCCCATCTCGCACCCGCCTCTGCACCCGGACCTGAACAGGCACGTGTGGGAAGCTGCTGGGCGGGAAATGCCTGTGATTCATCACGGCCCCGCCGGGGTAGGCGGCGATGCGCATGCCAACGGCCATAACGGAGGTGCAGCGTGGGGCAAGGCGCAGGAGCAGCCGGCGAGAAATGAAGAAGGCGAAAGGAGAGAAGAGAAGGGAGAGGGGGTCACCGTCCCGGCACCGCCACCGTCATTTCCACCGCCCACCCGTCTCGAGGAGACAGTGGTGGCCCGCCATCCAGGCGCCGGAGTCGGCATCATAGGGGCCTCTGGCGCAAGTATGAACCATGTGGTCGCGGTGGGCTGGTCACCTGCTGGCATAGGGCGGAACGGACGGCCCGTGCTGGCCGTGCTGACGGGAGTAGGGAGTCTGGCCGTATATGGCGAGGGCGGTCCAGCACCCTTTGGCAGCACAGCGAGGCCGTTGCGGAACCTAGGCGCTGGACGAGGCGCTGCGAGGGACCTGCAGAGTTGGGTGGTGCTGTGGGCGGTGGGCGAGAACTTTGTGGTTCCGGGCCAGGAGGAGTATGGATATGGCGAGTTCGTAAAGGCTTTTGCGTGGTGCAGGGAGGTTGGCGGTGGGAGGGCGCTGCTGGCATATCTGAATGATGTGAGGGAGCTGGTGGTGCTGTCCGTGGGGACGACTTTTAGGAAGAGGGAGACGGACGGGCTCGAAGAGGCCATTTGGAATGTCCAGGAGGTGATGCGGTTGGAGGCTGCAGGCCCACATGGACATCTTGATGTGAGCTCCCTGACTCCTTGTTTTGCACTTCGTGTCTTGTTTGAGAAGGCTGGCTGGTCTTTGCTGATGCTGGATACAGATTTATGACCCGGACTTTGTGCCATCTGACTCAAGCTATTGCCTTCGCTGGAGTCCTTGGGTCAAGGACAGACAGAACTGGTCATGTCTGCTCTCCTACATGGACAGGCACTATGTCGGTTTCAAGCGGATCTCAGTCGACATCTCGACGTGGGAGCCGCAGGAGGCACCAGAGATATCGTATGACCCAGAAGACTGGGAAGGTCGCTGCGTCCATCTCGGGCCGGATGCCTTCCTAGAGTTTGAAGACATGGTAAGATATGTACAGTTGTATATATACTTATTTATAAATACATACAACACACAGCCGTGTGGCAGGTTTCGGATGAAGGCTAATTATCGAGATAGATCTGGCATGTGAACAACCAAAAGCTCTGTCGCGGCATCATCGCCACGCCCTGGGTTGTTGAAAGCTTCGAGGTCGATCTCTGCGCCAGCGACAGACCTGCGCCTCTACCCGCACACCCTACGGACCAGTGCAAAACAACATATTCATCCGGCGACGCCACCCACAACAACCCCATCACAGGCCTCGTCATTCACCCAGTCCCGTTCTCCACCGTCTGTCCCTCCCTCATCCCGCTGTACACCGCCGTCCGCCTCTCGGCCACAGCCACAAACAACCCCATGTGGTGGGAGTCCAATGCGCCCTCGCAACCAGGCGGCCTCGATACGAAGCCGCCGCAGTGGGCTGCCGAGATCACCCAGAAGATCACACAGACCATACCCCTCGGAATGGCGGGCCAGACGGTCCACGGGGGTCCTAGAGGTGGCAACGATGACGATGACCGCGAGCTCGGCGCCGAGCCGATGGCTTTTGGTACCGAGAAGGGCGAGGATAATGACATCAACGACGACGATGATGATGACGACGACGACGAAGACGAGGATGAAGACGCAGCGTTTGACCCATGGGCAAGAGAAGGCCCGGACGTGCACCCGTTTCGCGTGAGGATCTGGGGCATTGCAATGAGCCCCGGCGGCGGGACCACAGCGGTACTATCGTCGAGCCAGCTGGCGGTCAGGCCAGAGAAGGGCACGTGGCGCGCCCACCGGAGCCGTGTGGTCTTTGAGTCCCAGGGTTGCCGCGCCACAGTAGCAGCACCGCTAGCAGTCAAGAAGAAGGCGACCCCTCCTCCTGATGCCATGGAGGTGGACCACGAGGAAGACAGCGGGCAGCAGCAGCTGGATATGGCGGTGGCGGCGGCGGCGGCAATCAGTGTCGCCAACGTCGAAGGCCTGTCGACGGAAGCGAGGGTGTGGGAGTGGATGTACGGTGGCGGGGACGGCGTGCCAGGCCTCACCCCTAGGACAGCCACGGATGGGAAAGACAACGACAACGAGGATACCGCTATGAGGACCCCTAGAAAAATTGCCCAGGAGCGAAGAGATGCAGAGGCAGCAGCGCGCAGGCAGCACATCTTGGACATTTTCGCGCCCCACGTGGCCCGGCAGACGTGCACCATCTGCGCCGACGGCATGACCAAGTTCATCCTCCCCGCCTACCCTCAAAGCTACAAACCCAATACCACCACCAACATCGACCAGAACAAAGACGCCATAACGGACGAAGACGACAACAGTAACGATGCCACCACCGCCAAGGAGTGGCCCCTCGATTGCTTCTGCGAGAACGGCCACCGCGTCGCGGTCTGTGGGGCGTCTGGGCTGGCGATCACGGAGCCGCAGACCTCGCGGTGCTGTGGGGTGTGCCAGTCACGGTGTCTGAACGTCGACTTCCTCGTGGACAGGGTGCTGGTTCCGGCAGCGGCGGCGGAGGAGGGGATGGTGGAGGTTGTTAGGCGCGAGATGCCTGTAGATGTCTGCGCGCGGTGTGGTGGCAAGTACCTCGACTGAAAAGAAAAGTCAAGAGGTTCTGTCGACCTGGAGATAAGGGTGCTGATGGTGTCAGGATTAGGTGGACGGCTGAAAGGAGCACGTTGGGCAAGACAGGGTTGGTGGAATTCAGATGCCATTCTTTATATATTGTGGCGCCCAGCCCCCAAAGTCTAAGTGATCGCCTTGCCTCCCAGTTCCGGGCGTGTGCCATTGATGGTAATTTTCCAAGCTCCCACGAAGTATACAGAAATGACAAGTCTAATGCACATCCCTTTTCTCCTTCTTTTTCTCTATCTCTCTCTCTCTCTCTCCTCTTCTCTTCTGTCCACGTCCCTGCACCGCCTCCCACCGCATCCCTGGCCGCAGCGCTTCCTTGCTCGACGTAATGCCTCTTCAAGTCTATTGACAACGTTTCCCTAGTCCTCCTTTTCCTTTCTAAAGGCTCTTTTCCAAACGCTGCACAGCACAGCACAAGAGCTTCACATCAGACAGACAAGACAAGGAGACCGCAAGGGTAGGGAGGCATCTTCCACTACTGAAAGACTCTGCACCACATCTGTCTTGCCTTGCTTCATCCAGCGAGCTTGGGGTTTTTTTTTTGTTTTTTTTTTTACCCGAACGCCTTGTTCATGGCCTGGTGGGCCAGCTCCACGCCCAGGAAGGTGGCGGCGTTGGCCGGAACCGCTCTCGCGAGCGCGGGGCCGAAACCAGGGAAGAAGGCCTTGAATCCGCCCCTGCCGTATACTTCCCTGATGACACCGCCCAGGGTGACGTTGCCCTCAGCAGTCTGCAGCCTAGACTTGACAGTGTCGACGGGGAACACAGGAATCCACATGGCCACCCCGGCGGTGGCACCAGCGCAGGTCACCGCGGTGAGGCTCAGGTTGCCGCTGGGCTTGCCGGTGGCAGGGTCGATGGGAGTCAGCTTCCTCTTCATGTACTCGTAAGCAGCAAAGTAGGCGGCGCTGCCGGGGCCGTCACGGGCGAGGGTGGCAGCGGAGCCACGGAAGACGGAGCGAACGCCGCCCTCGCGGTAGAGTTGGCGGACGACATCCAGGCCGCCGCTGTAGCGGGGCTTCTCGCCAGGGGCGAGGCGCTGGTCCTGGACCTGGAGGATGACCTTGACACGCTCAAAAGGGGCGGTGATGGCGGTCATGGGGATGGCGGAGAAGAAGCCGGCGGCGGAGACCTGTCCGATGGTGAGGGCGCCGGTGGGGGACGGGCCGGAGATGGAGGATACGATGGACTTGCCCAGGTCGTAGCCCCAGAAGGAGACGGCGACTGTATTGAAGAGAACAAGAATCAGTCATGTAGTTGTTGCGCAGGAAACAGCAGCAGCAGAAGCAGCAGCAGAAGCGACATACACATCGGCGTGACACCCACGAGTGGCGCGCTCACGCCCGCGTACAGGCCCCTCCTCAGCCCATCCCTGGCCACGCTCTTGCGCACGACATCGATGGCACTCGAGTAGACACCCTTCTCGGCGGTTTGCAGGCGGACCTTGACGAGGTCGAAGGGGTGACCCACGACCACAGCGCAAACACCGCCGAAGCCGCCGGCCGCGAGGGAGCGCAGCTGCGATAGGCCTGTCGACGCAGCGGCCTTGGCCTCGGCTTTTACCTCGTCTTTGGACTCTGGCACGTGTGGGATCTTGTCGCTCAGAGGCGCGGGAACTTTGTCATGAAGGGTCTGGTTGAGCACGGCTGCCGGGTTGTCTTTCGATGAGGATGAGGAGGCCATTGTGACGGTGGCCCTGGCGTGGGTAGTAACTGAGCGAGATCCGAGTGGTCACGGAGGATGGTTGTCGTCTTCTCTCTGGACCTCTTTTCTCGAGGCTTGTGATAGTGTGGAGCCCCGGCTTCTTGTGGTGGAAGTATCGCCTGAACAGTCAAAATGCTTGTCAGTGTCTCTCCTCGGACCTCTGGTGATTTCTGCGCTCTTTCTTCTTTTTCTTCTCCTTTCCTCCCAAAGAAAGAAAAGTCTCGTACCTGGCTGGCCTTTATTGCGCTGTGGTGTGGGAACGAGCAGAAAACAGACAAAAAAGCCGCCGGAGGTACCTGTTGATCTATTGCGCAGCGACGTCACTAAAATGAGCCTCGGCTAAACAGAGTGAGCTTCGGCCGACACGGGGACGACTTGTCCTGACGGCGGTCGGGCACTCCGATGTCTGCTCTTGGGAAAAGGCCCGCTACTGCTCTGAGTGTCTGGCCGATGACCTGACTGCAGGTTCTCGAAACTAATAGTTATAAGTTCCCTCACTCTCGACACACGCTCTCTTTCGTCTGGCATCCGGTGTTGGAAGGGAAACAAAACAGCCGGTATAGAACAGAGATGCAATATTTGGACCGCGAATTGAATGCCTCGGCTCCCGGGGTGAAGTTGGCGGGTTTGGACCCACGAAAGACCTTCCAGATGGGTCCACCAGGTTATTTGTACATTATCCACTCACCCCGCGCTTCATGGGTCTGTAGATGTGGATGTGTGGATGGACTGCTGTAGATGACCTTGGTATGCCCTTGGTATGTACTTTTCTTCGAAAGGTTGAGGACCCAGGAGGGAGAGGTCGGGTCGGGCATATGGAGAAGAGGAGGATGACCACCCTTTTTTGAGAGTTAGAGGCCTATCCCGTCCATTCTGATCCTGCTGTCACATCTCTGTTCCCGGACAGACGGAGACTAGAGCTCGGCTTGCTGTATCCTTGTGATGCTTATAGGACGAAGCAGACTAGGGCAGGTTATGGTGTGTGTGTGTGCGTGTGTGAATGTATGTCTTCCTCTCTTCACATAGAATAAAGTCTAGAGCTTACAGACAGCCCATATCTTGCAGTGCGTGCGTGCAGCGTGCGTGCATCTGAGACCACGTGGACGATGAAGTGAGTTGCCGTTGATGCGATGAGATATAATTGGAGGGTCTGAACTGTGTCTGTCTTATAGTGAATTGGAAGAATTGACTTGTGAATTTCCATCTTGAAACGGTTACTACCTGTTTTGATGTTTTTCTTTATAAAATAACAATTTCATCAGAAGGCGGGCGTTGCAAAAAGAAGAAGATTATCTACTCTGCCCCGACCCAGGACAGCTCTTGAGGAGGAAGCCACTACTGTATCGTCCTGTAGATGGGAACCCCTCACACCCTGTCGCAGCTGCCCCGCGGTCGTAGCAGGGTCAGCCCTACCTCTGCAAGCCTATCTGCATCCCACCCTGCAGGGTCCAAAGCGCTTATACTGTAGTACAGTCTGACGATATATCGAGCCTCCTCGAGCCTCTTGAACTTTTGCTGACATGATTGCTTCCAAGCTCCAAAGCCTTTTCAGCATTGCTTTTTAGCTTTCTTTGACATTGCCTTCAACATGTTCACCACAAAAATTACAACGTTTATTAAACATAAAAATCCCAACAGTACAATTCACATGAACCTGCGCCGCTGCCGCAGGGTAGGAAATGCAACAGTGGCGGAGGCGATAGCGGAGGCGGCGATTCCACTGGTGGCCCAATACCAGAAGCGTAGTGCAGTAGACGTCCGGCCAACTCTTGATACTGAAGCCGGATGTTCCAAGTCTCTGCAACTCTTACGCAACGAACGGGATAGACTGGTGATTCTCTGCATCCAAACCACGATGTCAAGATTGTATTGCTCGTCAACAAGAAATGGGAAGAAGAACTGCGAGGCCAGCGAATTGGAGCGCTAAAACCGGGCGTGAGGATTATAAGCACCAGTAAAACGACAAACGACCGCTATTACGAATACTTACTATGTTGATTAAAGGGGCGTTGTTACTATCGTCCAGGCTTCTTTTTCTTCGAGACCCAATGCCTGGATGGAAGACTTTTGGTTCTCAACGTCAAGACCTGGCAGGATTTGCCGAAGCCATGTGGAGGGGTTCTCGGTCAATCCCGACACACGCGGCGAATCATAGCGCATACGTTCAAGGTAGTACTGACGACTTGCAGGAACCTCCTCCTATCATCTAGCTACGCCTCTACTGCGAGACAATTGAGGCCCCGCCCCCTCCTTTTTCGAGAACCCAAACATCCAGTCAGCTCAGCTGCAGCCCTAGACAGAACCCAGCAGCTGTGGCAAACTGTCTCTCCCCTCCCGCCCTTCTCTTCTTCTTACGCCCTATCAAACCGTATATCTTAGAGAAGCACGCGAGACGCCGACCCGCGGCCCTCAATGGCGTCGAGCTCAGGAGCAGCCACCCTCCTGGCCCGGCAGCTTAAGGAGATGCAGGCCGCCAAGGACATCCCCGGCATCTCCTGCGGCCTGGTGAATGACCAGAACATTTTCGAGTGGGAGGTCATGCTCATGATCAACGACGACACCAAATACTACGGAGGTAATAATATTACCCGCCCCCTCTCCTCTCCCGAAAGTCCTTCCTTATCATAAGCGTTATATCAAAAAGCTAATTCCAATTCTCTTCTTCTCGCACCAAAGGCGCAAACTTTCGCGCCCGAATGCGATTCCCTCCAGAGTACCCGCTTCTTCCGCCCTCCCTAACCTTCCTCGACCCCGTCCCGTTCCATCCCAACATCTACCCAGACACCGGCCTGCTGTGCATCAGCATCCTGCACCCGCCCGAGGAGGACCGCTTCGGCTACGAGAGTGCCGCTGAGCGCTGGAGCCCCGTCCAGACCCCCGAGACCATCCTGTTGTCCGTCATCTCGCTCTTCGCCAGCCCCAATGACGAGAGCCCCGCCAATGCCGACGCCGCCAAGCTGCTGCGCGAGGAGAGGGCCGGCCTGAACAAGGAGTACAGGAAGCGGTGCAGGAAGTGCGTACGGGAGAGCCTAGGGGAGGATTGAAGAGGTAGATGACGAGTAACGAGTTCACTGCCAGCGCTGGGCCCTTTTCAAACTTTTCCCTCTTCTCTTCTTTTCTGTTTCTTTATCTTTCCTCGAAAGGGATATAAGGCTTATGGAGGGAAGGCCTGGCGAATCCTGGCCGGGGCGCATCTGGATGCATATACCTCTTTCTTCTTCTTTTTCTTTACCGATGGTTTTAGCGCAGGGTGAGAGGTTGATCTCCGGTCGTGATTTGTCCGCTTAATATAAGATCACGATGAGACACCAAGGTTCGAGAGGGCTAATATGAATGGTAGTCGGGTTGTGGATGTACAGGGATGAACTACCAAACAAGTGTCTATACCTGGTGATGACTATCTGTAACAGGCAAAGTATTATGTTCAGCCTTGAAACTCCCCAGACTGTGTGTATAGTCCTAGCCTAGCAAGAGCCTTGCTTCATATTATCCTCCAAGCCAAGTTTTTCAACATCTCGAAAGATATACAAATATGCTCGGGTCAGCTAAGTTCCAGGATAGGCTTGACAACCTCATCCCATTCCTCATCCCAGCGGCGCGAGCCCTCCTTCACGGCACCCGCCTTGAGCCTGGCCAGCTCGCCGCTGGAAGGGTCAAGCAGGCGCACCAACCCTACCTCCAGCTCCTCCGCCGTCACAAAGCCCACGCCGTTCACCCCCTCCCTGACCAGCTCGCCGAAGCTCTGGTACTGCGAGTACGCCAGGACGGGCAGACCCGCCCCAAACATGTCGACAACCTTCATGGGCAGGTCGAGCCCGGACGAGCTCATGTGCAGGCAGATGCCCAGGTCCGCGGCCGCCAGCAGCCTGGCGTAGTCCTCGAAGGACAGGAAGGCCGTACGGATCTCCACGCCCGTCAGCCTGCCCGAGGCGGCGAGGCGGGCCATCTCGGCCTCGTACTTGGCCTTTTGGGGGCCGCGGCCCGTGATGATCACTAGCAAGGGGGGGACGCGCCCAGCAGGCGAGGAAGACGAAGACGAGGAGGCGGCGGCGGCAGCGGCGGCGGCGTAGAGCACGAGCGCGTCCAGCAGGATGCCAAAGTCCTCGTCGGGGGTCCAGGAGGTGCTGCTCACCAGCAGCCGCACTTTGCCGGCGAGGATGTCCTCGGCATAGTCCGCGGTCTGCTCGATGCCATACAGGAAGGCCCTGCGTTCCTGCTGGCTGCCGACCGGCTGGAAGATGGCGGCAGGGCGGTCATGCATGGCAGCGATGGGCGTGCGGAGGTTGTAGGGGCTTGTCTGCAGGTCGGCGCGCATGGCAGCGGTGACGGCCAGGTTGGCGGTCGGGGCGAAGCGGCCGAAGAAGGCCTCGTAGATCTTGGAGGCACGGACAAAAGGGTGCCGCTGACCGCGCGTGCCGGCCAGGATGGTCCAGCCATAGTTGTGCCAGTCGATGAGCAGGCGTGTGCCTCGGGCACGACAGGCAATAGCTGCAACCATCAGAGTGGGGATCGAAGGGGGGTTCTGTTTTCATATCTTTAGTCCCTTGTTATTGAGCACATAAAATGAGCCGCCAACATAAAACACACCTGGACAATGAGCCATTTGGATGGCTCCACCCGATAGAGGAGGACCAGAAGCAATTCATAAATCTGGTAGAGCACCTTGAGTGGGCCTGCAATGATGAAGGGCAGCTTTGACAGCAGGCGAGGAGGTGGTCGGAGTGCCCAGACCACAACGTTCTCGCTCTCTAGCAGGGCAGGGAGCAGGGAAGACTCTGGGGGAGAGAAAGACAATGTTAACAAACAGTTCTCCGCCTTCACTGTGCTTAATACTTTATGTCACAGGTGACATCGAGCTCAACTCACCTCGATATCCAATGAGCTGGACATGTCCACCATGCTTGGCAATGCTGAGAGCATGATACTGCATACGGGGGCTTCGACCAATGTCGCCAAGAACAAGGACCTGAGCAGATATGTTGCTGGCCTTAGGACCCCTGGAATTGGAATTAAACCTCGTAGGATGGTAGATGGCTATGAGTGCGCAGACCATCAAGACCATGAGCAGACCTGCAATCCAGAATGAACCCTTTGTGGCCATGTGAAGAGCAGCAAAGCACACAAGGGCAGTGCCCAGAACGCTCCTGGAGTGTTCAGGAAACGCTGCCATGATGAGGCTTTATCAAGGGGTACAATCTCTTGTTTGGGCAGAGAAGAGACAAAGATGCTGGCAGGTTGCGACGTGAAAAATATTTGTAGTAGTAGAGTGGTTGTTGTTGACAGGTTGTTCAGAACATGACTGTTTTGAATTGATCACATTTAGTCATTGCTAGTCATAGTTGGGAAAGAGATTCTTCTTTATGGCCATCCTTGGAACTGAGAAATGCGCATCTCTAGAAATTGGTGATAGAAAGTCAAAGACATAAAAGTTGAGAGTTTATTCATGATGTATTTTTCATAAAGTCAATACTGGTGTCTATTGACTTACGCGGAGTACTGTTTCTATGAATGTTCAGGGGTCAGTGGCCTAGGAACAAGGCCTATTACATGGTAAGATACCTTGTGATAGCAGGGTTGAACAGCCAAGGCAGCCACACTATCACTGATTATCTGCGCTAATCATCGCCACATGGAGCTTCTGCATGCAGCTACGGCAATCCTAAGCACTCTAGGCAAGATCCAGATCCAGCCTGCAGCAGCTTAGAGGGCAAACAGCTGAACGCTAAAATCAGGGGCTCCAGGGCAGGGGGGAAGGTCGATAATGTGGTGGTCCCCTCTCAAAAGGCAGGTCGCCCTCTCGAGGAAAAGGAATTGGCAAGTCTGGGGCATTTGGAGCATTGCCATGACCGACGGCTCTTCAATTTGCCCAATCTCCTTCTTGCTACTTCATCTCTCCACCATCATTTCTCATCAACCCAATTGGGAAGAGACCAAGAGTGTCTGTCTCCCGAGCTACATCGCAACACCCTTTGCCTGCATGCTGTAATACGGCTCGGCATAACAAGGCATTCCGTCATCTTCGCGCCCCAGGAGACGGGCACTTGTCGTCACGACGCGATTCGATATCAAATACGGACAACTGCGCCGAGGGCGTCGTGGGTCTCGATTTGCGGGGACCCCAGCTCTTGTTCCGATTCCGCTTTAGGTTGTTCAGGTCAATAAAGAGAGAAAGACAGGCAGACAGAGCGAGGGGCTCGTAATATCCAGATCCATGATATAACGACTGCTCTAACTTTCTTATATTGAGGGCCGTGCTTGGTCCTTTGTTGGCTTTCGCAACACGCACACACACGCGCGCTCTCTCTCTTTCTGCCTGGGAGGCGCCTCTTTTTTCTCTCTTCCGTCTTTCTCCTTGGGGACCGCCTTGGGGCCCCGGGCCTCTGCCTCTGCCGTCATGGCTTCCACCTTTGTTCTCTCAGACACCACAATGTCTCGCTCAAGCAGTCGCCAAGGCCGTGGCCACAACCACGGCGAAGTGCACTCGCGGTCTAGGTCAGGGACGCTGAATCGGTCGTTCAAACTGGACATGAGCTTGGCCACCCCCGAAGATCACGACCGCGAAGACGACGAAGACGCCCACGACCACGACCACGACCACGCCCACAGCCACAGCCACAGCCACAGCCACGACCACGGCCACTCGTTCTCCGTACCACACGCCCCGTCGCACTCCCACCGCCAAGGATCGCATACACATACGAAGACAGACTCTGGGGGCAGGATGCAAGGCCGGCAGAACGCCCCTCCTCCGTTGTTGACGGGCAACGGCTGGAAGACAAGCGCTACACCCGCGGGGAAGCCACTTGTGACGCCGACGAATGCTGTCTTTGCTGGACAATACAAACCCCCAACAGCTACGCTGTCCAAGACGGTTCACGATCATTCCGCCGAGCGGTCGAGATTCACGAATGCACTCCTGCCCTACACTGCAAGATGGCCTATGCTACACAGCGTCATGACGGAGAAGGATTCGCGGAGGATCTTTTATTTCATGAGGTAGGCACTGCCATATGACGTACTCTTTGAACCCAGACCAATGCTGATATCTCTTGTCATCAAGTCTCAACTTCTCCTTCATGGCTGTTCAGGCCTTTTATGGCTACGTGACGGATTCGCTTGGCTTGCTCAGTGACAGCATCCACATGTTTTTCGACTGCGTTGCCCTTGGTGTTGGTCTGTTCGCCTCCGTGGCGAGCAAATGGCCGCCCAACGCTCGCTTTCCCTATGGGTTTGGTAAAGTCGAGACGCTGAGCGGTTTTGCGAACGGTGTCTTTTTAGTGTGAGCAAGAGTGTTGCCGTATAAGCTTCCTCGGGGTGGAATTTTGCTAATACTCTGTACAGGCTCATAAGCGTGGAGATCATGATAGAGGCTTTTGAGAGGATCATAGAGGGGAGGGAGACGAAAAGGCTGGCTGAGCTGTTCATCGTGAGCAGTCTAGGTCTCATCGTGAACCTGGTGGGGATGGCTGCGTTTGGCCACCATCATCATGGCCACGGTCACAGTCACGGATGCTCGGGGCACTCTCATGACCACTCTCACCCCCCTCATCCACATGCAGACGCGCACAAACGCTCTTCCTCAGACCATGGAGACGCACATGCACACGATCACGATCATGATCACGACCATGACCATAGCCATTCTCATTCACACGACCATGCACATGATCATGCAGTCGGACACAAGCATCAAGACCAGGGCCATCATGGTCACTCCCACGACAACGAGAATATGCACGGCATTTACCTTCATGTTCTGGCCGACACCCTCGGCAGCGGCGCCGTCATCGTCTCGACTGCCCTGACACATTTCTTTCCCTGGGCTGGATGGGATCCTGTCGCATCCTTCCTCATTGCGGCGCTCATTCTGGGCTCCGCGGTCCCGCTGATCCGATCGTCAGCCTCAAGGCTTCTTCTGACTATTCCTGACCAGGTCGAGTACTCACTTCGCGATATCCTCTCCGGTATCACGGAACTGCGTGGGGTCGCTGGCTACGGCGTGCCCAAATTCTGGATCGACGATCGAGTTAGCGATGACAACTCACCAGGCGACAAGCTGATCGGCTCGATGCACGTCCTCGTGGTCCGAGGGGCAGATATGGAGGACGTGCGGATGCGCGTGCAACAGTACTTTTCAGAAAGAAACATCGACATCACTCTGCAGGTGGAGAGAGAGGGCGATCCGAATTGCTGGTGTGGTATGGGCAAGAGCCCGCTCTCACCATTGAGCGCGACGAGTGCCATGCCGTCGACGCCAATACTGTCGCAGAGGCTGAAAGGGCGTTAGGGGCCCCTTTTCAGGGGCGCTTGGCGACATTCTGGGTGATGAGACCGTTGGCATTTCATTTCACTTGGCACGGCATGTTAGATTCTCACTACAACAAGTCCATTAGATATGTACACTTACTTGGATGGAGCATGGTATATATGGACGCTTGGAGCGTGCTGCACACATACTAGTTGGACATACGCTACTGGTACTATGGAGGTGGTACACGTATAGAGAGAGGGTGGCTACTGATAGACTCGAGATACCCTTCAACTTCCGATTGCCATGAGTGGTAGCAACGTTCGCCTCTGTTCTCATCGTGCATGCAATTAAGTGGCACTGCACTACTACTTGTCGATCTGTGTGCATAATGTCTGATGCCTTTCCGCTCCTCCGCGGCTTCACCAAACGCGTGGCGGCCGCGAGGACAAGGCAATGCAGGCATATCGCGGATGCCTCGGGCCAGGCCAATCTTCTTGGTGATGCTTCCTCCACGGAATGCTATCAGCAAATGCCGTGCCGCGAGATGATGCCCGCGTCGAAAGGGTGGCGCTCCTTCTTAGGCCGTTTCGACCGGAAGCTCTCGTTGTTTTGAGCAACCATGCCCGTTCTCGGGAAATCTCGTGCGGGTTGTGCCTGGCCACCTCATCCCGAACAGTGCATGCTTGCACAGCAGCGACCTGCTATTGTCATTCGATGGACGGCTCGCGTCCCAGATCACTTCTTGGATGTTCCAAACCCGCTGATGCCCATGGCAGCCATCATATCGTCCTCGTCATGCTCGCCCTCGATCCTGACATCCTCGCCATAGTCCATCTTGGCGGTCGTCTCCTTCTCCCTCTCCGCCCGCCTCTTGTCCTCGGCCTCCTTCCGCCGCCTCCGCTTCTCCTCCCGCTCCCTCTCCATGTCCTCCTCGTGGATCTTGATGCGCTCCTGCAGCCCCGTCTCCTTCTCCCTCTGCAGCGCCTGCAGCCTCTCCCACACCTCCTCGATCCGCCGGTGCACCTCCTCCGCCCCCGCCGCCCGCACCTCCAGCGTCTGGCCCATGCTTGCCAGGTGCTGCCCACTGTTGATGTGCTCCACCCACTGCACGTTGTCCTTGAACGTCAGGTCGCACGCCTCGCAGTAGAACCCGGCGCCGCGGCCCCGCCGCCCCACGCCCGCCCCCGCCGCCACCAGCTGCGTCTTGCCCACCCGCGAGCTCAGGTCCAGCACCTGCCGCCGCGCCTCCGTCATCGTCTCCGTCCCGTCGCGCGGCTTGTAGTACCGCTTGCCCGCGAGCTTGGCCTCGTATCGCGCCTTGGCCTCTTCGCGCTCGGCCGCGGTGCGCTCTTTGGCTTTTTGGGCGTACTCGTCGGCGTTGCGTGTCTTGCGGAAGGACGTGTCGCCCGCGGAGGTGCCGTAAGCACCACCGCCACCGCCTTGTTTAGACATGATTGGGGGGAGTAGTGTTTTTGGAGTCGAGAGTCAGTTGGCTGGGGAGCGGAAAGCTGTGTCGGTAGGGGGTCGTGACGTGTGATAGAGGGTTTCGCAATGGGGCTGGATGGTTGAGGGTCAAAGAAGGGTGGTGTGGTGCTTGCTGTGCTGTGTAAATAAAATAGATACAGAGACGGGATGAACTTCCCAGGACCACTGGCCCAGATGTTGAATGTCACTGGAAGCTTATCGATAGTGGGCGCGAAGCAGCAGGCACAGCAGGATCCCGCGTGGGTTATAGCGCTACTTCGAGAACTACTGGGCCGAGTGCAGTGGTAGAGGTATAGTGGGCTGTCTCGCTAGCAGAGGTTCTTCCAGCGTGCTCGCCTGCGATGATGACAAAGGCCAATTTCGTAGTAGGACGATCCGTCTTGCAGTGTATTGCTTCGCCGTGTCGAGAATTTCGTCGTAGATGTAGCGATCAATCGCTACGGTCAAACACATAGTTTGACAACTGCGGCGAGTTGTGAGATTAATCGTACACCTGGGCGTTTGCCCAGGACAGCCACGCCGCTGGATTTATCCAGTCTACTCAAACGCGCAAGTCTGTTGAACACTTTACTGATCCATATTTCATACTTCGATCTACCTGAACGATGACATGCAGATCATGGATTGATATATACACACACATACACACGATACGATCACTCATCTGGAAGCAGAATCCTCACTCCACCCCCCGCCAGAGCCTCGCGCAGATCTGATTTGGCCGCATGAATCTGCTCGTCAAAGTACTCCTCCATCTCGGCTCGCATGATCGTGTCTGCCTCGAGCTGCTCGAACCTCTCGTCTAAGTGCTCCAGCAGCTCGCTGCGCATTTCATCCATCCGGTTATCGATGTATGCACCCAGCCCCTCCGACGCCTCGTACTCGTAGTCGGCTGTCGCATCAGCCAGCTGATTCAGCTTTGCGTCTGCGTCAGACAGCTTCTCGCGCAGCTGCCCCTCCTTCACGCCGGCTTCCGTATTCAGAGCTTGGAGACGAGAGGTGGTGTTTCTGGCTTCATTGAGGAGCTGCTGTAGCATTTGTGTCTGTCTTTGTATCCCTGCCAGGGTCTCCCCCTCGGCGCTGCTCGCGTCAATGCTAGCGTTCTTTTTGGAACTCCAGCTGCTCTGACGTGGTCTCTTCCGCGCCTCATGTTTGTATTCCGGGGGTTTACGATCCGCCTCCTCGTATGCCGGCGGACTGGCGCTCGCGGTCGGCGACCCTCGGACCATGACATCAGCAATCTCATCTAGCGCCAACTCTCGTGCACCTAAGCCGCCACAGAACGTACGCAGATCTGTATACCGCGCGTTGAGCGTTCTGGACATAGATGGGACGGTAGTGCAGATAGACAAGGCTTGTGCGTCCGTTAGGGCGGTGCCGGCGATGTAAAGCATAAGTGTAGGGGTAGTCGCGCTGGCAATACGCTGGAAGGCTGCAAGGACGTCGATGTCGGATTGCGCGATGGGAACAAGGACACCAATGTTCGGGACCACCAGGGTAGGAGGGGAACTGAGGACAAGCTGGAGCGAGAAAGTCTCTTTATTGGATAGGTGATGGTATATCGGGTTGAGGCGCTCAGGAAGCCTGGGCAGTCGGGAGAAAGCCAACGAGGTGATCTCATCAGGGTGGATATGCAACGAGACTTTGAGCTGAGAAGCGTCACCCACGACGGGGTGGCCATCGGTCTGGGTCGAGGGGACGCGCAGAGCGATGGCGGCCTCGACTCTGAAGAAGGCGGTGTTGGCTAAAGGGTCGAAGAATATGGTGACATTGGCACGGAACGAGCAGGATGCAGATGGGGATGCGGATCCGGACGCGGAGCTCGAATCGTACGAGTCCACCACGCCCAGCCTGTGTAGCTGGAGGGGAACAGAGGACCCAGAGCCAGAACTTGAGGCAGTGGAGGCGGAGGCGGAGGCGGAGGCGGAGGCGGACTGGGCGGACGGAGATCCAGCCATGATGCTGATGCAGGGCGATGATGATATATAATCGCGTTCTCAATCGGTTCTCAAAACCAAAATGATGTGAGGTCGTCGGACTCCTGCGAATCTGGTCCAGCAAAGCAACGCGGGGGAGATGGGAAAAGGGGATGCACAGCACGTATCTGCTTTGGTCTGGCTCTTTCAGAGTGAAAAACCCCCCTGCGCAGAGTAAGACGATACTCTCGGCGCAGAGATCCCACCCTCCCCGGCTTTGTATTGGCGGCGTGATGATGGAGCAGCCTTGACTCCGTATCAAAATCCGTCTCGGCAACTTCGAGTGCGAGGACGAAGAGTAAAAGAGAAAAATAGAGCAAGCCTGAGCCGGCAACAACGACACCTCAGAGGCTGAAACTAGGCACGGCCAACAACACGGCTCCTCCTGTCTTCTTTCTTTGATTTGAGTCCCGTTGAAGAGGATGACTACTCCGGACGAGATGTCCTCGACCACAGTGTCTCCTGTCCTCGAACGAGCTCAGAAGAGGAGGATCACCCCGTTGCTCCCAAAGCCCAGGTCTGCGATAGGAACCTGTAGCGTGGCTATGGGACGGCGGATGGCTTTAGTTTCGCGATGTAGTGTTTACTGCGGATGTGCGATGCAGTGTGTTGTGTCGACGTCAATGAGTGTCGTGTCGAAGGGCGTGGTGAAAGGGAAAAGGTCAAGTCAGGTGGAGAGGGAAGGGAATACAGTACTACATACAATTATGGAACGGCGCTAAGTGCTGTAGCCTGTTGTGCACTAACTAACAAAATTGGGGCAAGGTGAAGTGGGGGCCTTGTTAGAGTGGCAGAATTCACTAAGAAATTTGAATCCTCTCTGCTGTTGAGATCGCATTCCAAGTTGCATCTCGTTTCCCAAGAAAAATCGACCGGCTTTCCTAGAGTACGATGTTGTATCTTGTAGGCCTCGGACTGTCAGATGAGACAGACATTACGGTGAAGGGACTGGAGATCGTGAAGAAGGCCTCGCGCGTGTACCTGGAAGCATACACAAGCATCCTGCTGGTCGACCAGTCCGTGCTGGTGAGCAAAGCTATCCTTCCTTCCCTCGAATTACTAAGGCTTGTTCGAACAAGAAGAAAGAGAAACGAGAAGAGATAGAGAGTGGTAAGAAGAGGTGAAGGAGGAGGAGAAAAAGTCTGACACGTCCTAGTAGGAAACCTACTATGGCCGGCCTGTGACAATCGCCGACCGCGAGATGGTTGAGTCCAACAGCGACGAGATCCTCCGCGATGCCGGCACCGAGGACGTCGCCTTCCTGGTGGTTGGCGATCCCTTCGGCGCGACGACGCACACAGACCTTGTGCTGCGCGCGCGTGAGCTGGGCATTCCCGTAGGCACTGTGCCCAACGCCTCCATCATGAGCGGCATCGGAGCTGCGGGCCTGCAACTGTACAACTTCGGCCAGACGGTCAGCATGGTCTTCTTCACGGACAACTGGCGGCCGGCCTCGTTCTACGACCGCGTGCGCGAGAACAGGACGATCGGCCTGCACACGCTGTTGCTGCTGGACATCAAGGTCAAGGAGCAGAGCCTGGAGAACATGGCGCGGGGAATTAGGATTTTTGAGCCGCCCAGGTACATGACGGTTGGTCAGTGCGCCTCCCAAATGCTGGAGGTCGAGGAGGAGCGGAAAGAGGGCGTTTACGGGCCCAACAGCCTGGCCATTGGGGCGGCGCGCGTGGGCGGCAAGACCGAGAAGTTTGTTGCAGGCACGCTGAAGGAGCTGTGTGAGCAGGATGATGCCCTCGGCCCGCCTCTTCACAGCCTTGTGTTGCTGGGCCGGAGGACACATGAGCTAGAGCACGACTTTGTCCGGGAGTTCGCCGTGAACAAGGAGACTTGGGACTCGATATGGAAAGCGGACTATCAGGGCCAATAAACAACAGGTGTTGTGGTCAGAGAGAATGCAGACTTTCCTGTTCCAAAGAGATATGATCCATCTTCATGGTGCAACAGCTCGACTGGCCCTTGGGAGAAGCAGGCCGCATTTTGTCTTGTTGCGGTCTCCTTGAACAGCGCTTCAGACTTCTCAGCAGTGCTGTTATGCATATTACACCTGCAATGGCATCCTCCTTCACCACGCGATCGTGTCGATGGGGAGAGGGACGGAGGTATTCATCCAGGCCGTTTCCTAGAAGAAATCCTCTGTAAACCTGTATTCTATTCAAGTAGACAGACGATCACTTTAAGGGTTATGCCATCATCTCATGGGATTTGCGATACCTGTGGAGCGATCACAGCCTCCAGCCCTCGTGCTACCGATCGGCCGCTAGTAGCAAAAGGCGTGCAATTAATCCTCGCAATAGAAAGGAAGGAGTAATTGAGAGCCAATTCGAGAAAGCAGGGCGTAAGGTACCTGGCCGGCACAGTGGCATAGTAGCGTGAGGTACAGCTGAGCCCTTAGTAGGCGCTCTTCCCCAAAGCCCCGCGTGTCACCTAGCCTTGACGTCACCATGTAGGACTATTTGGAGATGACGAGCAACTCGATGATGAATTGCCACAAAGTGGTTTCAGTATGACGAAGGGAAGGTCAAAGGGGGGAGCTATGAATACATAAAATGGTTAAGAGATCCTTTCAACTGGGTGAAGAGCAGCAGTCAATTCTAATTCATTCCCATAACACTATTCGCCACCGATATCTCAAAGTCAGCTCTCGTACCCAACAACGACAGTGAATCACGAATATCTTCCCCTTCAGCACATTACAAGAACGAACCAGTATGTCTGCCCTCAATTTATTGTTCATGGGCCGCCGCTCCCTTGGGAACGGCACAAGACGCAGTGCTTTATCCCAGCTTGTGCTCCCCACCAGCTCCCTACGAGCAGCGTCTTGCGCCACGTCTCACCTTACGAGATCAACGCGTAGACTAATCCACAGTTCCAGGACCACCATGTCTTTCTCCAACACATCCACAGGCGACAAGCCCGCCGACCCCTACAAGGCGGCCAACGCCGACACCGAGGTGTCGCTGCAGGACAAGGTTACCGACCTCAGCGATTTCATCTCGGCGTGCAAGTTCGGCATGATGACGACGCGCGAAGCGAGCTCTGGAAAGCTGGTGTCACGGTGCATGGCGGTGGCGGCTAAGGAGAACGGCGGCATCGACCTTCTCTTCCACACCAACACCGAGTCCGGCAAGACGGACGAGCTGCAGGCCGACGACCACATCAACCTGTCGTTCCTGAACGGCAGTGGCGAGTGGGCTTCCGTGTCCGGGACCGCGAGTGTGGAGACGGACCGTGAGCTGGTCAAGAAGCACTACAGCCCGATCCTGAAGACATGGCTGGGCGACCTGGGCGACGGCAAGCACGACGGCAGTGAGAACGACCCGCGCATCGGGGTCATCCGAGTCAAGACGCTGAGCGCGACATATGCGATCGTGGCCAAGAATATACTCTCAAGGGCGGCCGAGGTGGCGCAGGGCGCAGTCACCGGCAAGCCTGCGGCGATTAACAAGCTGAGGGAGCTGAGCGAGAGCGAGGTCAGCCAGTGGAGATCTTCTAACTAGATCGGGGGAAAGGGAATTCTCAACGTCATGAATCATGATATGATCCGAACTGTATAGGTGACTACATCAGCGCAGCATCGTGAACCTAATTAGGAAATGCAAAACAACGTTCATAATTACTACTCGTTATATGAATTGTATATATGCCACGCTGTTACCCTCACAATAACCACTTTAATCCGATGGTGACCTTTCCGCTGCCGATATCCCTTGACGCGCCCCAAACCGACACGCTTTCCACAGTCTATTCCAGTCCAATTTGTCCCCCCGCCCCCCGAAATGGACGCCTCGCTTCATGTAAAGGCAGAGGCTGAAACCACCAAATTTTGCTTTTTTTGCGCCGTGATTTGCTCACTCACCGCCTTCCGGAGGCTGCTGTCGTAATCACTCCCCTCCAACGTTGACGGCCTTTCTCGCTAACATATCCCATGTCTTCGAGCCGCCGTGCCGGGAAGCTGAGGTCGTAGAAAATATGCAGCTAAATGCCAGACTACATTTCATGGGGAGCACAGAATAGTCAGGCCATTCCTGTGAGCTCCTGCACGGTCGACGCCGCTGCCCATTCCCCGCGTGCTTTGACTTGCTCGTCACACAAAAGTACACCCGTCGATGAAGCTTTCTCTTTTCGGCCCCACGTGGAACGACTTGGTTCTCGTGGGATGAACTCCCAGGACTTGTATGAGGCTGAGAGTGGCCGCCTCTTCAGACGCCCACGTCTCATCGTCAGTCATCATATTTGGCATTTGGTAGTTTAGGGTTTATGCAAGCTCTCACGATCTCATGGCTTCTTGCCGGGGGGATCCATGCAGATACCGCTGCCGATTTAGCTCCAGCGTGGAGGGACGCGGGAAGGAACCATTGTGGGACGGCTAGTAACGGCAGTACGCCAGCTGTGTTCAAATGTACTTCCCCACAAGTTTTTCGCAACTCGTCAACAGGCTCAATTCCAACTCCAACTTCAAATATTTGTATTGAGGAATGTACAGAATATGAAAAGATGAAGAACAAAAGTCTCTTCCAAATTTCTATGGTTCTGATTTCTAAATGCGGCTCTGTAATCTCGAGTCACTTGAGTCGCGAAAAAGTTATAGGAAACCCATTTGAACACTACCTATCCACGTGCCACCATCCATGAGATGCTCTTCGTACCACGTACTTTAGTACCTCGGCTCTACCACCTCAAAATCATCAAGTCTCAGCAGATCTTGTGCTTGTACTGTACCGTCACCGTTCAGCCATCTCCGTCATACACACACAAAGAGATGAGTTCAGTTGATTGATGTGGCATGCTGCATCTGCCATATAATCCAACCTCACTAAAGGGGGCCAAATCAGCCCCAGGTCAGGTTGGCAGCCGTACCTTGTACCGGGCAGGTACATGCATTCCCTGTCATTCTATTCATAAGGGTTACGAAGCATTGGGGGCCCTTCTCTATTCTAGTACTGCGCCTTTTTCTTTCATCCTTTTCATCGATTTCTTGGGGCAGGACCAACGCCGGGAGCTTAAGTACTCCGTTGGTAAGAGGCAAGCTGCAGCTGCCAATGTAACTGCACATGCAAGTGGAATGAGACTGCAAGAGCCAGTTTCCCCCATCTTTCCCATCCAAATCTGGATCCTTAGTCATGTCAGCGCGTCTCTCGCAACTGCCATACGACCTCACTTCATCATCCCTCCTTCTTCCACCGTCGACTGCGCTCCCCTCGCCACAGCCCAACAGCCTGATTGTCAACATTCATTCTCATCGCCGTCGCCAGCTCATGCCCGTTGTCTCTTCCATCAAACTCCCGCCTCGTTGATACTTGACCGATTGATCCCGAGCGCCCCTGAGTAATCGCACCGTCCACAACCAACCGGACCCCGCCTCGGCTGTCGATATCATGGCGGCCATCTTTCCATGGGACGGTCGCGACCAGCAGGACCAGGCTGAGGCTCGTTACAATGCACCACTGCGATCGCACAATCGCCAGCTCGAGGACGAAAACATGCGCCTGAAGCGACTCCTGCGCGAGCACGGAATTCCCTGGAGCGATGCCGTTGCCTCACATCCGGGCTTTCAATCTTCCGCCGCCATCTCAGGCCGCCGCCGGAGCTCTCGTCTCTCAGCACTTGATCACACCTCCCTCAGGCTGCCCCATCTACCCGTCGAGGTCATCCTTCGCATCATGCAGTTCGCACTCCTTGCCCAAGAACCCATCATCGACCCCCTCTGTAGGCTGACTATGGAGCATCTCACCGCCGCGGAGCTCAGGCGGGCTCCGCAGACCGCCATCGGGTTTCTCGCCACGTGCAAGACCTATCACTTCGAGGGCACGCGAATCTTCTGGTCAAGAAATACCTTTACCTTCACCAGTCCTGAGGCTCTGCGGCGATTTGCCGATCTGCAACCCCAGTTCCGGAACGACATTCGGCACATTAACCTGCGTATCGTTGCGCACTACTATGATGATGAGAAGCGCACCCACCGTATTGGTGCAGATTACCACCCCGACCTCAATAAGTCACAGAGTCTCAAAGTTGCTTATCGACCCCGAGATCCAGCGAGCATGTCCAGGACGGGCTTTGTAAGTTTCACCACCGAGTATATGCTCACAGGCGAGCAAGCACTAACAATCTCAACGTAGCGCTCTTACGCCTGGACGCAGACGGTAGACTTTTTGGATGCCCTGCGCCCTCCATACGATCCAGATTGGAATAAGCACAACAGCTCTGGCATCCGACCACGACTGCTTCCAGGACTGTTGTCTATGCGGATGGACTTCGTCAACTTCCCCGACTACTTCCTTCCCCTACCAGACACTGCTCTTCACGAGCTGGCAGCCCATGATCTAGGCTCGATCCTGAATGAGCTAATGGTTACTGGTTTGCCATGCTGCGAAGTTGGCGCAAAGGCGGGCGGTGATCTTCAGGGGATGGTCAAGGACGACGGTCTCTTTCTGTGTCATGCACCCAGCTACGTTCAGCAGAGACGTTACCTGAAGCCATTGCGTGGCTACGCTGGCCTGTCCAGAGTGGTCCGGTCATGGAGAAAGCTGGACAAGCGGATCCCCAAGGAGCGTCGTGACCTGCATCCTGTAGTGCCAGAGGAACCAGGCCATCCTGTGTCCAACTGGAAGAAGCGCAAGACTCTTTGGAAACGCGTTCCCGTCAATCGAGACTCGGATGAGAGGGAGTGGGTCGAGTTCGACCGGAACACTGGGGAGTCTGTCTCGGACCTCTACTACGATAGCGACGAAGAGGTCTGCCCGAACTGCGGTGTGGTGCATGGGATGACTGATATAGATTCCGACGACTCTTCATTTTGAAGCTGTGGCGTCTACAGGTCGAATCTTCAGCCTTGAGCGACGATGACAACGATTCCATGCCGGCATTATTTGGGGGATCATGGCTTTGCTTAGAAGGGGAAGACAGAATGGAGGTCCCTTACATTGTTAGGTGCAGGGCGTAGGAGTCAAAGGTCGTTTGGCGTCGAGTACATTTCCGGGGAGGGCGAAATAACCGTAAAGTTTCTACGAATTAGCATGCCTGACACCTTAAAATCGGGCGAACTTGATGAATACATGTCAATTACTTGACAGAAGTGAATAATGGCCCGACGTGAAACATCGAGACTTCTCACCAACCCATGGCTCCGCTTCCTCTGTCCGACTAGCACGGGGCTCAACTACTCCTAATTCGCTAGCACCTTCTGCACTCCACCCATTCGACCACTCCTGACTTCTCAAATCAAGGTGGTGCTTGGTGCAGTCCCCAGCGATTCTCTGCTGTCTATCACACTGGCATCTCTGATCTATCTGTGAGCATTTCACAACTGCAGAAGAGTACTCTCGACAAAGGATGTCTCCGCATGTGTACATACGCCTCGCAATTGGATTTCATGTGGAAAGTCATGTATTATGAAGCAATCTAATTCATGAGTGAGGGAAAAAGAAAAGAGAAATTGAACCAAATCTATTGTTGATCGTCTGCCACTCTGGTCAAAGGCCCGTTCGTGACGCCTCTATCGCCCCCCCCCCCGGCCCCCCCCAAAAAAAGACAAAAGATTTAGCACATGCCCACGAGATCAAAACCAGGAAATAGAAGAATGGATGTGCCCATCAAGAAGTCCCCCCCCCCCCCCTCAAATACTCCAATTGAAATGGTTGGCGGTCAGAGAGATTCGCAATGGACTCTCCTCCCTTCTTCTCCATGTCTGTGTCAAGAGCCATCGGTTATCGCCAAGGCAACCAGCCACTAACGTTTCGAAGTGAGAGGTTCAACGCAGAGGGCCTGGACCAACGAGGCGCGTTTTGTGCACCATGAGTATGGTCAGGGCACGAGCTCGATGGCAGGATTCATGTGCACGAGCCCACCGTTAAGAGGGGAAAGAAGAAAGAAGAAAACGAAAAAGAAAAAGAGACAGCGAAACTTGCGGTAGGCTGGTCTATTGTGTGTCCAGCGATGCCGACCCAAAGCTTCGAATGGCCCACCCTCTGCAAATTAAAGCGAGTGGGAGAGAAGCATCCAAGCGGTCTCGTAGTGGTCACTGTATCACCAGTGTAACCAAAAGTGGAATCCTGTGCTCGCTTCCGTCTCAGCACTCATCGCCTTCTCGAATTGACCGCGCTCACGCAGATATACCATCGTCTTCATCACCATCCCTGTCCCCCTCACTGTCATGGCCGCCGTCAGCATCACTCGAGCCGACGCTACCAGGCTGAGCCACGCCGCCAGTGTCCTCGTCATCGTGTTCAGTTTCGCCAGAGGGTTCAACACCGGCTATCGGTAGAACCGGCGCTTCGCGATCATCGTAGTCCGCTTCGACCTGGGGGATGCCATCGGAGGTTTGTCGTACTGTTCCTAAAAGACCAGGAAGCTCCGTGGGGCCTGGGTCCTTCTCGTCAGCTTCCTCGCCAGGTTCTGTACCAAAGATCTTTCCGATCGCTTTCTTTTTCTTCCGCTGCATTTCGTAAAGCCGCGTATCGATCGTGTTCTTGGCCAATATCCGCACGAAATGCGTTTGCTTTTTCTGGTCTATACGGTAGACGCGACCAAATCCCTGACGCTCATAGGAGTCGTTCCACCATAGGTCCATAAGGATAACCCTGTTGGCAACGGTCAGGTTCAAAGCTTGTCCGCCGCAACCCAAGCTCACGATCTGCAAAGTTGAGTATAGGTCAGGGTCGTTACTGTAGATAACCATATGGAGGATACATCGTCAAAGACTTACCATAACCTTGACTTCAGGCTTCTCGGTGAAAGTCTGAACGGCTTGGTCTTTGGCATCTTGGCCCAGACCTCCCCAGAAGTATAGCCACTCGATACCCCTCTGCTGCAGCAGCCGACCGAGAAGCTTCATCACAGGCAGAAAGTGTGTGAAGACTGGAGAGCTCGCTAATTAGTCAAACACCGTGACTTTCTCAAAGATTTCGGAGTTTTCAACGTACTGATGATACAGTCGTCAGGCGCTTCTGCCTGCCACTCATGCACGATGCGCATAGTTGTCGCCGTCTTGGCGCTCGTAGGGACAGGTTCCTCGGAGTGAGCATCCACGTATTCGAAAATCTTGCTGTTTTCTACTTTAGGCTGCTGACGGTTGAAATCGTCACCAAACTCTCTCAATGGACGGCCGTGCTTGCCCTTGCCACTTCTTCCGCCCTTTTTCTCAAGAGGTCTACTGGAAACAGCAGTGGCTGTAGATGTCTGAGATGCTGTATCAAGACCCTGAAACTCGTCTGTGTCGAAAGACTTGAAAGGCCCGGTTTGCTTCATATTGCATATGGGGCATCTGACCGGGTCCAGACCTGGTCCTCCTGCTCTCTCCTCGGCCTGCGTGGCACAGTCCTGGCACAAAACATGTCCACACTACCGGCCATTGCATTAGCATTGCCCCAGCCGACAAGCAGGCCGTTGTTGGCATCTCACTTACATCACTGATGACTGCATCTTCAAGGAACTGTAGACAGGCTCTGCAGAGAATTTCGTCAATAGCCTTCTCGGCAGCGAGTTGGCCGAAGGCACTAGCAAACTGGAACCTCTGACTGCTGCTGGAACCGGAGCTGAGGTCAATGGTTTGACCTTCAGTCTCCGATGTGGCTTTTAGAATCATATGGCCAATTTGGTCTATGATCGGCGCCTTGCTCCCTCGTCCTTTGAATTCATCCATGCAATTCTTGATGTCTTCGAAGCTCAGATATTTTCTCATGAGTTTCTCTCCGTTGAACACGTGAGAAGTGAGCATTCGTAGGAAGGTCAGATAGACAAAGTGGCCTTTATTCATAGCACACGTTCCATTGGCTAGCGCTGCATTGACAGCAGCCCGGAATTTTTTTTCAGTAGACCTGTAGAATATTTCCTCTTCTTCTGACACGTTGACCCATATGTCTTGAGGTTTGCATGGTTTAGGAATGTTGAGCAGAGGTCGGCCCATGAAGTAGTCCTTTACCGAGCGGTGGATCAGGAGGTGCGGGACCAGCTGATTGAGCTTCTTGTAGGATGTTTTTTTGAATGCCTGGAAATCTGTGGCCTCGGGGAATTTCATGAAGTTCAGATAGGGATAGATCTCCTCACTATAATTCTGAACAGGCGTCCCGGTAACCGCCCAGCGGTTCTTGGGCGCCACGAGTACTCGGCAGGCTTGCGAAATCCTCGAGTGCCGGTTTTTGATTATATGAGCTTCATCAAGAATGATCCTATGAAACTTTATTCGATACAAATCTCCGAAACGTTCGTCATTTTCTGGGTCGAGGTCGTCTTGGTCGAAATCCGAATTCTGTTCGACATCTATGTCTGGAGGAAACGCGGAGAAGACCTCCTGATAGCTCGTAAGGACAACTTCAGACTGACAATAAGTCTGCAAATGAACGTCTTTGGCCATTTTCTTGCGGTAGACGTTGACCACCAACTTTGTGAACTTCTGAATCTCTCTGTTCCATTGTCGAATCACACTTGCTGGAACCACAATGAGAGTTGCGCCTTGGCCCCGCTTCTTTGCCTCACGGGTTGGCCTGTTGCAAAGAATGACACAGATCAGCTGAAGAGTCTTTCCAAGTCCCATTTCATCGGCCAAAATACCACCCCAGGGGCCATCTGGAGAGAATTCCCGGGCGAGCATCCAGCTGACTCCGACAACTTGATGATCGTATAGAACGGCATTTCTCAGGCCCGGAATTGCCCAGCCACCATCTTTGGCCTTGCACTTGCCATAGCCAAACGACTGAGACGCCTGTGTCAGTATATTTTTGTCGTGTCGGAGCCCGCCGCGTTTTGCGGCTGGAGCATTGGCGATCAAGTTCTGCAGTTGCTTCTCACGCCCAGCCTTGGTCGTGTCGACGACTGCATTTGTTATAAGACCTTCGGCTTGAGATGCGAGTGCTTCAGCCGTATCGGGATCACGCAAGGTATCCAGAACGTCAATACTTGAGGGGTCTTTGTTTCTCTTCTGTCTCTTGGGATTTTGCTGGTGTGTATTAATGACTGCTTCAGCCTTTCTCTTTTCGCGCCCGTTTAATTTCAAAACCCAATTCGATGCACTCTTGTCCTCACTCTGGTAGTATTGTGCCCACCACTCAGCTGCAGTCCGAGGGCGTGGGCGCCTCACTTGTTGCTTTTGGGGCTGTGTGGTAGACTTGTTGCTACCTGTCGTCTGCGTCTTAGATGTCTTGGAGGTGGTGTTCTCGTCATGCGTCTCGCCTCTGCTATCGCCGTTGAGAATCAGTTGCACCTCTAAGTCAAAGCATTCTCCCCTCAGCTTCTCCAGGCGGAGTTCTTCGTATACTGTCAAACTACCAGTTGTTCCGCGTTCTTTCAACTCGTTGAGTTCCTTCCGCTTCGCAAGAAGTTGATGAGCAAGTTCTGTTCGCATGTTGTTGTCCTGTTCAGAAATTTGCTGCTCAGCCTCTTTCCCTTGATCTTGAACTTTTTTCGTCTTGCTCTTCTGACTGCGGAGAGGCTCCCTCTGCTCGCCATCGGGGTTGTCAGAATCAGATCGGGAGCCTGGGTGATAATCGCTGTCATCTGCTTCGTTTTCCTCAAAACCTCCAAAATAAGATCTGGTGCCGTTGTTGCGAGCAGATAGCGAGGGAATAATCTCGTTGGGCCTGCTTGAGACACAGGCATCTTCGTCATCCTCGTCGCCCTCCTGCTTGACAGCAGATGCAGAGCCAGTGATTGTGAAGCCAGACGATTGTAGATCGAAGTCTACCGCACCGAATTGGCGAAGTCCGTATTTCCTCTTCAGTTCTTGAATGATGCCAGGGTCGTCTATCTCCACAACATCGTCGTCGCTTTCAGCATCAACACCATGAGACCTTATCTCTTGGTGCTCACCTGTCTCTGCTGGTTGTTCAGATACAGACTCAGCCTCTTCGTGCTCCTGCGGCATGAACATGCTTAAGGAAGGAGCGGGAGATGGGGACCTGCCAAATTGGTTGACTTCCTCCTTGTGATCTGTATCCTTGGCCGACCTTTCCAGTATGGGCTGTCCGGTGGCAGCGTTCTGGTAATGTAGATGGTAGCCATCTAGTGAAGATGGCAAAGTTGATAGATCTTGATAGCGCTGCTCTGGACCAGCATGAGGTATTCTCAAGAGATTACCTTGCAGCGTCTCTTTGGCACCAGTGAAGTCTTGGAAGGTATCATGGGGAGGAGGAGGCCTTCCTCTGGGCTCTGTAGACACCATGCTGTGTGAAGCTGAACGCGTAGGGAGATACCGAAGACCGAGGCTTGAAATCAGTTAATGAGCAAGTAAGAAGGTGGGCAGGCAAAGACCTGTGGAGGTTGTCAAAGAAGCTGTAAGCTGTGGCCGTGATAGAAGGTGCGGAGTGGTGAAAAGGACAGGGAAATAGCAGAACTGCATCAAAAGGGGGGATGTGTTGAGGAGTCGAATGCAGGCCCGAGTGGGAAAGAATGATGAGGTGAAGTTGAGAAATTTCATTATCGTGTGAAGTATGTACTTACAGAAAATTAAGAGAACCTAGAACCGAGCGTTTGCTGTATCTTCTGGGGTTGAGTGGGCTGGGGAGAGAGGGCTTGACAGGAGCACTCCAGACCGCAGCGTGATGTTCTTGAGAAGGGATTTTGGGACCGGTCTTGTGGCTGTTAACCATGAAACTGGGAGCAATGTTGTAGCCATTATCTGCAAACAGGCAAGGGAGATGAGAAAGAGTGTGTGAGACGAGCAGGAGATGGTTGGGCTTGAGAAGGAGGTGGGTGAGACTTGAGGATGAGAGCAGGAGTCGGTTGAGGCCAAGTAATATGTGGTTGAGAGCGAGGGATCAGTGATAATAGCTTCATTCACTTTTGAAATGGGATGCAAGCACGACTTGCGGTGGAAGAAGTATTTTACTTTTCTTGTCTATTCTGATTTCCATTTTCTGTGTCCAAGGAAGTCGTAGCCACTGCCCAGCGCCAACTCACCTGCCTTGGGAAGAGCGTCAAGAGTACTTGTGGGGCCGTTCAGATGAACATAGGACGAATTATCTGAATAGATGCCCTCTGAACGGCCAAGTTGAGCAGCTTGTCGGATCCCCCCTAATCACTACTTTCTGAGATGTCTACAAGATGGCACTGGAGGAGTAGGGAGTGAGCCGTCGGGAAAGCGGACCAGACACAATAATATTGTCTGTCGGCCGATTCGCGCCAGAGCTGGAGACCCACAGCCAGCCCGGCCTCAAGTAGTCTAGCTTTTTTTTACAGGAGGTGGTGGGTGGGCCTGCTGCATGGTGGAGGATTGATCGGGTATCTGATGTTGACTCGATGTGATCGAGTAACAAGACAAACCGTTTGCGGGGGGGAAATGCTGAGATAAGGCCCGGTATCTTAGCGCAATCTTTCCCGCGTGCCGTACCAAGCGTACCAAGCGTACCTAGCAAGGATTGTACAGTGGCAGAGTGGGCACACTGGTCTGAACAAGTTAGGGGACTCTTTGACGACTGCTCAACGAGTCCGAGCCTGCCCGATTCTCTCTCTCTCTCTCTTTCTCTTGCCCGTGCAGCCGCTTTCAGTCTTTGAATAATTTGAGCCTGCTCGATGAAGGCCATCCCTCCTCAATTCTTCTAGACCTTGTGTGGACCCTTTGTTTCAAGGCAATTAATATGAAAGAAGAAAAAAAGGAAGGGAAAGGGCACTTGTAACTTCATGTACAGCCTGCCATGCAAACTGCCTAGTGGAGGGCGCCAGGCTCTCTTAGCCCTGTGTTGATCTTCTCAAGTTCTGGATAAGCACAACTTGCAGCAGCAGCCTTCCTTGCGATCCGTCTATCAACCAGGCCTGGCACGGCTCATGCAGTAGGTTTTCTAGTGCCAGGAGATATCATCACCCGCCAGGGGTCAAGTGGCCATGTTCTGCGCACCGGTCGCGTGGGGGAACTTTGGAGAGCTATCTCTGTTTTTTTTTGTTTTTTTTTGTCCCCTCCGAACTCTCTCTCGTCTTTTTCCCCCCCTCTCCTGATAATGGTTCCGCTATCGCACCACAATCACATTCTTCCTCTTCTTCCTCTTCTTCTTCTTTCTCCTCCTCCTCCTCTTCATCCTCACCTCCGTGCCAAGGAGTTATTGTCTGTTGGTGTGTATATATAGTTGAGACCATCGCCACCTCCTGCAGGGTTTCCTCTTCCCCCTCCTGCCTTATATCTTGCGCCCACCCACATCATCTGCCACTCATATGACATAGAGTTGTCTTTCACCACGAGGACGCACGTGCTCTCTCTCTTCTTAGTTAAACCAATAACCCGACTCTCTGGATCTATTACTCGATCAAAACCACCCTCTCATGCACGCATTACGTTTCCTCCCGCCTCTAGCTTAAAAATACTCACCCACCCACAACACACTTCTTCCAACGCCCTTACTGCCAGCCATGGATACCGACAGGGGCCTCCGGCTCAGGCACTGGGCTGACAAGCTCGCCGTCGACCACGAGCCTGGCCTGACCACCTCCCAGCTGATGCTCACCAACCATGACCTCAAGCCCGTCGAACACGAGAGGCGGCAGTGGAAATCATGGAACTTTGTCGGCTTCTGGATCGCCGACAGTTTCAACATCAACACCTGGATGATCTCATCGTCCATGGTGGCTGCCGGTCTGTCGTGGTGGCAGTCCTGGCTCTGCGTCTGGATCGGCTATGCCATTGCAGGCTGCTTCATATGCGCCACCGGCCGCATAGGCGCCACTTACCACATCGGCTTTCCTGTCGTGAACAGAGCCTCCTTTGGCATCTGGGGGAGCTTGTGGCCTGTCTTCAACAGGGCTGCCATGGCTTGTATCTGGTATGGTGTCCAGAGTTATATTGGGGGCGAGTGCGTCTACCTGATGATCCGAGCCATTTGGAAAAGCTGGGTACGTTTATTACCAGACCCTTTTGTTTTGATTCTTTCTCTCTCTATCTCAACGACAAGTCTCGTGTGCATGATTGTATTAATATGGCTAACACAACAAAAGGACCGAGACACAATCCCAAACACCTTTCCTGCTGATTCTGGCACCACGACGGCGGACTGGGTCAGCTTCTTCCTCTTCTGGCTGCTCTCCCTCCCTGCCATCTGGTTCCCTGTCCACCAGATCCGTCATCTGTTCACTGTCAAGGCCTACTTTGTGCCCTGCGCCGCCATTGCCTTCCTGATCTGGGCTGTCGTGCGAGCCGGCGGCATCGGTCCTGTCGTCAGCCAGCCTTCGACCCTCTCGGGCTCAGCCTTGGGATGGGAGTTCGTCAAGGGCATCATGTCCTCCATCGCCAACTTCGCGACCCTGATCGTCAATGACCCCGACTTCTCCCGATTCGCGAGAAAGCCCAAGGACGCCCTCTGGTCCCAGCTCTTCACCATCCCTATCGGCTTCGCCGTGACCTCCTTCATCGGCATCATCGTGTCCTCGAGCTCTGCCGTCATCTATGGCGGTGACCCCGTCTGGGACCCGACCGAGCTTCTGGAGAAGTTTCTTGATGATGGCGGCTCCGCGCAGCGCTTCGGCGTCTTCATCATCGCCTTCGCCTTCGCGCTCGCTCAGCTGGGGACCAATATTGCCGCCAACTCTGTCTCCGCCGGAACAGACATGACTGCGCTCTTTCCCCGGTACCTCAACATCAGACGTGGCGGATACATCTGTGCCGCTGTCGGCCTGGCTATGTGTCCCTACACCCTCCTCACCTCGTCCAACCAGTTCACGACCTACCTGTCTGCCTACTCCGTCTTCCTCTCCTCCATCGCCGGCGTCATGATCTCGGACTACTACTTTGTTCGCAAGGGCTATCTCGAGGTCAAGGAGCTCTACGACGCACGCAGCACCGGCCCCTATTACTACTTCTTTGGCTTCCACTGGAGGGCCTACGCCGCCTACATCGCCGGCATCCTGATCAACGTCGTCGGGTTTGCCGGCGCCATCGGCCGCAGCGTGCCCGCGGGAGCGACCTACATTTACAATCTGAATTTCTTCTGTGGCTTTATCGTGTCCTCGGGCATGTACTGGGCCTTGTGTAAGATCTTCCCTATCCCGGCGTGCAGCGATCAGTGGATGGAAGTGGGCGATGCCATTGATGATGTGCGGCTGGCGTATGAGCCAAGCGACGGTGAGGGCGAGGACGGAACCGGTAAAGGTGTCGACTCGAAAATGGTCTGAGGTGGGCCGCGTACGTGTGTCCTCATCAAGAGAGCGGGACTTTCAAGAGTCCTACAGTGGCTTATAGAAGTAGAAGGAGAATACAGTCCAATGTATATGATGATTCTCCTATTATGGTCTGTATAAAATTAATTGAAGTAAAGTAGGTAAGTACTGTGTAATGTTGTGACTGGATTATAATCCAAGCACGAACAGATCAGCATCGCTGAGCACAGCAGTAAAGACTGCATTACAGCTCTGGACCTGAAGCCTTCAGGTTCCCTCGCGGAGTCCACTTCGAGACGGGACTTACTACGTTGGTAGAAATGACTACTCTGGAAAAGTATGATCTATGGACAACAATCATGTTGAAGAAAACTCTTGGTTGGAATCCAGACCAATTCCATAGTCTTCAAATCACGCAGGATGTGAACAAAGTCAGAATTTAGTCAAACCGATCTTCCCATGTGGGCTTGAATGTAAGGAATATAACTTTCTCGTTGTGATTAAGATTGATACAAATAGAGTATAACTTGCAAGAACAGACTCCAGAAGAATTCCATTCGATCAGCCAAGCCCTTACCAAGACTTGAGGTGATTGTTATGATATTTGATGCTTGCCCTATGCAAACTACACAGTGCCAGAAAACATAATTGCCCATAGTTACAAGTTATTCTACCAATACCCATCCCCTCTGTTGATACAGGATATCTTCCCTGGGACCACAAAATCAAAATCCCAGAATTTTTCGCCCAAACGCCAAACGCCAGAGTAACCTTATGTTTCTTTACCATACAATGGAAAGGGCGGAGCTGCAACGCCATCACATGAATACTCCACTATATTCGTCTCCGTCGCTGAGCCTGGATTCATCAATGTTATTCCGTTCGGCCCGGTGATTGAGAGCGAGAATTGGTAGCCATAGGTAGCCTGCGCGAACATGACGCGGAATGGAATGTACTGTCCGGCCGTCGCGGTATATGACACGGTGAGGGTCTGCGTCACGCCATAGTAGTAGCTGGCTTGGATGTCGTAGTTGGTACTGTTGAAGCCCGAGTACGCCAGCGGACCAAGCCATACAAAGAGTCTGTCATCCGGTACTGCTGTGGTTTCTGGAACGGTGATTGTGTAAGTACCGGTCACGTTTGCGTAGATGTAGCCTCGGTAGTTCAAAGCAAAGTTAACACAAGACTCGGTATAACCATAGATAGTGCCAGTGCCCGAAGTACCAGAACCACAACTTGATGCGCTAAGGGAAAGTGGCGAGGTTAATGTACCGTTGACCGGTGGCGTGATGGGCTTGAAATACTCCGGCAGGAAACCAGATGCTGCCCTGGTGGTGTATGGGCTGGAATAGTAGGCCCATTGCACTCCAGTATTGTTGCAGGTTGAGGTGGACGACGAGGAGAAGCTCGTCGTTGTAGCGTATGACGTGCTTCTGGAAGTAATAGAAAGAATTGTCGATGTCGGAACGGACGATGCACTCCTGGAAGTAGAAGCTAACAAGTACGTCGAGGAGCTCACGGATGTGAAAATATTGCTACTTGGAGACGCCGCGGGCGAAGAAGAGGAAGCCGTGGTAGCTGATGGCCCCGCAGCACTGCTTGAAGAGCTGAAAACGATCGTCGAAGATCTGCCGCTGCTACTAGATGCAGAGGAAGAGGGAATCTGAAGAGACGAGGATGAGATCAAGGCGCTACTGGAGGATGACTGCAACAAAGACTAGGCCGAGGTGGTTGCAGATGCAACTATGCTGCTTGAAATGCTAGAGGAATATGTTGAAGGGCGAACAGATGTTGTCAGACCGCTACTACTAGATGCAGCGGAAGAGAGAATCTGGCTGGGCGTGGATGAGACTGGAGCACTGCTGGAGGATGAGAGTAACGAAGACTGGGCCAAAGAGCTGGTGGCCGCCAAAGTACTTGTTGATTGAAAGGCCTGACTTGAGGTTGAGGGAATACTTTGAGACGAAGAGGCCAGAGATGAAGCACTCGAGCTGACTTGTCTTGGCGCGATGCTCGCACTGCTCACAGACGAAATTGTAGACGTCTGAGTAGAGGCACTCTGAGTAGACGAGATCGATTGGGCTGACGAAATTGTACCAGAACTAGAGCTCACAACAGAAGAGCTCAAGCTTATGACCGAGCTGCTTGAGGCTTGTTGTGTACTGGCACTTGATGCAGGGCTGCTACTGCTTTGAATGCGACTCGTGGCCTGCTGGCTACTAGTTATTTGAGCACTGGTTGTTGCTGAACTGCTAGAGCTCTGGGGGTTGCTTGAGCTCTGAAGGCTACTGGTGCTCTGCACGCTGCTGCTGCCACTGCTCTGGATACTGCTGGTACTCTGGATACTGCTACTGCTGGGGATGCTACTGCTGGGGATGCTGCTGCTTGGGATGCTGCTGCTTCTCTGAACACTGCTGCTGCTGGGGATGCTGCTGCTTGGTATGCTGCTGCTTGGGATGCTGCTTGTGCTCTGAATGCTGCTGCTGCTGGGGATGCTGCTGCTTGGGATACTGCTGCTTGAGATGCTGCTGCTTGGAATGCTGCTAGTTCTCTGAATGCTGCTGCTGCTGGGGATGCTGCTGCTTGGTATGCTGCTGGTGCTGGGGATGCTGCTGCTGCTGGGGATGCTGCTGCTGGGGATGCTGCTGCTAGTGCTGCTTGGGACGCTGCTGGTACTCTGGATACTGCTGCTGCTGCTGCTTGGGATGCTGCTTGTGCTCTGGATGCTGCTGCTACTGCTTTGAGAGTTGCTGGGACTTTGAGAGCTGCTAGAGCTCTGAGTAGCGCTAGAACTTTGAGAACTGCTGAAAGTCTGAGAACTGCTGGAAGTCCGAGAAGTACTGGAAGTCTGCAGGCTGCTGGAGCTGGAGCTCTGAGTAGCGCTCGAACTTTGAGAGCTGCTAGAAGTCTGCAAGCTGCTAGAGCTCTGAGAACTGCTGGAAATCTGAGAACTGCTGGAAGTCTGAGAACTGCTGGAAGTCTGAGAACTGCTGGAAGTCTGCAGGCTGCTGGAGCTGGAGCTCTGAGTAGCGCTCGAACTTTGAGAGCTGCTAGAACTTTGAGAACTGCTGGAGCTCTGAGAGCTGCTGGAAGTCTGCAGGCTGCTGGAGCTTTGAAAGCTGCTGGAAGTCTGAGAACTGCTGGAAGTCTGCAGGCTGCTGGAGCTTTGAGAGCTGCTGGGAGTCTGAGAGCTGCTGGAAGTCTGCAGGCTGCTGGAGCTTTGAGAGCTGCTGGGAGTCTGAGAACTGCTGGAGCTTTGAGAACTACTAGAAGTCTGCAAGCTGCTAGAGCTTTGAGAGCTGCTAGAACTTTGAGAGCTGCTAGAACTTTGAGAACTGCTGGGAGTCTGCAGGCTGCTGGAGCTTTGAGAGCTGCTGGGAGTCTGAGAACTGCTGGAGCTTTGAGAACTACTAGAAGTCTGCAAGCTGCTAGAGCTTTGAGAGCTGCTAGAACTTTGAGAGCTGCTAGAACTTTGAGAACTGCTGGGAGTCTGCAGGCTGCTAGAGCTTTGAGAACTACTAGAAGTCTGCAAGCTGCTAGAGCTTTGAGAGCTGCTGGAAATCTGAGAACTGCTGGAGGTCTGCAGGCTGCTAGAGCTCTGAGTAGCACTGGAACTTTGAGGACTGCTTAGACTTGCAGAGCTACTGGAACTCTGGGAGCTGCTGGAAAGTGGAAGGCTGCTTGTAGATTGAGCAGTACTTGTAGATGTTGGGTTACTACTTATGGATTGGATGCTGCTGGTACTCTGAAGGCTGCTGGTACTCTGAAGGCTGTTGGTACTGGTAGATTGAGCGCTGCTTGAGGACTGTAGATTGCTTGTACTACTTTGGGGTGAACTGCTTGAGGGTTGAGCACTACTCGTGGATTGGATGTTACTCGAACTTGTGGATTGACTTGTAGATTGAGCTGTGCTTGTAGGCTGCAAAGTACTTGTGGCTTGAGCACTGCTTGAGCTTGTAGGTTGCGCACTGCTCGTGGACTGGGAATTACTTGTAGTGCTCATGAGCTGGGTACTGCTCGGGCTTGTGGGTTGAGCACTGCTGGAACTTGTAGGTTGGGCACTGCTTGAAGGCTGAGCACTGCTTATGGACGTAGCGCTACTCGTAGGCTGGGCATTGCTCGTGGACTGGGCACTGCTTGTTGGTTGTGTATTGCTTGTCTGCTGCGCACTGCTTGTCGAAGCTTGGCTGGCAGTTGTCCTGCTTGTGACCTGGCTGGACTGGGAGCTTAAAGTCGACTGGCTGTTTGTGGTCTGTGCTGTGCTCTGGCTGCTGACCTGCGACTGGACGCTTGGTGACTGACTGCTCGAGGGCGAGGTGGCTGCAACCGAAGAGGCTGCTGAAGTAGCTGAGGATTGAGAAGACTGAGCTTGAGAAGAGCTGAGAGCTGATGTCGGCACAGATTGGCTGGTTGCAGCCTGGGTAGTTGATGTCTGTGCACTGGAGACCACACTCGAAGGGCTTCGGATGCTTGTGGCTGCAGTGCTGCTTGTGTATTGACTGCTGGAAACTTGAGCTGGAGATGTTGTCGCGCTGGAAATGGCACTGCTTGAGAGTGACTGAGTGGTGGCCTGGAGTTGTGAGGCTTGACTGGAAGGGAACGATGATTGGACAGCGCTGCTGGGGGCTGATGAGAACTGGGTGTTGCTCGCACTCGAGGACGTTGCACTGGCCTGAGCCTGTGATGTTGCGCCACTTGATGAGGATTGTGATGCGACAGGGGCAGAAGTGGCACTGCTGGGCTGGGAATTCGAGACCACAGTGCTTGACACGGGACTGCTGCTGGCTGCAGCACTGGGCGATGATTGAACTGGGCTGGCCGGGGCAGATGAACTTTGTACTGCACTGCTTGACGATGCAGCCCCTGCCTGTGAGCTCGATGCAGATGTGCCTGCTACATTGGACCTACTGCTCGAAAGGCTAGCAGCATTGCTGGAGGCTTGTGCCAGAGGAGTATTGGAGGCACTTGTTGCTGACGCTGACTGACTCTGTGAGGATGCTTGAGCTGAACTGGCCTGAGCTGAGGTAGCCTGGTTGCTGGTGGGCTGAGCGCTGGGAGAGGAAGTGGCTGCTACATTGGATGACGTTGGATTGCTGGCTGCAGGAGAAGATGCTGCAGAGGAGATAACTGCACTGGATGAGACTACACTGGAAGCACCCAAACCAGAGGAAGATGAACCAGTGGCAGCCTGACTAGAGGGAGCCTGACCGGAGGAAGCCTGACTGGAAGCTGTCCCACTAGAGCTGACAGCACTGGCAGCTGGGTTCGTACTGCTGGAGAAGGCCTGATTCGCACTGGATGTGCCTCCTGTGGGGGATTGCTGTTGCTGGCTGGAAGCAGTGATTGTGCTTCCCTGCGATGCTGTTGATGCGGCAGCTGAGCTTGATAATGTTGCTGCAGAGGTAGCAGACGAGGCTGCTTGTGTTGGCACAGAGGAGGCCAGTGCAGTTGAAGGCGATCCAGATACAACTGAATTCGGGGATGCTGCCTGAGCAGTCGAACCACTGGATGATGCAGCTGGTGATTGTACTGACTGAGCTACACTCTGTGTTGATGCTTGTGGCGATGTTGCTGCACTCAGAGATGCAGCCTGGCTTGGCGACACACTGGTTGATGCAGCTGGCACTGTGGCTGACTGAGCAGCACTTTGCGCTGAGCGTGACTGCGAGGCGGTCGCAACAGAGTTTGAAGATATACCCTGGTTTGTCGTCCCAAGGGGACTAGCTGATGCTGATGATGCTGCCTGCCCAGAAGAAGCTTGTGCCTGCGTGCTGGCCCCCGCCTGTGAACTGGAAGCTTGCCCGGGCGCGGAGGCTGTTGTGGTCCCAGCCTGCGAGCTCGCTGCTTGAGCACTTGTTGCACTGCTCTGAGCTGCAGCACTAGACTGAGCTGGACTGGATTGAGCAGCACTAGGCTGAGCAGCACTGCTTTGAGCTGCAGGGCTGGACTGAGCAGCGCTGCTTTGGGCTATAGCACTGGACTGAGCAGCGCTGCTTTGGGCTATAGCACTGGACTGAGCAGCACTGGAGGGAGCAGCACTGGACTGAGGAGCACTGGACTGAGGAGCACTGGACTGAGGAGCACTGGACTGAGGAGCACTGGACTGAGGAGCACTGGACTGAGGAGCACTGGACTGAGGAGCACTGGACTGAGGAGCACTGGACTGAGGAGCACTGGACTGAGCTGCAACACTAGACTGAGCAGCACTGGACTGAGCAGCGCTGCTTTGAACTATAGCACTGGACTGAGCAGCACTGGACTGAGCAGCACTGGACTGAGCAGCACTGGACTGAGGAGCACTGGACTGAGGAGCACTGGACTGAGGAGCACTGGACTGAGCTGCAACACTAGACTGAGCAGCACTGGACTGAGCAGCGCTGCTTTGAGCTATAGCACTGGACTGAGCAGCACTGGACTGAGCAGCACTGGACTGAGGAGCACTGGACTGAGGAGCACTGGACTGAGCAGCAACACTAGACTGAGCTGCACTGGACTGAGCTGGGGCACTGGACTGAGCTGGGGCACTGGACTGAGCTGGGGCACTGGACTGAGCTGGGGCACTGGACTGAGCTGGGGCACTGGACTGAGCTGGGGCACTGGACTGAGCTGGAGCACTGGACTGAGGAGCGCTGCTTTGAGCAGCACTGCTCTGGGCTGCTGGACTGCTTGGAGCTACTGCGATGGACTGACCAGCACTGCTCTGAGCTACTGCACTGGACTGAGGAGCAGCACTGGACTGAGGAGCAGCACTGGACTGAGGAGCAGCACTGGACTGAGGAGCAGCACTGGACTGAGGAGCAGCACTGGACTGAGGAGCAGCACTGGACTGAGGAGCAGCACTGGACTGAGGAGCAGCACTGGACTGAGGAGCAGCACTGGACTGAGGAGCAGCACTGGACTGAGGAGCAGCACTGGACTGAGGAGCAGCACTGGACTGGGCAGCGCTACTCTGAGCAGCAGCACTGGGTTCTGAAGTTGCAGGCGAGGTGGCTGCACTAGCCGCTGGCGCAGTTATTCCTGAGCTACTGGCCGTAGCGGCCTGAGCCTGCGACGCGCTTTGTTGCTCTGTGGCGGCACTTGAACCTGGCGAGGCCGTCCCTATTGGCGTGGACGCGGCTGGCCCAGACAGCGACTGTTGTGAATTTGTGCCTGTCTGCACGCTCGTGCCGGGGTTGCTGGACTGGGCTGTTGCCAAGGATGGCTGGGTTTGCGCTGAAGGTTGAGAGCTGGTCTCAGGCGGTACGGGAGTGGAGCTCTGTGGAGATGATTGTGATGTCTCGAGGCTGCTCTGCTGTGTCTGCTCCGTCTGAGAGGACTCAGAGCTCGGTAGAGACATGGACATCGTTGAGATGGATGAGGATGACGAGGATGAGGTAGTGTTGCCGCGAATATTCATGCCCACAAATACATTGTACTCCATGCCAGATGTTTGCCTCTTCACCAAATCCCTCTTGGTCGATGATACGACTCTGGCTTGCAGGTTCGTAGACGCATAAATCGTGACGTTAAAAGTGACTGGGCTATCTACAGGAGCCGTGCCGTAGTACATTCGGTTATTCGTGTCAAGTACAAGCCAGTCAACACTGGGAGACGTGGCCATAGATAAAACGGAGTCCTCGGTCGTCCATAACAGCGGTGTCAAATCGACCGTTACGTAGTCCCTCTGATAGAAGTACAGCGTTTCATTGGCACCGTAGACCTCCAGGAGGAAGTTGACAGTGGTCTCTTCTCCCGTTGTCGAAGACACAAGAGTGACATTGGCGTAGGCGGAAGGCTCAGAGAAATCATCTGGTAGCGTGCCGAAGATCGTTGGTGACGTGCCGGTATTGAGAGTGATCCAGTCAGCCGAACGATCGTCTATGACGATGTAATCTGAGTTGTCGCCTGCGAGTTCTAGGTAGTCGGCGAGGGCGATGTCGAAGGGCTTCCCGGGAGCAACTGGCGCTACGATGCTGATGAGCATTGGTCCAGCGCTGGGAGCGACACCCTCTGCTGAGCTGCTCGGGGGAACAATGCCTGGTTGAGACACGGATGGAGCAGGCGCTGCTCCAGCCGAAGGTTCCATTGTCACCGGTATCGACAGCGTTTGCGATGCCGGGGATGAGGCATTCAGGTACCGCCCACTGGCGCTAAGTGGCTGTCGAGTGGGCTCTTCTGCGCTTAACGGGGCAGTCGTGGTTTGTGTTCCCTCGGGAGACCTGCCACTGTGATCAGGATCTTGTAACAATAATACTCGGGGGTTTAAGATGAGGGGAGCTTACCCGCTCTCAGATAACGGCCCTGCGCCAATAGTCGTCAGGTACATCGAGGTGTACGTGTAGCAGACATTGGGCTGCTCCCAGAGGTCCCGCATCAGATATCTTGGAGAGAAGATACGTAAGAAACCATCATGCTGCTCCTGAATGGGCTTCGCGTCGGTCGCCCCATCGCTCAGCTCCCGCTGTAAGCCTGCGGAAGTGAAAAACGACACGAGGATCAGAGCAGCCTTCAAGGCCATCCTGGCTGCGATTGCGGCCAAGGGCCAGGCGTTAAAATAAAAAAAAAAGAAGCCAACAAGAATCAAGGAGTGCAGAGCAGTGTGATAATGGTGTGCACTGAGGAAAATTTCCTACTTCTTCCCAGTTAATGACGCGGCGTAACCCGCGTATTCGCCTGGATCAGAATGGGAACAAAAACGTTCAAAGCAAGAAACGTTGACCATGATCATGTAAGTCCTCCAGTCCATCCTTTTTAGACTAATTGCCAAACCACTCTCCCTTGAATGGAAAGACAGGCGTCGAACGCTGAATGGTGACCGTGAATAGAGCTACGCGGTTGAAATGTTGAAGATTCCAATAGAACGGAGGCGAGTTTCCGAATATTGATATCGTTTCTGGTGTTACTGATTGCTAGCGTGACGCGAAACGCGCGAGATCTTCCTTGCGAGGTCGAGACGATCAAAAAAGGACGCTGCAAATGTAGCGAGAACCGAGCTCGTCATGCCTCGAGCACAAAGACTTCATGTCTCCTCGGATCGTGCTTCCAAAAGTACGCCAACGCGTCTTCTCGAGAGTGCGGTATCACCCTCGGCACGGAAATTAGCTGCAAGATGATCAAGAAGTGACACCATCCTTGATGGGACTCAGTCTTGTGTCTCAGGGAGGAGAGCAATGAGCAAATAAAATACAAGAGAGCAACGGGCGGGAAAGGTCACCGATAATCAATTAAAAGAGTAAAACGAAGTTCGCCAGACGAACAAGACGTTCGAGCTTGGGGATGCGGCTTTAGAAGAACCATATGTGAAGGGAACAAGCACTTAAAAGGCAGGGTGGTCAATCCAAGGTTGAGACAGACAAGGGGTATAATGGAGACATTTAAGTAGAGCACGGGAGACAAGGATTGAAATTGAGACACAAACGAACCGCGGTGGAATGGAATGAGAATAAAGAGAGGAAAAAAAAGCGTCAAGTGCAACCGACGACGAAATTTCGGACATGAACGTTGAGGCCTTCAGGAATCGTGCAAACGACAGGGTTTCATGTCTCGTCGTTTACACCCTCAAAACTCTTGTGGTGCTTGAGGTGGTCGCGTGCCCTCTCTGACCATATCAAAAGTGCTCACGACTGGATGACCGCCAGCCAGCCGGCACCTGCAGATCGGCTGACCGGTAAGATTCATCTGGCACGATGCGAGATGCAGCAGTGAGACAGCTCGCGGAAATATCGGCACGGATATGATGGCACGGAACTCACCACATTGACTTTACTTGCCTGATCGTGAAGAAGATGTTTGACTTGCATCTGTCAGTCTTGTCGGTCTCTCTCCTTCTTGATGCAAGCCTCTTGAAGGTCGTGGCTCGTCCCTTGTGTCGTATGGATGTTCCCAGAGCCGTTTATTACCGTAGCTTCTATTTGCAGGGTCGATGAGAAAATAGTTGATACCAGTGCTGGTGTGGGGGTGCTGTGACGACGAAAACACCGAGGATCTGCACGCGGGAAGCTTTCCGTCCCAGATACGCCGATTCCCAACCCCTTGCCAGGCGTCTTCTTTGCGACGACCTAGCTGTTTGGGCCGAGGGCTGTAAGCCTTTCCGCCGACTTATCGTCGCTACCATGCTGTCTTCTGTGGCTCGTGTTGTTGAAGCTTCCTCATCCACCCACAATTGTGTTTTCTGGGTGACGAGCTCGGACTCGGGATTGCATGAAGCTTTATTCCTGTTGTCTAGGATATGGTGAACGGTGAGACGAAAGTGACTAAACTCTAAGCCCTCGACGCTGGAATTGAGCTAGGAAAGTTTCATTGATAGTCAGGCAGTCGAGGAGGCCATCCCAGACTTCACAGGAGTAAGTCCTCCATGTCGCCTGCGAGACGCCCCACCCAGGATCACAAACTTGAAGATGGATGAGTATCGATTCCAGATGGTGTGCACAAGAGGACCAAGGCATACAGAGACATTCTTCGTCGTAACTTCTTTGCCGCTCATAGCCAGCCCGACAAAGACTCTGTCGAGTCCGCGTTTTCGCCGTTGGGTGTAAGAAATCTGGTCAGGATGACTCATCAAGTTTCATATATGGGTGCTCGAGAGCCTGGGCAGGTCAGTTAACAGTCTATAGAGAGGTATTTGACCAGAAGAGCAGGCGACTTACCTTGGCAGCCGTCATCCGTGTCGAGTCGTATCTCACCATCTTCTTGACGATATCGGCCCAGCCCTCGTCCACACCTCCTAGAATGACGTTCCAAGGTTGGCCTTGAAAGACTTGGTAGAAATCAAATGGTGGCGTCTTGAAGCTTTGTGCCTCGGGCCATGTCTCTCTTGTAGGAGTGCCGATGGTTTTGAATATACTCAAAATCAAGCCTAACTGATTCCCGTCCTCGTGGACAGCTCTGGATTCGAACAGCGTCCGGGGTGGACGGCGCGCACACTCGGCCAGCATACATCCTGCACCCCACATGTCGACCGCAGTACCGTAAGACTTGTTGCCGAAGAGGACTTCGGGCGCACGGTAAGGGCCGGTCCCGATGTCCAGGATCTTATCATGGGCCGACTCAGTATGCAAAGACAACTCGGGGTGCCATGCCGTGCCAAAATCAGATAGGTAGGCCGGACCATGAGGGGCTTCCAGGAGGATGGCCTGCGGCTTGATGTCACGATGGATTATGCCCTGGCTGTGGATGTTCTTGAGCGCCTCGAACAGATCCGTGAAGATGGTGCGGATCTGGGCACTCTCTAGGGGTCCGCTATCAAGCAGCCCGGACAGTGTCAGAGGCATGTAAGGGAAGACGAGGGTGAAGCGTTGTTCATGATCGCGGAAGGTCTCTAGAAGTGGTATGCAGGGTCTCTTTAGCTGGGCGAGAATCTTGGCCTCGCGGAAGGGATCGTGAGGCGCAATATTGTGTGTCTCGGTGACGACCTTCAAGGCACGGTCTCCGCAGCGGTACACCTCGGCTGTGACACCGCTGGCAATGTATTGGCAATTTCGATAGGGTCCTATCCTCTCGCCTGACGCCTCTTCGACATCGACATGGACATCGGTACCATGGCTGTTCATAAACGGTGGTGAAGGTGGTGAGATCACTGTGGGCTCCAGGACTCTGGACTGCAAGGACTGAGAAATGTCGCAAGCAGCATCATACTCGTCCTGTGTGTGCCAGTCAGCACAGAACATAATAGTAGGGAAGGTGCTAGGACTGACGCGTGAAGCGGAAGACCTGTAGACCTCATCTTCAATGACAAAGGGAGTTTTGCCAACCGCGAGTTCCGGATTGGATGCGAGTGCTCGCTGGCTGGCTCGAGCCACACTTGGTTAGAGGGGTTCCTAGGACGGCCAAAAGAGCAATTATTTACCACTCACATATTCTGAATATTGTCGTACCGTTCAGACGCTCTGAGTGAGGTCCGCCAGTCTTGTTGCGCATCCATGACAGAGTTCTGGACAGGCTAGCTCAGTGTGTTGAGCTCTAGATCATTCTGCTTTCCCCCTACTTTGTGCGTCTTCCAGGCGGTAAGGTGCATGAACTTGTGCTGGTGTAACCATAGAGGGTGAATGTCGGCTCCTCCAGTCGTTCTGGGGCAGTGGAGCTGCAAATGGGGCCTCGTTCCCTGGCTCATGTACAGAACAAAGGCTTGTCCCTCACATGTCTAACATGGTTCTTGTGAAGCATTTACAATTCAGGGCATGGGAGAGCATGTCAGGAGAGAGTTTAAACCTATTAGCTGTCCGAAATCGCGAAGTAGGAGATTGGAAGAGAAGAGAAGGAAAGAATAGAAGAAGGGACAAAAGGACAAACCCTAACCCCCCTGCCACAGCATACCCCAAATTTCTTGGTGCATGGGTGACATCAGAGCCCCAGGCTGTCCCTGTCACAGTAACAAGACCCCTACAACACATAGTACTATGCAGTAGAGCACTGTTCCTTGCGCCTTTTTGCAGTGGCTGGTGCTGAAATAGCGGGGGCCTCGGCAGTCACAGCAGCTACAAAAGTATGACTAAAAACGGCTGCTGTAGGTGGCTTCTGCTCCCGTCCTTGCACGCTCAGTACGTTGAGTTCCCTTGTTCCCTGAATTTCCCCAATTTTACAGTGCCTGTCAGCCTATGACCCTTGCCTTGAGGTACACAGTACCTACCTAAGCTACCTTAACCCTGATTCGGTTCCCATCCATCTCGGATGGCATCTATGGGCTTGGGTTTTGATGAACCCATTTCCAACAATCTGCTGCTACTCCTCGAGGACTGCCTCAACTTTACCATACCACCTCCACCCAGCATCGTATCTTCCCTTCCTTTCTCGAATTCTATATTTCCAGAGCCACAAGGTCGCCGTCACACGCCAGGATTTACTGCGGCCTACCTTTCCGTTTCTGGGGGCCACTGGCGCTTTTTGCACTGGTCCGTATGTATGCCTGCTGCCCTCTTGCGGGCCCAGCCCTCGTCCAGATGAGGCGGGCCATCTGACCATTCCAATGTACCTGACCATACTCCGCAGCGCAGCTTGACGACGCATCGCAACATTGCTCCTCCCACGAATCTCGCCCCTCTGAAACAAGCGTCTCAGTCTTGTCCCTTCAAGAACGGCCTCAACGCCTGTGCATCCTGTCGACCTTTTATTTCCTCCCCCATTTGCCGAACGAGCCGAGGCAGCCATACGAATGCCCCCCCGATGAATTGAGTCCTCTGGCAATTTCTCCCCCCTGAAATCGCCAACGCCAACTTCGCGACAAGCACACAACATTGATGGCAGCCATGGATGACCTTCAGAGATCAGAGTACCCGGCTATGCTGGTAAGCTCCCTCAATTGGCCATGACGGGCGGGATCAGGTCATTGCTGGTGCGACGCGCCGGTTTCAAAAGTCCCTCGACGACGGCACGCGCCGGTATCGCAGTCGGCCCTTGAAGGTTATCTGCTAATGTTTTCCTCTCTGGTGCAGGCAAATTTGTCGCCTGGTCAGGCAAACCAGGTTGTCAATGAGCGCTTGAGGCGCATTGGCAAAGTCAACACCGAAATCGCAGACTGGCTTCAGGTATGACAAGAGAGACCCTGGCAAACAAGACAGACCGAGCGCCGCACTGCAGGCCTAGGATATGATCACTGAACAACTGAATTGCAGGAGCGCCGACGTGTCGAAGACCAATATGTTGCTGGGCTCAAGAAGCTGCTTATGTTCAAGGTGCCCAACTCCGGGTCTGAGCTAGGGTGAGTCCTCAGAGCCCGTAATTGAGCCCCGTGACCACACCTGGAGGGAGGGACTGACGCCTCTTGTCTGTATCTCGCAGTATCTTCCAGCCCTCGTGGGACAAGGTCCTCCGCTCTACCGACGCAATTGCCGCATCACATCACCTGTTTGCCCAGCGGATCGAGAAGGATGTCGAGCATGCCTTGCGCCAGTTTCAAAATCGCAAAGAAGTTCAAAACATGCAGACAATGTCCATGAACCTATCGACAATTGCCAAGGAATTAGACGATGCGCGTGAGAAGGTCGACAAGCTGTCCAAGAAAGGTGGCAAGGCCAGCGCCCTCAAGGTGGACACCGCCACCGCAAGACTGGAATCCGCCTCGTCGCAATGGGAGTCACAAGCCCCTTTTATCCTCGAGACACTGCAAGCTCTTGACGAGCAGCGTTGTAACCACCTCCGAGATGTGCTCACGCAACTCGAAACACATGAAGTCGATCAGTCGGACAGGTTGCGAGCCGCTGCGAACGACGCTTTGGCGACGATTGTGGAGGCCGATACCGCGCGGGAGGTCGAGAATTTTGTGTCCAGAGTTACGGCAGGGAAGCCGAAGGTCGAGAAGAGGCCCGCGTTGACGGAGAGACCATCCACTATGACGAGGCAGTCAACGTCCACTCACGCCCAGCCTCCCTCAACTGCAGACTCGGGCCTCGCACCGCCCCCAATACCTTTCTCTCAGCATGAGGATAATCGGAGTGTCCATTCTATGCCGGGCGAAGAGAAGACTGGTATGTATTCAGAACACCTAGAGGGCAAACAAGCCATGCCACGCAACGGTACTGACCACCCAATTAGAATCTAAGTTGCGCAGTCGAATCGGAACAGTCTTTGGCCGCCGGCGCCAGAGCGTACACGGCGGGTTCGGTCAGCTCTCTCCGGGCAAGAACAACGGCCCCTTCAACCGTGCGTCGAGCAGTCATGGTCGATTGTCGCCAAATGCGTCTTCTAGCAATTTGGCCGGCTCGAGCGCAAACAGGCTGGACTCACTGGCGGAGGCTCCTGATACACCAGGGCTGCCCAAGCCTCTGGAGCCGGAACCAGCAGCGGCCACAACGAACGGGACCCACGGCGCAAACGCTACTATTTCCACCGGGACACCAGCAACGCCCGCTACGGAAATTCTTAACGGCGCCACTGCAGAGGAGATATTCGACGCTCCTCCAGGCCCACCGCCGTCCCACCTGAACAAGGAGGGCGTGCCCACCAAAGACCAGGATGGGTTCACGATACCACCTGCTGCCAACGACCCAATATCCCAGGCACAGAGGGAGGCAGCAGGCGAGATGGGAGAGGAGCATGACCAGCTCTTCAAGCTGAACATACAAAACAGCCCGATCGCCGAAGAGGACCCTGATGAAAGCAAGGCCGCCATAGCCAATGTTGCGAGCTCTCTTGGCGTAATGCCCTCTCGACGCACAGGTACCGTTCGTGGTCGCAGGGATGTGCGAAATACGATCTACATGCCGACAAATACCCAGTTGCCCTCAGTGGATGCTTCAGGGTCTCTGTCGGTCGTCGCTGAACCAACACAAAATTTGCCCCCGTCCCCAGCGCTGCACGGTGCAAGCAGCAGCATGAGCTCGAAACCCTCTGCCATTCACACGTTGGCAAGCGAGGCTAGTGGGACCGCCACCAGCGACACGCAGTCGATCAGGAGTGCAGGCAGCCTTGGGAGTTTTCTGCACGGCAAGCACCCGGATCTCACTGCGCCTGGTCTGAACTCGAGTATCGTCGAGACGGTTTCGGCAACCTTTGAGGAGGGCGTGCTCAAGTCTGTGAAGATTAATGGAGAGATAGCATTTGCGTACAACGGGGACGGGACCATCTCTGAAGGTAAGTTAACGTCGTCGGTCCTAACAGAGTCTACAGCCGCTGCCTGCCTGTATTCGATGCTGACAAGACGTCTAGCGCGCGAGACCATACGCATCAATGATTTCCCTAGTTTGGAAGCCATAGGACCCAACCGAATCTTTGTCTCCAGCACCCCCTCACCGGATGAGTTCCTTCTCGATCTCGCACATATCCCCTCCAGGACTGCGACCCCGGGCTTTACCTACCGTGTGCATGCGGAGGAACCTACATCTGACTTTGCAACTCACTGCCCGCTACTCATCCAGTCAGCGTGGAAGCCAGGTCAGGATAAGCTCGGGCTCCTGCTGCAATACAAGCTCAACCCTGAGTTCCTGCACAGCTCGAAGGCGGTGGTCCTCAAGGGACTGACGTTCGTTGCGACATATGAGGGCGCAAGGGCGAGCGGTGTGCAGACGAAACCTGCAGGAACGCACCTGAAGGAGAAACACCTTGTCTACTGGCGCATAGGCGATGTGTCTCTTAGCTCTGGTGACGACGGCTGGCAAAAGATTGTATGCAGGGTGATTGGTGCCGAAAATGCCCAGCCAAGACCCGGAACTATCGAGGCTAGGTGGGAATACATCAGCTCGAGCGCGCCTGGTGACGAAGGCACCCACGGAGGCATCTCCATCAGCAGACGGGGTGAGAGCAAGGGCAAGGAGAAGGCCACAGATGACAGTGGAGAGGACACCGAAGATGACCCGTTTGCGGACGAGAGCGCCGTAGCTTCTCCAAAGGGGGCCAGCTGGCATGATGTGCCGCTGGTGAGGAAGATTGTGAGCGGCAAGTACGAAGCGAAGTAATGCTGTACTGGCTGGGCAGTCGGATAAGATGATTTGATAAAAGAGAAAAGGTCTCACCCATTGGATCGACTTCTACAAGCCGGCTCTATATCCGGGGAAGGCCAGGATGTTGTATATTGATGGGGCATGTGAGGTTTCTCTGGGACCAATCTGGCAGGTCGTGTTGGTTTATTACCCCCTTCTTCTCTTTTCCTTTTTTTTTTTTTTTTTTGCATTCATGCATTGGACATGTCCCTGAAGGGCACGAGACATCTCTGTGTTTGACTCAACCACTCCTACCATCATATACCATTTTCTATTTGTACATTGTGAGAGTAATTTAAAAGGGTTGGGACGAGAATGCGTCACGCGGCGGGGAAGGGGTCAAGAAAGGGGAATACGGGGTGGGGAAGGGGTCAAGAAAGAGATAATATCAAAACCACCAGATGAGAGAAAAAAATTGATTGCATATACCAAGAATTAATTCCTGTTCTATTAAATCCATTAACTTACTGCTCAATCAGACAGGACAAAACCGAAGGTGAAAAAAAACCTCCCAGGCTTCATGCAACAAGAACTGCTACTCCAACCGTTTTCCATGCTTCCCCATTTGCCGATCTCCCCTCCTCCACAAAGCCCAACAGACCCCGTCCCCCCAACTCCCGGCCTTGCATGCAGTGAGTGGAAATACACGACGTGAGTGAGATTCTACGGGCGGGGTAGGAGGTAATTTCACGCCTCTCCCGAAGAATTAACGACGGCAAGGCATGCATGACGACACGACCGGCCGAGAGGAGGGGGATATTTGAAGGGCGGGGGCGGATGTGGGACAAGAAGCGATCGAGAATAGGACTGCGAAAGAGTACAAGTATGGGGTGGAGTAAGTAGTTCGGCAGAAGAAGATAATTGCCCCTTCGAGGCTACCCTTAGATGATCACCTAGAGAAGCCGTTTGTGAGGAGTCAATACACAGAGAAAGAAAATTCCATTGTGGATGATTTTGGTCCAGGGCATGAACATGCGATTCAATACTTCCATTACGTCTTTCCACCTCCTCCTTTTCCTCTTCTTCTTTTTCCTCCTCCTCCCAGACACAGTCTTCGCCATCCTGGACTGTGCCAACAATACCATCCCCTCGCCAACCGTCTTTGGCGCCCAGATCCTCAGCATCACGGCGTACCCCATTGACGATTGGCAGGACATCCCCGGCAACGACATCTGCTACGTTACCATCAGCCTCACGCACCCTGGGGCGGGGGACCTCGTGAACAATTTCTTCGCTCTTCCTATCTCCACGCCGTGGAACCGCGTGTTCCAGGGCATCGGTGGTGGCGGCTACGCGGCGGGGACGTTGACGGCTGGTGCAAGCCAGACGGCCATAGGGTACAGCATCGGTGCGACGGACGCAGGCTTGCCAACGTCTGATCCAAATTCCAGCCAGGACGCCTCAGGGTGGGCTCTTGTCTCGCCCGGCAACGCTGACCAAGTCCTCCTGCTCAACTTTGCGCGGCGCTCGGTGCACGACCTGGCCGGGCTGGGCAGGGCGCTCAGCACAAGCTTCTATGGCGGCGGCAACGGTAGCAGCAGCAGCAGCAGCGAGAGGGGACCTGACCGCGCCTACTGGAACGGCTGTAGCACAGGCGGGCGGCAGGGTCTGGCCGCGGCGCAGTACTACCCTGCTGACTGGGACGGCGTGCTGGCCGACGCGCCGGCAATCCAATGGAACGATTTCACCATGGCACAGCAGTGGCCGTACACCGTGCAGAACAACGAAGGATACGTGCCACAGCCGTGCGAGCTCGCGTTTGTGGCGGCGCAGGTGGTCGAGGCGTGCGATGCGCTTGATGGGCTGGTCGATGGTATTGTGTCTGCACCGTCATTGTGCACATTCACCGCGCAGGGGCTCGTGGGGCAACGCTATACCTGCGCGTCCGTCAACGGCAGTTCGAGTGGAATGTTCAGCCAGAGGGCTGCGGACGTGGTGGACAAGATCTTGGACGGGCCAAGGACACCCGAGGGCGAGGTGCTTTGGTATGGGCTCGTCAAGGGAGCCAATTTCTCCAACACGGCGCCAAACATCGAGGGCAATGAAACAGCGCAGTCATTTACTGTAGCCGATTCCTGGATTCGTGGCTTCATAGCTAAAGACCTGGGTTTTGACACGGCCAATGTCTCGTACGCTGAGTTCGCGGGTACGATGTTTGAGCACCCCTTGCCCCCTTTCTCTTTTGTTCATGGCCGAGCCCCAATTGTCGCTGGACGATTGACCATCGCTAACCTCCTGCATCCGTCAAGACATCTTTCTTCAGGGACACCTCCAGTATGACTCGATCATGGGCAGCGCCTCCCCTGACCTCGCCCCCTTCAAGCGCCATGGCGGCAAGATCATCACCTGGCAGGGGCTGGCTGACGGCACGATTAATCCTCAGGGCACTATGTTTTACTACCAGAAGATACTCGCCATCGATCCGTCCGCTGCCAATTTCTATCGGCAGTTCTATTCCCCCGGCGTGGGCCACTGCGGCTCGGGTACGGGCGTCATCCCAACGGATGCGATCGGCCAGCTCCGTGCATGGGTTGAGAACGGTACGGCCCCAGATGTCCTGCACGCGGCGAGTACGTACCCTGTGAATGCGTCGAGCTCGGCCGTGGTGAACTCGGCCGAGTACGTCAGATTTCTCGACTTGTGTCCGTGGCCGTCTGTCAATAGGTACAAAGGCAGCGGTGATCCGGCGGAGGCAGCTTCGTGGGAGTGTGCCAGTGGTACGGGTTGGGTAGAGTTTTCGGGTCTGCATCCGGAAAATTATAGTGTGGTTGGAGGGCCAGGGTGGTATGGCTCATCTTTTTCTGCTGTTGAAATATGACGGACGAAGACCCGGCCATGGCCCAGTAGATAGATTTCTTGTGGCAGATCAGATCTCAGTGAACTCTCAAGACTTCACGGTACAGCGTTGGTGGTCTCATGATCAGATGACTTGCTTGCTCTTGTTGCATTGTCGTGTACACAGGGCAAGCAAGAGAGGGGCCCACGTGCGATGCAGCTATCTCGTATGTAGAGGTGACAACGGGGTGCCCATCTCAATGCAGAGGATCGTGGATCCCGACTTGTTCAGCGTCCAAGTTATTGCAATGCTCGTCCCTCTTGCACAGCTTGCTCATAAAACTCGAGAGTGAGCGCGGCCAAGAAGCCAGGAATGCAGTTCTTCTCGCGGACCCAATACTTAGTCAGATCCGACAGCTTCATGGCAAACTCGCTCCTGGGGCCGCCGCCAAATTTCATGGATCCTCGATCGCCATCAAATGTAATGGAACGCTCATGCTCGTCAGTCTCGGAGGCGTAATAGACCGATTCCACCCGCATCTTGTTGGTGGGGATGAAGGTGACGTGCCAGCCCAGGAGGGCAAAGACGGCCTCCTTGAACTCGTCAGACTTGTCCTTCCATACTTCCTTCAGACGTTGACACTGCTTTTTGGCGGACGCAGTCTCCTTTTTAGCGTTTTCCACATCGCGTTGGAGCGCGACGAGCGTGGATACAGGCACTACCTGGAAAGAGGTGATGCCACTTTCCCCGTCATGTACCAGCGTTCGCAGCTGCTCGTTCTCGGTCCGGAGCTCATCGATGGTAGCCTGCTTGACCGCTTCGTGTCTCGCAGTTGGGTTGTCGCGCAGTTCGAGGACGCGCACGCTGGAAGAACGCCTGGCAGCCGCCAGTTGGTCCCGAGCCACCGACAGCTCCTTCTCGATTACCTTGAACTTGGTCCTGAGAGAGTCCAGGTCATCCTGTAGGATACGGTTCTTGCGAGCTAACTGACCAATCTGCGCATGTTGAGGCGACTCTTCGTCCGTCGGTGCAGGACGCTTGGTACCTGCGACAGCCGCCGGACCGTTGAACGATGACTCAAGGTAGGCCATCTGACTCTCCAGGGTCTTGACCTCGGCCTTGTATTCGTCGACCAGCTCTTCAAGTTTCTGTATACGCTGACCCTTCTCTTCGTCAAACTTATCAGGCTGGAATGTGGCATCCTCGGATTCGTACATCTTGAGCTGCTCGCGCAGCAGCCTCGACTCCTTCTCCGCTAGAGCGCGCTGTCGCTCTAGCCTCTGTCGGGCCTTGTCGGCAGATCCACCCCCTCCATTTGCTTTGAGCTTCTCGATTTGCGACAAAAGACCAGCCTTCTCTGTCTCAAAGCTCTCCATCGTGGCGTCGCGCTCAGCAAGCTGGACCTGGACTGAACCGACTTTCTCTAAAAGCGAGGCCGAGTTGATGCGTTCTTGTACGAGGGCGCGAGCCACGCCCTCGGGCGAGTCGAATTCTGCCTGGCCCTCACGCTCGAGATACGCAGACCAAGCATGACGCTCGGCCTCGAGACGCTCTCGCTGCCATCGCTCCGAGGCTAGCTCAGCCTTGGTGGTCTCGGCGTCTTCCAGCTTACGCTGAAGCGACGCTTTTTCCTCCTCGACGATGGCCACCGCCTTGTGCGACTGGCGCAGGTGTCTCAACTCTGTCAGCTGCTCCCGATTCGTGGCCTCGAGAGTTCGAATATGCGCAACCTGCTCTGACAGCTCCCGCCGTATTATGGCCATGGTCTCTGCGTCACCAGTCTGCGCCTTCAGCCTCAGCACCTCAGCCTCCATCTCGCTGATTTTCCCATCTTTGTCATTCAGGTGTTTCCGTGCCTCCTCTAGATCATTGTCTCTTGTAAAGACGCTGTCTTCCAGCTCCCGAATTTTATTCGCATCTTTTTGAAGCTGGGCATTTAGATCAGCAAACTTTCTCTCCTCGAGCCGGGCGGCCTCATCCTTGGCGGCTGCCAGGTCCTCGAGCTGCTCCTGGAACAGCCGGGCCTGCTCCTCAGCCGCCCTCGCACGCCTCTCGATCTCGGCCTTCTCGCCATCCTGCTGCCTGCGCAGCTCATCGAGCTCCTGCTGCAGCCGCCCGAGCTGCCTCACTGCGGCACTGTGCTCGCTCTCGGCAGCCTGTTTCTTCTTGAACTCCTCGTCGGCCAGCTCCTTTGCCCTCCGTAGCTCGTTCTCTTGCTGAATGCGTTGGATCTCGGCGTTGCTCTTTGCATTCTCATTGTCGTAACGCAGGGTGCTGATCTCCGCCTTGAGAGCCTCGATGGCGCGCCTCTGTGTCTCATATCCTTGTGCGTCGGGGGGCGCGACATTCTCTTTAGATGACTCGCGGGTCATTGCGCGTGGGAGTTGGGGCGAGGTGCCAGAAGGGGATTGCGAGCGGGTAGATGCTGCTTCGCCGAGACTGTATGACGATGGCTGGGCGCTGCTCAACCGTATGGCGTTCATCTGGTGGCAAGGGACCCGTCAGTGAGATCCAGAAACCAACACGACTCTTTCTCTCTTTCTACTCACCCTCGACTCTCGCAGTGAGGACGCAGGTCGCGGCAGGCCAGACATGCTAGCCCGAAAGCGATTGGTCGTGCTCGACACAGACCCTCGACGCGAGCCGGCTGCCGACGGCGGCCTGTCGCCACCTGGGCCCTGGGGCGTCTGAGGCATCATCGTGGGTGATTTGGGGGTAGTGCTTGTGGCATGAGTGTTGCTGCGGGCGACGCGCCGTATTGACGATGTTTGGGTTCCTGCGGGTCGCGGTCGCGGTTGCGTTGGAAACTTGCCTGCCCCTGCTCCTGCTGTGGTTGGCATTGCCTCTGGCAGGGGTCTCAGGGGGGAAGGATGAGCTATGGTTGTGGGGTCATAGTACCTGGACCGGGAGCTACCACTGTGGCTGCCATTGCCGTTCCTGGAGTCGTGGCTAGGGCTAGGTTTGGGGCTCTGGGCCTGCATTCGCAAGATCCTGTGCTCTGCAATCTGTCGCAGCAGGTCCTTGCCTGGTTTTGCGATTGACATTGCTTGAATCTCACCAGCATTCGCATGGAAGGCTGATGACCAGGCATCCAGATGACCATTCCGGATCTCAATCTTGAAAGACAAAGAGGTTAATAAGTTTCCTGAGCACAAAGGAGCGGCCCATCTCTCATTTTTGGGAGTCTTCAGGTCGTGACATTCATTGTCAAAAAGGCACAACTGTTACGTTAGAACAATTGACTGTCTCAACGAATTAGATCAAGCTTGCTTGGAATCAAAAGTGTATTCGTGGTTGTGCTAGTCTTGTCGCTCAAATTATCTGCATCATCTGATCAATCACTGTACCACGAACTAGACTGCACGATTTGTTTGTTACCCAGGTAGATCAGCTCTCATCAGTATTGCAAAAAGGAAATTTGGAAGATAGTGTGGAACACAAGCTATGTGCTCTTATCCAATACAATATTCATACAGATGTCCTCTATTGTTTCCTCCTGCCACTTCTTCAATGCTCACATTGTATTAATTGTCATCTGGCAGGAGTTACAAGACTGCTGCTTGTGGTTCTCATCTCATTGGCCCTGGACTCCCAGAAGACAAATCCCCCTGCGCAGATCTCTTCTCCTCTTCCCGCCTTGTTCCAGCCCCAGGATGTGCTCCCCTGTTGTCATCAGCCCCGGGGTTCAGCCAGGGGACCCACGCCAGACCCATGAATATGACGAGGACGGGGATCGTCTACTAGCTCCAGGGCATCCGCATCATAACCCGGGGGCCCTTCCAAAAAGCTCTCACTTGGTTGCTTTGGAAGCAGACGACAGCTTCCTGACCTCAACTTTCCCTTTGCGAACTTGCTTCCTCTCCCTTCAGCCCATGGAAGAACCAAAAGCCTGATATCCTGCAGCTCAGACTGCCAGTCAAATCCTCTTCTTCCTTTTCATCATCATCATCAACATCACCACACTCTTTGCCCGGACCGATCGATCATCATCACCACTCTTTCAACAGACTCTGAACGCGATACCGAACGGCGGCAGAAATGGCGACGCTGCGTCTTCTGGTAAGTGCCTGTCGGTGTGTTCACGCTGGTAGTGATGGGGCGTGTTGCTGACCGTAGCCCTTCCTGGATAGGCGCGCAGCCCCGCGGTGCGACCGGTGCTCTCGCCACGACTTCATGAGCATTCGTACCACCGACTCCAAGCCATTCCTGCCGCCCACCGATTTCTCAATGCGACCAGCTACATGCGGGATGATGGCGGCCAGACGCCCAAGAGCCAGGACAAGTCGTCTGTCAAGACTTCCGAGAAAGATCCAAGCATTGCCAAAGATGGCAAAACCCAGACGGGAGGAGCGGACGAGAAGACTTCGTCTTTCTCCCAGACGACCCATGTCTCTGGTGTCGCAAATGATGTGAAGCAGGAGCAGCAAGGCCCAAAAGGCCCCACGAAGGAGGAGTCTGCGCTAGCTGCAAAGGAAAATTCCAACCCCGTCAAGACGCCGAAGGTCCCTGGTGAGCCCAAGGAGCGCAAGCTCATCAAGGATGCGCCTCCCTCGTCCTCCAAAGTCGCGAAATCCGAAGCCTCCTCCTCCTCTGCAAACTCTTCCTTCGACGACATCGGCGGCGACTGGGAGGCCAATCCAAACTTCAACATCAAAAACTTTTCTGAGCTGCCGTACAACAACTTCGGTGTGAACCAGCACATCAAGATCAACGATGAATTCCGGGAGGTTCTTAGAACGATCCCCTGGCAATTCCGCGCGCCGATCCGCTATGCGTTCGCATATGGCTCCGGTGTGTTTCCTCAATCCAAACCGTCTGGCCGTCTCCCGACCGCCGAGGAGGTTGCGCGCGTCCACCCCAAGGCGCCTCCTGCGGTCCAGAGGGCCCAGGATGGCACGCCCAAGATGATCGACTTCATCTTCGGTGTCACCTACACGCAGCATTGGCACTCCCTTAACCTGAACCAGCATCGAGACCACTATAGCGGGCTGGGCAGCTTGGGCTCGGCCGCCGTGTCGTACGTCCAGGACCACATGGGGGCAGGCGTGTACTTCAACACACACGTTGTGGTCAATGGCATCCTGATCAAGTACGGCGTCGTCAACATCGACTCGCTATGCCGTGATCTGACCGACTGGGACACCCTGTACCTCGCCGGCCGCCTGCACAAGCCTGTCAAGATCCTGCGCGATGACGCTCGAGTGCGCCTTGCCAACCAGATGAACCTGCTCTCCGCCCTGCGCACCGCCTTGCTGCTCCTGCCCGAGAAGTTCACCGAGCTCGAGCTGTACAACACTGTCGCAGGCATCTCCTACCTCGGCGATCCAAGGATGACGCTGCCCACCGAGAACCCCCAGAAGGTCTCCAACATTGTCGGTAATAATATCGCCAATTTCCAGCGGCTCTACAACCCGCTGATCGACAACCTTCCCAATATCTCCTTCGACGGCTCCAAGGAAGGCCTCAACCGCCGGCTAGTGCAGGATATGGACCCCGTGCGGCGCGGCAACATGGTACGACGGCTGCCCAAGTCCTTTCGGTCCAAGCTGTATCTTCAGTACCAGCACAAGTTCGCGATCCCCCAGGCCGAGTTTGATGCCATGATGCAAGCGGACCGTGACGCCGACAGCGTGAGCTCGGTCAGGAAGAAGAACAACCTCGGGACCGGTGGTGGCGCAGGCGGCTTCGAGACGCGTATCGCGCAGGACGACCCTGCCGAGCTCACGATGCGCGTGCGTAGGGTCATCAAGAATACGATCGGATGGCCGAGCACCACGCAGAGCTTGAAGGGCCTCCTGACGGGCGGTATTTGGAAGAGCTTTGGCTATGTTCTGGAGAAGGTTCAGAAGTACCGTGCTGGATCGAAGAAGGCCGATGCTGCGCCTGCAGCCGCCAACAAGGAAACCCAGAAGGAATCCGCCGAGAGAACGACGAAACCTCAGAAAGAGGAGAAGAAAGACTGAATAAGGCGTCCAGAACCGAATGGCTCGACGCTATAACGATTCTTTTCGAGGAAAGGTGGCGTTTGGACAATATGAAATTTCCTTGGACTGCAAGGGGATGAAAATGCATGTGGTTGGCTACCTTGCGCGTCAAAAGGGTGCACATTAGAGGTGCCCACCAACAAAAATTGTCTCCCAAAGATCCGGGCCTTTCTCACTTACGAAAGTCGGGGCGGAGGAAAGGGAGCGATCACCCATAACAACAGCCATCATGTACGATTATTTGCATATCGCCTACGAAAAGAGGTGACGATGGTTTTCACTTCTTCCACTACGGCGCAACGACGACGAACGGTTCAGCATTTGCAGGTCAACAGGACGGATGTGCATGCAGGGGACTGGCCAGCCAGGCGTGTGCTGGAGAGATACCAAGCAATTTTAGTTCCATTTCTTTTGCTTTACACGATAGGATGAGGAGAGAAACATGAAAAGGACTTCATAGTCTACTTAGTCCATAACAATCAAACCGAGATCTTTAAAAGCTAGATCCATCCGATTTGGTGACTTGGTTGTTTGCCACACAAGTGGGTGATGATTGAGCAGGTTGAGATGGCAATGGCGGGTTATCTCTCTTGGGTAGAGAAACGAGCGTTAAGTGCGATGATACTGCTGGGCAGGATATATGACCAGAGTGATCCCATAGCAGAGTCACTGATGACTTGATCTCTCGAGATTCGCTGGCTGCACCTTTTACATTCGTAGTGGCTTCTTCCAGCTTCGGTCGTCGCAAGCTCGAGGGGTTTTATGGGTGCTAAACACAGAACGGGCCTCGCGACGCCGGAGAAGTTCTGGTGAAGCTGTTCGTCGAAGTGGATGAAGATCAAGGAGGGACAAAGAAAAGAGTTGTATGTACTAGCACTGAGATTACACATTAAGTAGTTTTGCAGGAACCAAAAAAAAAAATCAAGCCTGAATGATGAAGCAGCAGAACGAACAGTCCCCTCAGCAAAGTACGACAGCAGCAATTAATCTACCACTCCTTCTTAGCGAATTGAGCAGCCTTGTCAATCATCTTATCGCCAAAGCTCTCCTTCTGCCCACCATACCCGGATGACGAGCGCTCATTGTTGTGCCCGCTGCCAGTGGAATACTCATTGCTGTCGTCTAAAACATCGCAATACAGTCGTCAGCACACACATACACACAAAAGGAGAGAGAACCCAAGCACTTCTCACCTGCACTAGACTCGAATCTGCTCTCCGCATTACCAGTGCCGAAGTTCTCGTTCGCCACCGACATGCCAGGCATACGTCTGTCCTGCTGGCCGATGCCAGAGGAGAAGGACTCATTTCCCCGGCCGGACGACTGCGTATCGGTGAAGGCGTCGTCCTCGCGCTCGCGGCGTGAGGAGGACCTGTTGCTGCTGAAGTCGTCGTTGTTCATACCTCCTGAGGAGAAGTTGTTGTCCTGGTACCTGCCGCCGTCCATGCGGTTGCTGCCCTCCTGGGAGATGGAGGTGTCGTTGTTGTACTGGTTGCTGTAGGAGTCCATCTTGTTTTTGGGATGTATGTGGTTCTGCAACGAATTGAGAGGACAAGACAGTGATATTTGCTTGAATAGTCGGGTCTATATGGGAGATGGGAGTCTCTTGAGAATAGGAAGGCTTCTGACGATGGCTGTGATGGTGATGGATATTCAACAAGTTGAAGGACCTGAGGGTTCTTATACTTTATGTGCCTCCATACTTGAGACGGTATTTCTATGCTCTTGATGACTTCATCTTGGAGACTTGATCCTCCTTACGCTGCTGTACAAGAGGAAGCCCTCGTAATCACACTCATTATGCCTCAGGGCAGGACTGACCTGACCTCATCGTGCTTCCTTCTCTCTGTTGACCTGGACGTAGAGAGCGAACCCAAATTTAGAAGCCCGTCAGAGCTGGCGTTCCACCCAGTTTTTCCTTGCTTTCTCGACCGCCAAGTCTATTGTACCAGACACCCGGTCCCTTACTCCCCGGCCCAACAGGGGCAGATTTCCAAGTTTTTTTCTCTTCTTTTTCCGTCTCTTTCTCTTTTTTTCCCCCAGATTGTTATCCGTGCCACAAAAATCTGGCTCGTGAACCATGCCGGTCTGAGCGGCGATCAGTGGCACAAGCAAACCCGGAATCAAGGTGGAAACCCTGGCGACAACCGACGTCGAAGCGGGGACAAGGGCGGGCTGCAGAATGACGAAACTGACCCCCCCCCCCTAGCCCTGGGGGACGGGAGGCATTTTTACTTTTTTTTTGGGGGGGGGGGGCTTAAGGGCAGGAGTCTGGCAGGGGGGGAGGGGGCGGGTTGGACCCTGAACGTTGTGCTTTGGTTATTTCCCCGCGCTCCATCCTGCGGCTGAAAGCACATACAGGTAGCATCTAAACGTCAGGCTTTCAACCTTGAGCTTTTTGAGAGTTGGTCCCCAGGAAGACGGGAAGTGTGGCGAGCTACACAAACCTTGAGACACACAAGGAAAAGAAGAACAAAATCGAGGATCGCGATGGCCTCAAACAGCCCGCTATAGGACCAACTCCATGATCACACCAGCGGTTTTATTCAACCGCGGAGAGAGATCGCGGAGAGAGGTCACGGATTGGACGGATTATTCCACTTTCTTTTGCCGTCTGCGATCTACGAGTGGCATCATAGGTGGCGTTTATAGTGGTCTTCTCAGTGAGGTCATTCCAACGGCCTCTGCATCAGAAAACATCTCAAAGGATGCAAGAGAACATCCCGTCCGGCGAGATAATCTAGCGCCGGGTAGCTATGCGGCCAGAGCACGCACAGTGCACGATGAAACCCCTAGCGCTCGTGGGAGACCAAGGCTACCGAGTGGTAGCTGTCAGGCGGGCAAAGGATTCTCGGCACCACCAACAAGTTGTTGGGCCCTTTATTCTCATGCTATGATCCTGTTGAATCCTGGCATGTGATCATCTGTGTGCTGCTGAACCTTGGCTTCCACACTCAGCAGAGCTTCGTGGCAGCCCCTCCCAACTCATAACTATATGGCTCACTCAGCACCTTCACCTACCCACACTCTCTGCCACACTTCACCTAGGCAGGGATCACAACTAGTCTTTCCCCCTCAGATATTCCTTCAAGTCCTGGGGGCCAATGCATTCTCTAGCTCTTCTGGCTAGGCACCACACACGTCCATTTCGCACGCGCGCCTTTTTTTGGGCAGGCAACCCGAGTACACGATGGGGAGGTTCAGGGAAGCCACTCATGTCATATAACAGCAAGGGAGGAAGATCCGTAAGGGAGGTTCCAGTTCACCGGTATTACTAAAGAGGGCCGGCGTAGCCGCGTTTCTATGCATGCGTCCTTCAGCATTATCACTCATGTTCTCCATCACAGCCACCAAGTATTTAGTGCTTGATAGGACCAAGTGGTCCGGCAGACATCGAGATGCACCGGCGCCTCTGCATATCAGACACGCATATGCGCCCAATGAGGGCAAAATGGAATGTTACGAAACATCAATTTTGGAGGAAACGAGTGCCTGCCACGGCAAGAAAGCCAGTACGTGGCTTCGGCTGTGCACCATCGTTTAATCCAGGCTAAGAGCTCGGGTGCGAGACTGGGGTGGGTTCAGAGTGACAGTGACCAAGGGCGAGAGTACACATGCTATCGCTACTTGTTGGTACCCCGGAAAAGGGGCGGGGGGGGGGGTTAATTTATTTGAGGCCTGGTGAAGCCTTGACGATTCTGTCGTGGAAGTTTGGGCATCAACGGGACATCACCTCTTCTGATAGCGCTTGATATGGCGCGAAACTCGGGAGTGCCCTTGAACCGGCGGCCGTTATATCTGTGGCAAGAACTGATACTCGCCTTTCACGAGCTGAAACATATCGAATGCCGGTAGATGGTCTCGTGTCTCTCGGGCATTCGCGGGAGGTTGGCGGCGCTGGTGGCTTGGGTCGTCATGGAGTGCATTATGGATGACTCAGAGAAGTCCGACAACTTGCACAAGCGGCCAAGACACAGACAGACGACCATCATCGGTTTCCCTGCTACGGACAGTACTCCTCCCCAGAAAACACCCATGATCAACGGATCGAATGTTCAAGAATGTTGTGGCGTGTGACGCGACTGTTGGTTCCTGTGTATCGTTGCGCTCCTCAGCAAACCTGATGAATCGCATTCATGAAGCAGAAAACAGTCCAAAAAGAGTAGTGACGGTGATGCACGCGGAATCTGCTCATGTATTTTATTCATGGGTAAGTTGTGGGCACCCTCGAGCAATAGTCACGGCTCTAATCTAATATTTTCTCAGAACAAATGTTATCTGGGATTATCCTCTTGACAGGAAGTGAACTCCACAAGAAAGAAAGATACTGTCAGGCAGGGCACCTGCATAGGCCATGGAACACCAGTGTCGGGTGACAAGGTCCCACGAATATGCAAGGCTCTTATAAGGTTTGCTGCATTGTGTCCCAACTTATGGACCGACATGACAGATTATCACTCTTAGGCGAGATGGGATGGATGGCCCATTAAGGGACCAGTGACATAGGAAGGTGATTACATGTTGTGCAATGACTTTATGCTGACTATATACTGGTGGGTTACTCATATTCGGCAATTGTCCTACAATCAACCTTCATCCGCTCGACTCGCTTGGGTTCGCCTGAATTGGTGAGCCGAGATGTGACGATGCGGCGAAACATAGAGCAGCGAGGGAGGAGAGGGGGTTGGGGGGAAAGGGGGAAGGGGGAAGGGGGGGGGGGGGGCACACAGCAGGAGTTACAGAGCTTCAGCCAAGCCATGGTTGCACGTTATTTAGACAACTCGTGATGCTCTTGGACGGACGATCTGCATGGAGGATGCAGCTGCATAGAAGACACACCTGCATGGAGGACACACCTGCGTGCTGGACGTCTTATGCCCCTGCCCAGAGTTCCGTCTTCAAACTACGGCATTCTTGGCCCCTTCCGTCATTGGGAATGTCATTGGGAGATGCTTGCGTTGTTGAGGCGGAGAGGAAAGGGCGAGACGGAGTTATTGCCCCGGCCCCGCCTTCTTCCTACCTGCACGATTGCTCGTCGATGCGTGTACCTCTGTACTTACTTCCTGTTGTTCTTCGGAGAATATATGTCTGGCTATCCCTCGCACCTTACACATGCACATATGTGTAGGTAGCTCCTTCTCCTTGAGACATACCGACATGACATGACCAGTGGCCCTTCCCAGATCATCAGCTGCTCAGATTTGACCCTTCACAAAAATCTTCTCTCTATCCTTTCGTTTTCTTGATTCTCGCAATCCTCTCCTCACCCACACAAGCTGCCCATCTCCCTTCTCGAGGTTGTATGTGCTCGACAGACTCGGCAATCCAACAACACGTTCATCCACCCAAACCTGTCTTACCTTATTCTGTTCTTCAACCCCCTCTGAGACAATCCACTTGGGCCTACTCATCTCCGACACCACCCTTCTTTCCCACAATCTAGCATCAATTCTTCCACGATGCCTCCTCGCGCTCCCTGGCAGAGACGTGGTGAGGACCATGCCGACTCCAGTGGTGGAGAGGCCCTCGTTTCCCAGTCGGGTCGGCACTCCGGATCTCCTATGAAGGCCCATGTCGTGGCCACGGTCAGCGAGTTCATCGGGACCTTCCTCTTCCTCTTCGTGTGTAAACTTCCAAGCAGGACGCGTTGCCAATTTAGACCGCCAATATGCTGATTGACCTCTGCGGACAGTTTGCCCTGGGTGGTACCCATGTCGTCAATACCGCAGTGAGCCCGGACTGGGCTGCCTCCACCAACCAGAACCCTGCCAAACTGCTCTACATCTCTCTCTGCTTCGGTATCTCTCTGGCTGTCAACGTCTGGTGAGTTACGCCCCCAAACACCCCCGACCTCATTGCCCTTGAGGCTGGAGACAATTCAAGAACAAGGGCTGACCCAGCATGCGCCCTCTCCCATCAGGGCCTTCTGCCGCATTGAGGGCGGAATGTTCAACCCTGCTGTAGCCATCGCCATGTTTGCAACTGGCGGGATCAACATCATTCGTCTGGCCCTCATCGTTATTGCACAGCTTGCCGGTAGCATCGCCGCCTCTGGCCTTGTCGTTGGTCTCCTTCCTGGAGGAACCATTGCCGCTGCAACTACTCTTGGGGGCGGCATCTCGGTTGTCCAGGGATTCTTTTTAGAGCTGTTTCTTACGGCTGAACTGGTCTTTGTCATTTTCATGCTAGCTATTGAGAAGAATACCGCCACTCCCGTAGCTCCAGTCGGCATCGGTCTGGCCCTGTTCATCGCCGAGTTGGTGTAAGTTAAGGCTCGGCTCTCCCCGAGTGAGATGAACAAATTACTGAATACTGTACTCTTCAGGGGCGTCTACTATACAGGCGGCAGTCTCAACCCGGCCAGATCCTTCGGAGTAAGTTAGGCCTCTTTTCTTCTTCGTTCCTTTCTTTTTCTTTTTCTTGGAATTTCGTTTACACGAGCACGAACACGCCCACGAAATCATTGCTGACGGGCAGAGTCGTGTAGCCAGCAGTTGTCACCGGAGGATTTCCCCACTACCACTGGATTTACTGGCTTGGTCCCATTCTCGGCGGTCTTCTTGCAGCTGGATTTTACAAATTGATTAAGACACTGGGATTCCACCTCGTTACTCCCGACGTCGATGTATCGCCTTCGAAGCAGCAAGAGGCTCACGCCTCTCCGGCGACTAGCGGAGAAGTGTGAACTCTGCCAATAAGCAAGAAGCTTAGAAGTGGCGGACGCATGCAAACTGTCTCTAGGCTCCCGCCATTTCTGCTTTCCACCCTTGAGACTCCATTTTTGGTCATTTATTTTATCCTTCTTTTCTGTCCACCCCCTGTTTCTTTCTCCCTTTCGGCGGCTTCTTAGCATGATTAGGTAAAGGCAAATATGACGGGGACTTTGGTGAACTCTATTCAAAGTTGGTATCTTGTTCCAAGACTGCTGGGAGGAAAGACTGGCATTTTGATGGACGTTGAATCCTTCTCATTCGTTGACCATAACCTTCCTTACTGTATGCTAGCTTCTGTTACCATGATGATGAATTACAATATGATGTTTTCAGCAAACTTCTGCACCTTTTTTGCGTCATCCGCTCGGTCGGGAAGATCACTGTCGACACTAATGCTTAACTCCTTGACCTCGTCAAACTCGCCTGCCATGGAGTCGATCTCTCCTCTCAATACCTTCCAGGAGACAGAGCCGAGGGGCACGCGAATAGGTATTCTCTTGCCTCGTGAAGAGAGTTCGTAGATTGCCTTGGCCACATCCTCGGGCTTGGAGAAGGTCTTGATCACCTGGGGGTCCTCGCCATAGGCGGCCAACAGTCGAGCCGGGGTATCTGGGGCCTGGTAAGCTGGGTGAGGCGGCAAATGCTGCATGTTCGACCCCATCAGAGGCGTATCAATGCCGCCGGGCTCCATAATCGTGAAATGAACTGTTGAAACCGACATAACACTCGAGTATCAGTGGATGTCGAGCCAGATGTAGTAATTAACATGAATCTCAAGAGAATGGGACTCACTGTTCCATTCGGGCCGAACCTCACGGCTCACACTCTCAGTAAAGCCCTCGAGGGCAAACTTGGACGCGTTGTACCAAGCCAGCCCGGCGTAGCCCATGAAGCCGCCCATGGTGCTGACCTGGATTACCAGACCACCCTGGCGCCCGCCGGCAGTGGGGAGGGCGTTTGTCTCACGCATGATGCGCATGGCATGGAGGGTCAGCTGAGCGGCGCCCCAGAAGTTGGTCTCGAGCAGGCGGCGGGCCTGGGTGTGGGCGTTGTCGATGGGGAGGGACGGGTCGAAGCTGGCGGCGGTTGGGCGATCGAGGGCGAGGGAGGTCTCGGTATCGCCTGATAGACCCCAGCCTGCATTGTTGACTAAAATAAATATTAAAAAAAAAAAAAAAAAGTAGGTAAGCAGGAGGAAGCGGTGGGTGTCGATTGTGTAATGAAGTAGACTCATGAAGGCGAGAAAGTAGCAAAGAAGGGCGCGCTGCGTACCCAACACGTCGACCCTCCCGAAGTGCGGATGGGAGAGCACGGTGCTCATGGCGTTGGTGCTAGAGACAGGGTCGGTCACGTCCAGCTCGATGGTGAGGACCCTCGCGTGTATCGGCAGCAGGCCCTCCAGGCGGGCTGCGTTGCGGGCGGTGGCGACGAGCCTGTGGGTTGGGTGGGCGGCGATGAGCTGGGCGAGGCGGAGGCCTACACCCGAGGAGCAGCCGGTGATGAACCAGACTGCATCATCGGGAAGGTTGTAGATGGGCTTGGTGTTTGTTGTGGTGGCCATTGTAGGTGGTGAGCGCTGCGTGAGCAGAGGTGAATATGGATGAGAGGAATGGATTGTTGTGTTTGGTGGTGAGTGACAAACCTCATCATTCGGAATATCGTGGGCTTCTACTGCCTCCATTTATATTCAATACAATTTGTTTCGCATTCTATTTCCTCCTCCTTCCCCTGGTGCTCACTTTGCCGCTCTGGTCATGTTCTTCGACTCTGGTGTGGGTGCGACGTAGGAAAATGGGGACAACGGACATCCGGAGACAAGACTCGACTCGACAGGGACCTTGCATGACGATGCAGACCCCGTACCGGGTGTCCACCCGCATCGACCTCGCAATGTATTGACAAGTGAAGTAAATCACCTGCTATTGGGGGGGGGGGGGGCACAAGATGCGCTGCGGGCGCACGGTGGGCCTCCCGTCTTTCCACTAAAGAGCTCGGCCGCCGGGCCCGTGTCTCAAGGACACGCGGCACGGGTGGCCCCGGGCCCTCCCGCTGGGTGCGGCCGCGCGCTCCGCATCCGAAGGCCGGTTATCTCCAGGCTGGAGCATCTCACGTAAAGTCTGGCCCCTTCTTCGTGGATCGTTTGGATGGAATCAGAGCCCCCCAACCTCCCTCTCCATTCATGCACTTTGAATTCCATGTTATTTCTAGCGGAGATATGGTGAACCAGAACTAGGGCGCCGTCGCCCTCGAGAAAAGGAACGAACAGCCGCCGAAGCAATGGGCAAGGGCTCGTGCAACCCAAGCGTGCCTGTACAGATGAGGACAGCAAACTAAGGCCACACGGGCACAAGAACAGTGTGAAAAACCTGTCTTAGACCTGTCCAAAGGGTTCAAAATTGAAAAGAAGAGAAAAGGATGCTTGATTGTTGCCTATAGCTAAAGAATTTGAAAAGTGGGTGGTATCCTTTATATGTATGAGGACCCTTGACCCACTGTACTCCATGTCCTACGGACTACCACCCTGGCCACCACAACAATGGGTGTAGACTAGAATGAGAAGCAGGTTATGAATAATCAATATAGAGTGTGAGGAAACAGACAGGTTCAGGATTGACCAGGCCAGTAAACGTTCCCCATAGCCGCCTGTCTGTCTATACTGCATTCTTTCTTACCTTCTGGCACCCAAGAAAACCCTCAGCACACAGTCATACATCCATTTACACCCTGCTTCCATTGGCATAGTCGTGCGGAATGATATCCCAAACACAGTCAAGTTTTTTCTGTTTTTCCCCTTCTCTTTCCTGCTTGTCTTGGTGAACTTTTACATCGCATGATTCTGAGTTCCTTGAAGTGTATTGAATTGGCAGCACAAAGACTTGACACATGCAGACGACGGATTTTGCAATAATGAACACTTTTTCATGCTTAAAAAAAAAAAAACCAGGGGTTGGCCGAGAAATAGCAAGACCGCATAGAGGTTTACATATCAATCTACACGCAGCAGATATGCTTCCGTCGTCATCTCTCTTTCCTATAAACACACTTTCCTGATCTATATGGACCGTACTTTGGTCATCTGCACCATTGGACTGGCACGTATCGGCCTCTCATCTCTTCTTCCCAGCCCAAGGCGTGGGCTCCGGCAGCGTCGCCAGCGGCACGGTACAAGTATCCGCCAGCGCAGCTATAGCCTCCGCACTCGTCGAATTCACGCAAGGGATACCGATGCCCCCCGCAATATTGTTGCAGATGACAACCGCGTTGTCTGTCCCGTTGCTGCAGGGAGACGTCACGGTGAAGTTCTTGAAGACGATGTTCTCACACACCGCGTTGGGGTTCGAGCTGCATGTCAGCGACGCGACGGCCCGCCCGTACGCCCCGGAGGTGTAACCAGAGAAACTATCAAAGGTGACGTTGGTGACGTTAACTTGTGATGGATACGCGGCACATTCAGTTGAGTTGATCTGTTGTGTCATGGTTTAGCTTCGTCTTTTTTTACTGTTTATTCTTGACTTTCTCCAAATCTTTTACGTTCGATTTGGACGTTGCTGCATTTGCCTTGGGGGTGGAAAGAAGGGGCCAAACAAAATCAAGAAGACATGGGGCGGGGAAGCTCACGTCAAAGTAGCAAGAATCCAGGTACGCCGCGTACCCGTTGTTGGCATTGTAGAAATTCTTGAAGGTCACATTGTTGATGTAGCCATAGCCAACATCTGGACCAGCCCACGACTTCAGGCGGCCTCCAAACTCGCCATTGATCATCCATACGTTCTCGATATGAACATTCTCGATGATGTCCAGCTCGCCCGAGTACTCGCCGATCGATCCCATGGACTGTCCATGCGACCCTGGCATTGTGAGATTCATGTCAGTATTTTGCATCCTCAAGGCAGGGGAGTATTTGAGTGGAAGGTGAAGCGTACCATTGCAGTACATTGTATTGACGTAGATGTCTGTTGTGTTCGCCTTGGGACTCTGATTACTTTGTGAGCAAGAACCACTGGTAAAGTCAATAATAGAGGGGCGGCTTACGAAACAGTCATCCCCGTTGTTCACCCAGGTTCTCTCAACCGTGAGGTGGTCTAGATTGAGGGAATCGAAAAAGTCGGTATTTGCCGCGTCTGAGGAGGCATTCTTTGCAGGAAGATCAGCCTTTCAACCGTAGCTCAAGCCATGTAACGGAGGCGAAGGAAAAGATTGCTGGCTTACGTTTGACACTGCGGTGACGACCACATCTTTATACTCAAAGCCAGACGCTATTGCACATGAGTTAGTCCTCCGATTCCTTTGGTGCACAAAGGCCCCTAGTTCGTTCCTCTCTTTTATAACGACACCTTGGGCTTATAGGGACACTGAGCAGTAGGCAAGGACTCTATAACTCACAAGTGACGATGAAGTTATTCCAGCACGGCGAGTCCTTGAAGTGTATCCCCTCTATGACCCAGTCTGTTGCATTCTGGGCATAAAACAATATGGGTCTGAGGTACGTATTGTCCGGGTCCAGAATCTGGTTTCCCGCGAACTCGTTCCACCACCGCTGCCCGTTCCCATTCAGCACACCCTCGCCGTAGATCTTGACCTTGTTGCCGCCCCATTTCCAGAACATGATGCTGTTCTGGAAGGGGTGCGTGAAAGCCACACTTTGCCAGTAGCTCGTGTCGTTGGTAAACAGGACCTCGCCGTCCAGGCGCACTTGGACATCATCCAGGAAGGTCAGGTCGAGCGGCTGCCCGATGACAAAGGTCTGGTTTGCGGGGAGATAGAGCGTGCCTCCATGGTTGGCCCGCTCGAGGCCAGCCTTGAAGTCAGCAGAGACATCGTCGGTGTCGTTAGCACTGTGCCGGATGGTGATGACGTGTCTGGCCCGGTCCAGAAGATGGGATGGCTGGTAAGGATGCTTCTCTCTGAACTCGAGTACGGAGCGAGGGGTACCTGGGGGCAGAGGGATGTTTGTAGCTGCCACCAGCGCAAAGAAGGCTGGGAGCAGCGTCTTGATGCTGGAAGATAGCATGACGATGGCTAAAGGTTCAATGACAATTATGAAGCGCCTCGTTTGCCTATTGGGGCTTGTCTCTTCATGCTATGAGCAGAGAGACCAGCAGCAGTGGTCAGGTTGCCGTCCCTTTTGTATCTTTATATAATCTAAAAAAAAAATGAGAGCCCCCTATACCCTGCTACTAGATTGACACCGGATCATCTGACCGGAGAGCCTCTAGTGCTTGTTCTCCCAACCTAGCTATCCCGAAGCCGACCCTTGGGAGGAGGTTCACTATTACACCACTTACAGCCGCGCATTTACGGCCCACTTCACCAGCGTTGGTCAAGGGCCTGTCTTCGTATCTGACCGGCCCAGGATCCTCGAATCTCCTCGCAAATTGGCTGGCAACGCCACTGTGCCATCTTTTGAGGATGGGGGTGGGTATACAATAGACAAATCACAGCCCGCTCACCTGCAGAAAGCCGATGAAGTTGCGGGGGAGAATCCTGATGTTGGAATGAGGTCTTCATCTGTTCTAAAAGTCTTGGCTTACTGGTCTTGCATAGGGATTGTGCAATATTATTGACGGAAAATCCAAGGCCTTGACGGGGCCTTGCAAGTGCATTAAGTGGAAGAAATTCCTTCATGTCCTGCTTAGCCCCGGGGCTATTTCTCCAAAAATATGAATACTACATCCCCCCCGCATGTTCGTCAGTCCAGACCCCAGATAATGGTGAACAATAATCTGGGGAAATAAACTCCAACGCGTCCGGGGTAATTGAGATGTAGAAAGTTAATCTGCTCTGATGATCGACTTGTTAACATATCGACTGTCTTTCCTTGTCAACGCCATATTGTAACTGGCATTCCTAGTCCATCCATGCCAACAGGCATTGCATACCTCGAGTGTTACCAGCAGACTTGGTGTCATCCAAGCACGGAATCATACAATCAATCATCACAAAGACTTCCAAGATTATTGACTTGCCGAACTGACCAAGTTACTTGTCAAGATTTGTACATAGAGTTTATATCGGTAGAGGAAACATGTGGCTCAGTTACTCTTCAATGAGGCTATTGCTGAACATGTGCTTTACTCTAGAAGAAGAACCAGTCTGTGACAAGAAACTAGATGAATAATATCATTAAAACTAAATACTAAGTAGCTCGTAACATCGTAAAGCCCCTTTCTTGCCTCACCCAACCAACTCCGTACGAGATTGGTGGAATATGTTTTACACACCCTCTTACAAGTAGCAAATACCTTAATCGTCAGTTTCAAAGAAGCTCCCGCGAGCCTTCACAAAGCTCAAGTCAATATAACCTAGCACCTGCCCATCCAACCTCCTTAGACCATCATCCCACAAATACCAGACACCACCAACCGCCCCGGCCACGAACATCTGTATGACCGACACCGCAATGCCAGTCGTCTTTAACGCATCCGCCGAGGCCACAGTCGCAGCAGGAATACCAATCACGAAGACGCCCGCAAACAGGGTCCTCCAGAACGTAACAGCCGCGTCCATCTCGGCTATAGTGCGCAAGCTCACACGGAGGTTGGGCGACGTGAACTGCGCCGAGCGGTTGATGAGCGGGCCCGTAGGAGCGGCGAGGACGTACGCGCCCGCGGCCAACAGGCCGAGGAGAAAAGAGACGGCGGGAAAGCGGAGGCCGTTGGCGGTTGCGGGACTGCCTGAATGGGACGATACGTAGAGTCCGAAGCCGAGGATGCCAATAAATGACAACATTGCACCGCTAGCGAGCGCCAACAGGTGTGTAGACTGGAGTCGGAAGACAGTGCCAGTCTGAGACCAGGCTGGCCAGAGAGAGAAGACGACCACAGTGGCAGAAGAGAGGACGAATGGGAAGGCAAGGAGCAGGCCGACACTCGTTGGGAGGAGGTCCGAGGGACTGCGGGCGAAAAGGCCCGAGAGAGACGAGGAGAGCCCCCACAGAAGAGAGAATGGAAGGAATGAGGCGAGGAAAGCGAGGCCTGCCGTCGGCGTGATCACTGCACGCAGTATCTGAAACAGCAGCGTGGTTTTCATGACACCGGTACTGGCAGAGCCTGCATATGGCTTTGGCGGCGCAACTTCCCTGATATACTGGATCACCCTGTCGGCAGTCATGCCACGCCCACGCGCCCACGCAGGCAGGCGCTGGAAACGGCTGCTGCTCTTGAGACCGAGGGAGGCCCATCCGGTACTCGGACTCCATCCAGGAGTAGATGTAAGCTTCTCTGTGACGGCAGTACGGTTGTATATTGTTTCTGGGGCGCCGAACACAAGCAGCGGGATGGAGACCACCTGGAAGATGGCCAAGATCTCGAATTGTAGTTTCACACCCAGTTTGTTCTGCGATACCACGGCCCCGATCAGAGGAGAGCCCCAGGTTGTTGCTGTCAAGATAGTACGGTAGGTTGCAATCTTGGTAGCGCGCTCGTGTTCCTGTATCGTTGATCGTATTATTAGTATCGAACTTTGTGTCCAAGACGAGTAAGTTAAGTGCTTACAAAGTAAATATCCGTGATGGAGGTAACAACCACGGTGTCGAACGCGCCCCAGCCCAAGCCCTGGAACACCCTAGCTGCCATGAACTGGCCGTAGCTACTGGTGATCTTGGAGTTCCACACCAGACCGATGAAGATGAGGATCATCGACACAAGGTACACTGGTCGCCGGCCCCATATCTTGGAAGCCACCAAGCTAGCAAGGCCTGTCCCTGACGATAGGATGAGCGGCAGACCAGTAAGGGCAGTGACAGCAACATAGGATGTGCCCAACTCTTGAGCCAAGATGTCATTCACGCTGATGAGAGCTGTCTTCATCACGCTGCTCAATGCAACGGTGACAAGCAGCGCGTAAAGACTCAACTCCTTCCTCCAGGTCTGCCAGTTCTACAAGAAGAAGAAGAAGAAGAAAGTCAGAGATGATGAAGTCCATTGAAAATTAAAGCATAGCACTCACTAGAGGGTCCTGTGGGTCATCACTCGGCTGGGGGACCAGCTCGGTTGTAGCGTGTTTCCCTCGTCCATATTTAATCCGAGTGCCCTTTGTTGTGCTGGTGATCCCTGTGTGAGGCTGAGTGGAATAAGAGCCTGATGTCCCAGGTCTGTCCGGATCGAGGCGAACAATCCTGCTGCTCGTAACACTTCCAGAGAGCGACGAGAGTCTCAAGGAAGATGGCCGCGCGGGTCTGTCAGGTCTCACCGCAAGGGGGATCCGGAGTATTGAAGGTGCGGGAGACGGCGGCGACATCGCAAGAGGGTGCATCCTAAGTATGGAATTTTGCTGTGTCGTCTTTGGTATCGAAGTCGGTGATGAAGCTGGGGCAGGTATCATATTCGCGCCTGAAGTCGTTGTCGGCGACGTTTCCGTACTTTGCGTATTTCGCGCATAGCTGCGCTCGCTCTGAGCTCTTGATTGCCTCTGGTATTCATCATCCCATGCAGAAAAATGACTTTTGAATGGTGCCCCTTTATTCTGAGACGAAGACTCGGTTTTTGGAATCGGGCGACCTGGTTTTGTGTCCTTTGGAGGCGGCGGCGGCGGTGGTCCATAAACTGATTCCCTTGGCAACACCAACGATTCGGCCAAGGACCCGCGTGTCTCAATGCGCAGAAATATTTTTGCTTGGACAGGGCTCGAGGCGGGCTTGTCTTCTCTTGAGTGGACGACTTGAGCTTGGCTGCGTGAATACTCTTCAGACGAAGCCATCGATCCGGACGCCTGCAACAGCAGAGGTGGTACTGCCAGCAGTAGCCACGATTCCAGCAACAATCTCCCAGTTGATTATGATTAATTAAAAGGTGATAGAGTTTCTACCAACTGGTTAGAAAATGAGTCGGACGGTTTTGCGAGTCAATACCTAAACCCAGTGTTGTGGGGATGGTCTGCATAGATATGAGACGGACTCAGTCAACGATAGACAATTCCTGCCACGAACTGATATGCAATGCTACCAGCGTTGACACTTGGACCTCTGCTGCGGGGTGACATGGCAACCTGACGCTGAACGATGGCGGCCGTTGATGCAGGAACGTGACGACCTGGGACTATTGCATGTGGCATTAGATGGTGCATTGATCCCATTGTGGTTGACTTGCGGTCGGATAACGGAAAGCGTCCAGTTTGGAGCCGTCGGATGATACATCCCGAATAGGACGTGTTTCTTCTTAGCTTAGACAAATGCATGTTGTGATCAGATGAGACTGGAGCGCAAGCTGCGACGAACCCCTCGAGGGCTGCAGTAACTACTATGGTACATCATGTACAAGCCGGTTAATGCAACTTGGATGTTCACCTCGAACGGGAGCGTGTATTGTAATGGTAACAAAGTTCAAGGGCACTGATCAAGAACTGCTCCGGTGGTCATGCCGGCTGGAACTCACATCGAGACATGATGCTTCGTGCATTAGACTTTTCAATAACCACCACAGGAGAACGGGATTGGGAAGCAGCCCACGCAGCGAGGCCTTGTAGCACAACCCCCGGCGGCGAGCTCAACGGGCGGACACATACTAATACCACCACCTCCGACTTTCAAACAAGCAGTTACGCGAGCTATAGTGTCAAACCTGTCGGCTTTGTCACTGGCATTTTGCAATATTCTCAAGGCGCTCCTCATGTGGGACCTAATGCCTCATGCATAGATCGGGGCCTCGAGCCACGTTGCTCGAAGGGCGACTGAAACGAGCCCGAGCCGCATGTCGTTAGTACGGCCGCGCTCTGTCATGATCAGCGCAGGGTAGACCACTACTTAAGGTTTGATAGGTCTAGGTAGTCATGCGTGAGGCAGGGGGGGAGACAAAGATCTCAAATGTGAGCTATCGGCAATGCCTCTTCTTTCAAAATGTTCTGGTGGAGTATGTATAGTAGTTGAAAGTATGAGTGAGTATTGTCTTCAATTACTCAACTTCCAAGCGGATTCTCATTACCACCCGTGTCTTTCAGCCAACCGAGCGTATTACACGCAGAGGTGGGGCTGTGTCCACAACCAACGTCTCTTCTCCTTATTGTGTCCTCACATTAGTCATTGACCAGGTAGCTACTTACTACTGCGATACACTCTGAGACCCGAGGGAATACAGATCCTAACCATCCTTTCTTGCATCCGTAGTAGCCAGGCATAAGGTCACATCAGCTAAACTGCCGACGTCCGAGCGGACTACCCCGCCTGCGGTGCACTGAAACTACCCCGAGCCACCAACTCGTCATGCGCCCGCGATATTGACGGCTCAGTTCTCTACTTCAAGAAATCAGCTCCGGAGCCGTTCGTCATACCATCGATTAGGCCTGAGCTCCTATCAGATAAGCAGTACTTTAGTTAATTGAGAGTATACCCCCGTGACAGCATCCCTCGTGTCGCTGTTCTAGCCAGAGGGGCTTTGGGATCCGAACATGGCTACAACCAAATCAGTTCTTGTGGCTGAGAATGATTAGTTCCATCTGAAGGTCATTTTGGCTGCGACTTCCAATACAGATATGTGCATGTCAAATCAAATCTTGTATGAGTCGACGCTCAGTCTCCTCGTTTTTTCATAGACCAGACTCAAGCTTGCCTACATCTTCCAATTCCCAATACCACCAGCGCACGTAATTCTCTTTTCAGTATACAAACATAAGTTTGCGTCGAAGTGGTATCGAGAAAGATCTCTGAGCATTCAATAGACCGTTGCTCAGTGATATACCTCTGCAAAGTCATTCTGGTAGCACACTATGCGTCTAAGTGGTCTCTTTCCAGGTTCTGTCTTCTGATATTGATGTAAAGAACATAGGTCACCTGCAAACCCCCTATAATAATGAAACCCGACGAGCTCACACACTCTTTGAAGTAAAGCTTCATGTATATTGCGACCGATATAGTGTGAAATGGCAAATAGTTAACTGGAGTGATATCCCTCTCCTTGACGGTAGCTCGGATGGCGCAATTATCCGTATAACGTCCAATCACTGTCAAATAGGTTCAATCAACCTGTAGCTATCATAGTGAAGCTTTTATCATTTCCTATTACTTCTCCTTGAACAGATCAAGGCCGTTCAGCAGCTTCACCTACAGTGTCGCTTCTCTCGGGTCCGAGCTCGAGCCGACCAATCCTCTGTTGCATCGACATGATGCTACACCCACTATGCATCGATCCTAGATGTTTGATGCGGCCAAGTAGGAACGCCTTCCTGGTGAGTAGTTGTAGACAGTTGAAGAAAAGAGAAGAAAAACCCCTGCGCTCCCTGCACTCCCTGCATAATTTCTGCAGATCTCCCACGGATCGCTGTAAGGGACGCACGGTCCGGCGCAAAAGGCTGCAAGCAGCTAGACAGAACTGTGTGTAACAGTCGATCACACTATCACATCACAGCACAGGATGCATAGTTGAGTCCCCTCGAGGGGAATGAAAACAACTAGCGGTTGGAATTCAACAACAGAATTCCTTTGCTCAGTGAAGACTTATTTTGCGACATCTTATTACCAAAGTATTACGCACTTCGCGATCAGTAATGCCGATGGTAAGTATCGCATCTTCTAATTACTTGGCAAGTATACACTCTTGACTCATCATCAGGACCTTTCAATTTGGACTTGAACAAGCTAAAACATCAATGCTTGCATCATACACAATTCCTTGGGCTCAAAGACTACAGGGGGAAGCGTCATCTCTGGTAAATCATCACTAATTCATGTGGCTGACCAAAGACCATACAGTATGTTACTAAGAGGAGTGGGCTTCTTGCCTGACTTTCCTAAGCGTGGATCACACACAAGGTAAAAGAAAAGAAAAAAAGGGAAGACAACCCCCCCCCCCCCGCGACTCACTGTTCAAACCCTAAGCCACTCCTACACATCATCATGGTAACCAGAAGCTGCTGTAAATAATTAAGAAGTCCTCGCCCAGTCTCTCTCCATGCTAGCCACAGAGCGGATCAAGTTCGCACTCAGTGTGAGTACAATGGGAGAGATGACGTGCTACTGATGGCCACGCAGAAATGTAAGTTCGGACGCAACGATCGTTTCCTAGCGTAATGATTATTGTTTGCGTTTCTGTTATGCATGAAAGTCTCAGCCCTCAGCAACGCCTGAAAAGATACCGGATTTCTATTCTGCCGGTAGTCGAAAAGCATTCTTCCTGCCGCATGGAGCCTTGAGTTGCCGACTGACTATTCAGGTAGCATCTCCGAAACGAGAACTTACTGTACTACTATGGTTTGTGAGTAGTGGATAGTCGAATCCGGGGTATTGACCCCTGACCAGATCATACACACCGCCCCATCAGGAGACGGACCACAGAAGTTTAAATCTTTATTTCTACCCATGCCAAATCACATGACCGTCTCTTCTATGACAGAGAGGATTGTAATTAGTGCCAGCGAATGGGAAACTGCAGAATTGTAGCTACTTCGGTGATAATTGTCAACACATGTATTGCGGGCACCTTGCTATATCATTTTTAAGCCCTCTGATACTCCAAAAAAATTCTCAGCCTACCTAATTCATTGCCATTACTACTCGAGCAGATACTGAGGATCTACAGTTGACACATGTACTCAACTAGTGACACCATGCGCCTGGCAAAAATGAGATAAAATTGTTCATTGTCTTTGCAAACCCCGAGACTCTTGATGAGACAGGAGAACAAATTGTCTGTCAAATACGTCAAGGAGGTCAGCAAATTCCTGATCCTCTTGTTTATACCAAGATAGGCATGTCCCCACAACAGATTAGGTTCCAGGGACCTCTTTCAATGAATAAAGATTTGTATTGTTGAAGTCTACCTGGGTAATTTCAATCCCAGAGTGACAAGAAATTTAATTCCACAGGTACAATCATCGAAATGGGGTCGCCCTGACGCTGCTCGTGATGCTGATGCATCCTCAAGGATCGCCCCGAAAGGGCGCACGCACGCCACCACCACGACAAGCCACACCAGACAAGGGCGCGCAGGCAGGCGTGGGTCTTCTAGATAAGCATACTATAAAGCAGCATATTGCGCAGGCAAGGGTAAATGCTGCAATAATTAATAAATGCTTGTTCTGAATAACGTTCCTCAATCTTGCACTTTTGCGCTTACCTTGCATCCTCTGACGAACGATTCAGTTATTGGAAGCGTTATCATTCACTACACCATGCCTCAGAAAATCAAGGCTATCCTCTTCGACTTCATGGGCACCTGTCTAGATTGGCACACCAGCATCGCCAACTCCTTACCCGCCTCTATCTCCCCCGATGACCGCTCGAGATTCGCCCTGGAGTGGCGCCAGACTTACTTCGACTACAACGCCGCCCGGCTTGCAGCAGGACAGCCACCTGAGGACATCGACGTCTCGCACCGGCACACGCTGGACGTAATGCTCGCCCGCCCAGAGTGGGCCTCGTGCAAGACCGCCTTCGGAGAAGGAAGTGAAGAAGAAGACGAAAAGGCAGCCAAGAAACGGTGCATCGCGGCATGGCACAACCAGCCCGCCTGGGCAGACGTGAAACCAGCCCTGGAGGCCCTGCGGGCGCGAGGCTACGAGACATTCGTGCACGCCAACGGCACGGTCCGGCTGCAGCTGGACCTGGTGCGGTCTTCGGGCCTGCGGGGCCTATTCGACGTGCTGTTCTCGAGCGAGCTGCTGGGGGTGATCAAGCCTGCGCCTGCGAGCTACGACAAGTGCCTGGACCTGCTGCGCCACAGGCCTGAGGAGTGTGTCATGGTTGCTGCGCATGCGTATGATACGCGGGGTGCGAAGGCGGTGGGGATTCGGACGGTGTATGTGTATCGGTGGACGGATGATATCAAGGAGGATCAGGGGGTTGTGAAGGGGGAGTTTGATGTTTATCTGGATGGAATGGAGGCTTTGATTGAGGCTGTTGAGGGGTTGGATAGGTAGGTGAGGATTTATAGGAACAGGCCATGGCAAGGCAAGGTGTGGTGCGTCTGTGTGCTCAGAACGAGCAGGCCTCTCTTCTTGCACGATGAAAGTCAATGATCATCAACGCCATCAACATTGAAATGAGATCTTAAATTATATTGGCAAAGTCCCGTGCAAATCTATCAATGGTATCTAAGTTTTTACTCCAGACACCTCCCTGGAGAGCCCATCAGTCACAGACCCGCTGGTCGTGCTGGTATTCCATAAATCAAAAAAGAAAAAGAAAAAAAAGAAAAAAAAAAAGCCATCTATCGTCCGTCTATCTTTATTAATCGGTGCCTTGAACACACATCCTGAATGGATGACTGCGGAAGCATCTAGTTTGATCCATAAGGCGCAAAGCGAACCCAATCCGAACCGCGATTTGTAATATCGTTGTGAATCGTTGGTATATAACGTCGATGCCAGCTGAAGAAGGGGGTTACTAAGCCCCGCCGACAGAGATGAATGGTGCCGGTGCCCATTGTTGTTGGTGTTGTTTCTGGTACATGGTCTGCGGTGTCTGGATCCAGAAGAACATCTGCTGTCCCAGGCATGGAACTTTACTGCCGGGCTGGAGGGAATAGCCGAGATCTGGAAGTCATTGTAAGCACTTGTGTCCCTTCTCACTTTTGTGTCCTGTAGTTTCCAGGCTGTCCAAGATCCTTCTCTTGGAATCACATCATGAATCATCTCTCCGGTCCATTGCGATGGATCGCAAGTGTGAGAGGCCATGAGGCGGCATCATCCTTGTGAAGTCGTCTATGACGGTCCGAGAAGCAGTATACTGACTGCTGTGGCGGTGCTCTCAAGCCTTTCCGGGGTACTCTTTGATGATGGGATTGATGGGCCCAGCCAGATCATCCCGTAGAGAGAGCTGCCCCAAAAACTCTCTCAATACGGTGATGAGTCTTGGCTTGTGTGGCTCATCATCTCATTATCAGAGGACCCCTGCCAGCCGGTGTTTTTCTTTCTTTTTGTATCTTCTTTCTCCCTCTAGATTGAAGCAATGACGATGGCTTTACCTGAACTTGTGACCTCCTGCTCTTCGGATTTCTCCACCTCGAGCAGCAGCGTGCTTGTCCTGACCAGCAGCTCCTCGTACACAAGCGTGTACGAGACAGGAAGATCGTCATCCTCAGCCTCGGACCACAGCGCCGGACGCCTGCTGTCGACGTTCTCGCGAACACGGAATTTGAGCCCGACGGTCTTGTGGCGGCTCGTCCATAATATCTGCTCCTTGTCGCCCTCTGCCGCCGCTCCCGACGACACTTTCGCCTTGAGCCACCGCCTGAAGACGCGCACCACACCGTCGTTGACGTTGACATGGCTCAGGAACAGGCCCCTCCTGGGACCTGTCTTGACCAGGTTCGTCACGGCGCACAGCTGGCTAAACATCTCCCCGTCGTCGAGCTGAATGTTTACCGACGCTGTGTGCTCATCGTCCTCCTCGTCCTCATCCTCTTGTTGTGCGGCACTATCAAGCCCACTGCTCGCCCTGGGATACCTCGCCCTTGCCCTGCGGTTCTCCTCCTGCACGACGGGCCGGAAGCGCGAGTAGAGACCACGCAGCTGACCCAGAGTCAGCTGCTTGTCCTCGTCCTCGTCATAGCCGGCCAGACCGTCGGTGCCGAGGTAGTCGCAGTGCAGATAGGGCGTGGAGATCTTGGCGGAGGGGTGGTAGGCCTCGAGGATGAGTTCGTGGTCAGGAAGGCGGGCGGCGTCTGTCAGGCGGGTGTGGATGATGCGCAGGGCCAGGTCGTGGAAGCGGTGGTTGATGAGGGCGAGAGGGAGAAGCTCGAGGGTCGTCATCGGGCTGAGGATCTGGATGAGGATCTATAGATTTCCCCCAATTTCAGTGGTCAGTCAGTCTTGTTGGGGCTGTTTTTTTTTTGTTTTTGTTTTTTTGTTTTTTTATGTAAAGGGAAAAGCTGAGAATGACATACCTCGCTAGGGAGATCGTCAACGTGTTGTGGGACGGAGGCCATCGTGTCCAACATTACCTGGCTGAACTTGATGGAATTTTGCAAAGAGAGTTATAGGCCGTTCCAATATAGATTCAAAGATTACACCAGCGCGCAGTGGGAGCAGGTGTCAAAAGAGTCTTTTGCTTTTGAAAGAAGAAGAACAGACTCTCCGGGGGCGTTTAGATATGAGGGCGCAGCGCTGGTGGTCTTCTCTTGATTTTATATCGGTCTCTTCGCGTTCAAGCCGCCAAAGGCGAGGGTCCTAAGTCTTTGGACTTCTCGGATGGCCGCCCCTGAGGGCGGCGAGGGCCGATAATCTCAGCGTAGCAGTCGATGGCACGGTTGTTTCAGACTCGGCTTTCGGTGATGTCTTGCTATGATTCTGGAGGCTCGAGATACGGATGGTATCGAATAGGATCGGTAGCACAGGCCACGAAAAAAGGGCCTCGAGCCCGTGTGGTGGTGCGATCCGATCCGGGTGGGCAGACAATGGCGTAGGACAGATGCGGTGAGACCGCGTAGCCCAGTAACATAAGCAGGGCGGCACAGAGTATTCCTGATGATAATCTTGTACTTTGTAGCGAGGCGGTGGAGCATATGAGGTGATAAGCTTTTCTGGTCGAGACAATGATGAGAGAATGAGGCTCGGAAGATAAAAAGCGGACTCTCGCGACGCGAAATCCATCACTGATGCTGCGTGGACTTCGATGAGAACGAGGGGGGCCCCTATCCTATCAGACCCCTGCCAGACATCGGTTCAGGCTCGTCCAGTTCCCGCGGGCCAATCTCAAGCTTGTCTCTTCCCTCTCAGCCCTAAAGGTGGATCAACTGTGGCGGTCCAGGTGGAACTGAGTCGGGTATTCTCGACTCGACTGACTATCTTCGTGCATAACTGCAGGGAGAGAAGTACGAAGGGATACAACAAGGCGGCTGCTGGTGATATGTGCTAAATACTAACGTAGGGATCAAAAGATGTATCGAAGAGGTCTCGAGGCTACTTCGACAAGTAAGACAGTTTGACGTTTTTAGCAACAACCAACGATTACTTGAGTCGTTCATCATACCATACTTTTGTCAAACTCGTCATGTCAGCTTTTCTGGTTTGGGTGGGTCATTGCTCAGGCCATCTTATACAATGTACAGCTGGCAAGACTTACATGGCATTTCCCCAATGAGGATCCCGCGTTGTACATACAACGGGTCAGAAAGTCAGACCATGCTCGGGAGAAATCGGGCAATGCTGGAGAGAAAGAAAAAATACGATATAGGAGTTTCCAGCACGAATTTCAACGAAAATAACGATAACCATCAAAGAAGTGAGAGTTCTGACGGACCCACACAGCCTGTAGCAACACGACTTGCCCGTAGGCCATGTCGGGGCGGTTCCGAACGGAGTTCCAGTGCGGATACGCCCCCTTCTTCGCCCCCTTTCCTCGTCTGCATGCTATATATGTGTCATCACGACTCGTAGGTCTAGACCAAAGGTCGTCGCGAGACATGCTCTTCTTAAAATAGAGACAACACATGTTGTAACCATTATTGTAGCGCAAAACGAACGAAACTTATCTGCGAGTCAAATACTACTGACTCTGATGAAAGGGCATTCACAACAATGGACGAAGCCGAGCATACGGAAGAATATCGTCCAATGTTTGGCTCCACCTTTCTTCTTATAGAGCCCCTGGTACATTCGCAAGAACATTCTTGACGACCTCCTTCAGCTCCCTCTCGTTCAGCTCATGCACGCCCAGGAGCTGATTATCATTCACCGCAACGTCCGCTCCAGCGTCCTTCCCAAAGGTAACTCGAAAGATGAAGCCTGCAATCGCCGAAAAGTCGTTATTGCCCTTCGTCATTGCCTCGCCCGACTTCTTGGCGGCATCAAATGTGCTGGCTTCTTCGATCGTCCACTTCTTACCAGGGTTGAGGTCCTGGACGATGGACACCAGCTGCTTCACTGTAGTAAGGGCAGTATATGGTTAGCCCAAGCGCGTCGGCGACGAGGGTAGACAGATGGCCATGACCGCCACCATATCAGGACATGGGAAGGGGGTCATTTACTCACTGGACACTGCAGCCTCTCTCACGTACACCGTACGATTCTTTGTCTCCTCTGGGTTCCGCAGCACACCAACCACAGCCTGGCCGATCGCAGCCAAGCTCGTCATGCCAAACTTGTGCTCGCCCCCATCCCACAACGTCGCCTTTCCCTGGCCGGCGTCTAGCAAAAAGTTGTGCTCCAGACCCCAGTCCAGAAACGCACCGTTCGACACGGTCGTCCAGCTCAGCCTGTTACCACCGCCTTCCTCGTCCCCTCCCGCCAGAGCGCGCAGCCTATTCTCGATCCCGACCTTGCCCACGTAAATAGGCAGGGCGCGCTCCTTGGGCCTCTCCATATCGGGGCCGAAGCCCGACGGGATGAAGCGCCGCACCGTGCTGTCGGGCAGGCTGGACGCGGTGATGAGGGCAATTTCGGCCTGGGCGCCCTGGGCGTTGAGGGTCGACACGACGGCGTCCTGGCCCTTGAGGGCGGATGCGAGGGCGTCGGGGGAGTCGAAGTCTACTACCACCTCGTGCGCGTTGCTGGGGAGGTTGGTGATCTTCCCTGGTGTGCGCACCAGGGCGATCACTTCGAAGCCTGCTTCAACGAGGACAGGCAGTACCGCACTACCGAGGGCACCGTTTGCCTTGATGTTGGTTTCAGTTGACGAGTCCATGTGAGTCTAAGGGAATCATCGCTGTGGACTTACACCTGCGAGAGCGACCTTCTTGATGCTGTACGACATGGTGAGTGAAGGGATGCTGAACAAGGTGATGGGGTGGGTAAGTGTCTGAAAGTTTTGATTCGTAGTGTTATGCTATTCTTCGAGTTCTTCACGTTGATATATTCACATCAAACATGCGCAGGTATGCTTCAGTACATATACATATATATACATCCTCCGCCCTCACACACCGTGGGCAGACAGAAGCCATCAGAATTATCGTACCCTTCAAAAGAGGCACGTCCCTCATCCTCGTCATGTGGAATCATTTGCGTCCAGATAGATCCACAACCTACAAGTTTTATTCTAAGGGCGTACTTAGATGCTCTCAGCTTGCGAAACTACTTGGAAGGACCACGGCACCGCGTAATGCAAATTAGTCAGCCAACACCAAACCATTGATGCGGGTCGGATTGGCGATGCTTTGAAATATGCAAATCGTCGATCGGCTCATACGTACCACCTCGCCTCGGCCTTGGCCCAGTTCCGAAGTCCGCATGATTATGTTGGCTAATCAGATGCTCTCTTTTCTTTCTCTTTTCTTCTTACTTTTTTTTTGGGGGAGGGGGGGGGGGTGTTCAAGTTTGTTCTCACCTCCAAGGAGGTTTGTCTAGGTAAGAAGAGCTAGAGAGTGAGTTAGTAGTCACGGGGGAAATTACTAATCACGATTTAAGATACTATTACCAAAGCAGAGATGGCCCCTTGACTTCACCACGGCCTGTATGCAAACACTTAGACTAAAACTCTAGGTGATCACATCGTGTGTCGAGTAAACAGAATTCGATGAGCTGTCCGCCTAGCATTTTACACATACAACATCTCAACTTGGTAACGATGAAGAATCCTCGCTCATACTCGTCATCAAGCATGATGTCCTCGGCCTATAATGACAACCAACATAATGAAGGGCGTACTACCTGGAGTCTCTATGAAATGGACCAAATTTTACCTCTTGTCCTTAGCAATTTCGACCGTCCCGGGCAAGACAGGCAATTCACTGCTGCACAAGCCTACAGAGCTGTTGCTTTCTCATTGTATGCTGGAGCATGTAAATGTCCGCAGCTTGGAGGAGATCCAAATGCAAAATCAGGCAGGTATTTGTGCATGTCATATTTGATGTTGACCTCACTGCTATGTCTAGCCCATCCAGGAATGCTATTTGGTTCATTTTGAAACCAATTATGTATATAGACATTGGCTCGTCAAGCCTAATTGAGATATCAATATCCGGGTCTATGTAGCACTTAGTTCTGAAAAAAGCACTTAGCATGCTTATGTGCTGCTGTTTTGGCCCTCATCAAAGGCCCTCGGGGACAATGTCTCAGGTTGATGTTCGCTGCTATTTGATATGTACATGAAATGATTTCTGATTTCTTCGGATTGTCTGCTAGATATCGCGCTCTCAATGTATCCCTGAGGCATTGAGACATCGGTGCTTCTGGTCAGGTGCCCCTGGGGTAGTCGTGGATTTGTTCAGGCTGAAAACTGATTGAACGACAAGAACAGCACAGCCACAGATCAAAGCTTACATAGGTATATATTTATATGTATCAGCCTGTCATACTTTACACTGGTGATAGTCCAGAGTACAAGAGGTTCTAGTATACTTTACATTTCTTTCCAGGATGCAAGGTCCTACATTATCACTGTATCTCATACCCGCCAGTGTCACCATGGACAAAGTAGATACAACCCTGTTGGCTACCACCTGTGAGTATATTCAAGATGAAATTGCAATACACTCATTTCCAAAATCCATAACCGTGGAACCGGATGGTTTACTTTGGATGACATCTTCCATCCAACAGCTTAGCAGACACCTGAACCGGCTCAGCAATGTTTGAGCCCTTTTGGAAAAGACCTTCGGAGACACCGAGACATCCATCAGAGCAACCTAGAGAAATCATCGGCTGCGCGCTGGCTAGTCACCCTGTCCTAGAAGTTAAAAGGATATGACCAACCCGCTCTTCGCTGCGGATATGATGATAACCGGTCCTCGACAGTCACCCAAGGGTATCCTACAATGCGATGTGGCTGAGACCTCCGAGTCCGGCATGACCTTTTGATGATCCACGCGGTCGTGTCAGTGCAAAAGACATTTCTGTGTTTCCCGTGGTGTGGCGGGCTCCAGACAGGTCGATCTGTATGCCCAGCCGGGATACGAATGAGCTATCACTGATCACGAGGGATGTGGACCATTGTGTAAGCAATGTCTGACCTCCTGAGATGCAAGTCTGTCTGTCAACAAAAGAGTCAGGGCTGATTGCCCTGGGCACTGTGTAGCATCCAGTCAGAAACTACTCGATGTACGCGTTGACCTGCTGGGAATGGTCCAGCATGATGGCTGTAGTGACGCTGTTAGTGAGAAGTGTATTGATTCAGTTCCTGCAGAATTTGTTGTGCCTACCACCTTGCTGCAGAGTCTGCTTCCAAGGCCTCCGCCTGATAAAAGCATCAACCTGAAGTTATTGCCAAGCCCGCATGGCCTTCCAGACTGGACGGGTCCGATGATTGTTCTGTTACTATTGCCAAATGCCCTTTTCACGGATAAAAACTCGCTTGATCTGACATGAAAGGATCGGCATACCAAGAGCACATCTATTGATAATACCCGTGGACGACAAGACTGCCAAGGGTGAAGGTTTGCACTGGCTTCATTACTCTCCAACTAGTATTGAACTCTGTATTCTATCACGACCCACCGACATGTTACGTAGTATGCACTTGATTATGGGTAAGAAAAGATTTTCTTCTTTTCTTCGTGAGAGTGAGATGGAGAGCGGGTTGAAAAGTTAAAGTTCACGGCCCCTGGCTAGGGATACTTAACTTGAAATGGGGTAAACTTGGCTGACCCATCGCCTCTCACGCCCTGACAAGTACCTTTGCATACTATCATTACCTACTACCTTGGCAAGGGGGATGAAAAAGAAAGGTATGGTAAAACTGTGCATGAAGGAGCCAAAGCCTCTTTTCGTCAAGGTTCAGTCAGCATGCCACGTGTTTGCCCGCCCCCCTTGTTTCTCTGTCAATAATTCCGGCACGGAAAGAATCCGCATGTAAGTAGGTCCCTGTTGATCTAGCCGCTTACAACTCTATACAGTACCTAATTATGCACATTACAGTGATTAGATTAATCCAGGGGACATGTAAGCACTAACAGTGCCGTCCTAAGCCGGATAGATGCTGGTCAGGTTTCTTAGGGCCACGGCAAGGACGAATACGAGTGCATTTGCAAGGAGATTGGTGACTTTGCCTCTGACAACAGACATGAGAGATGGAAAGAGGCTTCTGGTCTTTGTTTCGAAATATTTATGCTTCATTAAATTGTATTGGTTTTTTCGGTGGTATTTTTTCTTAGTCTCTTTCTTCTGGTTGTAACCTGTTTTTCCTTCTTCGTCCTTCTGTCACGGTAGGTAGGTGTCAATGTCTAAATCATGCATGCCAACCAAAGATTCATCCATTCACACTTTCTCAAGTCGTAAATTGTAGCACCTTCGTGCAAGATATTTCCCCGTACATGTAATCATGCATACATAGATTTACATCGAAGGAATCATGACCCCCTCAAAAAAGTTACAGAGCAATGGCGGCACCCAGGACACCGGCGAAGACGGCGCCCACAAGACCAACCTCACGGATGGCCGCGCCAGCCGTGGCCACGGCCGTGGCTGAAGAGGACGACGAGGTCTTGGAGCTGCTGGAGGAAGAAGAAGAGGAGGAGGTGGTGGCAGCGGCGGCGGTGGTCTTGGAGGAGCTGCTACCGGTCTCGCTGCTGCTGCCGGAATCCCCGGTGGCGGACGCGGTGGCAGATGCCACGGCGCCGTCCGAGGTGCACACGGGCAAGGAAGAGGCGTCGCCGGCGAGCTCGGTGCACTCCGCAATAGCGGAGCTGATCTCAGAGCTGTGGGCATCGTACCAGGAGAGGACCTCGGACGAGTAGACGCTGTAGTCGGAGGACAGCGAGGAGGGGACGCTGAAGCTGCACTCGTCGGTGACGTAGGCAGTGTAGGCCCACGACTCGAGGTCGGCGGCCGGGGTGGGGAGGTCCGTGACCATGGACAGGATGGCCTCGGTGGCGGACGCACAGCCGGGGTCGGCCGTTGCCGTGTCGTAGTCGGTGTAGTAGTCGTAGTCAGAGTCGGTCTGGCGGGCCTCGACACGGCGGATGGCGCGCTCGGGATAAGGAATCTCCAAGGCCTGCATGTTGGCAGACACGGAGGTGGCGGCGGCGAGAGTCGCCAGCAGGATGCTTGAGGAGTACATCTTTGGTCCTTGGGGGGTTTGATGGAAAAAGGGAGGTGAGAGTTGTTTGAAGTGGGAAGAGGTCACGATGGTGATATGAGGTTATCTCGAGAGATCAGGGGTCGACCAAACGCGGACAGGAGTGAAGACTTGACTGGTGTGTAGAGACCAAAGAGAGAGAGAGAGAGAGGGACAGCCTCCTCAAGGACGGAAGAGGAGAGGCAGAGATAGTCAGTATTTAAATCTTTCACGAGAGCAAACAAAAATAAGAAAGAAATTAAGGTTGGCGCTGAGCTCTATCCTGTAGAGCCACATCCTGCCCAAGATACCAAGCTAGGATGGCCAAACATCCCATCCGGTATGATGCTAGGCAAGATGGGTGGCTGCTCCGCCAAGAAGAAACCAGCGGCTCATTTCACCAAGGCTAAAAGCAGCATAGCCGCACCCCGCCGAACGCAGGACTGACCCAGGCCTGGAGGGCTTGCCCAGTGTGTCTGGGTAGCTAACATCCCATAATAGGGGCACACCGGGCACGCACGCATTATGAAGGATTGGCTAGTGGCCAACGAGAGATTGGCCAGCTAGAAATGGGCTTCAATGCGACTTCCGGCTCCTAGGGGCCGCCTCCCGCCCTCAGAATATGTCAGGGCTGAAGCCTGAGCTGACAAACCGAGGCCATATTAGCCAATTAGAAAGACGAACAAAAGAGAAAATAAGACCAAAAAGGTGATATACTAAGTACGTAGTACAAACATAATATTACCCGCCACTGCCTCTGGAGCTGTCTTGGGGATCGTCGAGCTGCTAGGAAGAACCAAGAGAACTCCTGTTCAGCTCCATCTGAGGCAGCAGCGCACCCTGTGGTCATTGGCTGGCAGCCGCACGAAGGATCGGTCTGGGATATACGGGTCCTCGGCTCTCAGCCTCAACCCAGCTGGGCAATTCCTGAATAAAGGAGTAGAGAAGGAGAAACCCAGCCTGAGTTATTCGCGATTAGCATGGCACTGTACCATTAGAAGAGCCAAGATGATAGCAGTGTCTTCTTGGTACATGGTAAGATTAAACTTAAGGTTAGCCTTCAGCCTCTTCGGCTCGCTCTCGCAAAGATCAATAAAGAAAAACAGAGACATACCCATAATAGTAAGATTGATGGTGTGGGCGACACCTAGGCACAGGTCATCGTACCCACCCGCCTAGGCAGCAGCTCGTGACTCTTGTCTCGTTTGCGTGCGGTGATGGGTACGGACTACAACAGTGACCAATCTCCACCGCTGGCTGCCACGATCACCACAGTTGGCGAGTCATGCTGACGAGCAGTGGGGCGGACGCCTTTCTAAAGACAACAGTGGACGGCCCAGCAGCCGCTGGGAAGACAAAGCGCAATGTGCACTGCTGTGCCGCGGGGCGAGGAATCGCGAAGACAAGCAGGGAGCTGGGCAGGGAGGCCGGTTGGGTGGATAAAGGAACGAATGAAGGAGGAGAGGAGGACAGGGCCTTTTTGTCTGGAGAGTTTGGGGCTTGGAGCCCAGCTTCCATAGTCTCGGTAAAGGTCTAATCCAGAAAAGGGCTAGTAGATATGTGCTGTGAGGTAGCCAACCGACTTGCTCCTGCCGTTTTTGCTGCTGCTGCTGCTGCTGCCATTCCTAAGCAGTTGGTGGTGCAAAAACCATGACACTCACTCTCACACATCATGTCTCTCATCTTACATTCATTCCATTACACATTCCAACAAAACATCAAAAGTTGACAATCAGATGAACAGCAAAATGATCGAGCCCGGGATCGAACCGGGGACCTTGTCGGAAGAAGTCCACATGAGATTGTGAACGACACGTGATAACCACTACACCACTCGACCATGTGCACTGAGCTCATTATGCAATTCGGCAGTCCAACTCATACTATATTCAACTTGTTAGTAGCGAGTACTTTTAACGGTGCCAAGGGTCGATACTGCTATCTTGGACAATTCCAAATCGCGATCATGATCAAATCAAGTTCTTGAGCTTTCCTTCACTTTCAACACTCATCTCGTAGGGGCTGGCTGTGTCCCGCACGCAGTAGGCGGTTTTGCTAACTATTTCCAGGTGTACTAATGGTTGTGGGCGCAGCTGGTGTTGTAATACAGAGAGGACAATTTAGGCCCATTGGTCGGAATCGGAGGGCAGATGCACTATAGGCAACACTTGGTGGTACTTGGCAGCAGCCATCGACCCCTGGTGAGGAGTGGGATCAAGGTTGAGTCAGCCTGCAATATGCCTTCCAGCTAGACTTGAGGCTTTGAAAAAGCCACATAGTTTGTCCTAAGCCAGGGATGGCCACTTCTACGCCTTTCAGCTCTCAACCTTAGCTAGCCTTGCCTTTTCTCCTCTTCCTCTTTTTCACCACACGTACATTCTCCCAATTAACTGCTCAATTAGTCATTCCGGCATCTGTGGGAGTTCCTTGTGGTGTGACCCTTGCATACCTGATAGGCCTCAAGGAAAATCGACCAGCAAATAGCAGAGCGCCCGATTCTGAACCTTATGCAACCTGAACAGTGAATTTTCCACACCGCGTGCCTATGGACTGGAACTAGTCTTACGAGAAGTATTGAGCAGACTGGGACTTGCCTCCAGGGCTGGCGTGGCGTCTGTGAAGTAACCAATGAATACATCATACCGATTTTGTGTGTGGGCAAAAAGATTGCATTGCTGAGCGCTGAAGAGAAAAGAGAAAGGAAGAGAAACGCCACGAGGCCAGCTATCTGGGGCTATAAACAGGTCTGGCTGTTGGCTGGCTGGAGGGGCCGTGCACGGCCCTGGGCCAGTGACTCACTGGCCCTCGCACAGATTTCGCAGTGAGGCCGCCACTGCCAACGTGCTTGGTGGTCAATAAACGCTCCTCAGACCGCGTCCATTTCATCAACATGAAAGCCCCAAAGGAGGTCAATTCACCAGACTCAGACTCCTTTCCACGTGCTGTTGTATTATGGGCAGCAGGACCGTTCTATCAGGGCGGGAGAGATTTGGTTTCTTCACTGCACATCAGGCGGCACATTGATCGGCTTCTATACTACTATACAGCGCGACAAGGCCGTCGTCCCATCATCAGGTTTACAGCAGTAAGAGTCTTGTACTCAAGTATGCTTTGGCGCCTGGAGTTTGTTTGTACTAAAGCCTCAAAAGATCTCCAATGTAGCTTATAAAACTGAAACACGCGGGTTTCTCATCGTTTCTTTTGTTCGGCCGCGCTTAATGCCTGTATTTGGGAAGGCGCATGGATATGATGAGGAGGTCTCACTGTCCGTCAAGCTCAGCTTGTGCCTCTCATATTGACGGCTAAAAGACACAGAGAACGGTACCATTACTCTCCTTTGCCGCCGGACACAATCCGGCTCTTGTACCTCCGTCCCGACTCAAAAGACGAGAGCATCTCCTACAGCCTGGTTCATCCAATCCATGACCTACCCGAGTTCAAGGCTCTTTCCTACACCTGGGGTAAGCCAGGCAAATCTATTCCGGTTGCTTGCGATGGCCTCTCGTTGTCCATCCAGCCCAACGCTTGGTATGCTCTTGCACAGCTCCGCTCGAGCGAGATAGTAAGACTGCTTTGGGTAGATGCTGTCTGTATAAACCAGAAGGATGTCCAAGAAAAGTCGACTCAACTGCAGCTGATGGGATGCATATACCCAGAGGCGGCGAGAGTACCGTTTTGGCTGGAGAACGGGATACCCGAATTCAACCTTGCTTTTGACTTGGTGCGCTCCCGTTCAAGTTACTGAGAAGCCGTTTCAGCCCTCTGCTGCAGATTCTGCAGCGTTTTAACTTCTCTGATTCAAGGCGCTATATCAACAGAGCATATTGGAAGAAAGCAACTACGTGACATTCCTTAATTCAAATTGAACTCCTTCAATAAATGGCCTCGATCCGGCCCCCTTATATTCTTTTCTACTTTCCCTTCTTTAAAGCTCTCGGAAAGAGGGGATAAGGCAAGACGGAGATCTGGATGGAGAGAGAAGAGCAAGTGTTGAAAAGAAAGAAAGAAAAAGGGGTTGCTTGCTTTCCAATGTTTAGGCTGATGACAAATTGTTTTGCTCATGAACCAAGCTTCGGATTAAGCTAATCAGTACATCAGCTACTTCATGCCTTTTTGGCATAACCTTACAGACTTAGTATAGCTGCCCGTATACGATGAGCTAAATGCTTGTGTTTCCTAGATGAAGCTAATCTTGTGTAAACCTTGAAGCAAACACTCTGTCATCCTACAATGTCTTTACTTCGTCTAGATGTAAAGACTTTGGACGTAGAAGACTACTGTCCCGGGACGATGACTGAGATTTCCCTCTCAACATAGATCTGTGGTAGAAAACAAAATTTCACAATCCTGCGATACTAAAGACAGCAATATCCGTGTGATCAGAAGTCTTTGCTATAGTCAAGAGCAGTGAAACGTACAGAGAAAGAAGAGCAGAGAACAGATTTCACCCTCAAGTTTTCGACTACTGCCTGTGATGCAGGTATACATCATGGGAAGGCATCCAGAACAGGCCATTACGCCCTCGCTGAAACCAAAGTATCGACCCCCTTCCCAGCCTTCCCAGAGCCCATCTTTTCTCTAGAATTTTCCTATTTGCCGAAATAGTTATGATTTCATGTGTAATCATGAATGAAGAACTCGTCAAGAGAGGAAACAAAGAAATCCGATTGTCCGCCCTCGTTGCCCTTCCTGTTCTTGTTCCCTTTACCTCTTGGCTGGGAGTGCCTGATCAAGACATGACAGCACCTGGCAGAGAGCGTATTAGCTATATTGTTTCTTTCAATTCATGTTTGGGTCATTATGGCCTGCGCGCCGACTTACATCACTGCCCAGTGCGCCCTGATTTCCTAGGTATCTGGCCATACCCCTCACCAGCTCAATCTGCTCGTCCACCGTCAGCCCCGTGATGGCGGTCTCGATGACCCCACCTAGCGAGACCTTGTATGTCGCAATGAACGAGTGGTAGTACAGGAAGGTGAAGAACCCCATGATGAACTGGCAGTCCATACGGTCCGTCATGCCACCATGGCCGGGGATCGAGTGGCCAAAGTCCTTGATTTTAAAGGTCCGCTTGAGACCCGAGGCGAAGAATCCGCCAAACGGAGCGATGAGAGACGCAAACGTTGCAAAGATTATGGTGTGGATTTGCATCGGCTCTATCGTGACGCTGAAGTGCGTATTGGCCGGCAGAAAGACGAAGTCAGGAAGTTCGTAGGTGTAAGGAAGGAACACCGGGTTCGGATTACACTGTAGGCCGGTAAAGACGTTCGCGCCGAAATCCTAAAAGAGAAGAACATTCAGCCACTGGCCTCGACAGAGTCTCCCCAAGATTTTATCAGCTTACCGTCACTGGACAGATGAAATAACCGCTGCGCATCATCAGCTTCGTCAGGCCATAGCCGAAGATGATGGTCATCACCCAGGCGCCCACGAAGCCTTCCACTGTCTTCTTGGGCGACAGTTTAATAAGCTGTGTGCGGCCGAAAGTGATACCACAGATGTACGCGAAGATGTCGTTTGTAATGACGAGAGCGGCGGGCAAGAAGAACCATATCAGTCCTTCGAAGATGTTGTTCATAATGAAGTGCGCCTGCACCACAATGATCAGGAGCGCCATGTGCGTCCAGGCGAACTGCGTGAACTGGAACTTGAGGTGGCCCGCCTTCAGGGATGCGACGAAGAAGACAAACCCTGCAACATCAAATGTCAGTCTCCCGCGGACTCGCATACAGCTGTGCGACTACAAACGCTAGGCGAGCAAGGCACCTGCCGGTGACAGCGGACGGACGTACCAATGATGTAGAGCATGAAGCTAATGAAGCGGTGGTGTGTGGCCAGAGGTAGTAGCATCTTGTCCACCAGGACCACATGCTTGAAGTAGTATATCACACTCTCTCCATAGAGGAAGTACATGGTGGTGGCCAGCCAATACCAGTTCAGACTCTTGGTGGATCGGAGCTGTCGGGCTTTCGTGGGGACGCTTGCGATGGCGATGACCTCCTTGAATGAGATAACCTGGACGACGGTGATGATGAGGATGATGTAGATGTGGCCCATGAAGAGGGCGGCGAAGAAGCCCCCAATCATGATCAGGGTCCATATTCCTCGGGTGATGAAGTTTGCCTTCTTTTTCTCGTACTCGGTCTGTTGCGTCTCGCCTGCGTCTTTCTGCGGGAAGAGGGAATGTCTCGTTAACATGTGTCTTTCTTCAAGGTCCCAGCGCTTAAAGTCCCCCGAGAGGGCTGGTGGCTTCTCACCTCTGCGATGTCTTTCATCTGAGGCGACATCCTCGTTCTCGTGGGAGAGCCGTCCTCGCTCGCTTCCGAGAAGCTGGTGCGACGACCATCCAGGCTGCCATTGCCCTTCTTATGGGAAAATTTGACGCCTCTACGTCCGTTCCCCATCTTGAAATTGTCTTTGCTCGAAGCTGAGACTTGCGCGACTGGTTGTTGGCCTCTTTGTCCTTGCGCCCAGGTGGTAAGTTCGAGAGGTTAAATTTGGGCTGGAGGAATGCGGAGTCGTCGGAAGGGGTGGAGGGTTCGGTGGTCTGCTCAAGATGACATTGCTCGGAAGAAAAGAGGAATGAAGAATTACGCGAAGCTGATAAATTCCAAGTTGGATTCCTTCTGTGATCGTGTGTAATAGCAGGAGCAGCGCGCGTTCTGTTCTTGTCGTCACAGTGACTGGTGGGTTGGATTGAAATCAAGAGAATGCAGTTGGGCCGCGCTCGTAGGCTTAGTTGCAAAAGCATGTTCAGAGAGAAGTGGAGTCTTGCAAATTGGGGCTTGTCAGCTACGTCACGTCCCTAAAACCTTAGCATACAGAGGCAGCAACTAACCCTAGTAACCTTTGCAAAAAAAAACCAACCAAAAAAACAATTATAAGTCATCGGTCAGAAAGCACTTTGGCACAGTTGTTTTCGGTGTAATGCAAGTGTTATATATTCACATATATATGTGTGTATGTGTGTATATATCTTATTTTTCTATTTATTGAAAGAAAGAAAAAACCCCCCAAAAACCATCAGGTTTCTGCTCTTTTGGATTTGGGTATCTCGCAGCTCCTATGACATATCTGCCTTGAGGAACATAGAAACATGGAGGTTCAGGGACATTTATGCCTCTAAAACTCCGGGAACCTCGGAGCAAATTGTCAGCAGATACTTCAGATATTGCTCCAACCTTGGTGGCAGCCTCCATCCTGCCTTTAATCAGTCTGCCTACCTGCATCTGTAAACAGAGGGCCAAAGTGGATGACTAGAAAGAACTCCTGGAAGCTACCAGGTAATGGGGTGAACCAGAAGTTTCACCAATGTCTACCTCAAGTGACTCTTTTAGGATCTCCCTGCCATCCAGGGCGTGTAAAGTAAAGAGCTTGGCAGGCCTAGCAAGCCCCAGCTCCCCATTTTTGCAGAGCTTGCAGGGCCTCCAAGCTAGGCGGCACACCAGGCTCCAGGGTGCTAAGGTTCACATGTGAATGTGGCACTGCACCTTGTCACCCGCACCTTATCACCCTGATAAGGAATCGTGGCTTGAGTTGTCTCTGCATTCTCAAGGCTTTGGGATGTTTCGTTTTGCTCCGTCCCAATCTTTTGGCTTTTGACTTTCAGCAACCTCCCTCCCATCAAGCAATACCTGACAACAACATTTTGCCGTTGATCCCAAGCATGCTCCTGGGTCGCTGCTCTTCTATGTCAGGATCTCTCTTGTGTTTGTTGGTATCGGCAACTTCTGGATGCCAACCTTCTTGATTCTCTTTACGCGTCTTGCTCACGGCTTCCTTGTTCGCAATCTGGCCGAGCAAGCACCTTAGTAACGACAACACTTCACATCTCACACACTTCGGGCTTTCGTTCTTGACCTGTCAAATACAAGGATCATGTCTCCAAATGGTCCCAGGTCCTTACATGCCCAGCGGCCATCAAGCCCTCCTCCCCCACCACCAGCTGATGATGGTCCGAAGGGTCCCAGCCCTGGCAACATTGCGCTGTCAAACCAGTACAGATTTGAGCAGAACATCCGCCGGTTGCAAAAGGAATGTGGATGTGATCCGGCCAGAGAGGACTCATATAGGATTCAAGGTGTTCAGCTGATCGATTCCGTCCGCCAGGCTCTGCGCCTGTACGTACTTGGCTCCCAACCACTGTTCCTGCTGGTGTTTTCGTCTACCGTCAAATTGTTTTCGAGACTGACCCTTGGTTGCTAGGCCCGTTAAGACCTTCACGACTGCTTGCACGTACTATCACCTTTTTCGCCTCTGTCACCGCGACGCAGAGTACAACTACCAAGATGCCTCCCTTGCCGCCCTATTTATGGCATGCAAGGTGGAGGACACGATCAAGAAGTCGAAGGAAATTCTCTGCGCAGCCAACAATATTAAAAACCCAGACCATCCTGCATCCCAAGACGATAAGGTGCGCTGATGTTTGTTGCTGCGAGAGATCTGAGTGTCACAAATGTTGATCGATTTTGCACAGTCCTTCGAAAGCCCGCACAAGATTCTCATCGGTCTGGAGCGGCACATCCTCGAAACCATCGGCTTCGATTTCCGAGCTCGTTATCCACAAAAAGTTCTAGTTAAGATGGTGCGCTACGTGTATCACCCCGATGTTGCTCGAGAAGTCATTCCCATGGCCTACGATATATCGATCGACATGTACAAGACATTTGCGCCCATCAAGGCCTCGACCTTCACCATGGTGCTGGCCATCATCGAGCTGGCGGGCCTTCTGAACGGCCGGGACGTTGCCAAGATACGCTCTCTCGATCTTGACAAATACCATACCAACCGTACCAGCATCCTAGAAGTGATGCTGGATCTGTTGGATTTATATACCCAGTTCAGCAAGTACACCGACGTCGGCATGAGATTTGAGCTGTCCAAGTTCATCGACATCAAGATCAAGCTCAATCAGGAGCTCGAAAAGGACGGGTCTTCACTGCGCCGTTTTGACATCTGGTGTGAGAGGTGCGACGATGACGAGAAGATCAAGTACCCCATCACGCCGGGCTCTGCCACGTCTCCTGCGATTTCGGGATCATGGCCCGGTGGAAAGCTGTCCAAATCGGGAGAAGAGACACCAACAATGCGCTTTGTGTACGACGTGGAAGAGGCAAGGAGGGAGAGGGACACCAACAATGAGTATATCAAGGAGGAATACGAGGATTACGAGATCGAGGTGGAAGAGAAGATACCAGAACCAGAGCCGCGCCAGCAGCATCATGGTCGTGATCGTGGTCGCCATGGGCCACGCAACCATCACGATTCTAATTGGAACCCATATCCGAGAAACCGTCATGACCGGCATCACAAGGGGGGCCGGAAAGGTGGATACTATTGATGCATGGATGGACAGCGGCGCCTCTCTCGGCAAGTCCAACAGGTGAATGCATGGCAGCATGGAAGCGGATGATCTTGGCGGCAGCATTCTTTCTGATACCTCAGCGGCTCTCGCGCACAGATTCTTGCTGATACGGGGTCTATCAGATCTGACTGAGCTCACAGCCTCTCAGGTTGCGCCGCGCAAAGGAGGGCTTTTCTTGGGATGGCTGCGAGATTGACAGCTTCCTTTGCCGATCATACGAACCATGGTTTCCTCAGTGGGGAAAACCAAAGAAGAAGAACAAGAGAAAGGAAGAGAGAAAAAAGAAACACGGACGGAGCCGTTGACTTTCCGTATGGTAATATGATGGATGGTCACGCCGTTCACACAGCAACCACGGATGATAGTTTACACGACTGGATGCAGTCTCGGGGGTTCATTAGGAGACCGAGGTCACACACACACACACACACACACAACAATCCCTTCTGCGGCCCACTATGATGTGAAAGTTTACTATCACAATTGTGGTTACGAGGTACCACTGTGTACTATGCTATGAAGAGTAAAATTGGGTACCCTGGTCAGGTTCTGTGGAGCTTTATTCGCTGCGAGCCCCTGGTAGTTGAATGGACGGATACCATCGAGAGGGTACAACAGCACACAAGACGCATGGGCCACGAAGGACGCGACTGGGGTGACCTTTTTTTTTTTCAGTACGAAACTATAGTACAAGCATAATGCGATCCAGTATGTTGTCGGTAACAATTGACCCAGAGCTGAGGGGGGGGGAAGGGAGGTTGGACGACTCGGTCACTGGTCAATCCGCTTCAATGCTGGACCCGCCTCTGTTCTGTGCAAAGAGGTTTGTCCTGTTCGGCGAACCGGAGATAATCCGGTGCCTGGATGACTGGCAGTGTTGCAGGACGCGACCCACCCGGAGAACATTCCCTAGGCATATTGGTCCGGATCGGCAAGTCTGTTCCCCGCAAATCTACCCCAGGTTTTCCAGGCCACCGGACCTTGCTTGCCCCAGCGGAGTCACCCCCATTAGGCACTCGAGTTGCACACTGTCGGAGTCAGCAGATAGAATCTATTGGAATCATTGCCCGAATGGGATAATGCCGCTCAATAGCACGCGTCCCGTGTCCTCTCACCGTTACTTGTTGACCATGTCCACCATTGTCCCCTCAGAAGGCCCGATTCTCCTTTACCTCGGGTTAGCTAGCAGCTTGCCTTCGCAAAGCTGGGGCTATTCGGATGAGGAGAACTTGGGGAAGGGATCTCTTCAATCCCTCACGCAAGCTTGGCTAAGATGACAATTGCTGCGGGATAGTGCACCCATCAAAATTTTCGACGGAACCAACCCTCGATGCGGAGTTTCGTGAGGGCGTGGTGGTATTATGACGAGGGAGACACGAGTATAGGCGAGCTCAGCGGCACGGTGCTATCATGTCCACCCTCCAGCTGAACAGTGATCGGCAACAATAAAGGCACCGGTTCGTGCCCGCCATCTTTGTCCATTCGACGGGAATATATGTGATCGCCCTCTCTCTTGTAGTCGTAGATCACAGGTCTTCGAGTCCCTGACCTTGCCCTGGTATTGTCTTGTCTCGTCTTCCCTTTTTGTCGGTCAGAACAATGACGGCCACTGTGCTGTACGGCCTTTTGGGGCTGCTCGCCAGCCAGGCGGTGGTGGCCCAGTCGGGTGTGATCACGAACGACTCGTACTTCTATGGAGAGTCACCACCCTTTTACCCGTCGCCCAATGCTACAGGCACAGGAAACTGGGCGGCGGCGTACGAGAAGGCGAGGGCCTTGGTCGGGCAGATGACACTTGAGGAGAAGGTAAGGAAATAATGACACAACCATGAACACACAACTTTGTCTCTGTCTACACACAAGTGGGCTAACAATGTCCTTTCTTCCCCTCAATCAGGTCAACCTCACAGGTGGCAGCTCGGAGAGCGCCAACGGCTGCTCCGGCACCATCACCTCCATCCCACGGCTCAACTTCCCAGGCCTCTGTCTCTCAGACGCAGGCAACGGCCTCCGCTCAACAGACTACGTCACCTCGTGGGCGTCAGGATGGTCCGTGGGCGCGTCCTTTAACCGGGACCTCGCGCACCAGCGCGCCGTGGGCATGGCGGGCGAGTTCCGCAAGAAGGGCACCAACATCGCGCTGGGCCCTGTGGTCGGGCCCCTGGGCCGAATCGCAGAGAATGGCCGCAACTGGGAAGGATTTTCGAACGATCCTTATCTTTGTGGCGCGCTGGCGTATGAGACGGTGCAGGGTATGCAGAGCGTCGGGGTCATTACGAGCTTGAAGCACTATATTGCTTATGAGCAGGAGACGAACCGAGTCCCTGAGGGAGACGTGTCGAGTGTGAGCTCGAACCTGGACGATAAGACTTTGCACGAGCTGTACCTCTGGTGAGTACCTTTAGCCGTCCATAAACCCCCCTCCCCCCCCCCCCCTTTTTTTTTTTCTTCAGGCAAAACCACCAAGTGGGTCGAAACTGACAGGTTGTCCGCCGACAAAAAGGCCCTTCCAAGACGCGGTCCATGCAGGATCAGGCAACATCATGTGCTCGTATAACCGTATCAACGGCTCCTGGGCCTGCCAGAACAGCTGGACTCTCAACAACATCCTCAAGACGGAGCTCGGCTTCCAGGGTTTTGTGGTGTCGGACTGGACAGCGCAGCACTCGGGCGTGGCCAGCGCCAACGCGGGTCTCGACATGACCATGCCCGTTGGCTCCACGTATTGGGGCGACAACCTGGTGGAGTCGGTCAACAATGGTTCGGTCAGCGCCGCGAGGCTCGATGATATGGTGACGAGGATCGTGGCCGCGTGGTACCAGATGGGACAGGACTCGGGCGACTATCCCGCGCCCGGCGTCGGCATTCCGCGCGACCTAACCGCACCGCACGAGAAGGTCATCGGCTGGAATGCGAGCTTCAAGAACGTGACCTACCAGGGCGCGCTCGAGGGCCACGTCCTGGTCAAGAACGTCAACAACACCCTGCCGCTCCAATCGCCCCAGCTCATCTCCCTGTACGGCTATTCAGCCAAGACGCCCGACTCATACTACCCTGGAAACGCGGGGTGGAACGGCGGCGCTTACCCGCTGGCCGCCAACGACACCTGGACCGTATATACGGACAATGACACCGTGTCGACGGTGTATGGCTCGGGCATCGCAATCAACGGCACCATCGTGTCTGGCGGTGGATCTGGGGCCAACCAGCCGGCCTATATCTCGTCGCCGTTCGAAGCGCTTAGCGTCCGCGCGCAAAATGACCTGACGGGGCTGTATTGGGATTTCGAGAGTACCAACCCCGAGGTCGACGGCAGCTCTGATGCCTGCATCGTCGACGTCAACGCGTTCGCCTCGGAGGGCTGGGACAGGCCTAACCTGCATGATGACTACACCGACAGCATCATCCTCAACGTGGCCGCCAACTGTGCCAACACCATCGTCATCTTCCAGAACGCCGGCGCCAGGCTGGTGGACACCTTCATTGACCACCCGAACGTGACGGCCCTGATCTTTGCGCACGTGCCCGGCCAGGACAGCGGCAAGGCTCTCGTCTCGCTGCTGTACGGCGACGAGAACTTCAGCGGCAAGTTGCCGTACTCGCTGCCCAAGAACGAAAGCGACTACAGCGATCTGGCGGGTCCCGCGCAGCCCGAGGGCGAGTTCGCGCTGTACCCCCAAGCGAACTTCACCGAGGGCGTGTACATAGACTACCGGGCATTTGATGCTAAGAACATCACGCCCAGGTACGAGTTTGGGTTCGGCCTGAGCTACACCACGTTCGCCTTCTCTGGGCTGAGCATCGCCAAGGGGAACGCCTCCACGGCATCGTATCCGACGGGAGAAATCCTGGAGGGCGGCCAGGTGGACCTGTGGGACGTCGTCGCCACCGTCAGCGCGACGGTGACCAACACTGGTTCGGTGGATGGCGCCGAGGTCGCCCAACTGTATGTGGGCATTCCTGGCGGCCCAGTCAGACAGCTGCGCGGGTTCGAGAAGCCTGTCCTCGCCGCGGGAGCGAGTGCGAGTGTTTCTTTCCCGTTGACGAGGAAGGATCTGAGCACATGGGATGTAGTGGCGCAGAAGTGGTTGTTGCAGGAGGGAGACTATCCCTTGTATGTGGGCAGCAGCAGTAGGGACCTGCCGCTGACGGGTACGCTCACGATCTGAGGCCGGCGATGATGACCGACGGCAGCATTGATGCTCGAGCGTTTCATTTATAGTTATAGCTATGAGATATAAGCAACATAATCGATCTAATTGTGGCTCAGTGCTCATGGATCCTTCTCGAACAATGCTCATCGTGGTAAGCCACAGCCCTCGCAATTCGTCTCATTCCGACGTGCACTCGAACCTCGAAAGATTCCACTGTCATGTATGCATGCTCCTGGTCATCCTGTTGAAGCTGTCAAGAGGTTAGTAAATCTTCCGCTTTGCATAGTTGGGCACGTCAACTTGAGAAAGCTGGTCAGGCTCTCAGAATTTTGCAAGTGGAATCATTGATTATCATTCCCGTCTTGAAACATGTTTTTTGGTTGCAATCATCATATACTGTCCGTAGGAGAAAAGGGTAAGGGAGACTGTATGGAGGGAATATTCACACACCTGGTTAGTAAAGACTTTTGATTTCGTGGTGGTTACGTTGTGTCTGTTGAGGATGAAGAATTGTTTTCTGAAGCCCAAGCCTGCCAGAGTTTTGACAGTGGGTGCGAGTTGCATTATGTAAACATTGTTGAAGCTGCAGGGGTATGTGGTCCGAGAGAAGGACCCCCTACCTTTGTCATGTGCCAGCAGGGGCCTGAGCTGTTGGACCCGTGACAAGGCGGCAGCGGGTGATGATGACGAGTTTCAAGGTTGGCTCTCCAGACATTTCTCCGTCCTTCCTCCTGCATCTCACATTGTAACGACGAATGAACAGCTGCAGTCTCTGCCATATTCATCCAAGCCCGCAACAATGGTATTGTCTAGGAACGTTCTGACCATCGGGTCGTTACTGGCCTCGTCCGTTGCTTTACCCAACCCGCAGCAACATCGAAACGATGACGATGATAATGACACTCCATTGCCCCTGATCATCTGGCATGGTAAGCAGGAATAGTCCCAGCATCTCCCCCCCCCCCCCCTTCTCCTTCATACCTAACACATGCCATCCCCAACTAGGTCTCGGCGACTCCTACGGCAATGAAGGTCTCCAGTCTGTGGCCGCTCTTGCCCAAGCCGTCAACCCGGGCACCCTTGTGCACATCGTCAGCCAGGGCGCCGACCCAAACGCCGACCAGCGCGCGACCTTCTGGGGCGACGTGAACGACCAGATCGACAAGCTCTGTGCCGATATCGCCGCAAACCCCATCATCAGCACCGCGCCTGCAGTCGACGCTCTGGGCTTCAGCCAGGGCGGACAGTTCCTGCGCGGCTGGGTCGAGCGCTGCAACTCGCCTCCAGTGCGGAACTTGGTGACCTTTGGCTCGCAGCACAATGGCATCACCGAGTTCAGCGAGTGTGCGCCGACCAACTTCCTGTGCAGAGGCGCCATGGCCTTGCTGAGGGGCAACGTCTGGGGCAATTACGTACAGACCAACCTCGTGCCCGCGCAGTACTTCCGACCACCGACGGACTACGATAACTACCTGGAGAATTCCAATTTCTTGGCGGATATCAACAACGAGAGGGAGGAGAAGAGTCTCGAATATAAGAAGCAGCTCACGAAGCTGGAGAACTTTGTCATGTACATGTTCGAGGACGACACCACAGTAATTCCCAAGGAGACGAGCTGGTGGGCCGAGGTCAACGGGACGGAGGTCACGCCGCTGAGGTCGAGACCGATCTATCAAGAGGATTGGCTGGGCCTGAAAGAGCTGGACCGCAAGGGAAGCCTGCAGTTCCGGACCACGCCAGGCCAGCACATGCGCCTGGAGGAGAGTGTGCTGAACGATACGTTCCGGGAGTTCTTCGGTCCCTTGAAGTCGACCAAGAAGGCTGTCTCTGTTGACGAACTGTAGAACAAGACCCTCGAGTTCTTGGCATTGGGATGATTTGGGCGTTCAGGGCGAAAGTATGAGCGGGATTCAGCTGGGGAACTCGCGTCGCATCAGACTTGTTACTCGAGCGGGATCTGGGAATTTATCTTTTTCACAAGCTAATTAATGACAGAAGCTGGGCCTTCGTCCACCACTTATATCAAATCAGTTCACCATTTCAACCCTTTCAAAGCATCGATGGTTTCTTCTCAATATGCCCCCCCCCCCCCCAACCGATCGATGTATGCCCTCTCCGAGATGTGTAGCGTTATAGGCCCGTCCAAATTTACTTTTGATATTGACATCCTCCTCACCATGCTTCTCTTCCATCTCCAGCTTGGATCTGGCCTTTCTTCCCGTCCCTAATCCGCATCTACTCGAAAAAGACATAGCTCGTATAGAACACCACGATCGTGTTCCCTTTGAGTGGACCACGTTTCTTCAAGAAGGTAGCCAGCTGCGTCGCCGTCGGCTTCTTCATCCCCTCCAGCTCGGCAACATGTTTGCCCAGTGCCCGACAGAGCGCCGCCTGCGTCATGCCGTCCTTCTTGAGAATGTCGCGGATCTTGTGCCGCATCGAGTCGCACGTCTCATAGATGGGGATAGGTTGAGGCCTGGTGCCGCCGCCGCCGCCTTCTTGACCGGAAAGCGCCATGCCCGACACGTCGAGGATCTCTGGGTCGGCATTCGTCTTCCCCTTGGCTGGCGAGGTCCTTTGCTGCTTTTAATTGGGCGTGTTAGTGTCCTTGTCGGCCACGCCGTCGGACTTGCGCTTCTTGCTGTCCGCAGTCGGGCGATTTTTTGTCGGCCCCGTTGTCGTCACTGGCGGCTGTGGATTTATCGGCTCTCATATAGTCGAAGGTCTCCTCAAAGCCGACCCTTCATGCCAGATTCACGTCATCGACCTTGACAGCAAGCACAATCGGATCCACGGCGCCACGTATCATGATTGTGATATCGCCGCTCTTTCGGATGTTGAGGCTATCTTTCTCGAGGTGAAGCCCAAAACGGTCTTCCATGTCGCCTGTCCAAACCCGCTCGAGCTCAACGTTTCTAGGTTCCGGAATGTGAATGTCGATGGCACCCACAACCTGCTTATATCGGCTAAGAAGATCAAGACAGTCCAGGCTTTTATCAACACCTTCACCTCCTCTGCTATTCATGATAATATCAGCGATCTGGTTGATGCTGATGAGACCTTTCCTGTTCTCCATTACCCGGCACAGAAGCGCGTCTATACCCTGACCAAGGTTGAAGCTGAGGCCGAGGTCTTCGCCACCAATCGCCAGGACGGCAACTCTTCGATGCTGACCGTGTCCATCCGCCCTGTAACTGCCTTTGGAGAGCGAGACAACACTTGCATGGGCAAGACCGTTGCCACGTGCAGGGCTGGCCGGACAAACATGCAGATAGGCCCCGGAAAGAATTACTACGACGTTGTCTACGTCACGAACCTCGCAGATGCACATATCCTAGCTGCTCAGGCCCTCATCCGCGCATACAGCAAACCTCCTCCACCCCTCGAGGCACGTGTGGACGGCCAGTCCTTCATCATCACCAACGATGAGCGGATCTTGTTCTGGGACTTTCAGCGGGCCATTTCTGCATCCGTTGGGCCTCCTGTCAAGCAGGACGATATCAAGATCATCCCTCGTTGGGTCGCCATGTTGGCAGCAGCCTTTAATGAGTGGAGCACCTGGATCTTATCTTGGGGGACAAAACAGTCGCCCAATACTAGGGAAGCTGTCCATTTGTCGACAATCACCTGCACTCTGAAGTGCAACAAGGCGAAACGTGAACTTGGCTATAAGCCAAGGGTTAGCATTCACGAAGGCTTCGAGAAAGCTGGCAAGTGGTTTGTCGGGGAGGCTAAAAGGACAGAGGAAACGAAGAAGACTATCTGATTTTGAGGGGCAACAAGATTTACAAGTGTGATGATGTGTTTAAAACAGCTGGACAGCTTGTATTATCTTGTCATCATGCTTTTGTATACAAAATACCTGGTTGTCAATCCATGAACAGAATCATAGCCCTATTCTGCATCACCTAGATTCCTGTCTCGTTTAATCCATTAAAACATAAGTCACTTCTCTTTTAACTCACAGGATGTCGAACGACGTAGTTTTGAGAGCGGAAGAAGTGAGGAAATTTCGCAGTCTCGAGACAATCTATGATTAACAGTTGAACCTTGAAATTTAACGAGTGCAGCCTATGATGATAGACAAGCAAAGGATGGAATTGATGAATGTATAAAGAGTTCATAAATTTGAGAGAGGGCAACCCCACACCAGAGGTTGTTCAGTGCTCTTGAAAAGGTATAGAGGGCTCGTAGGTGAGTGAATGGCAATTTGAAAACAAAGTGTATAACCACTGCCACAAATGACAAAGAAAGAGGCAGAGCAGCATGAAAAGTAGTTATTCAAATTTAGCTTATAGGATCCTCGCACTGATTCTTACACATGCAAACCATAGAAGAGGATAACTCATGTGATTTGGTTTTACACATAATGATTGGCTCTTGGAAACCAGTATCATTGTCCTAACATAGCCTATGCATAGCATTTGCACCACTTGGATAGCAAAAGATCCGACAATTGGTTTCCTACTCGAAAATTGCTTTTCGATAACGTGCTACTAATAAAAAATGTTTCTTGCACTTAGACACTCTTTGATGAAGAATGAACAGAAATCTTCGATGTGAATATACATTCCTAGTCGCATCCTGAATGCAATTGCAAATCAGCACTGTCTCCAGGTCTACACTCTGTTCAGCGCTCAAGGGTTAGTCCCAGTAAGTAAGTCGTTTTGAATAACATTTGAAGCTATACTAGACGCTCTTCGCTGCCAGCCCCCCCCCCCCCCCTTTCGCATGTTCAATCAAGACATCTACACTTATAATTGATCCGATCTGCAAGCTAGGCTATAGCTTACTGCAACAAGCCTTGATTTTCGAGCTGTATATATATATATATACTCCCAGAGCACAAGGACTGGAATGACTCTGGAAATGAAAGATGCTATGATCATTGAACATACAGATTCATGAGAGATTAAACAAGGTAAATGTCTTCCAAGTCGGGTGCATCACCCGTGGACACTTGTTGTACACCAAATACCACCTTTTCCCACTTCACTCCATATCTGCTAAGTTCGAATGCTTCAACTATTGTGTCGTCTGTGAATATCGTCCTGGACATCAGAAGCATCTCGAAATAACCACAACGGACCCATTTGTTTTTTGTTGTCGTTGCTACGCTATCATCAGCATCACAGAACAGCCTGAGAAGAATACCCTCACAAATGGAGTCACTTCGAAATAACAGAGTCAAAGCTCGGAGCTGGTTTGCCGAAGCTGCTGTGATGGCGGATTCCATTGCCACCTCGTCGTCCCATCTAAGATCAAAAGACAAAAGCGGATGTGTCAAAGGCCAAGAGGTCATATTAATAGTCGAGGAGCTCGTGCTGAGACACATCTTAATCAGCACACTACGCAAATGCAGTATGCATTGCTCAACCGATCTGGCACGTCCGAAGCTGTCCAGATCCGAAGTATTCAAGACAAAATCTATCGGTACTTCACATGTAAAACCTCTGGGGTCTTGGAAAGCATGCGGCGAATAGCTGATTTTCGATCTGCAGCCGACCGGTGACCAGGACGGAATTAGGATGCGTTGCCAAAACTCTGCCTTTTGCGTGGTCATTCGGAGTTGTGTACCAGCACAGTTGAGAGATAACGTCGATGGACCAAAGTCCGGAATGATAGCGGGCAGATTGTAGTTTGCGGACGTTCGATTGGAAAACCTTAGAAAGTCCGGCGATTGCAGCAAGCCGATCATCTTCAAAAGTGACAATTGTTGTGACGTAGGCCATTCAATCGTGCAACCCAAGCGTACCTTTACAAATAAGGACAACAAACTAAGGCCACACGGGCACAAGTACAGGGTGAAAAAACCTGTATTGAACCTGTCCAGAGGGTTCAAAATCGAAGAGAAGAGAAAAGAGTGCTTGCTTGTTATCGCTTAACTAAAGAATTTGAAAGTGGGTGGAATCCTTTATATGTATGAGGATCTCTAACCAGCTTCATGTAATGAGCACTGCAGTAATCCAAAGATTTTTAAGTACTGAGAGAGTTTATGCTAACAAGAGCAGTACTAAATACAGGCCTTGAATATCAGAACAAAACTGAAGTCTGAATACAAGTATTCACTGCCTTTGAAGCTATCAGAGTATATGAATAATCTGATACTTAGATTAATAACTGAAGAGCTATGTATAATAATCTAACTACTAATAATGAATGTGAGATTATATGTCCAGCACTTCAGTTCTGAATTGCTGGGATTGCTAGCAAGTTTAGCAATTCATGGTATGAAGCTTACTGGGATTGCTAGCGAGTTCAGCAATCCTCTCTCCTTTATAATCCTAACTCTGGGTTGCGTAAAGTCTTCTGTAGTTCGGATGTTGGACCTGAAAACTGGCTTCCTAGATCCATTTGCTTGTGTGATCTGTCCTGTGATCTGCATGTTGAATGGGTCATAACAGCAAGGGACGACCAACTGTGAGGAATACAATGATTAGAGAGCACATCATATCCTGCATGTGTACGTCTCATAAGAACTTGAATTAGGAGTGGTCATTCTGGTCTTGCTAGTCTGATGAGAGCTCCAAGGTTCTCCTACCTAAAGGCCAAGGCTTGCCACATGCAAGGTGGAGGATCGGAGGCTTGCAGACATCGAGTGAGTTTTTGAACCATTGCAGTAGTTCTCAGATGCAATGCTCCCCTCCGTGGTCTTGGTGTTACCCATGAAGCCTTATTATGTATTAGTGTCAATGGTCGGTGTAAAACTTGAGAGCTTGCCATGAATTTGAGCCAATGTCTTATGAAGTAAGAGAGAGGAAGAAGAACTAATAAACTTTGACTTCTCGTCATCTCTTTAGTATCACCTTCCAAAGGCGGGTAGATCGACGACCCTGTTGCTTCACCGCACACTCGGCGCTAATCAATGCAAGCAGTCAGTGTGTGCACAAGTAGCACGTAACAGTACTACTCCAAAGACAACAGTGGGCCCACGCAGAAAGGTGATTCACCTGTGGAGGAAGGAGGGAGGGGAAGCTGGCAAACTGGCAAGAGAGACCTGTCAGTGTTTCAGGTGTCCCCTTCCCCATGCCGCACTCCCGTCTTACCCGTGGAGACGCTGCCAATTGCCAACTGCCAACTCCCCATCCCCCCACTCTAATTTTATCCCCAAGGCTTGTTTGTTTGCCTACTAATCAACGATCTGCTTCTATTTCTACTTCATCATCTTCGTCAGCATCGTCATCACAGTCATCGTTGCCATCCTTGGATGTGATCTGTTCTCTTCTCATGTCCTAAACTCTGATACTTTCTTGTTTTCCTCCCCCATGCTCAACGTTGTCGAGGTCTACAACGACAAACCATGATCAGCCTTTCGCGTAGGCGACACGGGCTGTTCATCGGCGTCGCATTGATAGTCACTCTCTATCTGCTCTTCATCTGGAACGGCGGCGACGCATCCTCCACGTACCGTCCAAGCTGGTCCTACACGATACCATCCAAAGATGGATGGCAGTTACGCGAGGACTACTTCTGGAAGACGGTGACCGTGCACTACCCACCAGCCTCGATACGCCCTCTGCCCACGGAGCGCCCTGTGAGCTTTCCCAGGGTCCAGGCCACCAAATTTCCCCAGGCGACCACTCAGCAGCGGCAGGAACACCGCCAGGCAGTGAAGGACGTGTTTTCGAAATGCTGGGCGTCGTACAGGACGAAGGCATGGCTGGCGGATGAGCTCACGCCGGTGTCGGGGTCCAGCCGTAACCCCTTTGGCGCATGGGGCGCGACGCTGGTGGACAGCCTGGACACATTGTGGATCATGGGAATGAAGGACGAGTTCAGCGAAGCGGTGGCGGCGGCCATGTCTATCGACTTCACCGTCAGCAAGCTCGACCAGATCAACACGTTCGAGACGACCATCCGGTACCTTGGCGGGTTCCTAGCGGCGTATGACCTGTCTGGGGACGTACGGCTGCTGCGCAAGGCCGTCGAGGTGGGCGAGATGCTGTACAAGGCCTTCGACACGCCCAACCGCATGCCCATCACGAGGTGGTACGTGAACCGGGCGGCGCAGGGCGAGCGCCAGGTGGCGGACGAGCAGGTGCTGATTGCGGAGATTGGGAGCCTGACCATGGAGTTCACGCGGCTGTCGCTGCTCACAGGCGATGCAAAATGGTTCGACGCTGTGCAGCGCATCGCCGACCTCATGGCCGCGCAGCAGGACAAGACGGAGCTGGCGGGCCTGTGGCCCCTCGTTGCCAACGCCAAAGAGAAGAAATTCGCCGAGGGCTCGCACTTTACTCTGGCTGCCATGGCCGACTCCACCTTTGAGTACCTCCCCAAGATGGCGGCACTCCTGGGCGGGACCCTGCCTGCGTATCAGAACATGTACGAGAAGGCCATGGACACAGCGACGCAGTACCTTCTGTTTCGGCCCATCACGCCCACATCTGCCGATATTCTCATGGCAGGCACGGCGCACACCGAGACGCAGAACCGCAAGACGGCAGTCACGGTGGAGTACGAGGGCCAGCACCTGACGTGCTACGTGGGTGGCATGTACGCGCTAGGCGGGCGGCTGTTTGGGCGGGAGGCCGACGTGGACGTGGCGGCCAAATTGACAGAGGGCTGCGTGTGGGCGTACGGCAACACCAGGCACGGCGTGATGCCCGAGAAGTTCCGCATGGCGGCGTGCGCGAACAAGGATGAGTGTCCATGGGACGACCTGACGTGGAAGAAGCAGGTGGTAATCGACGCGGGCGAGACCATCACGCGCGAGTTTGACAAGGACATCAACAAGGCCGACAGCATCATCGCCGAAAAGAGGCTGTCCAGAGGGTTTACCGCAGTCACTGACGCCCGCTACCTCCTACGACCTGAGGCTATCGAGAGCGTCTTTGTGCTGTATCGCGTGACGGGCCGTGAGGACCTGCTCGGTGCCGCGTGGGCTATGTTTACCGCCATCGACAGGTTGACGTCAACCGAACTGGCTAATTCAGCCGTCAATGATGTGACCGCTCCCGGGAAACCTATAGCGAGCGACTCGATGGAGAGCTTTTGGATGGGGGAGACACTCAAGTATTTCTATCTGATCTTTAGCGAGGAGAGTATGCTTAGTTTGGACGACTGGGTGTTCAACACTGAGGCTCACCCCTTCAGACGGTTGAAGACGTAGAGGAAGGGAAAGGGACAGAGACAAAGAGAGCGAGAAGTGAGAGCGAGAAAAACACAAAGAGGAGTTACTTGGTTTTACTTTTCAATTTTGTGCGACAATCTTTGTACATACATACATTTCGACAATACCCAGAAGCGTTTTATGAGAGGATGGATGATTGTCTTTTCGGTCCCCCCCCCCCCTTCCTTCTTTATGTGCTCTTTCATTTTGCTACACAGAGACCATGTTGAAAAAACTCCATTCGGGGTCGATGAGTAAGGTGATCGTCCATAATTCTATTAATAGAAACCCCCCCCCCCCCCAAACCGTCTTCCTATTTCTCTCCCCTCACAGCTTTCCCTTCTGCCCCTTCTTCCTCTTCTCCTCCTCCACAAGCCTCCACGCCAGCTCACCCAGGTTCTTGAAGCTCCCTGCATACCTGCCGGCCACCTCGCTCGTCGCCTGCCTCCTGGCCACCCTGGCCGCGATGCCCTGCAGGATGGCCGCGGCCCGCAGCATGCCAAACGCCACCCCCCAGCTCATCTCGGGGCGCGGGTCATATTTCCCGCGCGACGCCTCGACGTACCACGCCAGCAGCTCCTCGCTGGTGGGCAGGCCGGGCGTGGCGGCCGGCAAGAAGGCATCACTGTTGGGGAAATAGGGAAAAGAGAGGTCGGCGTTGGCAGGGGCGGCGGCGGCGGGGGCCATGAAGAAGGGGAAGGTGAGGTTGACAATGTCGGACAAGGGGTGGCCGACGGTGCTCATCTCCCAGTCCAGCACGCCGATGACGCGGGGCTCGGTGGGGTGGAACATGAGGTTGTCGATCTTGAAGTCGCCGTGGACGATGGCGGCGCGGTCGACGGGCTGCTGGCCGGGGTCGGCAAAGAAGCGCATCAGGCCGTCGTCAAAGTTGGGGTGGATGGGCCCCACGGGCTCGTGGGTGTCGGCGTCCTGGGCGGCGGCCTGGGCGTGGCAGATCTGGTGCCAGGTGGCGAGCTGGCGGTCGTAGAAGCCGGTGGGCTTGCCGTAGGTGGTGAGGCCCAGGGCGGGGTTGGTGAAGTCTACTGCGTGGAGCTTGGCTAGGGTGGTTATGGCGGAGTGCCAGAGTTCGCGCCGCTCTTGTGGGCTTACGGCTGGAGGGGGGGGGGGGGGTGGTTGAGAATGTGTTAGTCGGGGTAGTCGAGTTGAGAAGATGAAATGAGATTCTGTGTGTAAAGGAGAGAGAAAGAGAGAGAGAGAGAGTATACGTACATGGCATCGTGGCATCCTCGAATATCCTTCCCTCGAGATACTCCATAATGTAAAACGGCGTGCCGATCACAGACGCATCCTCACAGAGACAGTACGTCCTGGGCACAGGCACATCGGTGGCATTGAGGGCCTTGATGATGCGGTACTCGCGCTCGACCTTGTGTGCCGTCTGCGACAGGAGCTGGCCTGGTGGCTTCTTTCGCAGCACGTAGCCTCTTCCGGAGGAGGACGAGGATGACCCTTCTTTGGAGGTGAGGAGGTACGTTGGGTTCGACTGGCCGTAGCCGAACTGCTTGATGTCGAGCGGTAACTTGATCTCTGGGACGTTCTTTTTCAGATACTCCTCTAGAGATTTGAGGTCGATGGGCTGGCGGACACGGCCAGCCATGATGGTATGCGTGTGTGAGTGTGTGAGTGTGTGTGAGAGTGTGAGTGTGTGTGAGAGAGAGTGTGTGTGTGAGGGAGAAAGATTGGCCACTCGAGGATCAAGAATGAGACGTATTTGAGTCTTGTAGGTTGGGAATCTGAGGCCCTTGTGTATTTGAGGCGGTGCGAGACGTGAAGGCCTCTGAAGAGACTGTTGGTGGTTATTGTTGCTGTTGTTGTCGACGCTGTTGCAACCAAAGTATGAGTGAGGTCAATTCGAAGTTGGAGAATGGCCCGGATGAATTGTGCCTCGGCTCATGGTGAACCCTGGTCCCTAGCCAGCGATCCATAGAGGGGCGGCATCGGGGCATCTCAGAGGGCTCCATACTTGAGTAAGTAGTGGGAATACAGGCACTATAGCCCTGTTTCGTTTCCCCACGGGGTCGTTGCTACTGTGAGAAGGTGGGGCAGAGATGACTAGGCGCGTATTATGATTTATTCATTACAACCTCGGCTTCATCTTTTCTTTTTCCTTTCCTATCTTCCTCGTTCTTTCTCTTTTTCTTTTTCTGTCAATTTTTTCCCTTCATTTGTTTCTCTGCCATATGATGTGTTCTCTTCCTTCTTCTTAACACTACTTATGCTATGCAAGGGTTATGGACTTGAGTGTGCGCTGAGAGAAGAGAAACGAACAAACGACAGACAGACGCCTAAGCCACCTAATTTAAGTACTTAGGTAGCTGAGTCTCCCTCTACCTTAGTGCTGGGCACTTCCTAGCCACCCTTGTGGCTCAGTGATTTACTGCCATTCGCATATATGCCACTTGCCACGCTTAAAGGTTCTCCTGGTTCAGCTGTCTTGGTATCGACTGGATGAGCACATTTTAGGATCTTTATCCTTCAAAGAATTTCGACATGGTCTGGAATTGGGACAATGACAGCAATGCATGCATCATCAAGTTGGATGTCCTGCTGAAGGAATTGTATACTTCATTACTTGGCCATTTCTGGCGACGAATAATAATAATTAACACAATCCCTTTAGCTCATACAATTCTGCTGTTGAATAAGTCAAGCCCTCCGACAAGAGTAAATTTCCAAATACACAGCACCTTTGGCCGCATTTCCTCTCATCTTACCTATAATTATCAACTCCAATCCGGCCACCAATAGCCGCGGTAGTACATAGTATGATGTACAGTCGGAGCCTGCTTTGCAAGCCGAGGTTTGCAGACAACTCTCCAACAACGTCGAACAGGGAATAAAACGGACCTGTCAAAAGGCTTTCATACTTCCTGGTCCCACTTGGCCGCTGGAACCTCTGCTTGATACAAACATTAAAAGACCTGCCTGAGGAGATCACAAGTGCCACCGTCGTCATGAACTTCAATCTTCCAGATGAGCTCCAAAAGTACATTTCCCAGCTGGACGTGTTCATCCAGGACAAGATACTCCCCCTCCAGCACAAAGATGACAACAACCGCTTCTTCGACCACCGTCGGGAGCCGTCACGCACCCAGTGGGACAACCAAGGCCTACCCACCCCCGAATGGGAGAATCTACTCGACCAAGCCCGCGCCCTCGCCGATGAGGCAGGTTTCTACCGATTCCCCCTCCCTAAACAGTATGGCGGGCAGGACCACCCAGACTCCAATCTCTGGATGTGCGCACTCCGTCTGCACATGGCCTCGCACCCGGTCTACGGCGGGGGTGTGAGCCTTGCCAACGACCTGCAGAACGAGCACAGCGTCGTGGGCAATTTTCCCGACTTTCTGATGCTGTATCATTGGGGTACTGAGCGCCAAAAAGCCGAGCTTATTCCTGCTCGGCTGCGGGGCGAGTTTCGGATGACGTTTGGCCTGACTGAGATGCACCATGGCAGCGATGCGACACATATGGACACGCGTGCGGTACGGTGCCGTTTGTCTGGAAACGACAGCAACGGCGACAATGTGCCAGCTTGGAGCATCTCGGGCAACAAGAAGTGGCAGACGGGCGCGCACAGTGCCACACACATGCTCATCTTTGCGCGAACGTCATCGACAGAAGGGGAAGGCATCACGGCCTTTATCGTGCCGAAGGACACCCCGGGCGTGACGATCGCATCGTACGAGTACACCCTCAACATGCCCACCGACCACGCCACGGTTCTCTTGGAAGACGTGCGCGTGCCCGAGGGCGCGGTCCTGGGCCAGGTGGGAAAGGGTCTCGCCATCGCGCAGACGTTCACGCACGAGAACCGCATCCGCCAGGCGGCCAGCTCGTGCGGCGCGGCGCGGTTCTGCATCGGCAGGAGTGTCGAGTATGCGCGCCAGAGAGTCGTCTTTGGAAAACCGCTGGCTGTCAACCAGGCGATCCAGTGGCCCTTGGTCGAGCTGGCGACGCAGGTGGAGATGCTGCGGCTGTTGATCCTGCGGACGGCCACGGAGATGGACGAGATCCAGAAGCGTTATGGTGCTGGCGGAGGAGGAGGAGAAGGAGGTAAGGGGGATCGAGACTATATCCCGCCTTGGGTGGCTATCGAGAGAGAGCTCGGCCACAAGATCAGCATGTGCAACTTCTGGGCGAACAGGCTTGCCACCGAGGCAGCGGATAATGCGATCCAGGTCCACGGCGGAAATGGGTACAGCAGACACCAGCCGTTTGAGCACATCTGGCGGCACTTTAGGAGGTATCGGATTACGGAAGGGAGCGAGGAGGTACAAAAGCGCAGAGTTGCTGGGTACCTGTTTGGCTTCAAGAACGGAGGCGGAGGAGCAAAGAAATCAACTGGTGAAATCGCAGCAAAGTTATAATTTTGGATTTTATGGCCATTTCTCTTTCTGCCATTCATGGCTTAAAACCAACTAATCACTATTACAAACAACAGGCATATTTCTCCATCATAGTCTCGCCATGGATATCATTGTTCGGTAACAAATGCGTCCTTGCACCACCATCCTCCCACATCGCAAAGCTGCTCCCTCGATACCGGGTTGTGGGGTCTCGCATGTTGGCTACCGTGTAGCTGAAGGCGCTGCTCATGAGACCGACGAAGAAATAACTTTTTACCAGCATCCCAAGGTCGACAATCGCCTCAAAATCGAAAGGGAGCGCCGATATATTCTCCACCGCCCCGTCATTGCTCATAGCCTCGGCCAGCGCGTACTTGTGCGTTACATTCCACCCTCTCCCTCTTCCTTCCTCCGCAAAAGCCTGTGCTTGGCCCTCATCGCCGCATGCCAGGTACACAAGCGGCCTCTTGTCACTGTCGTATGCCGCCATCTCAGGCATGGCCCGGTACGACTCCCACGCACGGTCGAGGGCGTCAAAGTTCTCGGAGATCTGCTGCTTGATGCTTTCCGGCATGTTGTTGCTCTCACCTCGAAAGCCCACTGCAAAGAAACGCTCGTCTCCGATTTGGCGCAGCAGCCTGTCGACAATTGCCCGTGGCGCCTCCAGGAAACGCAGGGCCTTGCCTAGGTCGTCCCACAAGTGCCTGTCGTGGCCTGTCGGGTCGTTGGCGATATTGAACAGCTCCAAGTCGGCGCGCATGCCAACAATTGTGACGGTGGTGGAAGCTTCCTCAGCTGTCTCGGCTTCATTTTCGAGATGTTTCTGGATGGTCATGCTTTTGTCCTTTACATGCTTCTTTCCACTGTGCTTCTTTTCCCTCAGCTGGGCCAGGCCCTCTTCAAAAAAGGCCTTGAATGGTTTACCAGCCCAAAAGTGCCCATTACGCTCCCGAAAGAAGCGCGTAGAGTGAACATCCAGCGACCATCTATTCTCAACCCTCCTCATGGAGTCCCGGTCTCCAGCCTGCAAGTCCTCCTGCGCGATAACCTTCAGCTGTGGACACGTCTGACCCATTGATGAGACAGCATGCTTTTGGTCAAACCACTCCTCGAACTGCCTCTCGGCAGTGGAATTTCCCTGGTTGTACACCACCAGATCGTCCTTGTGCCGCAGCGGGATGCTAGGGAGGACCAGGCCCACGCCCGCCTCTATGGCCATCTTGAAGCAGGACTTGACTTGGGAGATGACACTTGTGAGATCGGCAGATATAACCTCACACTCAAGGTAGATGGTCTTTTCCTCGCCGCCCTCGTCTCTCCATACCGTCCGGTCGCACTGTGTTCTTAGGGCTGAGAAGTGGTATGGGTCGGGTTTGTCTAGGGAGAAGGCTTGGCTGAAGGATATTTCTGCTGAGGACATGGTTGTGCTCCCCTTTGAGGATGATGAGGATGAGTATGGGTGTGGGTGCACGTCTGTCTGGCCATAGCTGCCCAGAGCCTCGGCGATCATTAGAGGGAGGAGGCTATCGGCGCTGATGTTGGTGTCAGAGTAGCAGGGGAACAGAATGTCTATGCGCCAGGATACCAGATAGAGGCAGATGAGAGCAGAAAGGGCGAGAATGGTATTTCTGACTGTTATGGGAGCCATCTTGTAACGATGCATGCGGGACGCGGTGACAACCTCTGTCTCTCTCTCCTCTTCTCTTTGTTTGTAAGAAATTCAAGAGACAAGTGAATGGATTGCCTTCGACCTTTGTTGTGTTTGTGTTTATGGAGGATATTTGTCTTCTTTACTTTCTCTCTCTTATTTATTCTCTGTAAGTTTATCCCTTGCTTGGCTTGGTGGCTTCAATATTGTCCTCCCTCATCATATCCCATCTCCCGCGCGAGAGCCGGGTTGAGCCGGATGTCTCACTCTTTCATTCAGACAGCTCTGAACGACATGAACTAGCAGAATTAAATTGCAATCTTGATACTCAATCAAGAAAGGTCATAGAGTGCTATGGTCAAATGTTGGCCATCTAGTCACCGCAGCTGTTCGACTGGTTTCGTGATCATCTCACTCAGACGCTGGGGCAACTCGAGAGCTTCCCCACGTCGCACTGCGAATCCTTGAGACTCGCTATTTCACACTCAATGATACTACGAGTCGACCTTGCTACTTGGAGGCATTTCTATTATGGCCGAATTACAGTTTTTAGACGTCAACAAATTGACAATACTGAGAATACAAGGAGTTTTGCTTGCCTCACTTGTACGCTACCTTCCAATAAGCTTAAAATCAAGCACTTGTTCAGAACTCTAACCCCCACCTAGAAAATAGAACCAAATGCTTAAATACTTAAGTATTCAAGGATCGTTCTCGTTGTAGGATGCAGCTGCAGTGTCAGATTGGAAATCAAAGGGCCAAAAAAGTGTGGTCTATAACTTGACTGTCAAGGGGCCAAGCCACATGGTCGCATAACAGGCGCAATATGCCAAAATAAGACCCATCCCCCTCTGGCTGTTCCAGGATACTGAACCGCAGTAAGCAACCCAACGCCCCCTCTCCCCCCCTGTCTAGGAGAGAATCGAGGACTGAGCGTAGAACAGAGTGCCAAGCTGAGAGTGTAAGCGCTTCGCATTCTCTGTCTGACCTCATCTCACACCTTCACTTGAGTTTCACACCTGTGCGTCACTTGACTGTGGCTGTGTGTGCTGTTGGTGTAAATCATGTGTGCTGAACTGCCAACTCACTCTGGTCCTGTCTGCATTCAAGGCTCTGCTGACATTTTAGTTTCTTTCTTTCTTCTCTTTTTCTCTAATCTTCTCTCTGTAACATCTTTGCCTACCAGGAGGTTCGCCTCCATTCTGAGCCATGTCTGCCAGGCTTGAGTAATCATCTATCAAGTTGCGTTCAGTATGAAGTACAGACAAACACCATGAGGTCTCTCACCTTTATCTCAGCATGGGCCATGGTGGCCTCGGCCGCTCTTGATGTCGATCTTGACTCACCAGGTCTGCTCTCGCATCAACCTCACTACACGCAAAATATCATAACTGACAGAACCCCTCCAGACTCCATCAAGACTGCAGCAAAAGCCGTAGCCTCCAACCTGATGTCCTACTACAAAGGCGACGACTACGGCCAAACCCCAGGCATCCTACCAGGCCCACCCCCCGCAGGCGACTACTACTGGTGGGAGGGCGGCGCCCTCTGGGGCACGTTGGTAGACTACTGGCACTGGACAGGCGACACAACTTGGAACTCCGTGACCCAGTCCTCGCTCCTCTTCCAGGCGGGCGCACCAGACAACTCGTACCAGCCCAACAACTGGACGCTGTCCCTGGGCAACGACGACCAAGGGTTCTGGGGCATGAGCGCGATGCTGGCGGCGGAGAACAAGTTCCAGGACCCCCCTGCGACGGATCCAGGCTGGCTGGCGCTTGCGCAGGCCGTCTTCAACACGCAGGCGGCGCCGGACCGACATGACGATACGTGTGGTGGGGGGCTGCGGTGGCAGATCCCGCCGACGAATGTTGGCTATGATTACAAGAACTCGATTGCCAACGGCATCTTCTTCAACCTGGGGGCGAGGCTGGCGCGGTACACGGGGAACACGACGTATGAAGACTGGGCGGTCAAGACGTGGGACTGGATGCAGGGCGTGGGGCTGATCTCTGACGACTACAAGGTGTATGATGGCGGTCATGTCGAGGACAACTGTACGACTATCGATATGGTCCAGTTCTCGTACTGTGCTGCTGTCATCCTCGAGGGCACTGCCTTTATGTACAACCATGTAAGCTGTGCTTGTTCTTGTTGTCTCTCCCCTCTTGTTTTTCTTCTTGTTTCTTTTCTTCAACTTCCATGTAAACATTTCATTAGAACGACCTGCTGATGATGTTACATCCAAAAAGACAAACGGCTCCGACATATGGAGCGAGCGTCTCCAAGGCCTCGTCAACACAACAATCTCCTGGTTCTTCCCCAACGGCACGGCCGTCGAACCTTCATGCGAGCTGGCCGACAAGGTCACCTGCGACACCGACATGCTCTCCTTCAAGGGCTACCTGCACCGCTGGCTGGCCACATCCACGCAGCTCGCGCCCCTCGTGCGCAATCAGGTCCTCGCGACCCTGCGCACCAGCACTGCCGCCGCCGTGGGCAGCTGCACCGACGGCGTCGACAACGGCAACGGCGTGAGCACGGCAACATGCGGGTTTCGATGGACTACGGGAACCTACGACGGGCAGACGGGCGCGGGCCAGCAGATGAATGTGCTCGGGGCGCTGACGAGTCTTCTTGTGGCGGTGGACCCGGCGGGCGAGACGTCGGCGCCGGTGACGAATAGCACGGGCGGCACGAGCGCGGGGAATTATGGGGCGGGAGGAAATCCCAGCTCGCACGGGGGCGAGGTTGTGATAGGAGTCAAGGACAAGGCTGGCGCAGGGATTATTACGGCTGTGGTGCTGCTGGCGTTTATTCCGACCATGGCGTGGGCGAGCTCGGGATGGTCGGAGGGTTCTCTTGTCTTTAAGAGCTTGTAGGTATATAAATAAGGGGAAGGGGAAAGGGAGAGACAGAGGACATTTCTTCTGGCGAACGGAGTTACAAAGGCGTTATATAGACGTGCGAAAATACCAGTGGTGTTTATATTGTCGTTGTTGAGTATCCTCGTTAAGATTCCCTTATTGAACTTGAAAGTAGGCTTGCGTGTGACCAAAAACAATGACTTGACATGACAGGACAGGTTATATACACACGTATATCCTCACCATGGCTGCAACGCATCTGAGCGAATCACTTTTCCAGCACGATCATCATGCTTCCCCTGGACCACATCTCGGATGAACTCACCGCCCACATGCGGCTCTAGAGCGCCCATCTTCCGCAGCGTCTCCTGGGACACACCACCCAAGTTCGTCGCCAGAAACCCAGGACTAACAGCCCACACTTTGACCCCATCATTCTTCAGAATCCGCACCCACTCCCTCATCAGCATGTTCAGCCCGGTCTTGGTGCTCCTATAGCTAGTAAAAGCCATCGGCCCGCCCTCCTTGGGCCATCCCCCAGCAGGGCTCGCATTTATCCGCGAGAGATGCACCATGGACCCCCAATTCTCCTCTTCCGTCTCCCACAAGGAACTGGTGCCGCTCGTGATAAACAGGAGTCTGGGGGGCTCGCCACTGCTGTCGCGGCTCTTGAGCAGTAAAGGCACGGCCAACGTGGTCAGCACGTGGGTGCCGCTGACGTTGGTGTCCCAGGAGGTGTTCCAGGCCTCGCGAATGGTCATGCTGCCGTTGGAAACGGCGCCGTCAAAGCTTGCGCCGGCATTGTTGACGAGAGCGTCGAGGCGGCCGTATCTGCTAGTAATCTCGGCGATGGCGGCCTCGATGCTCGCATCGGAGTTCACATCGACCTGGAGGGAAGTGATGCTGGAGGACGAGTCGGAAACTTCGGTCTGTAGTTGCTGGATGGCGTCTTGGCCTTTGCTCAGGGTGCGGGTGCCAAGGAGGATCTCGTAGGCAATGGATGAGGCGTAGAGGGCCTTGATGGCTTCATAGCCCAGGCCAGTGTTTCCTGTGTTGGTTTTTAGAAGTATAATCCAAATTAGACAGTGATGGGTCTGATGAATCAATTCATCGTCATGTTTTGTACTTGAGATAAAGGTCATACATACCACCTGTGACGAGAACAACCTTTTTCTCGGATGCCATGTTGAGTGCAAAAACGGTTTTGACAATGGAAATTGAATGGTAATCTCTCTTCTGATCTTTGTGATGATGAGAAAAGGCAATCTTATATAGACAGAGCTTCTTTGCGTGCCGTTAAATAAATATTCAAACAAAGTCTAAGTCATCTTTAGCCTCGCGTTTTCAGCACGTCTGGATGACCGGAAGAAACAGTTTACTTGCGTGGACTAGGATTGGCGTCGGTGGCTTAAATTCCGAATCAAAGCGCGAACCCAATGAACACAGTCGTACTTGCCTGTAAACCCCCCCCCCCCCCCCCCCAAAAAAAAAATAGAAACATCACCCTCCTTCCTCTTTTTAACTCCGACCGTTAAATGCGAAGGAGCGCCCTAGCCACCAACAGTCCGCAGAGATCCGTCGCTTCTCCTTGCCTTTTCCCTTTAGCGGATAACGGAGAAGAACAATCAGAGCCGAGAAATGATGACGAGCATGGTTGGAGAAGGTGCGCACTGCGCTAGACCCTGTGGGCTGGGCAGGAAGGAATGACAGGCTCTACAGTGCCCACAGGGGAAATCACCAGGGCTAGTTTGACTAGAGAGAGGACTTTCCCTCTTCAACAATGTCATCATCAAAAGCAGGAGCAATGAGTGATTTGTGGTGAGATGAATTATGATTTTGTTTCAGCTCACTCTATGTGTCTCGCGCGTCCTTCGGTTTCTTGACACGATCAATATGTACAGGACCAATATTTACAAAAGGAGGATATAATATATAAGATTAAGGAAATTATGACATTATAATGTCCTAGAGTCCACATCGTCATCAACCAACCAGTCCACCACTGAGACTCCACAACAACAACAACAACACCAATCACCTCATCGCACATACTCCAGACAACCACTCTTGCTACTTACTTCCTTACAGCAGCGCAACGAAGAGAGGAGCAGCCGCAGCCAGCAGGCCGAATCCAAGCTTGCCAGCGCCAGCAGTGACGATGCCGCTGGGAGCAGACTGGGGGATAGGCGAGCTCGAGGAGGTCTGGGCGGCCGCAGGACCGGTGGCGACGGGGACAGGCGCACCAGTGTAGGCACCAGAGGCGGTAGGGCGCACGGAAGCAGGACGAGGGACGGTTCCGTTGCCGGCAGGGCGAGGGATGAAGCCGCTGGGGGCGGCAGAGCCAGCAGAAGACCAGGCGGCGGGGACGGCGCTGGTGGCGTAGGGACCGGCAGGACCGCTGGCAGCACCGGCGGCCGAGGTGGCGACGGCTGGGGTGACGGCAACGGGGGTGGCCGTGACGGTGACGGTGGGCGCAGGAGTGGTCACGCCGGCGGGGATGGTGACGGTGGAGGTGGACGGCGTGGCGCAGGGGGTCATGCTAACCGTGCTGGTCATGGTGGGGATTTCCACGCTGACAGTAGAAGAAGTCTGGCCGACGGGCGAGGAGCCGCCAGTGGAGACGCTGGCCAGGGTGGCCGTGGTGGTGACGCCAGAGCCAGGCACGAGGGAGGTGGCACCAGCGACGGGGATGCTGGGGACCTCAGCAGAGGGGGAAGACTCGGCACCGGCGGCAGAGGTGGCCAGGGTGGTAGGAGTAGCAGCGGCACCAGAGCCGGAGCCAGCAGCGGTGGCAGATCCCTGGCCCTCAGTCGCTGTGACGGGGCAGATGGTGGTGTAGCTCTCGATAACCGAGGTGACAATCTGCTGGGTGTAGGTGTTGGGGCAGTTGGTCACGGAGGCGGCGCAGCTGGTGATGGTGTAGGTGTGGGTCTCAACCACGGTGCTGGTGGTCAAGCCGCTGGGGAGGCTCGTGGTCGCAGAGCTGGCACCGATGGCAGCGTTGGAAGAGGTGGCGACGGGGGAGGAGCCAGAGCCAGAGCCGGAGTCAGAGCCAGAGCCAGAGCCAGAGGATCCAGAGCCGGAAGATCCAGAGCTGGAAGATCCAGAGCCGGAACCAGAAGAGCCAGAGGATCCAGAGCCAGAGGCGGAGGAACCAGAGTCAGATCCAGACGAGGAACCGCTGTCAGCACCAGAGCCAGAGCCAGAGCCAGTGGAAGAACCGGAGCTGGAGCCAGTAGAAGAACCAGAGCCGGAGCCAGTAGAAGAACCGGAGCTGGAGCCAGTAGAAGAACCAGAGCCGGAGCCAGTAGAGGAGCCAGTAGAGGAGCCAGTGGAGGAGCCAGTGGAGGAGCCAGAGGCAGAGCCAGCACCGAGACCAGACGAGCCAGAGGTGGAGGCAGGGAGAGAGCCAGATACAGAGGTGGACGAGCCAGATCCGCTGCTGCTAGAGCCAGAACCCACGGCAGTGCCGGACCTCCAAGGCCAAGACTCACCGCTTCCCTCGCCGATGGAGACGGTGACAGTCTCAGTGGCGGCAGTGGCAAGAGTGACAATGACAGAGGGGGCCAGGGACAGGTCCAGCTCGCCGATCTCGACGTCCAGCTCGACCAGGACACCAGCGGTGAGGGCAAAGGCGTCGGAGGCAGAGCAGCTGACGCCAGCCTCGACCTGGGAGAAGGTGGTGGTGTACTCGAACAGGTTGACCCAGAGAGCAACCTCTGCGCCGGCACCAAGGTCGAGGCCGATGATGTCGATCTCGGCCGAGATGCCCAGACCAGTACGCAGACGGAGGCCGACGCTCAGCTCAATGTCCTCCTCGAGCGAGATGAAGGCGCCAATGGACTGGGGCAGGGCCTCGACCAACAGGCCGGTGAGGTCCTGCTTGACGATCTCCTTGCTGAGGATGTCAATCTCAATGTAGCAACCCTCGGGGAACTGCACGTTGAAGATGGTGTCGATGTCGATCGCAGCAGAGACGGAGAAGACGAGATCCAGGGCGATGCCGACGTCGATGTCGATCTCGGCAAGGCCGGGCACGCCCAGGGACAGATCGAGGTCCGAGAACAGGTTTACGGACTCGGCAACGCCGGCAGTGGCGTCGAGGGCCACCCGGAGGTAGGCCTTGACACCACCCAGGTCAACCTTGACCGTGGGAGCGAGAAGGAAGTCATCGCCGCAGGTCAGGTCAATCGAACCGGCCGTGGCAGCTTGAGTCAGAGCAATGCCCAGGTTGACAGCCTCGGCAGACTCAGTAGCAGCAGCGACGACACTGTGTTGAGAGACGGCAACGTTAGCCAACACTTTCCCAGCTAGTGAAGGTTTTCTCTCTTTCTTATTTCTTGTGTTTATTCAAAACTTACCCGCTGTACAGGACCTTGTCCGTCCACGACTTGGAGAGGTCATAGCTGCAGACGTCCGAGGACGACCGGACCTGGCTCTCCTCAGCCTTGCGGACGACCTCCAGGGGCTGAAGGGCTGGCGATGCCTCGACGGCAAGACCAAAGAGGCCCAGAAGGGCCCCGTATTGGGAGAAATGCATATTGGGTTGGTTTTGTGGGGGGGGGGGGGGGGGAGAGATTACAAAAGAATGACTGCTGCAACAAAAGGCAGTGGAAAAGAATTAACTGGCCCAAAAAAGGAATGACGGCCACCGAAAAACAACACAATTCAACTACAAGGGAATCAACGAGTGACTGTAGGAAAGTGAAGTCCTTGGGTTGAGGAAGGAGAGAAAGCCCACCGAGGAAGAGACTTGTTGACTATTTAACAACGATCAAATCCGTCAAGTCTAGGTAGTTGACTCTAGTAGCTCAGGGATGATGGATTGCAATCGACCTCCATAGGCTCCATCTGAGTCCACTGCTGTGGCCATAATACGATCTACAATATTATCCTGGCTCGATTAATTCGTCGTCGTTACCCCAGGTGGGTCTCTACAACAGACCAAACTACTACGTCTTCCATTTCTGAACGGGGTTCTCTTATGAAAGGGTCGTGATGAGCACACATAGTACCGCGGATACCGATCCTAGAATATCTCGTCAGCTTGATTTTCTTTGATAATTAATATACATGAGAGTGTGTGTATGTGGCTTGTTTAGAACGAATTGCAAGCCCTTCGTTGTTGGATGACAACTTTCAACATCTGCATAGTAATTTGGGGGCCACAGTTCAGCAGCCAGCCTAGCAATCGCGGAGGCGTCACGAGCGTCCATAGAAAGTCATGCTCGCCTATTCCGAGTGGCTTGGCATTTACAAGTCGGTCAGCACGAAGAGGGAAAGGAGGATTTGCAATGAAGTCGACGATCTAAATCTCAGGGGGGTTCCCCCGGCACACACCAACGAGCGGGCCGCAGAAGGGGGCGGAGCGTGGATTGAGGTCCCCACCGGAACAGGCGGAGGATTGCAAACCAAGAGAAAGGATATTCTTCCCCCCCTAGCCCTTTTTCCCGCCCCTTTTGGGCGGCAGTATGCTTAATTCTCCACAGGCACGCGCTCTCGTAAAGGTGGCCCTGGACCAGTTGAGCATGTGCTTGTGTGGTCCAATTGCGGAAATCACCAACCCAAGTGGTCGAGCAGAGAGATGAGGGCTGCTGGGGATCGTCGCCTAAACAGGGAACTGGGGCCTGACCTGGCCCCTGATTCGGTACCGCGTAGCCAGCTCATAAACTCACCGCTTTGGCCGTTTGAGGGCAGACGAGGAGCCACATCCCTTCAGATCGGAGCATCGAAAGTCAACCTCCCCCCCCTGGCTTGAGCGATAAATTAATCACGTAGGTCTTATGATGTCGTTGCATGTGTGTCGTACGTGATTTATGTATTACTACTTCGTATATGTATAAGAGTGGCCTCCAGAGCATTTTTAAAGAGGTTAATCAACCGGGAGAGTTTAATAACAGTGACGAGTCTCGTAAAACTCTATAGCGTTCAGAGGTTCTTTTCGTTTGCGTAAGAAATAGAAACAAATCATAAGTTCAAATCTGAGAGCAAAAGAACGGGTTGAAGGTTTTTGACTGTCTTTGTCTTTCCTTTTCTTTTCCGTCTCCCTTTTTTTTCTTCTTTTTTTATTATTACTCTTTTGGAGGAATATGATATTTAATAATAAGAAGAAGAAAAAGCTGAGGCGGCTGCGCGGCGGACAGTTGACTGTTAAATTGCTTCGAGTGATTGAGCGCGCTCGGTCGTGGGCAGAGAGAGAGAACGGCTTGCCCTGGATGCTCCACTTGCAGAATACGAGGGTTGCAGGCAATGAAGATATCTCGTGCTACACATTGGGAAATGAATGCCCACCCCTGGTACGAACCGTTGACGGGCGTCCATTAATGCTCGCCCGGTCTAACGTATGCACTTTGGCCTCGTGAAACACGATAGTAAAAGCTACCATCCATGCAACCCCACGTTTTGAATCCGTGCTATGATTAGCGTGCTGCAAATGAAGATAGAAACGAGGAGGTTAGTCTGACTATTGAGAGGCTTGAGGTTCTGTAGATCGATGTCCCCTGTTCAGCAGAAGCAGGGATGACGCATTCACATGTTCGCAACACTAACCCCGCTGACCTTGAGTGTGGTGGTACAGGGCGGTCGATGTATCAAAACTCAAATTTGGTCATTACAGCCACCCAAGAGCTAGAGAAACAGCATCCAACCCCAGCCCAAACCATCTACGGCTTTAGCAGCTGTATAAACTTTTCATTCTACTTTCAATTGAAACTTCCTGCCTATTCAACAGGCCGACTGAATCTGTCCACTGAACCTGCCAACTCACTGCTTAATGAATTTGCTTACTGGATCCAAGGTAGGCAGATTTAGTGGGCAGGTTCAGTGGGCAGGTTCAGTAGTCCTGTTAAATATTTGAAGGCAGGAAGTATTGATTGAAAATAAAATAGAAATTGTAGGCAAGTACGGGTGTGCATAACACAGCTGTTTGACCCTTTGAGTTAAGATAAGACTGACATTTTGTGTTTTGATACATCGACCACTCTGTACTGCCGTACTTGAGTCGTAGAATAATAGAGTCTTTACGGTTTGCCCCTCATCTATTTATATCTATGGTAGGCACACCATGTGATCAGGATGTCTTTGATAGCCACACAAAAGAACCGGAACCAAACATCTCCACTCTGACATAAATCGTGGGGCACGCAATTTTGTGGTCGCTGAGAATGAGATCTGACGAAATGTCCAATCTCTCTCTAGAGTCCGTGCCCCTCTTGAGGTCTGCCACGGCTCCTCTCCTCGATATCTCGAGCGATGAGCAACTCACCGTCTGAGATCAGCTAGCGTCAGTCCGACCTGTCGTCGCCTCTTCAACATCAACAATCCCATTTTATACACCCAGAACGTCCAGGATGACAAGTGGTCCTGCGTTTTCTGGCTGCCCGGCATGGGCGCCTGGGCACTGTCCAGTAAATCCTCCAGGTCGGAGCTGACATGAGCGCGGAAGACTCGCTGGCTGGCAAGAAGAAGGTCAAGTCTGCCTACCACGTTGGGTTTTAAGTCCTTACAACCAGTAGCTATTTATACTCCTTTTCAAATTGCCGCTAAGTATAGACAGCGGGAAGAAGCCCCTCTCCTATTCGACCACGACGTTGATATCAATGATGAAAACCATGATGTCTGCGATGCACCACCTGGTGTCCCGAGACCGAAGGAGATGGATACCAAGGAAGCTGCACGCATCTGTTCGTGTGTTCTCAGTCATGACCAGGTTGCGATGGCAAAGCTGCTGCGGTGTCGAGGGCGCAAACTCATGAACAACCCAAACAGTACAGGGGAGGGATGACGTTGCGATTGGCAGCCCTTCATGTCCCAGCTGCCAGTAGCATGCGCGCATCTATTGTAAGACTGCTGTCCCTAGTGCAAGGGCTTCAAGGTCGAAAAGAAGCACTCCGGGCGCAAGACGGCCCTGCACCACCTTGTCTACTTCCGAGCACTCGAAAAAGACGCATAAGCGAAATCCTTTCTATCCACCATTAGAGCTTTGCTCTGCCTTATCTTTATTTCCAAAAGTGTTTGAATATAAGGATCTAATGTAACTTTTGGAAACCCCTAGAGCCCCTTTGCGTGCAGCACGTCCTTGCACCAGCTTTTTCATTTACTTCTATCCATAATAAGAAGGTATGATGCTACACTTTCATCCTTTTCATCCTCTTCAAATGTTATGTAACAGGAGAAGGTCTCTGGAGGTACCACAGTACATATTCATGTGACCTTCGACCAGTCCCCGTACAGGAATAACTGCAGTGGAACCCAATTAGAACACCTCGTCCCTGCCGTGCCTTCAGCAGCAAGCTGCTTGCGCCACAGAATCCACTCGGTTGAATCATTGTCTGCTGGAAGCGTGAAGTCCATAATTAAATCCACAGGCCCAATGGCTAATGAAATATACTGCTCATTCGACCGCATCGTCTGCTGATGATTCAGCGTCAGCCCTTTCATAGAGTGTTCGCCCTTTGCCGGCATTTCAGCTGTTGTACACCCCTCATTCCCGGTGCGGCACGACACGCGCGTCGAGAGAGAGGAACAAACTTGAAGATTTTGCAGTACCACAAAATCGGAACCAAGGGTATCATGTCCGAAGCCTTCCGCTCTGGAGCTGCCCTTAAAGTCTACGGACCGTGAGGGCTCCGTTCCTGGACAAGCCACCACTCCAAATGGTTGGTGGAGAAATGCGGTTGGATGGGAAAGGCAACCCGGCGCTAAGCTTTATAAGCAAGTATTGCCCAATATTGTGATCAAAGCCCCAGGTCTCTTCCGCAGAATATCTCACATTGTCGTTGTTGAAGGCGGGACCACCCTGCAGAATCCCGGCACGAGCGTTAAGTTTACCTAAGGAGACACCGGCTTGGGCTGCGATATGGAGCACGTCGCGCCGATGTGCCTTTTTCAGGGCCTGGAGCATACGGCGAGGTCCCCTGGACCGGCATGATGTATAAGGATGGCAATTTTCTAGCATGTTAGTAGTGCATGTCTTCGAGATTCTGTCGGGCAACACTCAGTTCCAGACTGCTCTGTTCGATATCTTGCATACATCACCATCAGTGGCCATGTCTAAATTCGCAAGTCTTGTAGCAGGGGCGTTGTGCCTCAGCCGCGCCAACGCCAACCTCAACCAACTTGCGCAATCAGCTGGGAAGCTTTACTTTGGCTCTGCTACGGACAACGGTGAGCTCTCGGACAGCGCCTATGTTGCTATCTTGTGAGTAGACGAATCGACATTGGATTGTCGCCACTTTGAGATCTACCGCCGTTTCTTGGCTAACGCGCTGTGAAAATTGCCAGGTCCAACTACGAAGAGTTTGGACAGATCACACCTGGCAACACACAGAAATGGGAATATACGGAGCCCACAGAAGGTATGACAATTATCGGGTGCATGGCTCCTTGGACCAAGCAGTGGACTAACTCACACGATATAGGTGACTTTACATACACCGAAGGTGATGTGATTACGGATTTTGCAGAAGCCAATGGACAGATTCTTCGCTGCCACAATTTGGTCTGGTATAATCAGCTTCCTTCTTGGGGTTAGTACATCCTATTGTGTATACTTCATCCTGTGTATATTGTTACTGATGCTTTCTAGTAACATCGGACACCTGGACCAATGAGACCTTGACTGCGGTCGTGCAGGCTCATATTGAGAGCGAGGTTGGTCACTACAAAGGCCAGTGCTACGCCTGGGATGTAGTGAACGAGGCGTTAGACGACAATGACCCTACTGGGTATCGTACGGATGTCTTCTACGAGACGATGTAGGTCTTTCCTGGCGTGAGAGCAGTGTACCCTCTTGGATTCGACCTCTGTTTCAAACAGTAGGATACAGTTGCGCCGATGAGCTTTCCGGGACGCTGCAAGGCAGAGGATCTCACGATTCAGTGCTTGGCTACATCCTGCTCTTAGAAGGAGGATTTTAACTAACAGCGCACACAGGGGAGTATGGTATATCCCACTTGCCTTCGCAACAGCAGCAGCAACGGATCCCGACGCCAAGCTCTACTATAACGACTACAACATCGAGTATGCCGGCAACAAGGCAACGGCAGCGGTCGAGCTCGTCCAGATGGTGCAGGCGTACGGTGCCAAGATTGATGGGGTTGGCCTGCAAGGCCACTTCATTGTTGGCGAGACTCCCAGCGAGTCGACACTCCTTGCCCAGATCGAGACATTCGCCGCCCTCGGAGTCGAGGTCGCATATACCGAGGTCGACGTGCGCTTCACAAGCCTCCCGCCTACCACCGCTGGTCTTGCGCAGCAGGCGACCGATTACGGCTCAGTGACCAGTGCCTGCCTTGCCTCGGATGCGTGTGTGGGCATTACTGTCTGGTACGTGACGCCTGTGCTGAGAGAGACCCAACCCTCTGATCTTCTTGAAGAGTGATCTTGTGTGACTTACGTTTTCTGAATGAACACGACAGGGACTTTGACGATGCGTACTCGTGGATCCCGAGCACGTTCTCGGGCGAGGGCGACGCATGCCTCTACTGGGCCAACCTGACTACCAAGCCTGCGTACGATACTGTCGAGAGCCTGCTCGCCTCTGCCGCGGGCACGACAGTTGCTGCTACGAGTACAGCCACTGCGACGGTTACGGTGGGGACGACAAGCACGACGACTGGGGCGAGCGCTACGGCCACGCAGACTCAATACGGTCAATGTGGGGGAGATGGTTACACTGGTCCCACTGTGTGTGCCTCGCCATACACTTGTGAATACTTCAGTGAATACTACTCGCAGTGTCTCTAGGTCAGGGTGTTGGTGAACTTGAGACAAGACGTGGCTGTCTAGGGCAACTATAGTGAGATGATACATACGAAGGTGTATGTATACAGAAAACATTGTGGGGCCTTATTTTGGGGATATGCCAACTCAAATAATCCTCAGTATAAATACAGCTTGTATTCAAATGAGAATTGTGTTGAAGCAGTGAAAATAACCTTAACTGAGCGTGTCGTATTGTGCAGCGTTGACTGGTCGGTGTTACCAAGTGCAGGTCTCATGTCAAATCAATGACGTGCTGAGCTATCTGTATTGTCTTTCAACTTGTCAAAGTTGAGTGAACTCCTATATGAGAGGCCTTTTCGTGATCATCAGTTGTATGCCAGAGATGCACGGCACAGTGAGTCATTCTTTTGCCCCCTCTCAGGCCAGCACCATATGCATGATGCTGCTGAGGGCAACCTCCGGGCCCCAGAAACACGCAAGAGAACAAGCATCGAAACTAAAGATGTGAGCTTATTGTGCTTTCATTCTAGCATCTATGACCATTTCTCTTTTTGTCATTCTCAAGTGGAAACCGTGCAGAATTGTCCGGCAAGTCCAGGATAGGCAGAACTCGCAATCATCACCTAAGGTGCCACAGCTACATCCATGGGTGCTTGGATGATAGTCAGGAAAGCTCGATGAATGACATATCTACATGTGGAAGGTGTGAACCAGGGCAATTTGATGTCATGTTTCATGCGCACTGGAATAATCAGGCTCCTGAAGCAGGGACACAGAGGTAGACGGCAAGATAACCACTGCCTGAGTGACTGGCGAAGTCGAAAAGTCAGATATCTCTGTAACATCTCCAATTTTGTTACAATATTCAGCGACCAAGTCTATCTGTGTCTGTTATTTCCCATAGACTTCACAAGGGCATACCATCAAAACGATACGACCTGCACGCTTTGTATCACAGGAAGATCCTTGTCAAAGATGGTCTGTTTTAGCCTTGTCGCCAGAAATGGCAAATCTCAGCCTCATTCCTTGCAAGGGTTCTGCAGCACTGCAGCCACGTGCTCTCCTCACGTACCCAATCGTCGTGAGGTCGCTGAGGGAACTGAATTTAGAATTTTGACAACAGAGTCAAAGTAATTGTTTGCTATGTGAGGCTAGTCTCTTTTCGGGATAGAGCATAGCTGCATTTGGGTGACGCGAAGCCTTGCAGTGACGAAGATGAAGGCGTGAATCAGAGATTTGTTGCTACCCAATGACCAGGAGCTCTCAACAAGGGAAAGTTCATCGTATGGGAGTTACTCGAAAATTGTCTATACAAAGCACCAGGATTCTCTCAAGTTTCCATTGAGGATGTGCTGATGCTGTTTTAGACTGAAGATCCTAGTAGTGCCGTAAGGGCAGCGTTGATATATACAGGAACAATGGTGAAACTCAAGGATGTAGAGCTGTCAAAATAAACAGGAAGATCATTGTGAAAGGAAACCAAATGTTGGTAAAGCATGGCTTCTTGGCCAGCATTTCAGGGAAGACGAGACAACCATCACTCTCGCAGATGCCTTGGAAGCATGCCAGGATATGGTGATTTTACAGCTCCAAGAATGCTAGAGCAGGAGCAACCGCTCAACCGTAAAGCCGTATTCTTTCCTTGTGGAAGAATATGTACCTGAGATTGGCGCATCCTTTTGAGCATCATGGAAGGCTAGAGTAAATTGTCCCCTGACGCATCTGGTCCGCTGTTGTGACCGGTTCCATTTTCACGTTGTTAAATATGATCCCCCTCCTCCCAGCATTGCCATAAAACACTCGTGGGCGGTTTTCATATGATACCCAAAACCCTGCAGGGAAGTTGAGTGACTCACCGCATAGTCAGACGAAGGCATTGCGATGAACCGCCCAGCTTCCGCACGGAACAACAATGATGCTTCTAGCATGTGCGCTGGGGTCTGGTTATCTGTATCTGCGGTTTCGTGATTTTGCAGTGATATCTATCTGCAGGTAATCTATTTCAGAAAGGGCACCAAGGCCCTGACTGTTTTATCCACACGTCACAATTTCCCATACTTTCAACACGAAATAACATTTCCCCACCACCATCCACAACGCGTCTTCGCGCGTCTGCTTCTGCACCCAAGCATCAAGGCAGCACCTTTCTTACAGTCCATCAACATCCTTCAAAGAATCGTTCCCCTCTACCATTCAACGTCATGTCTGGAGCCAACGCCTTGAAAGCCAGCACTGGCATCAACTCCCTCACCCCCCGCGAGGGCGAGATTCTCGCCAAAGCCTGGGCCTGCCTCAAGACCGGTCCTCCTGAGGTAAGTTCACGATCTGTCTGCAATCAGCTTGCAACCTTTCGTCCCTTTGTCGTGACAGCATCCTCCTCCAGCATCCTTCCCAAAACTTCCTCTCGCCTGTCACACTGCCGTCCGTGTTCTGCTCCGCAGTTCGCTGCTATCCTCTGCCCATCCTCCGACGATGCGTCACTAGCCTTGAGGCATGCGCGATTGAAGTCCCGCCAGAACTTCGCCAATGTCTTTCAGTTTTCCTGTCAGCATTAGCCAACACTTATGAAGCACCCAACATAACTTTTCTACCTCTGTATGTAACATGCCATGTTCGCTCACCAGCGCATCACACACAGATCGACTACGAGAAGCTCGCTGACGAGTGTGGCATGAGAAACCACCGCTCCGCCGCAAACGCCTGGTCTGCCATCAAGAAGAAGATGGCCTGGTCCACCAGCGCTGCTGTCGGCCCTGGTCGCCCCGCCGCTCGCGCTGGCGCCAAGCGCAAGAAGACTGCTGACCCCACCGACAACGAGAACAGCGACGAGGGCGAGGTTAAGGAGCAGCCCCCCGCCAAGAAGACAAAGGGTGCCGGCAAGAAAGCCACCGGCACGTCTCGCAAGAAGCTGCCTACCACCCTTGCCAAGAAGAGCCCCTCTGTGGCCGAGGAGTCCTCTGATACTGAGGTGTACCACGAGCGGTCTGCCACCGCTGCCGGCACCAAGAAGATGAAGACGGAGGCTTCTCAGTCTGGTTCTGGTGCGAAGGGCGAGGCTGAGCGCCCCATCAAGAACGAGCCTGAGCCTGATGTTGAGTCTGACGGCACCTAAGTCACATCCCCCAGCCTTTACAGGCTTGTCTTGCTCTGACTTACAATCTTGATTGCCTGGACGGGCTTTTCTCTCTCTGCTTGGGTGAATATACTGGGGGTCTTGGCTACTACGCAGTGGCTTGGATGTCGCCTGGGCACTTGGGAGAGAAATTCGGATGGTTGGGCTTGACCATGGGATGGATCGATTCAGCAGATGATGGTTATTGGGGTTGGTGATGCAATTGGAGAACAGAAGCGACAAGAGTTTGCAGCACAACGTTTCTAAGTGCTCGTCTCAATCATGAGCTACTTTTCGACAGATTGAAGACAAACTGCCTTTGTTGCCCAAACATTATGTTCTAATCTTCTTTTTGAATGTGCATGTGCTGTCCTATGTGCTCAGCCAGTTTCCTTGTGATGAATCATGGCATGTTGTAGATCATGTTTGCCTGCTTGGTGCGTACTCGCAGGGCGTCATTCGGAAGCCATGGGTGACAAGAACATGACTGCCTATTATCTTCTCGCTGTGTCAACAAAGTTCTAATACCTTCTGTTGTCTTTCAAGCGTGTCTGCCTTGGCGCTCTTGGTTGTCTGCACCCAACCACTGCACCGCCATGCGTCAAACATTGCGCAGATGGCAATGTTTTCAAGGGCAGTCAGGTATGTGCGCTCTTGTAACTCGTCTTGCAAGATACTGATGGTGGAATCAACTTAGAATCGAGCGCTGTTTGCCATGCCCAAGACTTCTATCTCCCATGACTTGATTCATTTTCTTGCCCGACTACCTCTCTGCGCAGCCTGGACTCTGAGCTGAGGGGTGGGGTGAGGGGGGGGGGGGAGGTGTGGATGGCAAGACCACAGACAAGATATGAGACCCTTCTAGAAGAACGCACCACGTGAACAACATGTTTCAGAATCAGCCATGTCTTACCAAGTCTGTCTACTGCATTACTCGGAATTGATCGTCCAAGCAGCATCACTCGAAAAGGACGCAGTTCTAACTTGACAAGAAATATTCCTGAACTTTGGAGGACACAGCCCGAGATGGAGATACGTCCAAGAACAGGCTCGAGAATTGTGTGTTCGCCTTCCACACATCTTGACAGGGCACGTGACAAGGTGACTCGCCAGTTTGAAAGCACCTTCTTGTACATGGTCTGCTATACACCCATCCTCGAAGCCCTAACATCGTTCCTTGATAAGATTGAGAGTAACAAAGTAGCACTAAAGACTGCTCCGAGCGAAGGCTTGGATTCACTGCCTGAATCTCAAATCGAGTAGGCTGAAGAGCAGCAAAGGCTTCGACACCGAATGACTTCACAATATCTAATACAAATACATTTCGACACGAAGATGCTTGCCGTACCAGAATGAGGAAGCATGTCAAACTCAAAGTACACAACAAGCCAAGACTTTGAAAATCACGGTGTAGCGAATTCACACTTCGAAGGAAAATGCAGCCTAATCATATGCATGTCCAAGCTCGAGTAACGAGGAGTCACAGATGAAGATCTTGTTGGTGGGCAGGAATCTCGATGGCTCGAGCCCTTGCGGTTGTCTATTCAAACTTTGGCCCCATACATCTGTACCCGTACAAAAGAAACCCGATTCTCCCATCCGGGTCCTCCCCTCACATGAGCCGAGACCTGTATTACGCTGCCGTGTCGGATGTTTTCAATAAGCTCCGCCCTCCGTGGGGACGAGGCTTTAAGCTCGCTCAGATTCCAGATGTTTGTATGCAGCTTAAACATGTCATGGGCATTCACGTTGTGCTGGAGCACGAAGCTTGGGGAGTCCTCACCCGGCTGTTTGAGGGAGACGTGAATGGTGGTAGAGCCAATATACGTCCCTTGTTCGCTTGGAAAACTGCTCCAGCCTTGGTCCCGTGACACTGTCTCAAATACGATGCTTCGTATTGGAAGCTTGACATGCTTCTTGACTGCTACTTCGAGCAGCAGCATGGACGACGGTGAGTTTCCGTACTCCAGCCGAGCACAATCGGATTCCTCCCACGTCTGTTCCTCCGAGACGAGTGGATGTGTTCCTCAGGGCGCCAAGAAATTCATCGGATATCTACACGACTCCGTCATGACAGCAGGCCATGTCAGTTTTGAAACAGCCTGGTTGGCAACCAGGATACCCGTGATCGTGTCATCGCCGAGTCCTCGAGCATAATCAAGGGCCATCTTTCCATTCTCGCATGGATGATTCACATCCAGACCCTCGCTGATAGCTCGTTGCAGTTCGTCGGCAAATCCCCCTCGGACGAGAGATTGCATTTCTTGCGCCTTCGTTGGGGCATGTCCAGAGATGTGAGAAACGAGGAGTCGTGCAATGTCCAGGCAACCTAGCACGTAGGCGAGGTCAAGTGGCGATTTATCGTTGTCATCCCGCCTGAGGGTCATGTCTGCACTTGCTTCAAGGAGGATCTTGACAACTTCGGCGCTGCAATAGTAGACAGCATTGTACAGTGGTGGCCGCACGACTCGACCAGCTGCTCGAGTAGCGTTGACCTCGGCTCCGTTTTCGAGGAGTTTTCGCGCCATGTCTTCTCGACTTGCTCGTCTAAAGGCACCCGCGAGCCCCAAGGGTGTGGTCGGTATCGGATCTGTGATGGGCCGCTTCCTCTCGTGTTCGCTCAGAATAGGGACGAACGCTTGGAGGTTGAATAGAACTGCCCAATGCAGCCCAGTTATTGGGCCTGGAGTAACAACATGCCTTACCACTTTCCAATTGTCCCACTCGTCGTGCTCTCGGGCTTTGGAGACCAATGACTTTACCGCCAGGTCTCTGACATGGTCATTCCATATCTGAGAGTGTGCCTTCTTCAAAAAGTCTTCAGTCGTCGCCCAGAGAGAAGTTCCCGGCTTCAGTATCGCATTCAGGCCGCTTCCCCAGTGATCCAACGCGTATGAACATAACGGATAGCGGCCCATGTACTTTGAGGCGTCCTCAAGAGGTCTCTTCAGGCAGTCGAATTGGAGGAATTGCAGGAGCCTACTTGGTATATGTTCCCGGATGGTCGGGAACCAGTCCCTTTTGGTTGTTTCAAGAAGTAAGTGCTCGGTGATAGTCTTGTGCGCGACTCGGACTTCTCCATTGCGGCGATCGACAACGACCAGGTCTCCGCAAAGGGCCTCGATGCCTGTTTCATCCCATATTTCTCTCGTCGGGTCGTAATCAGCGTCTCCCTCCTCGATGGCCAATGCCTGCCTCAGTTGTTTCTCTGTCATTGGGCTTTTCGCGTACGCAACCCAAAAGAGTGCTTGAATAGCCTGGCACGGTAGGCCATCTTTTTGCTTTGAGCTGGCAAATTCCTGGGCAAGGCGCTTCAACCCTCGGTCGTAGGCTTTTGCCGCTTCATCTGGCAGCTCTGCGATGATATCAAAGCATTCGGCATCAGTCTTTGCTCTCAAGACTTCATTCATGAATAGCTGAGCCAGCAAGAAGGAACCTTGGCACTTCGAATCAGCCTTTTGATGATGTTGTGAACAAGCTCGGCCTTGTTCTTTTCACGGTCCCAACCCTTTCTCGAGATGCGGTCGCGTACGTATAGATCGACGTCTATAGTCTGTGCCTTGAGCGTAAACTTTGCTTGAGGTGGGTCCGTCTGGAACAGCTCTTTGATGCTCGTGTACGGACGGGAGGTTATCAATAGCCGGCATTTTTTGCTGCTCTGCTGAACTTCTTTCAGACTCTTGACGACATCCTCTTGGAGGTCTCGTGGGATTTCGTCAAGCCCATCCACGAGGAGAACTACCGCGCCGACCTTGGCTATGGTGTATGTGAAAACATCCATCATCTGTTTTCGTCTCTCGGCGTAGGAAGAGAGTGCTGCGCGCCTGGACAGCATGCTCTGGACAAATTCTGCTTCTCATTTGTGGACTGGTAGCGAATCAACCAGTTGTGGCCAAAGGCTCATGACAATGTCCATGTGATCTTTCAGTTCCTGCAGATCGGAGTTCTGGTGGTCGCAGAAAACGTGGGCGACTTGGAAGGCGGGAGGGTTCCCGGCTCCTTTCTTCAACTCATTGGCAGTAATGACCCTAATCATCAATCATTTAGTCAGTCAAGCTCTTTGCAAGGAGATTCCGCGGCTGATCAAGGGTAGGTATTTACGCCAATCCAGTCTTTCCACATCCCTCTGGTACAGGCGTTAGCGCTGGCGTAAATGGTACTTGGTCGGGTCACATGAATAGATATAACTCACGTATTCCATTGACCCAGAGGAGGCCGTTGTATGACTTCTCCCAATTCCGATACTGAGGCTCGTCACGGAACCATTTACCCGTTCCTGGGGTGACTTGTTGAACACATGCTGGTTCTTGGGAAATCCCACCGCTGATAGCTGGCGTATAATGCTTGATGAATTTCTTCACCGATCGTTTTGAGGATGAAAGTTAGACAAGAGGTCTTTGGAACGATGTAGTCGATGGTAGTTGTTAGGTCATAAAAATACTGAGATTCCTCAAAAGTGCAAGCTGGGCCTTGGTCTGTTGGCACCATGACGAAGAATGACTTGCCTTGTTCAGCAGCTGCCAGTTCAGAAACATCGCCAGCCATCTTGATGGTCGTCAGTTGAGATAGCTGATCATTGAGGCGATTGATTCTCGTAAAGGCCTTCTCGACATCACTTTTATGACGAGGCCACAACAACCAGGTCAAGATGTTTTGGAAGTGGTCAGGACTTCGTTGAAGTCGCCTTTCCAACTTTGAAATGCATGGCCTCAGCTGGTCAAGAACCCCTTGGATCTCGTCCTTTTGACCCGTCTCGAACTTGCTCCAAACGAACTCGATGGCCTTAAAGTTTTCCAGGAGGCCCTCGATCTCTCGATAGAGATCACTGCGCTCTTCCTCGGCATGGTAAGATGTCGCTGAGGGATGACATGGCTGTTGATTTGGCGCTGTTGCTGCAGATGGTATCTCGAGGCTTGTTTGTGAATGGAAGGACGGATAGTATATGCAATGTTGCGAAGAGCTCGACGTCTTAAGACCAGAGTACGATGGTACGAGAGAGTCTGAAGTACTGGAAGAAGGGAAGGATATATGGCAAGAGTCCCTATAGGGATTTCGGGATCTGATACCCTGAGCTACAGCTGAATGCATATTGTTTCCTTACATGCAAGCAAAACTGTCTTGCATGGCAGGACTTTCCCATCTTGGGAGCCCCAGAGGCCAGGTTAATAGCAATAGTGGTCCTTTCACCGTGAATGGGGACGTGGGACCCCGTGGACCTTGACACGGTGTAGATGCGCAGAGATAGCAGATTTTGACCATAAGAGACACATATCATGTTCACTATTGAGTTTTGAAGTGCCGTTATGCTCTTCAAAATGGTTAGAACTAGACCTGAGGTGGTCTCCTTGTTTCCTCCTGGACGTCAACTCGGTCTGATTGCTCAAAGGCTCGATCACCACCATTACTCTGGGTCTTTTTCCTTCTCCTTTCTTCCCTTTCTCTTTTTTTTTTTAATAAAAAGAAAAGAGCGAAGAAATCTGAAAACTTATATCTCCCAAGGTTTGCAGCAAATTACTGGGTCAATGGTGATCTCATGCTGTTCCGGGACCCTCCACGTAAGTATCTTGCATGAAAATTCGGAATCCTCCGCTGCAAGCCACGTCTCTTGCACACAATCGTAAGCACGCATTCCGCAACAGTATCTCAAGGACACTATGAACCTTCGAGAAGGCCTTGTTGCTCTGCTTTTTCTATTCAAGTGATTCATAGATTTACAATCGATGAACTTTTGCATGGATCGTGACCCTGTTTCGTGATACAAGCCCCTGAACGGTCTCTCATGTCTACTATGTAACTCTATTGAACTGAATCACATAGCCTGTGCCATATTAGTGTGGTGGATGCAGGTGTGTGGAGATATGAGCACGTTGTCATGGGAGGAAACATTGGGATGTCGTCGACGGCATCTTCGCTTCATAGTTTTTCCGGAGCTGCGCAGCGTAGACGGCCTGTAGCTCGAGCAAGCCTCACTTACTGAATCCTGGATGAGTTTAATGTGCCAATTGCAGATTGTCGGTCTTCGTCAACGCAAAGCGGGTCGTGAGTGCGCAAGAATGATCTCGTATTTTCTACCATATCGCCGACGGGATCTGCTTAGCACAGAGAAACTTTTGCGACGCCAACGACCTAACAATGCTCACGACCCTCGACTGGGGATAGAAGTTTACTTCTCGGGGCTACTCTCAAAGGCCTGTATCGCTTCGCTGTCGATCTCGTACGCTGCAGTAGAATATGGCCAGAATGTACACCCAAATCTAAAGTTTCCTACGAGAGAAGCTCATATCCAGTAGAGCCGCCACCCCACACGTTTCAGTAGATGGGCGTTTGCATGCAACGATTGGTAAATCTGTAAGCAGCGAGTTGCTGGCATCAAGTTGTTGGCAATTATCTGGCGAGCATTTCCAAATGGCATTTATGAATGGGTAAAGCGGTACATGCTTACGTTGCACTTCCCCGCCGACCCCCCAAGATTGGGTCAGGCTGTCTTGAGCTGACTCGATCACTACCTGAGGCCATAAGCTGAACAAATCTACCAATCATGGCCTTTCTGCGTCAACAAGTAGCTGCCCATCTATTCTGCGAGCTAACATGAACCCCTCCATGGCTGAACAGGACTTTGTGAGTATTACAACCTTCATGGTAGGATATGATCTGTCAAGCCTGGACATCTCGGTATGCCCTTCATATACAGAACTGCCGTTCAACAATCAGTAACTCGGATGCACTTTTTCGTTGGCAGAGCTCGATAGTCTAGCCAGGGATTATCAAAGCTGCAGCAGACGCAGTGGGGTTGATGATGGCAATGTATCAGCATTTGCGTGATAAGCATGGCGTGATGTGGCCATCTTTTCACAATTCCATGGCCCATCAAACAAGGGTCACGAACAGGTCAACAACAACCAGCGAGGCAAGAGTCAGAAGACAAATCTAGATGTTAGAAATATAAACGGGAAGTATAGAAAACAATATGAGAGTTATCATTGCCACTATGTTCGAGTTGTAAACATATACACAAGGCGGCTTGCCTAGGGGAATATATGCGAGTGCTAGTGACTCACTTCGCATTGGCCCACTCGCATAGCGACCAAATCACCTAGATAGCTTCATTTGCCTTTTGTCACTTTTGCTTTCAGCCTTCCCATATTGCCTTCTTATCTGTATTGAAAGAATATCTGCTGATACGAACTTCCGTATTTCCCACGATGTTAGTACGATTAGGCCTTCTGCCGTCATGGAGGCTGCGGTTTTTACGGGTTGTTGATGACCACATCACCAGGCAGGGTATCCATCCCTGGGTAGAGGATAATCAGCGCTCTGGTCCGCCCATGTTTCCTCACAGACTGGACCCAAATGATTATACTTACAGCCTTCTATATCCTCACTGACCATCTGGGCTTTGGTACATTGTTGTGCCATATCAGCAGTCTGCCGTGTGAGTTGACTGCACGTGTCGCCAGTGCACCTCGCGTCCAAGGCTCGCTGGAGGGCATCACCCTGCCAGCCAAACATGTAGTCTCCATGTTGCGAATAACCCGTCCTAACAACATGTCAACTTCTTCTGATCATGCGACCTCCTAAATAGAATAGTACCGTAGTTAAGGTTGAGAGAGCAGGACTTACACGTCGCCCATCGAGTAGACAAAGGGCTGCGACCCATCCTCCGGCCATAGGTCTGGGTCATTGAAGCCAGTGGTATCCCACATAACCTCGTACATAAGCTGTGGGAGGCGTACAGGATGCGATGCAGGACATTCCCCTGTGGTTTCGAAGGTGCCAGTGGCTGGGTAGGCGACGTGGCTCTTGTGATCGGGACTGTCTACGTTCACGCCGTCCCAGCAGCTAGAGAGAGAAAGTAAAAGAGAAAGAAATACGTAAGCACGGGTTTTTCATTCGAGGACTTTGTGACACTGAGAGGGGTTCGACCCACGTTGGAAATGTTATAGTCGTCCTGATCCCCCCGCCGCACATACTGGCGGGTAGAGCTTGGGTGTCGTTGCCCGTACAGGGCGCTCCACCGAAGGGGTCCTGCTGCTTGTTGCTGAAGCAGCGGTGACAGAGTTGACGCTGTTCATCCTCCCCTGATCTCAAGGTTGGGTCTCCGACGAGCATACGAAAACCCTGAGATGGAAGAAGGCGGAAGAAGACGGTGTCTAGTCAGTGGATCATCTGGTACCTGACTGTCTTTGACCTGAGAGAGGAAGATGCCTACGGGCTTGAAGGCAGTGACATTCGTCACGCCATCGTACGGTGGGATATAGTATACAGTGATTCCCTCGTTGCCCTCCAGTCCGAGGTTGACCATCTGAGGGACTCGTTTGAAGGTGCCATTGCGAGCTCGGAAGTATAAGTTGGCGGTCCAATAGTTGGAAAAGTCCTCGCTGAAAGTACAGCTCGTGCAGCTGGCGACCGTAGAGGGGTCCGGGTCGACAGGCTGCATGGTCGCGTTGAAGGCGTCCCCACCAACGATCTGGTGGGTATGGGGAGACCCGATCATGCCTGGGTTCACCAGAGGATCGAGCCTTTCGATCACAAGCCGAGAGCAGCCGAATCTCATCATCGCTGCTGTCGCACAACAGCCTGCTGGTGCAGTGTCATTTTGAGCAGAGACCCTAGCCGCAAGGACCAGGGCAGCCGTGGCAAGTGCAATGAATCCCATTGTTGGATCTGTTCAAGGTTGAATTGTCAATAATCTGGACCAGTATGTGTATGTATGTGCGCGTGTGTGTGTGTCGCGTCAAGGTCCACAAGTGACTTGAAAGCGGAAGGCAAAGACACAACGAGAGGGAGAAAGGAACTTACGGCAGACTATTAAGTGTTTTTTGCACCACCCCCCTCCCCCAATTGGTACCGGATTCTCCAGTATGACTTGGGCATTTCCATCTTCTCCACGTAGATTGTATTGTTCTATATGAATCGAGCCAACTGCCGACATCTCGTTTGGCAGTGGCTAAATGCATATTGATGAGAACTTACAGTATTGATGTTGATTGGTGTAACCGTAATTGCTGTCACATATTCTCCGCATCCATCATAAATTTTGTCCCATCTAGATTGCAAAAATGGTTCGTACACAACGTGGAAGTTGACACAGGGCGTAAGAGCATCTATCATCCACCTACAAATTGACTTGTGCTTTCATCCAGCCGCAGTTCAGGATGAGGAGGAGATTGAGAGACAAAGCCAGTCGATTCCTTAACCCTGTTGGTCTGGCACAGGAGATTTCCAGGAGTGCGTGAAGAAGCAGGACTGTTGATAGGGACAAGTCTGGACCTGGACCTCGCTGATGATGGGCCATTTGATGCATCTGCACAAGGATTTATAAAGTCATTTGGAGGCCGACGCGCAAAACATAAATCCTCCACACAGACTCGAAGAAGAGAAACACTGAAGCATCTTGCTCGACGGCTGTGTATCACAGAGAGGTCCTTTCGCATCTCTCGGAGCCATCATCAATGTGAGACACATGTGAACCTAAGCAATGTCGAGTCAAACATTAAACGGTAAAATCGCTGCCTGACGATCATCAAATAATTAGACAGAATCAATCACTTCCAAGAACGGATGTCTTAATCTGGTGCCATTTCCCATCCGTATCTGATGTCTGCTTGTAGCTCCTCCTCACTAGCCCCCGATGGTGTCGTGATGTGTATGGTGTAAGGAATTTCTACCACCGTTTCAGTTTCACAGCCAGACGAAAACTTCACGAGGCAGCAAATACAAAAAGGTGGTCACTGTGTACATGATTGGATCGTTTTCTAGCATATATCAGACCTCGATCTAGTACGATAATAATGTTATAGGCGTCCGGTCTTTAGTCAGCCTTTGTTCCTCCTAAATAAAATAGAATAAAGTAGGGCCTAGGTAAGTACTCAAGGACTCGTGCAAGCCCTAACCCTCTCCGTAATAAACATAACCCGATTCCAAATAAATTCACGCAAAACCTCCAAAGTCTTCTTTCCAACAGCTCACCCCTTATCATTATGGGTCTATCTTGCCTCCAGCTCGCTTCCGGCCCTCGGTACCACCCTGGAAGTCGGGACCGTGCTCAAATGCATCGGTGCCCGTCTGAACTTGTACCACGTTGGACAAAAACAAACGACAGGAGCAATTCTCAGCTAAAGAGACGCCACGCCCAACACAAATTCCGCGCCCCCCCTCCCCAGTCTCACCTCCCGGTTGAACCAAATGCGGTCTGGCGCGGAAGACGGCCCTGGACAGGCCACTAGATAACAATGCTCAACATGATTGGAGAGCCTCTTACAAGGTAGCGAGGGTGTCTGATAACGACATGCCATCGTTTGTGCTCGATTCGAAAGGGAATTGGAAGAGTGGCTCGAGGGGGTACGTCAACGGTCGCAGGGCCAAGACGGCGCTCGCGTCTCAATTCGGCCAGGCCAGCATTACATCACCTTGCTGTTGCTGCTGCTGCTGGGTCCAGACGATGTGCATCTGGGGCCTTCGTTTCTGCGAGACGATACGAAACGGCAACATGATCAAGGCGTAACAAATGTGAACAAAACAAACAAAAGTGTTCACTTCCACTGCTGGCAACGACGTCAAAACTCGGCAGAGCTCCTGTCAGCCCCATTGATCCGTGGCCTGACGTCTGACCAAGCATTTGCTGGGTCTGGGCAGGTTCCACTTCCCCAGGAAAAAGCCAAGACATGACTACTATCGTGAATGGATCCCGTCGTGGTGGTCCACGTCGTGAACGCACCGTTACATGCCAAAGTACTACCTCGTTTGATGATTACACAAGAGCCATGCCATGATGCATGCATAGCCTGGACCTGGGCCCAGCATAGCTCAGCAACCAAATCTGCTGGGCCAATGTTTCATATTGAGATGCACGTCAGGAACACGTCCCTGCATGGCTGGCTGGCTCCCTGGGTATCATTGATACAGCCTGTCGGGAACCAATAGGACTCGGCCACCAGCAAGACGTTCATGATGCCGGCCTGGCGTCATCGTTAAAACGAGGCATACCATGACAACCTCAAATTAGCACACAATCTTTTCCTCTGCCCGTCGTCGCCACACTTTTCTTATCTCACTCCATCCAAGGACTTTCCAAGCTACCCAATGATCGTCTTATTTGCTACTCGGGGGTGCCCGGGTATCTTGAATGAAGGAGGAATCTCTTCCCGTCCGCACATATCTTCGTATCACGGGACAAAAGTGTAGGGGGATCCCAATTATTGATAAGCCTCGCTAATAAGAAAAAAGACAAATACCAGATATCCACTACGCCTCGCTTTTCCTAACCAGAGGGCAGGCACTGATAACATGTCAGATAGTGAACCGCCACAGCACTTCGATTTCAGCTTTCGTTCCTTTCTCGGCTAGAAAGGATCTGACTGGCTTGCAAGTACATTGTCTTGATGTAAGCCGCGGATTCGACGCAACCCTCCTTTGTGTCAAGCAGAAGGTAGGCTCACACATACACATACACGCACTCTCTCTCTCCCTCTCCATAGGGTTTAGGATCTCAGCCACTAGTAGTATGCAATGTGTGTCTACCATAGTACTATCGAGGTGAAATTTTGTCCTCTTTGATCGACATGCCTCAACTACCTTGAACGCCAAGAATCTCGATGCTGTGGGTAAGCATCTATCTGTCAGCACTTGTTGGACCACAACCAGCCTGTACTACCTGACAGTACATGCCCAATGCAGCCCAGAATCCCTCAGACGTACCACCCACGCCAATCTCGAACGAGGGCCACCCCCTCCCACTCCGTGTCCCGCGTCCTGGCCGAGTCCGAGGACAAGGGGTCCTGCAGCTACCCCTGCTGCAGTTCTTATCCGAGGCCTTGAAAAGGAGCTGGGTCGCGCAAATACAAATTTCTTTTTCGTTCTGTTTGGGTCCTCTGGAAATTCCGTCGCGTCTTCCTTTTCTGTCTTACGCGAGAAGTGTGTTGTAGCTATTCACTGTCACCAGGTTGTTCTTCTTTGGCAAGACCCTGAGGCTCACACCTTACCGACATTACCTTGACTGCGGTGAAAACGGGGACTGACATATACATACATATATCATATATATAAAGCAAGCAGCTCGAGTCAAGACTCAGGATGTCTGACAACAGCACAGATGCGCCGATTTGGTGGACACCGTCGTCGCCGACGGGCACTGGTACGTTGCATACGTCCTAGTTACAGAGCAATTCTTGTTCCAATTACCATCCCTGAGACTTGATCAAGACCCTCTATAGCCATGTTGCGTAAGTAGACACTATTGCTAACCATCTCTCATTACAGGTGACAATGCGTGGCAGCTCACAGCGGCCTCTCTCGTCGCCCTCCAATCCGTCCCTGGCCTCGTGGTCTTGTACGCAGGCCTCGTGAAGAAGAAATGGGCCATCAACAGTGCCTTCATGGCCTTCTACGCCTTCGCCGCCGTGCTCGTCTGTTGGGTCCTCTGGGGCTATGAGGCCGCCTTTGGCGAATACATGCTGCCGTTTGTGGGCAAGCCCAACAACGTCCTAGGCATCGACACCATGCTCAAGCAGTCCTATCTGCCCTCCATCGGCATCGGCCAAGAGTTCCCGCTCGCGACCATGGTCTACTTCCAGTTCGTCTTCGCGGCCATTACCCTCGTCCTGGTCGCCGGGGCGTTTCTGTGCCGCATGAACTTTTATGCCTGGATGATCTTTGTGCCTCTCTGGCTCACGCTGAGCTACACCGTTGGCGCGTACTCTCTGTGGGGAGGCGGTTTCCTCTTCAACCTCGGTACGATCGACTACTCGGGTGGCTACGTGATCCACCTCTCGTCAGGCACCGCAGGCTTCATCGGATCGTACTGGATCGGCCCCCGTCTGGCCAGGGACCGCGAAGATGCACGGCCTAACAACATCCTGACGGTGCTCATCGGCGCCGGCATCCTCTGGATCGGCTGGAACGGCTTCAATGGCGGTGACCCGTACTCAGCCTCCGCGGACGCCGGCGTGGCCGTTCTCAACACGAACCTGTGCACCGCCGTCTCCCTGCTGACCTGGACGATCTGCGACATGATCTACTACAAGAAGCCCTCCGTCATCGGCGCCGTCAACGGCATGATCACGGGCCTGGTGGCCATCACCCCGGCCGCCGGCGTCGTCGCAGGCTGGGGCGCGATCCTCCTGGGCCTGGGCTCCGGCACCATCCCCTGGCTGACCATGAACATCCTCGGCAAGACGAGCTTCTTCGAGCGGCACTTTGACGACACGCTGGGCATCACGCACACGCACATGGTGGCGGGCTTCGTGGGCGGCTTCGGCACCGGCCTGTGGGCGACTGTGGACGGCTGCGCGGCGTTCGGCCTGACCAACCCGGGCGGCGCGGTCGCCGGCAACGGCATCCAGCTGGGCTACCAGATGGCGGGCGCCATGTTCGTCATCGGCTGGAACCTGGTGTGGACGAGCCTGATCATGCTGTTCATCAAGCACGTCCTGCGCATCCCGCTGCGCATGTCCGAGGACGACCTCATCAAGGGCGACGACGCCATCCACGGCGAGGAGGCGTACGTCTTTGGGCCGTGCGAGGCGCACGATCCAGAGTCGGGCTATATCCAGGGCCACGCCGTGACCGATACCACGGGGCAGAGCGGCGAGCTGGGGCTGGGTGGCGTCCACAATCACCACCACCATCACCACCCGGATACAACACCTGAGGAGACGACGGAAAAGGCTGAGACGAAAGATGCTGGTGAGACTACTGTGATTTGAAGCGTCCGACAAGAGGCAAGTCGTGATTTGTATTGATCTCAGCGCTGCTGGTGCTTGGCATACTGTCGAGATAAGCAACACCGCACACGAGATAGATTAACAGACTGTATGGGGGTTCACTCACAATGATACTAAGTGAGTGAGTGGTGGTGAATTGGATATAGTAGCTGTTCGCATGTTTCCGCATCTTCCTTTGATTTGGCGTGGAATAAATATACCCAAAGCTCAATTTCACCCTCTTGTATATTATCATTCCAAGTTATTTCAGTGTGTTTAACTAAGGTTCTACTTCGCTAAGCATTATCAACAAAACAAGGACACTTGCGTCCTAGACATTCGTGGAAACACGATCGTCAGTTGGAACACAAGGCAAGATCAATACCAAAGAATGCCCTATTTTCCCTGGGTATCAGACTCGGGCTTTGCTGCAACCACATTCTTCTCTTCTTCTTCCTCCTCCTTCTTCTCGGTTGATTCAGCAGCCGCCACCACGGGCTTTTCCACCACCACCGCCTCATCACCCTCAGCCTGCGATTCTGTTTCCTGTTCCTGTGGCTGCGCCTGCTTACCAGCTGCTTGGGCAGTAGCATCCTCCGACGGGACAGCCGGCTTCTCCTTCTTGGAGAATAAGCTGACCTTGGGCATACTCATGCTCGGCATGGACGGCATGCTGGGTGTCGAGATGGTAGGCAGCTTCGTGGGGATGTAACCTTTGACAGACGAGCCGGCCTGTGACACTCCGGTACCAGCGTTTTGTGCGATGCCCATGAGGTACTTCATGTAGCTCTGCTTGTCCTTGAGCTCCTCCTCGCCCGGGACCTCCTGACCGTCCTCTGGGAGAGGGACTAGAGAAGCCGCGGCGGCAATATCGAGCGGTGACTCGTCCGGCAGTTCGTTGTCTTCAGCAGACCCTTCCGCCTCCGTCTTCTCGCCAATAGCCTCCTCCTGACCTTCCAGCTCCACGCCCTCATCTGTGGCCTTGATCTTGTCCTCTGGAGACCCAACTGGCTCGGGCTGTGTGATCTTGGGATCGTCAACGATCTTGGAATCATCGTTGAACCAGGTGACGACGAGCTTGCCCGCCTTGTCCACCATGGATTGGTAGTCCTCGTTCTTGTCCGTCTGGAACATGCTCATGTGCGCCTGGATCTCGTCACCCGCATTCTTGACGACGTGCCTTGAGAACAAGTTGCTGGCTGGCTGGTCCTCTGCGGGAACGGCACAGAATGTCCTCTCGGGAACAAAGTATCCACCGCTCCAGTACCCATTCTCGCCCATAGACGCATAGATATCGTGCACACCGACACCCTGCAGGGCCGCCAGCCTCTCGAGTCGCTTTCCCAGCTCCTGCTGCTTCATCAGCACCCCCACAAAAGTGAAGTGGTCGCTCAGCCAGGCAAAAGACTGCCCGACATTGCCACGGTTGACATAGGCGAGCCCCTGGCCCAGGCGATCCACGCCCTGCTGATACCCGTCGACAAGGTCCTGCCGGCGCAGAGTGCGTGCCTTCTGCGCTGCCTCCTTCAGTTGTTCGCGGTGCACATACGCTGCCACGCCGCCTGCTGCAATCGCACCCACTGTGCCCGTGCGAACTGCCACCATCTGCCAGGTTTTCCACGCTGCTGGGCCGGCAACAGCACCGGCGCCCGTGGAGCGGGATACTGGGCCGGGAAGGGAGCGGGCGCCGCGCTTCAGAGCCATGCCAAGACCAGCTGGCGCAGCAGAGAGGGCCGTCATGACGTTCCAGACGCTCGAGACTTTTTGGTAGTTAGAGAAGGCGCCGTAGACGAAGAGGGAGCGGGCGAGACCGTTGAGAGGGGTATCGAAGGACAGGATGCCCTGGATCAACGGGAACAGGGGCGTATCGGGGTTGTCTGCCGTGGCGCGCTCGTTAAGAAGCTGGAAGAGGGCGTCGCTGGCGACAAAGCCACTATTGTAATCAAAGAAACCATGTTAGTGATGACTGTGGTGTGTTGAGAGCTTGTAGTGGCTTTCTTTGCCACCGGAGGGAAGAAGGGGGAAAATGAAGAAAAAGAGAAAGGGGGTGTCTTGCCCCATGGAGTGTGCGACTAGTATAACGCCCACTTGTCTATCGTTTGGTGGCCATGGCTTCTCGGTCTGGGCTTTTCTAATTTCCATCACTCTCCCTCTGAGCCTGAACCGAACATGGTATTATTAGCATTTGGTCAAACCCATGGTTCTCTGGACAAAGTATGCAGGAATGAAAAGGCAGGTAGATGTACCATTCCAAGAAATTACCGCTGGCTTCAACCAGCTCTCCTTTTGTCGCATATTTAGGATACACCACCGACTCAACTCTGTGGTCGGGCAGTTCGCTGCTCACAGTCCGTTTCAGGTCCTAATATAGGGGCAAGCTTAGTTTTGAGAACTATTCAGAGCCAGAAAAAGAAAAAGTTTTACAGGAGTTGAGAGAATCGCTAACCTCTGGAAAATGGCCGAAGCTGTCATCATTTCCCTATTTGTGTATGTGGTCTCAGCAGGCCGGTCGGTTTCATATTGCCTTGTCGTCTGTAGGACATTGTAACATACCTTGAACCCATGGATAAAGCACAGTAAAAGTGTTCGCGACATCGTGAGAGCCTAATCAGGCAATGGTAGAGGTCGATCACCAAGTGTCGAGGGTGGATTTTGGGACTTGAGACAATGGATACTGATTAAACGTTGAAAACTAATACTTTGAATCTCAACAGGAACTTAGGATGAATGAGGAATCGTATAGAACAAGCGGGGAAAGGATTATAGGTATAATACTACTATAATGTGGGTAGAAATTTCATGACCAGAAAGAAGATGGGAGAAAAACACACAGATCGAGAATAATAGTGATGCCTTGAGTTGCCCATCTCAGTCCAGTATCGCCATCGCCAAGAATTACAGAATGAGGTCAGCCACACCTACCCACTGAAGGCTGTTTGTTGGTGTGGGTAAACGCCACACAACGTCATCGGAAGACGTCACCTGCGAGCATAATGCCCCCACCCCTCTCTCTCTCTCTCTCCCCTTCCGCTTATCTGCACTTTGCTAGGCTTAGAGAACAGGCGGCAAACAAGAAATAAAGGCAGAGAAAAATTCAGTGAAGGATTGAGTAACTCATGTAAAGGCAAGGATGACGACTTTAAAAAAAACTTTCCGTAACATGTGGTCTACCCAAAACTTGGTTCTTGACAAACTAGATGAGGTACTGCAAGTTCAACCTCGACGTCCGGTCATGTTTCTTGTGACATGCCGAAGCTTTTCGGGGCCGGACTCAACAACTATCGCTCGGTTTCCAGCCTGCTTTAATTCTGGTTCCGGGGCGTGCAGATTCGACTGTCACTATCAGACGCAACACGTGCCAGCGACGGGGAATCTCTTTGATCAATCAAAATACTTGCTGGTAATTAAGAGACACTCATACACAGTGAGGTGATGGAAACAGTAATCACAACATGAGGAAGACTACATAATTATGGGTTATAATTGAATACCGAAGTCCCCAAGTTCTGAATACTTCGTACACGTTCTGCCAATGCAGCTTCTCTTGTTTGAACAATGGCTTTCTTTAGGTCTCTGCGGGCCGACCCTACTGAGATGTAATCTGTCGAGATGAAAACCAAACAATACCGCCATCAAAGTTGGACTCAATCTTCAATACCCTAACAGCTCTCGACGTCGTGTTCAAGCACGAACGGGCCTCGTCCAGCTTGAAGCCTCGGCCAGCGATTCAGCAGCATGATGGACCGACCCAATGTCGTTGCGCATATATTTTGACTGTGAAAATGATCCAATGCGCTTCAACACACACGCCTGTGAGCTGAACGGCCAAGTATTAAGCCCTCCTCCCTACACAGATCCCTGTGTTGCCAAGACTTGCAATGTCCCTCGGATTGAGCGTATCACAGCACACATCTCCATGTTTGCTTGTGAGACCTGAGTCGACGGATAAGTGGATTGGTTGTGACACGCTGACCAGTTCTGGACCAGGACCAGCATCTTTGTATGTGTCACAGTTCCAGTGAACTGCGGGCAATTGTGTCCGCCCTATGCTCGAGAGTTGTTGTGTAGATGTCGAGTATTCCATCTGCCACATAAATCCAGAGAAAAACCAACTCAGTCTGGGCGATGAGTGAGCTAGATATTGTTGAAACGGTCCCAGGTTAGACGGTGCCTGGGCTAGGCGACGGCACGCATGCCAACACGGCTGACGTGCAGCGGAACCATCCCCGAAGAAGCACAGCGACGTCGACGTGTACAAGCCGACACCAATCCGATTGATCAAACGTTACTGTCCAATTTCCGAGCCGGTGATGCAGGAGCGTTGGTCTCTGATGGAGATGCGACGTTGGAGCCGGACGCGCTTGGCGCCTGTTTCTGCTCAGGTGTTCCTTTGGGCTGTTGGGCCGTATTCTGCTGCTGCTGCTCGCTCGCCTTCATCACCTGCTTCTCGAGGTCTGGACCCATATCATCGCTCCCTGTAGACGCGGAGGAAGCGGTTTCGGCGTGGTCGAAATAGTCTTCCTGGTGGAGGCAGCATTCGCGGTACACGTTGATGATGGGTCTTAGAATTCTGTAGGTCATGATGAACGGCCATAGTAGGGCAGGTAGAAAGAAGAAAACGACTGGCCGTAGGGCGATCAGACATGGCCGTTGGTAAAAGGCTTCGGGTATGCATTGTGGAACTCCTTGGAACATCCTAATGAGCAGCTCGAGGAGAATTCCACAGGCATACATCAGGCCAAGGGCCAGTTCCAGTTGATGGGTGTCGGTTGTCATCTTCGCAGCGGCGGCCGGCTAGGGAGCGAAACAAAGGGATTGATGGCGTCTGAAGAGTACACAGCGTGTAGATTTGCCGTGTTGCTCCATATAACAATGGGTTTGCTCCTGAGGTGGAAAGAGAGTCAAGATAGGTCGAAATTTGAAAAGCCATGAAAAAAGGTGATTCATCCACCCTCATAAGTAATTTTCATTAGGAATGCCATTCAGGATAGTCGCGGATGGAATGGATGCCTTTCCTCTGTTCTCGTGCTGACCTCCACCTCGACCCCCTTGGCTCCCTTACTTAGAAGTCGCACAAGCAAGTGCGTGGTACAGCGCTACATTCCGGTGAACGGTTTTTCCAGCCACTACAGGCACAGAAACATCCCTTGCTGCATACCTTTCTACTAGTACTGTGGTATGTATCTGACACACTTAACTAACTTCCCAAGCAGCCTAGCATGATTGGTGAACGCTGCATGTGCGTTGCGCCGCGACGGGGGGTGGACATGCAGCCATGTCCGATGAAAAAAGGGCGCCTCGCCGGGTGTGGTAGATCATGTGTTCCGGGCTCTTTCGGCGTATTAAAACGAATGACTTGAAACATATTCTGGGGGCGCTAGACCACACTGGTAGTCTTGACTATTGATCCTCTGCAAAGGTAAGGGGGGCGTGGTGGCTGTAGCCTGTCTATACTGCCCAATTTTATGATGGACCAAGCGATGAGGCATTATGGAGTGATCTTGCGCCTAGATGTCCAAGCCAAGGATTTTATTCTCAAATCTTTCCTATGGCTGGCCACGGGTATATTTTTGGATGACCAGTGAACTCACATGAGAGTCTGTCGACTCATGACGGCCCTTCACCCTCAAGAACTATTCGAGTTGCAGGCTCAAGAAGATACTCATTGCCATAAACAATCAACCCAAACAGCGAAATATTCCAAGCACAGTGGCCCTGTTCCATCTGACCAACATCTTGGAGAACTGTATCAAAACAAAGCTACCTAATTTGTCAACACCATCCAACCATCGTAACAATGGTCGCCAAATGACAAGAGAAGTAAACAAGGATCGAGAGACATCTGGGGCGAAGAAATGTAGCAAATATGTATGTGGTGGTACAGATTGGATAGTGTCTCAGAATGGTCATACTAATTTGCTATTTGTACCGCCACACATTGAAATCTATGGTAATTCTTCTCGTTTATTTTTCTGCCTTCCTAGCGACACCAACAATCTTTCAGACCATTTCTTCTCAAGCCACCCAAAGTCACCCCAGTGTATGTGACAACTCAGAAAAATCTGATACAAACACCCAAAAACAAACACCAGCCCATGGCTAAAGGGAGTAACCTCGGTGGTTGTAGACGGGCATTTGTCTCAATAGTGGACAGCCTCCGCGACCTATGTAGCGCGATCGCCAGCCGGGAAAAGGACATTGTACTCCAAGGTCGGCTTGACTTCCCTGCCCGCTGTGGAGCGAGACACCCCGGTTGATCCGTCAGCCTTCTTCAGTCTGAGGCACCAGCCTTGCCCCAATGCTGGCTCTCTCCGTTGGTATTGTCCAAGGGTGCGCCATTCTAGACCTCGGCGTCGCCCACGACGAGACCACGCGGCTGCGGATGTTCGCCCTTCAGCTTCTCTCCCTCGCTGACTGGGATCGGATCCCTTACTGCCAAGCTGGTAGGATTGCCACCGCTACTACCACTAGCACGTGTGTTGATTAGTGGGATGGATCGAATGTAGCTCGCGCTATCCCCCTGATTAAGGTACCCCTCGTGCACCGATTGATGGCCGGTTCGGCGCATGAGAAAATGCAAATGGCAGTGTCAACGTCCAGGCTGAGCGAGGATGAGTCGCCAGACAGACATAGGGGTAGCTCAGTGCGTCCCAGGAACGTCCTATCCAAGTCCAGGCTGGCAGGACCCTTGAGCAGCGACAGCTTGCTGGCGACGCGGAGCTCTGCCTTGAGGAGTGCGGCTGGGCGTGCCTTTGCCAAGACGATATGGCTGAAGTGCTTTGAGATGTGTTCGGTTGCCTGTACGGTGTGAGGCGTGGGACTAATATCCTGGTTTCAAGTTGAACCTCGTAGCATAAATACCAGAATGCCGACGGAGTCACATAGAAATGGTGAACGTCGCAAACGCGACCAGAGGTCTCCAGATACGATCGAGACAATGAGCTGTCTGAAGCCATAGCCACTGGCTTCACCAGGTTTTGCGACTTTGGATACAGATGGTCGGCGGGATGAGGTCGAGGTGGGCTCGGAGCTGTCCAGTGTGATGGTGACTGTATAGCTGCGACCCGGCCGCTGCTGTCTCGGCTTGTTTCTCACACGACATCCATGTTCGTGCCAGCATCTTGCGGTCCACGTTGATAGATATGTCGAAGCTCTTCCTTCTGTGCCCCGCTTTCTTGCTTCTTTGATGTTCGAACGTTCGTGAGAAACACGGCTCTTGAGCGTCGAAGTTGTGGCTCGGAGCACAGTAAGTTGGTTTTGGCCCCCATGCTCGTGACCATGACCTCTTTCTGGTCCTGAAAGATCTACTCTCGCTAAACATGGTAGCGGGCAAACATGGTAGCGTGCGCGCGTATTGTGGATGTTCGCAGTTGCCTCAGGCTTGAGTTTAGTCTTGTGTCCGTCGAGAACTTAGGAGTCGACTGTCGGTATTTGAGGACTCACCAGAAAAGGGAGGCTCGAAGGAATAAAGCGGTGAAATAATTACCGAAAACAGGAGCGAAAGCAAACTGTGATGAGACTGCAAGACACTGTGGAGAGCCCCATTCACTTACACTTTGGCAATGTCTAGGTAAAGACGCTTTGTGGAAATATTCTTAGGCTCCCAGTAAGTGTATTATGTTCTCATCAGCCTCGAAAAAAGTAGCAAGCAAGTTTTAATTTCTCTGAAGTCACGGTCACAGCAGTGAGGCTTGTCCTCTAACCCGCTTTGGAAGACCAATTACTTTGCCACCAAGACAATTTTTCAACCAGTCACGGAGTCTCGTAGAGGACTGGCAGATTGAGCACAATTGGAATTTGTCAACCTCGGAGCTGAAGAATTCAGGCACGGGGACTGTTTGTGCTTTGCACGTTCTGGAACCGAAGATCTGAGTTTACTCTGGAACAGTTTGCCAAAGTCTGTATTGACGAGATACATCTTCTTAACATTCCCCTGTAATAGAGCCAACAGCATTGCATTCATCTTTTATGCAGTCCATAATACATTGTTGCTTACGGGTTTCAGCGCAAATAGAAGAGCATTTTACTCTTGGCTTGGGCTGGAGATACTGTAGGTGTTGATGTAAAATTCGATTCAATGACACCAGGTCTCGATATAGAACGTTCAGTTTCTAATTAGAAATAATGAAATAGAGGATATTTGAAAAGACAAAAGAAACATAGTTCCAATTGGAGTCCTAAACAAACAAGGAACATCACTAAGATCTTCAGTGGCCCGCATGTTCGATGGCAACCTCCTTGTGCTTCTCCTCGCTATCCTTCTCCTTCTTGGGAACCATGATGGTAAGAACCCCGAATGCTAGCTTAGCCACGGTCTCGTCCTGCTTGATGTCCACCGGAAAGTTAAAGGCCCTTGCGAACTGGCCAGTCTTTCTCTCCTTCTTTAGGTAATGAGTCGTCTCTTCCTCATTTTTGTCCACTTCATGCTGGGCGGCTGTTTGCATCTCCGACGATGGTCCTGCAGGAGATGGTTCTGGAGACGACGGCTTCGAGGCCTGCTGAGGAAGTGGTTGCGGCTGAATATATGCTTCAATGAAGAGAGATCGAGCACCGGTCCACTTCAGCCGCACGTCTTTCTTGTCGCGGAGTCCAGGGAGTTCGACGTCGAGGTAATAGGCAGACCTCGACTCGCGAATGTCCGTGTGCGGAGAGGGAAGGGGATAGCCGTCTGCATACGGATGTGTGAGATCGCGTACTGCATGCTGAGCCGCCTTCAAGGGTGCAGGCATGTGTCGGGCATGTTTCGGAATTGACGTTGTGTGGTAGGGCTCGGGGGTGTAGTAATACCATCCTGGAAAATGGTATTGTGGTGCATTTGGAGGTGCTACTTGGGGATGGATGATGTCTTCAGCCATCTTTTGTTGGTGAAGATAGAAATTGGTATCTTGTTGTGTGCGGGTGCGACAATTGAGTCCTGAGATTTCTCGAGACAAATTTCGAATGTGTTCTCATAACGACAAAGCCTACAATATTCCATTCTCCGTCTACTTCAATTCTTTATATACACAAGAAACATGTTCATACCCATCACCTGATCTTGATATTGATGTTGACGCTAGAAATATCTCGAGGGCACTCGTGACGTCCAAAAAAAAAAGGTTGCGCTGCGGGGGAAACATCATCAAGATGCTAGGACATTCTACAGAAAAGTTGCGTCGCGCCATCACACCACCACGCATGGTCCCACTACACATCTGCGGCGGGGTCCGACGTGGGCCCGTTCCCTGGGGACTTCCCGTTTTGTAGGCGTCTCGGCCGAGACTCAGAGGAATGCCCGGCTTTCCTGTTTCTGCACTCATACATATTTTTCCTTCCTCTGGGGCGCGTATTCCATCACCAAGAGGGTACGTGGAAAATTGCTTTGTTCCTCATAATTAGTCTGTACTCTAACACATGTAGGGACTTCTCCCAAGAATTTTAGCATGCATCTCGATTTGAACAAGTTCCAGCAAATCGGGGCGGAGGGATCTTGATCTCTATACCTCATTGCAGGCCTCAAGCTTCCTTCTACTGGAAACAAAGTTTCGTGGCTCTCCTCGGGTAATATGATAGTGCCTAATAGGATATGGAATGCTCCATACTCGCATGACAACTGCTTTCTCCGCAGTCCCACGTTCCTGTCTTATCCATAGAAGTATCATCGGATAGATACTCATGCACATTTCGGAGACTCAACCAGGACTTGATGAGGCAACGTGGTATTGAAGGTCCCGTTCATTGTACCGACCTCGGAAATGAAGTAAAAACCAATAATTCTTCGGGTTGGGTACACGACATGATGGAAGGCCTACGTGACATGGAGAGTCAGCACGCCCGCAGCGAAAGATTACTATGCATTCTCCTCAGTGGGCTCTGAGCCATCTCAGGAGCCTTGGGGTCCAAAAGGACACCCGAGTAAGCGGTGTAGCTTCCGGAGGCTTACCTCTTTACCTCTTCGAGATATGCTGCATGTTCACTTTCACGGTTGTCTGTGCAATGCCAAGCGAAGGATTGCTCCAGACTTTTGAATACGAGAGCTGAGATGCGGGGTCTTCTTTTATACGCGCATGTGAACGTACGGAAACACATTAAGTCTTTGATACGTAGGTATGTATATATGTAATGATTATAAGAAGGCCAAGTTCTGCATCACAATCCAGACCTGAACATCTAGTTAGTCTTGCCACTTCAACAAGCCCCCATTTTCGGAAACATGTCTGGATTCTCATCAAGTCTTTGCTTCTCTTTGCTTCTGGGCCTGGGCGTCACCGCGTCCAAGGGGTTCCACCAGCGCCAGATCACCACGACCTCAGCACCCACCAGCACGCCAACCCTGTCCACAGTCACCATCTCCTCCACCGTTTGCGTGGCTCCTGCAACCGCCACCATGTCCTACTTCCATTGGTTCAACTCATCCCACAACCTGGACTGCGATAACGCCAATTTTCCTACTGGCTCCAAGGTCTGCTGGAATGGAGAGACGGACACGCTCTGCGAGACGGCGGATCCTTGTATCTGCACTGATTTCTGCGACGTTGGCCTTCCGTTGGTGGCGTACCAGCCGTACGGATGGGGACCTCCTGACACTCTGCAGATTGGGTTCAATGGTGTTCCTGGGGAGCCCTCGGGTTGTGTAGCATCAAATCCGACCAATGCAGGCCGCACCTGGGAGCTCGGTGAGGGCCATTTTGACTGTGGATACGGGCCGGATATCAGTAAGTTGTTCTCGTACTTAGTCTTCCAACCCTTTCGCAATCTCGACAGTTTCCCCTTACAAAAGTCCTGTTGAGGCTCAAGACTTGATAAGCCTGTGAGGTCTCTTCCATGTGTCGTTCTGCTGTACCATTTCTAACTACCCCGTCGCAGTGGGATTTTACGGAGACTCGAATGCGGACAGTGGGAATAATGGAAGTGTCTATTTCAACAATTACAGCTTGCCTTGCAACTTCTATTATCCGCAATACACGGCTACTTTCCCACTGAGCTGTACCAGAGATGAGCAGAACAACGCTACGTGCGTTGCACCTGTGCCAGTTGTTATGACGCTGGCAGGATGGGCTTGACGCCGAAGAAAGAGAAAAAAAGTGGTCACATCATGAATGATAGTCTACATATGTACCTTGGCAGAAATGGAACCTCCGCACCACCAACCTGTGGAATGCAACCTAGATTATCCGTAAGAGGTCACACGGCCTAGCTGTTTCTGTCCGGCTGCATGTCCAAGTCATCACCGTGCTAGCCTCTGATTGATCGTATGCCGTCATCCGCCGCACACAACACAACGCCAAAGTTCCCCGCGAAACGTTATAGTACGACATTCTTCTTCTGAACAAATACGGGGCCGCGATTATGGCAGAGAACACTCTCCTCTCTGATTAATCCACTCCAAATCTTAAAACATAGACTCGAGATTTCAATTGCCCATGCATGAGATAGGCAGCCTTTCAATTCGAGAAAGAGCTCACCATGAATGTTGATCCTCCACCCAAGACAAACCCCCGAGCTCAAGGAGCACCAAGGCCAGATGCAACGGCTTCGTCGGGACCTCCGAGACAGCCAGATATTTCCGTGCTCACAGGAATTCCTCAGGACCCTAGTTATGATGAGAAGATAAATTCATCTCAGACGCTGGGTCAGGCATATGCGGGACCTCAGATGCCCGTTCGCAAACAGTCACCGCGTCAGGTGCCGCCGGGTATAAAAGGTGCCAGGATGGTCGTCGAAGACGGGCTGATCGATTTGATAAGTCTGCGCAGGGAAACATACGGACTCGGCATACTCCAGGTGGAAAATAGATTCCGACTCCAGTGTAGCGTCGTGATGGATGATCTGAAGGTACTGCGGGAGGAAGTCTTATATGTCATCCGGGGGGCGGAGTCACACCGGTGGCGCAAATGGTTGCTAGGCGGCTTCATGTAAGTTGGATCTTTTTGGGATGACCCGCAAAACAGCAAACAAGAAGTTCAATGTCATTGAGAGTTTTACTGACCAAGCCTCGGGTGAAAGGGCGGCCTTGATTCCGGCAATCAGAGCCATATGGCGCCGGCCGCGTGACGACAAGGGATCATCGAACGATACTGAATACGCATATCAGAAGAGCAAGTCCCTGGTCAATCGAATATTGGACCTGCGTCACGGTTTTGGAAGACTGGCTTCCTTTACATTCTTCGTTTTTGCCGCAGTGTACGTCTTCCAAAACGAAGTGACACTCAGAGTCGCGAAGACGGTATCGAAGAGACTGAGGCGATTGAGTGCGAAACTCGAAAGAGGTGATTCAGAGATCACAGAGGAAGATTTGAGATTAGTCAGAGGATGGCGTTGGCGGGTTTTGGCCTAGTGATGAGTTTTTTTGAAGGTTATCGGGGAACAGCATAAATAAGAATGATTCTTCTCCTGGCTTATTATGATAAATGCAGCTGCAAGTTGGTAATTGAACATTTGACCCCGGAATGCTCTTCTCAAAGTTGAAACACAACCAGGGACTCACTGGAGATATCAAAATGAGCAAGAACAATCAATCAACCGGAAGCCAATCTTGGGACCACGCGTCCCAGTCTCTCTGGGCTGTGGGCAGACCTGACTCTTCAGACAGACCAGGGCCGTCCCTGGAGGGTGAAGCGGCTCAGACCCTCAACACCTATGTCACGGAGCATCGAGTATCCTTGATTTCCTGGGCTTTTGATAAAGAAACACACGAGCCGACTGAAAAAATCATTGTATTCGACTATCATATAAGGGTCCGACCAGGGCAGCCACTCAGCACCTCCGAGATCAAGGAGCTATCGTCGACGATTTACATGGCGCTTGATAAGATTAGAGACCGGAGGGTGGAAAGAGAGGTTGCCCGTACATAGTGGGAATCCAATATTATGTGTTTCTGTCGAGACAGCGGAGGGGTATTTGCTGATAAAGGATTTATAAATGCAACTGGAATCAATTAGTGAATGAACCGTAGTAAGGTATGGTGCAGATATTATCTGTCGTGACAGCTACACGCACGCTTTCCAAGAGAGATAGATTGCATGATGACGCAAGTGTGTACCCAAGAAGGTTTGTCTCTTATATGGATTATATTCAAACTCAAAGCGCGGCCACGGAGTCGAAAATGGGAGCCATCGAACAGGCATTACCGAATTTGACTTTCAGCTGTGGTTCCCAGCATCCACTGGCTTGACGATGTAGGACGCAGGAGACATTTCCTGGGCCATCGACCTACTAGTTAGGGATATGGTGATGACCAAGGAGGTAGCTGTCACTGGAAATAAACCCTTCAAGGATAACGGGCTCTTTCCATGCCTTCCTAGTCCTTCATAGGTCTTGACGGCATTGGAATGGATGTTCTGAGACCCACGTATGCTCGGCGGGTCGGATGAAGACAAACTATGACTTTCACATGCGGTTACACAGCAGAACTAGGAACAAAGATCTGTAACGTACGACGGTAGATCTTCCACCGGCAGGCCCTCAATGCAACGGAAAAGATTATCAAGATAATCTAGTAGAACCCCCTTCAGTGCGTCGGTTACACTGGGCTATCCAAGGGTCGGAATAACGTCAATGATGGGTCTTCAAGATGACTTATGAGAAACCCTGGTTCACCTCTTGGGTCGCATGCCACGAAACGGAACGGACTTGTAGGAGGCGTGGGAGAGGAAGAAATTCTGGTTTTGGCCTGTGATGTTCCGGATCCGCTATAAAGATCAAGTGGAAGAACAAGCAACTGATATGGGTCCTTGAAAGGCAGTATATGTCCTCGCACCTCGGGGCAGGGAGTGAGAATGCATGCCAAAATTCACCAACTCCAAAATCTTATTTGGGTCAGTGTTGTTGTGTAAACTGCACAGGCGACAGAAGCGGTCCATACGAGCGCAGTTGAGGCCATACAAGATAAAGAGGGTTAGGGTTATAAGGGAAGGTTCTTCTCCAGGAGGCTCCTCCACGTTTCGACTTGTCGCAGGTTTCTGGCTTGGCGCCAGTGCGCGCGCACACCTCACCTCACGCCTCGAGCAGACAGATCTGCGTATCCTTCTTCCTCGATCTCGGACTCTCAAGACATGCCAGGTGCTGCCTATTAAATCACACTCTCCACTCTTCCGTCAGTTGCGATCCTTCATCTCACCAGGACAAATAAACTTAATGTCATATGTATCGAACTCACAAACCACCCTCGACAAGGCCCTCCAGACCACAAAACAAGAAAACCAATCAGACGCCATGTTCGCAGCGCAGATCCCAGCACTCGCGCTCTTTTTCATGCTGATCAGTCTGTTGCTGTCTCCCGTCCTAACTCACGACCCAAGGGGCCAGCCAGTCCTCACCCCCTCCCGACAAGATGACGGGAGGGAACCTGTTGTACGCTCGCTCGCGGTGACAGACGGCTCCTCGTCGACCTGGCACAGCCGAATGGCGTTTCGGCGTGCTGATGATGACGGTGGCATGGGATCTGAAGGAAGAGATCCCGAGGCGCTCAATCCACGCAATCTCGGATCAGTCGGCACAACAGCAGCAGCGTATGCTAAGGACCACCACCAAAGGTCGGCGCCCGTTGCGACTAGTGCAGCGCCCAAGGTCCTGGGTATCAACATCTACGTGATGATCGCCTGGCTGGGCTTGCTCTATCTGATGTATCGGACGGGGTCCATGTTTTAATCGGATTGGGGAACAAGTTCGTAGATGGGATGAGGGAGCAGGGCTTCCTTCGGAATGAACGGGAGAGGAGACAGCCGTGCTGCTTCCCAATGCGTGCCCATGCAGATGGGTCATGCATGCAATCTGATGCAGAGTCTACGTCGAAACGCCGCATGCATGAGGCTAGCAGAGAAGGCAGGTCATTCAAGAAGATGGGTCGTTAGCACGCAGGTGGCTTGAAGGGTGACGTCGGGTACTGCAGGTGGTTTGCCCGAAAGTCGAGGGTTCAAACACCTATACGGCCCCTTTTGCTAGCTAGGTTGTCCAGCGCTTAAAATGGAGTTCATTGAACGTAGAGCCATACATACGTGCAGGGTCATTTGCACAGGGGTCTATAAAGGATACGGTAATGCACAGCACTTACAGCCAACAGCACACTAACGGCTATTCGTTCGGCATCACCGTCCGTTCCCCCTCCCGCACAACTGAACAAAGCAGTCGTCACCTCGTGGCATTTTTCTTGAAATCCATGTGCCCACCAACATTTCCCGCAGATAGTGGAATGCTCTAAAGAAAAGGACAGAAAGACACCAGCTGAATGCCTAACAATTTGATGAATTGGATCGAAATCAGCCCACGAAATGTTAGGAATACCTGAGCCAATCTTGTGGACGGCACTCGCCCTCCTGACCGTCTACTGCGCCCAGACACTTCGACGGTGGAAATGGAAGAGGCTGGAGCAGTATGCAGACTTCCCACAGCTGGACAAGCCATCTCTCCTCTGGGGCCACCTGAAGGTGCTTAACAGGCTGTTCAAGAAAGGAGACCGGAGGCGCCATATAGGTGAGTAGACACGCATGTGCGAAGAAGTGTGTCAAGAGGAGTGCTCTGAGCTAACCACGGGTTTTTATGCTTTTCTTCATCTTCTTTCCAGATATGGTCCTTACTGAAGCTTATCGGGAGCAGGGAAGCCCACCTGTCATGTTGCTGGACCTTAGGCCACTCGAGTATCCCATCCTCGTCATCAGCAACTACGAAGTGGCAGAGCAGATCTCCAAATCATCCTCGAGATGGCCCAGCAGCACGCCCAAGTCGCCTACACTTGCCAACATCTGGCACCTGACGGGCAAGGATTCCATCTTGACTGCCGAGGTATGTACCTATTTTCATATTACCACTTGCAAAAGCAGTGTTTGAAGACAAGTAAAGTCGTGAGTCTCTGACAACGCCCCCTCGTGTGTGTCTGTGGGTGTGTGTGTGTACAGGGAGATCACTGGAAACAGCAGCGAAGAAGATTGAACCCAGGCTTCGCCCCCCAGCAGCTCCTCACCACCTTGCCCATCATCCTCGACAAGACAAGATACTTCCTAGCCCACCTCGACCGCTATGCCAGCAGCGGCGACGAGTTTAGCCTCGACCAGCTGGCCACCAACCTGACCTTCGACATCATCGGGGCGGTAACGATGGGCCAGGACTTAAAAGCCCAAATACCAGGTGAGGAGGACGAGCTGCTGGTGGCCTACATGGGCATTGGCGCCCAGTTCAGGGGCCGGAGCGGAATCGATATCCCGGGTGCCAACTGGCGTAGGGAGCGCATCCGGCGGAGGCTGGCTGCCAAAGTAGAGCGCCTGATGAATGACATTGTGCGCAAAGAGTACGAGCGCGTCAACAACGGCAACGACACAGCAAAATCTTCTTCTTCTAAGGATGGCAGTAGCAACAGTATCAGCAACAACCATAGCAGCGGTGGTGACTCACGCAGCGTCCTGGCTCTCAGCCTGCAGGGGATGGACGAGCTCACGCCCGAACTGTTGCAACAGACGAGCGACAACCTGCGCGTCTTCATGTTCGCAGGCCACGACACGACGAGCATCCTCATGCAGTGGGCTCTCTACGAGCTGTCGCGCTCCCCAAAGCAGCGACGCGCCCTCAAAGCCGAGCTCGACGAGGTATTCGGCCCCGACGCCGACCCAGACGCCGTCAGGGCGAAGCTCCTCGCCCCAGGCGGCGGCGAGCTGCTGGGCCAGATGCCCTACACCGCAGCAGTGATCAAGGAGACGCTGCGCCTGCACCCTCCCGCGGCCTCCGCGCGCATGTCACCGCCCGGGTCCAACTTCCAGCTGACCCTGCCAGATGGACGCCAAGTGTGCCCAGACGGGACCGTCCTGTACCTCAACAGCCACATTATCCAGCGCGACCATGCGGTGTGGGGCGAGGCGGCCGACGACTTTTGGCCCGAGAGATGGCTGGGCGAAGACTCGCGCTCGGTGCCGGCGGGGGCGTGGCGGCCGTTTGAGCGTGGGCCGCGGAGCTGTATTGGCTTGGAGCTGGCTAACATCGAGGCCAAGGTCATTCTTGCGCTGGTGGCGAGGAGGTATGATTTTGTCAAGGTCGGTATCGGCGAGCTGCATCTGGACGGGGAGGGTCACCCTGTTGTGGACGAAAAGGGCTACTACAAGACGAAATCGGAGCTCTTCAATGTGAGTTTGGTCTTGGATCATTGCTTTTGTTATACGAGCTGCCTAGTGCTGACATTCACCTAGTCTATTCAAGTCACAGCCAAGCCAGTCGATGGAACCATGTGCAAGGTTAGGCTCAGTAGTGAGGCGTCCGAGTCATGATGATGGTCTCTCTCTCTCTCTTTCTCTGTCTGAATATTCGATGGGACGCATGTTTGTGTGTGGACTGTACTATTATTGGAAGGAAAAAAGAGCCAGTCTTTTGCATTTCAGCAGTAGTTACATTCTGCATAGTATCTCGCCTCGCGCACATACAAGACATGAGACTTTGCCCGTCCCTGGAACAAGATACCATCCATCCAGCGTGCTCCAACCCTAGATCCACTATTGAGATATCTGTATTATTCAATGCCGTTACACCCTCGTATACGTTGTCCGTGCCCGGCCCAACCAAGCCCCAAGTCAAACGTTGCTAAATTGCCGAGCCTGAGAATCCGTATCCAAGCCGAATCAAAAGGGAATATCGCTGATGCCCACTGAGAGGCGGATGGGGTGTGTCCTGCTTTGCCCTGTTCAGGGCGTAACGTAATGAGAAGGGAAAGTGTGCGTGTCATCGTTATGCTCGTCGAGTGCCGGCTCGTGTGGTGTTTTGGTGGTTTTTTTTTGTTTTTTTTTTTGGTCCTCATCGCTTTCCGCACTTGTTGCACACAATGTCGCAGTCCGGGTTGAGATGCCCACATGGGCATCGCCAGTCCGCCTGGTCACGGATCAGGGCCTTTGGTGGAATCTCAATCATGGTGGGTATGTGTTGAGATGAATAGATAGAAGAGAGAGTTTGGGGTCCGTGTGAGAGGCTGAGTCGGAGAAATGGACCTTGTCAGTAAATAGCCTTAGAAAAAAGTGTGCTTACTCGTAATGTTATCTTTTTTTCCTTCCTTTCTTCCCACCCTTTCTGGAATATACACGCAATCGTTTCACACAAATTCATAAACACCAAACACACATACGCCATCCTCGCACCCGGAATCTTTTTTTGGATCGCTCACATTTGACAAGAAGGCCAGACCGCGTGGTTTGTAGTTTCAGACGTGCCGATCCCCGAGAACGATTTGCGGCCGGCTGTCGTGGTTCCCACAGTGGGTCTTGACGAGTAAGGCTCTCTGAGAGAGGTGTAGAGGTGCGTGTGGGTGTGTGTTCTGAGTGTTTGTGAGTGTGAGTGTGAGTTTGTGTGTGTTTGTGTGTGTGTGTGTGTGTGTGTTTGTGTTCGATAAGTGTTGGGTATGATAGGCAAGTGGTTAGTTGATGGCGATATGGAAAAGGGAAAGGAATGTGTCTTCCTTTTCAAGGACTGGTATAAATAGTAGATGTTCTGAGAGGAATGATCATCTCAGGCAAAACAGGAAACAGAGCCCCCAAGTTTTGAGGAGCACCGACGTCTATTAGTATTTTTCCAAGGCTGCAAGTGCAGAAAGTTTTGGGTTAAATCATAGAACAGTACAAAAAAAAACAAAACCAAAAAAAAAAAACCAAAAAAAAAACCACCAAAAAAAACCAAAAACCAGGAGACAGGGCCGAGTCATAGTATGTATCGAACTGATGACGCCGTTCAAGGGTCTCCATCCAGTTCCGACTCAATTCCAGCCATGTACTATGTATGCGCGGCATTCGTACCCCTGGCAGTGGGTATTGCGACAAATTGACGGCAATCTAGACTCGGACAAACAAGCGAAACCTTTTTGCTGTCGCATGCCAAAAGACAGGGCGCGATGTCACCGCCTTCTGCCACCTCCCACTCCACCCCCCCCCCCGGCCTGTCAGACCAAGCCTTGGAAATCTTTGGTGTGGTGTGTACTGCCCCGTTTTCTCGAAACGTCCACCACCACGTCTCCCCCTCCCTCCACACAATCATCATCATCCAGAATGGGTGTGGGTGTGTACCTAGCCAGCGAGAGCGTGCGCTGCGCTCGTCAGAAGAATGGTGAAGTATCTTGGTCCCATATCGCAAACCAAAACCCCCACTGTGCAATAAGAACAAGCACTTGCTGCGACCCCAGAACATGCCATATGACGTAAGGTACCACCACGGCCTGTAGGTGTGTAGTGAGAAATCCTGCCAGGGAGCGAGACGGAAAAAAGAACGCACAAGCCATGCCCTATTTGCAGTTATTGCCCTAACTCTTTCCTTTTTCCATCCATGATTTTTTTTTCCTCCCTTGAAGCGAGATCTTGTGCACGCTCAGTAGAGTTGGGCGCAAGGTAGTATTCGATCCCACAGCACACAGCCTTGGGGGCGCACGCGGGACGGGTTGATTAGACCGCCAAGGAGTGGCTTAGAGATGGGGCACCAGAGAGAAATTTGAACGCATTTGCAACAGGGCCCCCCTCCACCTGTCTCTCCTTCAATCTTGGTTCACATGGTGGAATCCATCCAAAGTCTTGCTCGTCTTCTATTCTTAGCAACTATGGATGGGCATATTTGCATACAAAGTAGTACCCAATTTTTCGTTTGGTGAAACAATGGAAGAAGAAGAAGAAGAAGAAGAAAAAGAGGGGCGAAGTTCGCTGGAGGCTACCATAGTACAGTATACAGTAATGACCTCTTCACCATCAACTGCATAGGACATACTGTGCCCACCACACTGCGCGGCACGTCGGAAATGACGGGCGTCTTTCTTGCTTCTTTTTGGCAACTGCGCACAGACAGAAAGAAAAAAACAGAAGAATTGATGCATATCGTTTTCACGTGCTCGATCGTAATTTGCAACACGGCTCAGTGCAGTCGCTTGATGCGCATCTGGCCAGACCTCCCCTGCCCGTGGTCCCCTGAGACCGCACCATGTACACACCCTTCTTTGCTCGACTTTCCTGCTGCCTGAGATACTACCATCATCGTCACACAATCGCAGGGCTCAATTTCCGATTCATCCCGATCGACGACTAGTAATCTCGTAACTATGCTGAGAGCTTCATGAAGATTGCAATCATTTACAGTATGCACAAAATAGCCCCTCGTAATATCACTCAAAGACTATTGTTATTGTGCAGAGAAGATGTACAATCAGATGGTCGAGAGGGTGTAGAGGGAGGGTGAAGGGGAGTGGGGGTCAGAGGGGAAGTCGATGTCACCTTATCCTCACATCATCATCTTACTTATCAAAAGCGAAATGCAAATAAACTGCAGAGTTGGTCAATTAAGCACAAAAGCCTTTCACCTCACTTGCAGGCCACATCGTATACCTGAGTGTGCAACAGAGCTATAGTGATGAAAGAAACTACGTATGTGGTCTAAACCTCTAGACCATATTCTTTATAGGAGCAAAAAGCTCCTAGATGCAGGATATGCCCTAATTTGGGTATACACACACTCATTTACTAATACTTCTCTTCCCCAGGCAAATGCTGAGAGGTCAAAGGGTGCAGGATGGCACAGTACAGCCTTGTGTAACGCACTGCTACTCTGCAGGTTGTTCGTTGATCAATCAAGACAGCTTACACACCATTTACAGGCATTCCAGCTATGGGCCCTCCTACACAATACTATAAGGTTGTCATTTAACATTGGGACGGACCGCCAAGGCAGAAGACGACACCATTTGGTCAGATGGAGTTTTCCCCTGTTGCACTCCCAGGCCACACGCATTCCGGAACTTGCAAGAAAGCTCCAATGTTTGGCAATGGAGGAGTTCGAAACAATGCATCCAGGATAAGATATGTGCAGGACCCCCATACTATGAGCAGTTCCTTGAATAAGATGCAGCTACTCATCGATTCTTCCTTTGTACGATTCAGCAATCGCCTGATCATATTCCATTTCTCGCGCTATTACGATCACATACATCTCTCACCAGTCCGAGAAGTTAGAATGCCAGTCACTCGAAGCGATCACTTGTACTACGTCACCCAGCGATTCAAGCTTATATCGCATGGCTAACCGAGTCGCCAGACATATCACCTTTCTGGTGGACTCAAGATTGACCTCGGCCACCCGAATCTGCCTGTTCCAGCATATCTCGATAACGCATAGAGCAGCAAAACAGACGAAAGATGAGAGCATATAGCAAAAAGGCGCGAGACTGGGCGGGACTATCTATGCACTTCAACGCTCACATACGTTCGCTCTCGTTATAGCGGAGATGCTAACGAATCTATTTGCACCGAACTACGAAATGACGCGGTTGACACGTGAAAAGGCTATTCGACACCTTGAGGTGTCAAGTGCATGTATGATGGTTTAGAGTGCTGTTAACCGAAAGTACTCTTTTCTGTCTTACCTGAAATTTTTCAATGCCATTCAGGATGACTTTTACTCGCAAGGAAATTCTTGAAACGCTTGTCCCCGAAGTATTGCATGCATTCAATATTTCGGCCCGACATTTAGTGACTAGGCCAAGGCATATTATATGAATTATATGTAGACGCCACTTATAGCCTAAGGTCCCATGAATCCTCCAAAAGCACAAGACACATTCCATTTCTGCAAAGAGTGTCTTTCTAATGTCGTAGCCAGAGACGGAGTCAAACAATCAGACAAAAAAGAAAGAAAAAAGCAAGATGGAAGGCTAGCCAAGAGAATCCACAGCAAGTGGCCGACATTTTTCCACGAAAGGGGCGTGACCAGTCGGAAACCATCGCGGCCTGTGAGGGGAAATGGATCATATCTCATCTAAGTCGCACGGAATGACGAATGGTTGCATCGCGGGAGGGGAACCTGACAAAGTACAACAGCAGGACAGTCTGCAAAGGAGGGAGGATGGATGCCCAGGTAGGCAAACCGGAGGAGTGGCCCGAGATCACCGCGAACAGGGAATTGCGCTGGTTTTCTAAATGGGTTGCATGGGAATCTTAAGACTTGGCGAGTATATGAAGGCTAGGTGCATGTGTGTTGCAACCACATCATGATAAGAAAGACGTAAGGGAGGGGAAAAAAGGCGAGCTTTGGATATACTTGATTACACGTCCTGACTAAGGCTTCGAAATTTCACGATGCTGCGGAATCTCCTCTGGCAGACTCTGAGCGTCCTGCTCATCACTGCCATAGTCAGTGGCTTCAAACCACATGAAAAGAGGCTGCTGCAAGATCTACAGGAGAGGACAATCCTGCAGAATGGCCAAGTGCGCACGACAGATTATCCAAACACTGAGATTGACCCATCAACGTACAATTTCACCACATACCCGCCTAATGCCACGGAGATTTCCTACAAGGGAAGATGGGACTCGCAATACGTCTCATGGTGGAGGTCAGTTCTCCCAACAGTCCGCTCATGTGGTCATGTGCATATCACTACAAAGCTCAGCAGGCTGACTAGGCTCTTCCCACAATCAAAATCAGTGCCCCAGGGATCAAGTTCGGTTTCACGGGAGAGACCGTCGCCATCTCCTTTGGCAACCAGACGTCCGACGGCGTGCTCGTTGCATACCGCATCAGCGGGCTCGAGTGGATGTTCACCAACATCACCGCCGGCGCAACCCATCTCCTCGTCTCGCCGAGCGTCACAGGCGCCAACCTCACGTACCCGCTCACGCCCCATACCCTCGAGGTACGCGTGACCAACTGGGCTTACGGCATCCAGATTGACGCTGTCCACGTCGCCGGTGGTGAGAGCATCGTCGCGGTCCCGGACTACGGGCGGAGGGTCGAGTTTATCGGGGACAGTCTCACGGCCGGCATGTATACCACCTATGAGGGCCTGAGCGGCTTTGGGTACGGCATCGGCGCAGGGCTGGGGGAGACGGAGTACACCGTGACCGCATTCCCTGGTATCTGCGTGACGGATATGGACTGCTTTGATAACCCCAGGGGCCAGTCAGCCCAGTGGTTCTACACACAAGATACAAGCGGGAGGGCGCAGGCCATGCATGGAGGTACGAGAGAGAGAGAGAGAGAGAGAGAGAGAGAGACGTTTCCTTGCTTTTTGGTGTTCTGGCTGTGATAATGGCTCATCGGCTGTTGCTGACTGGGCAAAACAAAAACCTTTCCAGCGAACCTGTCGACCGAAGACCCGTGGGACTTTTCAGCGCACCCTGCAGCAGATCTGGTTGTGATCAATATCGGGACCAACGACAACTCTTACAATATCTCGGGCGACACTTACGCAGACAGCTTAACCAGGTTGATCGAGGGCGTGCACGGTGTCTGGCCTAATGCGCAGGTCATGATTATGGTAAGCCCCCCATGTGAAGGAACCCAACACCATTGACAAGAGCACTTATCCACACAATTTTCTATCAATAGTCTCTCTGGATAGGATTCTACAACTACGGGAATAACTACTACGACGATACCTTCCTTGGTTACCCGCAAGAGATCCAGGACGTGTACAACTACTTCAACAGTGATGCCTACCTCTCCAACCCCATTGTGTACAACGGCACTACCAACACTACAACTACACTGAACACGACCAGCCAGCCCTTCGTGCGCATCTTCAACACCACGGGCATCTTGCAAGAGAACGACATTGGACCCGAATATCACCCAACTGATGTTGGAGCCGTCAAGGTGGCGAGTCACGCTCTTCGGTATATCAACCTTATTTACGATTGGGACTTGCTGGCCAATGGACCAGAGTAAGTTTTGTGCCTTGTCAGGATTCGATCACTAGTGGAGTCCGTAGGATGCTAATAGTGCTTTCTCTACAGGGTCCAACACGATACGCTTTATTGGAATGATGAGGGAAGTTACTGATAGCGCATCATGATGACAGCTGGAGAAATGCTGAATGGGCTTGACGTTTCTGAGCAAACAACTTTTTTCGCTTGCTATCTATGCACTTGGTGTATCGAAGAGAGCATTGACCATGATGAGCTCCAGTCATGTCCATCACATTTACTTGACTCATCTATTTCTTGCCAGCGTCTTCCTTCAATGACACGATGCGATTGAGCACAATCTTGTCATCCGTGCTGTCAGAGTCCAGCGCCTGAAGTTGATAATTATTAGCATGCAGACTCTCAAAATAGGGGCATACGATGCTGCTGAACTCACAAAATAAGCGACTCTCATGCCCTGGAATCTCACAGACTCCGGGCCACCCTTGCCCAGCTCGCTTTCGCCAGCAGCCTCGGGCCAGGGCGCCCTCCTCTTGACCTCGTCAATACCAGACTCAATGATAGCATCCGGGTAGATAACTTCGCTTTCCGGGTTCAGATCGCTGAGGAAGCCGCCCTCGGCAGCACTGGGGTTCTCGCTCTTGAAAAGAGGGTTGTATAAGCGGACCTCACATCTGCGAGAACCGTCGGTACCGACCCATTGGATGTATGTCTTGGGCTTCTTGCCTTCGCGGTCGAACACGGCGCGGATCTCCGTGACTTTTCCAGTGGCGTCGTCCTTTGTAAATGCTGTTGCCTTGACAGGATAGGGCATCTGTAGCAGGCCAACAGACTTGCCAGGTGCCAGTCTGAAGTAATCGGGGGAGTCGACCTCGCGGAAATCAGACCGATCAATGTACACGGTCTTTGTGATCTTGACAGAGTGGCTGCCCATCTTCGGGTCCTTGGGAGAGAACGGCAGCGTGAGCTCCTTGCCCTCCTCATCGCCAATGTCCTCGATAATGACAGGCACAGGGTCCAAGACCACCATTAGTCGCGGTACGGTACGCTCTAAGTACTTCCGAACTGACTGTTCAAACCGTACAATTTGAATGACCGTGGCATTGGTCGTCACACCCAACTCGTTGACGAACTCGAGGATGGCCCCAGGAGGCACACCTCTCCTCTTGATCGCCATGAGTGTATAAAGCCTCGGGTCGTCCCAGCCCCTTACAATCTTGTCTCCAACCAGCTTCAGAATCTTGCGCTTTGATAGGACAGTGCCACCGAGGGAGAGTCGGCCGTACTCGCGCTGCATGGGCTCGTAGACGCCAAGGGTCTTGTTCAGCCACTCGTAGCTCACCCTGCTCAGGATGAACTCTGTGGTACACAACGAGTGGGTGATGCCTTCGAAAGAATCGCACAGACAGTGAGTGAAGTCGTATGTTGGGTAGATCTTCCATTTCGATCCTGTTCGGTGGTGGTCTGCGTCCAACACGCGGTAGGCGGCCAAATCCCACATTTGAGGGTTTCCATCGGTGATATCCATCTGCATACGGAGGAAGGCCTCCCTCGGCTTGTATTTTCCATCTCTCATGTCTCTGAACTTCTGCAGGTTCTCCTCGACAGTCTGCTCTGCATGCTTGCAGCGGTATCGAGGAGTCTCGCCCTTCTCACCGCCACGTTGACGTTTAATCTCGGCATCGTCACAATGGCAAACGTAGCCCTTGTCAAGACTTATCAGCTTCTCAGCCAGGTCGTATAGTTTCTGGAAGTTGTCGCTGGAGTATGTGATCTTGTAGGGCTCAAATCCAAGCCACCGCACCGTATCGAGGATCGCAGTGAAGTAGATTTCTTCTTCGGCTTCAGGGTTGGTATCGTCGTATCTAATAGACTGGAATTTCAGTGCTTGGACGACGGGAAAAACGAGGCTCTCAAGACCACGTGTACGAACCTTAGGTAGCACTGGCCCTTGCGATACTTGGCAAAACCAAAGTTGACAGCAATGGCCTTGGCGTGGCCAATGTGCAGGAAGCCGTTTGGCTCTGGAGGGAAACGGGTGAAGACCGGCGTAACCGGTCGCTCCTCATAGACGTCCTTGAGAAAGCCCTGCTTGAACATGGCCTCTGCGTCAATCGTCTCCTCCTGCTTCTCCTTGGGCTTCTGCGCTGGCTTCTTCGCTTCCGCTGGCGCATCCTTCACATTGGCGGCTTTTGCTGCCTTCTTTGCACGCTTCTGCTGTCTCTTCTTGAGCTCATTCTTGGAGACCATCTCCCCGGTCTCCTCGTCCAGCACGAGCTTCGCAACACCGGCGGTGACTGCCTCCACGTTGTCCGCCATCTTCGCTTGATTTTAAAAGTGACGGGATCAGCACGCAATTATCGACGTCAATTGGACCGCAAAGAAGAGAGAAGGATGATTAAATATCAACGATCCTTTTGTTGCAGTTAGAGAACAAGAGAGAAGTACCACAAAGACGTTGGGGAGCAGGCTCGTCGTCTTTTGCTTTGGGCTCCGATGACTCAAATTTCCAAACGCAAATCCAACACGGGAGAAGCTGGGGCTGCGTGGAGGGGCAGCCCTTGATAAGATAAGACATCCAGAGGGGAGGGGTCTCCGACACTGAGAGCCGCGAGGGCTAGGGCCCGCTCCCTGAACAGTAATGCAGTGGCTGTTGAGGCCTGACAGTTCCCCCCTGCAAGCCCCTGGGAGCTTAAATCTAAGGCCCACAGCAGCTCTCCCTGACCCCGCTGTCGTCATTCAGTTGAATGATATCCTTCCCTTCCCACGTTTACATGTTTGCACCACACATCGGCAGCCGCGCCCAATTTATCCTCTTCAGTCCGCATAGCTTTACCTTTAAAACGGGAAATTCAACATGTCTGTCCTCTCGGCCAAAGAGCTACCAACCCTCTCCCTCCTCTACAAGCTGGGCAAACTCATCCCCGCTCAGGCTGGCACCAAGGTCCCAACGACCCTGAGCTTCAGATCCACAGAGCCCATTGCGCCATCCAAAGCTCTCAACGACCGTGTCTGTCTCGTCCGGCACGACATCACCAAGCTCGCCGTCGATGCCATTACCAACGCAGCGAACCGGCGCCTTCTTGGCGGGGGTGGCATTGACGGCGCCATCCACGCCGCCGCCGGCCCAGATCTCCTCGCCGAGTGTCGCAAGCTCGGTGGCTGTGCAACGGGCTCCGCCAAGATTACAGGTGCACACAGGCTCCCTTGTCAGAAAGTCATCCATGCCGTGGGCCCAATGTACGACCTGGTCGAGCCGGAGGAGAGTGAGGAGCTGTTGACGTCCGCGTATAACACGGTGCTGAACCTGGCGGTGGACAACGGATGCAAGTCATTGGCGCTATGTGGTATCAGCACTGGCATCTACGGCTACCCTCCTTTCGAGGCTGCCCCTGTTGCGATCTCGGCTGTAAAGAAGTTTCTGGAGGGTGAGAAGGGCCAAAAGCTCGAGAAAGTGGTGTTCGTCACTTGGGTAAAGCAGGACGTTGACTCGTACGAGGAGTTTTTGCCGTCAGTACCTCCGAGGATACCTTCACCTGAAAATCTGTTCATGGATACTAATATAACTCCAGGGTCTATTTCCCACCTGTCGAAGAGGCTGCTAGGCCTGCAACTGATGACGAGTCAACAACCGATACGGCCGAGGCGGCCCAGGCCAAGGAGGTTGCCAGCAAGCTTCCTGATGTGCCCAGATCCGAGCCAGGTGACTCTGAACACCCTGAGAAAAAGCAGAAGCAGTAGGCAGTCGATGGCCGGCCTATTCAAAAGTATATTGCATTTTACGGAGTTGCGGACAGGGGAAACGAAAGGGGCAGGCGTCAGGATTTATGTTTTTTTTGCACCAACATCAAAGCTCTAGCATAAGCAGACAGCTTTTCAATACCCCATCTTGCGAACATACTCAAGTTTTATTGCTATCCGAGTATATTGTTTCTGGTGTGATGTGCATGAGAAATGAACAAGAATGAATGACTGACACTGTAGCATATTCCATAAAGCCTCTCCAACACGCAACATACACATCGAGGACTATGCAGAAGGTTGACAACCAGACTAGTCGCCCAACTGCGCTATGATTGAAAGAACGTGGTCGAAAACGGCTCGGACAACCATGGTTACGAACAAGCAGGAACCCCAGTTAGAATTGACCGGCGGCTCCAACTCATGGCAATCTGGGTTGCTCCAGCTCCAGAATCCTGCCGTTTTGCTCCGTTTCTTACTTACCACCCCGTCTAATTCCGAACTTCTTTCTGGGTTGTTTCTTCACACGGAATTGATCTGGAGCAGTCTCAGAAAAGTCGCTTCTGGCCCGTCTCCCAAAGGCTTCCAGCACAGCAGCATCAGGTCGTGACACGCTGGAAGGCCCTGCAGCATCACTTCCTTGTGGGTTGCTCTGAGCCTCATCTTGTGGTGGGTCGATGAGACTCTGAGCGGCCGTCCTCTGCCGCACCATATCTTCAACTTTCTGGATGGCTTGACCCCGTGCTGTGGCATCCGCTCCAAATAGCATATCGCGATCTTCGGGTAATCCACTGAGATCTCCCATACCGCTCCTCTCTTGTTCCCTCAATTGTGAGGCGAGATATGCCATCCTCGTCTCCAGATCATCCACGAAGGCCGTCGGGTCAGCATCGGGAGCTGGGACGGCAGACGATGGTGGCGCCCCTCCCTCCATGGCATTCCACTGGCCGTCCGACATCTGGTTTCGTACGTTCTGGAATTTCGTGAACCCCGTCTTGGCATCTTTGTACGGTCTGTACCCGCTTAGACTGGCAAATATGACTTCTTCTTCTCGACTGAAATCGCGAGACCGGCTCAGGTCCTCTAGGACCGAAGAAGGGGAGGACAACAGGTTAGCTTCCAAACACACTTCGAACTACGATACGTCTGTGTAAACACTTACCAGCCAAGGGCTGATCCTCCTGCAGACCGGCATCTGCAACCTCCGCTGGCTCCGGCTCGTCCCCATACTTCATGTCTATCGCCCGTTCCTCAGCAGCGAGTGTCTCCTCGATGGCACGGTTCCGGGCGGCACAGTCATTGTTGATTCTTTCTGCCTGGCTGCCCGGGGCCGGGTTGCGGAGGGCCTCGCCATGTTCCAATATCTCCTTCCACTGGTCCGCAATGCGCCTCCGAACGTCCTGTATATGAAGTCCGAAATACTGATGCATCGCTACAGTGCGGAGACGCTCCGCCATGGAGTTTACAGCTGCCGAGGGGATCGCACCGAGACGTCGCTTCTGGGCCGCTTGTCGGATCCGCGGGTTCTGGCTGAACAAGGACCAAGTAACGTTGTAAAAGTCCCAGCATGTTCGAAACTTACTTAACAAGTCTGGTATCTGCTTGGCGAAGCACCAGCTGATATCCGTGTCTCTCGTCAGCCACTTCCAGGTCTGGAGAGGTATCTTGCCTTGCTCGGTGAAGGTCAGACACCTTAGGATCGCCATGATAACTTCGTCCGAGTAGAACAACATCCGCCTCCGCATAGAAGAGGAGTATTTGTTGAAGATCCCTTCCTTCACAGGACCTTCCTCAAGGCGTTGGTAGTGAAGCACAAAGATCTGGTTGAAGCTCGCCTCGCGGTTAAGCACTGCAAGCGCCTGGGTTACGGCCTGAATGAAAGCCCTGATCTCGCTCTTGGGTGGATTTACTTCGTATGTGAACGGATTCTTGTCGTCCTCGGGCGCATTCTCTTGGATCTCCTTCTGCATTGCGTCGAATGCCCTTTCTACTGCCTTCCAGTTGCCCCATACCGATACGTCCACAGAGAACCAGTCTTCACGTGAAAAATACCACATGTGGTGAGCGGACTGCGCGTCTGCGGCGGCAAACGTCCTGAAGTATAGCCAGCGCCAAAGTATCTGGCAGTCGGCAGTTTTCTTCAACCTGCTCCAGGCTTTCTTGATCCACTCGCTTGCCGCTTGGCCAAAGTGCTGTCTTACGTGCTTCCATTTGAAGACGTACCAGTCGAGTGTGCCCGACACGAGCTGCGGCGGAAACTTGAGGGCCTCCGCCCCGAAGCGTGAGACCTCGCTATTCCAAAAGGTCTGGGAGAAGTATCTCAGGTATGACTGCGTGGGAAGCGGCGAGTGTATGAGGAACCTCAGTTGTGTTCCAGGAGCAGTAGGCCAATGCCTGAAGCTGGGCATCAAGGCCACTATAACAAAAAGTTAGATTCAATGGCCATGGATTTATACGATTTCATAGAGAACATGGCACTAAAGGAGTGAGAAGGGGAGAGAGGTTAGATATGAGAGGAAAGTGCCAATCCGAATAACGAGCTTGATGTATATAGCACAGAAGACACAAAGGGTAGAACGGATAATCAACTGCTTACTCTCAGCCAGGAAACGCGGTGCTTTCATGGTCGGGATGCTGCCAAGAGATGAAGCCAGGGTTCCAACAACTCCTCCAAAGTACTGTCGTGCAAACATGTAATTCATCAGTCTCTGCCGTGCACAGAAGGGGCCCGGGGCCGGGAATCAATACTTTGGAAAAACTCACCTTGTTCTCTGTTGACCATCCCTCTTCTTCGATGGGCTCGTTTTCAACAAAGAGTTCTTCCATATTCCACACAATCCTCCGGCGCTCAAACAAGACTCGGTGCAACTTGAATCGCAACCCGTGTCTCCGCAGCAGGGAGACAATGTCACAACTGTTCTCAGCGTTGAACTCATCGACCTTGCGCTGCCAGTCTGGATTCAACTCCAACCACAGTGGTGGCTTTTGAATTTGGCCGTTGCCACCCTCCCTGGGTGGCCCGCTCATCTGCAACCTTGCATTGTTGAGTGCATGCTGTACTCGTAGGTTAGCTCACCGGTCAATAATGTCATAGCATTGACTCGCATGGCTTCCAATAGGAGGCAAGGCAATTCATTAAACTCACAGCGATTTCGTGAAGCATCACAGAAGCGAGATGAAAGCTGACGCTTGCCTTCTCGGCTGCCGAATAGTCATCCACCAGCAGCTGCCACACATACTCGGCAGCTACGGTGATGATGATTTTAAATGGCACCGGGCCATCCTGAACCCTCCTCACTGTCGTCCCACCGGAAGCGCTATTCTCTACATCAGGCTCACCGGGTTTGAACCGATACTGCGGTTGTATGTCCCACTCGATCGTCCGACGGAGGATCTCACACGCGTACCGTGTCGTGTCAAATCCCTTCTCGTAGATCTGGACCAGCTCATCCCACGCCAACTCGCGCCCGCTGAGCTCGTCCCCAGGCTCGCCGCGGTGCGGCCAGAGTGCCACCCGCCTCGTCTTCGAGATGCCAGCCTCTCTTTGCGCCTGAATCAGTGAATCCCTACTGAACCTTTTCGAATTCTTCCGTGCATCGTGGATCGGACGAAGCTTCCTCACATCTGCCCAGGCCCAGGTCATGGGATGGTCACTGGCCAAGACCTTGGAGACAAGTTGGAGGGTTGGTTGCAATGCAGCCCAGAGGACTGGATTGTGCGCGCTGTGACCATTGTGTCCGAGTCAATCAATGTCCAGTGGCTTAAGCGTTGATAGACTGAGGGGGGAGAAAGAAGAACCAAGAAACGGTGACACCTACGTAAACTCTCCTTGCTTGCCTGATATGTTGTATACAAGTCTCGGCTCATCAAGGTAGTTCCCACGATCTTGTGTAATGACCCACTTGTCCTGCGTTATGAGACTATGCCAGTTGGTTGTAATCATCAGTACTCGAGACAAGACATTAGTAGTATTAAAGTTGAAGTGCTTACTCGTGTAATGGTTCAGCCAGGTCATTCGTGGCACCCTTACCGAGGGTCCATATGTTCTGGTCGATGAGCTGCACAAAAGAGCATCAGTACATATACTAGAAGTTGTCAGTAATTATCTGTCAAGATTCTTCTCTCACCTCCTGGCTAGTATTGCCCTGAAAAAGCATTCTCTGATACTCGTTCGTTTCCATCTTCTTTATGTTCATCTCCCACAGGGCCAGTAGCGCCTCGGCCAGCGCAGCCTTGGCCGGCACGGGATCGTTCTTCCATATATTAAGAAGAAACTGGATGAATGCCCCATCAGTAGGTTGTGTTCCCCGGGCCACACAACTCTGGTCATATTTTGCTCGGTGGGCCGCGAGGTCCTTGAGATTCACATGATACAGGGTCGCTCGGTCCCCATCTGCGCCCTGTGGCACGCTCACTGGGACGTCTGGGAACCGCGCCGCGGTCGGGGTGACACCTGAGTGGCCGCTGGGGTCATTGGTATTGTTCAAGTGAGTGGTCCCGAGGTTGTAATGGCTAGGATAAGGATTGAAGCCCCATCTTTTCGCCTCCGCCGTTGGTCTGTGTTGGGCGTCTGACGGCAGCAGGGCTGGCCGCAGTTTCTGTAACATGCCTGGCTTTGCGTATATCCGTGTCCTCGGATCGTCGTCTGCCGGCTCGGCGTCTTGGATGTAGACATACCGCTCGCTCCATTCAGGGTCCGTCCACGCCGGGACATATTCCACATAGTTCCAGGAGCCGTTGTTGTTCTGCTCAAATTTGGCACGCCACTCCTTCTGCAGCATGCCCAGAGGCTGCGACGGGCCGGGGTAGACACCTGGCTGGGTGACCAGCTGGTTTAGATCATAGAGCGAGTCCCATTGACGCGGACGAGGATCCTGTAAGCCACCATCATCGTTGTCATCATCGTCGTCGCCGTGGCCCTGATCAGGTGCTCCTGGGTTCTGAAGGTAGCCACTGGATGTCGTCGAGCTGCCAGTGCTCGGCGTGGAAGGAAAAAACGGGTTAATGGGGTCTGTTGCTGGGTCCGGTAAGAAGTCATATACACCCTGGGGCAGGGGAAAGTCGTCCGCTATGTCGAAAAGGAAACCGAAATCCTCGCTACTGCTTGAGGTTTCAGGAGCTGGGGAGCCTTCAGGGCTCGCTGCAGACATTCTGAGGGCGAGTGAGTTCGCAGACGTATCTGATTGTCTTCCACTGCCACTGTAATATTAGGTTATTAACCAATTCTATTGACCAAAGATGCACTGCCTGAGAGACGAGATGCTGATCAATTGCATCCAGTTGCTATGATTTCGCTATGATATCAGTGCGTTCCCGCCCTCATATATGGGCTTTGTACCTGGAACCTAACCGTGCAGTGCGCAGACAAAGCGAGGAAAGGAACAATAAAAGCTGCGTGACAGCATCAAAGCATCTGGTGTTGCTACACCGCATCCGGAGACTGAACCTGATAACAAGTGTCAAAGACAAAAGACTCGAAAAAGATATTGCCATGGTCTCTCGGTGTCCGTCATACCACAAGAAACGCGTATGGACATGGTTATAGCTCAGGTTCATGGCAGAAGTCAGATCTGAGGTTGAGCGATTTTGGCTATGATTAGAGGGTACAACCCTTCGTGTTGTGATTGAATATCAAGGAACTTCGTAGGTTTCAGCCCTAAAAGTAATTTGATCATCCTTTCAGCTTACTCGAATGTTGATTGTTTCAGAACCTCGCGCCGTTCACTGCTTGAACGAAATCAAAGGTCTTTTCTGTCCTTAGAATTGGATCGCAGGGCTCACGGCTCCATCCACCAACAAATTTGCAGCATTGATGAAAGTCGCCCTCTCACTAGCCAGAAACAATACCGCATCAGCAACCTCTGCCGGCGTGCCCATCCGTCCTGTCGGGTTATTCGATATCTGCTGTGCGAAAAAGTCCGGCTTGCCCTTTTCCACTTGTCCCCAAAAACCATCCTGCACATAGATATTCCCTGGGCTCACAGAATTCGCGCGCATGCCGTCCTTGGCAATGGAGTGCCCCAGTCCGCTGATATAATGCAGCAACGCCGCCTTGCACGCGCCGTAGGGACCAGGTGCGGTGAAATCCACATATCGGCCTGACACGGACGATATATTGACGATGTTACCCTTAGACTCCTTCAAGTATGGCAGGGCGGCCTCGATGAGCGTGTGTGTGCCCCTGATGTCGGTCTGGTAGGTCGCGTCCCAGCTCTCCTGCGTGTCGGGCGCGCTGAGCGCCGATACGTTGGACACGACGACATCGATGCGGCCGTTGGACTTTGCTGCGACGCTGCTGACCCAGGTCTTGATGGCATCGGGCGAGCTGACGTTCACGACAGAGCCGTGGGCCTGAGCTGTCGGCGGGGCTGACAGGTCCTTCTCGGTACGCTCGACATCGGCGGCTGTGCGGGAGCAGAAATGCACGATGGAGCCTTCGGCGACAAACGCCTTGACTATGGCGAGGACGATAGATTTGGTTCCGCCTAATTGGAGTTGGGTCTCGGTAAGTCTCTGTTCGTATGTGTTCATGCTGACACCTCAAGGAAGTTTCATATTTACCTGTGACCAGGACGACCTTGCCAGCGAGACCAAGCTGCATGTTTGCGGTGTTGACAACAGGGCCTGCTGCGATGCACCCTGAAAGGAATTAGGCACTGAACGGGCTTGACGACCCCTATGACCCTAACCCAGGTTTCGGAGATCTCTTGTGCAGGCAGAATATGAAGTCCCAAAGGTAGTCGTCTTTTCGTCTTCTCCTCTTTGCTTCACCTGCAATCACACAAAGATGAATCGCAGCAAGTCACGGGATTGGCTGTAGTGGATTCAAGGAAGAAAACGGAGAGAAGGAGGCATCCACGCATCCCACACTTACCCCACCGAAACCAAACAGATCTTGAGATCCAAATCTATGGATCTAGATAGCACAAGGGAAACCGCCTGCCAATCAACAGAAAAAAGTTTAAAAACGCCTCAGGGAGGCATGTCCAACCAAACCATCCACATTACACATTATCCCTTGTTGTTTGTCGCCCTTCGAAACAAGCCACTGCATGTGGCGGTACGTACTACAAGAGCCCCTTGTTTTTTACCGGCCACCCACGACCAATGAATCCAAACGCAGCCGCCGTGGTTGAGAACGGGCTAGCTCCGCCATGGAATATAGCACAAAGCCCCTTTGCAAGGCATAAACTACCATAAAGATGGAGGACTTGAAAGGCATCGCCGCCTCTTGTCGTCGAGACTGTGGGAAATGGTCAAGGCTGCTGTCTTTCTTTCTTCATTCCTTATTCTGTGTTGACCTTCTTTTCTGTTTCTTTTCTCTTCTTCTGCTGGCCTTTGCTTGATTACCCAAAATTGCTGGCCAATTTTGCCCCATCTTCCCTTTCCATCAATCCATCAGCCCAGGCAAGATGTATTTCCTACAGACAATCATCACAATTCTCGCCCTGTCGATATGGGGCACAGAGGCAGGCCTTCTGGGGAGGAGAAGCAATGACGGCAACCCCTCTGCCAGCACATACACAGACGCCGAGACGAATATCACCTTTTTGGGCTACGAGACCACCACAGGCTTCAAGTTCGGCATGGCCCTGCCCGCCTCGCCCACGACAGATCTCATCGTTCAGATCATCTCGCCGCTCAAGAACGGCGGCGGCTGGGGCGGCATCGACTTTGGGAGCGAGATGACGGGCTACCTCATGATTGCCGCGTGGCCCGACACCACTAAGACCGACACCGTCCTGATCTCCCCGCGCATCGCCACCGGCTACGAGGTCTCCAACGGCGCCAACGTATACACCGCGTCCAACATCACCATCACGCAGATCCCCTCGGGCACTTTTGTCAACGGCACCCATGTCGCGGCCACCTTCGTGTGTGCGGGTTGCATCGTCGCCGACTCGTTCAAGAGCGACGTCAGCACGGGTTCCGCCACCTTCAGTTACGCCTACGCGCTGACCGCCGTGCCGAACCCAGACGAGGTCGACACCCAGCTGAGCGACCACACCCTCCAAGGCGAGCTGTACGGGCCCTTCGACGTCGCCCTCAAGCAAGCTGAGAGCACCGAGTATGCAAGCTGGGTGAAGTTGACGAGCGCCGACACGACGGGGAGTGCGAACGCTACAGAGACAAGCACGGGTGGCGGGGCAGCTGCCGAGACGGGGTCGAGCTCGGATTCCAGCACCTCGAGCGGTTCCACGTCGTCATCCTCGTCCTCGTCCTCGTCATCATCCACATCAGCCTCCACGGAGGGGAGCACGGGATTCAGTGCTGGTGCTATTGTTGCGCTGACGGGCCTGGGACTGGTGTATGTGTTGCAGGCAGTTCAGATTCTGTAGACGTGCTTCTTGGTGATGGGGGTGGAGGAAATATAAGATACCCCTGCCTGGGACAGGCACCCGGCAATGTTCTAGCATTTGATAGTACTGAGAAAATGACCTGGCGACGATGTCATGATATGTATATTGCATGTACAAGAAATAGAGAATCTTTACACCTTGAACCAAATTCCATGTGCATGCAATCCCCTATGTGCATTAAGCTTAACCCAGAGGAGGCTAAGCGGCGAAAAGTAAAAGAGTAAAACAAAAAGACCAAGAAAAAAATTCAAATTCGAATCCTCCGCGGCTCGTGAGACAAAGGAGCTGGAGACCCCGCGCAAAAGATTGGCGAGGACCCTTGAAAGGGCGGGGCGCGCAAACTGACGAAGGCCCCAGATCCGGGACAGCACAGAAATGGTCGTTCTGAAGGATGCGGACAGAGAATAAGGAAATAAAAGAAGAAAAAGGCGGTGGGGAAGGATGGATTGGCCCCCTTCACACCCACACACTGCAGTTTTCACTATGGTAGGAGCACTGGCTGATGCTGACGGTGCTGACATGCATCTTATTTTGGACCATTGCCACGTCCCTCTAATTTGCTGATGGGCAGGGCACCCAATGCTGACCTCCTCTTCTTTTCAGCGAGGGCATCAATGATCTTTACATCGGAAAGTAGCGTGGGATTGGTGGACGCCTCGAGTTCCAGGTCTCTGTGCGCGTGTGGAGAGATAAGGAGCGTATGCAGATGTGTATGCAGATGTGCACCTCATAGTGAGGGAGAAAGAGACCGTTGTGCCTAGACCTGCTGGGATGCTCACTCGGCTTCCATATTTGGGTACTTACCTCCTCTGACGTGACAACCCCAGCAGAGTCTAGCATGTCGGTTCGGGGAACCCGCGGCGTGTGGACGTCTAGAATCGACAACACACCCATGTCTCTCTTGTCTCTCTGGTCTCGATATGCTGCGTGCGTGCGTGTGTTTCAAGATGCGATTCGTGCTGAAATACGAATGCTGTAGACAAACATCGATACATGATACTACCTACATTGGTATCTGGCGGTGGCATCTCTCTACAATGGACCCCGTCAATCACCTAGTGCATTTTATCTACATAACAACCCTTTCTGCCGCCAACAACTCATCAATAAGTGACTCATGGGGGCGCGAGAACTGTCTATGCCCTCCAAGTATGGTAGTAGGAGGCGTAGGACCAGACTACATAGGACTGGTTGGTATTTTTGGTCGCCCTGAATCAACCACTGAGACCAATGTATAGTCACCCATTCCATTCAAGCTCCTCTCCCAAGAGAGTGGCAGGCGGGCGAGGGGCTAGTTTTATTTTTGATATGTTGCATGAAATTCAGTCTCACCGCCCTGCTCCAGGGCCTCTTCTTGGCCTAGCGCCCTCGCCGATAAGCAGATAAGGTGCCAGGTCACAGTAACAAAGATGCAGCCTCGAGGGGCGGGTGATACGGGATACGTTGCCTCTTCAATGGGGTGTGCTTTCGAAAAAGACTCTGTTCGTCCATGAGACAATCTCACTCTGCAATCAGACATATACATCTTTCTCTTTTTTTCTTTCTTTCCCTTTGTCTTTTCAAGGAGTTGGGAACGGAAAAGAAAAAGGTCTTCATTTCCATCAAGTTATGGTAGGCTCGCCGCCGGTACATCTAACATCGATTGGGGCCAATCAGTGGTGGGGTAATCCTGGTTTCCCGCACAGACCAGACCGGCCCTCCCACTAGGTGGCCACCGTCTGCCCGTAAGGTGCGGCAAAAAAAGTAAAGAAAAAAATTTCAAGGGCCGTTTGCTGCGCGCCCCGTACTTAAATTGTCTGCGCCCCTCCATCGCACCCACTTGCCTTCTTCCCAAATTCTCACACATACCTCCCACTTTCTTTCCTTTTTTTCCTCATCCTCTGCTTGTCTGTCACCAACAGGCTAGGCTTTCACCTGCGGACTCGAGTCTACGGTTCTTTTCCTTCCTCAGGACTGCTCTTTTCTCCTCCAAGAGAAGACAGCCCGCCCCGACTAAGAAGCCACCTTAGAAAAGTCAAAGAGAGATCGACCCTCCATCGACACTCTCCCACGACCCCTCCAGTTCCCGCCTGTCGCATCTTTCGTTAGAAGCGCAGTACCGACAATCCTCTCCTCCTCCCTCCCTCCTCCATTTCCGGTAGAAACTTCCCCTCTACAAACAGCGACAAAATCTATAACTCAAGATGGCCGCAAAGGAGACCGCACAGAGCATCAAGGTCCTCGACGACCTGATGCAAAAGCTCACCATCTCCAAGGAGGTCGACGCTATCAAGGGTGCTTCAAACGACCTGGCGTCCTTCATCAACGGCGACATTGTTGACTTCGATGTCCCCATCAAGTGAGTCCACCTTAAGAGTCTGGAGTTTATGTTATATCCTATGCCACAATTACTTTTTGCGATGGTCACGGTGCACCGCCTTTTGGGGGGCTACTCCTCTTTCAGACTTTCCTCCCACGGGGGAAAAAATCTGTTGGAGATCCCGATGTGGGACAACCTGCATTACAGGCTACCTATCCTGCCCCACACTAGTCGCCGCTGCGTGTCAAATCGATTCGTCGCGGAGCGAAGGTTGTTCTTCGCTGGCTCGTTGGGTGGCAATGCCCGGCGGGACCGCCTGGCCCAATGCAATATTTAGCGGGCTACGGGCTATTAACGCCTGTAAATACCGCCCCGGGCAACAGGCCAGTTGGCGGCAGAGCGGTACCATGCAGCGCTATTCGTTACAGCGTCTTCCACTAAATTTTCAGTGGCTAACCTGAGCTTTTCCCCAATTTTCCAGGACCGTCGAGGCTCTGAGCAAGCAGCTTGCAAACAAGAAGGATGCCACTGCTCGCGAGAAGGCCCTGAATGCCATCGAGGCCGTTGCCCGCCACTCCCAGGTCGCTCCCCACGTTGAGCCTTTCCTGGCACAACTTCTGCCTGGTGTTCTTGCCGCCGCTGGCGACAAGATTACTGCTGTCAAGAATGCCGCTTTCGCCGCTGGCCTGGCGATTGCCGAGGCTATCAACCCCAACTCCATCAAGACCATCATCGAGCCTCTCGGCAAGTCCATCAAGGATGCCCTGAAGTGGCCCGAGAAGATGCTCGCTTTGGACATACTCGACAAGCTCATCAGCACTGCTCCCCTCCAGACTACCTTCCGCGTGCCCGAGCTGCTGCCCGTCATTTCCGAGGCCATGTGGGACACCAAGAAGGAGGTCAAGGAGCGCGCCTACAAGGCCATGGAGAAGCTCTGCACCCTCATCTCCAACAGGGATATCGAGAGGTTCATCCCTGAGCTCATCAAGTGTATCGCCAAGCCAGAGAACGTGCCCGAGACTATCCACACTCTGGGTGCCACCACCTTCGTCCAGCGTGTCGAGCAGCCCACCCTCGCCCTCATGGTCCCTCTGCTGGACCGTGGTCTGAACGAGCGTGACACTGCTATCAAGCGAAAGGCTGCTGTCATTGTCGACAACATGTGCAAGCTCGTCGACGACCCCAATATTGTCAACCCCTTCTTGCCCAAGATGTGGCCGGCTCTGCAGAAGAACTTTGAGAACATTGCCGACCCTGAGGCCCGTGGCAAGACCAAGGTGGCCCTCGACACCCTGGCCCGCGTTGGTGACATCAAGGACGGTGTTATCCCCCCTGCCCGCCACGACAGTGAGCTCCACGTCGTCCTGGGCAAGCTCAAGGACGTCCTCAAGTCCAAGCACGCCGCTGTGGCTGCTGACAAGTTCGAGCCTGTGCTCAAGCACGTCTCCGCCATCGCTGGTCAGCTGATCGACGAGAAGGTGACCGACGGCAAGGACTGGATCAGGAACACCAAGTCCTACGTCTCTGTGCTGGTCGGTGATGACAACGCCGAGTCCGTCATTGAGGCTCTCTTGAAGGCTGCTTCCCCCGATCTGGGTGAGGTCGCCGCCGTTGAGGAGATCGAGGACGATGGCGAGGTTCTCTGCGAGACCGAGTTCTCGCTCGCCTACGCCGCCAAGATCCTCCTGACCGAGACCAAGCTCAAGCTCATCCGCGGCCGCCGCTACGGTCTCTGCGGTCCCAACGGTGCTGGAAAGTCTACCCTCATGAGGGCCATCAACAACGAGCAGGTCGAAGGTTTCCCTAAGCAGTCTGAGGTCAAGACCGTCTTCGTTGAGCACGACCTGGATGCCGCCGATACTGAGATGACCACTATTGACTGGACCATGATGAAGCTGAAGTCTGCCAACGTCGACGTCTCCCAGAAGGAGGTCGAGGACAAGCTGAACTCTTTCGGCTTCACCGACGCCATGGTCAAGGGCGAGATCACCTCTCTGTCTGGTGGTTGGAAGATGAAGCTGGCTCTGTGCCGTGCTGTCTTCGAGAACCCCGATATTCTGCTGCTGGACGAGCCTACCAACCACTTGGACGTCAAGAACGTGGCCTGGCTCGAGGATTACCTGAAGAACAGCACTTGCACGTCCATCATGGTTTCTCACGACTCCGGTTTCCTGAACCGTGTGTGCCAGTACATTGTGAACTACGAGCGCTTCAAGCTCAAGACGTACAAGGGTAACCTGGAGGACTTTGTCCGCCAGAACCCTGCCGCTAAGTCGTACTTCGAGCTTGGTGCTTCCGAGATGGAGTTCTCTTTCCCCGAGCCCGGTTTCCTCGATGGTGTCAAGACCAAGGCCAAGGCCATTCTGCGTGCCAACAAGATGGGCTTCCAGTACCCCAACACCCCTAAGCCCCAGATCTCCGACATCACCTTCCAGTGCTCCCTGGGCTCTCGTATCGCCGTCATCGGTCCCAACGGTGCTGGCAAGTCTACCCTGGTCAACGTTCTCTGCGGTGAGCTGATCCCCACCGACGGTGAGATCTGGTCGCACGAGAACATCCGTATTGCGTACATCAAGCAGCACGCCTTCGCTCATATCGACAATCACCTGGACAAGACGCCCTCTGAGTACATCCAGTGGCGTTTCCAAACCGGCGAGGATCGTGAGACCATGGACCGTGCCAACAAGATCATCACCGAGGACGACGAGAAGGCTGCCGAGAAGATCTTCAAGATCAACGGCACGCAGCGTCGTGTCATTGGCATCCACTCGCGCAGAAAGCTCAAGAACTCTTACGAGTACGAGTGCTCTTTCGCCCTGGGTGAGAACGTTGGCATGAAGGGCGAGCGCTGGGTCCCCATGATGACCGCTGACAACGAGTGGCTGGCTCGTTCCGAGCTGCTCGCTTCCCACCAGAAGCAGGTCGCCGAGGTGGACATGAAGGAGGCCCTCGCCTCCGGTCAGTTCCGCCCCCTGGTGCGCAAGGAGATTGAGTCTCACTGCGAGAACTTCGGTCTGGATGCCGAGCTGGTGTCTCACTCGCGCATGAAGGGTCTGTCTGGTGGTCAGCGTGTCAAGGTCGTCCTGGCTGCTTGCTCGTGGCAGCGCCCTCACTTGATCGTGCTCGACGAGCCCACCAACTACCTGGACCGTGACTCTCTCGGTGCCCTGTCCAAGGCCCTGAAGAAGTTCGAGGGTGGTGTGATTATCATTTCTCACGCCGCCGAGTTCACCCAGAACCTCACTGAGGAGGTCTGGGCCGTCCTGGACGGCAAGATGACTCCTTCGGGCCACAACTGGGTCCAGGGCCAGGGTTCCGGCCCCAGACTCGAGAAGAAGGATGATGACGAGGAGGACAAGTTCGACGCTATGGGCAACAAGATTGTTTCCACCAAGAAGAAGGCCAAGCTGACCTCGAGGTATGTTATCACCACTCAACACTACTGCGCACACGAAGCACAATGGCTAACAATTTTCACAGCGAGGCACGTAAGAAGAAGAAGGAGCGTATGGCTCGTCGCAAGAGGGGTGAGGAGGTTTTCTCCGATGAGGACGACTAAACGAGTCTCGCCAAAGACGAGTATGACGAAAAAGACTGGAAAATATCGGTTTGCGAGGTTACGGCGTTTTCAGTTGGATTGATTTGATTCACGCGTTTCGTCTGCACTTTTCATGGCCCCGACTTGACCAGCATGCATGAAGACGAGGTTTCCCGATCTGTCACAGAGAGAGATAGACATACAAGATTTAGACGGCTCTCTCCACCTTGAGGTTTGGAGGCCCTCCTGGTGGGAGATTCGATTAGATCTCTGTTGTTTGTTGAGGACATAGGCGGCTGATAGAGGAAGATCACGTCGTACGTGAGAACCATATACCAGATAGATGAGGGTTCATGACACGTGGAAAAAGTATAGAGAGGGTGGATAGACAAGATACTATTTCATCCCAAAAAACAATTCATATGTTCTTCAAAAAGAAGTATCGTGGTGTCCTTTTCGAGTGTGCATCATTATATGTGGCGCGCACCTTGGTGACTATATTATGTCTGCACTAAGTGGCCGAGGCATCATCGCGGGTTTCAGACCAGCCCCCGTTTTCAAGCTAAAATGCCTGGCTCCAGGAAATACTTTCACCTACCTCGTCCCTCTGGCAACCAAAAAGGGAAGTGAGGCGTTGAGAAGCTTTTGGGTTGAACACATCGAGCGCTCGGGAGATCGACGAGGCCTGCATGATCATTGACGGCTCTCGTGGTCACGATGAAAGGGAAGGAGATGACGTCAAAGGGTTCTTATACGTCATCCATCCTCTTTCCGATACTGTTCACTGTTAACTATGGCCTGCTTGCCAACGAAAGGTTCATCTCCCATGTATTCTTAGGAAAATATCGAAACATACGTAAAGCTCCAGATTACTGTATATCTTACAAGAACCTCGGCACAAATCGAGTCACACGCCGCTGCTCTCCTACCTTTCCAGTATTCACTGTAACTAGCAAACCAAAAATGTCGAGCAACGACCAGACCAACCAGCCCAGCCTCATCGGTGGCCACGCCGAGTATGTCAAGGGAGTCGCACAGGTGAGTTCTAGAATCTCTTAACTTTTCAGAACACATGCCCACCCCAAGTTGCATTATTCACTTACCCACCACGCCTCATCAACCGCCAATCTACCTTCCAGCAGGCCGGCTCCTCCTTCTTGCAGGCGCAGCCTACCAATCATTCAAATTTTTATGCAGGCCAGCTGACAAATGGGACCACTACCACCACCACTACAGGCCGCCGTCGGCAGCGTGACAGGCTCCCAGGCTTGGACGGCCTCGGGGGAGCAGGCCAAAGCACATGCGGTGTCCGACATGAAGGCGGCAGGCGAGGCAAGAGACTCAGCTGGCAAGGGTCTTGGGAAGGCGGAGGAGCTGGCCGGGAAGGCGGTCGGGTGCGAGGGCATGGTGCGAGAGGGAGGGGAGAGTAAGAGGGAGTGAGGGAATAGTAGATGTATGTCAGCCACTTGAATAAGGCAGGCTTCTAAATGACGAAGTGCCTCGTGAGAAGAGGGTCTCGTGAGGCCTTCGTGGGGCGTCAATTATCCTTTTACTGCAGTATTCGCGAACGTCGTAGACGCGACAGGCAAGTCTTGGTAACGTGAAGGGTGTAGCGTCATGTTGTCATCTTCGGCAGTGTTGCATCTAGCACGCATTCGCAATCACTGCTTATGCAGATGAACCTCTTACACCCCCAAAGCCTGGTGAACCTCCTTAGAGGGCGCTTGCTGTAACCGCTAGAATCCCATCGAATCTCGAAGGAGCCTCTTTATAAAAGCCGTCTCGCTTCCTGTCGCCAGCCATGTTATGAAGTATCGCGATCCTGAGACCCTTGACTCAACAATCATCTCTCATCTCCATACTAAGTACTCATCCAAGCCCAGCCCCTTACTTCTCAAAGATAGGGTCCGCCTTCAGGAAGGCCCAGAACTTCTGTCCAGCGGATATGCCTGCGCATCTTTACTGCCATCGACGTGGCTGTTTCGCCGAATTAGAAGAGACCAGCTCGCACTACTGCGACCACCGTTTGTTTCTCTCTTTACATCAAAAAGGACCCCATATATTTGATTAATCTGACGGAACTGAGCTTACTCACTTAGATCGCTGCACATCCCATTCACGAGCTGGAAAGCGATGCATTGGTGGGAGGGTCCATAGACACCACAGGTGTGCACATCGTGAGTTTTTGGCCTCCTCAAAGATGATTACCATTGACGGACTGCATGATGCTAATCACAGTACTGAATATTTGTGCCATGTTAGATATGCGACACCGCTAGCAATGACCGGCTTGCTATAGCCCGCGGGGGCGACATTCATTACTTTCACAATTCTGTCGGAGGCTGGCTTTGAGTTATGCGTTTCAGCGCTAATCTCGAAGCGCCTGAGGGGATGTTGCACCAAATTATGTGCCCGTTCTCATTGAATGAAATGATATCTCGATGTTAGATATTCCGTAGAAATTGGAGCACATATTGTGAACGCAACAGAGGGGTTAGGTCGCCTTGTCGATATTCTGCGAGACCTTGAAGGCCGTGTGCGATGGCGGACACGACGGACCCGCTCACAGGGGGCTGCTGTCGCTGTTGAAGACGAAGATGTTTTTTTGTCGAAAAGCACTGGGAGACTTTTAAAATCATTGTTCTTTTTCTATTTCATAACTAGGCCAACAGCTGTAGTCTGCACGTTTGTTGTTGTACTTGGGAGTGAAGTTTTGGTAGTGCTATGTCATGGATGTATTGTCCTCTTAAGATGATATTATTTTCTTCCGATAGTGTGTATACGCAAAGTGAAGGATTATTTGTAAATTTTACGTGCGAGTTTCCATGTGGGTGTGGGACAGGAACTGCATGACACTAAGGGCACATTCAAGAGAAAAAAAGCATCTATGGGGAAAATGTGTTTGTCAAAGGGTGTAGGGAGATGTTCAAACTTGGAGAGCAGTTGCATACTTGTGAATGAGGTCTTGGTATGATCATGTTGCTACACCACTAAATCATAATAATATTTATAGAGTAATGCAATCACAAGGCACATCACTATACAATATACATATCTCGATGCAAACATCATTTGACCAACACCCCACCGTATTGCCTGACATCAGTTATGGTCAGTATGATGATGCATCCAGGGGCCTCGGAGAGGCTGCCTGATTCTACCTCGCTCACTTGAGAAAATCATGGATAAGAAGGGCCCAGAGAAAGACCTCAAAGCGCGGCCGTGCGGCCATTGTTGGAGGAAAATGTGTCACATCTGAATGGAGCAAATAGTGAATGTGTGCAGTATTGGTGAGGGCGTAACGTCACTGAGGGCGCAAGGATAACAGTTAGTACTGTGCCTGTGAACGAAGCTTGATGAGGAGAAACAATTACGGCGGCACTGACTAGGCTACTTGCGAGGGTCTACGAACGAGGGCATTATATGGGCCCATAGTACAGGGTTCGTAAGAGGGTATTAACGATGCCAATCGAAGGCTGTGCAAAAGCTCAATTGAGCGCATGGTCCACATGTTTCCCTCTCGCGGTATAAGGCCTAAAAGGGAATGGCGACGTTCCCGGCCCCCCACCCAACCCACAACCCAAGGAATAATCAAGGAACCAGCTAACTTCGTACATCGCGCCTGTCAACAGCAAGGCTTGCAAAGCAAGAAAAGAAGAACGAGAAGAAATTAAAATCACCCAGCGCTGCCTAGCAAATGCTGGCGCACGCCGGATAATCACCAATCAACCATCTCCGTAAGCAACATTGAAAGCAGCTAATGCATTGGCTTTGTCGCGATCGAGCCATGATTCGCGTACAAACACATGCTTATCTTCCAACCGATCACTTTCGGCGGATAGCCAACGACATATCTATGCGGTGGGCGGTGTCTTTCTTTTTGTTTGGCTTGTTCAGAAAGGAGGGCCATGCTTGACGGGTGTACAGCCAGGCGTTGTCCATCGAGGTGGTGTCCATCGTACTCGTGAATGTCTCCGCTTAGAAGAAAGGATCTCCCAGGGACCAGATGGAGTGACATCACGGTGTAACAGACTATTGTGATTTTGTTATCGCATATGAACTTGCGACAAAGAGGTCAGGAATTGGAAACAAGCGAGACCCGTCACCTGCGACGGTTCAGCGTCGATTGTACATATTACCACATACTGCAAACTTGAATCGATGACTCCACTCTCGGGGCCAGCGTCCTGCTAGAATGCTGTACACGCTGTAATTAGGAAGAAGACCCGCTATCTTGCTGACTCCCAATCCATAAGCACTATGCCCAGTCGGGCTCTATACCACGAGTACCCTCACAAGCGGGCTGGGGGAGGCTCTGCAATGTGAGAGGATATGAGCAACACGTAGCTCACAGGGCTGCGCCCCCCATTCGTTTTGTCTCCTGGCGATTCCGGCGTGAGATTGGGGCGCTTGAATGGGCCTCATCCCGCGAGGCGGCCTCGAGGGAGAGACGGCCCTCCACCATGAAATGGACAAGCGAAAACAATATATATATCGGCCCTGGCGCGTCTTAGTGTGAGGGGAGAGAACCCAAGGGAAGGGATAATCTACCGGCTTTGTCGAACAGACAGTGATATTGAGCTATACTACAAAATTACCGCAAACGGCAATTGAGTTTCCCATTGAGCTTCTTCCACTGCTCGAGCTGAAGAAAGCATCTGACTTTGTCATTACAAGGCTTCCTTTATCATATCTTCTGTTTTATCGTTCCCTCCTTCTCTCCTGCAACTTGATATTTTCATCGGCAACCACTGGGACCCTTTTTTATTATTATCGATCTTAGCCCAAGCTACAGGAAACACCGAGAGCAGTAGCAACATTTCTCAACAATGTACGCCGGCTACAAACATGCGAGAAGAAAGTATCAGGAGCGACAAGCCAGGCAGGCTGGCGAGGCCCAAGGCCAGGAATATGGGCTCGCCCCTCCCATAGGAGAGCAGATCCAGCTTGGGCCGGCCGACCGTGGTGAGCCCAATGTCCAGAAACTCACGCTCGAGGAGAAGGCCGAGAAGCGAAGAAGACGTAATTACCGGTTCAAGGTCGTCTTTGGCCTCGCACTGCCATTCATGCTCCAGGCCCTTGACACGACCATTGTGGCAGCTGCGTTGCCTACCATTGCTCAGGAATTCAGTACGTCTTGTTCACAAGTAAAAAACATACAAAGAGACAGAGAGAGAGAGAGAGAGAGAGAGAGAGAAATGCCCCCACCATCCAAGCCAGACTTTGACTAAACAGGCCGCTCTGCACCACCACAACCACAGACAGCGTCTCCCAGCAAAACTGGATCATCTCCGCCTTCAACCTCACGGCCGCGGCCTTCCTCCCCTTCTGGGCCCAAGCAGCCGACATCTTTGGGCGCCACACCACGATCCAGGTGACGGTGATCCTCATGATGATCGGGTCGGCCATCTGCACAGGGGCACCGACCCACGCCTTCCCGGCGCTCCTGGTCGGGCGCGCCGTGCAGGGCGTGGGCGCGGCCGGCGTCAACATCTGCGTGCGCACCATCCTCGCCGACAAGGTCAGCCTGGCCGACTACGCGCTCAACTGGACCCTCTTCGCCGTCATCTCGGCCGTCGGCTACACCGTGGGGCCCGTCATCGGCGGCTACCTGACCGAGGACACCTGGCGCTGGTGCTTCGCCATCAACCTGCCCGTCGCCGCGCTCGCCGTCGTCTCCGTCCTGCTCATCCTGCGCAAGGAGCTGCTGGGCCCACAGCCGCTGCCCGAGCTGGCCGCCGCCGCCGCCGCCGCCTCCTACGAAGGGGGGTCCACGGCCCGGGGCGCCCGCCGCGCCCGCCTGCTCGTGCGCATCGGCACCATCGACTTTGTCGGCCAGCTGCTGTTCCTCTTCGGCCTGGGCCTCGTCATCCTCGCCCTGACGTGGGCGGGCAACGGCCAGTCGGGCACGTACAGGTGGGACTCGGCCCAGGTGCTGGCCCCGCTGGTCGTCGGCGTGGTGCTGACGGCGCTGTGGTTTGCCTTTGAGTACAGCATGGCGCCCGGGCGGGCCATGTCGCGCGTCTTCACCAGGCAGCGGCCCATGATGCCGTGGAAGCTGTTTGAGAACAAGGACATCGCCATCCTGTTCTATGTCAACTTCAGCTATGGCATGTGCCTGTATGCCGTCATGTACTTTATGGATTACTACTTCCAGTATGTCCGGGGCCAGAGCGCAAGCAACGCCGGGCAAGCGCTGTTGTACTTTTTGCCAGGACTTGGAGGTGAGTTTGCATGGTGGTTTTTTCTTTTTTTTTCTTTCTTTCTTTCTTTTCTTTCTCTTCCTTCATGTTTTGAACCCAACTTTGAAAAGACAAACATACAAGATGCTGACGTCCTCTCTCTTGGTGACGTCTAGTCGGCGCCTACGTTGCCGTCTTCATGCTCAACCGGTTCCCGCGGCAGACCCTCTACCCGATCAAGCTCGGCGCTGTCACCTCGGCCGTCGGCGTGACGATGCTCTCTCAGGCCATTTTAAAGAACAACGTCAACCTGGTGTACGGCATGATGGCGCTGGCGGGCTTCGGCGTGGGCGCCAGCATGAGCCCGAGCACGACGCACGGCCTGGCCCAGCTGCCCGCCAATACAGCCCAGATCACCTGCGTGTTCGCGTTTGCGATGCCCTTTGGCGGCGCCTTGGGTGTGACGATTATGAACACCGTGTGGAACAACAAGCTGGGCCCCAACGACGAGTACGTGCAGAGCGCCATCGCGTATGCGTACTACGCCATCCTGCCGTTCCTGTGGTTGAGCGTGCTGTCGACCTGGTTCTTGGGTAACGTGTGGGTCAAGAAGGACGGCCACCATGAGGTGGTGATGGGTCCATACCTGTTGACCCTGCTTAGGGGGAAGAAGCCGGTCAAGGAGACGAGGGCGCGCGGTGGTGGTGACTGGTCCAGCACGCCGGCCCAGGAGTGGCAGAAGGAGGGCCAAACTGCCGAGCCTGTCTGATGCTGCTCGCTTTTCTTTGTGTTTAGAGCGAGGAACGGTCGACGCGTGAGGTGTAAGAGGGCCAGTATCCTCACAGTAGAAGGGGCGTGGGCCCAGGTCTGTACATTATATCTGGTGGTATATCTTGCCGGAGTGTAATTTTTCCTTTGTTCTAGACACACACATATATATATTACAACAGTGTGTGCTGCGAGACACAAGATTCATACATGAAGAGAATGATCAGCTGCTCAGCGCGTCCTTGACAGCCCGAGGCTGCCTGATCATGTACTTGAAGGTATAGGTGCCCCATTTCTCATCACCAGCAGGCGGCTTGATGTCCAGCGGTGCAGCCCAGTGGTCCAGGTCGATCTCGAGGGTGTCGTCGACCTCGAAACCACACTTGCGGTACATGCCAGCCGCCGCCTCGCTCGAATGTACCCAGCAGAACACACCCTCAGCATCAGCTCGATCTGTGCCTCGCCTCATCAAGGCCGTGCCGACGCCCCGGAGCTGATGGGCAGGATGAACCGAGAGACCCACCACATACATGCAGCGGGTGCCGTCTGGCATGACGCGTTTCATAAAGTCGGCAAAGTGTGACGAGGTGAGCTCCTCCAGCTGGGCGATCGAGTCCAGATCCGGGGCATTGGTCTTCTCATAGTCTTGAGGCACAACGCGCGCGGGCAGCTTGCTGGAGTTCTTTGCCTTGCCTTGCTCTGCCTGTTCAGTGCTGCTGGGCTCTGGAGGCTGTGGCTGTGGCTGCGGTACGCTCAGGCGTAAGCCCCAGCAGACGTGGCCCAAGATTTCTCCTGTCTCATCATCGACAGCCTTGATAAGTTCGACCTTGTTTGCCGGTAGGCTGAGCCTGTATTTGATCATGTCTGGCACGCCAGCGGCATGATCGTAGGGTCGAGTGGGGTGGGCAGCCTTAAGGAGGGTGTGTCTGTCGCTCTCAAAGGTGAGGCTTTCCATCTTAGTCAGGGCTGGGATATCATCCTCGGTGATGGGTTTGAGGGAAAAGGAAGCCGAGGATGACATTGTGTTTTTCATGAGAGATAACGTATCATGAGAAGGTAGTTCGAAGAGGGAACGTTGGGAGGAATGGAAACGCGAGGGAAGGACAGTTGATAAAGGTGAGGCCCTGGCTACTTTATATATTAGTAAATAGAGCAGCGAATAGATATTTAATCCAGTACTGAGTGGTCAGTCTGTGTTTGGTAGGTCAGTCGGTCGGTCGATATGCGCGCCTATCTAATCGTAGCGCCGTTTGGACATGGACGACGTGAGCCACAGCTTTCCCGGCGAGACGGATTGGGCCAACGTCTTCTTTTCCTGGCAGCTACGATAAATAACGATGGCCTCGCACCGCAGATAAGACTGTCAAGGAAGAGCAACGAGTCTACAAAGAGACTCGATCTTCGGGTCTCGTGTACTGAGATGCTCTGCAGCAAATCCCAAGATCTGGTCTCACCTGCGCCATGACACGACACGGCAAACATCTTGTCGCTCGTGTCTTTCTCTCGTGATTGACACACAGATGATTTGCGCAACAGAAGAGGACAAGATGGCCTTGACACTGGGCAGAAGGTTGTTTCCTGTGGGAATCAGGATCAAGGTAATAGCAGAAGCGGCGTGTGAATGAGAGAGAAACCAGTCTGGGGTTGGTTCATGTGTGAGTGAAGATTTTTGCGTGGGGATTGACTTGATTGTACAGCACGCAATGTACCTGCCATGTGAACTAATCACCAAGTTCAATGGACGGGACGGTACGTACAGCTTTACCTTCCCGTGTGACAATGGCTCTGAACCAACCCCACCAAGGCGGATGATCAATACCCCACTTCACAAGCTGCCCCCCCCCCTCCCCCACCTAGCCAGCTCACTATTGACTAAGTTAGTATGCCCTGAGATCGTGCTTGGTTCTCATCTGCCTGTGGAGGTGGGGCACTGAAGCCTGCCTGTCGTCACTGCTCTGCCCACGAGGCTGCCTCACCATCTTTCCTCTGCACCACATCGAGACCTCTCGCTGCCTGATCATCCATTTTCTCATCCAAAGCTCTGTAGCCACTGATCTTCTCCGCCGTCGTCATCATCATCATAACTATCATCCTCCTCCACATTGTCGACGCCCTTTCTCCATAGCAGCAGCACACCCAGATCGTGAAGCAGCAAAGACAGACATCACTACGCCCAGCATGGCCAGCGTCAAGCGCATTAGCAAGGTATCTTCCTCTCCTCCCACCCAGCCCCCCAAGCAGACACCCACACGCATATTAAAGAAGCATAAAGAAAACCACCCACAGCTAACCACACCTTCCTCCCTCTCTCCAGGAACTCGCCGAGTGCTCCGACCCCTCCGCCCTCCAAGGCATCACCGTCACTCCCCTCGACGCCGACGTCTCCATCTGGCACGTCACCCTGACCGGCCCCGCCGCCAGCCCCTACGAAGGCGGCACCTTTGGCGTCCGCGTCGAGCTGGGCAAGTCCTACCCCTTCAAGGCGCCCCTCGTCCGCTTCGTCACCCGCATCTACCACCCCAACGTCACCAACGACAGCGACGGCAGCATCTGCATCGCCGCCCTCAAGCCCGAGCAGTGGAAGCCCGCCACCCGCATCTCCTCCGTGCTCCAGGCCCTCCGCCAGCTGCTGGTCGAGCCCAACCCGGACGACCCCCTCGAGGGTGCCATCGCCGACGAGTTCCGCCACAACCGCGACTCCTTCGACCGGAACGCCCGCGACTATGTGAAGAGGTACGCGAGCAAGCCGGACCCCTTTGCGTGATTCTTAAAACAAGACTGCTGTTGGCCGGTCGGATGGACGATGGAAGGACATATGCATAAAAGACAACATGCCCGAGCTTCGAGGACCGGGTGCGCAAAAGGCTGGGAAGCTTGTTAGGCGTTCAGGAATAAGCTATGTGACTTTAGGGCGTTTGAATTCCAGGTTCACTGTGTTTATTTTCCACGTTAGTTCTTACTATTTTGTTTTCTGAGCATCAGTCGGAGTACTGGCTTGACTCTTTTGAGGTAGATGGGAATACCCAATGACTTTTTCTTTTATTACAAACGATCCCTTTGGTGGGTGAGTGTACTCATGTGTGTGGTCATTTGGTCGCCTCCCCTCTGCGAATCGCGAATCGCTTGAGATGTGAGCCCCATTTCATCTCCTCTCTCCTCCGCTTTCCATATTGCAAGTTCATTCCCCTCAGCTTAAGATGCCTCTCGTAAACACTCGGGAATGAAGTAGAAGTTCACGAGCCCTACCGTTACAACAGATGAAGAAAGGACGTGGACCAATGTAGTAGTAGGGTGTATCGTGTACGTGTGTGTCTGCACATGTGTTCATGCTCGCCCAAGGCTCCTCTCACTCTGTCTCGTTGACCGATATTATTATTTACCTCTTTTGGATGTGGCATGCACTCACACATTTTCTTCTCATGCCTCCCCCTGGGCTTGAGCCATGTACCTTTCTTTGGTTACGGCAAACAAAACATGCCAATCCTCTATCTTCCTCCTAATCAAACACGAAGTTCAAACCAACTTCAAAATGAATTGTAACAGTGGATCAAATTTTGCTTTCCCTTTTTGTTACATGCTACATCAAAGTATCCAGACACCTTTGCTTTGCTCCCTTTTCCACAATCCAACTTCATTTCGCCCTTTTTTCATGATAGGATTGGTTCTATCAGGTATGCTAGTCATCTTTTATGGCCTGTTGGCCTCCTTTTCGCCCATCAAAATTTCGCCCTGGCCGACATGTTGCTGTTGTTGTCCTGGTGATGCTACCCTCTACCTATGAATATGTGTTTCCTTGCCGGTGTGAACAAAAAGAAGAAGAAAAAAAGAAGAACTTTGTAACCCATGCGCCCGTGGGTTGAGTGACGTCTTGTCTTATTCAGAAACACGCACCATGACCGTGAAAAACATATGAAATCGTGACCTGACCACTACCACAGGTGGACCTAATACATCTCCTTTCCCGCTCATTCAATAGGCCTCCAGAGATGCGGCAAGCTCTTGGAGGATTAAGGGTGAAAAAGAAAAAGGAAAAAAAAAAAATTTGATGCCAGCATGCGAGCCATTAATATTATACCATGAATCGAAATTCGTCCTTGATGTTTTCTTTAATCAGGACAATCCCGGGACTGCCGCCAGAATTCGGGCTTCTAGACCTCCATTAGGCCGCGGTCTTTTTGTCCGCGGCTACGTGTAAACAAAGTGTGCTTCCTACGCACACCATCCGCCGAGTCGATGGTTACCATATCAGACTCCTTCCTCCTGACCGCCATCGTGGCCGCCGTCTGGATCCCTGGAGTGGTTGCTGCTGCGGCGATAGCCTCCTTGCGTTCGATCTGCAGCTTCTCTTTGCGCTCAGCGCGCTGCTCGTCGAGCATCTCGGCCGTCAGGTGGTTCAGGCCGTTCCGCCGCCGGAAGCAGATGTCCATAAGCCCATTGGCGTCGAGCATCTTGCGCGGCAGGGACTGCACTACGGCAAACACCTCCATAGGGTCGTTGATAGCCTTGATCTCGTTTTCTCCCGCCTTGAAGATGGCCAGCGCCACACGGAATAGCGTCTTTGAGCCCTCGTAGAAGAAGACATCCCAGACTCGCAGTGTCGTCTCGATGGGCAGCGTGCCGATGAAGCATGACATGAACCAGGCCGTCAGCGCCAGCGTCACGGGCGGCAAGTCGCTTGCTCCCGGCGCGGCCTTCTGGTTGTGCCGATGTCTCCTGGATCTTTTCTTGACGGTCGAGGACCCATCGTCCGAGATCTTGGTCCATACGTTAGGCAAGACCTCTTGAAGCTCGGCCATCAAAACACTCAGGTCGACCTTGGATCCCTCGAGGTTCATCTCGTGTGTCCCTGGAAGGTAGACGCGGGTGATGATGTTCAGCAGCCAAAAGGCCTGCTCCTCAGTTTCCACAAAGAGCAGCAGCATCCCCCCTAGGAAGTTCAGGGACTGGCAGTAGCCAATATTCGGGTTGAAGATGGCAAAGGCAGAGAGAACTCGCCGCAACTGATCGATAATCTTGGGCTCGGAGCCTGGTGCCCTAGGCGGCGGGTTCGCGGATTGGGTCGAATTGTTGCGGCTATGGCCAGGCGTCGGGTCGGACGGGTCTTGTCCTGGCGGTGGTGCTGTGGCGGCACGTCTGAAGCGAACATTGTCTGGGAATGTCCGATACAGATCCCTCTCGATGTCTTCCCTGCACACCTCTTTCAACTGCCCGTTTAAGGACCGCTTCACCATTTCGTCGTAGACACCTCGATTGTGAGCAAGGATTTTGGGACCACCAGCATAGTAGAACCATGCGGCGCCCCTCCAGTCGGGCGGTATGCCCTTCCGTACGAATCTCTTCGCCTTGGCCGAATGTTGGGGAAATCGCTCGGGCCGGTCCGTCATCAGTCCGTTCTCCTTCAGGAATGACTCCCACTTCTTCCTCCTCCGTGCGAGGTACTCAGAGTATGGACCGTTCCACTCATCGTACTGGTCTCGCGTGATGTACTGATTGGATTTTCGGAACCCATACCGGTCATTTGCGTCGGGGTCGAGGTCTTCGGGCTGCGCTGCTCCCTGTATGAGCTGTGGAGGGGCTGCTGCTGGTTGCGATGGTACCTTTCCTGTCACGGGAGGCTGCGGTGATAGTCTCCCCTGGCTGGGCAGGTCTTTGATTTCTGCCGTCAAAATGAACTCGTCCTGTTTTTCCGACAACACCTCGACAGGAGAGCTGTTCTCGCTGCGTGCCTCGACCATCTTGCCAGAGTCATGCCTGCTGTGCCGCGCGCTGTCCGTCTCAGCATTCCCATCGCCCTCGGCAGCATCATTGTCGTCGTCGTTGTCTTTTTCGTTGATGTTGTTGTTGTTGTTGTTGTTGTTGTTGTTGTTGTTGTTGTTGTTGTTGTGGTCGTCGTCGTCATCCTCCTCCTCCTCGTCGAACAGTCTGGACCTTGTCGAGATGAAACTCAGCCTCATGTCTTTCGGGAGTGATGAGGCGAGGCTCTTGCGAAAGAAGGCATTGGTATCTCGGAGGACCTTGGTGCCCTCACCATTGAGGGGAAAGCTCCGGCCTGGGATGGGCATGGGACTTGTCTGGCTCATGGCCTCCAGCAGGCGGCTGGCGGCTTCACTGTTGTGAGACATGGAGGAGCCAGGTCTCGAAGCGTCGTGCTGCTGGTGGTCATCCAGGTCACGAGGGTTCAGGCGCAGCGAGGGCACCTCGGGGCGTTCGGTAATTTCTATACCAGACATCCTCCGAGCAAGATCGAAGTCGCTGTCGTTGAAGCCGTTCTCATACATACCCATCACATCGTCGACACTCAGGCTGTCTCGCACTTCGAGGCTGGGGTTGTGGGGTCCGAAGAAAGAGGACTGTCTGGTGTTCCTGAAACTGGAACTGAGCACGGAACTTGTCTTGGTCATAACACTGGAACGCTCAGGCTCGGTGAACAGGGTTTCCTGGGCTGTTGACGTAGTTAGATGACTGCGGATGCTGGACCGCATCTCGCCCTCGTATAAATGAGATTGCTGGTTGGGGGCAGGGGCGCCTCCTCGATTGTAATACCGCGGTGGAGCCTGCGGGTGAGCCATGTGGGGAGGGCCCATAATTTGGCCTGTGGCCGCATTCTGAGACACATTACGACCTGCGGCAGCACCCAGGCGGTCTTCGGATGCCTGGTGGTGCAGGCTTGGCGTGATGGAGGTGAACGTGCTCGAGGACATGTTGGAGGAAGCCGATGGGCGGCGGCGCCCTGGCCGCAGGGGGCTATAGGGCTGGAATGATGCAGCCTGTTGGCGAAGGTTAGGGGTGGAGGCGTATGCGGTAGGAGCAGTGGTGGTGGCGGCCAACGTCCGGGGCTCCAATCGAAGCGAGTCCGACGCGGTTGACAGGGCGGTACCGGGTCGAAGATGCGTGGCGGAAAAGTCTGGCCTATTTAGACTTCGCATGCTGGACTTGCGCGGCCGAGAGAAATTAAAATTGTCAGCGCTCTGCGCGCTGTAGGCAGTGTCGCCAGACTGCCGGCTGTCTGGCCGATGCATCCTGTCGACTGGGCCAGACGTCGTCACCGTAACAGGGCCAGCATGCTCATATCGAGGGGGCGCGTGCAGAGACTCGTAGTCAATCTCCAGAGTGCTGTCCTCGGGTATGAAGGGGTGGTGCGTCGACGAATATGGGCCTCCCGGAAAGGTAGGCGACCTGGGCGACCGGAGGGGGGATGGCGGGAAGTGGGAGGAGGTGGGCGTCAGGAGCGCATCTGCCGTGGTTGGTGTCGCAAGGTCGCTGGTTGCTGGTCGTACATAGATCCCGGGCTCGCTTCGAGGGGCCAGCGAGTCCCAGCGCGGAGGGCCTGTGCCGGTCGGGGACACAGGTGTGATGGGTAGGAATTGTCGATCGTGGTGGTGACCGTTGCTGCCGCCGCTGCTGTTGTGGCTGCTGTTGTGGCTGCTGGTGCTGCTAGTGCGAATGGGATGATCGACGGTAGCAAAGGCCTCGTTATTGGGGTCGAGATGGAGATCGCGGTGCACCTGCTGCGGCTGCTGCTGCGGCTGCTGCTGCTGCTGCTGCTGCTGCTGCTGCTGACGTTGGCGTTGGTAGGAAGTCGGGAAGTCCTCTTGTGCGGGCGAAGAAACGAGCAGTTGAGATTCGCCAAGATATGTCGAGGATAAGGACGAGAAGTCAGGCCGTCGATGGGCTGGCGAACGTGTTTGTGTGTGATGTGTCTGTTGCGAGAGCGTCCGTGTGTTGTGGACCGGGTCCGACGAAATAAAACGATGATAAACGAGCGGGTCCGTATTTTGTCGAAGTTGAGCGTCCCGGCCGCGCCGTTTCGAGGGAGATGAGGGAGGAGAGCCCGAAGACGTTGCCTGCCAGGGATCGTTATGCTGCTGTTGGTGCTGGTGCTGGTGCTGGTACTGCTGCTGCTGCTGGTGCTGCTGCTGGATTGAGGCTGGTACAGGTAGTGACGTTTGTCGTGGCGGTGGTCGCGGTTGGTGTTGTTGTGATACTGGCTGCTGTCGACTGTTGGGGTTGCTGGTTGCGCCTGTAGGGGAGGGGCTGTAGGGGCGGTAAAACCCGCCACCACCACCAGGTGATTGAGGAGAATGAGGCGATTGTGGTGGGAACTGCGACTGTGCCTGTTGCGATGAATGCATTGATACGGCTGCAGGAGAGGGAAATCGCCAGTCAGAAGCCAGTGAGGCCTGTCGCAGCCTCTGTCCAGTGTACAACGGCCTCTGCTGTGGTGGTGCTGCTGCTGGTTGCTGCTGGTATTGCTCCTGCTGGTGCTGGACAGTCAAATTGTCCATGTTCTGGAAAGATTCGAAACCGACATGGACAACACGGACGCTGTGTCCACCATCCTGATTCTGACTCTGATGAGGATGAAGATCAAGGAATGGATCCCACTGCTGGCCCCTGTTGTGCTGCTGCTGCTGCTGCTGTCTTGTATCATATTCCTCCTGCTGGAAATGGTGGTGGGATTGTTGTTGGTGTCGGTGGTAGTAGGAATTGTTGCTGTAGTTGTAGGCACCTGGACTAGTAGGGTCTTGACCGGGGCCGGGGCTGCTGTGGGTTTGGCTCTGACTCTGGTTCTTCAGGCTCTGGTTCAGGCGCAGGCTCAGGCTCTCCTGACCTGGACCTGGACCCGGAATTGGACTTGGGCCTGAACCTTGACCCAGGCTGTGATGACCTGCGTCGAGGATCCAATCCTCCCCAGTCGCTGCCGGTCTGGGTTTGGGTTGCAACTCGGTTTTCACTCGTCCTCGGTTGAGATTACCGAGATCCACATGCGAATACCACTCTTTGGTATGGTGCATCTCACCACCACCCCGATCATCAAACAACACCACCTCTTCAAATCCCGTTTCCGCCCCTCCATCACACCCTACACCTCTACCTCCTCTTCCTCCCCCTCCTCCGCTACGGCTAGCCATCGTGTAGCGACCTCGTTCCTCTCTTCTCCTCTGTTTTCCTCTTTCCCCTTTTCCCCTCTTCCTCACTTCAATTGACCCTTAATCAGAGGCTGGCGACGTCTCGACATGTCGTGTAGAGGGTCAGCGGAGATTGAAAGTGGGAAAGGAGAAAGGATCTCGGTGAACGAAGACTGGCGGGCGGAAAACGCTTAAAACAGAGAGAAAATGACTATTGGCTAAAAGAGTGCGGCTTATGCCCCCGACTCAAGTTAGGCCAGGGGGGTGGATCGCTGGAAGAGAAAGGCGCGGAGAGGAACTGCCTGGCCTCTGAACTAGTTTGCTAGTATCGTGGGCAGAGTAAAGAGGTGAGCAGAGAGCGCAGGGTGAGACGATGTGACGATGATCCCGAGGCTACTGCACGGCCCGGGGACCTCTCCTCTCAACGGCCGCGCTGGATAGGATTTGGGTAACTTGATGGAGCACTGACACATGCTCCTCAAACTCTAACAGCCGGTCAAGCACCTTTTGTAAAAGAAAGAAAGGTAGTCTTTTGTCACCTCTCGGATTTTTCAGCTCCTGGAGATGCCGTGTTTGTCTTTGACGGGCGGGAACACCCCTGATCTACCCTCTACTCCATCTTAAACAGCCACACGGACGGGAGAGACACGAAGAAAAAGAAGTGAAGAAAATAAAAAGCAAGCACCTTTCTACCTCCTTCTTTCTTCCTCATCTTTTCTTCTTCTTCTTTCTTTCGTTCTTTCCTCTCTCTCGGCGGATTTAGTTCAACTGTGACCACGACGACACCTGGACAGAAGAAACAAAACGGTGTCCTGCGTTTACAGCCCGAGGCACCAACAATCCTACCAGCAGCATCTTGGGGGCGTATTATGGATTGTGCCATGGTACTATTACTGCACAAACATGGGGAGGGGGCGCCCATGTCAGCACGGTACCATGACGTTGAGAGAGCGCATGGTGTCGGATGCAGGTCCAGGGCTGCTGTGCACGGCTGAGGAGGATCAGATTGTGATTTGCATCCCACCCCCCCCCTTCCACCTACCCGGCTCGCCCGCATGATGCCGCCAGTTCACAAAAAGCAACAACAACTGGTACGTCTCTCCTCGACAAGGCCTTGACTGGCTGTCAATATTTATTCGGTATGACCTCACTATTACTGGGATCAGAAAATATTACTTAGCCCTCTTCTGCTCATTCTTGTCTCACACTTTACACACACATATTCTCTCGATCTTCCTCTTTTACAGCTGGCCCATAAATCAATGGTACAAGTCAGTTAGCAGGGCTATGCAGAACTCTCACATTATGCCAAGTGGAGAGCGAACGAGGCGCCCAAGGGCGGTTGCACCGAGACTGTTGCGCTGTGCTCACTCCCGAGCAGGATCATGTACTTCACGCTTACTCGCAGATCATTTTGAACCAGCACAACACAACACAACACACGTAAAAGGAAGCGTCTTTTGGGTAGAAGAAAGGGGGTCCCCTGGTTTCTAGAAGCGGACCGATGACCCGGAATTGGAGCAGACAAGCAGTGCCTCCCCGAAAGAGCCGGCCATGGCGCAGTGTGCTGGGTCTACAACAAACCAAGAAAGATATGCTCATCTTTACCTAGAAAATGTTCACTCATTATTTTGTTCGTTCAGCGCAAAAGGATTAGTTGCATGCTGAAAGGGAAGGGGGGTCAGGTTTCGGCCTCCTCCTGCAGCCGCCACAAACATTTCCACCCCAACGAGTCGAGTCACGACAGACAGGACAGCGTTTGGTACCTGACGCTTTCCCCAAAACTCTGAACGATCAGATCCACTCGCGGCGTTGGCGCTCTTCGGCTGCGGAGCTATTTACCTTAGCACTTAGACGTCCCCTCCCCCCCTTTTCCCCCTTCTTCTCTAGATGATCTGCGCCTGCCGGCTTCTATCCGCGTTCCATTGGCCTTCCATAAGTTCCATTTTGTGGGTAGATTCCAACAGGCGTTTCTTGTATTTGTGTATTTTCTTTTTGTGTGTGCGTGTGTGTGGGTATTTGCTCTTTTGTTCTGCCGGTCCCATTCGCCCGTCCTTTTCTGAACTTGTGATTTATCTCCTTCTGGAGTGAATTCATGGTTCATCTTCGAAGGTATCAGCGTTACGCCCTACAAAAGCTACAATATAGGCAGGAGGGAAGATAGCACCAGGATCGGCAAGCCATGCAGGATGAGGAGGGGAAAATCGCCGTATGGTTCGTTGCCAGGGCCTAGCTTGACATGGTCTCCTGCCTTGTCTAAGACATGCAGAGAATGATTTGATATACAGTAGAACAGGGGCGGCGCCGCTTGGGACGGACCAGGTAGGTAGACAGGACAACCCACCACATGGTCGTCTCTGAGGCGCCGAGATAGTCGTCCCGAATCCACATCATTGGTTCTCCCAACAACCGACCTCCTCACTTCCTCCTCATATCCTCCCGCCATCATTTGCGCTCGGTCGTTCTCATCAATCTGACCGTCTCGTAAAAGGATGAGATCAAAGCGCAAGTGTGATTCTAAATGACAAAAGGTCACACAAAGACTTGATTGTAAGACAAGGGCCCCGCCAGCCCAGCCCAGCCAATATCTATCCATCTCGTCAAATCCTTCCTTTCCTCTGTTTCCCGGGTCCAAACCTCGCTTTTGAACAATCTCGGACCCTTTTCACTGATGAGCGTCGTGCTCTCTTGTGAGCATGGGCCGCCAACACTATATTATCAGTCTTTCTTCAAGCTCCAATTCGTCTTCGCGTGCCGCGGAGTCTCACTTAAAGCAGGCCTCTTTCAAATGAAAAGTCAAATCACATCATCTGTGCACCTCGTTCAGCTCCTACATATCAAAAAGTGGCCGTGCAGCTATCGTTTTGACGCCTGAAGATGCCCCACAAATTCTATTTCACACACACATACAAATATGAACAGATGATCTCGTGGTATATCCGTCCCTAAGTGCCGAGTGGTTGCTGTCATCGAACCGGTAGGTTCAGCTGAATCCTCCTCCTCTCCGCCCCCCCACCCCCTTCACCCCTCGGCCTCATCTCCCAATGAGGTAAAAGACAGACTTTCCGCAGGGCCCGTTCCCTCTATGTTCGTTAAAGCTCATAGTTTCTTCCCCTCCCCCTTCTTCTTTTCATTTCCTTGCACTTCAGTAGGATATGTACTGACATCATGATCCGTCTTAGCTTCTGCACCCTCTGTAGGGCATAGCCAACAATGTGAGGCCAGGAGGCTGCACTGTTCCAAGGCTCCAGGCGACGTCGCTCGGCATCGCAATGCCCGCGACTGCTCCGGGAGGAAGACGGGGTTTCCACATTCCAACATCTCAACGCTCACGGATCTCCTACTATACGATTTCACTTTTGGTCCAGTCAGAGTTGACTGTCGCAATCGTTTTTCTTATTGTTTTATTTTATTCGATTCTCAATATGAAATCTCATATCTAGGGTAAGTATGCAATCAGGGCTAGGGTTAAGCATTCCGCCCTCGGCATTCTGAAATCACATTCCTGGATTCGATCTCCATGACTCCCACATGAATGGCGGGGGACAATCGAAGGCACCTTAAATGCGGTAGATTATGGATATGCTTGAGTCGCCAGTATATTTCCCCGCCCTGGGCAGACTCAGCACACCCCCTCGCGGACGTCGGAGCCGACACGAACATACTTGAACGTTGGTCCAACTGCAGTCAACGATGGCCTCCAACAAGTCCAAACCCGAACGAACAATATTCGAACCCTTGATTGAGAAATACCGAGACACATGACCCGCCCCTTTTCATTCACGTGCCCTCGGTGCATAGTTGAGATATACTAATATGCTGTATCATAGTAGTATCCTGGCCTCGGCTCCGTGTGTCACTGGAGGATTAAGGGTCTGTGGGTCTTTGGACGTTTCAAAACTTTCGAGTTTCAAACCACTTTTTGTCTCCGCCGCCTGATTGCCGGGCCAGTGTCCCCCCCCAAAGGCTCGCAATCGATGCGATGACTTGGATTGAAAGGCCTTTACAGGGTAATTCGAATATCGACAACGCAAACATCAACAATACACGATACAGAGGTGGACACAACAATCAGGCGCAGAAACACGGCAAATCTGCTGGGACACTTCCAGCCCATCTGCCGTCTGTCAACCAGTGCGCACCTGAACGGAGATTATTAACGAACACGAACCAGGCCCCAAATCTCCTTGCCTATATCCCACACCCGTATAGACTTAGTTTACTGTTACTCCAACTATCCTCCAAGTTGAGAATGCCGTGGCCGAGCCATTCTCTATTCTGCCCAGCCGCCTAGTGTGATATGGCCATCCATCACCTCTGCACACCACCCGTACCGAAAAAAAAAAAAAAAAAAAAAAAAAATATTAATAAGAATGATAACGGTCCCGTGCACAGATGAAAGAATGCAAGAAAAGCCGTCCTATCAACCCCCCTTCCCCCCCTCCCCTCCTCCATTTGTTGACAGATTGGGTCACTCGAGCCAAAGAAACCTTCCCGAAAGGGAAGAGGTCCGCCGCAATCCCCAGTGCCGCCCGGAGCGCCGTGGGTCCCGCAGTTTGGAGAGGGGGTGGATTTGGCGCTGTCCGGGATAGATGAGATGACAGGACCGAAAGGGGGCCAGGGAAAGCCTCCCCCGAACAAGCACTGCGAGATCTCGCGCGCATATGCTATGGTTAGTTGTATAAAGTAACCTTAAAAAAAGCGATATGCTGCTTTTGTTTCAACCTCGATCTTTTCTCCCTTCTTTCTTCCTCGTCTCTCTCTCGAAAGATTACGGGTCCCTGAATTCTGTTTGTTCTCCGTCGCCCGCTGTCCGCCCGGATTGTCGCAGTCGTTTGCTCGTCAAAACACCGGTCCTATTTCCAACAACTTTTTTTTGTGTCAGTTTTGGTGGTTGATATCCACGCCCAAATCTCAAAATGTTCTCCAAAGCCGCCCTCTCGCTCTCTCTGCTCTCCCTCCTGAGCACGCCGGCGTCCGCCGTGTCGTGGTATTTCCTCACCTACTACCCGGCCTCGGGCGCTTATTTCACCCAGCTGTCCGGGTCGATGGTGGTGCCCGAGCTCCCCGCCGCCGCCACATACTACCTCTGGCCGGGTCTGCAGCCGACGGACGGCTCGGGCGTGTACCAGAACGTGCTCGACGGGACCTCCGGGACCTGGTGGTTCGGGTCTGGTTGGTGTTGCAGTAATCCCACACTTGGGTGGGGCGGCGGCTTCAACACCTATCAGGGCGAGACCAACACCTTCAGTAATGTGCGTATCGACGACACCAACTGGCAGACTACCATTGTACACGGGTCCACTGGAACCACGGACGTGAATGACTTTGCCCTGTCGGATAAGAGCTTCAACCAGGCCATCTTTGCCATTGAGCTGTGAGTTGCCCCCCCCCCCCACCCACCTTGTCCTGGACTGGGATGTGGTTGTGTGTGTGTTGGATGTGTATGTGTGTTCGATTTGTATGTGTGTTGGATGTGTATGTGTTGGATGTGTATGTGTGTTGGATGTGTATGTGTGTTGGATGTGTATGTGTGTTGGATGTGTGTGTGTGTTGGATGTGTGTGTGTGTTGGATGTATGTGTGTTGGATGTATGTGTGTGTTGGATGTGTGTGTGTGTGTGTGTGTGTGTGTGTGTGTTGGATGTCCAGACTGACGCGATATCTGTGTTCGTAGGTATGATGTCGACTGGAACTTTGGCGCCCTCACGTTTGAGGACGTCACCATTGTCGCCGAGGGCAGCACGTCCTCCTCATGGTGCACCTCAGACCCCACCAACTATAACTCGGCTACCGTGTACAGCATCACTGGGGCCTCAGCCACAGTGAGCGGCACCACAGTGACCTGCACCATCGAGAAGATTGTGCTGGAAAGCCCTGCATAAGAAAGAGTTTAGCTATGCTCAAAAGCATTATGAGACTCTCAAGAAAAAAGAAAGAGAGAGGGGATGGGGAGTGTTGGTCTGTCCGCAGTGGCTCGGGTCTTCGTTGTACATATTAAATACTTCATCTGTATGTTGATGGTCCTCAATTGGGGCCTCATCTGTACCTACCTCTGTATAGGGTGATTGCCAGCAGAAATATAACCTTTCATGATTGAGCCAGCGCACTGAACCTGTTGTGATAGGATTGTGGTTGAATGTTCAAGATGCTCTCACGCCTCGTCCATCGCCCTATTCGCGTCAGTCACTCGCTCATCCACAGCCTCTTTGCATCTCGAGTGAGGATAAGCCATGTATTTTGCATCACAGATGGCAGCACATAAGGGGAAGAGAGCATTGCCAAAGGTCAGTTCAAGATGAGGGGGGGGGGGGGGAGGAGAGAAATAAAAGAAAAGAAGAAGAAAAAGAGGGGGAGATGCAAGAGTTTGTCTCAAGCTCAGTGCATGTGGTGGACATGGACTGTGTGACTGGAGTCCCAGGGTCAGGCCACTATTCAGAATGGAGGTGCCAGTTCAACTGGATGTGGTCGAGTCCTGAAGGTGTATGTGGAAGGAAGAAAGGTCAAAAGTTGACAACTTGGGGGAAAAGTCGATATAGTATTCAGCTTGATCTTCACTCCCAGGTATCGATAGCCTGATTAGATATGGCCCATATCAAAGTATTACTTCTATTCACAGAGTGTACTTGAATTTGGTGGACATTTATTTGCTGTGAAGGCTGCTCTTTATCAGTCAAGCATTTTAAAATGTCTTCACACCAGGACCTCCTTCAATACCTTGTGAACATTGATTCGGTCTACATGAATCATCAGGGATTCCCGCTCATTAAGATATTTTTTAACCAAATAATTCATTAAAATGTGAACTCTGCAAGAGGTTCTATGTGACGCTGACTGCTTCTATTTGTGCAACATAGCATAGTATCTGGTGCTTCAGGTGAGACTTGTAGAGCCTAGAACTGATGCCTGGTTCCTCAATCAACCACAGAATCAAGCACGTGTCAGGGGATGCTTATTCTGCATTCCTTTGGCAACCTGCAACCTGCTGTGCAAGGGAGGAGGATGGATCGCACTATGCTTGTACAGGTCTGGGTCTGGGGGAGGAAGGCCCGAGCTCTTATCAGCTTATCCAGAGGAGAGAGCTCGCATGAGCTTGGGTCAACAAGTGGTCCTTGCTTTATTGCTTGCAGACCTGCTTGCATGGTCTGCACTACCAGCCACCAACAGCAGCCCCTTGTACCTACCCACCCAGTCCTGCAGGTACAGAGAGTACATGGTTCACGTTTAATCACGTCACAGATCGCCCTCCCAGATGTACACGCTACTTCTGGGCCCGGCAGTGTGACACTTGCTTTGCAGAGACGGAAGGGCAGCAACCCAGGGAAGCAAGCACTACACAGAAAGTGATGCATCAAGCTGAACCTTGTCAAGCTTGGGAAGGGCCAAGCTCACCCCCTCCTTCCCCCAATCCACCCCCAAGTTTCCCTCTGTCTCCCTTCCCCAGCTCTCTACGCTTGCTTGCGCACCTTTTCCCCTCGTCCCACTTCCCTGCTTGCTCACACATGCCTTGCTCAGCTCCCACAGTCCCCTTCCTCCTCCTTCCCATGAGATCTGCCCTCTGCCTCTAGCACCTGGGCACAAGGACTCCCCCCCCCTTCCTCAATCCCTCCCTCCCTCTCTCTTCCTATTCTCCTACGTAGTAGTAAAGTGCGCACTTGCAGTGGTAGCTGTGCTGGTAGTAGCTCCTTTGCCCCCCCCCCCCCCTCTCTCCCTCTCCCTCTTCCCACCTTGCTCCCTCCCGCCCTAGGTACGCGCCCACCCAACCTACTGGCGACCACCCAACTTTCCCTTGCCTTCAGCCTTTTTCCCTTTCCCTTTTCTTTTCCTTTTTCTCGTGCCCTGCAGTTTCTCTCTTTTTCCCTTACACAAATACCACTTTCCAGTATCTCCAAATAGCGCATTATTATTCAATTGGTATCATTTGGAACCCCCCAAACCACCATGTCTTCGCGCAAGAGAAAGGCCGAGGAGGAAGAGCTGGTCAGCCTTCCCAGCGGCGACGAGGAGTCCGAGGAAGAGTAAGTGCTTGATTGTATTTGCTGCCAACATCACCCTGTCCAATGCGCCTTGCAACCGGCCCAGTCGCATGTACATTGCGACAGTGATGATATCTTTGTTACCCAAATCATGATGCGCCCACCCACTTACTGCGCGCGGCAAGTTGCCGTTGTGGACGCTCTTTGTGAAGAGGCATGCGATCCGTGTGACGAGCAAGTGACCAGTCCGCGGCTGCGTCGGTATGCGTGCCATGCCGCTTTCAAATTCCCTGCCTGGGCATGCGACGATCACCTCGCGCCTTCCCAGAAAGTCTGCGTTGTGGCGTGCTTGCATAGCTCGGGCACTCCCCCTTGCTTTTATACATACCTCTACGCAACTCTATGGTGAGATCGCTAACCTCTCCTGTTGATGGATAGATATGTGAGCGAGGAGGATGAAGAAGACTTCGATGACGATGGTGAGGGGGAGGACGAGGAGTTCGAGGATGAGGGTGACGCTGGCGGCGAAGATGACGCTGGCACAGGTATGTACCCTGTGGACCTCACTTGAAAACCTCTGCCATGTTTCAATCGCTGACGTCTTTTCCACGCACAACAGCCAAAGGTCCCCCTGCAAAGAAAGTCAAGACCGCTCCCGCCGAGGAAGACGAGGCTCCGGTCGAGAACGGCGACGAGGAGGAGGTTGATGAGGGTGATGAGCCCGAAGAAGAGCCTGAGGAGGAGTACGATGAGGACGCCGGCGCTGACGAGGATGATGATGCGGTGCCCGAAGAGAACGGTGCCGATCTGACGGAGAAGGCCAAGGTCAAGGCGACCGAGGCCCCCGCCGTTGATGAGGACGAGGAAGACGCCGTGGCTGCCGACGATGGTGACGAGGAAGACTGAATGTCAACTTCGGTCTGCCTGTCGCAGTCTGGTCTGGAGGGAAAATACAACACCTCCTCGGCCTGCACCACTTGATGCCTCCTAGTCACCACCACTGGGTCATTTCTGTAATATTAGAGACCGGTGTTGGCACGCAATATTGGGAATCTTTACCTTGTGTACTCGTGTTAGATCTTCTATCTTGGTGTTTTTCAAACAAGATCAATCTTCTGAGCACAGGTCATGAGCCACCTAGCACCGAATAAACATGCCATGCTGTGACGTGTGTCCGAATTTGACTGCCAGCAGGCTTAAGTTGGCCGACGTTCATCGCATTGCCCTTATGATACCTGCCCACAGGCACAGCCGACGAAGATACACGTGGAAACTCTTTGGAAACTTGACAGACAAGGCATGATCGAATATCTCAACATCATGGAGGATAATGTTAGGCTGTGCCGCTTGGGCACGAGGTTGATTTCAAGTCAAGAGAAAGAATGTCGTGCCAAGACCTGTCGAAAGTCCCAAGTGAAATCTGTTGTAGATGCGGGAAAGAATCAAGAAAGTAAATTTACCTTTTTTTTTTTTTAAAAAAAAAAGTTTAAAACAAAAGGGAGTATTTTCATTGATGGCTTGGCTGACAGGCCACCGGCCAGGGCCATAATAGGTCGTTCGTTTCCACACTCCCCCTTCTAGGGGCCCCCACCATACGTACCATAGTACACGGTGGAGTGGCCAGCATGCAACTCACTGGCAAGGTGGGTTTTTCTCATGTTTCTCCCCATTCTGTTGGTTGGTTCTCGTGAACCTTGTAGAGCTGCTGATGTTACTAAGACTTACTTGGCTGCAGGAGGGGTGGGAGGAGGAAGAGGTATGTACGTAGTATCTTGCTCGCTAGTTCATAGGTAGGTAGGTGAAGGGATTGCGGGTTGAGAGATGGCTGTGGGTTTCAGCGTACACTTGAGCATTAGACGAATAGCCCTCTCTCTCTCTCACTCTATCCCACTCTCTGTATGTGTGTGTGTGCGTGTGTGCTGTTCTGGATGTGTATGGAGATGAGCGTCCTTTTTTGAGGGTGCAGAGTTTATTCAACATGCTTGGTGGGCATTGCGAAGAAAGAGGCTGTCTTCATTCATTGCCATCACTATATGCTGCATGCTTGTTTTTATCGGTAACCAATGCTGACAAGACAATTTCAGAAAGAATAAACTACCTCGGTTCCAAAAACGCCATCGCCAGATGATACGGAAGAAAGATTTTGCTCGGAGGAGAGGCCATGCAAAACGCCTGAAGCTGAGCCATAAGTATCGTAGCGTTCCAATCTCTTTGTGATTACAGACTCCGGAAACACAAACACACACACACAACACACACACACACACACACACACACACACACACACACACACACACACACACACACCTAGATGTTCCCTACCCCCTCGAGTGGTCCTTTGTTGACCGGCTCTGCCCTGTGCGAATCTCTTGCCCCTGTAGATCGTATTTATTGGACGTTCATCTAAGAACCTCCCATATAGTGTTCGGCCTCATCCAAGTGCTAAGCCTCGAGGTCTTAGCGACGCCATTACTCCTGGTCCTGGTCACCGTTGCCGGACTGCTGACTCTCACCGACAGTCTATAGTATTATGGTTAGCATCATCATCAGCATCCTCATTTTTGGTGCACCAAGAGGGTACAACTCACTGTACTCGTCCTGCTGAAGCCACTCACGGCCTTCTCCCCATCCCCCTTCCCCAGCGCCTTCGTCAGGTCCAGCACCAGTCCCGTCAGCCTCTCCACGTCCGCCCTGAGTTTCTGGACCTCATCGATGGTCGGGTTGGCCTGCAGATCCGTCTTGGCACCATTGACTGTCTTCTTCCAGCCATCAGCCTCGAAGTCGACCTGGTCGTCCATCTGCTCCCACTCCTCGATCGTGTCCTCATCGTCCTCGCCCCGAGCTCGATTAGCACGGATCTCGCGAGCGCCCTGCATCTCGAAGACGGCGGCGACGACAAGCAGCGGCGAGTAGATGACGCCCATGACGATGTCGTTGAGGCGCTCATACTGGCGCTTCGGCATCCACCACTCGAAGGGGATCAGCAGGAGAAAGACCTCGATCAGGTTGAAGGGCGCGATGAAGACGTTCTCGTCGGGCGCGCGGACGAATTGCAGTGTTTTTTGCGCGAAGAGGGCGAGGTACTCGTCATTGGCGTTGCCGTTGATATCCTCGTAGGCCGAGTTGTACAAGGCGATGAGGATGTTCAGAAGCACCACCATCACCACGAAGGTGAAGATGTAGTAGAGCACGAGCCCAAAGGGGTGACCGAACTTTTCAAAATTACTGAAGTCTGGAGACTGCATGATGGAGTTTGCCATCCTAAGATCGAGGTCAGGTTCTGAAGAGCAGGCTCAGGAAGAAAAGAGACATGGAGATAGAGAAAGGGTCGAGAAAAAAAAAAGAGGGGGGGGTTTTGGAACAGTCAAGTACGTACTGCTGAATGATGAACCACGAATCACTGACGACGTTATCCTCGGCGAGGTCCAGCCCTATAAAGGCCTGCAGGAAGCCGATGATGATGACGAGCAGCAGCGCGAAGAAGATGATAGACTCCTTCATCATGACCTTGAGGACCACAAGCATGGCGCCGAAGAAGCGGAAACTGTCGAGGTACAATAGCAGCCTCATCCAGAACATGGGCGCGCAGCAGGCCAGGAAGTTGTAGCTCATGATGTTGAGACGCTCCCTATCTCCTTCGTCGTCGCCCGGCGGCGCGGGTTCCTTGCTCAAGGCGACGAAGCGGAAGATAAGACTGGTTGTCAGGAGCCCGTACAAGGTAAAGTTGAATGCCGTCCAGAAACCGTAGATCTGGTAGCCGGCCTTCCAGCCCTTGGAGATCTCGTCAAAAACAAAGCCCAGGGTGAAGATGTACAGCAGGCCCTCGACGAAATCAAGATCGGCATCCCGGTTGATAGAGTTGATGGCGCCAGTATACAGGCCCAAGTAAATGAGCGAGATCAGGACCTGTGCGGCGTTCTGATACATCGGGGCCCTCATGCGGTCCGGATCGAGGTGCACGAGGAAGCCCGTGTCATCCCTTCCCTTGTATTCGACAAAGCTGGCCGGGTCGTCCTCGTCCTGCACCAGCCAGCCCTTCCACAGGTAGCTCACGCACTTCTGGTAGCCGGAGCTGCCGATGACGCGCAGGGCGTGCAGGTCGACGGCCTTCTCGATGACGTTGCACGGGTTCGTCGCCTCGCCGTCGAGGATGATGGAGTAGCGCTTGAGCAGCACATCGTGCATGAGGTGCTCATTGTCGCTGTCGCCCTCGATGAGGGCCTTGGCGATGACCTCGCAGGCGGTGGCGCGCAGGGTGTGCAGCTCGCAGTCCCAGAGCTCGATGACGGACTGGTGCTTGAACCAGCGCTTGCAGACGAGGAGGCCGAAGACCACACAGGCGCCATACTGGCGACCGCCTGCCTCCTTGGTGGCGGCGATGACCTTTTTGGTGATCACCTTGCTGTGGGGCTGTGTCACCTGATCCTCGGATAGCTCGACGGGGACAGCCTCCTCGACGAGGTGCCGCAGGCGCAGGGCGGTCTTGGTGACCTCGACGGGCGGGATGGCGGACTGCAGCGACTCGTCGACAAAGCGCGGAAGGAGGCGTTGGCGGGATTCCTGCCACCAGTGGTCGTGGCTCCGAGGACCATCGAAGCCAAGGAGGGCGCGCCAGTCTATCCACCCTCTAGGAGCCATAGCTGAGGGAAGGCGACAGCTAAGAAGTGAGAGAGGCAATGCAGGCTCGTTAAACCCCTGTCTGCGAGTGTGAGTTGTGTGTGTTTGGGGGGGGGGGGAGGGTGAATGTGTGTGTGGTTCTAGGCCAGCTCGTTCAACCCAGGCCAGCGTGTGAAGCCCTCACGAGATCAAAAGGGGAAGCGATTGCCCGAGCACAGGTGGTGCGAGCTCTTCTCGGCAGCGCAGGGCAGAGGCGATAGATTGAAGCTCAAAGATGGCTTCAGGGGGAGTCAATTGAGGATTTGTCAGAGGAAGGTTCACTTCCTAGGTCCTCAGGAATAGGTCACTCACACACCAAAGAGCAGGATCTCGACTGACAAACTTCTCGAATTTCTGGCTGGCCTGGCGGTCACTTCGTTGCACACAGACGGGCAAGCTATAGTGGGTCGATGGCTACCAGAGATGGCTGATGACGTCGCCTGGCCAAACAGATTTGGGTGCTTGGACGGCTGCCAAGATGCTAGTGCGTGAGAGACAGTAGGAACCAAGGAAAACAGGCTCACGCACCCAAAATAAAGACCCTTGCCAACCTAAATGTTTCAAGTTTCAACCACGCCTCCACAGGCCTCAAAAACGACCGCTCCTTGTGGACCTGTACAGAAAGCAGAAAGTAACACAAGTGAGAATGGAGTGTCTGAGAAGAAGAGCGGTCAAGTAACTTCGCCAACTCTCAATGCCTGCCTCACGACAGTTGCAGAATGGTCCAGAAGGAAATTCAGCGAGAGGGCCTCCCGACAGGACGTCAGACAACCCAAGAAATAGACGAGCTGCATAGGGCCTGCATTGACGGTTGACCTCATATCTGCATTTAGAATCAATACATTCTGCGAAGCTGTAGATAACTTTTGACGGGCTTCAGGAGGGATCGGTGATCATGTCTTTGTTCCCCTCTTCTGGTTATCGTACCGAGAGCCCCACCAATATCTCTCGTCCGTCGGGACGTCTCACGTCGTCTTATTCACTGCAAACGCCCTCGCTATATCTTGACAGACCGAATACAGCCTCGCTTGAGCGTCATGCACTGTAGTCGCACATGGCGCAACCCGTCTGCTAAAGTAAAAGATCCCCATCCAGCCCCATGAAGACTATTGCCGGCGACGTGACATCGTGTACTGACAAAGTCTTTGCAACTCCTGGTAGAGGTAGTCTAGATGTGCATTGCGTTTTGGTTCCTGGACCCGTGGACGCTTGTTCCACCTGCCTAGGACGGCTTTGCAGTAGACACATGCAGACGGGCACGATCTGTTGATGGAGGCATCCCGCTAGGACGATAAAATGCGCGTTTTCTCCATGAACCACGTGAGAGTCAAGCTTATGACCAAACTCATTGGGAACTCGAAGGACAAAGAAGGTGGTGGTGATGATGAGCGTAGAAAAGGGAGACGCAGAGAGAATCAGAAAGAGACAGATCGGAGAGACTCGATGTGCTATTGAATTGTTGGCTCAGAAATTGAAACGCCTCTTGCCGCCTATCTCGAAGTCAGCGATGGCGACCTCAGACACCAAATCAAATATACTATCCCATAATCACTCACGCAGTACCTACTTGAGATACTACGGTACTTACTTCTGAAGTAGCTAGGTAATTCCGTCACGCTCGCGACTTCAGCGCAGAGCAACGCACCAACAGTCCCTTCTAATATTCGATAGATAGTAAATTTGCAGAGACTATCAGAGAAACTCACAGATTTGGCAGTGGGCACCAAGCACGCATATACGGGTTTCATAGTACATTAAATTAGGATGTTTGGGGCTTGTGATTGTATCAGTAATTACGAGTGCGACTGTGAGTCACGCCGTCCTTAGTCCTTCACACTCCACAGTCTTCGTCCACTTCAACAGCCCCAGGTATCCATCGTGATGCTCCAAGGACTATGCGGGAACGACCGGCTGGAAGTCGGTACGTTTACGACATGCAGCTAGGATGCACACAACCCCGCCTCAGGACTGTAGATGCCTGCTTGCCATATTTCTGCTCACAAAGTTACGGCAACAGCGATAGGTCCATTCAAATCACGGCATCATTGGCGTGTCTTCCGTCATGACCTCGCGTTGCCTCTCTTAGATGTGTTGATTATGGTATTTGATACCAATGGCCAGGGCTTTCGCCACGAGTTCTCTTGGCATGGTGCATCCTCTACACGAGCAGATGGCGAGAGCCGAAAAGCAGAAAGCATATGGTCAGACCGTCTATAAGTGACGGGGCTTGCTGCATCTTTCTGACTACATGCCTTGAATCCTCGCCAAGAACGGTAGAAAGTCTCTCTTTTCAAGCATTGAACCCATTCAAGTTTTTCGTAATCCACCATGGCCCCCTCAGCAGTTGACACTCCCATCGAGGGCCCCGTCTCATCGAAGTCAGTCTTCACAGAATTTCCGGAGCCTCTCAAGCTGTCTAGGGCTTTGGATGCCTATGAATCTTTCGAAGTGACCCCAGTCATCGGCAAAGAATTTCCCAAGGCCAGCCTTGTCGAATGGCTGAATGCTCCTAACTCGGACGAGCTGCTCCGGGATCTTGCCATTACTAGTAAGTCGATACAAAGCCGGCAATGTGGGCCCAACGACGTGTCTCTAATAGATCAAAATTCTGTCTCTCAGTCTCTCAACGTGGCGTCGTATTCTTCCGTGCCCAGGATGATCTCACGAATGATCTCCAAAAGAAGCTGATACTTCGTCTGGGGGAGCTGACTGGGCGTCCCAAAACATCATCCCTTCATATCCACCCTGTGTTGAACAGCGAGCGCAATCTTGGCGGCGATGATCCAGAAATCAGCACCATCAGCTCCAAACAATTCCAGCAGCTCAAGATCAACGAAGCCGACCACGAGGAGAGGAGCACCAAGAAGCAGAACAATGCTCAATGGCACTCTGATATTGGGTTCGAGCCCGTGCCTGCTGATTACACCTCGCTGCGGCTCATTGAATTCCCAGAGACAGGTGGCGGTCAGTAATGAATCTTTTTTTTAATGGTTGCAGTAAGACATAGAATTTGATGGCTAACATGGACGACCCATGGCATAGACACCCTATGGGCTTCGGGCTATGAAGTCTATGACCGGATCAGCGAGCCGTACCAGAAGTTTCTCGAGGGCTTGACGGCAACCTTCAAAGGCCAACAATTCAACAAGATTGCCGAGCAAGGTGGCTTCGAGATATACACAAAGCCCCGCGGTGCTCCAGAGAATGTCGGCTCCAACCTGCAGACTACCCATCCCGTCGTCCGAACGAACCCAGTCACAGGCTGGAAAAGCATCTTCCCCGTGGGAGGCTTCGCTAGGCATATTAACGGTCTGACCGAAGCCGAGAGCAACCATCTCCTGAAGTGGTTCCTCGATCTGGTCTACCAGAATCATGATCTCCAAGTGAGGTTGAAATGGAAGAACAAGAACGATATTGGTACATCCTCAAACCCCCTTGCTCGTGCTTATGGAATCAAATTACTGACACATGAATAGCCATTTGGGACAACCGCAGCGTATATCACACCATGACCTTGGACTATCATGGCCTTGGAGACAGGTTCGGTAACCGAGCCGTCGGTATCGGAGAGCGACCGTACTTTGATCCCAAGAGCACCTCGCGCCGCGTCGATCTGAATATCCCATACATACAGTAGGCCTCTAAACGTGCTGAATATCGGAGCGGCCATACATGGTGCGCAAGTCCACTCCAGGCATGACAACGTTGCCCAGGGTTGGGGTGGGTTGCAGGATGTGGACGGCGCAGGTGCGCTTGCTGCGGTCCAGGCAAAGTCAGATACTCATCTTCTGTTGTCATTTACGTTCTCATATATATCCTGATGTGGCGAACTGTGGAAATCTACGTCCAACTTCTCGATCAAGGATAGCACTGTTACTTGTTTTGTTGACTCTGTACAATTCATGAATGCTTTTGTCCCCAACCTTAGTCCGCTTCTGCAAATTCAGTCCTCTTCGATGTTATACTCGGCTTGAACAATCAAAATCAAGTTTCAGAGGTCTTAGTGAAGTAGGTATTCATTCATTCCTTTTGATTCCGGGTTCAAGGGAAAACAGCATATATGACAGGAGAGGAGTTTCGTTCTCCCCTGAGCCAACAGAAAGAAAATGTTTCAAGACATCGCTCTCTTTTGCAGTCCGCTGTATCTCCAAATAGCGATGTAATCAATACTAATGCAAATTCATGGAGCAAATCGAGCCAGCTAGTGGCTTAAAAAAAATAATTATAGGATGTCAGTTTTGGTTGTCAGTCAGTTTCGTCACATTAGACAGAAATACTTACTCACGTAGGACAATACCGGGCTTAAAATGGGTTGCACGTAGTTTTATCTCATCGCCTTTGGGTCTTCTGAAGGTCAATTGAGGTGCAGTTCCAAACGAATAGGTATTCCCAGGTACGTACATACGACATTTGCTGATGATATTGGTTGGATCATGACTGTTTGGCTTAGTGATGAGAAGACAGTGGAAACCACCGTCGGCGGGTGTAATCTTTGATAATAACTATGAGCAACCTGCACGACAAATGCCAATTGCCGAGCTGTTGGGCCAAATTCAAAACGATGCGTGGCCCTTGAAACCGTGCATAAGCATCAAGCCAACATGCCCCAGGACTGTGAAAAGGTAAATCCTTCCGTGACTACGTACACGGAGAGAGTAATTCGTTTAGGACTTAAGCAATGTTGGAGGCTGTCTTGAACCTAGATCATCAACGCCTAAGGACTTGCTTAATGTCATCGCCTCTCGAACCTACAAGACGGAATCTGAGCTGCCCCGTGAGCTGAGACGAGGCGGCTCTACATGGAACAAGGTTTGGCTTAACGCAAGCACAACAAATTACTTAAGGAATTATTGCGTAGTCTATTTTTGTACCTTGTAGCTGTCTATACAGTTTGGGCCACCAACCGTGTCTGTAGCGAGTTACATGGCCGCAGTAGCGCGTCCATGCATAGGCCATGTGCAGGTTAGCGCGAGCACTCTGCGTCGTTTCGGACAATTCCGAATAGAGATATACGGATCTTTTGTGGCCTATAAGTAGAAGTCGTTTATCTCTCTTATGTAATGACGACAATTCGTGCTGAACGCGATGAAGCGGGTTGAAGAGCAGGCATGGCGCTGCAAGAAAGCACACCGCCCTCGAGCCACCAACAGCTTTTTCCAGCCTTTGTGAACACTCATCGGAGTTAACAATCTGACAGGGAGGAGCGGGGACGTTCTGTTCGATTATCTGAGGACAGGCGAAACCGTGGGATTTTTGACCCTGCATCCAACCGCGTGGATTCATTTCCCCTGTGGCACAGCTGGAAGCCACAGTTTGACCGCATCGCGCATACAAACTGCAGTAGTAAGTCGAGTCTGTGCGCCTTGTTCCCGCCACACAAGTCATGAGGCTCCAGTGAGCCTGGAAGCACAAGGGGAGACCGTGGGTCCCTGGCTGGGGCTGGCCCAATTTGCTGGATCTGCAGGAGGGTGTTGGCAACTGGGCTTTAACAAAGACTCCACAAGTCAAAGGTGTTTGATTGGCTGGATTTGACGGGCTGAATAGCCTCGAAGTCTCTTGAGGGATGATGGATGATGTTGGGGCTCGTTGCCCCTGCTATGACAAGGAGCAGAAGAGGATCCGAGGATCTGAACCTGGTGCCAACATATTCGCCATGATACGAGACAGAAGGGAGAAATGATGATACTCTTCTATCCCCACTAAGGCTGATCTCTCTTCTCTCTTTTGTCAGCCGGCGTCAACTCATTCATTCCTTTGCAACAGTGGTCATTGCGTTTGCTGCTCGGTCGTTCATTTAGCTAATCTTTTCTCTTTCGTTGAATTTCATACATGTCCATGTCCCTTATCATCGCGCAACATGGCTAGAACTCGGCACATCTGGAGGCACGCATTGTGGACTTGCCTCTTCGCCCTCTTTACACCCTCGAAATGCGGCCAATATGCGGCGTTCATAACGGATCTGGGCACTCAACTCATCGTGCTCAATTCAGAAGGAAACTTCACCTACAGCCCGTGTAACAGCGGCTCGACGCCCGCCTGGCCTACAAAATCACCTTTATTACTGCCGGTCTCGGTAGAGCCAAAGAGTGGCTCAAACATCGCTGCAGTTGGGTTTATTGAGGATGACACTGTCTATGTATGTTATGAAAGGAGAAAATACCTACATATCGCACTGGTTACTGATCTTTTAAAAATTCATACAGGCCGATCTATTCTATCAAAACACTGGTTTGAATATAGAACACGAGCGTTTCAAATGTAATGCGGATGATGGGACTTATACGCTCATGGGTCGCGATTCACCCGATGGCGAGCTTGCAGATGATCCTGAGATGCCGGATATCAGCCTGTTCACTGGGCTGGCGACTGTCCGCCTTGTGCTGCTAGCAGGGACACGGCTCTTCTTTCACGATACAAATGCCACTCTACATCAGATCGAGTACGGTCCGGACAATACATGGAGTTACATCGGCATGGTCAACCCTGATGGACACCTTCAGGGCCCAGCTGTGGGGGCCGCCGTGATCAACGCCGTACGAGACCTTGATGTCCTTTCGTTACTTGAAGATATAATGTCTCTTTGCTGATCGTCGTCGTTGCTTAGACAGCGGAAATGTATACCGTACAGGCAAGGAGCGACAAGAATATTGAAATCGCCTCTACCTTCAGTGGAACTCCATGGACAGTCGGTAAGTTCTCCCGAACAAATGAGGGTCACAATGCGTCCCTTCAGCTTCATATCTTCATCTTTTCCCTTTGGTCAGATGATCACTGACTAGCAAAAGAATCTACGCCTTATTCTCTCTCAAACAGTAACACGTCCAGTACCTCAACACAAAATTTCACCATTGATACAGCCCAGGTAGTGTTTTCCCAACTCGAAGGTTGGCCATCACAAGTTGCCAATCTGGCTCTGGCTATAGACCAAGATGCCTCCAAGTTCATATACTACATCGGCAGCGACAAGTATCTGTACAACCTGTCGTCTGTGGCGGACACGAATCTTGGCGCCTGGAGTATTAACCCCAGCATGGACACACAATACTGGCCACTGGCCGATGACGAGGCGGCTGACTTTGCGGTCGCATCTAACCCTGCGAACTATGACCTTCGTATCTACTACATGTCCGGCGGCTGCATGAAGGAGGTGTCGCGTACTGGGATGGACACCTGGGCGGAGGCTAAAGCACTGCCTACAACCATCACGAATACTGTAAGTCAAAAATAGTTTTTCCTGTCTCATCATCGAAAACCCCTTTGGACTTCCTCTCCAACAATATATTTCTTTCCCGAGGAGACATCATCCGGGTCTTCACTGGTTGAAGCAGCGGCCAAGACCGCCTAATACATGGCGGTGCCCATGTTCAGTACATTTCAAGCACAAACAGCTAACACAGCAAATTAGCAGACACCTTCGGCGTCTGCAGCGGCTGCATCAGCAACGACGGGGACAAACTCAAGCAAAGGAACATCGGCAGCCAGTAGCAGCAGTAGCCCTGGAAAACTGTCCTCAGCCGCGCAGGTTGGAGTCGGGATCGGAGCTGGCCTCGCTGGGCTCCTCATCGCAGGCGGAGCCATAGTCTTTTTGCTACGAAGAAGGGCGCAGAAGAACCAGCAAACCTCCCAGGATGAGGCTACGCTCGCACCACAGCGAGACGGGAAGATACAGAACTATGGTACCTCTGCGGGAGCGAGTCGGAGCTCGAGCTCCTCTGCTTTCGACCAGTACGCTCATGCTAAAGGAAGCAAGCATGATGCACCGCTACCGCCTCTTCCTGATAAGATGGAACAAGATGAACCACGTGCCGTCACTTCATCTGGTGGTGCCAGCGTGGTCTACGTTCCGGCCTATGAGCTGCCCACAAGTCCAGGCGCCCCAAAGTACGAAATGCCCGGGACGCCGACAGCCTCGGCTCGAAACGCATCACGAGGCCAGCAAGCGCCTGAGATGATGCCAAAGAACCTGAGAATATCAAAGGCTGGCCAGGTCTCTGGTGCAGTGTCTCCTCCAGGGACGCTGTCGCCCACTATGTCGGAGCTCGACGGTGGCACGATGGCTTCTTTCAACAACATCACAGTCTCATCGCAGCCACACCCGATGGTACGCCAGCCAAGTCAGGATACTTGGGCCTCGCAAGATCAGACGTCAGCGCCCTTGCATTACGGTTCGGCCTCTTGAGAAAGACGGGGTGACGATTGCCTTATTTTCTGATTCTGTGAGGCGTTGCCGGTGCTGATCGGTCCGAGATTGTGCCCTGCAACAGCTGTTGAGCAAGAACACTTGATCGTTGTGTAGTGTATTAATCATCATCTTCTCTGAGTGTACGAACCTATTTCTTAAAGTTTGGTCCTTTGGGTAACAAATTTATGTATATAACAATTATGGAGGGCAACAATACGGCCAGCACTGCCTGTGAAAAAGATTGCATTTCCTTTTTTTCTTTCTCCTTCTCTTCCTTTTGTATTTTCTCCCTTCTCTCCTAGTTCAATCGATGTCCCTCTCGAAGGTGCATCGAACATTGTGAGGAGCTAGCTAGCATTGGATACCTAGGTATAAAACAACAGGAGTATTTACAACAAACTCAAAATCTGAGACACAGGAATTTGAGCACTTATAATCATGCAAGGTATGACAACCCTGCTGGCGATCCTCGCCCAGCCGTCGATCATGCGATATCAAACGAGTCTGTAGCTCGGTAAAAACCGAAAGTGTCTTCCCAAGTCTCGTACTCGCACTTTAATTCTGGAAGAAACATTCGTATCTCTACACTTCATCGTCCATTCATGCTCTCGTAGGGCCATCATTCAATCGACTTGGCGAGGGGATATTATCAGCTTGACTCGCACCAAAAACCTTGAAGCCGCAAACCTTGCCAAGGCACTCAATAAGGGTGAACTTAATTCTCAAACACCACTACTTGGACACTATGCATCCCATGGACGACATCTGATGTCGGACCCCAGGCCAGCGCAGGTCGTCTGAACTCTTCTATAAACAGCCTTACACCCGCTCAGAGCAGGACCCTGATGAGATCACCAACTGTCTTTCCTAGTTCGCTATTGTCATCATAATTCGCCCTGCTAAGCTCAAGGCTGCCGTTCTTTCACCGACTACTACCTAGACAACAGTGACCATGTTTTCCCAGTCCCTCTTTTACCTTTCTTCCTTGCTGTCGCTGGCGGCCGCGCAAAGCATCCAATTCGATGGCCGTATTCCTACGGGAACACAACTCACTGAGTTCGATGTCGCCAATGGCATCTTTGATCCGTCCAACGTGTTCGGCCAGAACCTCACCTTCAGCAAGCTCCTACAGCTGCCTGCCGTGCAGCCGTCATTATTCGACAACGACAGCATCCCCGTCGAAGTCACCATCAGGTATGGCTGACCCAACCTGACATTAAGCACTCGGATCATGATGTAGCAAACGATCATTAATGACCATCCCACCCCCTTCTAGCGACCAATCTATCTTCGCGCCTAGCCCGACAAATATCCAGACAGGGTTCCGTCGCGCCGAGCTGCTCCCAGCCAGCAACAACGGCACAGACCCATCCACGACCGGCGTCAAGACCCTTCACTTCAGCCTCATGAAGAACACCGCCCGCCCGCTGAACCTGTCCCACGAGTACCAGCTCGTCTTCCTCGAGAGCAGCGACTTCAGCACCAACCAGGTCGTGCTCAAGACCGGCACCGTGCTGGGCCAGACCGTCGCCGACCCGGACACCCTGATGCTCTTCTCGAACGTGAACAACGCCTCGCTGCTGTTCAGCACCAACTTCACGGCCAGTGTGTTTCACAATTTCGGGTTGACCTTGGATTTTACCAAAAAGTAAGTCGTCGTAGCTGTTGTCGTATGCGAGCGTTCATACCCGCTGACAGGTCGACTGTAGCACGACCCAGGTCTTCTATTCTACCGGCACAACGCCGCTTGCACAGGTGACTGAGGCGCTGCCCAACGATGTCAGTGGGCAGGGACAATTTCATTTCGGCCTGCTGAAAAAGCCAGTGAACGGCGGGGCGGATATCACCACGAGCGGAGAGCAGCCTGCAGGGATTGACGAAGGTATCATATATGGCGGAATTTTCGAGGAGGACAGTTCGGCGGGAGTCATCTCCAAGTCCCTCGAGGCATGAAGGATGGTTGTGGAACGGGTCGAGTAATTCACCTTCAAGAATTGATTGATCCATGCGAGAGATCCTTGGTCACATGCAGTCATATAAGCCTGTGCATTTCTTGCACGTGCTGCATGCTTTGAAGAGACGGAGGAAATGTAAGCACCGCCATCATATGTCTAACATCCGTACTCAAACTCATGAATAGCGATCTGCATGAGATTGTAATTAGTTGAATTTCGTGCTCTAGCGACAAAAGGCCAGCTTTAACCCTCTGTCAATACCCTGGTCCAGTCAAATTTGCGCCATCTCTTCTTGAAGTCCTCCGTGCGTGGGTCATTCCTGTTCCAACGGCCCTGCTTCTTGATATTGTCGGGCTCACAGTCTAGCATACCGCCCAGGATCTCCCTCGCGAACAGATCGCCTCTGGGCCATCGGGACAAGTCCTCAACGATATGGCCTAGCCCGCCATCGATATTGAACCAGGCATGGAAATACGGCATCTCCTTTGCGATACTCTGCCGGAAGGCAAGCTTGCCTAGGCCTTCTCTGGCCTTCTTGCCTGTATCGATAATCTTCTTGTGCTGTGTCCATTCCTCGTCACTCGACAGCATGGCCTCCCGAAAGAAAGCGGGTGCGGTGTCTCCGAGATCCCACGGGATAGGGACTGCGATGAGCGCAGCGTGGAGGTGTCGCTGAGGCGCAGCTGCGTTTTCATAAAAGACTACCTCTCGGCCCTGATCGTGGTACAGGCGGATAAGAGACTTCATGAAGTTGCGCATCTCTTCCCACTCATCGTCGTCGCATTCGAGCAGGTTCGTACGGTGACTGATTGGTACCACAACAGCGCCTCCTTCTGCACCTTTGAGCTCGGGCTCGGTAGGTAGAGTAAGATAGACACGGGTTCCGAGAGCGATGATCGGTGCTATGGGGAGGTCTTGCGGTGGCTTTCGATCCTCGTGGTGACACAACGGGCAGGTATCGAGGATCTTGTTCATCTTCTGAAATTCGTTGACGGCCATGTTCTTCAAGTTGATTTCAGACTTGTGCACGCGCTTGGCGAGTTTCTCGGCATTTTCATCGAGGTACTCCAAGTCGTCGTCGAATTTTGCGTCCTTGGCGATGCGCTCGGCCAGACGCATACCTTCTCCGCCTCCTTGCCCGCGTGTCCGGCGCTCCTCCCGAAGCATGTCATCGATACTCATGTCCTCGTTTGCCTCGACAAGGCCGCGTTCGCGGCCGCGCTTGTTCTCGATGGCCTTTACCTCACCACGCTGCCCCGCAAGCATGCGATTATGCATGGCGTCTAGCACCACAGCTTGGTCTGCGGTCGCTGTACCATTGAAGTGCGCTAAGGCTGCGTTGTACTCCGCCTCGAGCTTCTCTGCGTCTGGCGCCTTTCGTAGCTTGGCCTTCATCACCTGGGCACGCATGCGGTTCAGGGCTGTCTGGTCCATCGGGGGCACAGCTTCCTGCATGGTCACGCCTTGCTCCGGCACGTCTTGCTGGGGCTCGAGATCCTCCTTCAGTGTTGGGCGAGTCTTGGCCATGCGCTCACGGTACAGATCTCCAGTAGGCTTTTCAGCACCTTTATAGTCCTGTCCATAGACATTTCTCCTGTCCATCTCGATCTTCTCTTCCCGAGCGTCATCAAATTCTTTCAAGCTTCCGAAGCGCTCTTCTGCTACGTCCTCAACACGCCGTCCGCTCTGTTCGGCTGTGGTGTAGACGGCCTTCAGCTTGGTCATTCGCCATTTTGACCCATCATCGCCAAAGGTGTAATCGGCCTCCTTGGAAATTTCGTCGAGAACAGTCGCCGACGCTCCTCCCAAACCCGTGTTCAGCTCTCGATGATGTATCACTCGCTCCGGAACCTGCTTTGGAGGCGGCGTCTTTTCTTTCTTGCTTCGATGGATATAGTCGATGTCGACAGCACCGGTCATCCAAGAGTCACGAGTCAGAGGCTGCTTTTCGTCTCGGGCTCTCTCCTCGTCCGGGAGAGGTAGCTTCTCCTTGACGTCTGTCGATTTGATAAAATCTGGGTCCTCGTCTCCATCCTCATCTTGCTGTCCGTGTCTTCGACGCTCTCTACGACTCGAATCTTCCTGATCGTGCCTCGAGTGTCGTGACCTTTTGTGTCGATGACCATCCTCGTCTTCGTGATCGTCACGCGACCGGTGGTGTCGATGCCTGTCGTGGCCGTCTCGTTCCCTGTCTCTATTGTGGTCTTTGCGGCGGTCGCCGTCTCTTGCTCGATCTCTGTCTCGGCGTCCCTCCCGATCGTCCCTGTCTGCCGACCTCTCGCGCCGGTGGGAATGATGATGCTTGTGCTTCTTCTCCTTTCTGTCAGCGCGCTGTTGCTCTTGCTCTCGCTCAGTCTTCTCAGCAGCAAGCTGCTTTTCAAACTCGTCAAGCCCATCCATCGTTTCACTAGGTGAAGGACTAATAATAGGGAATAGACTACGATAGGCGTGGAGGTGGGAAGCTTGTGCCTAGATAGAACTCGGAACAGAAGCTACTACGGACAGGAGAGGTTGCTAACTATGACGTGAGGGCCCCTGTGAGAACTCTGGCTGGACCTCTCCCATGCCACCCCAAAATTTCCACTTGCAGGGTATTGTTAGCGTAGCTGGGGGTCAGGGGGTTATCACCCGTCACTGCCAGACGTGCAACCGTCTTGGGGCTGATTACTACTAGCTGCTGCCCCGCCATTTTGTGCCTCCAACTTTTCATGTGAGGCTCTACACGACCGAGCTCCTCTATCCTCAACGCTCTTCTCTACCAACCACTAGAAGTTCAACATGGCATCCTCTTCGACTGCACCCAGTACCGAACAGCCAGCCCAGGGCTCTGGTCCAGGCCAACAGCCTGTCGCAATTGTCTGTGTGGGCATGGCAGGCTCTGGCAAGACGACCTTCATGCAGCGTATCAACGCCCACCTGCACGCGAAGAAAGATCCTCCCTACGTGATCAACCTCGACCCAGCGGTTCTGAATGTGCCCTTCGACAGCAACATCGACATCCGCGACTCTGTCAACTACAAGGAGGTCATGAAACAGTACAACCTCGGACCGAACGGCGGCATCCTGACCTCGCTCAACCTCTTCGCGACCAAGGTTGACCAGATTTTGGGCCTGCTGGAGAAGCGCACCCAGCCCGCCGCCGACGATGAGAGTCAGGCGCGTAAGCCTATTAACAACATCCTGGTCGACACGCCGGGCCAGATCGAGGTCTTTGTGTGGTCCGCCTCGGGCACCATCCTTCTCGAGTCCCTCGCCTCCTCATTCCCCACCGTCATCGCCTACATCATCGATACACCGCGCACAAGCTCGACGTCCACGTTCATGAGCAACATGCTGTACGCGTGCAGTATCCTGTACAAGACGAAGCTGCCCATGATCTTGGTGTTCAACAAGACGGACGTCAAGGATGCCAGCTTTGCCAAGGAGTGGATGACGGACTTCGAAGCGTTCCAGGCCGCGCTGCAGGAGGACGAGAACCGGAACGCATTTGGCGGTGTCGAGGGCGAGGGCAGCGGGAGCGGATACATGGGCAGCTTGCTAAACAGCATGAGCCTGATGCTAGAGGAATTCTATGCGCACCTGAGTGTCGTGGGCGTGAGCAGCATGACGGGCCAGGGCGTAAATGAATTCTTCGAGGCGGTGGCAGAGAAGGCTGAAGAATTCAAAAGGGACTACCAGCCGGAGCTGGACAGAAAGCGCAAGGAGAGGGATGATGCCAAGAGGGCTGCCCGGGAAAAGGAACTGGACAAGATGATGAAGGGGATGTCTGTAAGCGGGCTTGCCCAAGGCCAGCCATCAGGACTCCGCAAGGACGCAGATGGCGATGTCGACGTTATCAGTGACCAGGACTCGGATGAGTTCGATGATGATGAGATGGACCGTGAGGGTCTCCAGGCACGATACGAGGCGGCGATGCAAGATGGCGAGGGCACCCTCCCAGAGGAGGCCAGCTTTGCGAAGTACCTTCACACACAGCAGAGGTAAAGCCAGCAGTTTCGTTTCACAACTGAGGCGTTGCGACGCCGACGGTGGGCCCAGGAGAACTTGGAGGGGATCAAGATTGCATATGGGAACGGTTAAATTGGGACAAAACAAGGGGCTGCATTTCCAGGATTATAAGGAGTTCTGGCTCGGCATCGTGATACCATCAAACAGTGTGTTTATAGAGAATTGATTATGAGGTTCTAATGCTCCTGAACTCCGTCCTGGCCGTGATGCTCCCCATTTTGTGTGGGTATCAAATGCTCCAAGCAGTCAACCGACAAGGATTCTGGCTTTGTCGCGATTGCCATGATCAAAATCTTGACGGCTGCGGACAAGCCGTAAGTCTCTCACAGAGCCAATCTTCCCGCATGTGCGTCACGAGGTTGTGCTCCTTCACTAGTCGTAGTCTTATCGCTGCTCGATCACCGTGCCTCAAACTGGATCATTCTGTATACACACACGAGCCACTACGTCAGCGACAACGTTTTCTCAATCACTTCCCAATGCCCTCCTTCGGAAATCTTTCATCGCGAACTCACCTCTTTGTCCGCTCCTTGTAGAGCACACGACAGCCACAGTCGAGGCACTGCACCGGCTGTGACTTCTTCAGTTGGTTGGGCGTACCGCAGTCGCCGCACAGATACCGGATGAGGGGCTCGTTGTCAGAAGGGTTGGCGGCACCACCGGCTGAGAAGCTGGCCTGTCGCTGCTGGCTGGTGCCGAAGTCGAAGGGGCTGACGGCGGAGCCGGTGGGGACTTGGTAGCCTTCACGAGACATTTTTGGCCTTGTTTTGGGGTGGAGTATGGGCGATGATAGATGCCTGGGTTGGTGAGGTTTGTATCGGTTCGCTGCTTGGTGGAGAGGAGTGATGGAGGTGTGATTTGGTGATGTAGAGAGGCAAGTACAAAGTCAGTCGGCAGACTGTCGCAGGTCAAACTTCCATTGCGGTTCCTAGCCTGAAAAATTAGGCGGTGTAGTGGATTGATGGCAGAACTTTTGATGCGAGCACTGCTGTAAGTACTATGTACGGTACGGCTTGATAAGCATGGGGCAAGGGTCTAGCGTCACCTTTTAGTGACACCACCCCTCTAACCGAGGCAACAGCAGTGTGAGCTGCATACTTTAGTAGTACAACATTCAGTAGCACTATCACCTTCTGTACGCAGTACTTGCTTGTACTTAACCCAAAGCCATAACAATGTGATGTTTCCTCATTGTGTACTCAACACACCACACACATCAAGCTGAGCTGGACTGGGCCATTGCCATTGATCACCTGATCACTGTGCTCTGGTGTCATCCCCCCCCTCAGGTTTCTGTCGAAGATTTGAGCTCAGCCTGGTTCCAGATCGATCGGTCAGTCGATTGCGACAGGTTTGAGGAGCGTCCAACTAGAGAGAACATGGCACCCCAAGTACCAGACAAGACCTTTGACGATGACAAGCCTTCAAGGCAGTCGACATCCCAAGATAGCAGTGAGAAGTGCCCATTCTGCAGGATAGCCACTCTCTATGCGCCCTACAATCCAGCCTCTCCACCATCTTCTTCCTCCCAGACTCTGTCCCCAGAGCTCACCTCGCCCGGCCCAGAGACCTACGTACTCCTCTCTACCCCGGTGGTGATCGCCTTCCTCGACATAATGCCCCTCTCGCGCGGCCATCTCCTCCTCTGCACACGGCGGCACGTGCCCAAGCTCACGGGCACAAAGCCAGCCGAGGCCCGCGAGCTGGGCTATTACCTGCGCGTGCTCTCCGCCGCTGTGAGCCGGGCTACGGGCGTGGAAGATTGGAACGTCGTCCAGAACAACGGCGCCGCCGCCGCACAGGTGGTTCCGCATATGCACTATCACATCATCCCGCGACCCGAGATCAGAGCTCAGGGCCGCTGGAGCGAGAAGTTTACCATGTTTGGCCGGGGCCAGCGGTCAGATCTGGAGCCTGAGGACGGGGAGAAGCTGGCGCAGAGGGTGAGGGAAGAGGTCGTCAGGATACTGCAGCAGGACGAGAAATCTATCGCCAAGGAGAAGCTTTGAGAGCCTTCCAAGGGCTGTCATCGTGAAATCCTTACGCGTTGCGTCAGTGATCAAGGGCGGCTTATGACTGAGCAGCCCGGATCTAAAACGACTTCCAATTCATTCTCTCGCCACACTCACCCAGCAGACGAACATAGCCCGGCTTGAGTAACTCCTTCGGTGGCCTTGTTGATTTTGACCGGCCCTACTCCGGCCTCAGAAGCGATTCTGCTACGATGAACGCCTCAGCAGAAGGATCCAATTCTGGAGTCATAGCAGGCCTCTACGATATCCTCTTGCGTCCACACTGGATACTGGATGCGGTCATGACCGGGCCCGGGGCGACGAACTTCAACCAGAATGGAAACAATGTCAACCACCTTGCCGGGAACTTCACCTGGCTCACAGACCGGATAAAAGACGTGGACGATATGAAGGGGTCCTTTCAATCTTACTGAGACGACTACTATTGCCTGTCCTTCTCACCGGGCCGTGCCCACTCGCAGGAGATCGACTTGATACAAGTGTGGTCCTCCGCTGGACACGTATACAAGGTGATGGTCTGCCGCTCCCAAGAAGTCACGGGCCCAATTTGTCAATCAGAGCGGACAGTCTTATCCAGACAGCGGTGTTATGGAGATCCTAGCCACGCACGATCTTATCTGGGCACCTGGCGGCCAGGGCGTGATGAATGATATACAGAGACCGCGATGCCATCATCTACTATCACCATGTACCACTGACATCGCCGGATGAGTCTCCTGTTGGCGGTGACTATCGGCCTGGTTGGAACAAGCTCGACTTCTCCAGCAGCTGGCCCAGCCTGCTGGCACCATCCTCGTCCGCAGGCGTAAAGTCAACAACAGTCTCGCAGTAGCTTCGACATATTTAAAACAACATGACACCAACAGGCAACTCGGCGGCAGCTGTGACTTTTTTGCCGAGACCATGATTTAAACACTGCTCTCTAGGGCGCGTTATATGATAGACATATAGAGGCGTCATGCCAAACACTATGTTTTACTCATTTAAAGTCCCTTCCTTAACGTACCTATCTGCGAAGTGTGCGTGATGTGTGACGCCATATCTATGTAACACAACCATTCTCTCCCCTTGTTTCTTTTCCTTTCTATATTTCTACCAAAAAAACCCTCTGATCTATTCATCATCTCCGAAAAACACCTTCACCGGCAGCCATGAATCGCCACACACCTTGAACCTCTCCTGAATACCATCCAGCGCCTTCACCTCCTCATCTGTCAGGCTCCATCCATCCAGCTCGAAGTTGGCCTGGATCCGCGACTCGGTCACACTCTTGGGCAGAACGCTGTAATCCCTCTGCAGGCCCCACATGAGCAGGACCTGCTGTGGTGACTTGCCCTTGGCCTTGGCGATGGAGAGCAGCGCCTCGTTCTTGGCGAGGGGCGAGTCGGTCGATCCCAGAGGTGAATATGCCGAAGCGTGGATGCCCTTTTCCTTGAGGTAGTCGAGCAGCTTGGGCGAGGGGTTGCACGGGTGCAGCTCGATCTGGTTAACAGCAGGCACGACCTAATTGTTTGTTTTTTGATCATGTCAGCATCATGTGGAGCTTTCGCAGAGGAAGGGAGTTGGGGAAAGAAGGGAGGATTGTTATTTCCACGCTCTCTCTCACCTTTGTGCTCTCGGCAGCCAGCAGCTTCTCCGTGTTCTTGATTCCAAAGTTGCTCACGCCGATGGCGCGCACCTTGCCGGAGCCGACGAGCTTCTGCAGCTCGCGCCAGGTGTCGACAAAGTCCCAGTCAGGGTAGTGCTTCTTTAGGTCCTCCGGGTCGGTCGAGCTGGGCCAGTGCATGAGGTACAGGTCGACGTAGTCGGTCTGCAGGGCGGTCAGGGAGCGGTCGATGGCCTCGGGTACGCGCTTGTGCCACGGGTTGTCGAGCTTGGTGGTCAGGAAAATCTCGCCTCGCGGCACGCCGGATGCCTTGATGCCGTCGCCTACTTCCTTTTCGTTGCCGTAGGCGAAGGCTGTGTCGATGTGGCGGTAGCCATGGCGGAGGGCGGCCTCGACGGCGTTCTTCACCTCGTTGGGCTTGGACTGCCAGGTGCCCAGACCGATGGCGGGTATCTTGGCGCCCGTGTTGAGGGTGAAGGTCTTGCTGTAGGATGGGGAAAGTTCCAAGGTTAGCAGATGAGGAATACCAGTTGTTGAGACGCGAGATGATGGCGAGAAAGAAGAGGGGTGCAGAGGGAGCTCTCACCTTGTGTTCTTGACAGCGGCCATGATTCTGGACATGAATAGAGTCTTATCTGGAGGGAGGTGTATGTATCTGCCTAGTGGTTGTATTATTCTGAGGACCAAAAGTAGAGATGGGAAGTGGAATTGTTTCAAGGGAAGAGACCGCAACAGAAATATGCAGAGAACGATCACGCAGTCACGGTTTATATGTGAACAATGTCGCCACTGAGCAAGGAGTGAATTGTTGCGGAGCTACGGGCCGAGTCAAATACGCACATGTACGTAGTGCTGCATCAGTATAGCAGTATAGCTTTATGGTAGAATTAGCGTGTCGCAGTATAGCTCGCTCCCTACCGTCGTGTGAGTGTGTGGGTTTGGCGGCTCAATCTGAGCTTCTTGCGCTCCTATCAGAAGAGCACAATGGGCGAGCGTCATGCCGCCTGTGGAAAACGTGAGGACGACCCCGCCGACGTCATGTGGGACAATTTCCGCCGAGGGGGGAAGGATCGCCCTGGGGGAAGTGTGACACCCCGGCTTGGACTTTTGTGGGACCAACCATTCTCCGCTGTTCGAGAAGAGGCAAAGAATCAAAGGAAGGAAGTTTTTTCTTGTTCGTGATATCATTGTTTCTCTGGGCTTTTACACATGTGTCTCTGGAATTTAACGCAAGACTATAATATTCGTGGTGACTGCCAAGGATAAGTCAGCCGTCAGTGTGAAGCTCACTGTTGGCCACAATAATCAGCTCACACGACTACTTGATTCTTGGTCACCTCCGGTGCGCACAACTCGCCTAAGATGTTCGAGCAGTCAAGGTCTTTCTTAGACTTCTGGAATACTGCAATGAAAATAATGAGATACATTCTTCTAAAAACTGCGAGTATTTTCTTGAACCCGGATTTGGATCTGTTATCTCTCTGCCATGTCGATTTCGAACTAGAAACGTCGGTAGAGTCTTGTCAAGTTATATCTGTGGGGAAGACAACCCTAGCCCTGACCACTTACATATATAAAAACACTCTTTTTGGGCGTCTTCTTTTCTTCATCTTCTTAGACAGCAATGCAATTCATTTTTTTCAATACTCACTGAGGTCATTATCTCCCTCACAATATCATGGATGCGCGGCATCACAATCTTTCTTGATTGTGCTCGTGCTAAGACATGATTTTGATTCACCATTGTGCTTCTGTAACGAATTGTCTGCGCCTTACAAATCTCGGTCGAATGCGTCATTCGTAGTGCTTGAAATCCAAGAGCTGCGGTACCCTCGTTTTGTCATATATCTTTGGCTGCGGTCTCATATTTTCCAAGATGGGCTTGTATAGAACGCGGCTGGACTTGGATAGGCAGGTCGTCGCCAATGCTTCTCTGTTCTAAGTTCAACCTTGGGAAATCATACTTCGACGAAATCTGTCCAAACTCGTGAACCAGACAGTTTTCCGCTTCTCTCTTGTGTTCGTCACATGCCTCATTATAATCAGAATGAGGGTGGTGTACTGACACGAAAGGGCGCCCATCGTCTTCTGGCGTAGAAAAGGTCATCACATCACCATCGCATCACCAGAGAGTACAAGACATATCAGTCTCTTAACTTTCGAGGCCCATATAGACCCACACTTTGGAAATTCCCTGGTCTACTTATTTTCTTGCATCATAACTGCGAAGGTGTTAATATAAATTCTGTAAAAAGAGCCGTATGCAAACCACACTATGTCATCCCGGTTTCACACCATCCCATCTCCGAGACCGAGCCAAAGCACCTGTTAATTTGTGCCGTTGCACGATAAAATCGACTAATGTTGGAGGAAAAGGACTAGTTGCTCCAGAACATGATCTAGGAAATTTCCTATTGCATGAGCTATCTTCTAGAACAGACTTGGGTGTATCCTCGCACCCGACTTCAGATTACCTATCTTGATCACACGGTTACTCAACCTACCCAAGTGCCCGTCTTCATAGCCTTCTGGGGTCTGCTATAGTGATATTGGCAGCGGCCCCGACGGATATCAAAGCAACCTGAGCTGCTCAGACATACGCAAGTCTCGGAGGCTAGCAAGACGCGCCGCGCGCTGGTACCTTGTAATATGGTAATATTCCGCTCTGTCGTCATCGTCGCAGCTTGCCTCTTGTACAAGAGGGGCGCTCGCCTCGAACAGGTGATTTCCTCGATGAGGGCGAAGCCACCTCCTATGGCGTGTCTTAAACCGCCGTTTTAGACGCAACGAAGAATCTGGGATGCGGACAACTTCAGACAAACAGCAATCCGATATACTGTGGGACCATAATTCATTCATAGGGCTAACAACTTGCAGCTGGCGGCTAAGTAATACGGAGATTTGGCAAAGAGGGTTGAGGAGGCTCATGATACGGTAATTGACTTGTGGAAATAATGAGAATAAGAGGAACTGATGCATAAGTTACATGTGTGTGAGCAAAATCTTTTGAGGAGATAGTAGAGTCAGAGATAGACCTTGGACGTAGTCCTTGCATATCATTACAACCGATTATCTGGTTGTGACATCGTACAGGCTTGACATATTACCTGAAAATCTAGTCATTATCTTTGCATTATCTCAACGCTTATGGCTACGACACGTTGATAGGGCTTCATTCATTGCCAGAAGATGGGCCCCAAGAGCGACTCTGTGCTCTCTCCGTTGGCAGTCACGTCTCCACCAGTCACGGCCCCGTCGAGGACGAGGCGGAGGAAGAGCACTACGACAGGAGCCAGGTCAAGAGTCCAGGCTGATGCTGAGCGCCAGGGCTCCCGGCCGTTATCTATTTTCGCCAAAGATGCCACGTCGGATGACTAGGACAAGGAATAACGAATTGGGGCAGACCCAGATCCCCTTCAACGACGGCCCCAAGCTATACGCATCCTTCTTGATCGAGTTCGGCGAGAGCGAGCGATACAACCAGGAGGACGCAGTCGTAGCCTTTGATCGGGCGGGCATGAGAGCGCAGGTTCCATCCTCGCTCCTACCTGGCTTGTTCAACAGTGCTTATTCGCACCTTGCTCGTCTCAACATCCGTGTCAAACCATCAACGCAGAGACCATTTGTCGACATCGCAGCCTGCGCCAAACACGGCTGACGCGTGAGCGTCCCCCAGCCCATCGCATGCCTATGCTTCCTCCACTACTACGTAGACTCGGAGGGAAGGAATGCATTCTTTTACTGATACCTAGATAAGCTAGGTTTGTTAGAGACAATCGATCATGGTTTTAATTGGCCTGCTCATATAGACGGAACCTCCGTCTCTGATAGTCACCAGCAACCCATGCATCTCACTACTCGAAAACCCCCTGCCCGTCGATATCGCTCCATAGCCACCCGTTTCAAGGACACAGTCAACGGCCAGAAACTTCGCGCTGAGAAAATATACAAATTCAAGGGAACTGATGCCAATCAGACAGATCTGGTTAAAGTCTCAAAGAATATCCCCCATGACTGGGCATGTTCGTATCCATACAGTACACCACCTTTGTTTATTTCCATACAATTGAGGCTCATTGCGCATCTTCAATGTTGTACAATGTCAGACCAATCAAATACAACCCTGGACAAAGAAACTGAGTACCTAGTAAAGCACAAATACAGGCACGACCCCATGCTCAGCAGCGAGCTGGTATTTATGGACGTTCTCGGCATTTAGGTTTTTGTTGGAAGACTAACTAGGGGACAATTGCTGGCTCGCTGGCTGTAAGAGTTTTGAAGAGATCATGAAAACACAGGCCGTCTGCAAAAGGACTCCCGGTCTCAAAACCCAGATTTACCTGACCCTTCATTAGGTCCCATCAACCCCATCCGTGCCGAGGAAGGTCTCCACCAATACTACCACCGCCTAATCCTTCTTGCACGCCAAAAAGTCATCGCCCGAAGCACCAGTGTGGGTAATCAGGCTGTCAAAGGTCCCCTTGGAATCAAAAATCACGCGGTCCGCTCCAGGGGCGCCGCCAGTGTAGACACTGTAGCTCGACAAGATCGGGAACTCGTACCACGGTCCGGAGCTGGGGAACGAAAAACCCTCATAGTCTTCATACTCGTGAGGATAGCCACCTGTTTTATTTTTAAGGAAGTTCTGTTGTCAGCGGATCTGATCGCGGTTGTCTTGATCTGGGACTTTGTGGGTGGGTTTTATGGGACTGTATATGTGCATGTTACATACCAGGTGCGGTACCGCTCTTGTAGTCCGAGTAACCCTGTGCCAGGGCCGCATCGATGTCTGATTGCCAGTAGCACACCGATCCGCATGTGTACACGCAGGTCTCCCTCCGCTCGACCTCTGCTGAGCTCACGACGGGGAGAGACAAGGCGGAGGCGCCGACCGCGGCGAGAAGGAGAGTCTTGAACTGTGGTAGACGTGTTGTTAGCTCTGTGTTCCTGTAAGGACATATTATAAAAAAGAGAAGGGAACCACACTAACCATCATGATGAAGATGTGCTGTGTAAGTTCTCTCTACTGGAATGCGAGACGAATACGGGCAAGACCTGGACAGGGCTGATTGACTTTGTTGACTGTAGACTAAGCGGGATGATCAGAAGACAATGAAGTGCCTCGAATATCTTGATGACTCTGGCATTGCCCTATTCATATTCTTCCATGCTCTCTTATCATCACAGCGATGTTGTTCTTGGCCGCAGTTGACCGATACACCCACCTCCACTGCGGCCGCAACATACAAGGTTTGACTACACACGAAGGGAACAACAACGGCATAGATAGTTAGTTACCACGTTACCCCACGGCAAAACATCAAGAAACACTGATTCATACACGTGAACATTCCTGTGGTTGGCAAGAGATGCATGCAGTTTATCAACAAATAGTCAAGTGAGTCCACAATCCAAATGCCACCTTCTAAATCCATACAAGCCGCGCCAAGTAAGACGCCGTGAAAGTTTCCCTCCCTTTCCGTCAATGTCCACCGAACCTCGGCAGGGCGTGTCGCGAACCAGAGGTGGAGGGCTCGAGGTCGAGCCATTTGATTGGGGGGCCCTTGGACGCCGGCCCCCCTCAGTGGTGGCCCACACGAAACAACCCAATCATGTCTTAGCTACAGGCCTAAAGGGGGAATCTGCCAAGGGGCTTTTTGATAAGCTTAATTTGACGGCGCCCTTCTGCCAAGGCCACCGGTGGATGCTTTCTCGTCGCGGGTCGCGGGGGATGGTCTGTTTCCCCAAGAAGAGGAGAGATACTGAGTGTTTTCGAATGTGCTGACGGTTAGTAATTTTCTTGACACCTTCTTAAGGGAGGTTCGCGGGCCCTGCAACGTCTAGTGCTGGCGTGTATGTTTTCTTACGAGCGTGTGTGTGTGTGTCGCTGAATGGAGTTCTTATGCCTGCCACTATTACCTTCTGCATGAATTATCCCACTCTTGCGCCCACAATCTCTTGGCAACTAGCTCATGTCTTCCAGGTGACCCATGATTTCCTTCGTCGCGTCTTTCCGAATACGATGCTCCAACCACGACGTGTTCCGACCGCCGTGCTTCAACGACGACTTTTTAGTGCAACAAACACTCTCGAGCGGCCATGTCTACCACACGAGATAAGAACATTAACCAGTCAATTCCACTGCGCTGAGTTCCTTCCAGGACACTCTTCATGGTGATATTATCAATCCTTCCCAAAATGTGCTGCTGCGAAGCTTCTCCTTGGCCGAACACTCCTTGTCCAAGTCCTCAGCCTTTAGAACAATTTCAGTCCAGTGACTCTGGCCGATTGCCAGGTTAACACTGTCGACATTCTCGTCGAACAAGTCGCCATATCCAGTAAACACGCGGAATACCTGTCTCAGGACATACTTTAGACAGCAAGCCCTCACTGCCTACATGTCCACCGACGGAGATTCGCTTCGGTCAAAGGCAAAATTGCATAGCCTTCCTGTGCATTCTGCGAAAACACAGGGACCGATTCAGACGCCCACACATGTTGATAGTGTGACACGTCTGGCCCCAGAAGAGAAGAGGGCATTTTTGTGTGGCACGACACCATCGGAGGATGCATCAATAACCATCTTGGTACCGCGAAGTCGATCAACCCGTACATATATGGGTCCATTCCGTGACCAGGAGTGAAGCTCTCACCCCTCTTGAAATAATCTTTCGGGTCTGTATTGGTAAGCTCTTGAGAAGGGGCTGAAAGGAAGTATAGAGGGTTGTGATTGTGAAGAATGATGATGTTGGGATGTGATGGGAAAGAAATTACGGAGGGGCTGACACACGATTTGAATGTTGAAACGATTTCTTGTTCACTAACCGGGAACTTTGGGCAGTCGATGCTGCTCGTGTCCATAGCGACTGCTCAAATATAAGACCCTTGTGCATTGCACCTTCTAAGGTGACCGAGAGTAAGGGAATCGTAGCCGTAGCTTGGCCTGTTTGGATGAAAAATATTTAGAATCAGAAACGCAGCTGGTTACATGTCATCTATAATTGAAATTGCAGGTACACTTTATCTTTCAATTTTATTATACTTATTTGTCTTTCTCCCTCTAATCACAAACGGATAAGAGACTGGTATTCGTACTGGTTGACGATCCCAGATTACAGCCTGTGCCTGAAGTGTGGTGGTATATCCAACGGCAAAGGTGGAACACCACCCCTTCTACAATTTGGTTTAATTGAAGTTTCTATCCATATTGTACTTCACTAATGAGGAATCAACTGGAAGTCTGCATTCTTCCGCATTTACCCGTCTGCCAATCGTCTCATCTCGAAAATTCCTCTCCACGACAAGCCAGATCCTAGCACAGGCTTAAGAATTACTCAAGTGAGCACTTACAACAGTATCATGTCTCCAGACAACTGATCGGCATATTTAAGCCCAGATTGGGTGCATTTGCCATTGTGCAAACTCAGTGTTATCCTTGACCTGCAGACTACCTTTTTTTTCTTTTTTTTTTTGCGGTACCAAGTCAAGCTGAAGTAAATAACTAGGTCGTGGGGCCGACTCTCCCTCGCGTCTCAAGACTCTGTTGAATAGAAATAAACTCATCAGTCCATATCTGCGTCACCCGCTTCCTATGCCAGCGACAGCTATAGGTATCCAGCCAGTACCATCCTACCGTCACCATCAAACGTATTTCCCCAATGCACCTGAATTCCTGTTCATCGAGGACCTCATATGCCCCCTACCACCCAGTCAGACTTTGTACGCCCTGTGCTGGAAAGTACGACTGTGTTGTATCAATCTCCGCCGCGAGACCCGTTTCCGGATCATCTTGGGCCTGCCCAGGACTGACCTCAGGGAGGTCCTGGATCCAAGCCATTATTCTCCTATTGTCTAATTTTCATTTTATATGACCCTGCGTTAGCAGAATACCCAACTACACAAAGACGAAAGACTCAAGAATGCCCTTTTTATAACATAGGCAACCCTTAAAAGATGTATTGTTGGATTCCTTCCTCCTAGTTATTTTGCGTGCGATGCTGCAAGGTGAGTGAGTCAGCAACTTACTCCAGAACGACGGCCCGATGACTTTGAGGGCTCCCAGATGGTCCTCGGAGTGGAGGATGTTGCTTGGAATAGGCGCATCTAGCTGCTGTGCACTGATTCTGGAAGGTCCGGTTCGTGATAACCAGCTCATCTTTGCTTGGGTTATTGGAGGATTTGGCTCAGCAGATGGGCTTGGTGGAGCGAAGGTTGTATGTAGGCCTGTCTGCAAATTTGAAAATCCTGTCCTTTTTCTTCTTCTTCTTATACCTTCTAGAAGAGAAAATCCCAATAGATCAAGGGGAAAAGAAGTAGGAGTGTTGATTTATGTAGTCACGGAAAGAGCTCTGCTGAATCACACTTGACTGTGATGTCTGAAGCCTAGTCATGCATTGTGTTTTGTGTCTTGTCATGCTATGAACAATAGATGGATAGTGTACATCAGGTAAAAGGGGTGACCAGCCCAAGTGACTGGGAAATGCACGAGTAGTTCATATAGCTGTTGGATGCCAGGCCCTGCACAGATGGAACTCATATTCCTGGACGGGGAGTTTGTAGCTCAGGCAGTCATGTCTGACGGTGTTGCTGCCCACCTTAATAAGCAAACTAAGGACTGCCTGGCGCAACTTAGCAAGCAAAGGATGTTTCGATGTTGGCTACGTCTAGGATTAGACCTCGTACTGAGATACTGTATATCCCATATAGTATTGGGTCATCGGCACTGTACTGTAAATGTGGTCCATCTTGTGAATTAAAGATCTCTTCGCAGATGGAGGTAGAACACACTCAGTCACGACAGACACAGCTCAGTAACTTTTGATATTCATTTATTCATTTATAATCATGGAAATGCTTGCAGTGTCCGACAATTTGCCACTTATCCTGAATAGCCTGTCTGGTCAGAGACACTAAATACAGCACTTCAGGAGGAGACTTCTCCCTCGTCGGCATCGCTTGTTCTATCGCTCTTTGCCGCTGAACGCTAATCTCTACACCACAAAATAGGGAAAACTACGAGAGCGGGTTGCAGGTGAATGCGGCACGGACAGTTCCGGCGTGATACTGGTTAATCTGCGTGGAGGGAGGGAAAGATAAGCCCAACTGTAGTAATCATAAAGACAAGCAACTAGACAGAACAGAAAAAGACTTACGATATCCGCAATGCTGGCGTAGGTCCCGCCGACGAGGACAATAATGCCAATGACAAAGACGAGGGCGTTGAGAAGGGCTAGAGGGAGGTTCTTGCGCTCGTACCACTTGCCCTCCTTGACAAGCTTGAACCACATCCAGGCGGGGAAGTAGAAGGTGAAGCCGGAGATGAAGAGGCACGAGCAGATGGAGAGCAAGTCGGAGAAGAAAGGAATGGCCTCGGCGATGACCCAGGCAATAATAGTGATGAAGGTGATGAGAACGAGCCAGGTGATCCAGCCCTTGCGGGTGTTGATGAAGCGGACGACGCTGTCCTTGTAGTAGCGGCCATGGATGTAGCGGCCGACGACAGTCGTGTTGATGGAGCCCGAGATGAAGATGACGGGCAGCGCAATGCCAAAGGCAACCCTGCTGAGGACGGGGCCGGCGGAGAGGAGGGCGGGCGACTGGACGCTCTGGCCCACAAAGGCGTAGATGAGGGCGCCCGTCAGGGTGTAGATGATGATCTCGATGATGCCCAGGGCCCAGATGGACTTGATGTAGTCCTTGGGGCTGTGCATCTCGTCCATGAAGGAGAACTGGCAGACGGCAAAGGAATAGGCGAAGACGATGTTGCCGAGGGAAACAAAGGCCTCGACAAAGGTCAGGCCCTCCTTGGGCCAGGCTGACCAATCAGAGTGGGTGATGGTACCCTGAGCAGACTCGATTCCCGTGCCGATGATGGTGATGCCGATGGCAAGCATGATGCTGGCGAAGTCGATGTAGCCCAGAATGGCGACCTCGGCGAACGAAGGAGGGATGGCGAGCAGCAGCAGGATGATGGCAGAGACGACGGCGAAGACAATGGAGCAGAGGCCGTTGCCGTTGTCGGTGATGTTGCCGAAGGCGATAGCTCCGGTCAGCGTGTGGGAACCGACGAGGAAGGTCAGCTGGGTGCAGAACATAGCGCCGACGAGCTCGTAGCCGAAGCGGCCCATGAGCATCCCTCCAGCATCAGCATAGTGCGAGATGTGAGGATGAAGCAATTTGACCTGGCCGACGACGTGCGAGCTGTAGATGGCAATCAGGCCCAGGCCCACGCAGACGATGACACCAGCGACCATTCCCAGGTTCGCAAACGCAGAGGGGACGGAGAGAGAGCCCAGTGCGATGGCCTCGACAATGAGGACGACGGTGAGGCGCTTCCAGCCCAGACGGTGGAACTTGTCGTGGCCCTCGGCGGCCTTGCGCTTCTCGAGGTCGGTCCAATCCGTCACCTCACCGGCCATCTGGTCCTGGCCAAACATCCCTGAGGGCTGCGAGTTGGTCGAGCTGAGGGTCTTCTCGACCTTGGTATCGCTAGGCGTCCCTGTGGCGGTGTTGATGTTGAGGTCGCCCATCTTGTTTCAGCCGAAGGAAGAGAGAGACCTGCGAGTCTTCGTCGGGGTGTCGTCGACGAGAGGAAGTAGTATGATATTTTCGAGAAGAGGGTGAGATGGGTTTGCGTGTCTTTCTGTTGTGTGGGACCTCGCAAAATTTTTGAATTCTTGGCCAGGTTTTGACGTGGGTCTTTTCTTCGTCTTTGTCTTTCTCTCTCTTCTTCTACTCCAGGAAGAAAGGGAAAAAAAAAAAGGACGCGCAACTTTTCTTGGCAAATAATTCAAACAGTTAAGCCGAGATGAGAAGGGAGTAAGAAGGGAAGGGGGGATGGCAGGCACAGGTTTAGACCAGTGTCAGTAGCGTCGTTGCTAGGAAGGGACAACTTTGCGCTAGATCTACAAATCGACGCTGGTGGTGATGATGACGTCCCCGTTGCCTGCTTAGAAAGCTTCGTGATGGACTTTAGGTGGTTTGTCGTGCTAAGGGTGATAGTAGTGGGTAGAGGAGGGAAGAATGGCAAGGACCACTTATTGCACCGTGTCACGTCGACGAGAGTCAAGAAGAGAGGAAGACGGAGAGAGAGGAAGAGGGTATTGTTGTATATAGTCTCGAAAAGGAATGAAAAGGAGGAAACTAGCCAAAGTTAAATAAATACCAACAACAATAACGATCACACAAAAAGAATAGATACGACCGAGACAAGACAGGCAGGGCTTGCATCGTTACCTTAGTCAGGACCACCAGACACGGCGACAGACTGGTCAGCCCATCCTTCCCTTATCTCTCAGTCGAGACTAAACAACAAAGGCTCAGGCACAGTGGAGGGGACTGGGAATAATGGAGCAAAAGACTCGGATATAGTAGAATCACTCTGGGTTAAAAGCGGCCGAGAAAGGAAGACTAGCCCTAGGGCCAGGGCAGGGCAGGGCAGGGCAGGGCAGGAACAGCAAGCATGACGCAGAAGGCGAATGGTCGATCCTGGCACTATCATCTAGTACACACAGTAAGTGGTAACGGGCCGGCCAGCGCGGAATTTTACCGGGAGGACAAGGCTGAGTGAGCAAGTGAGGAGCTCCGAAGCCTCGGCCAAACAGAGAAGGAGAGAAAAAAACAAAAAGGTGACGAACGAACGGACCGAACTATGATGCAGGGACCCTGGGAATGCCCCGCGTGGGGAAGCGTGGCCCAAGCAGATAAGGAACCAGAAAACATTTTAGATCTAAGATCTTGTCATAATTATTGACGAGAAGCGTGCAGGCCTGGGGAGGGAGAAAGGAGGGGGGAGGGGAGGGAGAAAGCAAAGACAGAGCGAGGGTGAGGAAGAATCTGCTGCATAATTTGTGTGCGCCGAATCTACCCGGCTGCAACAGCAGTTGGGGTACAAAAAGTTAGAGGACCAGTACAAGAAAAAAGGAACAAAGAAAGAGAAAGATCTGCATGAAAGTACTGTCATGTCGTTTCTCTGGGCCCAGGTGGTTTTCACCTCGTAATATGGTGGAGCCGTGACCAATTCGTTATGAAAGAATTTGCCCATAAGAACAGGGTGCAATACCAGACGTCAGGCCAAGCTCGCGGCTCTGCGGGGGCCCGCCGAGTCATTGCTTGACACACGGGAAGCCCGGAAATGCCCAGCACAAGCATTTACTTCCCGTAATGGGTTCCACTCTGGCCCTTCCAGTCCCCTGTCGATCGACTCTTGTCCCGCCATGTACCGACCCGCTGCGATCCGCCCGGCGTGAGCCGTTCCCTTGCAAGCCACACCTTGAAAAACTGGCAAGCCTTGTCCTGATGACTGGTTCTCCTTCTACCATGGTACCGTACTACGTGGTACTGTGGTATGCAGTACAGTATTGAGAACGAAGACAAAAGAGCGCTCAGCCCCCCGCTCATAATCCTTCTCCCCTTTCCCCGGTCTCACCCGAAATTGGAATTCCGAGTCTCCTCTCAGGCTCCTTATTTTCTCTGTCTTCTCTATTCTCGGTCAAACTTCGAACTTTCATGGCGTGTTGCATAGATAAGCCAGATGGAGGTCTAACCAGTTGAATTTTTCTCTTTCGTAGTTGATGCGTAATTCAGCATCGTAAGTAAAAAAAAATTAACCTTGACCTTAGAAGTATACTATCATGAAATGATTTCCTGCAACCTGTCCTGCCTACTCAAGTACTTATGCCGTACTATTCTTCTCCAATCCCTTTTCCTTGCTTTTCACTGACCGCAAGACGGTCATCGAAGCTTGGTTGAGTGAGAATTTGTCAAAGAGGCAAAAAAAGGAAAAACAAGAAACCCTTGCCACACGTCATTGCCTTCCGCCACCACTGTCCACTCATCTCCCCATGCCTGCATGCATGTACTATAGTACCATGAACAGTACATATGCATGAGCCTGATATGTATAGGGCCAATGGAGGCCCAAGAACTTCCCTTCCAGAAGCCTTCTGAATGTAGTAGCTGCAGGCGGGACGCCTCATTTACTCCTGAGCAACAACCCCCCCCCCCCCACCTGGTTGCCTCCTTACTGAGCCATACGGCTGAAGTTCCTTTCCTCGCTGCTGGTCGAGGAAAAGCCCAGCAGCTTGACATCTCCGAACACATAAGCATATAGTAGACAATCCAAAGCCCTCCTTCCATTTCCCTCCAGACACCGAGACTAGTATCGACGTCCCAGCCCATTAGATCCTCATCCTGCACCAGCACCATGACGGAGCATGACCAACATATAACCCCTTCTAAAAGGACGACACCCTGTCGTCACCACTCGAGTCACGTTTATGCTTTGAGCGTCGTAGGCACTAGCAATCTCCCCTTCCGCCCCCCTGCCTTGCTCTTCCCCACGGGGTAAGACGATAAAAAGGGGTTCTGGCTGGGCACAAGGGAGGTGGTGACATGGCGCCCGTCATGTCACGTTGATGGCATGCATGCATGTGTACTTAAGGGCCAAGCTGCGGGCTGGCTGGCTGGCTGCATTGTTGTGGGACGTGCTGTCTGTTAGATCACTTTGCGGTCTTTCACGTGCCCTCGACAGTGGGAACAGCCTTGAAGGTTACTCATTCTGATATTGTCTGACCGCCAGGCTTTCTTTGGCAGTAGTCCAGCTATGAACTATGGTTGGTATGCCAGTCATCTTCCGAAATCAAAAACGTAAGGGGGTATCTCAAATCATGTCTATCCATCCGTCCATCCTTCCATCTGTGAAGGGAGGAAGAGGAAGAAAAACCAAGGGCATATGCGCGTCTGTGTGTGTGGGGGTCACTGCACATCGACAGTGCAGAGCGTCCTCGCAAATTCCACAAAACCCTTTGTAAAAAGTATCCAATCCCTCCTCCTGTGGGCTCGCTTTCGGAAACGAACCCTGTCTCAAAACACAAGCGCGGATGTTTTCCGAAATCTGGCACAGACCTGTACCTGTCGGTCACGCGACATCCACTTCAGTACTCATCATCATCATCTCCCCCGAACTCGTCGTCGTCGCCCTCGTTATTATTGTACTGCCCTTCATCATCTTCCTCAACATCGTCCTCGTCCTCCTCCACACCTTGCGTATCGTGCATGTCCTCATCATCGTCCACGGAAGCTGTCTCGCTGCCAGCACGGCTGGTCTGTCGGCTGGCCATCTCGCTACCAATCACAGAGCCCGGGCCGCCACGGCCAGAGAGCATTCTCTTGAGGGCATCGTAGTCGAACTTCTTGGAGACCTGGTGGCGCTTGATGGTGGCTATGGCGGCGTCGCCTGCGGAGCTGGCTGGCGTCGACTGACCTTCCCCGATACGAGGCTTGCGGTGGTTCTTACGGGGCTTCTTGGGAGGTGTTGTCTTCGCCTTGTACTCCTTCTCCTGCTGTTGGCGGAGCCAATCCTTGTTCTCGTTGAGCCACAGCTGCTCTTTCATCTGAGACTCCTCTTCAGTCAGCAGGCAGTTGAGTACCTCTGGGTCGTTGGCGAACTCGTCGTCGGCCACATCGGGAGCGTCGATCGATCCCTCTCCTTGGTACCTGGCCGGTCGCATGGACGCACTGATGTCTAGCAGCTGCTCCTTCGTCTTGCCAGACCACTTCTCGGCGGCTTTCCACATGTCTGAGTCCGCATTCATGATGTCCTGCTCGATTTTCTGTGCCTTCTCCAACTCTTCATCCTGCCAGTTCTCTCCGAAATCAAAGCCTCTCATGGCACTGCCGTTCAGACGGCCCTTTCGCACAGATTTTGCTCCTGGGTGAACTCCACCTGTCGTAACGGCGGCCGCGTCCGCGCCCAGCAGGTCGGAACCTGGCAGCGGCACGTCACCATACTTGGAGGCCAAAGCATCCTCCATGTCCTGGTCATCCTCAGGATTAGCCTCGCCGAGGTCGTCCTCGGTGATGGCTGGGACCTGTGGGCTGATGGATCTGGATGGAGATCGAGGTCCAGGGGGGAGAGCGGGAATTGCGAAGCCATCCGAGTCGGTCTGGGTTTGTGGAGGCTGTTGTGAAGGCGCTTGCGAAGGCTGAGGGGTCGATGGGCTGCCGCTTGTAGAAGCGGAGCTGTTGGCGGCAGGCTCCTCGGTTCGTTGTCTCTTATTAGAGGTGTCATCAGAGAGTCCGTCTTTGTCTGCATCGGCGGCAGCTAGCTTCCGTTTGCGACTCGCCTCCCTCTTTTTCTGTATCTCGTCTCGGTACTCCTTGGTCTGGCGATAGAAGGCAGGTGGGTCGTGTGTCTCCCCAATCAGGTCCTTTTCCCTGAAGTGGGCGATGCTCATTTTTGCAGAGTCGACCCGGGCGAACTCGTCCAGACGCTGCCTCAGGGTAGCTGTGGTCGTCTTGGCAACATACGAGACTTCTTCAGCGGTGCGGCGGAAGTTGTTCATCCTGGCGGCAACCATGACGGCGGAGCCACACACACCCGCCGGCTTACGACCAGTATTGATCCAGTCGCGATCCATCCTCGAGACGATGCGTACAGCGTCTTTCTGGACCTTCTCGGTCTCGAGATCGAATCCGAGCCGACTGCACATGCTCTTGATGATGTCCTCGGGAAACAGCGGCTCAAAGGGGCAGTCCTTGGCGGGATCACTGTAAAGCATGGCAAGTAGCTTCTTGAAGGTCCTGCCGAGTCTGAAGACGTCGATGTTGATGACGTCGGCAATGTCGATGAGCATGGTCCTTGTGTTTCCAGAGTTCCGCACGGCCCAGTAGACAGCGGCACCCGCACCACGGTCAGTAGTCCTGCCGCGGAGGAAGCCCCTGGCCTGCATGTGCTTGAACTGAGCCATGGCCACGTCGGCGATGCGAGAGGGCAGCTGACACTTGAGGACGATACCGTTGATGGCGTTCTGACCAGTCCTTAGAGTTTCGATGTTGTTGGGACCGTCGCCGCCGCCAGCAACGCGTCGGCGACCGTTTTGCATCGTCATACGATGACCGGCCTCGCCAAACCCGATGTTGACACCCTGGGCGTAGGCCTGACCATTCGCAGCTTCGCCAAACTGGACCTCACTGACAATGTTGATCTGATCCGTAGCTTCATAACCGCAGGACTTGCAGATTCCGTCCTCACCCACGTCAGGTGATGTACACTTGGGGTTGATGCATCTAGACTGAAGCCCGATGGCTGCAGTGCCAGGGCCGGTAGCTGAGGGAGGGGGAGGAGAGCCGGCTTGGGAGGAGGCCCTGCTGGCGCTGCTGGCATTGAGCTGGGCCTTCTGCTTGCGGCGCCAGTCCCGATCTTGAACAGCACGGGCAGGGTTGAAGGTTGGCTTGTTGGGCTTGGGGGTGCCCGCTTTTCGCGTTGTCCTGACCATGGACGACATGGTCGCGTGGTCTTTTGTAGGAAATAGCTATGAGAGTGGTGATGAACCGCAGAACAGAGTCGAGAGTTGTTGGGTTTTGAAGGGATGTAGGTGAAGCTGAGCTGGTGAGAGAGGAAGGTGGCGATGATGCCTGGGGCTAGAGTTGGTGATGGATGACGACCTTTCGGGCTGAGTCACCGTCTCTCTTGATAGATTTGATGGATGATGAGTTGCCGATGTAGGTTGCCAATCAATGTATGATGAGCAAAGCAGAGAAGTAGAGATCGGGGGGGCCAAGAATGAGCTTGTGGTTGCCTTGAGATGAAAAGCTGGTGAGAAGCTGCACGATGAAGGTGCCCTTATGAACAAGTGAAGAGTGTAATGCCATTGGGCGATGTTGGGCGTGGTGGGTGTGGTGGGTGTGGGCTTCAGTGGCAGGAGAGTGTGGTGATGCGAAGTTGAGAAAAATTGGGGGGTGCTGGCCACTTGGTGCGTCGGTAGCTCAATGGAAAAACTGGTCGGTTGTGAACAATGCCCCGCGCGAAAAATCACCGTAGTGCGGCGGGGGGGTTGAGAAATGGCGCTAGACAGTTTACTGCTGGGTCCTGCTTATGTAATATCCAGCAGTCATGACGGCAAAGATCGGTGGGCACTGTTGGTTCGAACCTGGTTTTCCATTCTTTGCATGACTTTTATCTCACACCTCGGGCAGCCAATTCCAGCACACCATTTGCATTCACATGGCGGGTTTCCTACCCAGACAGATATTATTGAGTTTCAGAGAGCATGTTATGAGGACGAATGATACTTGGACTGCATGAGATGCGTTTTCAAAGGCGGAATTGGATCCGATGACTGGTCGAGCAGCTGAGGTTGTAGCAGCGGTTTGCAGTTCAACTTGCAGTCAGTCAGTCAGTCAGTCAGCATCGGCACGCCCGCGTTCTACTGTCCTTGGATGATGCTAGGTCAGAATTGAAAGTGTCTTTATTGCTGAGAATACTAGCTATTCGTTTTCGAGAAGTCATGTGCTACGCCACTCAGGCAGACGAACCGTCCTAGTCTCGAGAAAAATGATTGTACGAAAAAACTAAGCGACACGAAGACAGCCCATCATAGCGCGTTGAGATATGGCCTTTGGCCATACTACATCATGATGAGGTAATACCAAACTGAGGCTGAGTCCCTTAGCTCTCTCGTGTCCTCGTTCTTACACGATGGGGGCCTCTCGAACAACCCATCTATGCTGCCCAGAAAACAATTTCTACCACCACACGGACCTCTTGGCTGAGAAGTTCTGCCATCATGAGGTAAGACGGCCAAAAAGTGCTAAGTCGGCAAAGATGACCTTACAAAAACAACTTACAAATAACAGCGTGGAGTCGGCTCATAGATGACTGATCCACTCGACGCTCTGTCCTAACCTTACCCCTTTCCCACGGATCTTCAGCCACATCATGGCGGGACGGGACGGGGAGAGCGATTGGCACAGGTGGGGGGACCTGATGATGATCTGAGGGCGAATTTCGCATTTGCCATGATACCCAAACGGTCTGTCTTGCGGCTACTCAAGCTCATCCGTGGCTATTTCCAGAACATCTTGGGCTTCTTCTTGTGCAATCACCCTGCTGGGCTGAGCAAACTCTATGGACCCGCAGCTCATCTCGTTATACGAGTTTGTGAGGTAGCGGCCACCCTAGCCTCCCGCGAATTCAATTCGATCAAGAAAAGGAAGATGTGAAGAAAAAGAGAATGAAGAAAAGGAAAACTCCGCATGAAGTTAGCCGACACCTTAATAGAAGCTTAAAGTTCGGTCATCCAAGAATATACTACTATACTACTCAGTGCATCACTAATTTAAATACTAGAATAAATTATTAATCAATGCGCCGCAAGTATTAAAGTCGCACAATTCTCACCTTCCAGTCTGTTCTTGCCGAGGACGACCACCATCGACCACAATGAGGGGGGCATTATCACCAATCGCAGCAGCAGCAGCGTCTGCACTCTTTAAGAGCGCCTTGGCCGCTCCGCTGGTCAATATCGACTTGGGGAACTGGACCACGGACCGGTACGATTACATCGTGGTCGGCGCAGGCCCGGCAGGAATAATTGTGGCAGACCGGCTGAGTGAGACAGGAGGAAAGACGCTCCTCCTCGAACAAGGAGGGCCCTCTTATGGGATCACTGGTGGAAGGGAGAGACCTGGCTGGCTAAATGGGACCGAGCTCAGTCGTGTTGATGTGCCAGGATTGTGTAAGTGCAAGCTGATATTCAGCAGTAGGCAGTGAAAGAAAGGCTGCACCCTCAACAAACGCTAACATGCTAGGAAACAATAGACTCAACCATCTTCGCCACGGGTTCTGATACCTTGCTGTGTAATGAGCGGTATTCTGCATACGGAGGCTGCAACTTGGGAGGCTCCTCCTCTATCAACGCGGGCCTGTTCTTCCAGCCGCCGTCCTCGGATTGGGACAATTTCCACCCTTCTGGATGGAAGAGCTCGGACGTGGCGCCGTCTATCCAACGTCTATATGAGCGCCAGCCATCGATCGAGATCACCTCACAAGATGGCCAATTTTATTCCCAGTCTGGCTACGACGCCGCTCGGAGTTGGCTGGTGGATGGTGCCGGCTACGCAGAGGTCAATATCAACGAGCAGGCGGATCGGAAGCAGGGCGTGTTCGGCCACACTGAGTACGATTATCATAACGGCCAGAGAGGCGGGCCGGTCACGACGTACCTACAGTCGGCGCTGGGCCGGGACAACTTCTTGTTGAAGAGCAATGTCACCGTTGTGCGGGCCGTCAGAACCGGCTCAAGAGCGACAGGTGTGCTGGCGACTGTGGGCGGGGCAAATGTCACCATCAACCTGACTTCGACTGGCCGTGTCATTTTCAGCGGCGGGGCCATGTTCAGCCCATCCCTATTGATGCACTCTGGCATTGGGCCAGCAGACGCCCTTACGACCCTGGCTCAAGCCGGCGCGCTTGATCCGTCCCTGACGCCGTCGTTATGGATCAACAATAGCGACGTTGGCAGTGGCCTCTTCGACAATCCCAACACTTTCATCGAGCTGAGCAGTCCATCAGTGCAGTCGTACACATATTCCTACGACGGCGCCGCCATGTCTGACAGAGACCTCTACCTCAACAACCGCTCCGGTCCGTACTCGTCTGCCGGGCAGACCTCGGTGTTCTGGACGTACATCAACCACACAGACACACCTCCCGCAGGCCTGCAGGGCACGATTGGCACCGCTGGCGCCTTCGGTTTTACCAACAACAGTACCATTACGCTCAACGTATATGGCACGTCTGGTATGCTTTCCACGGGGCACGTCGTCCTCAGCAGGAACAAGAACGGCGCCTTCATACCAGGCCCCAGCAATGGAATATACTATTCGGACGCCGCAGGCCGCGACGCACAGGACATTGCACAATTCATCTACGATATCTTCTCGGCCCTGGACAAGAGCAAATCGGGGTTGACCCCCCTGAACATTCCCAAAAACTCTACTGTGGACGAGATCAAGACGTACATCACGACTCCGTCCAGCTACGCGGTGGGCTCGGTCCAGCACTGGAGCTCGAGCTGCCGCATCGGGAGGTGCGTGGACAACTCGACGCGGGTCATCGGGATGGAGAACCTGCATGTGATTGACGCGAGCATACTGTCGCCGCTGACAGTCAATCCTCAATTTGGTGTGATGGTCGCGGGAGAGCGGGGCGCGGAGCTAATCAAAGGATTAATGGGACTTTCTAATTGTACAGAGTCATCCTTAATAAGATAATATTTTTATTTCCTCCTCTACTACAAGTTTATCATTACATATGACACGCTGACATATGATTCCGAACCACCTACCAGCCCGAAATAGAAAAGAACAGAAAAAGAAGGTCGTGTGATCAATCATCAATCACTTTCGAGAATAGCAGCGGCAAGATAGAAGCAGCGTCACTCTGAAAGAAAAAGTCCGTCTTCTTCAGGCTCTTAGCTGAGCCAGGATCTGGATTAATCACCGCGACTCGAGCCCCCTTTCCCTTGGCCTTTGCAATATACCCCGCCGCAGGCCAAACCTCGGCCCCTGTCCCAATAACAAGCATAAGATCTATGCGGCTCTGCGAGACCCAATCGTCGACCTCATCTAGCATGGCCCCGTCGAGCATCTCGCCGAACCAGACCACACCAGGGCGGAGCAGTGCGTCTGTACAGTTTGGGCAGTGCGGCAGGTCCTTCTGCACATCGATCTCGGGGACCGGGACGGAAGGGTCTAAGAGGGGCAGACCCTGGTCCGCTGGGGTGTTGACGCTCGAGGCTGGCTCCAGCGCGGGGCAGAGGGGATCGTTCTGGTTGTCCTTCTCGATATAGCCGCACTTGTCGAAACATTTCAGGTCTAGGAGGCTCCCGTGGAGGAGACGTAGCTTCTCTGTCGGATGGCCCGCCCGGGGGGACAGGCCTGGACGAGTTTGGAAACGGCGGGATCAGTCAGGATTCAGAGCTTCTTGGAGAGTTGCCGCCGTCCTTCTGATCACTTACCATCGACATTCTGGGTGAGACACAGGAAGTTCTCTTTCCTCTTAGCCAACTCAGCAAGCGCATGGTGCCCAGCGTTGGGCTTTGCCTGGAGGGTCAAGTGTCGCCGCCAGGCATAAAAGAGCCACACCAGCGCTGGGTCCTCCTTGAATGCATCGGGTGTGGCGAGCGCCGTGGCGCTGTGGTTGCGCCAGAGTCCGCCTGCACCGCGGAACGTCGGCAGACCAGATGCGGCTGACAGACCGGCGCCGCAGAGGGCGAGGATGCGGTCGCTGGATTGGACGAGGTCCTGGAAGTCTTTGACGGAGGTGCTTGGTGGCATGGCTTGTTGTGATGAACTCGATGCTGCTGACGCTGAAGATGATGATGCCGGGCTCCAGAATGAGCGATAGGCGTAATAGCTTGTAGGAAAAGATGATGTATTATGAAGATATGTAAATGGTCTTTTGAGGCTGAGGAGAAGAAAAGTGGGCGCCTTGCAATGAGCTTTCATACTCGAGCGTGGCGCGGGGTTGATTTAGGCTGCAGCGCCGCTTGATGGTGGAGAGTAATTGAGGAGTCGGTGAGACGTCTGTTGCGTTCAGCTCACTGTTTATCCTTGTAAAGAAATTGTTGACAGGTGTAACTTGGTAGGCTCTGTACTGGATGTAGTAACCAAATGTCGACGACGTTCTATTGATTATGGCAATACTCGTGGGCCAGGAGGGCTAGTGCCCACGAGTACTTCTTGACAATACGTCAGTAGGACCCCAAACCCCTGCTTATGTAATGCATACGGCCCTCCCCCCCTTTCTCTTGTGTTCATGTATATGTATTTGTTTTGTTCTCCAGTCTCTTCTCTGTTCAGACATCACACAGCAGACCAGATCATAATTTTATGAATAGTGGACCTTAGTGAACAGATTCCATCTATCATCTTATAGTAGACTCCTGAGTTGTAGCATTCAAAAATACCACGATGAAAAATGCACGGCTGGCTGCAGTAAATCTGCTATGGACGTAAGTAGTACTAGCAATTGTCAGGTAGCACAACACAAATCCTGAGTAAATAAGCTTAGATAGTACAGATCATGCCACTTGATATTGGCTTCGAACATTATTCAAGGTACATAGTTTTTGTTATCATGCTGAGGCTACGGTAGATTTAGCACTCCAGTCCTTACCACCCCAATACGCAGCACTCACATGGGCGGCTTTGAAAGATTACCGACATCTTCGATTAACATTATATATATATATGTTTAAGTATTTCTCAATATCCCGCCTCTTCAACCCGGTTATCTATACTGGTGACTCCCTAGCTCTGCTGCAGACCCAACGTTCTTCTCTTGTCTTATTCTCTTGTTTGTGACCATCTAGTAAGCTTCACCACCAGGTCACACTCCTCCAACATGTTCAGTATTGAATTCCGTTCAGGCCTTAGGGCCTTTTGTATGAAGAGCGATTTCTTCTCATGATCCAAGCGCTTTCGGCCTTGGCCTCCTGAATACACGGTATAAGTGTAGCCTGGTTTCCTCGCCTGACCGTATTCCACGAGGGCTTCCATGCGAAGGTCTTCTTTGTCGGTGAGCTCCAAGACTTCTATCGTGTTTTTGAATCCCTCTTGGAGGTAGCACCCCGTCTCTATCCTCCACACTCCCATCTTCAAAGGCGCCGGTTGTTGCACCAGCATTCTGCGCCAGCTGGCGTCGGCTTGAAGGAATCTGTCGAGCTGTGATGGATGCGAATCGCCCGGTGTGGTAGCCATGAGTTGGTTCAGCTTGTCGTCAACAAGTGGGTTCGTACGGATCTCTTCGTGGCAGCGCAAATTGCTCAGTGCCGGCCTTTCCGGCCGAAAGAACAGGAACGCTTGGAGTTTAGGGGAGCCTCGGATGACATTGTTCCAGTCATGGCAGACGCGGCTGGCAGACGTGAGTATTGTCTGAAAATCAAGCTGTAGGAGAATGAGCTCAAGAAGCTCCACGGTAGCCAAGGCTTGATCCATGGCGAAGAAAAGTGAGGATAAGGAATTTCTTTGGTTGTAAGTTTCGGTGCAATCGCCCGGTGCGACAAAAGAGACCCCTTCGACTTATTCATATTCATTCTGGCTTTCAAGGAAACCACCAACTTTGAACTACTTTCTTACGACCCCAGCCCAGTGGCTTACGAAGGGTCAGCCGCTTCATTCCTAAGCAAGCCTCCCTGTCGTTCTCGTTGATTGGGCTCGTCGCGAGATATACCTGGTAACTTCGGAACTGACGGTGAGAGGCCATCCCGTCCCAAGGCGGTCAACTTATCTTCCCCCTGGCAGCCTGGTGGCGTTGTAATCTCGTGTATGTGTGTATGTGCGTGTGCAGACCCTGCAGCTGAACCGCATGCGGCTGCACGGATCAGGTCACCTCCTATGCTAACACGGCCCCAACACCGTACCGGTGTAAGCCCATGCTCAATCACTTGCTGTTGCTTACTGATGGCAAAGGAGCATACGCATGCGTCACCAGTCCATCGCGCTAGCATTTGCTGGTAGCCAGCTCGAAGTGCTGGAGCAGTAAGTATTATAGACAAACTCAACGCAACAATTACTGTTTGAGGAGGAGGCTTTCTCGCAATTCTCTTGTATGAATTTGTAGTGTCTGATTCGCCAGTCCTGGGAATTTCTAGGATAATTAATTGCTGCAAGGACTAGAAATGAGTTCTTGGGTCCCAACATGAATGAGGGTGCACTAACCCCAATCAGGCACCGCATCTGGCATCTAAGCAAATACATTACTTGCGCCTTTGTTTCCCACAATCCCAAGGGCATGGCTCAGCCTTATGCAGTATCGTACATCCCTGTCATATAATATGTGACTTGTATAGAGGCATCACGCTCCTTCGACAACAGAGTGGAGGCTAGTCAAGAAAATCACTGGGTGACTCAGAGGTAATTAGTACATGAGAACTACAGCTTTTGATTAGTTAATTACTGTAAACTGGCATCCAAGAACGAACACTTTACATAGAGAATCCCTATTATTGTCCTGTCATCTTGATACTTGGTCATATTTCAGATCTCGACAACTTGCTTTGCGATTAAGCTCGATATTGTCAGACGGCTTACTATATTAGTTGAATAGGCAGCGCCGCCATAATGATTGATGGGAGTGGTTCTGGTGATTCACTGGTAGGTCTCTGCTTGTACTAAAGTTTCTTCTTGCCATGTGTAGGAATCAGAATAGGCTGAATCACTGGCTATAGAAAGGAGGGGGGTTCGGAGGCCGGTGCCGACACTGTTTGAATGATTGCAAAAGGGTATTACTCGCGTCCCGCGCTGTTCTTATGTTTCTCCTTTTTAGTTTTGGTCTTTCTTTGTTTCTATTCTTTTTTTCAATAAGGCCTTTTGAATGCAGTGGAATCTGCAGCTGTTCGTTATCGCTCTCGGGCATTTGTTGAAGGCCTAGTGCGCAGCTAGGGTTGCTGACTGGCCACTATTAAGACCTCGAGCACCATCACTTGCAGTACTGGAGTGTCATCCAGGCCGACATAAGCTTGTGTCACATCCTATTAATAGTTGCTCAGGTCACACAACACAACCCATATAATATATTCATTTCGAAACATAGGCATCAACTCAACTTATTATTACGACTCAGGTAGGCCGTGGCCCAAATTTATATAGACAATTTGCGAAGCAAAGTCCGATGCTGTTTGAGAATCAGAATTTCACGATTTCATCTGTACAAGAAACTTGTGTATATATACGTGCGTCTAAAGCGTCTCATTTCCAAAAAGCCATTGTCTGCATTCTATCATCAACTCTTCCATCCTTATTCTCAAGATCATACCATCAGTCCCCAAGATCACTTTAAAATCCAACAAATACACTTTCTTTTCTTGTTCCGATCTATCAAGATGCAGTTCATTACTACCACCATTTACATCGCCCTCGCGGCCTTGCCCATCGTCAGTGCCAACGGTTGCTACTCGGGTGGAAACACCTATGCTCAATACGGAAGCGCCGACGACCTTAACACCGCTCGTGCCGAAGCATGCAACGCTCTTGTAAGTACAGTACACCATGTCTGAACACCCCATAAATTGTTATTGTCGTTAAGACAGTGTATGACAACTGACATCCCGGTCCGTGTTCTACAGAACGGTACCTACGTGGCCGGGCAGACTCGCACCTACTGCTCTACCAACGGCGCAGCGTCCATTAACTTTAAGGCCAAGAGCAATGCCGGCAGCCAAACTTTGACTCTTCTGACGGACGATTGCCTCGCCGCTCTGACCACCGAGATGGAGGCTTGTGCCCATGGCAGTGAGCAGGATCATGGCTCGTTCCACTACACGGACGACCCCAACGCGGGTGCTTGTTAAGTCTAGATTACGGGTGCAGCAGGGCGTTGGACGGCTCGCAATTTCTTTACTGGATAAAGGTCATGTATGAAATAGTTTGATGAAATGAATCTCTTTGTGGGAGTGCACGTTTGAGACGTGCCTCCCATCGTTCTTTACGCCCCAAGTTCTCCTTACTGGGTTCTCATCTCATTCTAATGTGTGCAAATACTGCTTGTCACCATGCTCGTCTAACCCCTTCTAGGTATCGTCTCTTCACACGCATAACAAATTCCTATAACCCATAGCAATTTTGTAACACCCGGAGAAAAGTCGAAGCATGACCCTATGCTTCTTTGTATGGAAAACTGGTTGGCTTTCAATATCGCGAATTTCAAGAGTCTTCAAGATAAATGTTCAATGGATTTACTAAGAAATCTAAACAGTATAATGAACAGCGTCGCTGCAACAATCAACTCAGCGTAGTAGATCCCAATAGTCGTCTTCTTGGCAATCAATACGATAAGTTCGGAAGCCGGTACTCCTCCTGCCGCTTTTGCTATTTAGAAATCTCTAACAACCCGCAGGACAAGGTTCGGTTATTCTCATCATTATATTAATATGCATATGAGCTTCGCAATACACTCACAATTTCTAAATCATTTTATAAGTGAGGTATTTGTAAACTTTGTAAATGTTGGCGTAACAGTATATCTTGATGAGGTCCTGGCTCTCCTCCGAGCCAAAGGCAGACCTGTAGGTATAATGAGTGTCCAAAATAAAAAATAAAAAAATTTTCTGCGCAAATGCTTTAGTGGAGGGAGGATGCGATGGAGATTTGTCTGGGTCAGGTTTGGCTTAGAAATTGGCATTCGGCACATCAACTACAACGAGGATGCCCCGTTGAGGCGCTGCATTGCTTTGCGCGGAGGAAAGCTCAGCTGGATGAGGGATCTAAAATACATGTAATGGATCGTAACAAATATTGTTCGCATTGTCATAGAAGAAGCAGACGATTCGAGCTCGGAGCTCGGTTGACGAGGTCTGGCGCGGAAATTTTCTCTCCGGGGGGCCCGGGGGCCGCCGAGGCTTGTTTGCTGATTATTTGTGTACTATGTACATACTACACACGCGCCCTCTCTTGCTCTGTATGATGATGTAATTACCATCGGACGAACGAGCTTTAAATTCCGGATACGCTTCCGTAGCTTTCAAGGGGAGGTAATCAAAACATACTTCACAAATATTTTCGACCTCTGAATATTAAGATTCAAGTGAGCTCAACAGCAATTTGGGGCTTGCTCCAGATAAGAAGCAATCGATCCTTCTCGGTCCCCCTGTCAAGACGTGCTCGCCGTTCCTGCCTCCCTAATATTGCCGGTATACCCGAACCGGCACAGTGATTGATCCTTCCAGGTTCAAGACGCTTTTTCTCTCGTCATCGTTTTTCGCAAGTCATTGTCGCACGGGTATAAGCGCTCTTACAGGCAAATCCCTGAGTCGCCAACACGCTGGTGAAGTACTTTGCAGCCCCCAAACCTTGACTGGGTGTTTAAAAAAAAAGGCCGCAGCAGCAGCGACGAAGCACGTGGGCATCTTTACATGGACCAAAAAAAAAACCCAAGAATTTTGAAAGATCTTGGGTCCCAGGCACCAAATGCACCCGAGGATTCGGTATGCCCCCATACTAACGCATCTTGGCTACTTACTTAGGCGAGGTCAGCTCTGACCCGCAGCCTCATGCATCAGGGGAGCTGGGGCTTGTTGATTTAGGACGCATGTGCATGGTTCCCCGCGCATGATAGGCCCAATGTAACCAGGCACCTCCTCATATTTACAAGCTCCACGAACCATCCCGAGAAAGAGGGGCAAGAATCGGTGGTGTGGTGTGCGTGTGGTTGGATCCATCCAACAGGATATGACATGTTGATGCTGCATAAGTGCGTAATGAACGTATATATAAGAGCCTCTTCAAGCATCTTGAGCATGCTGAGTTGACCGTGTACTTGGATTTCCAGTTCATCTTTGCAAGTTCTTAGCAGGTCGTACTAGGCTCAAAAGTCAGGCTCAAGATGCAGTACCTTCGATCTGGATCCGCCGTGATAGCGGCTCTCTTTGTCGCTCTGGGCGATGCTGTCCCCGTCACCGACTCTCCTGAGGCCGGTTCGACGACTGCAGATGTTTTCCCTCCACCAAGCAGTATGTTTCCATGTTTCATCAATTGCTTACACCACTCACCGTTTCGGATTGTAGCAGTCCCACAGAAAGATGAGATGGCATGAGACGAGGTGAAACGGGACGAACCATCACAGAGTATTACAAAACTAACCTGTCAATCTTACATAGCCACTGTCAATGCTGAGCTGTTCCCGCCCGAGTCTGTCGTGGGCTATCCCGGCACGACCATTACGGGGGCTGAACCAGCTGCTGCTGAGACCGCGCCGGCCTATCCTTACAACAACGGGTCGACCAACGAGTTCCCCTTGATCTCGCCTGCGCCTTTTGGGGAGAACCCCGCGACGTCCAACTTCGACCTCAAGAGATACTGGGGCAATCTCTCTCCCTGGTACTCCGTCTCTTCAGCAGACTATGGCCTGCCCGAGACCAGCCCTCTGATCCCTGCCGGCTGTGACATTGTCCAATTGCATCTCCTGTACCGTCACGGTGCACGATATCCCACCAGCGGTGCTGCACCCGCATCCTTCGCCGCCAAGATCCACAACGCCACCGAGACGGGCTTCACGGCCACGGGCAACCTCAGCTTTCTCGCCGACTGGACCTACAAGCTGGGCGCCGAGTACCTCATCCCCTTTGGCCGCACCCAGAACTTCCTGCTCGGCGTCGAGTACCGTCAGCTGTACGGCAAGCTCCTGAACAACTTCACTGAGCAGGGCACCATCCCCGTCTTCCGCACCGAGTCGCAGGATCGCATGGTCAAGACGGCCAACAACTTTGCCGCTGGCTTCTTTGGCGTGCCTGAGTATTTGGACGAGGTCAACATCGAGATCCTCGTGGAGAGTCTGGGTTTCAACAACAGCGGGGCGCCTTACGAAACGTGCACGAATGCCGATGTCTCGTCTCGAGGATCGATCGGCAGCACTGTCGCTACTGCTTTTGCTAATAATGCCTTCAATGAGTCCATCGCTCGGCTGAACACTGAGGTTAGTATAGATGTGCTGAAGTTTTATCCATGTGGTTTGTCTTGCACAGCTGACGTTATGATGATCATCACCAACAGGTTGAGGGTATCACTTTCACGCCCACCGATGCCATTGCCATGCTGCAGCTTTGCTCCTACGAGACAGTCGCTCTGGGCTACTCAGCTTTCTGTGATCTGTTCACTGAGCAAGATTATCTGAATCTCGAGTATTATTATGACTTGGTACGTAAATTATTCCTTGCACCCCTGCATGTCCCTTCCAATTCTCATCATTTTTCTCCTTCTCAGGAATTCTACTACAACAACGGCCCCGGCTCCCCCGTCTCCGCCGCCCAGGGCAAAGGTTACCTGCAGGAGTTCGTCGCCCGTTTCACTGGCACCTACCCGCCCGCCAACTCTGCTCTCAACGTCACCTACGACGATAGCCCCACCTACTTCCCCCTGAACCAGTCCCTGTACGCCGACGCCACGCACGAGGTTGTCGTCCTCGACACCCTGACTGCCTTCAACCTGACGCCCCTCTTCAATGGCGCACCGCTCTCCCTGACGGAGAACACGCACTCCAACAGCTTTATCGCGAGCAAGATTGTGCCGTTTGCTACGCACTTTACGGTGCAGGTGCTTGAGTGCCCGGCATACCAGCCTACTAAGCAGATACGTTTCATTGTGTAAGTTTTGTAAAGCTCATGAGAACTCTATTCCACACCAGCACAGAGGAGATGAGAAAATGAGAAATAGAGAGGACAACAGCTAACTTAGTTATGTATAGCAATGACGCCGTCATCTCTCTCAACGGCACCTACGCAGGCTGCTCGTACGATGCGGACGGTCTCTGCTCGTTTGACAATGTGGTTTCTGTTCTGCAGCAGCGTATTGATGAGATCGACTATGATTATGACTGCTTTGCCAACTACACTGCAGAAGCGGGCATTAACTATAATGGTCGGGCTCCCAAATAGACAGGCTGGCATGAACGTTGGTGATGATAATGTCTACATCACAATCAAGCTGATTTTTTAATCAAGAATCAAATGAACAATTAATTGCTTCTGACACTATCTGTGACGTCCGCTCAAAATGTAACAGACTCAAGGGGCACTTGAACGTGAGAAGAATGCTCTAGAAGAGTTAGGTAATGGCTCATGCGCGAGGACCAGTGGGTCACTGGCTCCTAAAATCGCCAGTCACCCTCCATCTAGATAGCCTCAGCTAGCCAGCTGTCTTTCCCTCTGTTTCTCTATTCTGTCCGTTCTTTCTGCTGCGCCTCGATACAGCCATTTTCATAGCTCATCTATGCAGTGATTAGAAGTCGACTTCAACATAGGCACGCGTAGACAGGTGTGTGAATAAGTCCGAATCCTTTGTTCCTGCGTAACTATTTATACATGGGAGAGACTCAGGCACGCGAAGTTAAGCTGCTGTAGGGAAAAGAGAATCCTCCGCTGTATGCTAAAGAAGAAGAGTGCTCTTAAACTTTTCAGCTAATGTTCCTTCGATGGCATGAGACGAACCGCACTGAGCCTTCCCTTCCATTGCCCAAATCTGCCCCGTCAAAATCTTTCCATCCCAGGCCACAACGCTTGCGAATGTGATGTCGAGTGTTGTAGGAAAAGATGACCACTGCATGTTGTTAGAGAATGGAAAACCTTTGCTACTGGAGCGAGCTGGCTCATTCTCCTTCATGATGAAGATGTACAAACTTTTCTTTCATCCTGCACAAGATTTTCTTTCCAGAGCCAATCTCTCCCAGCTCGGAAGTGTGCACAGAGGGGATGACTGCTCTCTTCCAGGTGTGTGCACGAAGTCCTTCAAAGATCCACAGGGCAGGGTTCCTCCTCGCCCAACCCATTGTCGCGACAGTAGTCCGTCCAGAACTGTCGGAACTCGGCCACCGTCAGCTCCGGCAGCAGGTCCTCCCTGCGAACCGCAACAGGGTTGCGTTCCTCGCGCAAAGTCCAGAGCTCCGCTTCAGACCTTCCGGCCGTGTTGGCGAGGCGGCGAACCTTCTCCATCACGAACAACTCCAGGACCTCGAAGTGCCTCTGCAGGAGGGGTCTGCCGTCGTTCCGGACGTACATGATAGGCCCCAGCATGATGCCGCGGACTGGGAGCTCGACCTGGCGGTTCATCCGCATGCTTATCTGGATCTTGAGGAGATGGTTGTGGTAACTGGTCCGAGCACGTAGGCAAAGGTCAGGCAGGGTGCCTGAGACGAGAGCGTCGATTGGCAGCACCTCGTCGAGGATATGCAGGGGAAGTTTGACCTTCTTGTCCGCCACTATCGCCGTTGTTAGCAGGATCATACATGCGTGAAACTCGGGTCTGATGGTCGTCTTTGAGGAAGATGGTAGTAAGGACATGGCCCTCTTGTCCAAATATGGACATATGAGGATTGTGGATAGCTAAATGAGAAAAGAGAAGAAGAAATAAAGAGGGGGGGGGGCGGGGGTGGACACTACTCACTGGCTGTGGTCATGTGCATCTCCGCCAGTTCTCGCTCAGTGGCCACAACGCCATCGACCCAAGGCTGCGCACGCGCCCATACACCGGCGATGGTGGGCCCAGAGTAGCGAGTAGGGTCGACCAGAGCAAAGTTGTGTGGCCAACACTGCAAGAAGTCGACGATGGCGCGGAAGTCTCGCATGGTCACATCGCCGGAGTAACCAAAGACACAGACATTGCCACGCCAGTCTAGAATGTTGAACCTGTCGCCGATGGTATTGGCGAGACAAGAGTTTCGCCGGCCTTCCTGGGGGTCTGACGAGAACACCACGCGTAGACGCTGGGTCGCGACGACTTGGCTGCGGCCCATCCATTTCTTGTCGTAGTCAGCGCCCTCGTACTCATCGGTTGGCGGAAAGAATGAGGCGAGCTCGTCCTGGGTGACCCAGATGAGGTGAGGGCTCTCAGCAGGCCTGCCAGTGATGTCGTCGTCGGCTGAGAAAATGATGCCGCGGCGGTGCTCGCCCAAGCGGTGGGTCGCGTTGTAGACGGGGACCTGGCCGCAGAGGGTCCTGTGGATGGGCCAGTCCTGTCTCTGGCACTCCTCAGAGCAGTAGGCGATCTCTCTGCACAGTTGACAGTCGAGAAGCTCGCTTGTCCTCAGGCAGATGGGGCAGTAAGCAGAAGATGGCGTGTCGTCGGCCTCTTCTGCCTCGCTGGGGTTGCTGGGGTTGCTGTCATTGCTGTCGCTGCTCTCACCGTCTGTAACAAAAGGCAGACGGAATTGCTCTGCAAAGTTGGTACCAAACTCTATAGCTAGGTAACCAATAGCTTTGCGTTCATCCTCCTCCTGGGGGCTAAGGCCACCTTCACTGAAGAAATTGACTGGAAAGACGTTTGCCATTTTGTGATGACCAGGAAGAAGAATGAGGATACAAGTGTAATGGGCAATAGAAGAAAATGTGGAGGATGGAAGTGTGTCGACGAGCTGGCAAGAGGGAGGGGAAATGGGTGCAAGAATCTGAGGTTAATTTGTGTCGGAAGTTAAGTGGGAAAGACTGTTGTTTCGGGCCTCAGACGCCTTCTTTATATACACAAAAGGCAGATCCACATCTACGCTAGTTGATGTAGACGTGAATAAATATCATAAATGTTTAGATGAATGATGCAAGAAAAAACATTCACGAGAAAGTTATTCACTTGCTAATGCAGCAAGCGACTTTTAATTAACCCACAAAACTCATGTGAACATTCTGCTTCCTTCATTACCTCGTCACTGATCTTGAAAAGTCATTCACTCTCTGATGAGCAAGCAGCTTTCAGCCTGCCCATAAGGTTATGTTGTGATTATCTATCATTCATCATCTCGTCACTGCCCTGTATGTATATCCATATTACTTCATCGAAGCTTTTTCGAACTCACTTTTGTGTACCTTGCAGTGTGTGCTATAATTAGTTTCAAAGACTGCTGCAATCATTCCAAGCATGTGGTTTGCAAGGTCTTTCAAGGCTTTTCTATAATGATGATGATGATGACTAATTGAAATACTTCTGTATTCTCCCAGAAAATCATCTCAAGCTATTACCTGTCAGAACCCCCTTCTGCCCAACTTGCAGATGCTTCAGCCACATCTACTCCCATAAATGCCTTCATCCAGACAACCCAGGCTTGCATTATTCTCCCCCTTATGCTAATGCTGATAGCAGTATCTATGCCTTGGGCCCGTACCCAGCCAACAAGGTTGCTCGTCGCCTGTTGGGTCTGAGTTTGATGTGGCCCTGTCATGCATAAGCCAGGGCTACTAACTAGTATGCCTCCCATCTGAGCCACGGTAGGTAGCCCTTCTTTCCCCTCTCGTAATTCCTTTCATCACGCTCATATGTCTCCTGAGCAGACTAGCACATCTCAATACTTGTTCAGATTTCAAGATAACATCTGTGGTGACTTCTGCTTCCCCAATAGTGTAGCTATGCTTCGTTTTCTCATGTCGAATTGATGAAAACGACACCAGAAGAGCGCAGAAACTTTTCGAATGTCATCTGCTATATACTATGGAAATACTCGACCGTATCGGATGACCCAAGTGTGGCAACTCCCCTCTTTGAATCCAGCAAATTATTCAGCTCAAGCTTCATTCCACAATCAAGATAACCGAGAAGCCCAACAAGGCTATCAGCCAAGCACATCGCCTCACATTTAACAGACAGTATAAGGTGGACGAACAGGAGAAAGATTCTTTGAAAGCACTTGATCAGGTATGGCAGATTGTCTTGCCAAGAGGAGGGATTGAAAACTGCTCACGGTCCATCATCATGGCAGTCAACAATGTCGATGCAGGCCAGTCATGATCCACACACTCTGGTGCAGGGCACGTCTTCATGCAAAACAGCTTTGAGGCTTCCGTAAATCTGTCAAGTCTTGAGCAATAGGAAAATGAAGTTCTTCTCTTTCTACGCATGGCTGGGTTGTTTGGTGTTAGGGCTAGTTACCTTTTGCGAAGTGAGATGAAGAAAATGATGAAGTGTAAATGGGAAGATTTTCAGTTTCCTGAGCCACGCAGCTTACTTCAGCAGGTTAGAAAGAAGGCCGCTGATGTAGTGTGGAACATTTCTATCAATCACTCAAACCTTTGTCGGTCGACCATATCGGCTATGCAGCTCGAAATTAAGCAATTATTTGGAAATGGATACATTCTGTTTCAGCAGATAGTTGTCTCTAGAGATCAAAGAGCTCAGATCAACTAAGCTACCAAGCATTGGAAGGTCAGAGAGCGATGGTGATTGACCTATAGCGTTTGCCGTGTCCTGGGGCTATGCTCGTATTTTTATGAAGATCTCTACAGTAGTTATCTCTGTAGGAGATGACCAAGGGCTGACATGTCTGTATACCTCTTGGACTTGTATGTACAGTACTGTAGTATCCACAAATTTTGCTCGCTCGTTTAGTTAATATTACTGGACAACTATCAGACCTGGGAGGGAGAGAGAGAGTTGAGATGATTTTCATGCAACACGCTCTGGCTACGATACTCTTTGCTAGTCTATATAATTACAAACCATTCCTCAAGTTGGTGTTTCTATGTGTGGTGGTGCACTTATACAAGTCATACTGACTCATCCAAGATCAGAGTCGTTTTGTGGGTCCGAAATTCACTTGATGGCTACTAGTGTCAGGGGCGGCCCCTGTAACTTATCGAGGCTTATCAATCTAAGTCAGCGGGGCAAACTTGGAATTTTTGGAAGGCAACTCGCATTGTATTCAGTCTACTCTGGAGGCTCCCACCCATAAATCTTGCCTTCGGTTTTTGTTCTGCTTACAACAACATCAACAACAACAACAATACACATACCTCACAAAACCTTTCACCTACAATCATATACCAAACCACAGCAGAAATGGATGTTGACATGGATGGCGCAGTCTCCATTGCGCCCTCCGCAGGCACTGCAATGAATGGCGCAACGTAAGTCACTCTTCCCCTGGCAGCTGCATACCAGCACGCATCACGCTGACAAGATGATGGGTGGATAGCATCCTCTGCTGCAATTGTGGTGCCCCCATTGACGGAACGACCGCCGCCGGAGCCCTCTGCTACGACTGCGTCAAACTGACCAACGACATATCACAAGGCATCCAGCGAGAAGCCGTGCTCAACTTTTGTCGAGACTGCGACCGATGGCTCATGCCTCCTACGAGCTGGCTTGTGGCCGCACCCGAGTCCAGAGAACTTCTGGCTCTTTGTCTGAAGAAGTTGAGAGGTCTTGGGAAGACGAGGATTATCGATGCCAGTTTCGTGTGGACGGAGCCGCATTCCAGAAGGATAAAAGTCAAGATCACAGTGCAAGACTCCGTGTCCGATGGCGTGTTGATGCAGCAGAGCTTTGAGGTTGTCTAGTAAGTTGGAAGAAAGCTGACTGGTCATACTTGGAGGACTTCAAGGTGCTAACGTTCCAATAGCATTGTCGCCTACCAGCAATGCCCCGATTGTGCGAAATCATATACAGCCAACGTCTGGAGGGCTTGCGTGCAGGTCCGACAAAAGGTCCTCCACAAGAGAACATTCTTATACCTAGAGCAGCTGCTCCTGAAGCATGGCGCCCACCGAGACACCATCAACATAAAGGAGGCCAAGGACGGTATCGACTTCTTTTTCTCTGCGAGAAACCAGGCCGAGAAGTTTGTCGATTTCCTCAAGTCGGTCGTGCCCGTGAACGTGAGGAAGAGTCAGGAGCTCATCTCGGAGGATGTGCACACATCAAAAAAGAGCTACAAATTTGCCTTCTCCGTGGAGCTGGTGCCGATCTGCAAGGATGACCTCGTCTGCCTACCCATTCCGATGGCAAAGTCACTGGGGAACATCTCTCCCCTTGTCCTCTGCAACAAGATCGGCACTTCTGTCTACTTTGTCGACCCCAACACCCTTCAGACCGCCGACCTCCACCCTGACATATACTGGCGGGCGCCATTCGTTTCCCTGGCCGACGCTCCCGACCTCGTGGAGTTCATGGTCCTGAACATTGAGCCGCTGGGTCCGTCTAAGGGCAGGTGGCTAGTTGCAGACGTCGAGGTGACGCGGATAGACGACATGCAAAAGACGTACAACGTGCGGACCCACCTGGGTAACTTCCTAAATGTGGGCGACTCGGTCATGGGCTACATGCTCACAGGCACAAACTTCAACAACCCGCAATTCGAGGCCATGGAGGAATCCAAGTACGGCTCCCGCATACCGGACGTGGTGCTCGTTAAGAAGTACTGGCCTCGCAACCGCAAGCACCGCAACAGGAAGTGGCGCCTCAAGCGCATGGCCAAGGATGAGGGCGATCTGCTGCCCAAGAAGGCGGACCAGGAGCGCATGGACAATGAATACGAGTTGTTCCTGCGTGACGTGGAGGAGGACGACGAGCTGCGTGCAGCGTTGGCTCTGTATAAGAACACGAACAAGAATAAGAAGCCGCAGGAGGGCGCCATGGATGTGGACAGCATGAGCGTGGCAGAGACAGAAGCCACTGAGGATGACGATGTGCCGAGAGTGAATATGGATGAGCTGTTGGAGGATTTCGATGAGCTGACGGTGGAGGATCATGAGTAGAAGATGCTCAGATTGGGCAATAAATAGTCAAATGAGATGGTATTCGCCATTCTATCTGCCAAAATTGCTCCCTCTAGTTTGGTAGAACTCGTTTCCATTTGCGTGCATGTACCAATGCCAAGCTGGCAGATTTTGCTCTTCCAGTACAGACATTAGGCCGTAATAAGCCTGCTTGCATGCCAGAAATCATGCGAGACCGTCTGTCCAGGAGAGGAAACCTGTGCCACTCCCGTACACTCTCGCACCTTAGCTTTCATACGTCCCCCTCCCCTCCCCCTCTCCCCTAGCCATCCTTCTTTCAGTCGGGAGAACTCACACCAACCTACTTGCGCTGACCCATTGCACGCCGAAACCAAAGAGGAGGGCCTGGCTTTGCCGGAAACGCCTTGTGAAACTCGGCGATATCCTTAGGGTTGTCCTGCAGGTCCAGACTAGGCTGCCACGTCCACTTGCCATACGTCCACTTGATCTTATACTCAATGTCCCGGCGGCGGCCTCGTTTGCCGCCCGCGCGAGTCCAGCGAGAATCCAGTATCCGCTCAAAGGACCACGCGTCGTACTGCTCGCCTGTCTTGGCGTCGGTCTTGAGAGTATGGCCAGGCCCAGTTGGCTTCTTTTTCTGGACTCGGTGCTTGGGGTGGGGATCGGAAGTACTACTTGCAGCATGGCGGTATTGGGCGCGAGTCTGGCGGCTGGGGAAGGAAGGATCGTCAACGGTGGTGGAGTGGCTACGTGTGGTCTTGCCCTTGCTTTTGGCCTTGCTCGTGGCCTTTGCCTTGGCTTTACCCTTGCCTTTGCTACCATCACGGGTGGTGTTGATGGCATGGTCTGACGATTGAGATGAAGAAGTGTTGGCGGTGTGCAACAGTGTATTCTGCTGAACTCTAGGAGCGCGGCGGAAGGGACTTTCAGAGCTGAACACTGGGTTGAAATGTGAGAAGCGGCACGAGAGGGGCGGTAATGGTGCGACAGCGGGGATAGTGTCGTCAGTGTCGTCGGTGTCCTCGTCCTCGTCCTCAGACTCCATCTGACCATACTCTTCTTTGTGAACACCGATGTTCTCATCTACGCCCAAATACTGATTGTCGTTTTCGGATTGTTCGTCGCCACCTTCTGTCTTCTCATCGTTGCCCTCCACCTCCAGATCACTCTCAACGTTGGGACGTAAGCCACCAGGAACTGCTAGAGCTTCGCCTTCAACGGCGTTGCCACGCACCTGGTGCGACTCGGTGATGCTGTGGCCGGTGCAAACATTGTGCACAAGTTTGCTCATCGCGGCGAGGTGTCGATTGCTGGGCAACTGGTTCCAAGGATAGTTGGAATACCAAGAACTATGCTGTCGGTATTCTTTGAGGGCCTCTAGGGCACAGACGTTGGGGTAGAACTCGTAGCCTTGAGTCCTTGCGAAACTGATGGCGCCTTTGATCCAGGCCTCGAGTAGCCTGACGAGTTCAAAGTTGTTCAGGAGACTGAGCTCGTCGAGAGCTTCTTGAGCGGTTATGCTCGACATGCCACCTGTTCGTGATACCTGCGCCGAGGTAGACATGTTTGTGGGTTGTTGGAGTGTAGTGCAAAGGGTGAGACGATGGTTAGGAGGAATTCGAGGTCAGATATGGAGAAGATCTGACGGATATGAAGTAGGGATGAATCTGGTAGAGGCGGAAAATTATATAGTGTTGTTTCCTAACAGTCACGAGAGGCTTGAACAAACCACCTGGCCATTCCCAGGCTGCCAGAAAAATCACCATGTCTGACCAATGTTACGTGGACAAAGATGTTCCATAACATTATTCCCACAAGGCGCCATGAAGTGGTTCCTGTCGATTTCGACGGAAGCCTGATACCCGAGAGCTTGCACCGACAGAGTGACAATGGCTGTTGGCAGCGGCTCTGACCACATCCAAGGCAGTCCAATAGCAAAGGCACATGTTGATTCCCATGAGCAGGTATTTCAAAAGATCCTGCTTGCCACGCTCTTGAGCTCATTTGGACGAGCAGGCTCCTCTCCCTTCTTTGCCAGAGGTACCTGCTTGAATGTCCTCGCTTTCTCGCCCGGCTTTCTTTCGACCTTGGGATTTGGCTGTACTCCATGCTCCTGATCCAGATTCTTCTTCTGTGCTTTCTTGGCCTGTATTCCATCTAGCATCTTGGCCTTTTCCACGTTCCTCACGAACTCCATATTCTCCTTTGTCGTTCGGTTCACTTCAGCCATCATCCTGTTGCTCCTTTCTGCATTCTCTGCCGCAATTTGTTCCGTCAGATTGTGCCACTTGAAACCCTTGAGGTACAACAGCGTCCAGATATCGTCGCGGTAGTAAGTCCCCTTTTTGCCGCCGATGGTCTGCGCGTTCAGCAGCTCGCAGACACTCTTAGCGTCCTTCTTGCGTACGAACTCAACCCAGCCTTCGGTGTACATCTTCTTCTTGTTGCCGCCCGCGCGGACGCGGCGCGCGTGTGCGGCGGGATCCTGCGGGGTGAGGAAGACGCGGTTGATCTTGCCATATGGTTCGAGGAGGGATCGTAGCTTGGCGGGTTTCATAAACGGCGGGATACGTGAGAGGTAAACGACGCCGGACTTCTTGATGGCAGCGTCCGTGGCCACGAGATTCTTCTTGGTCAGGCTTTTGACCAGTGCGGCGGACTTTGTGTTGTCCTTTTCCCCCTCAGGCTCGGCATCGCTGTCTGCATTCTTGGTTTTCTTTGACTTCTTCAGTGACTTGGAAACTTCTTTTTCCTCACTCTCAGAATCCCCATCTTCTTGACCAGCCGAAACCTCTCCATTCTCGCTTGCATCCTCGTCCTCGGAATCGCCCTCGTCCTCCAGCTTCCGACGCTTCGCAGTCCGACCACCTTTCTGCAGTTCATCTTCGGAGTTGTAGTCTTGGGCATCATCATCGCTCTCTTCTGCATCAAGGAAGTGATTCCTCTTTTCAGGAGCCATTTTGCAGGGAAATTGACTTGGCGAGTCGTGTATCGAGCCAACGCAAAAGTGATCGTCCTCTTTAGATCACAAAGAAGTCTGACAATTGAATTGCCTTCAAAAATTCAGGCCGCCGACTAGAGGAACAGGGGCTCTTATCTTATCGGATGGGCAGCCGAGATCGGTGCCGTGGGGCGAACTATGATACTCATGGCTCAATGATAAATCTTGGAGGGGCAGTTGGGCCATTATCTACGGGGCAATGGCGACTCATGTTGAGTAACCAGTGACTAAATAAGAGAATTCGAAACCCTCTCCTAATGTCCAACCTGGAGCTATTCCGTCATCGTCTTTCTTCTTGAATTTATTCGTCGTTTCTGTGTTCTCAGGCCTACCACATTCAAAATGTCTGTCGAGATCCTCACCACGATTTCCCCCAACACGAACGAACCCATCATTACCCGCAATGGCATCTCAGCAGAAGACGTAGAGCTCCTGCCACAGACTGCCACGGATGCATTCAAGACCTGGAGCAAGACTACACTGGCCGACAGGCAGGCCATTGTGAAGAAGGCCTTGAAGTGGCTCACAGACCACGAGGATGAGTTGGCTCTGGAGCTTACCACACAGATGGGCAGGCCCATCAACTACACTGGCAAGGAGGTTTCTACGGCTGTCAAGCGATGCGAGTACCTCCTCAAGATCAGTGAGGACACCCTAAAGGACACGGAGGGCGAGGCGGAGAAGGGTTTCAAGAGGTTCATCCGGAAGGTCCCTGTCGGGCCTGTGCTCATCCTCTTCCCGTGGAACGTAAGTTTGTGCATTCCTCGTACGAGAGATGATGTACCACGCAATTTTGCGTAGGCACTGCGATCGTGTAGTAGTTTTCAAAGTGGTTGACATCTTGTTGGCAGTATCCTTATCTCACCTTTGTCAACTCTCTCATTCCTGCCCTCCTTTCTGGAAACACAGTCATTGTCAAGCCCTCGCCCCAAACACCAACCGTTGTCGAGCAGGTCCACAAGGCTTTCACTGAAGCTGGCCTGCCAGCAGGCGTCTTCCAGTATTTCCACTGCGGCTCGCCCACCACCATCGAGGCTATTGTTCGCAATCCACTAGTGTCCTTGGTGTGCTTCACTGGCTCGGTGGCCGGAGGTCTAGCCGTCCAGAAAGCTGCCTCAGATCGTGTTGTTGGTGTTGGCCTGGAACTCGGCGGAAAGGACCCTGCATATATCCGCGACGATGTGGACATTGCATGGGCGGCGGAGGAAATTGTTGATGGTGCTGTGTTCAACTCCGGGCAGAGCTGCTGCTCCGTCGAGCGTGTCTATGTCGACGAGAAGGTTTATGACAAATTCGTCGAGGCCGTGCAGGCCGTGCTGAAGGGCTACAAACTGGGCGACCCTTTCGACAAGAGCACACATGTCGGTCCAGTTATTTCCAAGCGATCCAAGGAGACTATCGAGGCGCACATCAAGGACGCGCTGGACAAGGGAGCCAAGGATGCCACGCCCAAGAACGAGACTTTCAGCAACCCTCCGCCCAAGGGCAACTTTGTCAAGCCGACGCTGCTGACGGGTGTCACCCATGAGATGGCCGTCATGACAGAGGAGACTTTCGGCCCTGTGATTCCCGTCATGAAGGTCAAGAGTGACGAGGAAGCCGTCAAGCTCATGAACGACAGCGACTTTGGTCTGACCGCCAGCATCTGGACCAAGGATACCGCCAAGGGCTACGAGCTGTGTGAGCAGGTCGAGGCCGGCACTGTCTTTGTCAACCGCTGCGATTTCCCAAGCCCGGTACGTTCTCTTGAAATTTCTTCGCATCTCCATTGGTTCATTTACTGAAGACACCCCCTTACTGACTTGAAACCTCAAAATTTGCAGGATCTCGCCTGGACGGGCTGGAAAAATTCAGGCAAGGGGCAGACACTGAGTCGTTTTGGATTCGACCAGTTCGTGAAGCTAAAGAGCTATCATCTGAAAGATTACCCCAAATAACTGAGATGAGACTAAGAGGCGGCGCTGAAGGTGTTGGTGAAGCAAGGGGTGGCCGCAACCGGAAGTTGAAGACCAAGCCGCAGCGCACGAGGTGTATCAAACTCATCTCTCATCTGCTCTCCCTTCGTCTACCTGATTGCCGTCCCGACGCGCTAGAAAATCAATTAAAGTAGGACGCGTTCCTCGCGTGAATTCCTGAATGCATTCACGTTCCAGTGTCCGGTTGTTGGTGGCAGGTTGGGGATTGCAGACGCGCCTACCAGCCGTCGCCCGCATTCCAATCGTCTTTTTGCCTCTCGAAGTGCCTCAAACATCATGGCCCCGACACAACGCCAACGCCAGTCTAGATACCGATGATCCCTCGAGCAACTTGACTTGAGAGCCAGCCCGTGCCAGCCATCGGTTTGCCTCTGGGCAAGATGCTGGTAACCACACCTTGACATCCTTGGCACCCGCCTACTGTTGTCCTTTGTCCTGCCACTCCTCCAGACCATAAAGCTAACGAACCTTGATCTCCTGGTTGCTGCTCTAGACCTTCGATCTTGGTCTCTTTCTCCCGGGACGAACCTCCTACCCCAGTCACTCCTTTGTCTTCTCAGTGCCTCATTTCAGAAACCCTCCTTTGAAGTCGTTCCTTGTGGTCGGTATAAAGTCGTCCGACTGGTACAACGTATCATCCATCTCCTTGGTTGTATGAGGCGTTGCCAGTTTCTCTCTCGTCCGGGACTCACCCGACCTTGGTCATTTCGTGTGGTTTGCCTCAAGAGATTTTGGTGAGGTGTCAAAACATATCAAAAGCACCTTTTGGTTTGACGTTGTCGCCTCCTTGTCTAGTCATTCATTCATTCATTCACACATTCTCTTGCAAAACTCCCAACGACTCGCATCTTTTTTCCAATACTCGATCACACAGAGCATTCGTTTTCGTCTCCGCCATTCCTTCGTCAAGCACAGCTCGAGATATCCACAGTCAATCCGCCGAACCAAATACAAGTGTCTCACTACATTCTTTGTCGACTGTTTCCGCAACCGTTCCAGCTATCCCGCCTAGAGCACAGCCTAGCCTTCCCAGCTATCCACACAGCTATACAACAGCTTTCTTCAACGCTTTCTTCTGCCGTCCTTTTCTTTTCTTCTTTTTCTTCTTCGTCTCCTCTCGTGGGGTTCCCTCTATCTCTTAGCAGGTCACCGTCACTCAGACTCGTCCATGATGGCTTGCGCTTGTGTCGAGAAGCTGCAGTCCCTCTGCCTGCGTCTGAAGGTGGCCTGTCGTCACTGCTGCAGAGTCGGTAAATCGCAGAGGCGATCCATCAAGATTGTGAGTAACTAATTATCATATTGTTCACCATATACACCATGGACAGGCAAAGCTACTAGTCAAGCTGAGGTAAAAGCAAGGCAAGCTAACATAACCAATTTGTTTCGCCAGTCCGATCCTTTCGACTTCAAGCACATCTCAGATGTCCCTGAGGGCCTGAACCAGGATGAGTATGCACCTCCATTCCCCCTCATATCCTTCGATTTGTCTTCGCCCGCACCTCATCTCCTTCTCAAGAGGCCCGCACAACCCCGAGCAGCCAGTTTCTCTCCCCTTTGTCTCTCTGTTCACCGCCGTTTGTAAATAAACGCTGAACATATACTCTCTCCCCCTCCTTGAACGACTACAGACCACAGTCCGTCCGAGACGCAAACTTACTCGTAACCCGCAGAATCAACGTCCTCCGCGAGAAGGCCGCCGCCAGCCGCATGGTAGCCATTGAGGACCAGCCCTCCTCGAGGCCCTGCTCACGCAACGGCGACTACCATCATCACCTCCACCACCACCACACGGCCTTTGGCGTCTTCGGCACCCGCCCCCAGCCCCAGGTCAAGTCCCGTGCCGGCTACCGCGGCCTGGCCTCCTCGTCTGCAGCAAACGCAGGCCGCGGCCTCTCGTACGCCGCATTGACTGAGTCCCGCCCATCGATCACGCATTCCTTCGCGGCCATCGACGATTCCGCCACGGCTGGGTCGCTGTCGCCTACCAGCTCCATCGCCACAACCACAACCATGAACTCGGCGGGCGGACGGCAGGAGATGAGGGGTCTTTCTATCTAGAAAGGGCCATTCTTCCTTGCACCAGAACTCAAATCACTCGAGCCTGCCCAGCACGGTCCTCGGCCCGATCCCTCTCCTTCTCTCTCTGCCTGCTGGCTTTTTGCCCCTGCCCAAGACGTGGACGTCATTACTTCCAAATTTTTTTCTCCCCCTCTTTGTGAGACTCTGCATTTCATCATCAGCCGTGGAGCGCTTATTGTATGATTGGCTGCAATGGAGAGCAGCATAATGAAAGCGCTGGATCAATTTTAAAAACATGACCATATTTCAACACCGACGAAAAACCGACGACGACCAACGCCTCAAGAAACAGTTGGATGGGTGAAGAATGAACCCCTCCCCCCTCGGGCGAGAAAAAAAAAAAAAAAGAGCCTTGCAAAGTGTATTATCTTCATTATCATCACTGTCACCGGAGTTTCCACTTATTATTACCACCCCCACAGACACAAGACTGTCTACCGTGTGTTTCTTTCTCTTTTCTTATCATTCTTACCATGGGCGCTTTTCTTAAGGGGCAAAGGGACCAGGCAACTACCCGAGGCATCTATTTTCTGACCCTGATACTGGCTATCAGAGGAGAGGGAAGAGGCTGGGAAGAGAAGCAGGGAAAATGCACACGCCGTGTGTCTTTTTGAAGGCAAGACTGGCTGGCTGGCTGGCTGGCTGGCTGAGTGAGTTCGGAGCTTTTGAATTTCCTTCGGGATGTGATTGTATTATTAGCATATTACGGAATTCCATCAGGTGTGGCCATTAAGCAAGACGCTGGCTGAGAAGGCATCATCATCCTGTGAAATGAGCGAGAAGAGCTTGAACAAATAAACAAATGTTGATAATGAGATTCGCACCCAACACGACGAGCTTTCTTCTTTCTGCTCTGCCTGAAGTGTTTTCTTTTCGGACTGCCGCTCACTCATGCTGAGTTTATACGTACCACGTTTTGAGTAAATGAGCATGTGTGTATACTGGTATATAAAAGTGACTTTTGATAACGTGTAAACTCATGAATACCACCGGAAACCTTCCGATCTGAATTATCAACAATATCCCACAAATCAAGCGAGCCAGCCCTCAAACTCGCCCAGCTTCTCCGTTCTTACGCCCTCCAACTCACCCCTCACACTCAGTAGCTTGACCTTGGCCTCCTTTTTCCTCGACCACTCCTCCAGAAACGTCTCAACCCTCTTAGCCGTCTCCACATCATCCTTCACCAGCACCGCAACCGCATCAAACCCGCCCGCCCCGGGGACCACACCTCCGAAAACCCCCTCGACCCCGCCTAGCGCATCAATCAGCTCCGTCTGGCTGTCCGGCTCGATAGGCACACCACTCTCGGACCCTATCTTCTTGACCAGCGCCCGGCTCTTCGCCAGCGCCTCCGGCAGCTCGTCGACCCGGGCCTCGGCTAGCACCCGGGCCAGCGCCTCATTTCTGCTCTGCAGCTCCGCCCACAGCGCCTTGGACCCCTCTGGGTCTTTCTCCCGCCACGCGTTGACCGCCTTGACCATGCCGACCGTCTGGCTGCCGCACTCGACGTCGACCATTCTCATAGCCACGCCAGGCGGCAGGGTGACGGCGTCCTTCCTGACCTCCGTGTCCCACGGCGGGCCTGCCACGACCTCCTCCAGCTTGGTTCCGAAGTGCGGCTCCCCAGGGGCTGGAACGCCGTCCAGCACGGCGGGGGAGAAGCGGCGGTACAGGCAGCTCCCGTAGACGGCGGCGGCGACGTCGAAACCGCTGCCTATCTTGCCCTGAGCACGGCAGTGGGCGGTCTGGGCGAGGTTGTGCAGGACAGCGCGGCCACGGTCCGTAGACAGATCGAGGCGGGTAGGAGACAGGTAGTGCGAGAGCAGGGCAGCGGTCAGGGCGGTCACCAGGGCGGCAGAGGAGCCCAGACCAGTCTTCTTGGCCAGATGGAGGGGAGTTTGCAGGTGGATGAAGCGAGAGCCGGGAGGAGATGCGTACTGTTGCTGCTGCCCTCCTGGGCCGGAGGATGGGGTGGAGTAGTAGGACGAGTCAGCGAGGATGGTGAGACGGGCGGGTTGCATGCTGTGAGAGGCGCGCTGATGGGCGGCGCGAGAGATGTATGTCAGGGCGTAGGAGAGGGTGGTCTCGATGAAAGGATTGGGGTTGATTGTTGCCGAGCCACTGGGAGAATGTGTCAGTCTAGTGAGCATCCTCGCAGTGAGGGAGGAGTGAGTGCGTAGTCACCACCACCACCACCACTCCTCGACGACTGAAACGGTGGTGACAGAAGGCTTGTGGCGGCTTTGATGCGTAGTTCCACTTAAAAGTGACGATGCTTTATAAGGCTATACTGATTCCTGAACAATAACAGGCTGAGTAATCCCCTCCTCACTTACACCTGCAGCTGCGTAACCGTAATGCCGCCATCTTCAGGGGCAAGGTGATAGCCATAGCGCCACGTCCCACCCACGAATTGAGGACTCTCGACGACGACCTCGCTCAGTTGGACACCCTTGATGGTGGGAATTCCCTGGGCCACAACATTGATGCGGGCGTCAAGGCCAAAGACGAGTCCCGTGTAGTCGCGGTCCGTAACGAGATACCCGCCGGCGAGGAGCACCTTGCCTGGGGCGGAGACGGCGGTTGTTGGGTTCGCAGAAGAAGGCATTGTAGGGCTAGGAATTGTTGGTTTAGAGCTCTTCGAAATGATATACAGAGCACCAGCCAGCAGGGTCAGGGTGTCTGTGATGTGAGAAAGGATCCGTGGATCATCTGGGCGAGAGTGGATTCTCGAAAAAGGAGGCCAGAGACAAACCTCTCCACCAAGCTTTCGATAACCAATCAAAACCCTGTGAGATGGAAGAAAAAAAAGAAGGAAAGCAAGAAGAATAAAGTCACGATGCCTTCAATGACGACAGTTTCGTAGATCTCCGAATGCCTTCCTAAACAAGGACGATCTGGAAACTGACAATGGGGAAGGAGGGGTGGTGATCTTCAGGTACTATAAGGCGTTGCGTGAGGCTGTTGGAGGGGTTGCCCAAGGCTCGCTTGATGCGGGGCACGGCCAAGCTCTGTTCTGGACTGTGATTCGCGGGGAGCTTCAGTAGCTCCCCCCAGTCTTAAGGGTTGTTGTCCCTCGATGACCTCAAAAAGTCACCTCCAAGGATACAAATTTTGACGCACTTTCCCTAAGAGAAAAAGGGATTATGAAACGTTATCAGACAGTAAGTTGGGGTTTCATTGCATTATGGATTGTACGACCTTGCGGGTATGCAGTGCAACAATCATCGTGGCATGAAGTACTGTACGTTCTTTTCGCTGATGATGATCAGCAGAAATTGCCCTGCTATTCATTGAGACGTCCATAAAAAACCAAAACAAAGTGAATTGGGAACATCCCAATGCCCATCTCACTCTCTGCAGCCTAGTTGGGAACAAAATCTTGAGCACATTGGAAAAACAAGGGTGCCAGGTGATAGGTTTCTGCAAAAAGACGCAGCCGAGACGTCACAATCTGCCTGTCCACGCTCTCGTCATGCGTAATCCGAACAGAAACATAAGCAGTGAAGAGATGATCTGATAAGATCCAGAAAGCAACATTCAGTCGGGACCGAACCAAGCCTGCTTCGGGCCCATATCAACGGATCTCAAAGGGAACGTGGATCTCACGTTTGAGATCTAAGCTCGAATCCCCGCAAAATAACCAAGACCTCCGGACATACTGCTCGGGCTCGGGCTCGGTCACGCTCTGTCCAGAGGCGCTCGGGTCAGCCGGGCAGACTTTAAGGCCGTGTCTGTCCGCCTAATATCCATCTCTCTCTTGAAAAACCGCAGGCTCCAATGCGAGAAATTGTCGTTGCATGGCCCATGTGACACTGCAGAAAGCCAAGTGAGATCAGTGATCTGCCATCCTGCATAGACTGCGTGGATTCTAATACCTGATGATCTGCAGTCCCCTTGACCTCACCAGCTCCTATCCAGGGTGTGTTCAACAAGGCCTTCTTGGGGGGTTCTCTGGAATTATGACTTACTGGCAGCACTAGCTGTTTGTTCTGTGCACACACGACAAAAGCACACTTGAAAATGCCAAGTCTCCACGCCAACCACAAGCTTGTCCCAGACGCATTCCAGTGACAGGCAGGCTCGTAGTTGCTCTTTTCGCAGCCCTTTCTTTTGGCTTCCGGCTTCTCCCACGCCCTGTAGCCAGATAGCCAATCGGAGCCCAGCCATCTCTTGCCGACGCTTCCAAGTCTGCGCCTGCCAGACTCTGGGAACACATATCCCCACACACACACACATATACACGAAGGATCCTTGCTCCGAGATGAGATTTTATGCCGGCTTCTTTTCTTCGCTAGGACCCCAAAGCCCGGGGAAGGCGCGCTAACGATGGCTGCGCAGCCCATCCGAGGCTTCCGCTGACACCTGGCAAAAAAGATTGGTAACTGAATGCATGTTCTTCCCCCGGATTTCATGCAGGCAGGGCTTTTTTTGGGCAGGGGTGGATTGCAATCGTCATCTACTCTCACACTCTCATTCCTTTGGAAACCTGGTGTGGTGGCCTTTGACCTTTGAGACTACCGTTTTCCTAAACCAATTCGTCAAAACATCGCTTAAAGGTGGCACAGGCTTGCGTCACAGATAATATACCGATACGACGGTTTGCGCTTGTGTTTGGTGGGCCTTCGCTGGACGAGGATGGTCCTGGGGCGAATGGACGACGATGATGACCACTCCGCTAGCATACAGTCATAGTGGAATACATCTCTTGAGAGCGTTTTATCGGCTACCTGTGCTGCTCCATAATTGAACGGGTAGGGAAAATTTGACACTTAAATATCCACATGACTAGTAATGTAGAAGAGAAGTGAGGGCGATGGATGGAAATAGAACCTCGTCGATCTAATGGTATTAGCAGTAGTATCCTTGAGTCGTTGCCATCAAATTTACATGACTGACAGACAGATACGGAGATGCAGAGATGCAGAGGGGTCAAGGCATCTATCTGTCTTGCTTGCTAGGTTAATGAATCTGTCCGAGGCTGCTTTCCAAATTCCTATTTTTTTGCAATGTACAGTGACAGAAGGGTATTGTGGCAGCGGGCTGTTCCCAAAGTCTCCCGGTACTAAAATCCAGGGCACAAATTTCCCTGCCCCTGTGGAAGGCCCCCAGGGTGGCTGACGTTATAGCGCCTCAGCAGTTGCCTCCCCAATCTTTACTTCCCGGTATTTCGCGCAGAACCAATCACATGCCCTGCTTTAGCCCGAGAACCCCCCGCTGTCTAGAATAGTGCTGCAAGTAAAGTCCGCTGAAGTTCGGTCCTACACGTCCGCTGTAGCTCTGCCAATCCACCCCCCACGCCCAAGACCCAGGGCGCAGACAGCCATCAGGACCCAACAGGACCCGTGAACTCCATCCGTGGCCCCCCTCCCGAATCGCAAAATCAATATCAACTCCAAATTTCTCTACCGCACTCTTCCCCTTCCACCCTTCCCACCGTTTCTTCTCCCACCTAATTTTTTCTTCCTTTTCCTTTCCCAAGGACAAACAAACCTCACCTTGAATCGCGCGTTTGTTTGACGGCTTCACTGTCGTCAAATGAACCTGCAATTGCGCATTCCCCTTCCCTTACGTGTAAGTTGACTCATCAACTCTGTTCGATGACGCTCTGTGTTCGCCTCGGCTCTGAGAAAAAAGTTGCACTCCCTGTCCTCCATCTTGTGGTGCTCTACGCCTCAACTTATCACCCAATGAGCCGCCCCAGACTCCTCAGAACTCGAAAATTCTGGAGTTACTAACTTGAGAACTGCTTTTTCTTACAGTACCCCCCACCGAAAGGCTTCAGCTAAATGCCTGGGTCCATCTATAACAACCTATACGCGAGCTTCATCCGTTCTGGGTTCACGAAATCCTTTACCCACGGCTACGCACAATCCGTCGTAGCTGCTACCCACCCTCATGTTCTAAACTCCCAGAACCGGCCGTCCTTTGCGGCCCGGAAGCGCCAGACAAACAGCCGACTCAGCCGCCTCCAGCAGTTCCAGAACGCATTCCACACCAGCTCCCACCAGTCGGCCGGCCTCCCCGTCGAGCACCGCCATGAGAAGCTCAGCACCAACCATGGAGGGTTAGACGCCTACTTCGAGACTCTACAGAAGAAGGAGGCCGCCGAAAAGGGCGAGGGCGAGGGGGCGGAGGAAGAGGAGGAATGGGTCCAGTTCCAGTTCCCCAACCGTATCGAGTGGAAGCCGTCTCCGGCTGCTGTCCTGCTCGGACCGGATGGGACCGCACTTGAGACTACCGAGGGGGCGGTCCAGGAGGGCGCCAGCGAGTCTGCTCTACTCTTCGAGGACCAACAACAGGCAGCCCTAGCTCAGGTCGACGCCGCCCTCGAGCAGGAACTCGATGCCCGCAGCGACGTGAACCTGGTGCGCGGGGACGAGGCACAGGAGCCATCATTGTCCAGTGCACCAACACAACTGGTCGAGACCGCCAGCGCCCCTGCCACTCCTGTATCACGAGCACGTACGCCTGCAAGCGTTGCTCGGTCTGCTACGCCGCCAGTCGACCCCCAGGCACAGAGCTATGCCGACCACCTCACGAAGCTCTCGGAGACCGGGCGCTATGCTGAGATACCGGCTGTTTTTGAGGCCATGCTGGTGGCCAGCATCCAGCCGCTGGCGACGTCGTACAATGCCCTTCTCATGGCTGCCATTCACCTGCCCTCCGAGAAGATCGAGATTGTCTCCAAGGCCCTGGACGTCTATGCTGATATGATGCGGCGCAAGGTCAAGCCTGACAGCGACACCTACAACATCCTCGTCGGTCTTCTGGCTGCCCGGTCTCTCGAGGTGTCTTCACTGAAGAAGAGACTGGAGGACAAGCGTGTCAGGTACGGCGGTATGGACGAGCCTGGCAAGTTCATGTTCGCCTCGACCGAGCTCGAGCACGCGATCCTCTGCGAGGATGACCGGTTGGACCTGGCCATGAAGCTCTTCAAGTCCTCAATCACCTCACAGAGCGATGCGTTCTCTCCCGAGACCTACCACCAACTCATCTCGGCATGTGCCCAATCTGGACGTGTCAACGATATGCTCTCGCTCTATGAGCACATGGAAATGAACAAGGCCACGCCTTTCGCCGCGGTCTTCCCTGCAATGATCATAGCCTTCGCTAACTGCGGAGACCTCGTCAGCGCCGTGGAATGCTACAATGAGTACCGAACCCTGGCCATCGCCCACGACAAGGGCGAGACGAGCCTGCATGACCGCCTTGATGCCCAGGTCTACGCCTCGGTCATCAATGCATATGTCATCTCAGACAAGATGGACGGTGCCATGAAGTTCTACAGAAAGATTGTGCAGGAGTACGAGGTCCGAGCCTCCGAGGTCAAGGATGCCATCATCAGCCTCGGCTTCGTCAAGGGCTTTGAACATCGGGGTATCTACCAGGAAGCCCTCCGCTGGGCGCAGGCTATCGAGGACGAGTCACGATCCCAAGCCATGGCTGACTTGGCAATCGCTGCGGCTGACAGTGGCGACAAGCACACCGCTGTTGCTGCATTCGGCAGCATGTCAACCAAGCACGGCAATATGGCGACACCGGCAATGGCTCTCCTGGCGATGAGTGTCCGCGATGGCGACGTCACGGAGGCTTGGCGGTACTGGCAGGTCCTGAGCAGCCCTGACATGGTTGTTGGAGCCTCTTTCATTGAGCCTACCGCCATGTTTGCTGTTGCTCTGATCGGTTCCGGCCAGGTCGCTGAAGGTTTGAAAGAGTCTGACCTCATGTTCCAACGGATCCGCCAATCTGTCCCGAACGATACGCATCTCGCATCCGAGGTCGAGGAGGGGGTTGATTTCGTGGCGCGCTACATGACTGCTCGCGGCATCGCAGACCCTCGAGAGATGGCATCACAGACATCCGCTCCCACACCGACCTTTGCCACCTCGCCATACGACTCAGCCGGTTCCGTGTCAAGCTTTGAGGATACTTTCGATCCGTATGCGCACAACACCGACTTCAGGGGCTCGTCACTCATCTCGGACGAGCTCGAGGGTGCTCATGGCCGAAAGGGGTCCAGGCTCAACGATGCTCTCACCCGGTTCCGCAACATGCGTCGCGCCGGCCGCCACCCACGCTACATCACGTACGCCAAGCTCATCTCAGCCGCGGCGCGCGACGGGAAGATGGATCTTTGCCACGACATTCTCAACATGGCCCGTACTGACGTCCCTCTGATGCCTCAGTACGCTGTGGTCTGTTACGGCTGGTCCTCGATTCTGGATGCTATGGTTGGCGCGTGTCTGAGCCTGGGTCGCCGAGCCCATGCTGAGCAGTTCCACCAGGAGCTGCTGGATATGGGTGCTACGCCCTCCGCCAACACATACGGTCTGTACATCACCACGCTCAAGGAGTCTACCAAGACTTTCGACGAGGCTTCTGAGGCTGTCAAGATCTTCCACCGTGCCAAGTCCGAGGGCGTCGAGCCCAGCTCCTTCCTGTACAACGCTCTGATCGGCAAGCTGGGCAAGGCTCGCCGCATCGATGACTGCCTGTTCTACTTTGCCGAGATGCGCGGGCTGGGAATCAAGCCCACGTCTGTTACCTACGGCACTATTGTCAACGCCCTCTGCCGGGTGTCGGACGAGAAGTTTGCGGAAGAGCTCTTCGACGAGATGGAGTCCATGCCCAATTACAAAGCTCGGCCTGCCCCTTACAACAGCATGATGCAGTTCTTCCTGACGACCAAGCGCGACAAGTCCAAGGCTCTGGCGTATTATGCTCGCATGCAGGCTAAGAACATTGCTCCCACCTCGCACACCTACAAGCTGCTGATCGATGCCCACGCCACGCTGGAGCCTGTCGACATGAAGGCTGCGGAGGCGGTCCTGGAAAAGATCAATGCAAGTGGCAAGCCCGAGGCTGTGCACTACGCATCCATGATCCACGCTCACGGCTGCGTCCTGCACGACATGAAAGCTGCTCGCAAGACTTTTGATCAAGTCATCAGCAACCCCTCCGTCCCTGCTTCTGCTTGTCTCTTCCAGGCCCTCTTCGAGAGCATGGTCGCCAACCACTGTGTCGCCAACACGGAGCCTCTCCTTGCGGAGATGCGTCGCCGCCGTGTCGAGCTGACACCCTACATCGCCAACACATTGATCCACGGTTGGGCTTCCGAAGGCAACATCTCCCGAGCTGAGGACATCTATGGAGCTGTTGGCCGTGAGCGTCGTGAGCCGAGCACATACGAGGCCATGACGCGCGCGTACCTGGCTGTTGAAAACCGGGACAAGGCTAAGGGTGTCGTCACCGAGATGATGGGCCGTGGATATCCTGGCGCCGTTGTCGGCAAGGTGGTCGAGCTCCTGGGTGGTGGTGAGCAGGATGCCGCGTCGATATCGATATAAACGTTGTCTACGAGAGCATTCTTTTCCCCATCGTCTGGCTTGATTGGTGATGCTCTTATTTTTTTTTTTAAAGAGTGTCACACCTGCCAATCTGTTTAACAGATTCGTGTGATACCCCTTACCTTGCCCAGTCGGCGAGATAGCACCGAATTGGTTGTGTCGAAGGACACAGATGTGATGGTTGGACGAAAACAGACAATCATACTGTCTATCTATACCTTTTATTTTCTTGATTTCCTTTGTCGGATCTGGGAGCGTCTGCTTTTTTTCCCTCTGCGTCTGGCGTTTTGGCCTGGATCAAAACGAACCAAACAGCCGCGTTCACAGACCAATGAGACGCTGGCTTGGGGGACCAGGGACAATTCGGTTGGCTGGTTCCGTGAAGGGCCCGGGGCGGACGGGATAATTGGGTTCCGGGGGGCCAAGGGAATGGTTGGTTTTTTTTTCCTTTATGCGAAGCAGTCGAAGCGTGATCTTCCTGCATACACATTTTCTTTGTCGTTATTTCACTTTCGCCATGGTGTGGTCCCTAGAGCCATGCATATTAGACAAATCTCCACTCTGCATAGAAAAAGGCGAAAGAATCTGGGCATAGCTTCAAGCAATGGGCGCGAAGATCAAGGGAACCAGGAGGGTCGTGTGGGAACGGATGGATGGTACGGACACAGTGGCAGACAGCCAAAGGAGATATTCTGGGATTTGTGTCTGGTCTTTTGGTTGGAATCGTATGATACCAAGATGTTGGGAAGGCAGGCTGGGAAGAAGGGCCTCTTAGGTTGTATATTAGACATTGAAATGCCAGAAGCTTTGATGTCCAATCTTGTCTTATTGCAATTGTGAAATACGCAAGTTCCCACCTACGTGAAAAGGTCAGTTCACTTTCCACTTGTGTTTAATACTGGCACATAGTTTCCCAGAATGATAGACAATACTCATACTTCTAGGCATTGCTATATATTTCAAGTAATACTGGACAGACCTTCTCCGTCTCTCCACCATCCAATATACCAGGTAATTAACTAGAGGGTATTTTCCATCACTACGCCATCATTTCATTCATAAATACCTAATCATACCCTTTTCTTCACATCTCCCTCACCATAACATCTCTACATCCAGTCCAGTGTGTGTGTGTATGTGTGTGTGGCCCTTCAAACAGCCGTCTCGGCCTTCTGCTCATCCACAATCTCACTCTTCTCAAGACCCCCGCGGGCATGCGCACCAGCAAAAGTCTTGGTAGGACGCCACTTGGCCGAGTTGCGCGGGGTCGTCTCCTCCATCATGAGATCGACCTGCTCGAGAGACAGGCCCTTGGTCTCGGGTACGAGGAAGTACGTGTAGACAAATGCGCACGTGCACAGGGCAAACCAGATGAAGAAGACCGAAGACACCAGGGCGTCGACCATGTACGGCGTGATGATGGCGATGATGAGGTTCCACAGCCAGTTGGACGCGGTGGACAGGGCGACGCCGCGCGAGCGGATGGGTAAGGGGAAGATCTCGCCGATGACGATCCAGGCGCCGGGGCCCCAGGTCGTGGCGAAGGAGAAGATGAAGATGGCGATGAAGGCGATCTGGGCTTTGACGGCGGCTGGGTTGTCCGCTGCGGTGCCGCCTACGACGCTGGGGTCGGCGTGCGTGTGGTTGAAGCCGACGGTGACGCCCACGACGGCGACGATCAGCTGGCAGATCAGCATGGAGAGCGCGCCCCAGAGGAGCATGGGACGACGGCCCCAGGACTCGACGCCCCAGAAGGCGAAGGGGGTGGCGAGGGTGTTGACGACGTTGAAGATGACGGAGAGGAGGAACTCGTTGGAAACAGCGCCTGTCGACTTCAGGAAAGGTGTGCCGTCTGTTGGTTTTTGTGAAAAGTTGATGTTAGAAGCTGTGAACCAACAATATGTAAAGAAGAAAACAGCAGGGGGGGAAATAAAAGCAAAGGCTTACAGTAAAAGATAAAGTTAACACCAGTCCATTGCTGCATCATCTGCAGCGAGGTGCCGAGTATAGTCTTGCGAAGATTCGAGTTGGACTTCCACAGCGAGCCCGAGAAGCAGGCAGCCCAGCTACCAAACCAGGTCGTCGAAGGGATCAGCCTCTTCTCGTACTCCTCGTTGGCGACGATCTCAGCAAGCTCGTACTGGACAAACTCGGACTCCTCAGGCTGGCCGCGCAGGGCCGAGAGCGCATGCCTCGCCTTGGCCAGGTTGCCGCGCTTGACGAACCACCTGGGCGAGTCGGGCAGGAAGAGGATACCTGTGCCGAGGATGACAGCCCAGATGAACTGGATGCCGATGGGCAGCCGGTACGCAGCGCGGCTCGTCCAGTCCGAGGTGGAGTAGGTGATGCAGGCGGCGACGAGGAGGCCGATGGTGATGCAGAATTGGTAGCCGGCGACGAGGGCACCGCGAACCTTGCGTGGGCACTGTTTTTTTTGTGTAAGTTTATATACATAACTGTACAAAACGAAGGAACGGGCCAAAGTTGTCGGGTTTTTGCTCAATCTATCCCTTTTCTTTCTCTTCTTCTCTTTTGGACTGACTTACAATTTCGGACATGTAAAGGATTACGGTGGCACTTTCAAAACCAGTACCAAGGCCAGCAATCAGACGGCCAATGACAATCTCAGCGTAGGCATCGCCATCGCCGGTGATGATCTCGATGACTACACCTATGGCAAAGATTCCACAGGCCATAATCACGGTCCATTTTCTTCCCATGAAGTCGGCCACGTCGCCGGCAGCGAGAGCTCCCAGGAACGTGCCGACGGACATGATGGAGACAATGAGCGACTCGGTGCTGGATTTGAGCTCGGTGGCATTGGGGCCCTCGATAACATTGATCCATACCTATTTCGTTATTGATTTCTAGTGTCAGCACTTTCGACGGACAGGGAAGACGAGAAGACAACGAAGAATAAACTATTTGGAGAAGTTTCTCATTACTGACGTTCATGGCGTTCACATTGCTAATGTATCCCGTGTCGTAACCATAAAAGATACCACCAAGCGCCGCAAAGGCGCACATCAAGTATGCTTTCCATGTCACGGGGGCTTCGATGCGTTCGATATCGGCAGTCGCAGCCAGACCTTCGAGAGCCAGACCATCATTGGCCGTGTGCTCGGCTTCAACCTTGGACTCGGACGCCATGATTGGGAGCAATGCTTTTGTTACCGGATATGAGGGGAGGGAGAGGAATAGGTATGATCTCGAGAGGAGCCAGAGGAAGACAAAAAGAAGAAAAAAGTCCCCAGCACTATTGGGACAGAAAAGAGAGGGCCCTCCTAGATTAATTATAAGAAAACGAGAGCCCTTGAAAATGGTTAACCTCTCTTGGGGGTTCAATAGCTGAATTGTTTCTTGTTCTCTCCCCTTTCGGTTGGGATCTGCATTCCTCCTCGCATCCTCTTTGTAACCTTTCCCCAGGCTGTAACATTCACTGGCTGGAACCGATGGGCTGGGAAAATCCGGGGCCCCGTGGCAAGCCAACATGGGGTATCATGCAGAGTGTGGATCCGGAGGGATGAAGGTTGGTCGATAGATTTGGAGAAGGGCCGAAAGGGCCGCGTTGACAACGACACACCTAGTACTTTCACTTGTTTTATTTTGCTTTTGTTCTTTTTTGCAGATAGGACGTTGTGTTATTGGTGCTTGGCCCCCCCTTCCCCTCTCACCCCTCAGTTTTCCCGCCTTGCAGGAGACACAACACACCATAAAAACCTTGGGAAGGATCAGAATGAAGGGCCCCGACCAACCAAAGCCGTTCGTGTCGGATTCAGAAAGAATAACCGTGATGTGCCCGCAATCTTAGCATTCCCGCCTGGGGCTTCTCCGGCGAGACTCTGCAGGACCATTTCAGTCATGAACCACATACCCTTGTCCCGAGGTCAGCCTGGTCTGCTTCAAATTGACGCTGACGTGCATCCCATGGAGCCCAGGTACTACGTAGCATTGAGTCTGTGGGTGTGTTCGTGTATGTTTGGGTATGCAACTGCACGATAATGGATGATTTTCTTGGTACATCGATATGGACAGACAGATTCAAAAATGATAAGTCTCTTCAAGGAGCCAACTCAATGAGCAAGCATAACTCAACGTCGAACGTGATGCATACGAAATTTGTTTTATCTTTCCATACCATTTTCGTCTGGTGGACAACATAACCTCCTTTAGGTCACATTCCCCGACAGCCTCCAGGTCGGCATCATTTCTGATGACCACGCGATGCCCGTCTCGTTATACATCACCCTACACGGAATCCACAATGCCATAAAGAACATGTTGTGTACAGTCATGCCATAGTCTGCATCATTCCACGCTCAAACGCTGTTGGGATGAGAAGAGCATTGGAGTAGACAAAGAGAGAAAATCATCTGTGCGATAGTGTGGCTGGTGGTCACACGCCGGTCCCTTTTCTGCCTAGGTTCACCTTCTCAGCCGTGCCGGCACAGGTTCGGCCTCACCCTCTTATTCCCGAACAACGGCCGAGGAGGATTTGGAAGAAAAGGTTGGCGTGATCAAGGGTCACGGTGTTCCGCGTAGGCCGTTCGTTTGGGGAATAGATGCCTGGGGGAAGGGATCATGTTGAGCTGGAAAAAGGAAAGGGTTCCCACACCGGCCATCGCTCGGCCATATCAAGGGGGGGGGGGGGCGGCCTAGACATGGCTGCCTCTAACAATCCTCTCCCTGGCCTCAGTACAGCAGATGTAAGACCAATCGGAAGTCAAGGTCCAGGCTGCTTCTCCAACGCATTACCAACAAGTCACCAGGTCACAGGTGCTAATGCACGTGGCAGGAGAAAGGGTAGTCTGGCTGCTGCCGGGGTTACGGTGTGTTCTCGGGGGCCAGAAGCTGTCCTCTGATTAAGCCATATTTGGACAGGATGAAGTTGCCTAGAAAGAGTCAGAGTCGAAGAGACTATGATTACCGGCCTAGGAAGAGAAAGAAAAGTCTGCCGTAATTGCTTCTCAAAATACAGACAATGATATTGAATAGAAGTATAGCAATTGCCCAAATCAAATAGCCATCAGATCCAATACGAAGCTATCATCAAGCAGATTTCATGGACGAGATATCCCTCAGGAGCTCTCCCCAACCCATCTGGACCCTTGTGCACACCGGGCCGGTCTAATCATAAGCAAAAGTACATCAGCCTCGGCACCCATGCCGAGACCTCAAGGTTTTATGCAGGGTCGGGGCTGTGTGGTGCAATTATATAAAAAAGAATCTATACCAGCTGAGGCTAGCCACCACAGAGGATCGTGTCTAGATCCTTCTATCATCTCCTGAGCCCCCAAAGACCAGAATGATATCGGGATTTTGTTTACACAGAACTTTGACTTATACTAGGGCAGGAGCTGGGCTTTTGACAGAAGTGCCCATGTTAAGTTTTGCAAACTGTCCAATGAGTCTATTCAGTGAGTCGTAATTACTCAAAACCGGCGACTTGCCAACTCAAGGCTCAGCCTAGATTCTTTGGCAGAACATTATGATCATGATATGAGCATCAAAGCCTCTCACGATTCCTGAACTGCGATGTATCAATGATAGCTATAGTTGGGTTGAACGTCTTTATCAGGCCTTCCTCAACCAATGTGCTGATGAGCCAGAGCAATCATTGTAGACCGTAGTATAATGACTTTACTGGTAATTGGGAAGTATGCTCTTGAATCAAGTAGTCAATGCTGAAAAATAATTTTCTCTACATAATTTGCCTCGGATCTTCTCATCAAGTAAAACAATAAACTGGTCTGGAGTCAAGCTAGCATGGGCGCTAGGATGAATGTTAAAGAATTGGCCGCCTTGTGCTGTCCAGAGCCCTGTTCCGCCAAGGAAAACAACCGGCGATCTAATTATCCAACACCATGAAAAGATCCCAACCTTCCCCCTTCAAGAGTAGTGAAACCTTGGCACCTGCAAGGCTGCGAATATTTTGACTACTCAGGTACTGCGAGGCTCCGGTGGCTTGATGGGCTGAAGTTTGATTTCTCATTTGTGCTTTCCGTAGGTGAGGACGATGCTCCTTGTGGAACTCCTATTCAAGTCAATAGTGAGCATAGGTCCATTGGATTACCATGAAGCGCTACTACTTCTTCTTGTTTATGCATCTACCATGCTGAGATATATGCAAATTGGTATTAGGCAACAAATTCCCTAGCCAAATCTTTAGCTGAGTTGACGAGAAATGATAATCTCAGACTCGGTCAGTACAGGGATGTCGCATAGTTCATGTCTTTTAGTTATCGCTATAGCAGAATATACATCAAGTGATATATGTCCCTACTATATACTGGACACAAACAACATCTCTTGGCTTCCCTATAATAACTAGCATATGCAGAAAGATGCATCTGGTTATGAACAGACAAAAGAAAACGGTAAGATGGTGAAAAATAGTATCACGGGTCTCGGGAAAACATCCACCTGAAAGGAGAACGCACACAAATGTCTTTCACCATTGCATATCTGATATTTTACTACTACATAAGTGAGGCATTATATCAAGCTTCCTTTTCATGATAGCTAATATGCCACAAGGTTGGGTGACACTCTCTTGTCAGCCTCAGCCCATCAACATATCAGTGACAATCAACATGAACAGTGTGAATATTCACCCAAACCCCATTTAATTGACCTACACATATAACCCAATCGAAAACTTCCACTACCACAACAGATCTCAAATACCAACACTTGTTAGCTCAATGGTTACGACGCCGGACTGTCAGAAATTAAGGTACCACCCCTTGTTCAACTCTTGCTGATCATGGAAAAAAAAAAGGACAAGACAACCAGTCATCCCAACAACTCGATTCACTACCAAAGAAAAATAAGAAGAAAAAAGGACCTGCCAGCATACTTGATCGGGTTTATATAAATCAATACGTTTGTGCTCCATCATGTGTGCGGGCCTGTTTAACAGACATATCTTACAATTTGTACTTTATACGGATCCAGGCGGATTCTCATTACGTCGCAAAGTTTGAGTTGTTCAATAGTGGTGCGCATAGGATCGTAAGTACTAACTCCCTATCATTCGTCTGACCAATGAAACAACAGGTGTTGGGTTGAGATCTCTTTTTTCTTTTCTTGCTCTTTTACTTTTTGCTGTCGTCACTCAACTCCCTTCATAAAGTAACATTACTTTCGTAGAGGCGCTGTCTTAGCAGTCCCCCCCCCCCCCCCTCCTCTTTGATCTTCCAATCTTGTTTTCATTTGAAGAGGTGCAATGATGGTAGACGAAAGGTTTTTGCTGTATTGCGTAACATGATATGGCAATGTATAGATCGAGAATATCTAAGTAACAAAAGACGCTCTACGCAATGTTGAACTCGCTCGCCGCATTCTGCCCCATCTTGCGGATCATCTCCTGCATCTTCCTCCTGGACGCCTCCTCGTCAACGTCACCAGCAGCAGCAGCATCATCGTTCCAGCCCGCCTCGCCAGCACTTCTCTTGTTCCCTCCCGCACCACCACTGCCGCCGCTCTTACCGCTGCCAGCCTTGTGCGTCCTCCTCTGGACCCCGCCGCCGATCCCGCCTGGTGCCTCTCTCAGCCCGAAACTCTTGGCCACGTGTCCCAGGTGCAGCTGTGTGATGTCGAACACGTCTCGCTCCTCCTTAACGTGCGTCGCGTACGCGCGGATATGAGAACGGAAGCCTTGACGGGCCGCGTCGAGGATACTGGTTCCGCTGGCAGTGACGGGCTTTGGCTTGGGTGCCTGCGCCGACTTCTTCCCACCCTTGTTGACGGGACCCTTCGGGGCACTCGTCTCACAGGCGAGGAGGCGTTTCTCGATGGAGAGTTGCAAAGCTTCAGCCCGGGCGTTGGAGGATTGCCTGGCGGGTGGTTGTTGTTGGGATTGCTCCTCGTCCGAGTCATTCGAAGGAGATTGCGGCATCTCGATGGGAGTCGCGAAGCCTTTCTGCAGAATGGTCTCGTAGGATTGAGCAGTTGCTGGTGGGGTCGAGGGGAGCATGGAGATGTAGGCTTCCTCACACCCCGGCTGCAGGAAAAGGGCAGCCTTTCCTGGCCGTCCTGCACGAGCTGTTCGACCGATGCGGTGCACGTGATCTGCTATGGCGAAGGCAGGATCATACTCGATAACGAGCTCGACGGACGGGACATCAAGACCACGCGAGGAGATATCAGTTGTGATGAGGACGGCGGGCTCCTTGCATGTTGAGAAGGATTTGAGTGTCGAGGTTCGGATTTGCTGCGTGAGTGATCCATGAAGTTTATGGAGGAGGATGGTTCGGTTCGCTGGAGAGGTAATGTACGTTGCCGGGTAAACAGTTGATGATGGCGGCGGCGCCACTTCTTTCTTGTCCTTGGGCGACGTCGATGGTGATGCTGGAGCAGGTTGTTCGGCAGGTGCTGTGGATTTGAGCAGGTCGAAGTGGAAGTCGACCGAGTCGGCGCAGGAGATGAACACGATGGCTTTCATGACGGAACCCTTTCTAGCGAAGGCTTCCTTCAGCAAAGCTATCAGGGTGACCAACCGCAGCTTGGCTGGAACCACCAGGTATGACTGCTTGAGCTGGGCCGGCGCAGCAAAGACGGCTTCGTCCTGTTCCTCTCGCGTGTCATCCTTCCCGGCGGTGATATGGATCGCTTCGTGGAGGCTGATCTCTCCCAGCCTCTGGACATTCATCTTCATTGTCGCAGAGCAGAGCACCGTCACCCTCCTTTTCGGCAATGCCCTGTCCAGCTCAACGCCCTCTGGGTTCGTCGTCTTGAGCGGGTCCTTCCTGATTTTAGCGACAATCTGTTTGAGATCCTGCTCGAAACCCATCTCCATCATGCGGTCGCCCTCATCAAGCACGAGCCACCTGACGGTGCCGACGTCCAGGATCTTGGTATTCTCGAGGTGATCCGTCAAGCGACCAGGCGTGGCGATGAGGATATTGCATCCCTTGCGAATGCGTGCCTTTTCCGAGTGCTTGCTCTCGCCACCCATGACTGAGGTGCTCACGATCCATGGACAGCACCTGAGGAGCTTCTCCAGCACTACCGAAATCTGCTTGCACAGCTCTCTGGTCGGGGCCAGGATGATGGCAAACAGCCCCGAGTTCCTGTGAATATTCGCACCCGCACTCGTCTCGTCATCGTTCCGGCTGAGGGCAAGGATCCTCTGCACTATGGGGAGCAGGTAGGCCAGCGTCTTTCCAGAACCCGTCTGCGCCTGCAAGAAAGCATCGTCATCCCCCTTGACCAGCTGTGGTATTGTGTTCTTCTGGATCGAGGTCGGGGCCTTCATCTCGAGTTTGGCCGAGAGATGTTGCGCTACCCTCCGCGACAGACCTAAAGCATGGAAGTTCGATGCCTCCTCGGATAGCGGCGCATTGGAGGGCTTCGCGGGCTCGGCAGGCTCGGCGGGAGTGTCCTCAAAGACTGTCTTGGCCGTGGGGTTCGACGTGAAGAGCCGCGAGGCCACCTGAAAGGGCTTCGAAGGATCGCCGCCGGGACGAGGGCCGCCGTCGGTTCTTTGCCTCTTGGCCGGTCGATCGAGGTCGCCATGGCCACGTCCCACAATCTCTGCGTGATCGCCTGGTGCAGGCCTTCTGGGCGTTGGCTTGTCGCCTCTCTCGGTAGCAGCGTCTTTCTTCTGGGCTCTTCTCCGGTCTCTCCATGACCCTCCGATGTATTTGACTTTTGCTTTGGGCGCTGGAGCATTTCCCAGAGGGGCGAGGTTGAGGACGAGGTCATCCGCCATGGTTGAGTTGAGTTGAAGGCGGAGAATAATGGAGGCGGAAAAAGGTAGCAGTGTACTTCAAAAGAGAGAGAGAGAGACATGCCAATGCAATGTGACAGGAGGTGGGGAGGGTAGAAGGACGAGAAAATATAAAGTGGGGCCTGCACAATCACTATCGATAACGATTCCCCTGCTTCAGCACTCCAGGATTCCCCGTTACCAAATCAGCGCTGGAGCTTTTAGCAATAATAACATGTGAATCCCAGCCAAACCACTTTGAAAGAGCATCTCCTCTTTTATCGAGGTCTCTCATGACGGACGTCGGATGTGTAAGTCCAACTTTCAGATCCAGTAGTGGTCCTTCATGCACAGGTATTTCTCTCATTTAATTTGTAATGTGCTTCTTGCTATTGCAGATACTAGTGCACATCTTACATCTCATAATTCTAGCTCATGTGTGCTTGCTTCTGGTCAAGATGTGAACTCACAGTGACGTCAAGTTTGCCTACTCCAATCCATATTGGCTTGCATATGAGCCTCCAAGCTCAAGAGACCGAGAGAAAATGATGATTCTGCCATCCGTTTTCCCAAACCCAATCCATTGTGCTATGTAAACATCATGCCTCCACGCAGAGCATCAAATGCCAAAAGGCCACAGAAACGCAAAGCCGACCCAGATGACAACAAAGACGAAAAGGACAAGCCACCCAGCAAACGTCCCGCGCGGGAGGAGGAAGAAAAGGACAACGGAGGGTCGAAGCAGGCGGATAGCTCGGCCACCACCACCACCTTGGACAACAAGCTCGAGGAGACCTCCATCACCATCAACCGTGCGCCCGTCCTCGAGCTGTGGGGCGCGTGCGTAGCCCACCTCACGCACCCCGACCTCAGTTGGGCCCTGTGTCTCAGTATTGGCAGCAGTATCTCGACGATCACGGCTATTGCGAAGGGGAGATCGATTGGGACGATCGCTGCGCCGGCCGATGAGGGTAATCATCCTGAGGAGAAGGGGAAGAAGAGAAAGGACAGGGCGGCAGAGGACCTCCCTACCATTCACGTCATGGGGTTTCCGATGGCCACCACGGGAGATTCGGTCATGGTGAAGGGAAAGCCCAGGACGACGAGGGAAGTGACTCTGCAGAGGAAGTTTGGAACAGACGGGTATGAAAGGGTGAAGGGTGTCATGATGGAGGCTCTGGAGGAGTGGAAGGGGAGCGAAGGTGAGCTGGATGGGCAGGCGTTCAAGATGTATGAGAAGTTCAGGCCGGATGTTTCCAAAGGCCAAAAGGGCTGGGGACGAAAGGGTGAGTTGCATTTGTCCAAGGTCAAGGATGCGGTTGGCAAGCCGTCTAGTTGAGATGCCTATAATCATAAGATTCTGCCGGAACTGAGCACACATCTCTTCCAATGAAACCTGTCCTTGCTTCCTTACTCGCCCTCATCTGCAGCTTTAGGCCTCTCCAACACTTGCCAACACCTGACTTTCTCCTTGGACCTGGGCCAATACTCAATCTTGATCTCCTCCTCATCTCTACCGACGACCAGCTTGAACTCCCTCTCGAAATACAACTCACACTCTTCTGGCCTCGAGTACCACAAAATCAAATCCCCGTCCTGCAACCCAGCCTCCTGTGCCCTCGAGCCCTCCACGATCCCTCGTACAACCCCTTCCTCCAGGCTGCCGCCGTCAAATCCAAACTCCAAGCGCTCCTGCTTGACAGGCTGTGGGCCATACGTCTTCCCAAAGCTAGCCACCATGTCGTCCAGTTCATTGACTTTGCCCTCCTCCAACATCTCCCGGAAGTGCCTCCCCGCGTCCTCCCGCCCGATCCAGTGTGCCAGGCCATCCAGCCAGTCTTCCTTCTGTATCTTGGCCCCGTTCTTCTCCCTCCTACGGCGGGCAGTGAGAAGGTCCCGGACCGTATCGTCCATGGGCCGCAGGACGTCCACGCCGCGGGCCACGGCTGCGCGGCGGGTGTAGGCGTCCATCTTGAGCATGTAGACGCACGCGCGCAGGGCCTTGGCGGATGTCACGTACCACGCCTGGCTTGTGTCGTCGCGGGAGGTGGTCATCCCTACGGAAGAGAGTGGTTGGGAGACGAGGGGGTTGGTGAAGTAGGCGGAGAGGAAGGCGTTGACAGTAGCACGAAAGTAATCTGGCCCGCGCTGGCCAAAGCGAAAGGGCAAGAAGACGGTGTAGAGGTGGGAGAGACCTAGAGAAGGGTCTCTCTGTCAGCTTGTGGTAAGGGGAGGACAATCGGGAGAGAGGAGGGAAGAGAGAGAGAGAGAGAGAGAGAGAGAGAGAGAGAGAGAGAGAGAGAGAGAGAGAGAGAGAGAGAGAGAGAGAGAGAGAGAGAGAGAGAGAAAGAGAGAGGAGTGTGGTGCGTCAAGTTAATAATTACCATCGGTGAACCAGTCGTTCTTGGTCCCGTCATGTTCGGGATCCAGACGCGCCCATGTAGATACCATGGTCCGGTTGAGCATTCTGATCAGATCCCAATCATGCGCAGTGCCTGCATCGTCATCATAATCAATTATGCTGCTTGCTCTCAGTGCTGTCCCCTTGAGACCCTTGGGAGCGCGTCGCAAGAAAGTACGGTAGCTAGCGCCCTCATCACCGAAATGCTCCGACATGCGCGGCAGGATCTTTGCGGTGTAGTCCTTGACAGCGTCCAGATTCTGCGGCAGATCTCCAAACCAATACGTGTAACCGAGACCTTGCTTCTCTGAGTCTGTTCCTTCTTGCCTTATCTCTGGCTTGGGGGGAAAACTCTGGACAGGCCCGACCATGAACACACAGGCAAGGATGGTATCGCTCTCACCCGCAACCTCGATCGGTTCTGGGCCTTCACCGTAGCTGACCACCGCCCTCGTACCTTCCGGACAGCCAGACAGGTCCCACTCGAGCATCACCTGGCACGCCCCGATGCTGAACCGCGGGAGGAACCGCCACCCTTCGCCCACTATGCCCCCTTTCTCGCGGCGAAGAACGCATTCATCCCAGCTGCTCTCGTGATCGCTATCGAGGGCTCTCGCGTCGGCTGTGAAGGTAATGTCACCGATAGCCTCCCTTGCGAGCCTGACCTGCTTCTCCTCGTCCTCGCCCGAGAGCAGGAAGGGCACAGAGCCGTCGCTATCTGTCAAGGTGGCGGGGATGCCCTGCAAGAAGTGCTGGAGCCTGGACGAATGCGCCTCGTCGTGTCGGCCGTAGGTGCAAAGGTGGTCATTCTCTTTGAACCTCAGGCTCTTGATGGTGATGGAGAAGTGTAGCACGATAATCTCTCCATCGGCATCAGCCTTGGGCGTGAGCAGGAGATGCAGGGTAGGAGGAGAGGAAACGGTGGCCATGTCGAGCGAAAGTTCAAGGAAAAGGAAGCAAGAAGTCAGCGGGCTCACGACGCTTTGTTTGCGCAGAAGGCTGCTGCCATCACAATTGGTTATCTCGAGGCACGGCAGATTGATCTATCTGCACGACCTAGCTCGTCATGGTTTCGCGGGTGGTCCAGGCGAGTTCAGTCAACCGTCACAGCGAGCGGGGTCTGGCGTGCCTGTACGGGCATAACACCTGATTGGGCCAAAAGCGTAGGAGTCGAGGCGGAGGATCAGTGTAGCATGTGCAGATAACGTTGCCAGCGAAGGTCAGGGGAAATTCAGCTGATTTTGGATATAAGAAACTTCGAATTTGCTCTTTTCTGGGTTGAATTTCAAGAGTGATTTCGCCTAGAGAATCTTCTGTGTGAAGAGATGAGAAAACAGCAGTAGTTCATATGCTGCCAAGTTTAGTGCTGTAGATGCTACCGTCGATGACAATGAACATCTGGACAAGCTCCATGGAGTAGGTAGCCTACTGGAAGAGAATAAATGCTACTCAAACGTCGTGCAACTTTGCAGCAGGCGTTCAGTTGGGACTAAGATCGCTCAGTGGTGGATAAGGACTTGGTAGACGGAAAGAACGATGATGATAGCCTTGAATAATCCGTGCTGCGGGCCGTTGCGGGACGCAGCGACGTCATCGACAGTGTCATATAAATTTGCCTACTGAGACTTGTCCCCAAATACGTCAACTTCAAAGGTGTTTGTTTGTTGTACTTACCTGTCCACTCCGTCTCTTCATCGAAGCATCGACTTCTGTTCTTGTTTTCATTTCTTGCAGCTCATCCAACCAACGTCCACATCCTCAACACCATTCACCCACTCCTTCACTCACGCACGTACACACATCCAACATGACCGACCAACCCTCCAACATCGAGCCCTACATCCAGGCTGAAAATCCAGTAACGCGCGATCCCTTGGAGCAAAAAGCCGCAGCCCAACCTCACCGTCAAGCCGGCTCGTCCTCCGAAGGCGAGCTTGGCACGGTCGGCGGTGCCTCACAGCACGGGCAGGAAGGCGTCCCGACATCCCGCGGCTACGGTGTGCACGGCAGTGGGCCCGTGGACGCGCAGGAGGAGGCGGCCACCAGCTACAGCAGCAGCACGAGGGGAGCGCGCGGCGAGAAGCAGGTCCTTCAAAACGAGAATGTCAATGCCGACGAGCAACTGGCGACGCTGGCGGAGGGTAAAGTGGCAGATGCGGTAGATAGGAAGAGCGGTACGCAGAGAGCCCCTGGGGCCGGGCCGGCCGAGGAGCAGGACTTTGCCTCGGACCTGGACAGGTAAGTTATGTTATTGTTTTCACCCGAAAAAAAAAAACCAGAAAAAAACCCCTCCCCTAAAAAAAGGAGATTCGGGAGACGGGTGGGGGAAAAGGGGGGGATATATGTCTCATAATCATGTGCTCCTTCTTCTCCTTCTTTGCAACTCGCTGACGCCTTGACAGGAAGAAGGCAGAACAGGCTGAGGCTCGCGAGGCAATCAAGGAGGCCCGCAAAGGGGGTGCTGATGTCGGCGGAGGGGCCGGCAGGCTGGGAAGTGAATCTCTAAACGACGCATGATTCCTTTTTCTGGAGTTTTTTGCGGGATTCTAGACGAGTCGAACGGATAAACTGTTCCATAGAGACCACCAACACACGATGTATCAAGAAAAGAAAACAATGCCCGAACTGCTCCACCTGCTCCGCTCCGCAACAACGTGGGTCGATGGCCCCGTTTCGTCACTACGAGGATGAGGCTCTCGTTTCTCTCCTAGCTTTACAATGTATTATGTACAAGATTACCGCCGGAACGTTTCGTCATGGGTGCGGATCAAGACAGAACATTTACAGTGGGACCTCGGTAATGTCTCCGAGAGACGAGATGATAATAGAAGATCTTGCCTTGTGTGCTGGCGGAGGTGTTTCTGCATTCGTAAGGACTCGGAATTGGTTGAATCACTCGCGACTATCGTAGTCAACAACAAGAGAACTTCTCTTTTCTTTTTCCAATCTCCATGTGTCTTAGCTGGGACGGGGGGGGGGGGGATGTCCATCCAGCAAGGAGGTGAGGAAGAATTATCGACGTCTTGAACAAGAAGAAGCAAGAAACAGACGAAACAGCTTCGGCAGATGAAGGAAATATGCGCTACATCGTGACTCCTTTCTGATAACTCCTTGCCCTGTCCCTGCAGTGGTGCAGTAACATGCATAGTGCACCGTATTGCGGCAGACTCCTTAGGGCTACTACTACTCCATTATGTAGTAAAAAGTAATGCAGTACAGTACATCATTGTGCTGTAGCAGTAATGCAACCTTCACAGCAGGGCTTGCCGGCGCTCCAGGGCGCCTCCAGGACCCCAACCCCTCTGAGCCGCGTGAAAGACTCCACCTACAGGGGCCCGCCTACGGGTACTGTTGGTGGAAAATACAGAGGGCTGCCCCACCCACAGCTCCCTCGTCACTTCTCGGCCGGGCCCTGTGTGGGGTTGGAGTATAGTAAATTCGTCACCCTCGCCCTTTTTTTGCTTAAGATGAGACGAGGCTATTCCCGACTTGACGGCAGCTTCTCCCCACCCTTGTAGGACCCGGCCCATGTGTGTTTCGAAACATACTGATTGTTTGCAGGACCACACCCCCAAAACATCATCGAAGCGAGCCCTGTAATCTCCTTCATGCCCCATTCGTGCCCACGATGGAGTCCTGGTCCTGTGGTGGCGCCCGCCCCTCCGAACCCGTCTTGGTTGTCTTGCAGCCTCGTCTGCGAGGGGAGGGATGCACCCGCAAACTAAACATGATCGCCCCTTTACTTTTTACTTACATGCTTGATATAAAGCTTGCCTCGCTAGGGCCGGTGATCAGTTGTTTCTTTGGCTTCGATCTGTTTTGTTAGTCCTGCATGCTTTGATAGCCCAACGACAGCTTTCCCAGTTCACCTTTTTCTTCTTCGTGGTACATACACATCCATTCGTTTCTTATCAAGACATTCTCTCTTTTCAAAGACTCTCACTCATTCATCATGGTGAAGTCCGTTGCTATCATTCCCGCGCTGGCCGCGACCGCTTTCGGCGCTGCTCTCGACTGGTCAGCCTCTCCCTTTGGAGGTGGCAGCGGCAACTGGGGTGTAAGTAGTTCTTCTTGTGGTTATGATTATTGTCATCGAGTAATATTGACTGACTGGCTGGTCTTGGATAAATAGGGTTCTGGTGCCGTGAGCTCTAGTTCCTCTTCGTCATCTTCCTCTGGCTCGTCCTCTGGATACGGAGCCAGCTCCAGCTCCAGCGCCGTGGCCTCGACTAGCACGACGTCCAGCTCTGGGTCCAGCTCCAGCTCCAGCGTCAGCGCCAGCTCCAGCTCTGCCAGCAGCTCCCAGGAGTCGACCGACTCTAGCAGCACTTCCCGCACAACTGCCCCCAGCGGCAGCATCACTGTCTGCTCCTCTGACTGTGACTACACCACTGTGAGTTTAGTAGTAGTGCACATACGTGCACACACAAATACACACACGGGTCCCAGCTATTCTAACACATATTTTAAAACAGGTCCAAGATGCTGTCGATTCTCTCGACACATCCTCCTCGGATGCCCAGGTGATCTTCATCTACAGCGGCACCTACACGGAGCAGGTCACCATTCCCGAGCTCTCGGGATCCCTCACCATCTACGGTGAGACCGAGGACACCTCTGACTACACCAGCAATGTGGTGAGCATTGAGCACTCCTCGTCGCTGGCCTCTGGCGCGGCGGACGACGAGCATACCGGCACCGTCATCATCGAGGCCGAGAACGTCGCTGTCTACAACATCGACATCAAGAACACCTATGGCGAGGGCTCCCAGGCCATCGCGCTCTCGGCGTACAACACCAACCAGGGCTACTACGGCGTCGGCCTCTACGGCTACCAGGACACCCTCCTGGCCGAGACGGGCAACCAGATCTACGCCAACTGCTACATTGAGGGCGCCGTGGACTTCATCTTTGGCCAGGATGCCCGCATCTGGGTCGTCGGCTCCACCATCGCCTCCATCGGCGCCGGTGCCATCACCGCCAACGGCCGCGACTCGGACGACAACGTCTCGTATTATGTGATTACCGACTCCACCGTTCAGGCCGGCTCCACCGACCCGGGTGAGGGCACCGTCTACCTGGGCCGCCCCTGGGGCGCCTACGCCCGCGTTGCCTTCCAGAGCACCTCCCTGAGCGACATCATCAACTCGGCCGGCTGGGAGGAGTGGAGCAGCAGCGAGCCCAACACCAGCGACGTCACCTTTGAGGAGTACGACAACACTGGGGACGGTGCTACCCAGTCTGACCTGGCCTCCTTTGCCACCACCATGACCTCTGCCCTCACTATCGACACCATCCTGGGCTCTGACTACGCCGACTGGGTTGATGCCGACTATATCTAAAGAAAAGAGGAAAAAGGGGAAACGTTTTGGGGGGAAAGGAAATTGTTGACCCGTTCTTGTACATAAGTATGGATTTGTGCTTGTCACCACCAATGTCGGGAGTTGTATATACAGGCTCAAGACTCGCACAGGATAAAAAAGAGCAAAATTATATATTTTATATTTGCATACCCTGGTAGAACTTTAGCCCCCACATCCAATATTTTATACCATAGTTGAAAGCATTGTCAACTCCACTCCAGTGACTTTTTCTGTGGGCCATCGCTACCTTGCGAAATTCGGCAGGTTGGGTCTGTTGCTGTGTGTCTTGCTTGTGCTGCTGGTGCTGCTGGTGCTGCTGGTGCTGCTGGTGGCAATATTTGATAGGTCACTGCAGCCGTGAATGGGCGGCTTAGTCCGAAAGAGAGACCCATTAATTAAGCTTTCTACTGGAAAACGGTTTTGATGAGGCCGTGACGGGAACGACTTGCTAAGTACTATGTAGTGTCCATCTCAACCTCGCGTCTCGCCTAACTTACAATGTTATCAAACCTTGAACGACAAACCTGGTCTCACACCAATCATCTTGAGTGGGAACACATAGCATTAGCGCGAGCATGAGAAAGATCATCCGTCGATAATGATGCATGAACGGCCAGTGTGTTAGGGCTGACCGCCTCAAAGGATCTCATGTGATTTATCCTACCTATTCACCATCTCTTTATCACCATCATCATCATCAGCCGCATCGCTGTATCGAACAGTCTGGCCATTGGTCACCCCCAAGTGCTGACAAGAGTGCAGGGGACCATCGTAATGTGGACGAATCCCTCGTCTGTTTCAACGGCTGGTCTGGTTCCTCTCGCTGGGCTGAACTACTGCAAGGCCCAATTCATGCCACACCCTGCTGCTGCGGCACCTCGTCTCGATATTGCGATCCTTCAGTGGGAGAGGTCAGGCGTTGATCCAGGCTCCAGGTAGTTGGTTGCTGGGTATCAACAGGCAGCTTGCCTTGCTGTGGGAATTGAAAGAGCAGGCTCCATGCTGGCAGTGGAGCCAGCTGAACAGCCCGAAGAGGGAGGATCTGTACCCCAGCGGTGTGGCAAGCAACTTCCTAGCGAGTCAATCCGATCCCACCCCCTAACCACCCTCCTAGCCCTCCTCCTCCTCCTCCCTCTCTCTTGCCATTCATGGTGCGTTTGTTGGCTCGATCTAGGTTCTACTGCAGTCAAAGGCTGACTGGCTGGCTGCAGGTATTTTCTTTTGCTGTCGCTATGCTCAGTCGCCTACTCGGGCTTGCCAGGCCACAACGTATCTGAGTTCCTTGCACCCCTAGATGATTTTCCAATTGATCTTCTCCATGGGTTATTTCACCTTCAGAATGAGCGGGGCCAACCCCTCCCTCGCCAGAACTGCCAGTTGTGACTTGGCATGTCCTAGGGCGAAAGATATTTCTGGAAGCTCTGGCTACATTACCTTAGTTATCATCATGGGCTTGCCCATCATCCAAACATGTTTCGAGGCTGAAAAGGATCTCCCTAACCCCCCTTCCTTTCTCCCTGTGTGTTGTATTGACAGCTCAAACATGAGGGGACGACGTCGCCTTATCGTGTGAGAGTGGTTCATTTTCGGACTTTCGCATCGCCAAGTCCTGTCTCTCTCGCTCTGTCACGCACTCACCCTGGGGCATGCAATTTGGGAGTGAAGAGGAAGCCTAAGCAACATCTCACACACGCACAGTCCACATAATCCCAGCTGAGGAAGTCCGATATCACTTATACGGTAGCCTGGATTTGCGAACCAATCACCACGACGAGATGGAGGAAGCCATGAATTCAGCCTCAAGCCTGCAGCAGGGGCGACGAGCGGCACAGCAGCAGCCACCAGAAGTCCGACCTGCATTATCAACAGACGTTCCGGTGTCCAGAGCAAGCTCCTTCACCTCGCAGACCTCATCTGCAGCTGCTGCAGCTACAGAAAAGGACGCATTGAAGGGCAATAACATTGCAGTCCCAACCGTGAGGCAGATGGAACCCCAGGACGTCGACCTCAGCTCCCTGGGCGGGCCTCCGCTCAGCAATTATTATTACCACGATGGCCGGAACGACTCGACGACTCGGATGCCTTTTCACGGTGAGGAGCAATTCCCCCAAGGCGGGCCGACGACCATGCCATCACTGCCGCAGATGTCAAGTCCCGAAATTATCGGCGATGGATATGGCAAAGAAACACCACAGTACACGGGCTCTCACCTGCATTTACTTCCCGGCAGCCGACCAAACAAGATGCACAACATCAACACTAATACTCGAGCCGTCTCGTTCGGGCCGTCACCACCGATAGCAAACTTCTCACAGCAAAGCCCTCCTCTCGACAGACAAGACACAACTGGTTCGGTCTGGGCAGACCGGACACCGCGGCTCAGCAGGTGGTGCATGAGGCCAAGATGGCATTCTTCTTTCACCATGTACATCTGCTTCGTCTTTGGTTTCTTCTGTGCAGTCGGCCATCACATCTTCTACACGCGCCTCAACGGCCAAATCGCCAACAACCAAAGCGAAATGCTCCGTTACGGCACGTTCCTGGCATATGCCACAAAGGCGAGCTACGGCGCCGCCATCGTTTCGGCCTTCAAGCAGCGGGTTTGGGTCACTGTGCGCTCTCGCTTCATGAGCATTAGCGGCTTGGACTCGATGTTTGCTGGCGCAGAGAACATGCTGGCCATGCTCAACTTTGACTTTCTCAGAGATGCAAAGGGGGCATTTGCGCTGGCTCTCTTTGCGTGGCTGACGCCCCTCATCGTCATCCTGACGGCGAATACCTTGCTCGTTGAACCCAAGTCCATATGGCAAGACTCAAGGTGTGGCGGCATACGAAGCCTCAACTTCTCCTTTGAGTCGACAAATAGCTGGCGCAAGCCAACCGCGATCGACGGACTGTACGAGATCCCTCTGTCACTGTGGAACACCACCCAGAGGCCCAATCAGACAGATGCAGGCTGGTTTGACTACTACACAGGCCCAGGCCCCAGCCTTCAGCAGACTGCCACCCTCGCAGCCTTCATGGAGGAGGTTATCCCCGTCAAGAACGCCTCTGCCAATATTTGTGGGTCTGGCTATAACTGCACCTTTGTCATTACGTTTACCGCCCCAGGATACAACTGCACCGAGTTGGGCAGCGGCGTCGGCTCTGCGGTCAGCAACCTCCAGCAGGAATCCGGAGAGGCCGTCGCACCTTTCGGAACTGACATCATCATCCCCGAGGGCGACTACAGCTACTATGCCTTCGCCAGTGGGGGTGAATACTCTTCCACCCAGCTCAAGGACGTCGGCGTCAGCGGGATTCCCAACACGCTGCCCCCATACCCAGACCACTTTGGCGCCCTACGCACCGAGCCCGTCATCTGGATTGGCTATGCTGTGATTAACAACCCGAACCAGACGCAGCCCCTTCGCAACGAATCTGGCTGGAGCGAGGCCTTCACCCCCAAAGTCTTTGCCTGCGAGCACCGAGAGACGTTGTACACAGTCAACTTCACCTATGTCGGCGAGACGCAGAGCACCAAGATCGTCTCGCACGAGTTTAAAGGCCCCATCATCAACACGACTTTTCAGCGCGGCGTCATGGCCGACGACGGCACGCAGGACAACACGACCGCCACGCCCGAGTCCAACTACATCTACCCCAATAACACGGGTCTGTACCGAAAAGTAGCCGCCTACCACTCCCTGGGCGTGATGCTTCGCAACTTCATCAACGGCACCATCACCATCGCCAACGACGTGACCAACCCAATCGAGAACACACAGGCCATCCAGACCAAGGTCCTCGACTCCCTCAACAACTACTTCCCCAACCCTGACCTCGCCGACCAGGTCCAAAATCTGTATCAGGACATCATCCTTTCGCTCTTCTCCAACCCACAGTTCGTCGAGGTCGTCTGGGCCGCCCAGGCCAACCAGCAGAGCGGCACTGTGCCGCGCGGGGGAGAACCGGATAACACATCCGACTATGATCATCCCTGCTTCATTTTTCGCACGGCCAATACCTACGCCTACAACATGCGTGAGCTGTGGAGTGTCTACGCTGTCGCTACGGCTGTCACGCTCGCCAGCGTTGTTGCTGGCGCCTTTGCGATTCGGGATAATGGCGGCGTCACCCGCAACACGCATTTCTCTAGCGTCGTGGCTGCCACACGGGGGCCTGCGCTCGAGAAAATCGCATGGCAGGGCCCGCTGCAGGATAGAGGGGATGTCCCGGCCGAGGTCAAGAAGCTGCGGCTTGGGTATGGCGTGATGCGGGATATGGACCGCAGGCTGGCCGCCCTAAATATTGAGCCAGATCCTTATCTTGTTATGGGCGAGCAGGAGGAGGAGGCGAGGCGGAATGCTTCTACTACTGGTCGGCCTAGTCTAGGTGCGAGGCCGTGGAAGAGCAGGGCGTATAGCTCGGGATACCTTGGTGGAGAGATGAGATGTGGGTTTGGGTTGAAAGGAGATGTGGACCAGAGACATCGGGAGGGCAGCTTATTTCATCAGTGAGTGGGAGGGCTGAGGAGCATGGATGAACGTATCAGTAAGTGGAAATTATTATTGGCAAAAGCTATCATGTCGAAACGTTGAACATAGAAATCACCTGGACTCGGGTCCATCCTAGTGTACATAAATTTAATAATAAATAATCTTTGTTGATCAACATGAGCAGTAAACACTAGCAGAAACAACAGCGTCTTCTGGCTTTGAGGATTGTTTTTTCATTTTTTTCTTCATAAACATTAATTGCGCGAAACCTTCAGCCTCCGACTATGTAGACTGCACCTTTCCAGACTGCACTGCACTGATGGCGGCTATATTTTGAAAGCTTGGCAAGAGAGTGATGTTCATGTAACCTCGGACTCGAATTTGAACTGGTAAACATCTTTCCTATCACTATTAGTGTCATCCGTCACCTGTGTTGAATATTCTTTCCAGAGAATTAGAATATTTCAGCATAGTCCTGTTGAAATTCTCAAATAGCAATTACACGAGTCTCAATCTACTTGCTTGCTGTAATCACTCCCTGTCTCAATATCCTTTGGTATGATTTTACTTGAATCCGATCCTAAGGCAATGCTCCAAACAAAATACACTGGCGAGTTTTCACGGCTTTCGCTAATGCGATAGCCCTTACTTTATACATGCCATCCTTGTTGAAGGCATCGACGAGGTCAAAGTGGTCACGAAGTCAAACAGGGCAGGACGTTCGCCTTGCGTGCATGATCAGCCCAACAAGGACCATTCACCACGCCTAGCTATCAAAGCAGATAGCGTGTTGAAGCCCTACTGTGGAGAGGTCTTACGAGCGCTAGTCGCTTTACGAGCCAAGAGACCGCGGACGGGCCGAAGTAGTACTCCCCCAACTCCTCCTGCAAGAGATCCGCCTCCGCTGGCGAGGTTATTTCCGTAGGGGATTTCTCCACAGGTGTTTCCCCGGATCTGCAGTGCCACCCCATGCGGACCTCACTTTTTGTCCCCTCCGCCTCCAGACCCGCCTTTTACTATATGGTTCTCCACCCCATCAAGAGACCATGTGACCTTTTTCTCTCTCTCTTTTTCCTTTCTCTTTGGTGGTGGCATTTACTGCGGAGGGTTGAACCTATACCGCAACTTGCAAACTACCATATACCCTGCCGATCGGATCGGATATCCGAGCCAGGCTCGGCTTCAGAAGATGGAGTGGCATCATGTAGTGATATTTAGGCTCGATCGAAGCGTGACAACCCCACAGACAGTTGTAGCGTGTTGACATGGGGTTGAATAACAATCTTCAAAGAGTCTTGGTCTCGCAGTGCAATTCGTTTTGCAAGGTGGAAATTTGACAGAGGTTTTTTCTTTCTTCTCATCCTCTGTAACATGTGCAAGGACCTAAGATGTTGTTGTCTCTCGCCACCAGAACGATGACGGTGTCAACCCTTGTAACGGCCTTGTTCTCATCATGGGCGGTGACGGCAAATGTCATTGAGGGTCGATCTTCTCACGGTCCGTTGGCGTATACATTGAATGGAACATGTGAGGCTCATCATCATCATCATCATCATCATCATCTTTTGCGGCTATGCTGCTCAACCAGGGAGGAAGACCAAAAACACCAGGCTAACCTGACCTGACCTAATAATATGAAGACCAAGGAATCTCCCTCCCAGACCTGTCCCAAGAGGTATTCCTGGGCATCCCCTACGCCAACTCCTCCCGGCGCCTCCACCTGGCCTCCTCCCTCAACGAGACATGGAACGGAACCCGCTCGGCCACTGACCAAGGAGCCACCTGCCCTGGCGCGACGACGCAGTATGCCTACGGCTGGGCCATCGCCGAGGACTGCCTCAACTTCAACCTCGTCCGCCCAGCCGGCGTGACCCCGAACCAGTCCCTCCCCGTCATGGTCTGGATCTACGGCGGCGGGTTCTACCAGGGCGCCGCCCGCGACCCGGAGTTCAACCAGTCGTGGATCGTGCAGACGTCGCAGGAGATTGGGCTGCCTGTGATTGTGATTACGCTCAACTCGCGGCTGAGTGCCTGGGGGTATATGAACTCTGAGCAGGCCATCAGACAGGGCGTGGCTAATCTGGGCTTGCGGGATGTCTGGAAGCACTTGGAATGGCTGCATGGTATGTTTTCTTGTGTGAAGAGAGAAAGAGAAGAAAAAGAAAGAAAAAAAAGAGCATGAAAGAAACAAAAAGGTTTTTGGGTGTAGATGCTGATTCATACTGACTGAAATAACAGAGAATATTAGAGGGTTTGGTGGTGATCCGAGCCGCATCACGGTCATGGGACAATCTTCAGGTGGGTTGACTGTGGAAATGCTGGTAGGTTGATTCTTGGTGGTGATTGTCTGTCTGGAAAAAGTCTCTCGAAAGAGCAAATACTCATCGTCATTGCGTCTAGGCGATGGCATACAGCGGCCAGCATTCCCTCTTCAATAATGGCATCACATCGAGCATCACGCTCTTCTCGCCTTTTTGGTCCACGATTACCGCACAGCAATCTCTATACCAGGACCTGCTCAACATCACTGGTTGCTACTACGACAATGACAGCATGGAATGTCTTCGAGGTTGTGAGTATATGTCACTAATCTTGATGAATTTTTCGCACGAGACAAAAAGAACTTCCCCTCATCTCTCCTAAACAACAAATCAAGATCACTAACTCTCTTCCCCCCTCCTCCTCCTCCTCCTCCTTCTTTTTCAGTGGACTTTGCAACATTCAACAAAAGCATAGCATCCCTAGAAGGAGGAGGCAAAGGATGGCGCCCAGTCGTCGACGGCGACTTTCTCAAAAACTCCCCCTACTACCAATTCGCCAACCAGCAAATAGCCAACATCCCGCTCCTCGTAGGCAGCAACTCAGACGAAGGCCTAAGCACCTTCCAGACCGCCTCCAACACAGACGACGAGCTCGCCGCCGCCCTCCAGACCCAGATGGGCGTCAACGCCACTATGGCCCAGGAGCTGCTCGCCCTGTACCCGGCGGACGAGGGCGCGCAGTACCCGCCCTACTCCCAGCCCATGGACCTCGACTGGATCAACCTCACCGCGGCCGTGGGGACAGCCTCGGGCAACATGACGCGCAGGGCCTACGCCATGGGCGGCGACTGGTCGTCCATGTCCGGCCGGAGACTGACCGCCTCGCGGTGGGGGGACGCCACGCGCGGCAGCCCCGTGTACTCGTACCGCTTCGACACGGACGTCCACCGGTTCCCGCTCACGACGACGGGCCTCGGCTTCAGCCAGCACGGCGCGGACCTGTCGTATGATTTCCGCCTGCCGTATGTGCCGTATACGGATAACTTCCCGCTGGCCAACGTGTCGGCGCTGCAGAATGTCAGTTATGCGATCCAGGCGACGTGGATCAGCTTTGCGTCTACGGATAGCCCGAATCACCACGGCCTGGAGTGGGTGCCTGCGTGGCCCGAGTATACCGCGTCCAAGCAGAATATGGTTTGGAATGGGACGTTGGACAATACGTTGAACATACATATAGAGAACGACACGTTCCGACAGGACCAGATTCAATGGTGGATGGATCACTGGGGGTACCTGTTGCTCCAAGGCTTCCCCATTTGATGGAAAATATTCAGCCACGCGGCATCGACAAAAGGACCCAATTTAATCAAAACTTTGGCTACAGAAACTATGGCAGTGTCATGTGAATTCAAATGTGAAACAACTCACCAACTCCAGAGGTGCAATGTATAAACTCAGGATGGTGAAAGCTTACTGCGGGTTGGATGAGCGCGTAAGATAGTATTGTGTCATTGCATCTTGTTATTTCTAATGACCCTTCCGTTTCTATTTCCTCTGTGATTGGCAGAGCGGAAGCTAGTTCAACCAACACCTGACTTTTCAATAGTATCATTGCATGCTCCTGATAATATTTCCAAAAAAAATAATCATTACTATTATCCTGAGATGAGGAGGATCTACGTACAAATGAATGAAGATGACCTTCACACAATCAAGCAAGGGTCCGTTATCCCCCTCATTTCCTGCAACCAGTTCCCAGTCTCTTCACCATCCTGAAGTCGTCTATCCCTGGCCTCCCATATACGCTGGAGCATATCTATAGCTGACTCGACATAGCCCCAGGGACACACAAAGGACGTTGCAAACCTGATGGCTTGCATGCGCGAGAGACACCACTGCCTGCTGCCGGGGTCATCGGCCTGGGCACCAGCCATGAACGTCGACCACACCAGCCCCTTGGCGAGAGGGTGGTCCATAGGGACCTTTGCAATGTGGTTGAGCAGGCCGCGATGCAGTGAGTCCGTTGTGGTGTGCAGCACATCTCCAACGCCTGGCACAGCGAGAAGGATGTACATGCACGCGGCGAGGCGCTGGACGTTGGCCATGTGGACCCGGATTTCAAGATTGTCGAGAGCTGAGAGATCTTCGATGCTGTACACCCAGGTGATAACATCGAATGCGAGTAGGTCTTCAAACAAGGCCACAGCCTCGGTCAAGTCAGAGGGAGAGAGTCTGCTTGCCTTGAGCAGGATATCCATGACGAAAGGAGCTGCGCACCCATAGCTGAACGCCGCCGCTTTCTCCAGTGCCGATACAATTTCCACGGGTCTGAACACGGACATTGACGTATCCTCCGGGTTGGCAAACACTGAACCCAAGATGTGATACGTGATACAATCAGCGACAACAATGTCAGCCAGCTTGGCGACGCCTGAAGGCAAGCCGGCACTTCCGAGACTCTGGATGGAGTTGAGTAATTTCCCGGCGGCTTGTATGTGAGTTTTCCACTTTCCTCGCCCAGATTCTATCAAATCAAAGTTGATAAAGAAAACGACGGCAATCATAATGATTGGTCGATTGGCGGGGTCCAAATGGTCAAGGGCCTGGCGAAGCAGGTGGTATGCCCTGCCTTTGGCGGTTAGAGCGTCCACGAGTTGCTGCTGGTGGGGCACGCCACGGCTGCGGTAGGTTGCGACCATGTGCACTGCCGATGTCGCGAGGATGATCTCGCGCAGGTACGAGAAGTTGTGTAGGAGTGGGAGCATGAAGCGGAAAGGGTTGGCCTCGCGGTCGAAAGAGACAAGGTCCTGACAGACAGACCTGTCGACTTTTGTTTTGATTTTTGTTAACCATAGACATCAACTCATACGAGTTCCAATGAAACCTGCACGGAGCCACGCCAAAAGGGTGTGTGTTCTGTTACTTACAATGACTAATATACAATCGGTTCCCCGGCCCAATATCCTGCAGCAAAGGATCCGCAAGCGAGAATTGGATGGACGAGGGAAAACCCATGTTGACAGCTTCTGCTCCTCCCACGGAGCGCGGACGGAGGGTCAAGGCAGCATCCTTCTCCACTTCTCTACTCAAGGGGCGTGGCTTCGAGACTTGACTGGGTGGCCCGCCAGCTGTGTTTGTAGTAGTCCACCGGAGGAGGAGCCCGTAGCCGAGACATATTTGGCCTCGCGCATGGCACTTTTCGCAGCCGGGCACTGAGCGGTCGCACCGCAACCGAGCTCGACGACAGTTGTGGCACGCACTTCTGGGTGGCTTTATAAGGGAAGTTCTGGGGTCTGACAGGTCTGGCATGCTCTCTTCATTGTTGCACGATGACTGGCAGCTGCAGAGAAATTCATGTGCTGCTCAACAATCCAATGTGCATGGCCGTGCAGGGGGTTAAGCTTCTAGTTCCCGATGCGGTGGAGAGAGACATGCAGCTAATGAGAGCAAGATCATATGTACAAAAAGGAAGCTGATTGTTTTCTTGCTTGGGAGGGGGTGGCTGAAACGTTGCAAAGTGTGAGGGGAAAAGTGCCTGGTCGTAACCTTGAAAACCACACCGGAGAAGCACAAGTCGTCATATCACCAGGACTCACCTGCCGTGACTGCCTCAGTAATCAGGGACGGTTACATAATCAATAGCCATGTTAGCTTAGTCCTAATTAGGAAGCCAAGACACAAGACGTGCATTAGCGTGAGCCGTAGCCCCATTGTGTCGGAAACGGTCTTCTTCAAATATGCATTCACTTCTAACTGCTCTTTGATCTCTTGATAGTCTTCTCAACTTACCCAAGGCTTTTCCCTTCCAGGTAAAAAACCAGCAATTTCTGCATAGAATTGTATCATATGACGCTAATTTGGAGCGAATCTCTTGCATTAATAATTGGCCATGGAGAGTTCAAAGTCAAAGAAACGGCAAAGAAGACAATATTTTTCACGGGTATATAATGATGTTCTTGTAAAGCGCAGACTACGAAATTCTCCACTGTTTCATTCGACCCACTGACACGAGTAATATGATCACTGGCCAGTGGCGGATTCCGGACGTCGGATATAAAGCAAAGAGAGGAGCAAGAAGAAGAAAGGAAAAAAAAAAGACTGCTGCGCTGTGTTGCACGATGGAGGTCCAGAAAACGACACCTAACCTCGTCCGAATCAAATCAACATGCTCACCAACTATGACCCAGAGGCAAACAGCCCTAATCTTGTATTAGGGCTTGGAAACGACCCGACTCTTCAGCAAAAGACAGAACTGGAACGCATGGGAAGAGAGAGGCCAAAGGTCTTTTCGACGGCCCTCGAAGAGGTTCTCTTCGTTGCCTCCATGGTCATGTCCATGTTGATGTCGGTGAGCTAACCTGAATGCCACAATTCTTGGTGTTTCTAATTTTCTTCATCCTCTTTCACTTTCACTTGCTAATGAATGAATATGCTGGATTACTTAGGAATACTTCGTCTCTGGCTTCAACATCTTTCTGCCTCTGGTGTCGGTCGAGTTGCACATTCCTGATAGTGCACAAGTCTGGCCATCCAGTGTCTTCTCGCTTGTAACCGGATCCTTTCTCCTCCCCTTTGGACGAATCGCAGATATCTACGGTGGCTTCATCGTCTTCACCGGCGGCCTGGTCTGGTATCTCGTCTGGACCATTATCGCCGGCTTCAGCCAGAACTACCATATGCTCATCGCCGCCCGGGCCCTGCAGGGGTTTGGTCCCGCCGCGTTCCTCCCAGCCACGATGATGATCCTTGGGAAGACGTACCGGCCTGGTCCGCGAAAGAATCTCATCTTTGGCATCTATGGCGCCTTTGCACCGCTGGGGTTCTATCTGGGCATCATCATGGGCGGTATCACGGGCGACCTGCTGTCGTGGAGATGGTACTTCTGGCTCGGCGCAATTATCATCTTCGTCGTGTGCCTGGGCGGCACCTACAGCATCCCGAGAGATATGTCCAAGACAGTTGGCGGCGACATGGACTATTGGGGCGTCGTGATCACCGTGCCGGCTCTCGTCCTCATCGTCTTCGCGCTGACGGACGGGGCACATGCGCCAGAGGGCTGGAGGACAAGCTATATCATCGCCACTCTTGTGCTGGGTGTTTTGCTGGTCGGAGTCGCCACGTACGTCGAGGGTTGGGTCAGCTCTCATCCCCTCCTCCCAGGAAGTCTCTTCAAGCCAAAGCACATGAAAACTCTTGTTGTGTCCCTCACTTTTGCATACGGGACTTGGGGAGTCTTTATGTATTATGCAAGCTTCTAGTAAGTCCATGTGCTCTGAAAACTCTTCTTCACCTAACTTGGACATCAAAGGCACTGACATCTGGTCATTTTTGTAGTCTCACCAACGTCATGAAATACAGCACGCTCCAGACAGCACTCGCCTTCACACCCATGGCCGCGGGCGGTGTCATCTTGTGCACCGTTGGCGGCTTCACCCTGCACATCCTTCCAGGCCGCCTGCTCCTCGTGCTCTCGGGTGCAGGCTATCTGATCAGCGTACTCATGTTCGCACTGATCCCAGAGAACGGCTCGTACTGGGCCTATATCCTCCCGGCCATGATCGGGTCGACCGTTGGCATTGATATCACATACAACGTCACTAATGTCTTCATCACGACAAACGTCCCCGCCAAGAACCAGGGTGCGGCAGGAGCCTTGATCAATACACTGCTATTCCTCCCCATCAGCTTGTTTCTTGGGCTGGCCGACGTGGTGGCTGCGCACTATGAGCCTATGGGGGAGAGGACCAGTTATAAGGCTGCTTTATGGTTTGGTACGGGCTGTGCTGTGGCTGCACTTGTTCTGTTCTGCTTTATAGACACGGGAAAAGCGGAGAGCCAGCTTCGGGTTGAAGAGCGAGAGCAGGGACAGCAAGGGAAGAGCAAGACGTAAACATGTGGCAAGAGTTGAAAAATGAGTTAGACCGATACACATAAAAGCGTATAAAGTAGTATCATAAATTAGTAAATACTCAGATCTCACGTTCATTCATCATTTTGTAAACTTTTCAACTTATTAAAGTTCGAGAAGTCAAAGGTACGGCATCTCGACGGCAGCAGGTCTGAATCACAGCTATTCATGATCTAGAGATATCGATTGACGAGTGGTTCAGTATTGAAGAATTTTTCATTCTATTGTTTCGATCAGAAAGTAGAAAATTCCAAGTGCTAAACTGAACAGCGTTGCTAATGCCACCAGTTGCTTGCAAAGTTCCGATAGCTCCCTGCAGTTGTACCATAGGAGCTTCCTGGATAAAACTACCGGTGACGAAAGCATTGGCTTATGAGTCTGTGAAGTATCGGGTCTGGTTAGTAATCACGAAGGTATCAGCCCGTCCGTAACAGCTTGAAAGAGGTATAAAGCAGTCTTTCGCACCCTAACAAAGCATTCATTCACAGTACTCAATGAGTATTGTCCAGCACTAAGCATGCCGGGGTTGGAAAACAAAGACACATTCATTCGAGAGCAAAGCGATAAGAACGGTCACATAAACGCACTGCGTAGAGAAGTTACACAATAGTTGATTGAAGTATTTAGTATTGAATAAACCTGCAGTTTTCCGAGGATCCCAACTTCTAATCTTTCTGTCACAAACGAACAACTTTCCACACAGCAGAATTTCTGGCATAGAAGCAATCTCATGACATCAATTCCATGCGGATAAGGCTTGCCACCACTCAAAGGCGTACGCTTTGATACTCTTCAGAAGGTCCAAGGGAGAAACAAAACCACAAACATGAAACACATCAACCCAACCTGCAAACTGACCAAGTCGGACAAGCAAAGAGATGCAATAATCATAGCTGGATTCCCAGCTATCGGTAAATCATCCTTAACCAAGGCTGACCCCCATCCCCTGTCTCATGAGCCATCGTGGGAAGAGAAACCAGTCATGTTCGGTAAGAACAAGGCGATTCCTACCATATGGGTTTCAGCACAAGGCGATAGACATCGTGTTTTCGACATCGACAGCGCCGACTATAAAAGCCCAGACGGAACAGACGACTTTTCATCCTACATTGCAATGATCATGTTGATCCTCGAACAGGATCCCAAAGCTATTCTTTTGGTCTGCACCAAACCCGGGCTGACCAAGGAAATGCGCAAGAGACACTTGGATTATGCCCTCGTCTACCCAAGACGAGACCTGAAGGATGTATGGCTAGCCCGACAGGCAGACCGCATTCAAAAGTCAGAGCACGAGCACGGTGCGACGTCCGCGGCAGCAAAAGCGCAACACGGACTCTACAAGTTTATGGAGAAGAAGTGGGACGAGTGGCAGGATGGGTTCGAGCAGGACGAGGTGACCGATTTCGATCCTGAGAAGGAGGTGGCGAGGTTCGAGTTTGACGAGAAGGACTACTTGAAGTGCTGCATGGATAGGATACTGGAGAGTATAGTCCTAGGACGCAAGCGTTGACCTGATGGCTCGGCACCATTGTATAAGTATGTATGATTATGGCGGAGACTCTTGTGGGTTGAGGTGTAGAAGATCACTGAACCCAAAGAAAGGAGTCTGCGAAAACCTTAGATCCTTTAATTTGTAAAATGATTCTGCCGGAACATGTAATTCATCCTCGTGATATGTGACTTTCCAGTAAAGCAGCCTTCAATTATGATAGAGCTCGCCAGTTCCAATTCTTCCAAAATCCTGCTTCCAATTACAGCACCCACTGGGTGTGTTTTTCCAGAGTCAAACATTGTCGGGTTAGGGTTAACGAATTCAGGGGCGCGTTGCGTATTTCCTTGAATTTACTAATGCAGGTCGAGCTGGCAATAAGTCACTGGTGTTGTTTCGTACAAAAAACCACCCGCCACATCATCCCAACGGACCAATATTTCCCTCTTGACCTTGGAAAGGGCAAAGGCTCATCCCACAATTACAGTCTCTCCACACCTCCAGTGTCCCCTCCCTTGAGGCGACACGCACGCGCCCGACTTTCAAGATGCCTCGTAAATTGGATAGTGACACGCGCGCGAATTTCAAAATCTACGAGGTGAGTGTGCATTGTGGGTTGGCGTTCAAGGGAATCAATCCAGCATCTCGCGTTTGCTTTGAAAAGGCAGGAGGCTAGATAGTCGAACGAGACGAAACGAGGAGGCAAACGCGGTAAAACTGAAGGGTCGGGTCAACCAGCCTCACCCCTCTTTTCTCAACTGTCTCTGAGATAGTCACTCTACCCCATCACACATTGCTGCACATGCCACAAACACTCCCTCTCTTTCTCTTCTATGCTCCTTTCTTTTTCATGTCCTGGTTTTTTTTTTTTTCTGGTTTTTTTTTCTTTGAATATCTTCTCTCCTTCTTTTGGCCAGCTAATCCTCACACAAACTGCGTCTTGTTTCCTTGCGCCCCCCAATACAGGACGAGGCTCATGCACAGAGACGAGCCTTCTGCCTACACTGCAACAAGGATGCCTGCGCCGACAACATCCAGCGCATGAAGAACCACCTCCTACGTTGCGAGTCTTACATAAAAGGTGGTGAGCCCGGCATTTACCACATGCTCGTGGACGGGCTGCCTGGGCCTGTACCCGGGCCTGGAACCGAGCCCATGCAGCAGCAGCAGCAGCAGCAGCAGCAGCCGGAGGATGTATCCACGCAGGCAGCTGGCGGGCAAGGAGGCTATCACAATTATGCCATGCCTGATATCAGCCACAGCCCCGCCATGGGGGGCAGCAGCTCATCACACCAGCACGGACCGCACGCCAGGACCAGCAGCGGCGTGATGAGCATGGCGGCGATGACAGAGCCATCAGTGCCACCTGCGCCGTCCCCAACGCTGCCAGGTTCCAGCGGACTAGGCATGCCTCCGCCATCGCCAATACCACCAGCAGCAGCAGCAACGACAACAACAACAACGTCCACCAACCCCAGCGATCTCATGGCGCCTCCTCGGCCGGCGCAGGCGACAAAGGCGACGCCGGCGGCGCCAGGGACAGGGTCGCTGGCCCAGCCCAACCCAAAGGCGGCCCAGAACAGCCTGGACAAGGTGCGCCACGCGATGGGCCGGTCGACCCGGCGGATGGAGAGCCTCGAGGCGGTGCTCAAGACGCAGGTGCAGGACGGGATGCACAACGCGGCGACGCACGTGCGCGCGGCGATCCGGGACGAGAAGGACAGGCTGTTTAAGCTCTCGCAGACGCTGGTCAGGGCGGAGCTGAGGCTGCGGGAGGCGCCCTTGGGGGGTCCGTTGTAAAGTTCATGTTCTTTTCTGGAGTCATGATGGCGTTCTGGGGTGTCGGCTTGGGGAATTTGCGTTTTTGGGTCTTGCATGGGCTTTTATGATGCGAAGATGATACCTTCTTCTGTTATGATCCAATGATGTTTTCATGATATGGAAGCTGGAACAGGTTTGGTGAATCGAGGCGTCCATCAATAGGTCAGTTACGAAGTCTTTGCACAGTATGCATTTGCAACCAATTGCCATGATCACCATGAATTTACACAGCGAACTTATGACGACACAATCATGAACATCACTTGTGAGAAAAAAGGTCTCGTCACGGTCGGTTGTTTCGTAATAGGTCTTGTTACGGGTGGAGTGGTCGGCCTCTGGCGGTCGAATGTAAGCACTGCCAGGCGCGCTGACTGTGCAGTGATAACAACACCATGGAGAGGCAACCCGCCCCAAAAGAAGAAGTAAGGAAAGGTAGTCAAGAGCACCTGGAAAAAGAAGAATAACGAGGAAATCTGTATCGTTCCTATGAAATGTGATGCATGCTATAGTATAGCCCAAGAAAACACCACCAGAGATATCACAATGCTAAAGAGCAGTTCCCTTCCCAAATCCAATGCGTGGCCACAGGCACACTGTATGTATGTAAACACCAAGACGCCGACACCAGGTCAAGAAGGAAAAGAAGAAAGAGAAAGAAAGATGAAAAAGAAAAGAAAAAAAATGCCACTGGGAGAGTCTCGAGTTCCCACAGACAGTGACCCCAAAACGCCATAAAACGAACCCCTTTTTTCTTTATCAACACAAACAGAAGAACTCCTATCACAGTTTTACAGATACCATCCACCGATGGCATGGCCGGGACCAATTGCCCGTCATCATCAATAGCACCCTCAGTTCATGTAAGACGTAGAAGGCCCACCAAACCGATCCGAAGGGTTGCTACTCTTCCAAGGATCCGAAGGCGCCCCATACGTAGCCGTCTTCTGCGGCGGAGCCAGGCCCGTGATGTTGCGCTGGTTGTTGACAAACATGCCGTACGCGTACTGGCGACCCGGGTTGGCGGGTGTCTTGAGAGAGATGTCCTCCATCTGGTCTGCTGCGCCGGCGATGTTGTTGTGGTCGCCGGGAGATCCAGCAAGAGGACCACGAGGGGCGGCGACGTTCATGGGGCCTGAGATGTGGGAGATAGTGCTGGCGGCATCGCTGTTGTCAATTTCTTTGCCGGTGGCCCTGACGACGCGGCGGCGGCGACAGCAACACTGGCACAGACAGATGAGGATGGAGATGAGGAACAGGGCGGCAGCGGCGACGGCAATCCAGAGGAGAACCTTTTTCCACTCGCTCAAATTGTTGTAGATCTCGACGACGGACTCGTTGTGGATGTTGTTGTGGTCATCGTCATCGCGCAGGCGGAGAGGAGACACATTCTCGACAATGACGCTGCGAGTTTGATACATCTTCTTAGGCGTGGAGCGAGCGAAGCTCCTAGGGAGGAGAGGGAGGGTGATGGTGTCAGAGGGGAGGGTCGGCATCTTGTATTGTGTTTGCGAGGGCAGTGCACCTCGATCTCAGGAGGGAGTTGTTTTATAAATGGGATGTGATTAACGTAAACGGTCAAAAGTCAGAGGCTTGTTCCACAGAGGCAGGTCTTTCTGTCTCTCTTTATCTCCTGGGTCCGGGCGCACAATGTCTGAAGAGCTGCTGAGGTGAGTGACGAGAATGACATGACAGAGTACTGGACAGAAAGACGAGAATGAAATGAGTGTGTGCAAGTGTGCAGCCACGACTCTTTTGTATCATGCCATCTCTTCCTCTCTACATGGTCTCAATCAACGACCTGCCCGGAGATATGGTCTGAAGCGCAACAAGAGACGGAGGGCTCAGCATGTTTGGCACTTGTCGGCCTGGCCATGGTCTTGACAATTGTTCGCGAGACCCTTCTTGACCACCGCCTAGAAGTCAGAAGACGGCCCCATCATCACAATCATCAACACTTTGTGAGCGGAAAGTAAGAGAGAAAAGCGGCGGGACCGGCGGGGTCAAAACCGGGTTCGACAAAACAAAACAAGTCGGCCGCGGCCGAAACGGGCGGACTGAGATGCGACATGGAGAAGAGAGAAAGGCCAATCTGACCAGGGGTGTGTGTGGTTGAACCGGGTTGGTGAGATGGGCCATGCTGCAACGCGAAAAGTGGGCTTGGTTGGGCTTGAGCGGCTTGTCTGCTGCAGCGAGCCCTGCTTATGAGGCCTCGTTTCGTCGTAGTGCAGCGAAACATTGGTGAGGCTGGGCAGGGCCGGTGAGAGGCCATTTCTGGCGGCCACCCGTACTCTCCCCCCAACTCAAATGACTTAGATAATGAATTACTTACAGTCAGACTGATAAGATTCCACACACATGTCGGAGATGGCAGGGCTTGGTTCGCCGCGACTTGCTGAGTGAGATGAGACGTGATCAGTAAGTAGTAGATTTGCACGCCCCCCGTACGCAGCAGCTGTGGTTGTGAGATCTCTCTACAATATCTCAAGGCGCCGGCGCATCGTCTGCCGTATCTACATGTTTGATGCCAGGCATGGCATCTCCTCTCGAGGTGCCCTTGGTGAACTGCTGATGCGCGATCGTCTCTAACGACAATCCCTTGGTCTCCTTGAGGAAGAAGAATGCGAGTATTGCAATAACAGCGTCAAAGACCCCCCACAAGAGGAAAGTACCCCAGCCCATGTTCTTGATCATATAAGGCGTCGTGAGGGAGAAGACGAAATTAAAAAGCCACTGCGACCCAACGCCGATGGCGACACCAGGCTCACGAATCCGGGCTGGGAAGATTCTATAAAATTTGTATGGTTAGGGAGATCAATGAACGGGCAAGTTACCACAAAGAATCTCCTGAGGGGAAGAAAAAAAGGGAAAGGCACAAGAAGAATAAATATACATACTCTGATACGTAAGGCCATGGCATCGGTCCCCAGGAGAAGTTGTATGCAATCACAAAGAGGTAGATGAGAGCGACCATAGCGATGCCCGAGCTGGTGATAGTCCCCTCGGCCGGCGGAGGCATCGCCTTGTCCACCGCGGCTGTGGCGATCTGACAGGCCGCCATGAAGGCCGCACCGCCGATCAGAACATTGCGGCGGCCCACCCGCTCAGACACGAACAGGACGAAGATGCCACAGGCGAGGACCTTGACGGCGCCAAAGATGGCGGTCAGGAGTAGGTCTCTGTTGCCCGCACCTACCAGCAGCTTGAAGTACTGCGGGCCAAAGTAGGCAAAAGCGGTGGCTCCCGTGGCCTGCTGGGCGAGGAAGATGGCGGAAGCAGCAAACACTCTCTTAAAGTTGTCCCGCTGCAGCAGCTCCCTCGGGTGGAATCCCTCACGCGCCCTCGCCTCGGCCTCGACCCCGACCCGGATGTCCTCCATCTCGTCGAGCACGGCCTGTGAAGAAGTATCGGCGCGGATCCACTGCAGGCTCTCGAAAGCCTCGTCATGACGGCCCTTGCGGGTCAGCCATCTTGTGCTCTCTTTGAGCGTCAGCATGCCCAGCCCGAGCAGCGCGCCTGGGACGAGCTGTAGACCGATGGGGATCTGCCACTGGCGGGAAGTGTCGCTACCCAGGGCGACGCCGTAATCAACCCAGTACGAGACGAAGATGCCAAAGGTAAAGAACCACTGGAAGAAGCTGCCGATCTTGGCCCTGAGCTCGGTCGGGCTCATCTCGGAGCTGAACATGGGCACGACCACGGTGGCGGTGCCCAGCCCCAGCCCTGCGATGACCCGTGCGACGTAAAAGGCGGCGAGCGAGTGCGTGTTGATGGTCTGGATGAGAGCACCGATGCAGAAGACGAGGCTCGAGATCATCAGGGCTTTCCTCCGGCCCAGCCTGTCGGTGAGCGGCCACGCAAGGAAGCACGCGACAAAGGCGCCCAGTTGCTGCAGCCCCACGGCCAGCGAGTCGACACGGGTGGCATCGGCCGACGAGTAGCCATAGTCACGCTCAAAGGACTTGAGGGTGAGCACGCCGCCCACGATGCCAGAGTCGTAGCCGAACAGGAAACCACCGATGCAGACAACGCTGCCGAGCCAGTAGGCGCGCATCTTACCCAGGCGGGTGCCCTGCATTGTGTTGTTGGCAGCGGTAGCAGCGGCAGCAGCCGTTTCTCTGGACCTGGATTGGCGGGAGGATGCAGCTACCCATGAGGAGGAGGGGGAAGAGCTGCTTGGTCCGGCTGGATGTGGAAGCAGAGATTGTGACTCCTGTGCTGGGTCGTCGTTATCGTCGTCGGTGTCGCTGTTGACGTCGGGCTTGGATGATGGACTGGACCTGGACCGCCTTGGGTGGTGGTGGTGGTCAGGCTTGGGGAAGAGACGGTCCATCTCTCCCGTTCTCTACTCTGTTCCCTTCTCCTCTTTATGTAAGCCTTTGTTCCAGACAAAGGAATCAGATGACCTATTGTGAACAGGGCGTCAGGATAAGCTTCTCCAAATTCCCAGCCTGCTATTGTGCTACTACTTACAGTGGCAACTACCCTCTGTAGACGTCTATCATTTGAAGGTTTGAGGGCTGCAAGCTCGTTGAGGGGGATGGCGCCAAGGCGGAGGGGATACCGTAGTGGATCTAACAGCGCGGGGTACACTGAGTAAAAGTAGCAGTAAGTACCCATAGCAAGTGCTGGGTAAGGTTGGTTAGCAGCAGAGTGTGAGTTGTCACTTCCCACTAAACAAACCACTCTAAGCATCCACAGAACCAGAGATGTGCTGTGGTAGTTCCTTCCCGGAAGATCAATACCACTGGTACGTAGAAGGACTGACGCATGACATTGGACAAGGGGCTCCGCAGCGACAAAACGTAAGGCAGAAGTCGCGATTATCCCTGACGATGACAACATCTCGGTCCAGTGGGAGCCGGGCGAGCGTCTAAAGTACCTTGTTGCTCTATAGCGGGCGGGAGTGCAGTGCATGGTAGTAGATCTGCAGATGCCATGCTGAACATCGAAAGTATAACAGACTGAGCAAGCTATGAAAAAGCAAGCACCCTTCAATGCCATCTGATTGTGTACATTTTCTTCTTCTTTCTTCTTGGTCGGATAACCAGCCTCTTTTCAGGTGAATTGCATCTCAACCGGGCGTCGAAAAGGATGTCCCCTAAAGACAAGACAAGGCAAAAAAACACACAAGCTAGAACGAATCTGACCCCACCACTAAACATCGTACTAGCACGCCGAGTTCCGAACAGGTGGTCGACAAAGACAGCAGAACAGCCGACTTCCTCTCTGGAACGTTTCTCGGCAGGATGTCGGATCGGCAGATGGGGATGCATTGGTGTCTCTGGCGTTTCATGTATAGCAAATAAGAGAGTGAGAGCGAGAATATGTAGAGTCAGGAAGGTCTGTTTCATTGGTTGGTGATGGTCAAGATTGGCGATCATAAATGAGGGGCAACGACCCCCCCTCCCGCGGGCACGAGGTCAGGTACTACAGCACAGGTACAGTAGAACAAACCCACTGCAGATGCCCCGCCCCCCCCTCAGTGCCTACCTCTCACCAGCCAATCGTCTTACACGAAACACACCACTTTTTTCCTCCCCTCATCGTTCGACACCTGCCATACCCGCACCGAGTTATTGTTATACGTACTGACTGCTTGCTGTATTGTTCCCGCTGTAGCAGCTGCGGGGTGAAAGAATGTACACGCAATTCAGGGGCAAGCAGCACGTAACTTTGGTTACGGGGTCCGATGGTCGCCATTGATAGTTTTTTTCCCTTTGAACCCCTCCTCCTCAACTCTCATCCCCCGTTCCCTTTCATCATATGAAACTCTTACCCTGTTGTACATATGTATAATACTCGTGTGTCCTGGCCTTTTTGACTCGTCATCATCTTGCTGTCATATGTAGGAGATCAACCACACGCTGTTTCAAGTCAGATACTGGAATATTTATTTTGCTCTTCCTCTCTCTACACCTTTCCCTCTCCTCTCTCTTCCTCTCTCTCTCTCTCTCTCTCTTTCTCATCCTTCTCGACATCCACGGGTCTCCTGCCATCTTCTCACCCACCCCCGATCCTTACTCTCTCTCTCTCTCTCTCTCTCTCTCTCTCTCACACACACACACACTCTATCCTCTCCCACCACCACCACACATCATTCAAAATGGCCACCACCAAGGACAAAAAACGACCCAACTTCCTGGTCATCGTAGCCGACGACCTGGGCTTCAGCGACATAGCTCCCTTTGGCGGCGAGATCAACACCCCCAACCTGTCCAAGCTGGCCAGCCAGGGCCTCCGCTTCACCGACTTCCACGCTGCCGCCGCCTGCTCCCCGTCGCGCGCCATGATCATGACAGGCACCGACCACCACATCGCAGGCCTGGGCAATCTGATTGAGTGGACCAACATCAGCGGGCAAAACGACCCCAAAGGCGGCATGTCCACCGCCCCGCAGCGTGGCATGCCTGGCTATGAGGGCTACCTGAACGAGCGCGTTGCCGCCCTGCCTGAGATCCTACGCGATGCAGGGTACCTCACCCTCATGGCTGGGAAGTGGCACCTCGGCCTCACCCCAGAGCGCTCTCCCCAGGCCCGCGGGTTTGAGCGCAGTTTCGCTCATCTCCCCGCCTGCAGCAACCACTACGCCTACGAGCCGAAACTCGAGGCCCCAGACCAGATCCCTGGCTTCATGACCATGAGCTTTATTGCCCTGCACAGTGAGGACGGTGAGTACGTCAAGAAACTGCCTGACGGCTGGTACAGTAGCGACGGGTACGGCGACAAGATGGTCGACTATCTGAAGCAGTGGCACTCTAATGAGGTCAAAAACAAGAAAGCCGACGATGAGGAGAGCAGGCCCTTCTTCGGGTACCTCCCTTTTACTGCGCCACACTGGCCGCTGCAGGCTCCGCAGGAGTACATCCGCAAGTACCGCGGGGTCTACGACGACGGCCCTGACGCACTGCGGCTGCGACGCCTCCAGAAGCTCAAGGACCTCGGCATGATCGGCCCCGACGTTGAGCCGCACCCTGTGGTGGCAGAAGAGGTGAAGGAGTGGGCTGACATGTCGGCGGAGGAGAAGGCCAACTCGTGTCGCGCCATGGAGGTGTTTGCAGGCATGGTTGAGTGCATCGACGCCAACGTGGGCAAGGTCGTCGACTATCTCGAGTCCGTCGGCGAGCTCGACAACACCTTTGTGTGCTTCCTGTCCGACAACGGCGCTGAGGGTGCCGCCTACGAGGCCTACCCCATGGTCCAGGCCGGCATGATCCAGCATCTGCAGAAATACTACAACAACCACATCGACAACCTGGGCAACGGCGACTCCTTTATCTGGTACGGTCCCCGCTGGGCCCAGGCCGCCACCGCCCCGAGCAGGCTGTACAAGGCCTACACCACTGAGGGCGGTGTGCGCGTGCCCTTCCTGATGAAGCCCCCCTCGTCCTGGCAAGACAAGGTCGAGAAGGGCAGCATCACCCACCAGTTCAGCACCGTTATGGACCTGGCCCCGACCATTCTCGACATGGCGGGCGTCACACACCCGGCCCCGACGTACCAGGGCCGCGAGGTCGTGCCCATGCGTGGCAAGACCATGGTGCCCTACCTCCACGGCACTGCCGAGACCATCCACGAGAAGGACTTCATCAGCGGCTGGGAGACGTGTGGGCGGGCCGCCTGCCGCAAGGGCGACTGGAAGATTGTCTTCATCCCCAAGCCCAAGGGCCCCGAGAGGTGGCAGCTGTACAACCTGGCCAAGGACCCCGGTGAGGTGCACGACCTCGCCGAGCAGGAGCCCGAGAGGATGAAGGAGCTCATCAAGCTGTGGGACCAGTACGTGCTCGAGACGGGCGTGATACCGCTGGCGCCCGAGCTGGGTCAATGGATGGCGGCCATGGAGGAGCAGATGCCCGAGAACGCCTGGATCGAGTATGAGTACTGGAAAGAGGGCGCAAGAGACGACCCCAAGAAGTTCACCAAGGATATTCCTCGCTTCGTGAGGCAGGTTAAAGCCATATAGAAAAATCAGATAGATAGATGACAATGCATTGGTTGATGAATTTGTTTGCTGTTTCGCTGTTTAACCTTGCTTGAAGTTCATGCTGTACCCGCCCGTTTTGGGGTCCTGTTCCATCTTGAAGTTATCCGTACTCAGTCCAAAGGGCTTCAGGATGCCGTTGCCCAGCTAACAATCCGAAGGAGAAAGAATGATCCTGCATCAGTAACAGACACCACAACATTGATTGACAGTAAGAACGGGAAGGGAGAAAGAAAGAGAGAGAAAGAACAAGAGAAAACAAAGTTGACTCACCTCCTTGAGTTTCCCCCACATCTCAGCCGTCTCCTGCTGCTGCGCCGCCTTGACCCGCGGCGGCAGGGACCGCAGCTGTGCAGCAACAATCTTCCTGTCACCGGCCGTGACATTGTCCATTTTTGAGAGCAGCTTGTAGTCCTCCTCCGCGCCGGCCAGGTTCGACCACCCGCCCGCCTCGCTGCGAGCTCGAGCACGGCGCATCAGGGCCTTGTAGCGGATGCGCCTCGAGTCTTCCCTGCGCTTGAGGCGGGAGACGGTCGCCGGATCATCATCTTCTTCCTCACCTCTGGCCCGCGCAGGTGCCGAGTTGGCAGCACCGGACGACACGATTTCCTCTTCCACCTCCTCCTCCTCCTCCTCCTCCTCCTCGGCCAGCTGGTGGTCAACCTTGTCCAGCTTCTCCAGGGCCTTGGTCGCCGAGCCGATGGCGTCTTTCCACTCTTCCAGCTTCAGGTGGCAGGCCGAGATGTTGGACTGCAGCACGGCGACTTCGAAGTCGAGGTAGTTGGGGCAGACAGACGTTGCGTCCGAGTACCTGGCCAGGGCCTGCGTGTATGAGCCTGCGTTGAACAGGACGTTGGCCTCGCTCTTGTGGGACTGGGACTCGGTGAGGAGTTCCTGTTTGTGAATGTGCGCGTACGCCGGGTCGTAAGTAAGAAACGCATGGATTTGGTCGAGAAGCAGGCCGTCTGAGGAAGAAAGTGGCCGTGTGGAATATGTCTCACCTTTTCCTCTTCTGGTGAGAATCTGACCACCTCGGGCTCGTCTGGTGTGTCGTCATCCTGCGAAGTGGCCTTGGGCGAAGTCTCGACAGGTTGCGAAGGGTCTCCTGGATTCTTGGAAATAGGAGGGCTATCGCTGCTCGGTGCTGTGGCGGTCTTGTCAGACATGATGTCGTGGTTCTGGAGCGTAAGCGGTCTTCCTAGAAGAAGAGCTGGATTGTTAGTGGTGGAGGGAAAATGGAAAACACGAAGGGAAAATAAATGTTCACATGCGATTGACGGCGACACTCCTTCCCCCCCCCCCCTGTACTTGAGTGGATGCCCCACTACAGCTTGTGTCTTCAGGGAGTTGGGGGGGGGGGGGGGTCTTCTCGCTGTAATACCCCTCACTACCCCTCCATCAGCTAGCCACCCTCGTACGCTAGAGACGCTGCGGGCTTTCATCTGCTATCACAACGCGGGTGTCCATAAGACGCGATCGTCATATCTCAGAAACCCCCTCTAGTAAAGAAGTCTCTGCAGAACCAGTCACTGCTCGCAACAGCCAGGCACACCAAGCAAGATGGCGCCCAAGACAGAGTACGGACAGCGTTCAATTCCCTTTTCCCCATCACCAATGTCTCCAATTCTCTCCCCCTCCAACCAGTCATCACCAAACCGTACTGACTCACACTCCAATCCAAAAAAAACAGCTTCCCACCCGTGCGAGCCTGCCTCTTCGACATGGACGGCCTCCTCCTGGACACCGAAGATATCTACACAACCTGCATCAACATCGTCCTGCAAAAGTACGGCCGCCCCGACCTGCCCTGGACCATCAAGGCCAAGCTGCAGGGCCGCCCTGGCCCCCAGGCCAACGAGCTCTTCCACTCCTGGGCCAAGCTGCCCATCCCCCACGACGAGTACCTGGCGCAGTACTCGGCCCTGCAGCGCGAGCACTTCCCCAGCGCCAAGGCCCTGCCGGGCGTCGAGACCCTGCTCTCGAACCTGGGGCGGACGAGGTGGTGGGACATACAACACCAGAAGAACCAGGCGGCCAAGGAGGAGGGGGGGGAGGGGGGGGAGGGGGAAGGAAAGAGGGTACACATTGCCCTGGCCACGAGCAGCAACAGCGCCAACTTCGCCCTCAAGACGGCCCACCTGACAGACCTCTTCTCCGTCTTCCAGAGCCCCCACCGCGTCCTGGGCGACGACCCGCGCATCCAGCCCGGCCGCGGCAAGCCCCTCCCCGACATCTACCTCCTTGCCCTGGCCACCATCAACGGCACCCTCCCGCCAGGCGAGCCGCCCATCACCCCTGAGGAGTGCCTTGTCTTCGAGGACAGCGTGCCGGGCGTCGAGGCTGGTCGGAGAGCGGGCATGCGTGTCATCTGGTGTCCTCACCCGAAACTCAAGGAGCTCTACGACGGGCGCGAAGGGGAGGTGCTGGCCGGCAGGACGGGCGAGGCGGGCGAGGGCGTGGATGAGCACCAGCTCGGGGAGGTGGACGATGGGTGGGGCGAGTATCTGCCGTCTCTTGAGAATTTCCCTTACGAGAGGTATGGCATTGTGGTTCCGCCAGGAGAGGTAGATGGGGACGAGAGGATGAGGGAGAGCGCGAGCACGGAAGGGGTGAGGGTGCAGGAGGGTCCAAAAGCGTAGAGAGAGGGTCATCATCATCATCATCATCATTATCAAACAGGTAGAATGGCTGCAATATAGACGCATAGAGACGAGAAAAGAAGAGGCTGTAAGATATGCGTGTGCTTGTGTTTGCTCAATGTAAACACGAAGCCTGGGAACACGGGGCCAATGCAACCAAATTACAACACAGCTTCGAACATCAAGTAAAGAGGGAATTGGGTCGACGATACTGAGCGTTCATGGGACACGGGATATACTAAGCAATCAATGGTAGACACCTTGAGTAGATAGAACAAGTTCTCATTAGACCTAGATCGTAAACGGCCTTTTCCAATGTGTGTGTTGCCAGTCTCATGCGAATGGGTATCATCCAAGAACCGGTATAAAAAATATACAAAGGAAAACAAAAAGATAGAAAAAGAAGAAGAAAGGAACCCACTGAAAAACCCCATATGCTTGCTGAGTAAGTATACATGGGTAGAAAGACCGAGCATTGAAAGACGACCCGGTCGACCGTGTCTTATCCTTGTTCTCGTGCACGTTTCACCAGAAAGAAAACTCCCGTATTGCTGGCGTCATGACCAAAAACCTCATCACCCACCTCCGCGATGTGTTCCTCTGCCCGTCTCCCTTTCCTCCATCTTTCTTTCTTTTTCTTTCCTTGTCTCGTTGTCCCTCGACTCAATTCAGCGGGACGCCATCTCAATAAGTCCACATGGCTGCACTGCTGAATGAGTTTCGATGCCCGTGCCCGCCCGACCTTTCGGATTTCTCAGCCCTCTCTGGTGGCTTATACCACTCACGATAAGGGTGATTGGGTTGGGTAAAATCCGCCTGCGCCAGCAGTGGGTTCACGGTCGGCCTTGCGCTCGGCGGCGTCGATGACACAGACGCGGGCGTGTACGTTGTCGTCGCTGCTGGGCTCGTTTGGGTGCTGGGGCTCGCTGTTGCAATGCTGTTGTTCCGTGCCGCGGCTGCTGGAAAAGAGGGTGTTGGCCCTGCTATGAGGGTCCCGCGGCGGGTTTCTGACACGGGCGTGGACAGATGGCTCGGGGTGGGTGGTGGTCCAGTTGGCGGCGGTTGCTGCTGTTGGGAGGCGCGCTGGGGATCGTGTAGCACCTGCGGCATATGCTGGTCACGACGGCCAAAGAACTGGCCGATCGCCGCTGCGGCACTATGCCTCCCATCTTGTGCTGACGGCGACATGGAGGGCTGCTGGGCTGCGTGATGCTGTCGAAGTAGACCTCCCGCTCCTAATGATGCAGGACCAGCACAGGAGCTGCCGCCGCCTGCTGAGAAGGCTCCACCCGACTCCCAGCCCCAGGCACACTTCAGGTCGAACTGCACGCGCTTCAAGTTCCACCCTGTCTTCCTGTAGATGTGCGTCAGGATTTCGAGGACCTCGTGCTGTTCGTGCCTCTCGGTGAGCACTGAGCCCGCGATGGCGAGCGCCCGTATGGCAATAGAGGCGACGCCGTGGTCTTGAGTGTGTGCTGCAATGCCGCAGACCTGGTGCGCGTGGTGCAGCTGCACTTTCCGCGCCTCCTCATCATCATCACGGATGGCCAGAAGCGGGTTGATTTGTGCGAGGAGGCACATGGCTGTGTGGTAGAAGAGACGGCCTACGAGGGCGGAGCGTTTGATAAGCCTGCTTCTTGGTCAGTCTGGGGATGAAGAGTACTCTTCACGAGAACACCTCCAAGTAGACTTTTAAAAACACGAATACAGAGGGAGAGAGGGAGAGAGGGAGAGAGGGAGAGAGGGAGAGAGGGAGAGAGGGAGAAAGGGCACCAGTAACTCACCAGATGTGTGGAAAGCACGATCTCTTACCAGAGTCGAACAGGTAGGCATAGGGCCTCATCGAGCTCGGACAGTGAATATTCCACGTATCGCACCACGTCTTCAGCTGCGACCACTCAGCAAACCGGCTTTGCAGCCTCACCTGCTCATCGTGAGCGCTGGGTTCCTGGAGCGGCGGGATGCTCGCCCGGAAGTTGGCCACCTTGGCCACGATATACATGATTCGGTGCACCCAGACGTCCTCGTCGCCGACGACACCAGCGATGCTGCTCGCAGACCACGGTAATGATTCCTCGGCAGCTGCAGTGGATGATGATGACATGCCGCCACTTTCCGATTTGGGCGTCTTCACCCTGGGGCCGAGGAGCTCTCCCGTCATGTTCATCAACTCTTCTGGGTCTACACCCCAGTGATCCGGGTCCCACGCCGTCGCCCAGTTGCACGCCAGGCAGCTGAGAATCTCCATGCCCACATTCAACCAGAAACATGCCGCGCCGATGCCTGTACTCCTCGCATCCCACTTGCACTCGCGGATGAGAGCCCGCGCGCCAGCAATGTGGTTCATGCGCACTGCAGGCTTCTCGCTCATGATCTCGTACACATTAAGCACAACTGCGGTCGTCGCACACTCGGCCGTGTCCCGCTCCGGGTTCTGCAGGCTGCGCAGGAGTTGCGTGGTTGCCGTGTCGTAGTAGTGTAGTGCTTTGTCATCCTTGTAGCTGCGGCGGTCAATCAGCGTCAGATGTTTCACGCCGCAGGCCAGAAAGGCGCCCAGAAGCATAGGAGATTTCAGCGCAAGGTAGGGAATGACGGTCCCAAAGTGCTGCCGGCCGTCGAAACTGTCCATCCATACCGCCACCTCGTTGATAAAGACCTCCATGTAGTGGACCTCTTCTGGTGAGCTGAGGTAGTCGCGCTCGCCGTTCTTTTCCGACTGCGGCGTCATCAGACCGTCGTGGGGGTCTGGCCCGCCCGAAGCAGTTGCATGGCGGAACGGTCCGGGCGAGGATACTGCTGTCACCCTCTGCGGAACCAAGGATGAGGCCTCACTTGACACGTCACTCGTAGTGTACCCGTGTCTGGGCAGCACACCATCGTCTCGCATGGAGAATGGGTCGTGAGCGGTCTCCAGGTTGAAGGAAGGCCCTCGCCCTCCCCCGCCCGAGTGAGATGATGTCGGCGTTGGGCCAGAGCCCATGGTCAAGAGAACCTCGCTGTCTTTTCGTGAGAAGGTCTGGCCCATTGTCTCTTCGTAGCCGCCGCTATACGCTGGCTCGTGATGAGAGCGAGCCATGCCGCCCGAATAGTATAGATTAAGCGCAGCTTGCGGGTGACACAGTAAGGTCGCTGCAGGCTGATCAGGCTCTGCCTGGACAGCTTCAAGCCTTGGTACAGGTCTGGCATCGGGTTGGCTCACGTCGGGTTCTCGAGGAGGCGTAACGACTTGTTGACCTAGTTTAGCATAGCGTTCAAGCCCGCCAACATATTCGGAGGCAATGTGGCGAGACTCGTCTTGGAATTTGACTATGTTGAAAGAAAGATCAGCGAGAATCAGGATTACACAACCCCCATCTTCTCAGGGTCAGGATTGGGAACAGCAACCCAAGCCCCAAGGCATTTCAGCCCTCATCAGAAAGGTCATATGTGCACGACAGGCGGGGAAAATAAGACTTACCCTGCCAGTCCACTGGTGGTAATAAGTAGGGAGGCTGCTCAACCTTGAGATCGATAAAGTTCAGCCGGACCCCACGCTCACATTTTCGATTGCTCTTTTGACAATTCACGCACACCGGCATGGCCTCGTCGCACTTCAGATGTCGGTTCCTGCACGTCAGGCATCCTGTTCTCACACGTTTGGGCTTTAATGGACCGAACGATGCTGCGGAAAGGCCTGGCTCCAGGGATTCACTATGTTGGCGGCTTTTTGGTCCCTCGTCGCCATTCATATCGTTGCCCTTCGAGGACGATGGGGACATGTCGTCCACGGTGACCCGAGAGACAGGGCTCACGGCTGAAGGTGCCAAAGCCCGAGAGATTCTTCGCAGTCCTCTAGCAGCCGACACCTTTTGTCGTTTTGCGGGTGGGAATTCAAAGTGCTCGTCCATGGCATGGCCTGTTGTGGTGTAGTTGTCTGCCCTGCGGGTCCCGCTGCTTTGGTACGTCGGCGAGACCTCATGACCACCATGGTGAGTATAAGCTTCCTGCCGCCGCGGAGCCGGAGGAGAATCCAGGGACGAGTAAGGAAGCCTGGGTACGGCGGCAGACTTCGTCTGTGGCTGGGAAAGGTCTAGGTGCTGGTGTTGGTTTTCAACAGCTACCACCGCGCCCACGCCAGGGCCATACCCCGACGAAATGACGCCGGGAGGAGCCCCGTAGGTCGCCACGGCGACTGGTCTCCGGGACGGAGAGAGAGGTGGGGTAAACTGCGCCGTCTTGTACCGTTCGGCCGGTACGGAAGATTCCAAGGAAAAAAGAAAGGAATAAACAAAGGAAGGACACTCAAGTCAACGTCAAGACTTGGCTCTAGCGAGGATGCATCGACCTGTCAGACTGTCGAATCGTGTCCAGAATTGCCTCCGGCGGCAGCCGCCGCGAGGTGCACAGAGAGAGCAGCGAAGGCGGGGAGGAGAAGGCTGTATATGCGGCGGCGAGACGGAGGTCATTTGGGAATCCGATACGGCAGTTGGCCTGAGTGGTTGGTCAAGATCTGACAATGTGACTGCAGCGTCCCGTGTCGTATAGGAAGATGGTTCAGCACAGGTCTGTCGGCCAAATGTGGGTGGTGAGGCACCGGAAGGGGGGGAAGGCTCCCGAGTGCGACCAGCCAAGTATTAGGTGGTGGTATCAATGCGACGATGACTATGTGCCGTCGGATCTCATTTGGACAAAAGATCTTTTTAAAAAGACAAGCAAATATCTTCGGCGCCCATGTTTGTCGTCTTTGCTTGTGGAAACAGCGAAGCCAGGGGTGCTGTCAAACAGAGCGGAGAAAAGGGCGCGAGGTACTGTTCCAAAATGCCTCGTTCCCACGATGCCGAGCCTGCGAGACAGTTGTGAAGATTGTTGGCACTTCTCAACGCTTCTGTCGATCCCTTAGAAAGAGCTGCGGCAGATCCTGCTGAGAGTTCGTGGCCCTATTGAAATCGGGAGCTGCTTGGTATGCTGAACTCTCAGGGAGGCTATAAGAAGGAGGGGGTAAGCAGAGGGGCCAGCAGAGGGGCCAGGGTGCATACCCAAACAGCAAGTAGGAACACTGCCCACAGACAATATCGTTGAAAATCCGGTGTGGCCAGTACTCGGAGTGTTGGGGTCTTGGGGGGGTAGAGACTTGATTCTTCCAATACTCGCGCCTAGTAAAGGTGATGGTCTTATCAGGCAGCGGAGAGGCACAAGAGGGCAGCTGGCAGTTGGTTGCACACGGATAACACAATTTCAAATCCCCAGCCGATGCTGAGAGACAACTGGAAAGTCGAGCTGCTGCTGGGCGCTCGTGGTACAAGGTCGTACAGCCCGCGCGCCGGGAAATGAGCCGGCTTTGAGGCGTCGAGATGAACAACAACAGTAGTAATTTTGTTTCCTTTTCTTTTTCTCCTTGTTCCTCTGGGACATGTGCCTGAGCCGTCAGGTTGGAGTACAGGTAGTGACAATGTTCGTAGCTTGTCGTTTCCACGGAGGGCACTGGAAAGTATGGAAAAATCTAGCGCGCCCCGGCAGGGCTCCCGATGTGGCGTAGGCGAAAGTAACCTGGACGTCAAGAGGAACCTATCAGTGAGAAAGGAGCGGAGCCGGGAGCCCGTTCCGCGCTGAAGGAGTCAGGGTCAAGTCATGGGTACGAACAAGGCAGGGGTATGGGATGGGGCAGCGGGGGAAAGGAGTCCAGGGGCACCCAGAGGGTCGTCGCAAGCCCACTATAAGTTTTGAACAGATAGATAAGCGGGAGGAGACTCATGTGTAGATAGACGACAACTTCGCAGATCCAGGTTGTCACAACTGAGTGCAGATGGGGGTGTTTGGTGGAATCTCGACAGAGCACCAGAACTTACTTTTTGGCTTCTTCTTTCTCTAATTCCCTCCTCTTCCTGCCCCTGTCCCCCCTGAACGGTTATATTGCGTGTGGGAGGGGCCACACGTCGACTCTTCTTCTGTCAAACCGAGGTTGGCGGTGAGCAATTTGGTGCTGTCTGGCTTTCGATTGTGCCTTGCGTGTGTCGTCACCAGTCTGCACGGTCCCCACGGCAATTATAGAAAGCGGCCTCGGATTGCAGACGCAGCTAACGGTTGATCTTCTCCTCTGTGTTGTAAGCGTTCTCGTACATACAGGGGCAGGGTAGCTGAGTGGCCCGATTGCGTGCTCCAAGCACTCTTGCGCTGCACATAGTAATACGGTACAGCTGACGAGGTTTGATTGCCCCACCCTCACAAGTGGGTGGCCTCAAGGTCTAGATGAACCGGAGGAGATGTCCATTAGGCGGAGGCTGGCTGGAGCATCATCCCTTGGCAATGCCATCTCGAGAGACCGTCCAAAGGGCGTGCCATCAAGGATCTGGACCACTGAAGCCATGTCTTCTCCCTCGGGTCAGATCTGGCTGGAAATCTTTGTGCCTAGCATTAAGACCCCAAAGCAATGACTCCCCCATGCCACGCAGTGGCGCTGCAGCAGATTCACGCCGCCATCTCTCAATCTCAGGCTAAGATAACCTCGAGACAAGTTGGCGTACTGGACAAGAGGGGAGTTGACGCACCTAGTGCACCATAGATGCTTGGCTACTAGGTCGAGGGCGGAACAAATTGCTGCTGTCGAGACCCAGACAGGCCCTCACGTGGCACGCTTGGAATGAGCAGCGCAATGGCATGCACGCGTCACGGGGTCAGAATACTCGCGCTGGGGGAGGCTGGAGTTGAGACCGCAGAAGCTTTCCCATCCCCCTTAGTTGATAGCTCAATATGCACGTACGTCGGAGCAGCAGGATAGCGCCACCGCTTCTTGTTGTCTCGCCACCAAAACCCAGACGACCATGACCACCTGCCCTGCTTTCGGCGCCAACAAGGGGGAAGATATTCCTCAAGACGACGGCCAGTTGGTGTGCAATGATATGGTGCGGAGGTGTCCTCAGTCAAACACTGCAGAGGCTGCCTCGCTAGCCCAGGCGTCTCTTTCTTGCCGAGCCCCCTCCTCCCTGGCCCCCTTCTCTCTTCATCTTGCAGGAGTCAATAGTGAGAACCGTAATGAGGAGCCAGGTTGGTTAGTGGTGGTCACAGAGAACAAACCCTGCTCTCGCGCGCGCAGGCCGCTGAAACAAGCTGCTCTAGGCACAAAATAGGGTTGGATCGTCGGGACAGGCCGCTGTGGGGAACCGACAACGCATCAGCCTACGAGCCTAGACAGCAGCCACAGGGCTGGAAAGGCTGGCTGGTATGCTGGTAAGCTAGCATACTGAGGAGGACCTCAGGAGGCGAATGCCGATGTGGATTGGTCCGTAGGCTGCCATTACTGATACACGCCGGTGGTCGGGAAGTACCAAGGGGGCTTGGACTGAAGCGATGGCGAGAGGCCATCAAGCTTATGTCTCGGTCAAAGATCTAAGAAAGACGTGCCGGTGGGTTTGTCGCTGGTGTGGCAATATAGACAAGACACTGCACGTGGTTAGTTACTGTACCTACTGCAGAGACGTTTTGAAGTGTCTGTCCGGAATGGAAGCTCCAAGGCTGGTTCTCTGGATTCAAAAACCGACGTGTCGTTTTTTCTCTTCGAGGTCGAATCCTAGGATCAATTCGCAGGGGAAAGGTGGTTGAAGTCCAGTGCTCTAGTAGGATTACACATGACGATCTGAGCGCTCAAATGAATTGGGAAATTGTCTTATGGCGCTAGGTCACTAGTCGAATTAGGGCGGGGGAAACAAGACGGAGTGGAAGGTGCCATCGATGTACTTTTCGAATAGTAAAAGTAGAAGGAAGTCGTCTGTGAGGCTCGGGCGGGGGACAAGGGTTAGGGTAAAAGTCCCCTCTACCACTGCCCGTTGAACCATCCAGGCTCGTGGCGTCTGGAGAGGAAATTCGAACAAGGCCCCATCACCATTCCACCGCCTCCGTCTGCTCAACACCACGCCCTCAAACCCACACTGCGTTCTGCCGAGACATGTCGATCTCATCTTGACCTATTGTTTCCGTGTCAGCCACTCGGCTCTGCCGACCGAAGCGTCAAGTCGAGCTGCCATTGCTGGTGGCTTGGGTGGCTTGATTCGAGGCTTCGAAGACCTCCAGCGTTTTCTGCCTGGTGGAGCCAGAGTCTCCATTTACCATCAGCAGCCATGGCCAGCAGAGATGGAAGAGGAGATATTCCCCCACAGCCCAAGGCCATCTTGAGGGGCCATAGGGCACAGGTCCATGCCGCAGCCTTCATCAGATCGAACGAACGCCTCTTCACGGGCGACGCAGACGGCTTTGTTGTGGCATGGGACCTGACTATTATGAGGCCGCGCGCTGTCTGGCAAGCCCATGAGAATGCGATCTTGGGCATAGCAGGATGGGGCATAGACAAAGTCATTACCCATGGGAGAGACAACAAGCTCATCGTGTGGAGGCTGTCCGCTGAAGACGAGGCATCCATGAGCACCACCCTCCCGCTGGACACTGGGCCGGAGCCTCGCACCAAGCCGTGGATGCTATACCTCCTTGAAGTCAACACTATGAATTTCTGCACTTTCGCCTGCAGCCCAAGTTCTCCCACCAGCTTGACACCTGCGTCTGATCCCGAGTCATCTGACCAGGCAGAGCTGCTCATTGCGGTGCCAAACACTCTGATCTCAGAAGCCGTCGATATATACAGCCTACCTTCCCAGATCCGCATACATACGGTCAAGATAGGTGGCGATCACGGTATGGTCATGGCTCTGGCCCTGACGTGGGTGTCTAACCGCCTCACTCTTGTGATTGGGTACGAGGACGGAATGGCGATCGTCGCGGAGCTTAAAGAGGATGGCGGCCACGACAGCTGGGATGTTGTCTATCGCAGCCAGTGCCATAAGCAACCCATCCTGTCCCTCGATGTGGCACCAAGTCTAGAATACTTTCTCACCTCGAGCGCGGATGCCACTATTGCAAAGCATCCGCTGTTGACTCCACAGCCTAAAATTATTGGCTTGATCCAAGATGGCAATATCGAAGCCAGCCCTGAAGACAATCGCAAGCTGATCACTACGCCTCACTCTGGAACCAATGCAAAAGCCCCAGGTCAAAGCCAACCTATCTCACTTCTATCTGCTGCACTCGCCTCCCAGCCACCGGTCCAGACTCCAAGAGCCGCAGCAAAGCCAGAGGTCCAGACGCAGCCACTTCAGGTCGTTGATACCAAACATTCTGGGCAGCAGGGGCTTAGTATCCGGTCTGATGGTCGCATATTTGCCACCGCCGGCTGGGACTCCAAGGTGCGAGTATACTCAGCCAAGACGATGCGCGAGGTGGCGGTGCTCAAGTGGCATCCTGTGGGTTGTTTTGCTGCTGCGTTTGCCGAGGTTACTACCAATGATCCCAGCGATAACAAGGTTGCGGAGAGTAGATCTCATGACGAAAACCTGTCGGAGAAGAGTCTAGTGCCCAAAGTCCTCGAGAAGTCAGTCAAAGACAGGAGGGTCAACCAGGCTAGGACAGCGCACTGGCTCGCGGCAGGAAGTAAGGATGGTAAAGTGAGCTTATGGGACGTCTTTTGATCACACTTGACTGCCACAACCGATGCGTGATCCAAGAAAGTCCTTCAGCCAACAGACCTGCCGCCTGGCTTCTGGCTGGCCAGAGCTGCTGTTTCCCCAAGGACCGAGCTTGCAACCCGGCCGACGAAGACGGCACTGCAAAGAGCGACTATTCCAAGGTCCAGAAGGGAAGCCTTCGAAGAAGCCGGAGGTAGGCCTGGCCATAACACGGACATTTTAACTATCTGCACCCCCTTCAGGACAACCACGGCCGTCCCGTGGCAACTCTACTGCGAGCCAGTGAATAGTCACAAATATGACGTTTTTTACTGCGGCTCATTACATAGACTTACGGCTCTCTCAGCATACCAAAATGCTTATGTGCCCCCTCGCCCCCATGCTTGACGAGATCAATCTCAAATTCGGCCACAATCTGAAAGCCCAGCCGCTCATAGAGCCGCCACGCTCTCGCGTCTTCGTCCCCAGAGGTGTCCAGATATATCGGCAAGCCCGTGCACTCCTCAAACGATGCTCGGATCAGTGCAGACGCAATGCCTCTCCTCTGATGACTCTGCAGCGTGCCGACATTATCAACCATCCAGTAGGGTCCCCGGCCGGCCATAATCTTCTCCGCCATGCGGTCGAGTTTCTCCCACATTTCCACCAGGAGCGGGCCATTCATGCCAGGCATGACACGCGCTTCATATTTGGCTCGAGCGGCGATGGTTTCCTAAACGGATATTAGTGGTCGTGCAATCGTGAAATGGCTAGATGTTGGAGAAGATTTTACCTCTGAGGTCGCCACGGTTGTCTCGGTCTTGGCTAGGTTGATATAACTCACAACCTTACGCTCCGGGTGGCTCTCGTCGCGGTACACAAGCAGCAGCTCATTTGGGTCCTGCAGGCTCTCGGCAAACATAGCCTCCAAACCTGCGTTGAAGACGGATGGAGATACATTGCCGTGCGAGAGGCGGTTAAAGTTGTTCGTGGGGCGGTCCTGGTAGATGTCTGCTACGGCTTTCGCGTCGGCCGCTGTGGCCTTTTCGATTGGGACCCCCAACATGGCGGGCTCCTGTTTAGCGACGCGGTCAACTTGGCCCCATTCGAGTTCCTTATATGAGCTGGTGAGCGGTGATGCTTTGTCTCATAACCCGCCGTGGAGGTGTTGCTGATGGTGAAAATGTCCGCCACCGTGACTCCCTGGCCGATGTCTTATCACCGAGCTTCCTCCCGATGCGGAATGGTGCTGAGGACTTGAGAGCCCATCTTGATTCACTATCGCTGGGCAGAGTATCCACAAGCTGTCTCCCGATGAAAAGACGCGAGCTCTTCTCCTTGTCTCTGGAAGAGCCCAGAAAGGCCAACCGCACATCATCGCCAAGTGGATTTTGTTGTATTAGAGGGTGAGGTCCCGTGTTCGCCTACGGCTTCTCGAAAGGTGTGTCCCATGTATAATAATCCTTGCGAAACGAAACGGCCCCACTCGCCTCACGGGCGGTCCATCAACATTGAGTTTCCAGGCTGAGCCCTCCAAGAACATTCCTTGGTCGTTTCAGGTTTTGACTTTGACTGCGGTTGCCGAATTCTACCTGCGGAGCTGTACCAGACTATAGACGCGACTTCGTATATCTGAGGCCACCGGGTCTTCAAGCTCAGATCATGCTCAGCAATGCAGTGAGGGTCAATGTTCTTCACTCGGCCAATCGAAGCCAGATGGGCCTCCTGGCTCGTGTCCATTCTAATATACATCCGTCAACGATCTCAGATGCCCACTCAACGCCTTTAATGCCATGGAAATAGAGCATCATGCCCACATGGAAGCGCCGCCGCACGACGCTTTCTTATAAGATGGCTCCGACCCTACTTTCACCTATTGTTTGCCGATTTGCCAACTTTGATGTTCAAGCAAAGACACTGTTGATCTTTACCGCCACCATCACTTGTCTTAAGCCAACACAAGTGTAGCTCTTTTCTCTATTATCCACAGTTGACGGTTTCCCACCATGAAGACCTTTGCTCTTACTTTCGCCATGTCCCAGGCCTTCCTAGCCTCTGGGAAGCCAGTCTCTGACTTGCTGCCGCGCCAGTCCAGTTCCTGCCCTGGTGTTCATGTCTTTGGAGCCCGGGAGACGACAGCCTCAGCTGGGTTTGGTTCATCTGCCACCGTTGTCGACATGGTGACCCAGGCCTACTCGGGTTCCACCTCTGTGGCCATCGACTATCCGGCCTGCGGAGGCCAGTCGTCCTGCGGCGGTGTCAGCTACGCCGACTCGGCGAAGGAGGGTGTCGAGGCCGTCACCACCGCCGTCAACGACTTTGCCGAGGAGTGCCCAGACTCGCAAATCGTGCTGGTTGGGTATTCACAGGGCGGACAGATCATGGACGATGCGCTGTGTGGAGGCGGCGACACTGCCGAGGGCATCACCAGCACCGCGGTGCCGTTGTCCGCGGCGGCTGTCAGTCAGATCAAGGCGGCTATCTTCATGGGCGACCCTCGTTTCGTGAGCGGTCTTTCTTATGAGGTTGGGACATGCGAGGCGGGCGGAGTAAGTCGATGAGACCCAGAATGACATGTCCTTTGCCGCATGCACAGGCCCTGCTTAGATGCTTGCTGATGCTTACTGACTCTCATTTTCTCTCATTTTCTCTCCCTTTGCAGTTTGATGCTCGGACCGCTGGTTTTACCTGCCCGAGCGCGGCCAAGATCCAGTCATACTGCGACTCCTCGGACCCTTACTGCTGCAACGGTGATGATGCCGCCACACACGAAGGCTATGGCTCGGAGTATGGACAGCAAGCCTTCGCGTTCATCCAGAGCAAGCTGAACTCGTCGTCTACATGATCCGGCCCGGGGGTTGACCTTCCATCAATATAGATGGCACGTCTTGTTCTCAAAGAAAGAAAAAGTAAATAAAAAGACAGAAAGAAAAGAGGCGAATGCGTGGAACACTGTAACTTTCTACTTACTTGCTGTACAAACAAAGCTCGCGGTCATTTCATGCATGTCATCGATATTAAAACATGTTCAATCGAATACTTCTTATTCATGATAACATTTGCACATCGAGATTCAAAAGGCCAGTTGCTAATATTTTACGTCCTCTTCATGGTTCATTGTTGCTGTACACTCAATACGTCCGCCACGACGCCACTTGCCAGCCTCAACACTGGACCTTATCCGTCCACGTCCAGACAAACACGTCGGTCGAGTTCACGGCATACTCATGGATCTCGCTCTTGCCGGGGCTGTATAAATAGACCTTTGTCTCCTGCGTCTGAGCGACGGACGAGAAGCCTTGCTCCTCGAGGTCAATAGGTCCTCCGCTCAGCTGGGGACCCGCCACGACCCAATCGCCTTGAGGTTTCCACGCGGCCGTGGTCAGGGCACCCTTGAAAGGGTCGATGAAGGTGACGACGTTGTTGGTCAGGCCTGACCCGTCTGTTCCAAAGGTTGTGCTGGCCAGCTTGGGCGAGGGCCGGACGGAGAGATCATCCTTGATGGGGTCGCCTGAGGTGCATGGTTGTCAGTCAGTCTCAATCCTCGCTCGTGTTTCTCATACAAGTGGTTCATCATCCAACTCGGCTCGTCGTAAACATGGGTTTCCACTCACCAGAGTTGCCAGTCTTCATTTGTCCGCCAGTACTGGGTCCATTCATGACCTCCATCAACCCGTCGTTCTGCTCATAATACATCCTGATGGCGTTGGGATCCGCACCGGTCGTCACCTCCGACCCACTGTCCGTAAAGGCACTGATCGCCACACCAGACCCCGGCGCCGCGTCGCTCGCAACAATGGCAGGCTGTCCCCACACGCCGTTCGTCATGTTGGCTATGACGATATCCGCCTGGTTGCTCTGCCACATCACAAAGAGCGCGTTGTCGCAGCTGGCGCACTGCTGCTGCCACATGGCGCTCAGCTGGGAACCGGGCTGAATAGTAGGGCGGGCCAGCGCGGCGCTGAAAGACCCCTGCCTCCAGCTCGTAGAGTTGGTCGGGTCCGCCGAGTACACCTCTGCTATGCTCAGAGACTTGTCCACATAATAGACGTTCCACATGCCACCGTCGGTCGCCGCCGCAAGAGGCGTGCCGGGCAGGATGGCGTCGGCCACTTCAGGCACAGCCGCCGAGATGTTCATCTTGCTCCACGCCTGCGTCGCCTCGTTCTTCACCGCCATCATGAGGGCGGCGCCCGTGTCGCCGGAGGACTGGTACACGACCCCAGCGTACGGCGTGCCGGCGCTCGGGTCCGTCCAGTTCATAGCAGCCAGGTCCGAGGCCGCCAGGACAGGCCCGCTGTCCTTCTGGCTCAGCAGTTCCAGGGTCGAAAATTGGGGGCTGGGCCCGTTGCTGTGCGGGCGGTTGCGGCCGAGCGTGAGGAGCAGCGTCGTGGTGAGGACGCCGAATACTAGGAAACACCCCCCCGCCATGACCGCCAGGAAGACGTTCTTGCGCAGGCCGCAGATCCGCCGCCCCTCGCCCAGCGACCGCCACCATCCTCCCTGGGCATTGTTGTAGCTGCCCTTGAAGCTCGCGATCGACGCGGCGTCGGAGCCGTTGCTGGGCACGGTGTAGAGAGCCTGCTTCTGTCCCTTGGCGTCGACAAAGTAATATGCTGGCGGTGGTGCGGTCAGCGTGTCGGCTGAGAAGGGGTATTCCAGGCCGGCTTCTTCATCCTTGGCACTCTTTGCTTTGGGTGGTGGTGGGCTGTCGGGGACGGCAAGGAACTTCTCGTTCCAGTAGGACCGACGCGGTGGCGGCGGCACAGAGGAGGAGGATGATAATGTGGATGAGTTGTCGACAACCACCTCGAGGTCCGAGAACTCGTCTTTCTTGTCCTTTTGGTCCATGTCTCTCTTGATCCCCTGTAGGTCGGTGGCGTCCACGCCACGATGTCCTTACAGATCGTTAACTGCGACGTTGCTGTCTTGAGGCCAGCCCAGCGAGCGAACGAGACAGGTGACGAACGAGATTGAGGATGAAGGTAGCATGTGAACAGGTCACACGCCAATCCCGAGAGACATTAGGAGAACAATTAAAGAATAGCTGGAAGTATTACTGAACTGGGGAAGGGAAACAAGAAAAAGAGAAGAAAAGATAAAGAACGATAGATAGATGAAGCCCTGAATCGAAATCACGTCCAGCGCTTGGAAGAGAAAGACAGAAGTGGAAGAAGGAACAAGATCCGGACGAATGTCGCGGGGTAGTACTAGTAGTAGGGAACCAGAGTGAGTTCGTTCCTATACATCGGACCAGGTCCAGCCAGGACTCGTTGGAAACACAGAAAGAGAAAGAAAGAGAGAAAAAAACGGTCTCTGGATTGTCGGCAGTCCAGAATGCCCGTCCCGATGTCAAATCGTTTCCTTCGTTTCCAGGGACTTTTTGGCAGGCCAGCTGGAGAAAGGGACGGAGGTGAAGATGCAGCAGTCAACCGTGTGTGCTGCTGGAGTAGACTGGATGAGGCCTCATGAAAGGGGCTCAAGGGGTCGAACGTGAACCTCCTGTGTGCGTGTATCAGATTTGGACATGGTCTCATCTAGGTGAAGCGAGGAAAAGGGCCAAGCCATTCTGGTTGAATTCTGAGACGCCTCGGGTCTGCCAAAAACAAACAGACCGTCCCATCTAGATTCGTGTTCTCTGTTTTCTCATGACTAAACCGTGGGGATTTTCGGGGTGTGGGAAATTCTACAATTGCTCCCTCGGAAAATGAGAACGTGCCTTCGTTCTTCATTTCTCAATTAAAATGAACTTCGAAAAGTCAAGCAGACACAGGTCAAGAGTAAAAAGAATGATAGATGGTATTGTCGCTGGTCGAGAGTGGGTCCTCGTCCTGCCTCAACGAGTCCCCCCGTGTTACTCCACATCGACGTCGCAGATCATTCTCCCAGACCCAGTCTAAAAGTCGGGAAGTTTGCATGTTATTATATGCTCAAACATTAAGGTTAAGAAAGCCTGTTTTCCTCCGCACTCCTTCTGTGCGATTCTCAAAAGTGCTCGAGTATCATGCCGAATGTGGCGAGCCATACCGAGTCGAGATTGATGTCACCAAGTGATATTGAAGCGCAGAGGTAGTAATAACTAGCGGCCTTCGGAGTTTTTCAGCCCACTGATGATATAACCAAGTAGACTTGGGGGAAAAAACATTGATCATCTTTCGGGACTTCCTCCTTCTGCGTTCTTCATGACAAACGAACATTCCAACAGGTTGAAATAGAGAAAACTTAGGTCTGGCGTAAGAACTCCGAATGTTTATGTTGAAGCCCTTCCAGGTTACGGCATGCTCGTCTTATTTTTCATAATCAATGATTCTGTCATTAGTAGCAGACTAGCATTCATATACATGGTGGCCAGGCACCCCACTCTTACAGTGTCAATGGCATTGACCTAGTGTTCATACGAGATGCAGCTGTTTTCATAGTTGCAAGTAAATACTTGGGTAATTATGAGATCAAAAAGGGTGAAACAACGTAAGAATGAGTCTTCTTTCGGAAGCCATATTATAGTTCCAGCGTAATCACCTAGGAATACCTAGTTCCTTGGAAAGGTTATTGATTGAGATTGCACTGAGAGGAGCAGAGAAAAAGGGCAGAAGTCTGAATTTTCTGGGGCTATCTGGCCGGTATTGGCTGTTGCTGTACCCTCGCATGAGTTCTGCATTAAAAGATAAAGACCTCAACTATAATATCGCCTTACAAGGTAGATCTGTAGAAGGCACTCTATGGTGTACTACAAATGATATAAGGGAAGATGGTTCTTCAATTAATCTATCTCAAGGCGCGCTTGCCAATTGCCTTCTATATAGAAAGGCGATTGGCACTAGTCCCAACTAGGCTAGCGTACCTGGCGACTCACTGCCTTTCCATTGAATGGCTCAGGCCAGTTGAGTCAGGGTGGCCACCCAGGCCTCATTCACTTGAGGCCCCTATGGCCACTGCCACAAGATCCCTCATTTTGATCCATGTGAACTCGCCAGCTACATATTGTCCATAACAAACGTTAGAGCAGTCTCCATTGTTACTTCAGCTCTTGATAGCAACTCAACGTTACTAATAATCTGGGAACAAGCAAGCAACCATTGGAGAGGTGGAGTTATATGTTGTGGGAAAGATTTTTTCCCTGTTATTTAGTAATTTGGACCTAATCATGTTGTCCCTAATCAGTGTCTCTCATCCTATATGATGTGATGCTCGTTTTTCTCCCCAGAGGTGAGACGTCAATCTCAGCCTTCGTCCCGAACTGCAGTTCCAGCCTCCTGAACGGGTTGACCTGTTCTGCCACATATGGATCCCCATAGTGCTCACTCTTATTGCTATGAAGCTGGAGTGCAGACTCGCTCCTCTGCAACTCAATGCCCTCATCGTCCCGGTCGGAGGATGTCTCGGCCGTATTTCTACGTCGTTCCTCGCGGACAATCTTCACCTCCCGTGTCACCAGGATCTGGTTCTGGTGGAGCTGCTGAAGGACGGGCCAGAAGACAGGGAGGGACGCCGTGATGGTTGCGATGTCCACTTCCAGTACCGCTAGAACAATCGGCATGGCACCGTACCATGTCGGGTCGAACGTTGGCTTTGTCGTAGCTTGAGTTTCGATTATGGCGGCCAGGCGCCATATCGACATAACGCTAGCACTGGAGCAATTGTGTCAGTATCAAATGGATGATCAATGACAAAGAGGAGCTGAAAACAGGCACTCACAGGCTGCCGAGGCCAAAAAGAGACACCAAGGACCAACGCGAGACAGCTTCTGGCTTCTTGTTCACCAGGAGGAGGGGCGCAGCCAGGCCGAGAACGATCACGTCCAAGACCATATTCGTCGCGGTCAGACTCACATAAATCGAGACAAAGGGGCCCAGGTACAGTGATCCAAATCCATATCGGAAAGCAGGCATCTCGAGATTCCAGTAAGCCTCCACCGGCCACGTCGGTATCCAGCCGAAAACGCTAAATGAGATGGACCATATTGCTACTACGCAAATCATCACTTTTGTGGCTTTTCGGAACACAGATCCCTTGTCGTACACTCGAAGATACTGAAAGAGCAGGGCGAGTTTGATGAGCCCGGCGGACGTTGGATAGAATGCGTTTCCGAAGTCTTTATGAATTTCACATTAGTATTTTAACCTCAAGCTTTGCCGCAGCTGGCCAACAGTACACATGGTGAGACGCACAGAAAATCTATATATACCGAACTTGTATCAGCATTTGCGGCTCAGTGTCAACAGCAAAGTGGCATGTCATGTAATACTTGTATCGTACCTTTAGGTATTTAACCATCCCCGATAAACCTAGGGTTATGAAATGAGAGCCTAGGCCGCCGTGAACTGCGGCAATACATATTGAAGTCGATCCACCCAGCGTGGAGAGCTATCAATTTGAGTCAGAGGAAATAAGTACTCATCACGAAGGCATCAATATGTTGAGAAAAAGACATTATTATGACATACAAGAGACAAGGTGATGAATAAGTCATCCCATCCAGCGGAGTGAAAAAGGAAAAGTCGCGTGTACAGTCTCATTAAAGCACATATGAACGACAAGACCTGTTCATGATCGCTCAGGATCCTCGCGTTGTTAGCCGTCTGGCCAGCAGAAGGGCCGAAGTGAACGAAGCCCCAGTTGCAAGTTGTCTCGAGGTCGTGATCTTCCTACGTACCACGAAAACAATAGTGATGGCAAGAATATTAGACGGGTGATTGAGCAGCGACGGCGCATCATTTAGGTTGTCGTAAGAACCGAGCAGGTCGGTGAGTTTCGTCATGGTCCTGGCATGCCTGTGACGGACTTCGCGGCTACACCATTCAGGGGGCTGTGGTCCGTGTCCGGCTGCTCCGATAGTCAGGCCATTCGATGGCCGTATACACAAGTATGTTGTTGTTGCTTGTCGTCGAGTTCAACTGCCTCGAACGAGTGAGAGGTGGCAGGACCCTGAAGTGAAGGTTGGACCGCGATCGTAGGCGAACGAAATATGTAAAGTGGAAGCCGACATGGAATTTCTTGAAATCAGGTCAAGGGGGCAGCATTCATCATTTCTTTGAATCGAACCGCCCCCAGGCTCCTTTGTACTATGGTACGGAGGTGTGGATCTCGAACCATCCCACCCTGCTTCCCTCCCCTTGGCTGGCCAATTTTTCTTGTTCTCACTTAAAAAGACAAGCGGGGTCCACACCTTACAAGGACCGAGCGCAGATCGGGTACCATAGTACAAACATAGGAGAAAGGGGTCTTTCATATCGCTAATGAGGCCAAAGGCGGATTGGTAAAGACTGGTCCAGGCACCTGGGCTGAGTACCCCAGTGAACGTTTCAACATGTGACCATTACCACGGTCGTATGTGTCTGGATGATTAGAGTCTCAGCAGCGCATGATTTCTCCCATTAAAATGCATCGCAGACACATGCCATGAGCCATGTCGAGCACTCTCCTTGTCGAGCCATGGTCCGAGGGAACATGTAAATCCTTATACAGCCTCAGTCTCGTCTACGCGTTCAGCTCTCAGCAAAAAAAAAGTTTAAAAATCCTATCATTGCACGAGTGAGTTGCAATCTTTCATAACCTCCTTCAAAAGCCACTGAGATGGCAAACACCACCAGTGCGAGCGCACGCTAAGTGCTTGGTCAAACAAACTACGGGCGTAGCTTCACCACCATGACCAACTAACTCGCAACAGGCTATTGTAAATAGGGCTCGTGGTGCTTCCGCCAGCCTGTAAATGGGCAACGCCGATATATAGTATAATGTAGCCCCCAAATCGTCTTCAGGGGGTGCCTGTCAACTTGCTCTGACATTTGGTGTTGGGTTATAGGGACCAAGACGACCGGATGCCGCCTTGGGCCATGTGTGGCTTGAGGGCGTTCCCCAGAATATCTATCACACGCTTCTTTCAACTCAACCATACTGTACGTGGTAGACTAATCACCCCCATTGAACAGCCGCGTCTGGACTCGTGAACATCCTAAACGGGCAGAACTTTCGTCGGCTTGGGACTGTGCCGGGAAAAATCGTACGGCGCTCTTCCCTGGCGGTCCCAGATAAACTTCCGAGAGAGTTGAGTTCTACGAGTCTCTGTCTCTCGCTCTGTCTTTCTTACTTCGTACCAAGTTTTGTGACCAACCGACGCAGCCAACAGCTACCAGTACCAGAAAAGGGATCATAAACCACTTACCTGATAATCATCGAGCGATCTGCAAGTCACCGGCTATCGGCTCTGGGAGGAGAAGGAGGAGTAGGGCAACTCAGCACCCCCTCTTATGCAGGCAATAGGGATTTTCGTGTCTGTGCGCTTTGCCCCGTAAATGATAGTGGTGGGGTCTTTTTATCCCGGGGCTGTTCAGCCTAGAATGATGGAAAACAGTGTTTAGTCTTTTGGTCAAAGCGCTGCGCTCCATCGCAATCTGTTGCTCCGTGCATCGCGGACGTGGAAGGGCCATCCATGTGCTAGAGTCTTGCCAATAGGATCTTATTCATCACTTATGGCCCGACTTTGGGGGAATGCTTAGGTCGGTATACTTGTTGACGATATCCAATGATTGCCACAGAGAATTCCTCATAAATAAGGCATTTTGCTGCAACATGTTGTGTAATATGAATATTATGCTGGCCATCCTCTCTGTACATTTCCATTTCTGACTCGATTACACCAGACTTCTATGGCCAACACTTCTATAATGCAGACATATTAAGGGCACCGCGATTCAGTTCATCCTAGCTGCGATGCTACTAATAGAACCCCCTCGACATCCTTGCACCGTCGCCCTGACTGATTACGACAACACGCTTCTAGAATTTCTCATCAGACGACACCAAAACACATCTTTTGTAACGGTGAATATCTATTATGAGTTCCATTCACATGCTAGCGAGTTTTTCCTTCAGCTACTCATCAATGGCCCCAACTACCATGAGAAGACGTATGGAGGAGATAAGGAGATTAAAAAGACAAACAGCGATATAATGCTACTAAATAGTGCTAGTCGGTTTTTTGATTAGCAGCATCTGTTCCGCGATCCGAGCCTGTTCCAAGCCTGTGGTTGGCTCGAATGCGACACCCTTTCTTTTTCTCTCGATCTCATTCCTGGTCGAGGTAGGCCTATTTTGGGTGGCAGGGGAGGGAGGTTTTGATGGTTGTCAGCTGGATGACCGAGACAGATCGGCATGCCCAATATTATTGAATGGTTGCCAAGTAGCTCCCAAGATCCCCGAAAGGGACATCCCTTGACAGTACGTGTCCCCTTGGCGAGACATCAGTCTTCTTGATTAGTAGTGGTTGTTGAGAGGAGCCAGGGCAAGGGCTACGGACGCACACTGATCTTGGCCCTCAAACCACTAGGCGGCCTCTCTGTTACACGCGCAACTCATATCTTCAGATCTTGTCTTGATACCTCGATGCCATGCCGCCCTCTCCACACCAGGTCCCTCTTGTCCTCGCCGACCTCGAGCTGCAGCGGGTAAGTGGGCACGTGAGAAGCTGTCTCCCATTCTTCGGGATGGTGAGAGAGGGGGAGCAAAAGGTTGATTAGCGGCTCGCACACAGGACTGCTGGGAGCGGTGAGCTTGGACAAGACAGCGTTAAGACCAAGTGGTATAGTGACGACGGCCCAGAAGGTTTTGGACCTGTGAATCAAAGCTTGAGAGCGTCAATACTGTCCTTTGGTGGTGACACTTAAAGAATGGCAATAGTCCTAAAACCCTCACAAGGCTCCGTAAGACCATAGGAAGACGGCAGTGCTGACTGAGAGGAGAGTCTGATATGGTTGACGAACAACGTTATAAAGACGTCCGAGTCACAGACACACCAGGTGCCCTCCGTGTGAGATCAAGGACATGTAATTCGGAGCAAGGTCCAGCTGCAGGGAGTTCGAAAGCCTATCAGACCTGATCATGGCCCATGTGCTCGCCATGTCTGTTATCACACCACACAAGTTTGTAGTGGCCATCTTGGGTTTCATGCTGCTCCTCCTTCAAGGGTAAGTATATGTCCTCCGATCTCACCTCTCTTACACACACACACACACACGATGGACGAGACTCGAGGATATTGACAAACATCTCCCCCAAACCAAGTACTACTGCGGTCCCGCAACCTAATCTAGGCTGCCCCGTCCCCACTGCCACAGTCACCCTCCTCGACCCTCCTCTCATCTGTCTGGAACGGCGCCAGCTGTGCGCAACCCCGAGCTCGGCCTGCTCACCAAGCGAGCCCGAGATTCCCGTCCCCTCAGAGCTGCTCACGCGCACCCGGCTCTCGTGGAACTCGTGCACCGTCCGCGTCGAGATCGAGGATGTCGTCTGGTGTGGCTTGTGTCCTACCTGCACTTCTCCCGGCGTGGTGGTGACGACAACGAGCATCGTCGGCCTCGAGCCGCAGGAGGCCCAACAACAGGAGCGAGAGAAGGAACAGCAGCAGCAGCAGCAGCAGCAGCAGCAGCAGCAACCGCCACTACCGATCCTCAGGCGTGCCCACCACCACAACAACCGCAGGCTGAAGCAACTGCAGCAGAACACCCATATCACGATCTCCGCCAACCCCCACCTCGTTGGTCATATCCTTCCCGGCCGAGCAGCTGGGGAGCTCGCGCCACACGCGCCCCGAGTGACTTCTCCGCCTTCCATTTCTGACAGGGAGCTCGCGCCACACGCGCCCCGAGTGACTTCTCCGCCTTCCATTTCTGACAGGGACCTCGCCCACGGTCCTGCTTGTGAGGGCTTCGCTACGGTGTCGACGACGAAGCCCGTGCCGCAGTGTTTCTGCCCGCTGGCGCCGCAGGCTTGTCGTGAGGGGTGGACTCTTACCTTTCCACCTGTGCCGACTTCGACAGTTGTGGAGGGATGTACGGTCTATGAGGTGGCTGAGCCTGGGTGTCGGTGTCTGGGGTGCGTGGTGGTTAGGTAGATGAAGAAGTATTCAGAACGCTTGGATGAAGGAGACGTTCTCGCTCGCAATGATCCAAGTTGACGTGGGGCTCACTGTTCACATGCTGGAACTAATTTGGTGCTCGAATTGCCTGTCTTGAGGATATTATTCTATATATTTCTCCTTCTGATTGTTATGTTGAGACGACATAATACAGATGCAGGAAACTCGGTGAATTAGGATGAAAATCGATCTTACTGGTTTAAATAAGAAATCGAGGTCCTCTTTTGGTTTCATTATGGCGATGGCAGAAGGCTGGCGCTCATGCTGTTAAGTAAATCTAACCTTGCACAAGCCGGAAGCCTAAGTAAGTAGCAAGCCGTTTTAGGGTTCCCGAGCCGCCGACGTCATCATTGTGTGCCGTACGGAAGAGAAGGAAAGAAAATAACAAAATTAGACCAAGAGCAAACTGCTGAACAGATACTCTGTAGGCCCAGTATTCGTTGACTACAGCGTCAAAGCAGACCCTCATGAACCCAAGTCTTGTGTCGAAGGGCACGCGTTTCTGTGTAACCACCACAAAAGTTTTCAGCGCTGCGTTACAGGCCCCAAGTTCTGTCCAGACCAAGCTGCGTCTGAGCAAATCTCTAGGACCGACGACCATCATGAAGAGGAATGCAGCAACAAGATCAGGCGAGTCGAAGTCCAAGAAGCGACGGGTAGAGCTACCAGAATACCACGCCACGCCATCCCTGAGGACGGACTCGGGCGAGATCATATGGCCTGCGCCTCAGGACCAGATAGACACGGCCCAGGACTTTATACGAGAATGGTGAGTAAGCTGGAGTGTGTGTGAGAAAGAGAGGCCTAGCTACTCCATAATAATTCCTCTACTGATCCAGGGTAGTGTCTCGGCAGGTCAAAAGACACTGATTGTCCCCGACAAAGATGCGGATGGTTTGGCGTCTGGCGCCGTCCTGCAAAAGACCCTGGTACTCCTTGGGCTTGATGCCAAACTCATTGTCGCACATCTTCTCCAGAAGGGCAATAATGTGCATGACGAGACAGAACGAGCTGCCATGAGGGCCCACAAGCCAGCATACATTTTCGTCCTCGACCAAGGCTCCAGGAAATCCCCAGCCGTGATTGACAGCCCGCACCAGGCACTGGTCATAGACCATCACCATGCGCTTGAGGACGAATTTCCCGAGGGCTCGCGGCATGTCTCCGCCTGTGACAGCCCACCAGTGGCGACGAGCTCATTGCTGACGTATCTCATCTGTCGAGAGCTGCATGACGAGGTTCAGAGCCAGTGCGATTGGCTCTGCATCATGGGCACACACGGGGATCTCGGCAATACGCTCAAGTGGGAGCCGCCATTTCCAGACATGAAGGAGGCCTTCAAGAAATACACAAAGAAAGCACTGAACGAAGCAGTGTCGTTGATCAATGCGCCGAGGCGAACAGCGTCGTTCAGCGTGCCTGTGGCGTGGGCAGCATTGACGGCGGCCAAGTCGCCATCAGATCTCCTCCGAAACAGAGAGCTTCTAGCAGCAAGGGCAGAAGTCAATGCTGAGGTCGAGCGGTGTACGCATACAGCTCCTAAGTTCAGCGGAGACGCCAAGATCGCTGTGTTCCGGATCAATTCAGCAGCGCAGGTGCACCCCGTGATTGCTACGAGGTGGGCTGGGCATCTTCAGTCGGCCAAGCTGGAGGTTGTCATGGTTGCCAACGAAGGATATGCGCCGGGGCTGGTGAACTTCTCCTGTCGCATACCGCGGACGGCCAGAGCAAGAGATCCTCCCGTTAACATCATAGAGATTCTCCGTGGTATCGCGGCAAAAGCGCCCGACGAGACCTTGCGAGCTAGACTTGGAGAGTCGTTTGCTCGCGGTCATAAAGAGGCCAGTGGTGGCATCGTTCCAGTGAAGGAGTTCGAGGAGCTGCTGGAGATTATGGAAGTCGGGAAGAAGCCCGAGGGCGCAACTTCGACCAAGAAGGACTCCAAGCAAGGGAACATGATCACAAACTATTTCGGTAAAAGGCCATAGACATCAAAGCGAAGACAACTCCTTAGCTTTTGGTTGATATAGTGGTGGTGGCTCATGGTTGCCGAGGTTTAGGACAAGGCGTGCTCCTAAGCGGCGAGACAACAATAATTAGCATCCAAACAAATCTTGCTGGGGCCAGAATAGAGTCATTGGGTTGGACATACCTTGACCTCAGAATTTGTTTATATGCGTCTGCGTCTGCGTCTGCGTCTGCATCCGTATTCCCATCACCCATGTAGTCATACCTGCTGCATCTTGCTGCAGTTGACCCACAGCCATTGTTTTCCGTAGCGGCCGTATATTGCTCATATGTTCTTCAGAAAGTGCGGCTTGAACTTCCGATTCGCCCGATCCGCCGCTCGAATGGCAAACTGGTCCCCCAAGATCTCAAACACCAGGTTCTTGGTCGAAGGTCGAGCATCTTGATGTGCGTTCTCGTCGAGCTTGGGCACAGCTGGTGGGGGCACTTCAACCCTGAACATGGTCCCCTCCTTGGGCACGATCTTGACCTTGTTCTTGGGCGTGATCACCTCAAAGACAAATCGCGTGTCTCTGATGACGATCCCTTTGATCCCCACCCGCCCAACACACCCACTTCTGACCACCTCAACCTCGGCGCCATGGAAATCAGCGGCGCTCAGCTTCGCAGCCGCCCCCTGACCGCCAGTATGCACCTCGTTTCCCAGGATTTCCCTTACGTAGCCCAGCCACAGGTCATGCAGCGGCACGAAGGTGGCGTACTTCTGCCCATCGCGGGGAACCTCGTACAGGCCGAGCTTCTTGCGCTGCTTCGCGGAGAGAGGTTTGGGTTTGAGGGCCTTCCTCCTCTCTTTTGCCTTGCGCTCGCGTTCTTTGCGGCGGGCTTGCTTCGCTGTGGTCTGTGGAGGTGGGGAGGTTGGTCGTAGGAAGATGGCGCGGTGCTGGATCTTTTCAGTGTAGATGCGCTCGGCAGAGGTTGGCGAGTGGGCGCGCGCGAGGAGCGCTTGGGTAGTAGGAGGTTCTCTGGATGTCATGTTCGTATCATATCTTTTTAATTCTTCTCTTCCTTCTTTTCTTCTTTCTTTGTATCACGTCTGAGCTGTCGAACTTTGGAAAAAGAGAGGTTCAAGTTTTGTTTGGATCGAGGGAAGAAAACTCCTGAGCTTTGAAAAAGCTCTTATCGGTACCACCCATCACCCGCTGTAAGCTCCCACTGCAAGGGCCCGCCTGTAGCCTGTATGTAGCCTGCCGCCAGCCTAGCTGCAGGGCCAGGGTTCAAGTCGGAACCCCGCCCGCCCGCTTCGGTTCTCCAAAGTCTGGGGAAAGCAGCAGTGCTACTGTAATTTTGGCCATTTAGCGTCATTATGCATGCAAGCTTCACATGCTATTTCCTTTCCCCCACCTCTTATTCGCAGCGGCTCGGCAGTAAGAGTGGTGAAGGTGGAGACACCACCACGGACAAGCAAAGTCCACAATTGGTCCGCTGGGGAGGTCAATGTGACCTGCCAATTTACTGCCATGTATGTCCTCTGCATGACACCCTACCTACTTGAGTACCAGACGACCATTAAAGACGCCTAGGCAACCTGCTCTAATGACCTGATTTCTGCAGCAAGAATATCATCAGCTCATTCCAACAACAGATCATGATTGTACCATAGCCACACGAACCAGACCCCCGAAGACCTCGGGAACGAGCCCTAACGATACTCCCCCCCCCTCCCAACTCTTCTGCTAGTCCTCCTTCTTCTCCTCGAAACGAGTACCGATCTTTTCTACCCACCATGGCGAATGGCGACGACGACGCAAGCAGGGATTCAGCACCCGATCTGAAGATCCTCGGTGACCGGATCACCCTCCATCCCTCTGGCTATATCGAGCCGCCTGTGTCCACAACTCCGTCTGGCGCAGCTGCAGCAGCTGCAGCGCAGGAGGAGGAGGCCCTGATGAAATACACTGCGCACTTCCGCTCTGAACCCCTCCAGTTCTTGCGTGAGGTCTCTCTCTATGTCTCGGGTACTGGATGGCGTGCATACGACCATGTCATAGGCCAGCCCATCTTCTACTCGGGCTTCAGCGAGAATATGAAGAACGCGATCTTGTCGGCGCCGCTGCTGAATGCCCGCATAGCACGGTTGGCAGACAGGCGGCTTGCCGTGGAGGAGGCACAGGGCATGTTAGGCGACAAGAACAAGAGCAGGAACGGCAAGGACTATGTCGTGCGGAAGGCACAGCGCCGGACTGCTTTGGAGCAAGGGCTGAGGGAGATCGCTGAGAAGTGGACAGACCACATGATTTGCAAGTTCGAAAGCAAGACCTTCATCAGGGGCGCGTACTACCTCACCACCCAGCTCTTGACCAGGGCCTATCACCAGGGCATACATGTCTCGAGCGAGGAGGTGCTGATGCTGCGGAGGGTCGCCCAGCAGGCCGCCGCCAAGAAGCAGAGCATTGTATTTCTGCCCTGCCATCGCTCTCACGTCGACTATGTCTCTATGCAGCTGATTTGTTACCGCCTGGGCATTGCGCTGCCCGTCGTTGTCGCCGGCGACAACCTAAACTTCCCGCTCGTGGGCAGCTTTTTGCAGCATGCAGGTGCCTTTTATATTCGGAGATCCTTTGGCGATGATGCGCTGTATACAACGCTCGTGCAGACCTATATCGATACGTTATTGCAGGGAGGCTTCAATTTTGAGTGCTTCATCGAGGGCGGGAGATCACGCACGGGCAAGCTGCTGCCGCCGAAATTCGGCATTCTGAGCTTCATCATCGACAGCCTCCTGTCTGGCCGCGTCGAGGACACCATTATATGTCCTGTGAGCACCCAATACGACAAGGTCATCGAGACGGAGGGGTACGTGACCGAGCTCCTGGGCGTCCCCAAGAAGAAGGAAAACCTGGCCGACTTCCTCTCGGGCGGCTCGTCCGTTCTCTCCCTCCGGCTAGGCAGGGTCGATGTCCGCTTCCACGAACCATGGAGTCTCCGCGGCTTCATCAACGAGCAGCTGACCCGTCTCGGAAAACCTCCCTCGACGAAAAGCACAGCTGGTACGAGCGGCGAGACAGATCCCATGATTCGGCAGAAACTCCTCCGCACGCTGGGCTACAAGGTCTTGGCCGACATTAACGATGTCTCCGTGGTCATGCCCACCGCGCTGATCGGCACGGTTCTGCTCACGCTGCGAGGGCGTGGCGTCGGCAAGGCAGAGCTGATCCGCCGCGTGGAGTGGCTCATTGAGCGGGTGCGCGCAAAGGGCGGGCGGGTCGCGCATTTTGGCAACGCGCCGCTGTCGGTCGTCATCGAGCGCGGCCTGGAGGTCCTGGGCAAGGACCTGGTGGGCGTGGTCGAGGGCCTCGCAGAGCCTACGTACTACGCCGTCGACCGCTTCCAGCTCTCCTTCTACAGGAACATGACCATCCACCTGTTCATCAGCGAGGCGCTGGTCAGCGCAGGCATGTACACGCGCGTCAAGCAGGGCGGCGGGCCCGCGATCCAGGACATCTCGATCGGAGACCTGCGCGACCAGGTGCTGTTCCTGTCTTCCCTGTTCAGGGGCGAGTTCATCTTCTCTGGGGAAGGGTTGGCGGTGAATTTGAACAGGACGCTCGCAGGGCTGGAGGCAGACCAGGTGATCACGCTGACGAGAGATGAGAAGGGGAACATCACGACTATTGGGCTGTCGGATCGAGAGAGACAGGTCGGTCGGGAGAACTTTGACTTTTACTGTTTCCTGATATGGCCTTTTATAGAATCCAGCTGGCTGGCAGCTGTCTCGCTGATGGGCCTGACGCCTCCGCCGGGACTGCAGAATGAGGTCTGGATCGAGGTGTCCAAGGCTCACAACAGCGCGCAGCTAGTAAGTCATGCCCATCATCTTCTGTCCCTCTTGGATGCGAAAGAGAGAGAGAGAGAGAGAGACGAACACAATGACTGGTCTCAAATATTCTGACATGATTTCAAAACAGCTCGGCAAAACCCTCTACCACCAAGGCGACCTCTCCTACTTCGAGGCCGTCAACAAGGAAACCCTCAAGAACTCGTACCAGCGCTTCGAGGAAGAGGGCATCATCGACGTGGTCCGGTCCAAAGATACCAAAATACCCCCGCGCCTCCGCCTCTCGCCCGAGTGGCAGCCGGCCCGCGACCCGCAGACAGGCAGCCTCGACGCCCTCGGCAGCAGGCTGTGGCTCTTCACAGAGAAGATTGCCAGCAGCCGCCGCGAGGGCAAGAACCGGCGCAACGGGGCGACGGTGAGCACGCGCGTGGTGCGGCTGACGGATGTGCTCGGCAGACGGCTGTTTGAGCAGGCCGTCACCGGGGACGGGAAGGGGAAGAAGAGTAAAGGGAAAGGGAAGGCGGGGGAGGGCGCGAGCTATCCGACGCTCAGCAGCGAGGATGCGACGGCGCTTCGGAGGAGCGTTAAGGAGGGGAAGAGGAGGCGGAGCTTGGAGAAGAGGGCTAAGCTGTGATGTGGCTATCATCCATGCGAGGCCATCATCTCTTTTTTTTTTTTCTTCTTCTTCTTTTCTTCTTGTTCAAATATGTGTAATATTTCGGCAGGAAAGAAGGAAAGAAATTAATCGACTGAGCGCATTGTGTTTATGGGGAAGAGCGAGCGATTTTTGATCCAGTGCGTTCTACGATTAAGAAGCCGTGTGCATGGGTGAAGACATATACTACAACTCCCACCAAGAGTTTAGCATAGAAAAGAAAAGAAGTCGTCTTGGGGTATAATTGCGATATGTACGTCAAGAGCACACGGCATCACGGTACATAAAATCTCTCATCTGGATGATATCTACCGTCTACAAGTCACAACCCTCTTTTGTCATTCAGGCATCATCTTCCTTGCCTGCTTGCTCTTGTATCCGAGGAGGCAGGATGATATTGTCAATCAGCCTGACGGGCGGACCACCACTATGGCCCAGGTCCTCGCCCTCCTGCGCCTCATACACAGGCAACATCTTGATGGCGCCGCTCAGGATAGCGCCGCGGGTCGGGTCGACCTCGTCGAGCTCCTCCATGGTGTCAGGGTCGGCCAGGGAGATGTAGTCCAGCTCAAACATGACGCCTTCCCTAGGCGACAGCCGCATCTGCTGGTCCAAGACGTCCAAGATCACCCTCAGAGCCGCGGGCACGATGTCGGCGGCCGCAAGTGCCCCCTCCTCCAGGTACGCAGCCTCAGCAGCCCGCAGCGCAGTGACCAGGACAGGAGCAGTCCTACGTCGTCTGGTGCCGAGGTAGACGTTGCGGCTGCTCAGGGCCAGGCCGTCACTGGGCTCCCTCGTGGTGGGGACAACGGCGACATCGAGGGGCAGACAGAAGTCGCGCACCATCTTGCGGATGACAACGGTCTGCTGGACGTCCTTTTGGCCGAAGAAGACGCGCGAGGGGAGGACGATGTTGAACAGCTTCATGCACACGGTGGCGACGCCGCGGAAGAAGGTTGGGCGGGTCTTGCCCTCGAGCAGCTCGCCCACGGGGGTGATGGTTACGAAGCTGCCCTTGGAGTCGGGCTCCTGGCCTGGGAAGCCGGAGGGGTACATCTCGCTCGTCGTGGGAGCGAAGACGGCCATCTGCAGGTCGCTGCTGCTACCTCCCAGCGTGCTCTGGAGCTCTGGGTACAAGGACGAGAGGACGGCGCAGTCGCCGTCCCACGTCTTGGGGTAGCTGTCCAGGTCCTCGCTCACTCCGAACTGCGCCGGGTTCACGTATATACTGACGACGATCTTGTTGTGCCCGCGGAGGGCGGCCTGGCGAATCAGATCGGTGTGGCCTACGTGGAGGGCGCCCATGGTCGGGATGAGGGCGACGCCCTGGTCTTGGGAGGAGGAAGAGGAGGACGGAGATGGGCTGCTGCTGCTGCTGCTGCTGCACACATCTGACGTCCACTGGCGGACATCAGACACGGTGCGCAGGACACGGATGGGCGTGTTGGGGATGTACTCGGCCTCGGGGCGCGGAGGGGCATCTTGGAAGATGGTGAGGACGCGCTGTACTTGGTGTTGGTGCTGGTGGGAGGCGAGTCTGCGCGTGGAAGGCGACGACGGTGTGCTCGTGCTTGCGGCAGCAGCGGTATCAGAAGCAGTGGCAGCGCTACTCTGGTAACGTCTTGAGCATGTCAACGACAGCGACGAGGAGGAGGAGGAGGAGGAGGAGGAGGCTATCGAGGCAGCGCTGCGCAAGGCGCATTGTGAGGCGGCACGCGAGCTCGCAATGGGTCGCAGCGCGCGTGGAAGCATGGCGGGCGCAGGTATGCAGGTGGGTAATTTAATTTTTTTTTGGGAGAAAGAAAGCTCAGAGGAGATGAGGAGAAAGTCAGGAGAAAGTCAGGAAGCGGTGCTGCGCCATGGCAAGGACGCAATGGCTGAGAATTATAAAGGTCATGCTGTGATGTTTTGTGCAGCGCAATTTTGAGGACGGAGCGAGGCAAAAGTCGTTGCTCCTAAGAGGTAAGGATTACATAAGAGAAGTGGGACCCCAACCCGAACCGTGTACAGAAATTATGATCTGGGCTGCGAAGGCTGTCCTTGAAATTTGAACCAATGGCTGCATTCTCCTTTGTGGGCATATACTATTTATTAAAACAGACAAGAAGATAATATTGGCGGTAATTACTATACACCATGCGAGTCTGTGTCTTCCATAACAAGATGTGGGGGAGAAAGAGTGAGAGGAAACACTGCCTAGATCCATCGATCCGTGCCATCATCCTCACCGAAAGCGACCTCGGGATGGATGGCACAATCCATTTTCCAACCATACGTCCTGACGCGTTGCATCTTCAAAGATGCAGAAGATATCTAGACCCTTCTTGTCATCTGCTTATCTCTTTACATCAGTCAAGAGAGAGGAGAGAGGAATGAGAATCATGCCACCCTCATCAGAGAGAAGATCATACTACATATTTAATCGCCGAAATACGCGGTGAATTCGTGCGCGAGTGCGACCTCGGATTATCTTGTTGGGCAAATCGAATATTATGTCTGTATACTCGGAATGGTTTTCGGTGCCTGGCTCGGGGCGTATTATTCCAGACCGCCAAGGCATGCGAACTCGATAATTTCATACATAGTGATTAGATGCTGTACAGACAGCAAGAAAGCAATTCATAGTTCGGATTCAAGGGGGAGAGGAGGTTGCATTACTGTATTAACATATGAACCAACACACTGTGAGTAAGTAAAGCAAAGCAAGGTCCCAACAGACCGAGTTCTGATCTGTACTTTTTAATGGACACTTTAGTTGGTTCAAGATAAACATTCTCTATCTAATCAATTCATCAATTGACCTGTCTTTTGTGGGCCTCTGCAACTCTTGAGGGCTGATTTTGTTGTTGTTCGATCAAAGTTCACTTGCCCCTGAGGTCCTCACCGGCGCCACACAGTCCAAGGCTTAGGCTAGGAATTACCCCATGCTACAGTAGGTTAGTCCCCTAGTTTCTTAGATAACCCATTCAGGTATTATACCCTCACCTTTCAGCTGACCTGTGATTCAGCTGCGCTCGCCTGTCAGCATGGATTTCATATAAATCCAAACCATAATCACACCATCAACTGACCAGTGACTACTTGATCTTCATCCAATTCCAATCAAACAACAGTGACTCAGGAGTACAACTTACTACATTTTTACAGACCAAAAACAAACAGTGAACTTATCTCTTCTGAAACTTCTTTATCACTTCCAGCACAGCATTGCATGTGAGGGAAGCTGACAAGACTGCCAACGGCTGGGGGCTGAAAAGTGCCCCTGGTCTTATGAATTGATCCTCGTTGTCTGCAGTCTCGTGCAGTCTCGTGCCGAGAGAGTATTGATACTGACTGGAAAGCATCCATCAATTGAATGAAGCAGTTTCGCTGCACCTCTGTCTTTTCTTCCACAAACATCTGCAAGCCCCTCAGCACACAAAACAATAAAGATGCTGACCTCAGCTGTCATTGTAAGCCTCTCAACCCATGCCACACTATCCTCACTGTCTATCTGATACCACCACCATTTCTAGGTCGGTGGCTCCCTCAGTGGACTCATCCACGGTCTCTATCTCAAGCGCCAGGGCGTCAACGTCACCATCCTCGAACAAGACGTCAACGAGGAGCGGTCCAGCCACAACGCCGGCATCCAGATCAGCGACAATGTGAACAAGTTCCTGCGCCAGAACGACATCACAGGCGCGCGGCTCGCGTTCCAGTCGCAGGCCATGCACTGGTCCCTCCGCACGCGTCCCAAAGTCTACAGCAGCAGCACGGCCACCAGGTACTGGACCAACTGGGGCTATGTGTACCGCATCCTGCGGGCCAACTTCGACGGCTACGTCTCCAAAGCGTGTCCGGACCCTCCGGCCGCGAGGCCCAGCGATGGACAGGTTCAGTATCTGACGGGGAAGCGGGTGACGGGCATGCAGTATGCCGACGGCCTGGTCAGCCTCGATTATGTCGACGCGACAGGCAAGGAAGGGTCCCTGTCCTCCGAGCTCGTCATCGGCGCCGACGGGAACCACTCGACGGTCCGAAAGCTGGTGCAGGCTCCGCAGGCTGAGCCAGAGAACTACGCTGGCTACTTTGCTTGGCGAGGATCGGTGCCTGTGAGAGATGTGTCCAAGGAGACGGCCGACTTCTTCCTTAATGGCATCTGTTTTGACTTGTTGGGAAATAAGTCATACATCTTGTGGTATGTTGATGGGACTCCGATGCAGGTTTCTATTTTGTGATGATACCCATCCATGTCTTCTTTTTTCTTCCTCATTGTCTGCATAGTAGCCTGGTGGATCTGGATGCTTGAAAATTAACACCTGTCCCAGCTATGTCATCCCCACCGATCACGGCAGCTTTGAGTCAGGCGAACTGCTACTCAACTGGCTCCTCTACCAGGACCTCAAGGAAGGCTCGCCAGAAGAGGAGGCCATCTTCACCGACATCCACGGCCGCAGAGCCCAACGGACCATCCCACAGGGGCTCGCCAACCCAATCGTGTGGGAGACCCGCCGCAGCGCCCTCGTGCAGCGTATGATCCCCCCCTTCGCAGAACTTCTGACCAAGTCGCCCACCCCGTTCGTCACCAAGATCTTCGAGGCCCTGGGCAGCCAGGCAAGCTTCTGCGAGGGCCACGTGATCCTCGTCGGCGACGCCCTGGCCTCCTACCGGCCCAACATCGGGCGCGCCACCGACCAGGCCGCCGCACACTGCCTGACGCTCGCCGAGGTCCTGCAGGGCAAGAAGTCTGTTGAGGCGTGGGACCGCGAGACTTGTCGCGAGGCGAAGCGCGTCACATTGCTGAGCAGGTTCATGTCGGAATTCACGCGAGGAACTTGGTTCTCCTTCTTTAAGGCGGCCGTCTTTTTTCTGTGGTTTAACTGGAGGAACAAGCCGTTGAAAGGGTGATCCGTATGGTCGTCCTAGTTTTGAAGCTTGATGTTTTCAGTCACCGATGTGTCGAAGAGTCCATGGTTATGAATATTAGGTGATAGTTCATTACATGGTTACATCGATGATTCGAGCGGTCACACTGAGACCTGTTGTATGTGTGTGTGTGTGTGTGTGTGTGTGTGTGTGCGCGCGCGCGCCAGCACTTGAAAATGTAGTAATTGATACCATCTGAGCACGATTTTAAGAATGTTTCGCTTTTGCTCAGATTTCTTGATTGTTTCTCTCAATCAGAGAAAAGAAAGGATGAGAAATCAAGAAGCAATCCATCACCATGACCGCATTGCACTGTAACAGCGGCGTACAACAATATTACCAAACAGGTTTAGCCGACAGACACGTTTTGGCCGCCAGCAGCTGGCTCAAACACCCCAGCGGCACATGAAACCCAAGACGCCTCCTGAAGGAAAAATGCCATCGCAACCAGCAAAATTCTGCGACGGACGAGACGGACTGCAAGTGTGTGGGGCTCCGCTCATTCTACAAACCCATGGCGTAAACCCGCCTCATCCTAGACCATGTCCTCTGTGCTTGGCTCCATGTCGTCTCAGCAGCTTTCTCAAACGCGAGGAAGGGAACTTGCAGGGCCCTCGTTACAGATTGCCAAGCGTGTGTGATTTCCTCTATAGACAACATGGGCTCGTCCGTCTGAATTATATCAGTGAGAGGGGAGTATGAGCTCTTTGTGTGTTTCTCGAATGTTTTTGATTTCTCTTTCTCTGCTTGAATTTCCCTCGTCCCGGGTCTATTGTTTTTGCATCTCCCCCAAAGCAAGCTGCTGGTAGCTTTTCCCCAATCAACTCGACAGCAAGTCCCTTACCCGACCTCATTAATCACCCACAGCGAACGACAGATCAAGAAGAAAACAAGGCGGGAAAAATGGATCACAAAGCTAGCAAATACGAGACCATCTGGAGCGCCGAGGACGCCGACCGCGAGGAGTTCCTCTCCGAGACCGACGTGGAAGACGGCCAGCAAGAGAAACACTGGCGCTGCGAAGAAGAAGATGGCGGACGTGCCAGCAGATGGGCCCAGCCTCGGAGCGGAATTCTGTTCATACTCAAATCATATCGGTGGATCATCGACATGTCGTTACTGGTAGTGATAACGGTGTTATTACTGCTTCTGTTGTTCAGAGGGCCTCTGCACCAGCCGACGACGAGCAGCAACAGGCAAATCGGCGGGGATTTCTCTGCTTCGAGCCATGAGAGTGAGTCGCTTCCTCGGCCCATCTTAATTCTCTATCTGTCTTGCCGAGAAAACCCCCCCCCCCCCCAACAGAGCAAAAGCTAAAAAAGATTGAGACGATCAGTTGCGGTGAACGTTGTGAAATGGAATGCAGACGCATCGTTCGTGCCAACCAATACGTCGGAGTGGTTTTCTGATGCTCTGGTGGCGAAGTGGAACACAATGTTGCCTTGTAAGCCCGTTCCCCCTGGTCTTTTTACCTTTTTTTTTTTCTTTTTTCTTTTCTTTCTTACTCTTCCCCCCTCCCCGTCTTGTTATTATTGCCTAAGTAAGCAGTGATTTTCTAATTGGATTCTCGGCCGAATCAGCGGACGTATCGCCTCCCGGGGGCCCAACAGGCGAGGCGGGGACCATCTTTTCGGCAGATTCCATGACGCACCAGCTGCACTGTCTTGTAAGTCTAGTCAAGGTGAAACGGTAGATGTAGATCTGAAGTGGCTAACAGAAAGTCATATAATGAAGTTTATGATGGGAAGAATATACTCGACCCTCCGAGAGAACAGGTCCGAGGAAATCGATGACGGCCTGCATACCCACTTTATGCATTGTATCGACTACATTCGCCAGGCGGCAATGTGTACGGGCGACGTAGCGCTTGAGCCGCACTCGGCATCGGATGGAGCGGACCTTGGGCCGCTCGATGGAGGATGGAATGGAGTTCATGGTACGGAAACCCGACTTTTGTCCTACCTTTCTAACTGATCGACTCTTTGATTGTTGACTTGTCCCTTTTCTCCAGTGTGCAAAAATTATGACGAGGTTGTCGACTATCTTGCAGGTATGTTGGACGGGCAATTCCTTTGTCAACGCCCCCCCCCCTCCTTCTCCTCTTGCCATGTTAGGGAATATCTTTGTGCCTCAGATGCTGATCTGCTTAGCTGGCATCCGTGACGGAACACGAGTGGTGCTCCCCATCGATGACTGAGTGGTCAACCATGGGAAGGACCTGCGACCAGAAGGAAGGAAAGATAAAGCCTTGATTGCTTCCGGGACACCTGCAGCTTACCTACCTCCTCTGGGGGTCCCCGCCGTTGAAAGAAAGCAAGACTCCGCTCTCTCTGTCACATCACGTTCACATTCAAGGCCACGAACCCGCTGGCGGACGCACGGGGACGGGACGAGGGACCACTTTCACCTGCAAGCACTGGATGATCGAAAGATGAAGAAAGAGAGAGTGTGTGTGCTGGTACGGCCCGGAGGGGGATAGTATGGTAATAATTAGGTCCTGGCTTGTAGCGAATTGTCACCGCACGCGGCGGCTGATGGTTTCTGCTTTGGATCCCGTGGGTTTTCGGCTATGGTGTCGGTCGTGGTGGAGCCCGCCCACTTGGATGCTGATGCGCGCTTCAGGTGATATCATATTTCTGAGGGAGGGAGGGAGAGAGAAGAGAAAAAGAACGTCCAGCAATCGGACCTTCTCATACTTATCCAGAATGGAGAAGGAGGGGTCTCAGCACTGACCCTGTCTATGATAACGGCGGGCCATATTCTACATTCGAAGGAGTTGGGTTGTTTATAGGGAGGCAAGGAAGACAGGGAGGGAGGGAAGGATAAGAAGTGCATAATCTATAAGTCTCTTCGTCATTGGGGCACACTCGCCTCACTAGCCCCCTTTTTTCCTCTTTTTAATCTTCTTCCGGCCTTTTGTCTTTTTTGTCTTCTCTCTCCACGCCAACAAGAGTGCAGCAAAAAGCCAAATTGCCATAGGGTGTCTGGCACAAATGGATTTTCTAAAGGGAGTCAGTCTTGTCCAGATGACCAAACTTTTCGTACGATCCTGAAGACACCTCCTAGCAATCCACACTTGCGTCGTTGACCCCGTGGCTCATGGAGCGCGTGGTCATTTTGTAAGCAGAATATCCTCTCTAACCGCCGAGAACGGGAGGCGGAGGGCTGGTGTATACAATCATAAAGACATCACAAGGGCTAAGAAGAAAACTGATACGTCTGTGTGGTCATGCAAACATGTGGGGTTGGATTTCAGGAAGTAAACCGAGTGGCATCTGGTTATCTCTGTCTGGTTTTCTCCAAAAGAACCCGCCGAGAACGAAGGCCCAATGAATCGATCGTCCAGTAGCAAAGCGCATACGGCGTGACTAGATAGAAAAAGAAAGAAAAAAGAAGAAAAAAGGGAATGGATTCGCCAACTGTTCTGCCTCGTGTGCGTGCTGGAACCTCTGTGGTCATGAGGGCACGCACGATAGGTGTCGGTGAGCCCCCGTCAAGGGCTCCGCTGGCGTTGGCGCGTCAGGATGCCTTAATCGTTGCAGAGCGGTGGAGTTGTGCATTGGGAATCCTTGCAGTAGAGGAAAGCTTTGTGGGGTCCATCCATCCAGCAGGCGACTAAGTAGGACCAGGGCCCTTATCTGCATTGGCGAAAGAATTGCCCATGGCGGGTTGGGTGAAAAACAAAGATGGTTGAGCCTATGAGCGGTGTGCACGTTTTTTTCTTTGCCTCTCTTCGTCGCTTGCCAGTCATTCAGTGCAGCCTCACTGATCTCGTAACAAGCATGAACAATGTCCATAGAAGGAGGCCCGCTGCGGAGAACAGTCTCCAGGACTTTGCATGAACCGTGATGCATAGTACACTGCGATTTCTTAAACTATATCTAGTGTTGGTGAGGCGGTGGATTGACCGCTGCCTGGTCTTGGCCTTGAACAAATTTCCTCTTGGGGTCTTTATATATCATTCTCTCTCTACCTTGACAATTTGATCTGGTCCCGGCTTTTCGTGCCATCGTCGTTGTCGTCGCCTTGATCATCGTCATCATCTTCTTGTTCTTCCTCTGCTCCAGCCTCTCTCGTCCCTTTTTGAAAGAAATACGAGTGATACTTTGAAAGTGCAAGTCTCCTTTGCAATAAAGTATGGCCGAGGTTCAGCGCCGTTCGACCACCACAGGCGATTTAGGACACGAGCGTGCTACTCGTCGAAAGTCTGGCATTTTCTTCTTCAACCGATCGTTCAAGAAGTAAGTTGATATGGCTTCTCTCCTCCATATCGGTTCAAACCAAAGCCCTCCCTCTGCCACGTTCTCCTAGCTTCTGCTCCTCTTTCTCCTCATGTCTTCTATTGTACAATTCAACTTCTTCTTGCCGCCTCTTTACAACACCGATTTTTCATACAAGTCATAAGAGAAAATGTGGGATACACGTCTAGTTACAAACGTAACCATACAACGGTCGTCACCTTGTCAAGATTCAACGAGGAAGAATGGGTTTATAGGGTTTTTTGCTGCCTTATAAACCTCATCCTCGGTGGCAAAGCGTCCGTAAGCAAAGATGACCATCAAAATCCGCACTTGCTCGTTAAATATCACCACAAATCACCTTGGCAGGGCTCTCTGGTGCGAACAAGTGTTTCTCATACAAGTGTACACACAGAAATCTGGACTCAGCAGTCGAATTGAAGCATGAAATCGTCGTCCTTCATCCGACTCGTCGGTTGACCAAGAAGAGGCGTCCCATGCCACCTGCCAGTCCTCCCACAGAAGATGATGAAGACGACTTCAGGAGGCCTGTTTTCCAGAGAAAGGTTTCCATCCCTCTGGCGAGCAATCCGACCTATACGACAGACTCGATCTATTCATTTACATTCGGGTACTCATGACCCAGCCTTTTTCTCCTTTCTTCTTTTCTTATGCTTAGAACGTGGCTCCATTTCAACAAAATGGTATAAATTATACATAAACTTTGTTTGCTGACTTCTGTACAAGGTCTACGTCGTCTCCCAAGGGTGAAAACGACAGCAACGGCTCGACTCCCACGACGCCGACCCTGGGCCCAGTCCAGGATGGATTCGATCTGAAAAGGTCAGATTCGGGACGGAGCATACCGGTCCTCGCCCAGACATCTGCTGTTACGGTCGAGGCTGAACGCAACCTTAGCTCATCCCCCAAGTCGGCATCCATCTCCCTGGGAGAGGCCGCCCAGAAATCAGGGTCCCCTGCAGGCAGCATCAAGGACGCAGCGGCCGCAGACGCCACTGCAGCAGCAGAAACCAAGCCGACAGAAGACCTCCCGACGCCCCCAGACACGCCAGGCCCTTCCTCGACAAGTGCAGCTGTCTGCCAGGAGAACGAGCCGGCCGAAGAAGAGGACAGCAAGCCTGAGGAGCCCCAAGTCGAGAAGAAGTCCTTCTCCGAGGATGCCGACCTCGAGATCCAAGTCCGAAACGCACAGGGCGAGGATGTCATCTACGCCGTCCGATCTCATGTCCTGGAGAGTGCGTCTCGCGTCTGGAAGCAGAGCATACCCGCCAGGACCTCTGACACCATCGACCTGTCCTCGGATTCTGCCTATGGCCTGGATATCCTCTTCTCAATCGCCCACTACCGATTCCAAAGCCTGCCCCAGCAGCTCGACGTTGGCGAGCTGTACGGAACCGCCGTTGCTGCGGACAAGTACGAGGCCATCCACCTGCTGGCGCCCTTTGTGAAATCCTGGCTCGTCTCTCTCTCGACAGCAGCCGAGTCTCAGTCCAACGAGACCCTCGTTGCAGGCTTTGTCCTCGGCGAGGCGCAGTCCTTTGCACGAACCATCGCCCACTGCGCCTACAACTCCAGTCTCAGCACCACAGAGGAGGGCGCCGTCCTCCTCGACGCCCATGGCAAACCATGGAGCGAGCAGCCCTTGACAGGCGAGGTGATCGACCTCCTGGCCGCCGTGCGCCTCAGCGCCATCGAGCAGATCATCGAGGCCGTGAGCAAGCCCGTCAACACGCTGCTGAACCCGCAGTCGGGCGCCGCGGGCGGCGAGCTCCCCCGGTTCTGCCAGGCGCCTGGCGACGACGACTCGGTCCGCGAGGAGTGCGAGCAGCTCCAGCTCGGCTCCGCCATCATGAGCCTCACCAAGGCCAAGCTGTGGCCACCCCCCGCGCCCTCCAGCATCCAGGCCAGCCCTGCCGAGCTGGCGCGCACCTATGCCGACGTCCGCCTGCGGAGGTCGGTCGAGGACGGCCACGCGCAGTGCGGCTTTGGCCACCAGGACCAGTTCGCCAGGATCCTCGCCCAGCCTGCCAAGCTGACGCCCGTGGTGGTCGAGCAGCTCGTGAGCCGCGCCAAGCAGTCTGGCGTGTACGAGGAGGAGACGTTCAAGGCCCTGCAAGAAGAGAGCCCTGTTGAGGAAGAGGAGTCTGCTGCTGTGGCCGAGTAAGGCTCGATACGTGATTTTGTTGATTGGTTGGTTGGTTGCAGAGGAAGAGTTAAGTATACCCGGACAAGCAACAAGACATTCTACCGGTGTGATTCAAGTCTTTTTGTCTTTCTTATGGCATCAGCAAATTTTGTTGTTCATGGTTCGTGTTTTGAAAGCGTGTTATTTGGAGATTTCCAGAGACGGGTTCTCGGCAAGGCTGAGAACAAAGGGACAGGAAAAGAAAGAAAACGTTCGTTTTATTAGACGCCATCATTTTTATCCTGGAGGCTGTGTTGGCTCACGTTCGTCCACTCCTTTGTCTTTATTGTAGTTGTTAGCGCAAGGTAGTCGGCGTCGTCGTCGCTACCTCCAAATACCACAGTGCTTGACTCCTCATCTTGGGAGGGATGATCATGCTGGTCCTGATGCTTGACGGATAGGTAATCTTCTGCTGTTTTGGATACTGTTGTGGGTGCGGTACTATGTTGGGCACCAGGTGATTTTCGATGGCTCCAAGACTTGCTATACCTGGTTCGAGCCGTGATCTGACGCCTGAGCCCGCGATAGAGGGGCCGCAGTGTTGCAAGCGACGTGGACATGATGAGGAATGAGCCCTCGGCGAAGTGTGTCATGGAGAGGTAGACGAGAGGATCTGAAAGGGCGTCAGGGTGCTAGTCAGGGTGAAAAGCTCCTAGAAGGAGGAGGGGCAAAAAAAAAAAGAAAAGAAAAAGAAAAAAACACGCCATCATAAGATGACAGGAGGAACAAACAAAGGATGAGAGACTTACATGAGGGATCCGTCTTCATGATGATTCCGAAACGAGGGAAGATGGAGAATTTATATACCGATATGGCAAAGCCAAACCAACTTATGCTCAGCGACAAAGCAACGCTAACGCGGGTTTTGAGCGGCATGTTGAGCCGCATAACCGAAGGTACAGGGTAGAGAGCAAAGAAGACGTCCAGCGCCGTGGAAAATACATAAGTGAACCAGGCAAGACCGACATAGATGCTCCGGTTCGCACAGATGCCCCCTTTGATGCTCTGATCCCACTGGAACGCTGCCGGGCTGCACTGCGCAAAGTCCCACACCACCAGCACGAGGACAGACGCCTGGCAGACGAGTGCCGGGCCCCAGAGCATCACCCTCGTCCTCGTGCTGTAACTCAGGATGCGTTCTAGTGTCGAGACGATGGCGAACTTGGGTAACGTGCAGAGCCACGGAGTGGCCGCGTTGAGGATGGCATTCCATTTCAAAGCCTGGGCCTGGGTGGCGGCAGAGAGTGTTTGGTAATGCTGTCCTACTCCAAACGGGAGGGCGATGGAGAGCAGGATGCAGAAGGTCAGGAGCACCAGGAGGCAGCCGACTGTGATGAAATCGTCGACATGTATACCGCCGCCGAGTCGAGGGCCGTAGCGAAGTCGGCAGTATAATCGTAAACCAACGGTGACTAGATTTGCAGCTCTGTCAGTGAATAACTTGAGCCAGTTTTTGATCAGAAAAAGCTAAGAAATTAGACAGTTCTCCTTACCAGCTGTGGCTCCAAACAAGGTCCAGCAGACCGTTTGGGCAATGCTGCCCAAGTCGTCTCTATCCCATATCGACATATCCAGCAAAAAACAACAAAGTCCACGGTATGATGGTGCGCCCGAAGAGAAAAGGTTAGGATCAGATCTAAGCAGGAATTTTCAGAGAATTTCCATCACCAGCAGCGTCCTCACGTTCAGCTATATACGAGGAACCCTGGGACTAGTGTTGCCCGACCATCTGATACTGTTCTAGACCTACTGCAGGGACAACGTAATCGTTTTATTGAAAAGAACCCTCCATGATCCCGGAATCATGCCAGAAATCCAGTCCAGTACGGATCTCCGTTGTCAAAGCGCACGTGGTGGCTTGCATTCGTGCACAGCTAGTCTCCGGCACTAAATTAGGCCCACGATATGTACTGGATCTAGCACGGTTGTCACGGTTGTGAATCGAGTGGCAAGTGAAGTCTTGAGCCACTTTTTGGTTTTTCCCTGTTTTAAGAGAAAAGAGGAGGAGGCACAGAAGTTTCACTAGACGGCGGAGCTTGGATCTAGATGTTTATATATATCCGCCGGCGGTAATCACGGAGTGTCTTATTTTCTGCCTTGATACGTGCCCGTACATATGGCACTCTCTTGGTGTGGCATGTGAGAATGAGTAAGGGTGGATACCTTCGACACAAACCTAAGGACAGGACGGAGTCTGTGGTGAGAAGATGGGAATCGTCTTGTTCAGAATCATGGGCACAGATAATCGAACCTAGTCATCTGCGAGTCTTTCCAGTGATGTTGAGTCTGCTAGACTTTTGACGAATACTTGAAGAACCCATTACTTCAGTATATATCGATACCAGCAGTTTCGGGCTCCAGAATAGATCAGAGGCTACAACATTAATTTAGCATTTGCATTTTGCGCGTTCCGAAAGTGATGACTACACTATGAATATGAAAATCACCACCTGGAACAGAAGCATACTTCAGCACAGAGCTTCTCTCAAGATGCCTTACAGGCGGTTTCTTATTCTAGATGTACTCTGTGCTTAGCCATGACTTGGCTAGACCTCGGAAAATAACATATTTTAGTTAGACATCAACTTCAGTTAGTTGTTCTAATATCCTGTACACAAGTGGAACATGCCATCAGTCTTTACCAGCAACTCCCCCCTCCCTCCCCAGACTCATCAACAAACCCTCTTTGGTCATTTTGCCTTCCCACACCGAGGTCCAGATGGGGCAGAGCTAACGAAAAGAGTGCTCGATCCACTATTGGCCGACACGAACTCAGCGGTGTTGGCTCACGTGGGACGCCACTCGGGAAAGTGTGCATGGGCATATTCGGAACAGCCGCCGTAAAGTGATGTTCACCATTGAAACTCATTAAATTGGTTCGAAGCGTGGGCTGTATTCTAAATGACACTGGATTTCCACGATGATGATTCTTATCGCTTAGTGTCTCGTGATCTCCAGCTTCGTTCGCCCCAGCGCGAAACACCGTGAGCCGTCATGAGAAGTACAGAACCATTCCTCCTGACGAATCTCCTTGAGCCAAAAAGCCCCACTTACCACGCCCTAATAGCATCCGTCATGCCTTCAGCCCATCCAACAAGCCTTTCAGCGTGTTCCAGCCTTCACTTCCCTCCCAAGCCTCCTTCCCCTTGCCCATGACGCTCCGTATGGCACTCCGCGCTTTCGCTCTCCACTTATCACCGACCTCCCCCACCTGCGGGCCAAAGTTCTCGAGCACCGCGACCAGCTCGTCCGTCCTCTGCACAACCACCTGCCAGGCCTCTTTGTTCTCCAACCAATTCCTGGACTCTTGAGAGTCCCCTCCGTCCTTCTTGGCCGCTGCATCCACCGTGAGACCTCCGCCCAGCGACCCAGCTCCCGACGTGGCCCCGCCCACAGCAGCCCGCCAGGCCTTCTCGGAGGCATCGATGGCGCCGGCGTAGTCCCTCCTCCAGACTCGCAGGCGGGACAACAGCTCCCATAGCTCAGAGCGGTTCGTGATCAGGGGAACAATCTCCCGCTCCATCATCTCGTTGACATTGCGCTCGACGCTTCCTCGGGGCGGCTCGTATTGCCCAGCACCGGTGTCATTCTTCTTGTCCGTGGCCAGGACACCTTCTGTGAGCAGAACGCGGAGGATGTCGTCGTCCAGTGCGTCCTCCGAGTTCCTGATCCGGATGATGGATCGCAGGGCCTGGATGATCTCGAAGAAGGGCATGGGACGCATCCGCGTGGCGAGTGTGATGACATTGTCCCAGATGCGCCAGTTATCGTGCGCAATCGAGGCTCCACGCTTGTAGGCGTTCATTGATTGTGCCAGGAGGACGGATGGGTTCTTGTGAGTGTTGGCTGTGGTGGTTTGAACTTGGTCGTCTTCATCTTCGACCTGTTCATCTTCATCTCCCCCCACACGGGTCTCGGATTGGTGACCATTGGCCGGCGGCTGGTTCTTGTCCTTCTCCATAGCTTCCAGATACACGCTGTATAACGCACTCCCGAGGTTGCTCCATGTCCTTGCATCCTCACCACCAGAGGTGTCGTTGGATGACCCAATGGAACGGGTGAAAGCCTCGGCCGCAGCTGCAAAGTCACCCAACCTCAGGTTGATGTCTCCCAGCCTGCTCCACATCTCGGGCGACAGACGGTTGACCGAGACTGCAAGCTGATAGGCCTCACGAGCCTTTTTCCAGTCCTTCTGGGAGAGATAGTGCTCACCCAGTGATTTCTGGGCACGAGCATACCTGTGATTGGAAATCTCCCATGCTCTCTCGTAATGCGTGACTGCGGACTCGGTTTCTATGTCACCCAGAATACAGAAAAGCCTTGGTGCGTTTGGTTGAGCCGGGGTGCGCTCGCGCCCAGTGAAGCTCTCTGCTTTAAGGGTTGTGATATCCGTGTCCTCATCGAGGCTATCATTATCTTCCTCGCCCACCACTGCTTTCCCATCGGGTTGAGCGTCATTCTTGCGGTGGTATAATCTCCAGCGAATGATAGCTCGTGCCTTATCCTCCCCACCACTACCCCGGCCGCTGCCATCTTCATTATCCATGGAGGCACTGCTTGCGAGACACAGAGCAACCTCGGCCCAGAGCTTCAAACGCTTGAAGATCTCAAGAGCCGACACTAATGACCCCACCCCTGTCCAGGCGTATGCCAGCTCGGACTCGAGATGCCAGCGCGGGGGCGATGAGAGGGCATGAATGTATTCCAGTCTCACTGATGCGGGTGCAGATTCTTCCGATTTGGCAGCAGGGAAGAATGACATAGGCTTCTCTTCGACGGGGGCTGCTTCCTCCCGATCTTGCTTCGGCTTCGGCTGCGCATCAGGAGCCGAGATAGAAATGGAAGGAACTTCTGGTGCATCTTGTGTAGCACTGTCTTGACTTGCTTCGGCGACCGCGGCCTTTTGGGTGGTATCCACAATGACCTGATCAACGACGGCTTGCATCTGGAGAACACCGCGCTCCACGGTCCTGCTGCGGTGCTGTTCGATCCGGGACCGCACCAGGAGGGCTTGCGTGTAAATCTGCCAGTTGGTAGATTTGTCGCTGATGACCCTGACAGCGAACGGCAGGACTTCCTCAGCCGTCAGCTTGTCTGCGGGTGAGAAAGAGTCCTTCAGCGTGGCCTGTGTAAGCAATATGATCTGGTCCAGAGCGGAGAGCTGTGGTTGTTCGTCTGGCTTCAGGTCGCGCAGCGCAAGAGGCAGCTGAGGCTCTGGGCCCCCCTCCCGCTCGCCATTCAGGCCCTCTTCGCCGCCGTTCGTGTACTCAATCTCCTCCAGGAGGGTGTCGTCGTTGAGGGGTAGAGCCTCAGGCACCTCCTGCTTCGCGTTCGAGTCGGGGGAGGTTCCGCTTTTGGCAAGCACGACCAGCTGGCTGGTGCTCTTCTCCTGGAACCTCGTCCTCTTGCCAAGCGCACCGGACAAGGCATACACGAAACCGTTCAGGTCTGCCGCAGCGCTCAGAGCATCCCGAGCCTGCACGTCTTGGCCCAGCATGATACAAATGTTGGCCTTCTCGACGAGAAAGCGGACCTTGTCTTGGGTTGCCCATCGAGACGAGGACACCTCCCACTTCTCTCCCAGAACGTCGCTCTCTACCGCCCGCAGGCGCTCTTGTATTCTCTCGACCAGTGTGGGCACCTCACTCATGCCAATGTTCTTGGTGAATATGGAGCCAGGGCTGAGGCTGGGCTCAATGAAAAGCTTGTAGTGCCAGACATCCAGCCTCAGTCTCATCCATGCTAGGCTGATGTTGCTGCCCGTATTGTGGCTGGCGCTGCTGGCCGTCCATGTTTCAGAGGTGGCATTCTCGATGCTGTGTTTGGCGAGACAAAACAGATCAATGTGAGGGATGAAGGGGTAGGGGCTGACACCGTCCACTTCCAACGAGGACAGAGTTAGGTCGATTTTTCCATCGTAAGGCTGTGCCAGTTTGACTTGACCATCGTCGAGAACAGGCCCAGTGACGTTTGCCTGCAGGAAGGCATTGAAAGCCTCGACCCCAACCCCAACATCTATGGATGCCATAGACTAGACTGTGTGCAGACCTCAAAAAAGAAAAGAATAGAATAAAATCAATTATGAGAGAGCATAAGAAAAAGGTCACGCCAGCAAGACTGATTTGGCGAGTGGTAATCTATTTCTTTTTTTTTTTTTTTTTTTTGAAGGCTGTGCAAAGGTGAAGTGAAGGTGGGGGGTTGCAAATGCTTGAATGACTCTTTCCCGATGTGTGTATTTTGGAGGGGCAACTTCAATTTTTTCAGGGTCTCTTTCCGTATTACGTAAGCAACAGGGACTCTACCTGAGTTTGCGGAAAGAGCAAGCACGAGATAGGGTAGATACTCTTTTTGTAAGTATTCAGCTACTGCAATCTGACGGAAAAGGAGAAAAGAAAAGGAAAACATGTCTACAACCTCACATGATCCCATCTGGTGCCCATCTGGTGATGTTGTACTATTTTCGCTACACTGTACTCTCACTATCGCTAACACACAAGAGGCTAGGCTGCTGCGTTCACAGTTTGTACAAGCTGCTCGCTCCTCCAGTGCGAGACCAGTTGCTGAGGCCCTACTACATACATCACCTGTGGGAATGCCGTGTCTGCAGAGAAGCGCACATGGAATAGATAACCGCAAGTCCTTCGGTCGTGCCTGGGATGAGCTGGTCTTACACAGCACGACACTGTTGGCAGCTCAGAATGAGCATCAAGTCCGACCCAACAAGAAATCCCTCCAGTTCCCTGCTGCCCATCTATTTCTTGCCCTTCTTACGAGGCACAATCTTGAACCCAGCAGCACCCACGACATCGGCCTCCTTGGGTTGGTTAGAAGAACCGCCCTTCTTGGCCACTTCAGACCAGCCACCACTGCCGCCAGACTTTGCATCAGCGACGGGAACAGGCTCAAAGACCCCCTTCTCAGCCTGCTTCTTGCGCCGAATGTACTCCTGCGCAAGGTAACGAGGATCGACAGGGCTGTCCGTGGAGAGGCCCTCGTAGAGGATCAATTCGACAATTTCCTTGTCCACTGTGCCCACCTCACTTATATGGTTGGCAACGAGTTCAACCTTGTCGGTAGTCTTGATGCCTCGCGACAGCTCTCCCTTGAACCACTTCTGGAGAGCAGCGTGCGCATCACTGACCGAGTTAGCCTTGTTGCTCGCGGGTGCAGCAGATTTGACTTGGTGCTGGACAACTTGAGGTGTCACGGCGCGGGGGTTGGATATGCTGGCTGGGCGGGCCTGAGGAGTTCCAGTCGGGGCCTTGACCTTGCCCCCAGCTCCCACCGTGGACCAACCACTCTGGGCAATGGGTGCAGCAGCAGGGTTGGCGGCTGCCATAGCTGCGGCATTTGCGATACCGGGCGGACCGGTCTTGCTGGCGAGATCCGCATACCGTTTGCCCATGCTGGCGGTGCCCTGAGGCAGGCCTTGGTGAGAAGACACCTGCTCCTTGGCTTCCTTGAGCTTGCGTGCCTCCTCCTCCCGCTGGATCTCAAGCATGGTCTTCTTGCTGAGGCCCGTAGTGCCGGCACTGCTGGCAGCAACGCCCACAACACTGCCAGCTTTCGCAGCAGCAGGTTTAGACCAGGGGCTTGACGCTGCAGGAGCCGGCGAGCCGCTGGCCCAAGTGCTGTTACGGGGGAGGCCAGGTGAGGCGGCGCTCATGTTCTCACGCTCCTTGGTAGCTAGGACTTCTTGCTCTTGCGCGTGGCGGCGGCGGCGCGCCTCATCCCTGACGGCCCTCTCATGGGCCTCAGCCTCTTGGATCGCCTTGATGCTCGGTCCCTTTTGCGCCTCGCTGCCAAGGTCGCGAGCCCACGGTGCCAGCGGTGGAGGCTGGGAAGCCGTGGCTGAGCCAGGAGCAGCGCTATCGGGCGTCTGGCTCTGGGATCGTGTCTCAATGTACTGATCCGCAATGTTGGACCGACGCTGAGCAGTTGGGGCGGGGAGCGGGGCGTTCACAGGCGGCATCGGAGCCGGGAAGGGCATGGGCAGACCTGTCGCGGCGGACTGCCGAGCCCAGGCTTCCTCCTCCTGCGCCTTCCGCTGGGCTGCCTGCGCGGTCTCGGCTTGCGTTTTCTGCACCTGCTGGGTCAGAGACATGGCCTGCGGCTGCTCTGCTCTCTTGATCGCGGTTTGCTGCTGCTGGTGGTGGAGATAGCCTGGCTCCTCATCTGAAGTACCACGAGCGCCGTCGGACCGATCGACCGCAGAAGTAGCCTCAGCCTGCCCCTTGGTTTGCCCAGTGTGAGAAGGGCCTGGCAGGGCTTCCTCGTCGGTGCGCTGTTGGGTTGGGATGCCTTGGTAATCCTGAAATTCCTTCAGCCTCTCTTTGAACCCCTGTGAATCCTCCTCAAGCTGATCGACACCTGGGAGCTGGCTCTTGAGGTCTGCTGCAGGAGGACCGACAGGCTGAGGCGGGAACATACCGGTGACGCCACCAGGACCTTGAAGATTCGCCAGGAACTGGCGGTCATGTTCAAGCACATCTCCTCGGAGAGGATCCGGTCCGGCATTCATGGCATTGGGGATGCCGGGGCCTTTGTTCTGGTCAAAAAAGCCAGCGGTAGGACCACCACCTCCTCCTCCAAGCGTGGGGCCGATGGGAGCCTGGGGGGCGTTTAGTCCGACGGGGGAGGTGATGCTCCCGTAGCTCGGCTGGCTCTGCAGGCTATGCACGCTCCCCTGATGCTGCAGGACACCACCTGGCACACCAGGGTGAATGTTGCGGAAATGGCTCTGCTGGGAAATGTACTCGCGGTGGCGGGCGGCTGCGACTTGTTCCTCCTGCTTGCGACGCTCCAGGTTGTTTTGCTCTTCCGCCGTCAAGGTCTTGCCATAGCTAGGAACAAGCCCTGTCAGCGGAGGGATAACGACCCGAGAGTCGCCTCCGGCAGAGAACGGGCCGCTCTGGGAAGGCGGACCGTGGGCGATACCAACCTGGGGCACCAGGAAGGGCTCGCGAGAGTTACCAATCCGCCTAATAAGCTGACCCAGCGGCTCAAAGTCGGGGTCCTCCAGCTTGCGAACTCGCAGGTCGTTGGTGAAGAAGTTGCCCTTGTACCATTCGTTCATCTCCAGTCCGGTGAAGGGACCTTGTTGTTGGCCCTGGGGATCCATGTAGATCCACCTCATTCTATCGGGCATTACCATGATTCTCGACTGAGACTGAGGCGGGCCGCTACCACCAGCAGCACCAGCACCAGCACCAGCACCAGCAGCCTGATCAGATCCAAAGCCCGGCCCTTGATTCGCCGTACCACCAAAGGCTGCCTGAGACTGCGGAGCGGTCGCGAGAAGAGGTTGGTTGTGCTCGGCAGTGCTGAAGATACCGGGAGACTGCACCTGCGCCTGAGGAGCGGTGAAGAGGTCAACAAGACCACGACCCATTGGCAGCGGGCTGTCCGTGTCGCGACCCTGAGCCCCGATGGCACCTGGCCCAATGGCGCTGAGGGGGTTATTCTGCCGAAGATCCGGGATGGAATCCGTCAGAGCGTCGTGTTCTTGGGCCTGCATTTGGGCCTGCATGGCGGGAGGGAACAGGGAGCCGAGCTTGCTGCCGCCGCGGGGGCCCGTAAGGCCGCTGCTAGCGGGTCCAAATAGGCCGCTCATTCCACCGAGGCCTGGCGACTGCATCTCGCTGTTCATCGGGCCAAAGACGGAATTTCCAAAGGCAGTACCGAAGCCAGGGCGCTCGCGGTCTGGTGTGGCCGTGGAGAACGCACTGGGCCATCCGCCAATGTTGCCCAATGCTGGATAGTTCTTGGCACCGACACTGGACGTCTGACTGCGATCGCTGCCCTCGAAGGCGGCAGCGGCGGCACCAGGAAAACCGCGCAGGGAGCCGAGGTTCGCATTCTGTTCCGAAGGACCACCCAGCCCATGGCCCTTGTCAAACCCGAGATCTTCGTGGTCGTTGTCGCCGCGCTCGGCAGGTGGACTCCGGTAGGGATTGGTCTGCGAGGGACTAGCTGAAGACGCATTCTGTTCCCGGGACGAGCCGAGGTTGAGACCCGACATGCCAAAGTCGCTTGTATTTCCCTTGACCGGAGTGTCGAAGATCTGCGAACCATGTGTCGTGGGCATGGGCGGGGGACTCGTGTCTCGCGCACCACCGAGAGCGGCGCTCCCGCTCAGCCCTTCATCTCCGCCAAAGGGGTCGGTATCAGTCCTCGGACGCGACCTCCAAGATGGGTTCGCGTTGCCCATACCGGCTGGGCCTAGGCCGGTGCCAGGACCAACACCGCCTCCCATGTTCTCGGCGCTCTCCTTCTTGGAGAAGAAGCGACTGCTGGCGGTACTGCTGATGAAGCCCTTCTCGGCGACGCCAGGGGTGTTTAGAGCAAAATTGCCAAACCCATTAAAGGCGGAGGCGGTGGGTGTCGTGGTAGCACCCCAACCTCCCTGGCCTGAGAAACCTGCCGCTCCCGCCGTGGCGCTGCGGGTCAGCCCACTAAATCCAGCCGGCCTGTTGGCGGAATCCGGGACAGGCGGCTGCTTGTCGTCATACGGGGCCTCCTCCTCCTTATTTTCGGGTCCTTTCCTCCCGAGCCAGGACATGTCTAGTCGACTAGGACCAGCTGTAGTCGGCGAGATGACCCCTCCAGGAGAGAAGGGATTCGTGTCGGTAGTCTCTCGGCGTCGGGCAGCAGGTCTCGGCGCGCCTGAAGGTGAGGTCAGACCCTGCGACATGGACTGCTTTCGACCGTTTAGGGCCGGACCTGGGCCGCCCTCCTTGTTCTGCTGATTCTGCTGTTGTTGTTGCTTGAGCGGGGAATTGACATCAGACGAGAACAGCTAAAAAAAAATAAACAGGCGCGATGGTCAGTCACACGAGATAGACAAGGAGAGCAGAGCATGAGTAGCGAGGACCGCCTTTGGGAGAGCAAGCGGCGTGAAGTATAGTGCGGCACGGCGCGGCGCGGCGCGGCACGATACAACGCAATGCAATGGAACTTTGTAGTTACGGGGCAGTACCCACCTCTTTTTCGTCAGGCGACATGTCTTGTAGACCAAGCGGGACCGAGGTTCCTTCAGCGTTCCAACAAACGGTAGGGTCGTTGTGTGCATTTGCATCACTCGGTTTGCCCCAGCCTCGAGAGGCGTGCCCGTTCAGATGGCCGCCGGGATTGAAGCCCGACATGAGCAACGAGCTCACGTCGACACTGTGGGATCCCGCAACAACAGCACGCGCGACGTCCAGCAGCTCGTCCTGGCCGTATTTTCCCGCAGCCGAGTCGGACGGGTGCTGCGCGTACTGGGTAGCGGCAGAGGCTGGAGAATCGTTCACGGCCGAAGGGAGGGAACTGTCTATCGCAGCGGCGGAGGTGTGGACGGGCTGGGTGCTGTAGTTGTTGAAAGGCGTCGTCGAGGATCGGCGAAGGATAGCGGTTCCGTTGGAACGACCGTCGCGTCGAAGCCTAGATTGGTAGAGAAGAAGAGGACGCGTCAATAAATATAGAGTTGAGAAGAAGATGTCTAGGTCAGGAATGTGCTACTGGTCATTGTCTGTGAGGTGAGGTTCAGGTAGACCCTGGGCACGGAGAAGAGGAGAGGAGAGAAAGAGGGAGAGAAGGGGATTGTAGATGTTGCTGGGACGATCCCTTGTAGGCTAGATGGTCACCTGGGAAAGCAGATGGAGGCAAATCACGATGTGACAGAGGTCGTGACAGGGGGTGGGGGGCCAACATGGAGAGGCGGGTGAATGAAGGGACCTTTTTTTCCATCTTGGATTGAACTCACCAGTCACTACTTGAGCTTCCTCGGGAGTCACCTCGGCCACTGTTGCGATCGCGACCAGAGTTCTGACCTGCTGCAGCTGAGGCAAAGCTTGAGGGCAGACTTGGACCTGGCATCCTGGATGTGAGGAGTGGAGAAGTGGGTGGTACAGGTAGCTCGACAGAGGTGGTTGGGAACAGATCCGAAGCAAGGAAGATTGACAAGGGCGACAAGCAAGAGAATGTCTACTCTTGAGGGCTTGTCTGGTAAAGCTTGCCTTGTCTTGTCGAGTGTGCAAAGCAGTGTTGTTGGTCGTCAAGGGAGAGAGACAACTTGGTAAATGGGCTAGGACTGATGTTTGCAGACCTGCACACAGCACTGGAGAGAGGTTGAAGATCTTGTGTCAATCGTGATCGACAAGAAGTCCAGGTTCGATCGCAAGACGCTGATGTGGTATATGCTGAGAGGTGGATATGTTGGCAGGAGTGGTTGTCGGGAAGAGATGCGATGTGGGAACAAGTGTGGTTGCTATGTTTGTTACAAGAGGTGACGCTGAATGAACGTTTTGGAGATGCTCGAAGAAACCTTTTTTTGAGATTTCAGTCAAAGAAGGTTAGGTTGAAGTTGGAGGTTGGAAAAATCCACCCTTTCTTTGCCTTGGCCCCAAGCGGGTATGCACTAGCCACTAGCCTCTTGCTGCCACAGGTTGAGGAGAGGTGGTGTCGTCAAAGATTCCTCTAGCTAGCTCGTTTCTTCTTTCTGCCACGCCACAGGTGCTGGCCCCTGTGGTAGACTGCCTGAGCTGAGGCTTGGCACCCTGTCTACAGGGGGGGATGGGTAGCCTTTAGAAGGCCATTGGCATGCTTCATTTACTGGGAGCAGCTGGCGCTCTGTACCTGCAGTTCTACCACACCCAGTCTGCCTCCCGAAACGTTTTAAGGCTGTCATGATCTGTCCTTGCAGCCAGAGCTTGCAGCACCATGCCTCTATCCTGTTTTCAATCACTGTTGGAAACTGTACCTGCAGCATCACGTGCATACCCACGTGCATACTTTATCAACTGTTCCTCCTGTTCCTCTTCTCTTTCTTTTTATGGCTTTGGTCATTTGTACTGCATTGCTTTAACAGGCGTATAGTATCTCTACCAACTGCAACTAGGCCTGCGTCTTGCAATGGATATTACAGAACAAGGCCCGCGGACTGGAACATCTGCCCTCGACTTCAGTCCTTCCGCAAGTCTATCAGTCTGATGATACTAGGTTTTGCCCACCGTTCTCAAGTGTTGCCCCGTTCATCAGTCCGAAACCCATTCATCGAGCAACCTCTCCTCTCCACCCCTCCTCTTCTTCCTGCGCCTACTTCGCCGTCGAAGCATCTGATTGCGCCAAACTCATGCTCGGTTCCCCCCACAGAATACCAAAGGAACGTCATCCCAGGGGTTTGACCGCCCTGCCTACTTATTAACCCTTTACAGATACTACCACGGTATCTGTCCCAGCACGGCATTACAAGGCTTGGTGACGAGGCTCTAGCCGTCACTGTGTTAGCTTCAGAAGTCATCTGCTCTTCATGTCTCGGGGCCAACCGAGCGCACAAAGGTGGTTGCTAGTGCCGGACCAAAAGGCTTCATTGGCCATACTGCCCTTCCACTATGTAAGGATGCATGGTACATCCACCTGGAAATTAAAAGGCATATCCCCAGCCAGCGGCAAACTCCACCATCTTGATAGGGCTGAAATGGCGGCGTCTCTGTGGTGAAGAGTCTAGACCCTTTGCTTGGGTGGATGACGACGCCTTCAAAAGGCGGTTTTCCCATTCGAGCGAGCAGCGGGCTCAGGTCGTCGTCGTCGTCGTCTTCGTGGCCAGTATCTTTGTTGTATCCTTCAGTAAAAGCATAGAAAAATGTGGGCACCATTGTCTGCGCATGTCAACTCATCTTCCAGTTCTGAACCGAGATCGGCTTGTGCAGCCTCTTTATGAAAACGAAGGAAAAAACTGGCAAAGAATAAGCCGAAAATGGCTTGTCAAGCAAGCAAGGTTCGGAGGGCTAGGATTAGATATCTTTTAGGTAATCAGCCGCGGCAACCCTCATACTTGCTATCTCAGTAGTCGGATGGCGCCATCTTAATCGCTAATGAGCGTTCCCAGCCGCTCGCTTCCTAATTGCCTTTTCTCTGTTTGGCCTTTCTGCCCTATCTCGCCGGCGCCGCCCACGATCAGCAATAAAGTCAACCCTACCGCCATGTGTTGAGACTGTTCGGTGGTTTTTTCTGACCCAGACTCTCCTGTCGGGGATCTGGACCTCCTCTGCTCTTCGGCCCCGCCCTCTGTCCTCACACAGTCCCTACAGCGCCTCACGAAACTCTCCAGCACAGACACGCCTCGGACAGGAGTCTTGACTTGACAGCATTTACTAGAACACACACGCCCAAAAGCAGCGTTCTTGCTGACCCGAAGGCGAGATGAACAGCAGCCATGAGGATGTCAATGCCAAGGGGGCGTCGATGACTGTCGAGTCTCAGGCTTCCTCCCAGGATCGAGACGTGCTATTCGACCCGGAATCACAACGGTCCCCCAATGCTCTCGCCACGGCCGATGCCCAGGTTGATGACCACAATGGCGATCTCGTCACTGCCGCCGAGAACAAAGACCTCAAGCGTGGCCTTGCCGAGCGCCATCTCACGATGCTGGGTATTGCTGGCGCTATTGGCACCGGACTATTCCTCAGCTTAGGCGGTGCCATTCAGAGTGGCGGTCCTCTAGGTGCTCTCCTGGGTTATGCCATTGTCGGAGGCATTGTGTGTGCTGTGCAGTTCGCTTTGGGCGAAGTCACTGCTTTACTGCCCGTAAGTCGTCATCTAATGTTTGCACTGGTCTATTCTTCTGGGCGAAAGGCCCAGTCCAATGTCAGGTTCTAACCATACTTCCTCTTGAAGGTCACTGGTAGTTTTGTGCGGCACGCTGGTTTTCTGGTCGACCCAGCCCTCGAGTTCGCTATCGGCTGGAATCTGGTCTACGGCAATCTGCTTAGCATCCCGTCCGAGATCACTGCCATTTGCGTCCTCTTTGAGTTCTGGACCGACCTCAACAGTGCTGTCTGGATCGTCATTTTCGTGATCCTGACTGTACTGGTGGGGGTTGCGTTTGTTCGCCGTGAGTCCCAGCCTCGCTTGTCTGAGCTCGATGAAGAGGCCTTTTTCCCCTTCTCCCAAGATGAAATGCTCGTTAGCTGACCAATTTTATAGTCTTTGGAGAGATTGAGTATGTGTTTGCCATCCTCAAGGTCCTCATGGTCATCTTCCTGATCATCCTCGGCCTTGTGATTGATCTTGGCGGCATCCCGGGCACTCCTCGCATCGGGTTTCTTTACTGGCAGAACCCCGGACCATTTGTCGAATATATCGCCACGGGCAATTGGGGAAAGTTTCTCGGTTTCTGGAGCGTCATGACCAGTGCCGTGTTCTCCTTTGCCGGCGTCGAGTCCATCGCCATGGCAGCGGCTGAAACCAAGGACCCACGCCGAGCCATCCCGCGTGCCTGCAAACAGGTCTTCCTCCGTGTCTTGCTGTTCTACATGCTCGCAGTCCTCATCGTCGGCATGCTGGTCGCGAGCAATGATTCTCGACTCGGTGACGAGAGTGGCACCGCAGCCCAGAGCCCCTTCGTCATCGCCGCCAGCGCTGCTGGTATTCGCGCCATTCCCAGTCTTGTCAACGCCATCGTCATCACCAGCGCCTGGAGCTCGAGCAACCAGTCGCTTCTGTCGGGCACCAGGGTCCTTTACGGACTGGCACTGAAGGGACAGGCACCGAAGATCTTCCTGCGGACCACGTCGTGGGGTACTCCCTACGTCTGCGTGGCTCTGTTCACCGCCTTCATGTTCCTCAGCTTCCTGACGTTGAGCAATGATGCTCTGACTGTCTTCTGGTGGCTTGTGGATCTGACTGCGGCTGGTGTCTTGGTCAGCTGGAGTGCGATCCTCTTTAACCACATCCGCATGAGGCTCGCCGTCAGAAAGCAGGGCATCCCTTTGGCGAGACTTCCTTGGCATAACTCTTGGACCTGTAAGTGACATTACTCTCCTTCAATGGACTACGCGATGAATAGTAGTCCATCGCCGCCACGTGCTCAGGTGCTGACGCCAGATCTCTCCGCCGCAGTGTACAGCTCATACTCCGCCTTGGTTCTGTGTATCACGATCCTCCTGACGAGCGGGTTCAGTGTCTTCACCAAAGGCAACTGGGATCCCGAGACTTTTATATCGTCTTATTTGTAAGTTGGTCGTCCACAATTTACTTTTTCTGCTCTCTCTTTCGGATTCGGCCTCGACTGATATTGCTTCCCCAGGGACATACCACTTGTTCTTGCTGCATACCTGATCTGGAAGCTCATCAAGAAGACCAAGATCACTGCATTGGAGGATATACCCCTCGAGGACGCCTTGAAACAGGCTGATCTGGAAGAAGAAGCGAGATATCAGGACTAGATTTAGATGAGCACATACAGACTTGATTGCGACATTAGAAGACTCAATGACCGGACGACTTGAATGACAAGGATTTGGTGGGTCGAGGTTCTTTTCGGAGACTTTAATCTAATGATCAAAACTCTCCCTTGGCCTTGAATGTGTATTAATGCGTCAAGCCCTCGTATTCCTGGTCGTGGCTCAAGAAGTTGGCACAGCGACGCCTCGTATCCCATATTGCACGCGTCTCATAGAAGATATATGTTGTAAAGACAAAATAATATTGACATACAAGTCTGGTCTGGTCTGGTCTGTACTGACCCAATAGACACGCTGTATCCGAAAATTGCAATTCCCAAACTCCGACCTAGGCACCCAAGTCTTTCTCTTGTGCCAAGCTCAGGCGCGTCTTGTCGCCACACTTCCAACTCTTTCCCCCTTCGCCCAAGATATTACCGACAATTGATTACTTCATCTCTTTCCCCCAGCTCAAGACATTGAAGAGACTTCTCCTTGGGTCGGCCTGACCCATCTCCCCAAAGATCTTTTGTCGTGAGGCTTCGCTCTGCGGGTTCTGGTATTGCGCAAACATGCGGTCCATGGTTCGCGATTCGACCTGGAGCTGCCAGCGGATGAAGGTGGCCACGGCTGTAAGAGAGACGACTACTGCCACCGCGGGTCCATATCTAAAAGGTTGGTGGGAACGCGGGTTAGTCTATCTGGGGATCCACTTTGTGTGCATTTTAGGGCTTTCTCCATAGTTGCCCAGCTCTGGGGACGGACGTACTTTGTGCCTGGGAGAGGCTTGATGGGTCTGGGAGCAGCGGGTGCGATCATGTTAAATATTTAAACTTGGAGAGAAGTTTTGACACAAGCGTTGGTTTGTTTCAGAAGTGGTGTCGATAGAAAGAGCAGAGAGGTATTGTGGCCAGATACTGAGGCGAGTCTTCAAGAGTAACTATTCGTTTTGTGGGTGCCAGATGAATGAGAATGGTTTGAGATAGACTCGACAACTGTGCCAAATGGGGCCATTCCAGGGAGATTTATATCTACAGACAAGAATAGTCGGGCTGAGCAGCCTTGAGGGTGTCCCGTACGTGGCATGTCAGCCTCTGCTTAGGATCGCCAAAGTGGTGCGGTCTTAGCCTGAGAGTGGTGTGATTCCACTCTCCTGTCAGCAGGTTGTCTATTCCCACAAGAGAACAATTCGGGAGGGATCGGTACCCTTTCCCCAGAGTCCAGGAGCGACGCTAGCCTCATCCTCATCTACAACGTACGTTGGATTCTGGTTGATCCTTGCTGCCTATGTGACTACTCGCGTTATGGAGGATGAGGATTGTCATTTGTGCAAACTTTGTCTTGTGGTCTAGATTTAGTCGAAGCTTTCCCCGTTCGGCGCCGTCTCGAGCGTGGCCTTTTCCCGGTCTTCGCCGCTGAATCGGATTAGGGGGCCTCATTTAGGACCCCACACAAAGGATCTTTGACAGTCCCGATTTCCCAGAGTGGGTCACTTTCCTAAGTTGTTCGGGAGGAGCAGGACCAATAGCTGAATTGTGAGGTCGGCACCATCTTATCATTTGCCAGTCGATACTAATGAATGCTGCTTTCCTCGTAACGTCTTAGGGCAGCTTTGTGTAGAGAAACTCACCAATGACTACGCAGTTTCAGTGCCTGGCTTTCATGTAAACCCCGATCATAAAGTGAAATTGTACAAAGTTCATAATTTTCATAGTTATAGCTGGTTCTTTACTTAGTACTTTTGTATCAAATAGTGATGGTCCTCTACAAACAATATATATCAACTCAGACCATTGCATGTCTGCAGGCTGAGCCAAGCTGTCTTCCAAGGTCAAAGTATACACCCAACACTCTAACAAATTGATCATTGGCGAATGCAATTCTGACTAAGTACTTGAGTAAGTAATGTATAATGTGCGTGGTAATCAAATTGCGGACCAGCAAACAAAAGGATTTGTCATGAGGGGAAGGTCTCATTAAAAAGCCCAATTAAGTCACATGGTCGAGACCATATGCACATGCTGCTTGTTTTGATTTCCCAATACGGGGGCTACCGCCGAACGTTGTTTCATCCGCTAAGTAAATGCATGTGCCCGGAAAAAAGTGAAGAATAGCCCAATAGGCTCTGACCTCGAGTGCTCATGAATGAGATGATTTCCATTACTTTCATCCCTGATTCGTACTATCAATGATGTGCAATGAAGTAGAGAGGGCCAAAGAAGTCTCTCTCTTGCGAACTTGTCAGGTTTTCTACTTCTTCCTGACCTCGATCCTAAGCAAGCGAATTTGCATCAGACCGACATGAATTTGGTAGGTAGGAATTACAATCTTGGAAGTCAGGCAAGACAATTACATGACCTCCAATCTCAATCCTAGCACCCAACATTGGAATTCTTTACGTCTTTTCTCGGGTACCAGTCTAGGTACGTCGGCTCTACATGCTTCGTTACATACCTGGGTACTTCCACTGAATACAACCAGGACACACACCCATGAGTGAACGAGTGGTCTAGGCACGAGAGTCCCGTTCTCCTCGTGTGTCCCTGGCTCAAACGCAACTCGTGATGCCAAGGTGCCTTCGAATGGTCACAGTTACTAGTCCACTTCCTTCCTTCAACAACCTCCTCATCGATCGGCAGTGCGACTAAACAGCCATGGAGCCACTCTTTCTCGGGGAATGTCTCGCGATGCTGAGCCGAGGAATGTTGGGGGCCTGAATCAAGTGCCTCCAGAGGTAGCCGGAAGTCCCGTCGACATGAGAAATCCGGAGTCTTTTGAGCGGATTTTGCTCATTTTTACATCATCTCCACAAGGAAAGGAAACCCACGAGGCAGATGCTGTAGATCAACTACGATTCAACATGCACCGTCTCCACTTTTCCCCTTTCTTATTTTCTTGGTCGTCCTTGTTGTCCACCCAGCGCTATTCGCGTGGCAAGGACAGAAAGGCCAGAGCCTGAACCTAAGAAATTTGGTGGCCGGCTGTAAGGAAAAACTGAGACATTCCCCTCAAGCCACGGCTGAGGCGATCAACGTTCTTGTAGCGTAGGACTGCCTCGTATAGAGCGAAGCACCCCCTCTGCAGCGAGCACGCAACCAATGAGCATGTCACTTGAGCGAGATGAAATACCGAAACTGTCCGATCCGTCCTGATCTGGAAGTCCAGACAGTCACGACCCTCGCATAGACGGCTTAGCCGGGGCCCCCAGAGCATTCTAGCATGGTCCAGGATGACACTTTTCTTTTCTTTCTAGTTCTTGGTCCGGGGTAGCACCCTGCTTCACAATGATTTGATTTCAAAAGAATGGGGGGGGGGGAGGCTGTACGTACAGTTACAGCAATCCCATTGCTCTTTCATACACAGTGTCTGTTTCGCCGACTGCCCACTGGAATGTAACGTTGACAAGACCAGGCCGCCCAGAAAGTGACCCTTCTTTGGTGGTCAGCGGCACGGGAAAAATCGAGGCGGCCATCACGCAGAATATACAGCCTGCCAGCCTGCTTGGAGGTCGGCGAAAACAACGTCTTGATGGGGCACTTGTCTCTTCTTCTTGGTGCTCGGAGGTCCCCGAAACAGTTTTTCTTTCTCTTTCCTTCTTGCCTCCAACCCTCTCAAAGAACCATTGAGCTCTCATGCATAAGGGGTGGTGGGCACCCGGTGATCTCCACGGTCTTCATGGTGATTTAAGGAGCTACATATTTGGGGAATTTTTTTAGATCATGACTTCATTTTCTAGCACTGTAGTGATTCGAAAGGTTTCCTGTAGATGGCTCGAAGTACTTGGAAGACTTCGCCGATTGGAAAACCCCACGTGTCCGGCGCCGGTTGGGTCTTCGCATGGTCTCATAGCTAAAAACTGAGACATGATGTTCGTTTTCAGTCAGAGGGGTGTCGTCCTTCTCTCCGAAAGGGGGAAGAGACACGGCAAACCGATTTTCATAGCTCCACATCGACCGATCGGTTTTGTCTGAGTCGAAATTTCAAAGACTCGCCCCTTGTACCTGCACGAGCGGGATAGAGATACGTTGCGGCTCTGCTAGTTGATCTTCCAAATGACTAGTGATCGTGCGATGTTCTGTCATGCAGGTGTCTCTTTTTTTTCTTGCACACACCCACACCCGGCCCCCCCTTTTCTTTCAATATGGGGTCGAAGGATTACCTTTTTCAAGAGACAAAGCTAGCCTCCCAACCACCCGCTGGAAAGGCTACGGTAGTGCAGGATCAGCGCGCCTGTCGTATGTACCGGGAGATACTTCTTCTGAAGGTGGGTCTGAATAGAGTCTTGATTGGTTTCCCGTGGGGGCTGCGTTTGATTGACATGATCATCCTTCACTGACCTCATGTTTGCTCGGCCAGGACCCGCTGGTGAGCATGTGAGTCGAGTGCGATCAATAGTTCTAGGCATCTAATTAGCGCCCCCAGGCAAAGCATTCAGGCATCTAGCTACGATGATGTACCTTCAAAGTCCAAGTTGAATCACGGGAAATTTGTGATTTGTACAGTATTGCAGAAGACTCCCTCCGGGCTGCATGAGGAGGTCTTGTGGAAGAGGCTCCTCTGGTCGGGTAATGTACTCAGTCTTTCTCGAGGCTTATGGCTCGCGTGAAGTGCTTGTTCCACGGATGGTCGTGGTAATTTGATTTCATTCCCGAGGACGTTTCGAGATTATCCATTTCGTACGTTGCTTTTTCATGCTTTTCATCTCCCGCTAATGCTGAATTATAGATTGATGCATTTCTGTTAATAATAACATTAGTGTGAGTTAGGAACGGCAAATCAAGAAAATTTCAGTTGAAATAATTGGAATATTTATTCACTTCATCGTTATCGTCTAAGTACTTGACTTCTGGTGTGGATGGTAGTATTGAACATGACGGAAGCATTGAAGGGGGAGGGGGGGACCTGACGGGTATTCACCATCCGGAGCACACGCGCGAGAAAGTGCTACGGACGTAATTCGATATTACCCGCATACAACTCAGCAGTTCTCTACTCATCAGTGAGCTGGACCGCAATGCTGCAGGATCTCTGTTCTCAGCTTCAAGATAATGTGTGCAAACGGCGGCGGCCTGCATATATTGGGCACTCAGGCGTGTAGTTTGTCATGCTGTGCAACGCATCACCTTGGCCCCTATGCGATCCCGCCTCGCTCTTGTGACTGGAGGGATCTCTCACCATTACTTGCAGAGAATGATTCCTATTTGTACCTCACAATCGGGGTAACGCGTCCCGTTCTCACCACGATAGTTGAGGCGGGCTCTGGCATGTATGTTGAATCAAGCCCTCATCGCAAGCAGCGGATACATATGTATCGTTCAAACACACAACAAGGATGTACACAAGGATCGGGAAAACCTGCATACATCGGGTCGAGATCGAGCTTACCATGCATTTTTGATGGCCGATTGATGCGCGTGGAGAGCGGAGATGGCCGAAGACTGAGCTTGAAAGCCCGATCATTGACGAAGAAGGCAAGACAACTGTGTGGTGGCCTGCGTTTAGGCTGGTATTGCATTAACCTTTCTTTTCATAGAAAACTATCTTGTTTTCTCGTGCTTCATATGACTCGAGTACAATCGATTGAACCGTCCTCGCTATAGCTATATTGTGTAATGCATGGGAGAGATAAATGCTGCAAGGCGTCGACGAGAACAGAGCGCAGAAGAATTCATCTGCATACCTACGCACTTGAGTATGGTAATCTGTATCAGCGCTGGCTACCTAGGTATCCTCAACGATTTGATTTACAACGTAGCAGGCTGCTAGATACTTCCCCTTATTCTTTTGGTTCCCAGCGTTGGATTCTCTCTCGTGCTAAAGCAGTAATGAACCGTGTTTCATGAGAATATTCTTACTTTTTTGTCCATTCCACCGTGACCTCTCAATGCAATCCTCTTCGCTGATTTCCGCAGGGATGTGCACTCATGAGTTTCCCAGTTTGAAATTCCGTTCCCCTACAAAGAGGGATTATTGAGCCATGCTTCCGGACTAAACAGACTACTTGTAGGTCCGCCCAACACGTTTCATAACTTAAAGTCAATAACGTCATCCCTATGAAATTAATTTCAGTCTCTTGCTTTCGTCGCTTAGTGATGACTATGGTTACAAGGAAAGTAACTATCCAGGTACCGGAGTACAGCCATAAGTATCAGATTGCGCCAACACGGCTGAGTATCTGGATAATCCTATCGACGATTCCAGTATGGCCAAGGCCTGGAGCGTTGGTCTTAAGGGTGGA